CTGCTAGTCCTTATAGTTTAGCCACAATTATGTTGATAATGCAACCTGTAGTCTAATATTTGTTTTAAATTCTTTTTGAGAGTAAGAGATCAAATGTCTATATATCTAGCAATATCACTAAAAATCAATATTATGACTTACTATATATTGAAGATTTTTTTGAATTAAGTTAATTGGCTTAGAAGAGCAAACAAATTGAAATTGAATTTATTTAAAAATTGGTTCTACACACAAATAGATGTAATTCAACAAAATGTTAATGTAGGAAGATTGAACCATAAAAAATTCTACAATTCAATTAAATTGTTATAATGATATCATGCTTATTTAAGGGAAGCTTTGAAAAATATAAACACAATTAATCAAATTTAAGAGTATTTGAAATTTTTAGTCTCAAATTCTTAACATTCATAAATAAATACAAACACAACGCACCAAAAAGTTATTAGGAATTAAAGATTTTATTTTAAAAAAAGAGAGATTACTCATTCTATTTTATCTAAATGTGTCTTGTATTGCAATCAATTTTGTAAACATAGTTACGAAAAGATGAAGACTACAATATAAATAAGGATACTCGAGTTTCAAATGTGAAATTATAAGTGAGTAAAAGTGAACACAGCATTGTCTAAGATCTATATTAAATGGAATAAGTCAAAAACAATATCATACCACTCTTAGTATAAGTAGGATAATTTAAATTGTAGTTTTGGAAATCTTTCAAAGAAGGCAAATTTTCAGAATATTCTTAAATTGAGAAAGAAGTTAAAAAATTATAATCATTGCGTGACAACCTGATTTTTTAGTTTAACGTATATCAACCCGTATTTTATCATAATGGGAGAACCTTCAATGTTTAATTTCTAAAATTTAATGCTTTAATTAATCTCCTCTTATTTAATAACTTAAGAAAGTACTTTGAAATGGAGAAAGGTAATTTATGTGATTATTAATATAATAGAAAGGAAAGAAATCCTATAATTTGAAAAAAGTATGAATTCCTTTGAAATAACAAATATCAATTTCTTTAAAGGCGAAGCCATCTCTGTAAAGGTATGCATAGCATTTGGCCCCAATATTGGAAAAGTGATGAATAAAGTGATCTCTCCTTTGATTCCAAAGTTCTTTGGATTTGGCCATTTTCAACATCCACTAAATTAGTTTATTGATTATACTAAGGGCAACATAAATCAGTTAATGCCAGCTTGGCTTGAACCAGTTCATGATGAAATGATGCAAAATTATATTAGAAGAGGTGTAACAGCAAGGATAGGCAAGTATTTCCAAACCTTTGCTAAACTATATGATAAAACATTAATTAAATGTCAAGTCTATTTGGCTCATAATTTCAGTTAAGAATTGGAAGATGACTTTACAATGATTGGATGTCTGAAGTCCCTTGAAGAAGAATAGCCTAAATTTATAGGGGAAGATGGAAAACGATTGAAAAACGTAGCATTCAAAGGGTATTAATACGTATTGTTTGATTTAAATGGAAATATTATGGGGATTACTAGGGGTCTTTATAAAATGATAGAGAAAATGTAAAGATTAGTTGTTAATAAAGGAACATATCATGAAATAGATGAATTTAAATCAAGCAATAATATATCAAAATCTGAATCTTCACAAGAATCTGAGAGGTAAATGTAATTTATATGATAAGTTACAATGCATTCGATTAAAAATGGTCCAATATTGAATTATCTATCGATGATTTCTATCAGAAAGTGTTAATTTGGATGATTCTACCATTTATTTCTAGGGAAATAGAGTCAACTGGCATAGAATTCTTAATGAATGGATAAATTCCTCCAAAAAATAGATATTAGAATCTAACTGATCTTGACATCAGTAATCTTTTAGTGTAAAATAAAGAAACCTATTTATTTATTCCAGAAGATATTAATTTATTTGTTTAATAATATGAAAAAATACTTTAAAAAATATTTGATGATGTGAGAGTTTAATCCAATAACTTTTCCTCAGGAAGTGCATATAAGGTTTCAAAAAGTGAGTATCAAGAAATTGAACAATTCAACACAGTAAGTATTTTCAACGAAAAATTATGTGCATTCTTTTACGATGAACATTTGAAAAGACATTAAACACTTAATTTTGGTCAAACAAGGTAATCTGAATTGCCAAAAACCTAAGGTAAACCATCATCACGATCTTCTATACAAGAAAAACAATTATCAAATACTGAAAGTTAAGAGGACAGCGAACAATTGAAAACAAGGGCAGAAAGAATATATCAAGACAGATATTCAAGATATATAGAAAAATTTTCTCCATAAGATTTTCATCCTGTTCCGGTCATGTATTCTGTTAGTTATGAAGAATTTCGCTATAGAAAAAATGAAATTGATCAAAAATAATAAATTTTTGTTGTTGAATTGGTAGTAAACGAATAATAATTACTGAATACAGAAAAGGGATATAGAAGACAATTGAGAGATACAATTAAGTAAATATATCAAAATTATCAATCAAAAAAGCAACTATTAGAATAATAAACTGATGATGATGATTCTATAAGTGTACAAGCTAATTTTAGTGAAGAGAAAAGTGTACATGATAAAGAAATCACAAATTATCAATTTCCTTCTCATCCTTCACATTATTTTGATGATGCATACACTTTTGAAAATAAAGAAGTCTTAATTACTGATTAAATTTTCAGTCCTAAATAAGATGACAAGGGTGAATTTTATTTGTTGAGTAACCGATCAAAATAAAGCAAACCTTTGTTAGAAATAGCTGAGAAAAACAGTAAAGAATCCAAGAGAAAGAATTAAGCTTCAATGTAATCAGAACATAGTGTGGGGGATGCATAATTTAAAGGGTCAAAACTCAATATTACCGAAAAAGAGATTGCATAAAGTGTGTTTATTAAATTCAATTAAAGAAAGTAACAGTAAGAGTTTTATAACGAAAATGAGTCTAAACTACCTCAAGAAAGCAAAGATACTTAACAATAGGTTTTTGAAGAATATTAAGTAAAATATTCAGAAAATTTAAAATTGTTTGAAACCTAATATAATCTAGTCTAAGCTTAACTGAATATCATAAGTAATCCATATGCATATAGAATATAGAAATATTTATTTTCAGCTACTTTTATTTTGATAGTTTGTTTTATCATACTCATTTCAACATCCACTTAGGGATTGTATGATTTAACCGATTGCCTCAATCTTATTGAATTAATGATTGCAACGCAAACTTCATTCTCATAAATTTCACATAGTCTTTATCACAATGAAATTACAAGTCAACTGCAAATCAAAGATATGGATGTGTTAAAATAGTTTTATTCCAATCAATTTTTTGGTTAACTCCAAGAACTAATCAATATATAAAATGATTATGCAATCAAAATTAATTAAGCCAACTTATACGTTGAACAGTTTTATGACATTGAAAATAGAATTTAATAAAATACAACTTTATAGGAAGTAATCCAATTAAGTCTCGGATAATTCTACAAACTTAAACAAAATAATAGTAATCATTCATTTGTATTCGATGCTTCTCTGACATCTTCGGCAGTTGCTAATCTCAAAGAAATTGGAGAACTACCTTATAAGGCCCACCAATCATGCTATTAAGAAAACCTTAATAATTACACATACTATCAAAACATTCTTATTGTCTTTATTGTAGTTACCTTTTTTTTGGTAATGATGTTATAATTTACTTAAATTCCTCTAATTTCAAAATTAAGGAGAAATCACAGAACTCTCTATAAAGAAATCATTTCAATTTAACCTCTAGAAGTGAATGATGAAATTGAAATTTATGATGTAGTAGTCAATACATTGAAAAAGTCTATCTATGAGTGGATGCTAATAGATTTTGTATAGGAAACTTAAATGTTTGAAATCAATAGACAACGAAGGTCTATTGCTCATACTCCGGGATTACAAAGGATAGACAATCCTGATCTCGGCACATCTCCTAATTCAAATAAGAAGTATAAAAATAAGTTAATGGAAAAATTAAAAAAATCTAAAATGAACCAAAAAAAATACATTACAATATTATTGGCTGGACTCCTTGTAATTTTAGCATATTTCCTTGTCGTCTTTCTTATAATCTTTATGCTATCAAAAGATATCATTTCCAACATTGATACTATATTCTCATCTAAGTTGGCACAATCCTCCATCATTAATTTAATTAATAACATAGACTTATTAGCTTATTCGACTCTATCAAACGGTATTTATGATAACATCATGAATACCAGTGAATTTAAAGATTACTCTGCAATTCTAAGTGACAACTCAACTGACATCTTTTTTGAGAAATACAAGAATTAATTGCTTTCATCTTTCGTGGATGAATCATTATACAATAACTTTAACATTTTGAATGAAAAAAACATTTGCACACAGGAAGTAGGAATAGATTGCTCATTAACTGATTCTATATCGTTAAATCCTGGAATGCTTGCTTATTTTGAATAAGGAATGAAATCTCTCTTAACTCAAGTTAGCACGATTATAGCTCAATACCCATAATTTTATGAGACTGAAAATGTTGTAAATTCTGAGTAAGTTTTCATTGAGTTTTACAATAATTAATATCATATACTTTACATTGATTATGGCAGTGAAATATTGATCAAAGCTTATAAAAAACTCCTCAGCATCGAAAAAGATTTATTTAATTAATTGTTAGATGTATATAAAAAACTATTGCTCGTATTCACATTAAGTGTTGGTCTATTTGGATTGATTATAATTTTCTTCTTGGGAAGATATTTGCTGAAAATTTAAAAGGATTCTATCGAAACATGCCTAACAGCTATTCTACTTGTATCTCCCAAACGATATCTAAGTAAACAATTAGGCCTGATCATCTAAAAGAAATTATGATTCATGCTTATTAGACATATTGATTAGATAACAGATTAATCCAATTCTTTTATATTTATTTTATAAAGTTAATTCATTCGAAATAAATTAAAAAAGAAATTAATAAATTAATAAATGAAACGCGCCTCGTCTCTAACTAAATAGTCTTCACAGACATCCAAAATTAGTACTCAAACCTCCTTTAAATAAAATCAAAAATATTAAAATGTAAGATCAAAGTACAAAGAACCGAAAAAGATTCCTGGGTCAACACCTTATGATCCAACAAATAGTTCTGGGAAATTATCTGCAATATCATAAAATCCATTTAGAATAGTAATAAAATTTAGTATGACAAATTTTGCTGATTATATCAATTTAAAGTAAGTATGTTAAAGATTTTTTTATGAATTGGAATCCAACATTCATAATTTTTAATACATAAATCCTGCATAGTTTTAGAATGTTAAACAAGTTGTAGAATAGTTGAAGGTGATATATTTTAACTCATAAATAAATCGCTATTCAACTTTTCATGAAAAAATGAACTCTATGTTTTAATATGGAGCAACCAAATTGAATTTGCCTGATAAATTAGTTGAATCCCTTTAACTTAATATTTCAAGTGCTCGGGTAAACAAAAAATAATTCACTCCTTAAATATTATTTAGGAAATTAAATTTTGCTTCTCATTTATACTTCAAAATCTTATTAGATGGGATCCCTATAAATATGAAAAGTGATACTTATGATAGCATTTAAGTTTACTTCAAAATAGAATCAAAATATTTGAATTTATCAAAAGAGTTTATGAAAACCTATGAATGTTAAGAGATTCTAAAGAAATCAATAAATTAAAAAGCCTTTACGTATATGACTGATGGACATTATTTATTCACCTATTTTGAGAATGATAAATAAATGTTATATTTTTTATGGGAGAATTCAACAGTAGATTTAATGTATTATTTTTGGAAGTAATTAAAGCAAAAGTACTTTTGGGTAAATAAAGGACTAATCTAAAAACAATATAAATCAATTATGGAATAAAGATCTAAATAAAATATGTAGAATTCAAGAGCACTTTCAGAATCAAAATAGAAATAATAAGTAGATGATGATAGTGATGATGAGTACATATCATTTTAATTGTAGAAATAAACAACTTTAACATTGCCTTAGATAAAATCGCCTTAATAATAATAACAATAACAACAACAACAACAACAATAACTTCCTCCTAAACCAAAAAAAAAAGTATCAACCTTTTTAAAAACTAAAGTTATTTAAAATAAAATTTAATATGCTTCAATGAAAGATTATATGTATGATTAATAAGATTTTGAATTGATGATCAATATTCATACAGGAATAAAAGGATAAAATTTATTTTACTTTGTAGATACCAAAGCAATGCCAAAATTGGATGAGGATTGTTTATATTTCACATATAAAATGAAAGAACATATTAATCTTTCATATAAATTTTATTTAGACAATAAGTTAGGAATGAAAGAAGCAGTTGAAAATTTGTTTTTATGTGATATCACTTTTAAGGATAGAGACGACTTTAGAATACTATTCAGTGGCTTTGTATAAATGTTTAATGAAGATACAACATCAGTTGCTAAATAATATGATGTCTCTTATATGGATGTAAAAGAGTGGAGGTCTCTTAAGCTGTGGGATGAAAATAGGTTTGAATTAGTAATTTTATTTGGTACCTAACCTTCAGTTATTAAACTTTTAGAACTCAAACTCATTGATATAAATTGATTAATGTTCTTATTAATAAATAATAACGACTTGGAAAACTATCAATTAAATAAATATTTGTCATTTATTTCTCAATTTTGGAAGTCTAAAATAGGCTTAGTATTGCTCAATCCTACTATCGATTTTAGATGAGATCTAAGTCCTTCTATTTGTAGTTTCAGTTTTCATTTTAAAACCTGGCAATCTTTTTTCAGTCGACAATGGTCTAGTTTTACATCATGATTTACTTGTGATCACTTTTTTTGTCAGATCTAGATAAATCATAGCTTTTGAGGTAATATTTATCCTCGTTATCCTCATCCTCCTAGATTAAATCAGCAGGTTTGAATTCATCAAGTACAATTAATTTTGGATCTAATGAGTCCAACTTTTCCCAATTCACAATTTAATGAGAGTTAGCATTTAATCCATCTTTTTTTAGTTTTCTTTCTTTATAGCTGCTTGTTTTCACATATAATGGTTCAAATAGAATTGATCTGGATCTAGACTAATTAGTTTGAACTATTAATTTCTCTCTCAACTATTCCTACTTACTTTTTTTCCAATCGTCAATTAATAGTTTTTTTGATTTAAGTTAATCTGTAGAATGATTTTCGTATCTTTAACAAGATAGGCCTTCAGGTTTACGAAAACCTGGTTGATCCTTACTATTGAAAGGAATATAGAGAGACTTGAATTATTTTCGAAATTCTTATGTGTCTACTTTCATCAATTTATAGAGCATATTCTCGGCTACTTTAGGTTCTTTATCGAACATTAATTATGAAAGCTCTTGTAATAATTGTAAAAAACTCATGTAAGTAATTTCGTTTTAATTTTTGTTTACTCTTCTGAATAAGTTATTCTAAATGAATTATTTAAATTAAATACTAATTCTTTGAAAGATAAATACTTAGCCTTCGCATTATCATCGTTGTAAATCGTGTTTTTAATAAGAATATTAGAATTGGGAGGCAAAATATTTTTTGATAATTTGCTAGTTTCATCTATTTTAGATTATGTCTTAATGTGATGAATCCTCCTTTCCAACAATCCAAACTGTCTACAGAAAATGATAAATTTGCCCTCTGTCATTGTATTTGATTCATGATTAATTCTATTGAAATCATCAGATGGGCCACGAACATAAGATATCTTTGAATAAAATTTATATATTTCTTTAAGATGAGCCTGTATTTTAGAATTAGAATAGAAAGACTCATCAGTTTGATTCTACTCTTCAATCAAACTAATTTCTCCAAATTTACTATTATTAACAGTGATTGGATCCAAAGTATTAAATTTTAGTTTATCCAACTAAGTTTCAATAGATGACATAATGCGTTTGACAACTCCCTTGTCTTTTTGATGTGTAATTTAGGTTTCAATTATTTTGTACCTTTCTAATTATTATTCTAAGTATTATGATATGTTAATATATTCATTTTCAGCTTTATTTTGGTTTTAAAATTCATCTTATTTTAATTCACTTTATGCTTATTAATGTCCAAATGCAAATAACTAATTTTTGGTCTCTTCCTTTTTTTACCTATCTGTTCGTTGTTGAATTCCATCCTAATTTGATTTGACATCTGTTTATTCGAGTATATTTAATGAAGTTTTTTCCATCTGCTTATCACTTAGATTAAAATTTTAGTTTAGCATTAATAAAAAGAGAGTAAATGAAATTTTATTTATTATTAAATCAATTGACACTCTGTCTAATCATTATGTTAAATATATTAATGAAATATGTTTATATTTGTTAGTTTATATATTACAGTCAAAATCAAACTCAACAGTGTAAAAAAAATGTATGATAATATTTTAACTCAGAACTAAACTAACTAGAAGCAGACTGGAAAGTGGTCAGGAAGGAGGACATAGTAATGAATAGGCTTATTTATTAATATAATTGATAAATGAATAAATTATCAAATGAAGGGATTGCTTTCCTTGACTTTGTCAAATAATTCATGATATTTTTCTAATCCTTTCACGTCGTCTTTAGTTGGTACTTGGACCAAGACTACACTTGTTGGCTTTTTAGTTTATGCAGCAGCCCCTAGAAGAATAACAAATTTATGATTACCTAATTCTAATCTGCTTCTCACATAAATGTAGGGAATTCCTAATTCCTCGCATTACAGTGGTAAATGAGATAATACATCTACGGGACTAATGTCAGCAGCAAAGACAACAATTCCAGGGGTCTTCTTTCTCAATGCCTTTCCGACTTCCTTCACTCCTCTTTTAATATGTTTAATGGTTATTTCTAAATCATCAATACATCATTACATCTGGCAATAAATCTAAGAAGTCCTTTCTATAATTTGCTGTTGGCTATTGGATTGGCAATGGGAGAGACGTAAAATGTTTATTCTGCTTCTGTCATAAATTAAAAATATAAATAACCATAAATTAAAATAAAATGAACCTATTCAGACGAGTTTGCATCCCCTTATTGAGATAGGTACCTAAAATTGCTACTCCAAGAGTTGTGGCACTATCATTATTAACTTCTCACTTAATTTTGTTTCCCAAGAAAGTCAATGCATCTACCGTACCCAATCCAGAAGGATCAAACAATGGTTTCAATAAATACGAAAAATTCTCTGATTAAATTTATGAATAAATTCATGAAGTAAATTCGTAGTGTTAATTAAGACTCACGATATAGTCATCGTAGTGGATCCAGATAGATTTGTAGAGCATTTTTTGGATGAATTGCTTCAAGTGGTTGATCAAGTGGTGAAAGTGTAAAGAGTAAGGTCAAAGAGACCCCTAAAAGTATTGACTTTGAATGAACCGATCACAGAAAAATTGGTAAGGGACTTCGAGTAAAAGTACAAAATTACAATTGAATAGGATACTATTATGCTTTTGAAGAATAAATATATTTAAAGGATATATAACTTCAATGCAAATGATTATTTTGAGAACAGAATTCTTCTGATCAATTATTTTAAGAAGATCAATAAGTTAACCCAAAAAAAGTTAAATGAATTTGAGTAAATTCTGTCATATCTACCATCCACAGAAACTGCAGTTTTGGTTTATGCTGACAAATCATCACCATAATACAAGAATGTTTAGACAAGGTTTTGCATTATGCAATAAAATGATAACTATCAAAAGAATGAAAAATTGCATTGGATTCTGATTGACAAAGCTGTTGCTGAGAAATTGGGTGTCGAGAACATTTAAAATGGGCAATTGTTTTTCTTATAGAAGAGCAGTAAATTAAATAACTTCTAATCTTCAATAACTATAAACAATAAAAAGTTGCTAATTACACCAGCAGGCACTTTAGGAGGCAAATCGGTGGACAATGTAATGGAAGACTTGACATCGGCATATAATGATGTAAATGTGTTTTCAAACAGAAGCTTTGGTAAGTCTTTTACCAAGTATTCAATTGTGCTAGAATTGGATTTGAATAAGATACCAAAACATGAGGAAACTAGATTAGTAAAGGCTTTTGGAGAATTGAAAAAACATTTAAAGGAAACAAACCCTGAATTATTGTAAAAGACTGAGTTTGTCTATTTGAATAAGACTCCAAAAGATAATCATTTGGGTTATTAAGTATATATAAGGGATGATCAAAAATATGGGGATCGTTTGAGACAACATCAAGAAACTGATATCAATGTCATGTAGAAGTTAAGTGTATTCAATGAGTTTGGATAGGCTCATAGTTATATCTATAGATTAGATGAATAAATATAGGTAAGCAAGGATTCTTTGATTTCATTTTTTATGGCTGTAAAAAATGGACATGCAAGTGAATATTTTTAAACTCAAGAATAGCCTAAATACAAAAAGTATTCCTTAAAATTAGTGGGTAAGACATTTTAAAAAGAAGTGATGGAAAGCAAGAAAGATTTTGCAATATTTTAATATTCAAAGAATTGTCATGCATGCGGAGAATATGGTTAATATTATGAAAATTTAGCATTGGAATCATACAAATAAGAAAATCCTACTATGATTTTTGGAAGAATGAACAATGATCACAATAAACCATCATGTATCCAAGATTTCCCATACACACCAGTGTTTATGGTCTGTAAAAAAGGAATTCAACATATTCCATATGTTTATAGGTAATACTAAAATTTAAATGAAGAAACCAGAAATTCACTCCAGAGCTATTGAAAAGCTTTTTCAGCGTAACAAATGCCATTAATTTAATTCCTGAAGATTAATTTTAAAAGTTGTAAGCTGACAGAGCTTTGTTCACGTAAAATCAATGAGTATTAATAATTTATGATTTATTCTTTATTTATATTACCGCATAATATTAAATATATTGTGTTCTTTTTGCATATATTTTTATTAAACTCAGATCTACTCTCTCATAATTTGAGTACGGAGTCCAAATACAATTTAAGGGCATTTCCTGCAAACTTAGAGTCAGGTATTTTTTGTGTTGTTCCATACAATGCACCCATATCACCTCCTTTTCTGTATTTTGATGGATTAGCTTTGATCTAAAATTAAGAATAAATTTACTTCTTAAATTGCTTCTTTAATTTCTTAAACAAACTGCTTTAGATTTTGAAGATTCTATTGTGTAACGCTAATGTGTATTCCATTTGGATTTTGAGTTGTATTGAGGTTCCACCCTTTGGAAGTGAGGATTTGATGTATTGAATAGACATTAATGTTTCCTTTGCTTTTAAAACAAACACAATTGACTTTTGGTTGACCACAAACTTCTAATTCTGGTATTTCATTGATTTATTTGGCCAATTAAATTGTGGCATTGATAATTTATTTACTCAATTCAGCATATTTCTTTCTACCTATAGCCAACATAGTGAACCAGGCTCCAGCAGCCCCAATTCCTGTTTTAGAACCTTAAGTAGTTGGCACTGCATAAGCACCACCTGACCATGTGGCTGTCGAAAAGAATGCATACTGTCTCAATTAACGAGTTTTAAATAAAACTGTTGAAACACCTTTTGGTGCCAATCCATGTTTGTGTTGATCGCAAGAAATACTGGTAACACCATCTAAAGTAAAATCAAACTTTCCGTAATTCATTTCTTTGGCGAATGCAACAATGAATCCACCCAAACAAGCATCGACGTGAAAACCTATCTTCTTTTTCTTAGCAATAGCTGCTAATTCTTCAATTGGGTCTTATGTTCCATATGGGAAGTTGGGCATTGATCCTACAATACATATTGTATTAGAATTTATATGGGATTTAAGATCCTTAAGATCAACACTAAATGTTTTTTAATTAACTTTAGCTGTTCTCACTTAAATCTTAAAGTACTCTGCTGCTTTATAAAATGCTGCATGAGCTGTTTCTGGAATCACACTTAAATAACTAATAAAATTACATATTGGGTTAAGTGATGCCTTTTTCTGTTTCTGCCCAATTGCGATAGGCAAGAATGGCTAACAATATTGATTCAGTGCCACCTGTAGTTAACATTCCAATGCTCTCCTTTTCCTAACCGAATAATTCTCCTGTCATCTTTATTACTTCTGCTTCCAATTGTCTTGAAGCTGGCCATAAATCAGCATGCATAGGGTTGGAATAGATAAAATTCTTAGTAAATTCTTAACATTCTTCAATAAATTTGTGATCATTGTGGACATAAAGTGAGCCAGATATTTTACCACTGTAATAATTCTTACTATCACGTTCAATCCAACTTTTCAACCTTTCATTTATTTTATCATAACCCATACCATTTTCTGGTATCTTAAATGTTTTATTGGTGGTGTGTTTATCAAGAGAGTGTGCAAAAGATTTGAGTGCTTCTTCTTTCTTTTTTTCCAAAAATGATGAGACTCCAGGGCAATAATTTATTAAGCCCATAAATACCTACGATTTAACAAATGACCAATAGCCTCAATTAGAATGATATTTTACTTTGATTGTAGTCTCTACTTGGCAATCTGATGCGATTTAGGATGAAATGCAAAATAAATGTAATCAAGAACCCAAATATGACTATATCGAATTCATCCAGCTGGGTTTACCACTTAATTGAGTTTTTGAGTGATGAATAGACCTGCTTTAGAAAATCTATTGTTTAATACATATAATTAAAAAATGTCGATTATGAATCATAAGAAGTCTTAATTAGAAAAAGGAACTTCGTAAGAAATGGAATACAAGTTCAAAATATCACTATTTAACGCTATGCATAATATCATACAGAATAATCTCTGCAATACTTTCATTTATTGTGTGCTGCTAAGCATTGAAAATCTGTAACTAATGTACTATCCCATTCATCCAGTTATAGATTTTTTATGGGATAATTAAGGACTGAATTATTTCAGGATCATTCTCCGTTACTTTCAATTCAATTATCTTATAGATTAAGGCGTAACCATATTCATAATTTTATTATACATTTCTTTTGGAGTAATGGTGATTATAGGTTTGATATTCTTCATTAGTTAATATTCATTAAGCCAATTAAAATATCAAGAACAACAATCTGGATTGCTTGTTTTTAATTTCAAATTGTTGTCCTTGTTACTTATTATTTTGAATACTATATTGGCACTACCTTTTTATAACATCTTTTTGGCTACTATCTATTGCAGATCAGATTCAGCTGCCGGGGCTGATTTGGGTTGCTATGAAGGCATTCACATTTTACATATGATCGTGGCCATAATTGGAGTGGTGTTACTAATATTTTTTCATTTTTCCACAACATTGTTGTATTTTGATTTGAAGTATAGATTTTATTGATAAAAGTCCAAAATCAAAATTCCCTTTCAATGGCTATTAATCTGATGCTGAATATGCTAGGATGCTTTTTAAATTCGTAATTCCTTTTCTAATAATTTTTAATGCTCCAGGTACTTACAACAGTGAAATGGTTGTGTTATTTGGAGTTGGGGATCTCATCCTCCTATTCTCTAGGTACAATTACCCGAAAGGATACAATAATTTCATGTATTTATGAATAATTTGATAATTAGACATTTCTACAAAATCACACTAGAAATAATAGTTTTATGGATCAATATCTGTGTGATAATTACTGACTTCTTGGATACTGGATCACCTGATGGTATGGGTTTATTATACTTATTTGTTTTGATACCATGTGTAGTATTTGGAGGATTGTATGCTTTCAAGACTATTCTAAAAGAATCGATGACATTTTCAATTAAAAACCTGAAAAATGAGGAAGAGGCAGATAACTATTTGAACACTCTTTTATAATTGATTTTGGATCGGTAATCTCCAGACACTAAAATAAAGTTGATGGGAGTATTAAAATTACATTATGTATCTTGTACAAAAACAGGGTGTGCATGCAAATCATTAATTTCATAAGACCACAAGAAGGAGGAGGTTAATCAAGAGAATTAGAATTGGATGAAGTTTTTGGTATCCATTTTGGATGACATCATGGCTGATGAAAAATTTAAGGAGAATGCTCGATTCAAAATCTTTTATGCTTATTTATGCAATGACGAATTAAAAAACAAATACAATGCTCTACATTATATGATGAAGGCTGAAGATACAAAGAATCATACTTTAAGAGATGAATTTTGTTTATTCCGTTTCAAATAACATATAGAATATGAAATGCAAGAGGACTCTGAGAAAGCTCAAGATATTGATGTTAATTCAATAGTCTTCTTCTAAAATCAATTGGTGGTTCTAACTAGTATGATATAAAAGAGTGCAGAGTCACACTTAGAATTTTGGAGAGAACTGTAAGAGGATTATCCAAATATACTAAAGTTATAGAATATTGGAATGAAAGTATTGCAATAGATTGATCTCTGCGATGAAGCATATCAGGAACTGGTGGAGATCAACAATAACAATTTAAATTTATTAGAATTTTACAATGCTTATTTGCAATAGGTAGTTCATGATAAGGAATAGCATGAGCAATTATCTTAACAGATTAGTTAAATTAAGAAAGCTATATTTTAAAGAAGGCAAGGAGTAGGATAAGAGTCCAGGATAACTGAATCGCAGGAGACGATAATCATAACAATGAGTGGAAATGTGGGTAGTATAGGAATAGTGGCCAGTTGTAATAATGAGATCTAAAAGTCTTTGGGTTATCCTGCTTCAGATTTATTTGAGTCGAATGTAAGCAAGATTATGCCCAAAATCATAGGGGATCAACATAATTAGTTAGTGGAGAATTATATGAAAACAAACAATTCCAATATCATAGGAATGGAACGATTTGTACTTGCCTAGAATAGTCAATCATTTTTGGTGCCTTGCAAATTGATGGTCAAAGTATTACCAAATTTAGATAAAGGTATACTTTTAGTTGGATTTTTAAAGCCATTAGAGAAATTGCCTGGAACTCATTATATGATATATGATGCAATTTCATAGCAAATTTTGAATTTTAGTGAATCAATCAAAGAACTAGGTATAAAAATTTAGAATATTGCAATCACAAGTGCTTAAGAATAATCTAAATTCTCATTTGGAGCAGTGTTTAAAGAATTGGGTGATATTATAAATAACCCTCTAAATTAAAACGAATAACCATTAAAAACCTTGTTGTATAAGTAAGAGGGTGATATATATTCTGTTGAAACCACTATAAATATTAAACAAATTAATGATACTCTGGTGTAAATCAACCATGATCAAGAGAATAAGAAGTTGGGAACCTCTGCCATAGAATAAGAGAATATTTATACGAGCTATGATTACAAGAAGGTTAAGTTAGAATTAATAGAAGAGAGATTCCCATTGGCAGATGATGGTCAACCAGCAGGAGGGAGTATATATCATATAATAGTGATTCGAGAGGACATTGATTAGGAGAAGATCAACTATGGAAAATCATCGATAAAACAGAGATTGGATGAGACCAAAAATATGATAGTCTAATAAAAATCAATTGAAGAAGAAGAAGACTAATAAAAGAATCATCAATCTTCAATTGAGGACGATCAAGAAGAAAATAAGTAGACTAAAGATATTAGAAGTGCTTTAGAGTAATCCAAAACTCCGAAGTAGATCATTTATCTTAGATATTTGTCTTTAATTTTATTCCTATCAACTTTGGCCTTGTCTATAAGTAAATTGGTGTTGTCTTTGCAATAATCAGTTTTAGTGGATGAGGGTGTAAGTGCCATTCGTTAAGCACATCGGAGACATTCATTAATGGCAGACATTAATTTATACAGTCGGTATTTACACTTAACATCCTTTGGATATTTTGATTCATCTTTAGATGGCGCATTTAAAGCGAATATAAGTGTGTTAGTTGATAAGTTATAAGTGATATAATTCGATATGATTGAGTTTAGAATTAAAGTAGAAAGCCGAAGTGGCTAACAAATGGACGATGATTAATATGATGTAGTGTTTCTGCTTTCAAATAATGAAACAAAATTATATGGTAACATATTTAACGATGCTATCTTTGCTTATATTACATCTGCTTCTTCTTTCAAAAAGGCCACTCTCTCATAATTTAATGATTCCACTAATTCTAGTAGTGTTGCTAAGAATTTGTTTTATGTAGTGGAGAATGGTTTAGATGTTCTCAGAAATGGATCTGAAAGAATAGCAGATAAATTTTATGATTTTTATTTTGAACAAGTAGATTCCCAAACTATCAATGCTGTCATTATTCTAATCACAGCCTTAGTTATCATAGTTATTTGTGAAGTCATTTATGTGCCTATTTTCATGAGCATCTTCAATGAACGAAAACGATTAATCAGTTATTTTGGCATGATCTCAAATGATGACATCAAGAATTTAATTGATCAAGGAGATACATTTATTCAAGATCACATCACAAAATTTAAGAGTTCTGATGAAATTTATTAGGTTGATTAGCCTCAATAACAAAATTAAGTTGAAAGCTCTTTGAATTAAGATCAAAGTCAAGATGTGATCGAAAGTCCGAAAATAAAAGTGGAAAAGGAGTAGAGGAAATCCCTCTTTGATTCATCAAAGGAAAAACATCAAAGAATCTATGAAAGTCAAGGAGGTAATCATTATCTATTAATATTTTCATTCATCTGTATTGGTTCACTCTTGATGATTGAATATATTGTTATGTACGTCTTAGAAGATCAATCAATCAGCGATGCAAAATTAATAATGGATCATTACCTGTACATCTCTCGACGAGCAAGCATTATTAAATTTAATATACTGTTCACCTTGGAATCTCTAGTTAATAATGGCTAACCCAGAGTTTACATGGAAAATGACCTTAACAAATATTATAATGAGAAGGTGTATTCAAATGAACAGGATCTATTCAAGACTTTAATTAACACCTATCCCTCTTCATTTGATGATTACTTTGCCTTCTTCAACAATGTTAATTTCTTGAATGTCTGTGAGCATATTACATGGATCAAAACACTCTAATTGATTACACAATCCTTCATTTTTGTGGATACAGTTGATAATTTTACGAATTATACCTTCTCCTCATCAGAATTAGATCTAGAATGCAATACAGTAAAAGAAGGAATCCTTACGAAAGGGTTAAGAGATGCCATTTTTTTAGTTGCTTTGAGAAACAATGAACTGCTGGCAAGGTTTTCAAATTTGCAAGACAGTTTGAATTAATTCTAAATACAAGAGCTATTGCGTAAATACATTTTGCCTACCTTTTGGGAAAATAACAACATTTTCTAAAGTTGCTTTTATGAGTAAGGAATTTTAGTTTATATTAGTTTCTTGGATATTCGTGATTCAATATAGATCTATAACTTCGTTGGGTTTGTTGGGTTTTTAATTTTGATATTTTTATTTTTGTGGATCTCTTATCTAGCTAAAGTTCAAGCTGGAATTCAATAATAAATGAGAATGCTCACTCTGATACCAGATGATCTAATAGATAAATATGCAAAACTCAAAGAGGCTATAGAATTTCATGTATTAGGAATTCAGCAAATGTAATAATGAAATAATCATATAATAATAATATAATTATGTACAACCCAGTTGAGTATTATTACTCAAATGATTACTATGTGACTCAAATCACTAAACCAGAAACTACTAGAAATAATAGTTCCTATTCACCTAGAAAACTCATCATGGGATATTGGAAGAAGGATTACAAATCCTTTATTAAACAAAGGACAATGAATTTGGAATCTAAGGAAATCCAGCCTCATTCAGCTAAGCAAAAAGGTATGAAATAATCATTCACTCGATTGGCAGAATCTATTTTAAATGCTAGTAATTGTTTTGAAAATATCCCAAATAGATAGACAAAGACAGATAGATTTGTCAAGAAATTGAAAAATAATATCACCACTCCATCGCCATAACATTCTAAAGGGCATAATTATGATGTTCGCAAAATTCCAGGTCGACTTTATAAGGGATCGCTTCTCAAAAATTTTGATAACACTACAAATTCATTTGAAAAGTCTTATATTTTGGATTCAAAAAAGGAATTTGGATATTCTTCAATGAGTCCAAAAACTACAAAGAAAGATCAATGTTCAGAATAACTTAGATAAAAGCATAAGCAAATTTCAAATACAGAATAAGTAGTAACACCTTACAAAGAACTTAAATAATAACTGACAATAAGAAGATCGACATTGAATAACACAAACTCTACAATCTCCTTAAAAAAAACAATTTATAATGTTGTTGATGAAAAATTAGAAGGTATGAAACTAGAATCCCTATTAATAAAACCTTGTCCAAATACTATCAACAATTTGGTGATGATTCAATTTGAAAATGTGTTAGGCTATGATGAATCTAGTTTTTTTGGGTTATAACCTGATTTTGTCGGAAGCAAATAATATGAAGAATATTTAATATTGAGGGATCATTATTTTTAAAGAGCTACATCCACTTCATCCTTTTATGTACACAAAAACATCAAAGAACTTTTTAATTCTATATCTAGAGTTTATCAGATAGGCATTTATACACTCAATTATTCATCACTTCTCAAAGATCTTATCAATGAAAAAAAACTAAAAATTAATGGTGCTTTTTCAATATCTGATTACAAAATAGACACATTTGTAATCGACATTACTACAGTCTTAACCAACTTTAAAATTAAGAATCCTCAATTATTAATATTTATTCAACCTTTCTAATTACTCAATTAATAGGAATTCTTTATACCGAATCATACCAAAATTCCTTATTATGATTACTATGGATAACGATTCTTCATTCCTTTCACTAAATCAATCCACCCAAATTAATATAGACTGTTAGCTTTACCAAGTTTGTAAATGCAAAATTTATTCAAAAATGAAGAGCAAAGTAAAGGATTTTCATAGATTAATTATTTTATTGAATAATTCACTCTTGCTTTGTAAAGCGAAAGTAACTTTGCCTAGTTTCTTAGCAAGAGTCAAAATAAAGTTAGATGCATCAATCAATCGTCATATTTTAGATAATTAAAACAACGATTGTTATAATCAGTTTATTTTATTGACACTTTAAAACTTAATCAAGATAAATGTGACGAAATCAAATTTAAAAAAAAAGAAAGCAATGATAAATCATCAAACAAGATTGAGAATATAAAGCAAATGGAGATTTTGAACAACGACATAATAAATAGAAACAAAGAAATACTTGAAAAACTTAGGAATTTCAAATGCAACCCCCAAAACAATCTATCATAATTGCATTCAGAACTACAGTAACAGTTGATTAGATTAAATTACTGTGAAATGTTTGTTGATTCTTGCTACTACTTGCCCTATTGATATTTATTGATTTTTATTTGACTTTTATATTTTATACATACTCTGCAATCATTTTCTAAATAAACCATTTCTAATATCTGGCAAGAACTCCTACAATGAGAGTTCCAATCTATCATCAAGTGTATTTGAGCATACTATTCGACTATTAGCACAACTAAGCACAACTCCTCCCAAACTACAATCAATCTTATTTATACATTGGTTTCCCACTTTTCTCTGTTAAATATTAGCTTTGGTTGATGCTTAGTGTTGTTTTGAAGTCTTTAGTAGTCTCTTTTTTGATAATCTATTGAAATTCCTCTTGACACACTCCCAAAATTGATCTCACCAATGGCACATCCTATTCCAAACATGTTAATTCAATACGAGGTTCCAATAATTTAATCATGCCTTACACAATCAAATTTTTCAATAGTTCCTTATATACACTTTGATCTTAGATCAATTAGGACATTTTCTAACGAACTTCTTCCTTGAGCCTTTGAATCAACTCAAAGCGAGCTTGCATCTTCGATAATCTTGATTAATTGATCTTTGATGATCGCTGACTAAAAACACTACTCAAATAATATTACATTCTTTTTTCGATTGTATATGACTCTATTTTCCTTTTATACTCCTCAATGATCCTTTCTTTCTATTAATTAAGAAGCTTATTTTTTTCAATTCTGAATTATTGAGCAGCATTATCTTTAATTTATTCAGCCTTCTCTGTAGCCTAATTGGATTGTAATAACATTCACCTCTGCTTTGATGGCATTGACCATTTTCTTGACTCTTTCTTGAGGATTAAAATCTGCCATATTAATTAATTTATTGTAATAAAAATCCATTCATTTACGTAATTCGTAATGATAAAACCTTCGAATTTATTCTCAATGTAATTGCTAGAATCAATTAAAGAGTAAATAAAATATTCTATGTAAAATTAATTATTATATAATTTACTTATCTCTTTTGATTCTTATTGAGAGTTTTTTAAATTATTGTTTATTAACACCTTTTTCGTAATATATTGGCAGAGCAGAACAAGTATCATTATTGAATTACTTGATTGATCGACAATGCCATTTATTCACTATTATGTAATTTCAGTACTTAATTTAATCATTCTTGTACTTGCTAAGACTTATCATAATTTGAGTAGATTGTAAATACTTACATAGATGTATACCAATCTTTTCATTAATAGACTATTTGGATTATCATTTAAAAAACGGATTGGGTAATTAATGATTATTTGGCATTTCATTTATATGATAAAGTAAAAATCCATTTGCTTATTATCTTTGATATTAGGGCTAGTATGTTATTCGGATATAACAATCATTACAAATGAAATTATGTACATAGGTATTTGCAATGGTAAAGTAGTAATGTAGATCGATATAAAAATATATGATTATTGGAAAAAAACAAATAAATATTTCATTATTTTGTCATTGTAATGAATTCAGTTTGAATAGTTTCCCATAGGAAAGACATCAATAGGTTATTGGAAATTATATTGACTATCTTCAAAAGTTTCGGATTCACTTTTGATCAGATTTACAAAATTTGCTGAATGAGATTCAGAAATATTTTCCTTCCATTATACAATTTACTTATTTTTTGAATAGACTATGAATAATACTAGTAAATATTACATTCACCTCGCTTTTGGATTAAAGAGAGAATTGATTATTCTTAATCAGTTGCCTTGGTCTGCATCAAACTTAAGGATTCATAATGTTTTTAAATCCTCAAAGGTATGCTTCTATGCTTCTTTATCTTTTTCTGCAGCTTGATTTGAAAGAAGCCCTCAGATTCATCGTCTTCAATCATTTTTTTATTAATTTAATGTCTAATATCTATGGGGATATCTTAGAGAATTTAACTCATATACTTTTAAAGATATTAGCAAATAATCCATATTAATGACTTATTGTCAAAAGACAATTATTACTCGTATAATTTTCGAGAAGAGATGGAACCATCGGGAAAACACAATACTTATGGAGATAATAACAAATGGTAGAATATATATATTCGATTTATTGTGTAATTACTAACATATTTCATTGGGATTGCTATCATTTGAAGAAATATAATTTATCCTAAATATAGAAGTGAAAGATTACAAATTTAGCAAACAATTCTTTGCTTTAACTGGAATGTGTTGTAGAATTATAAATGAGATGCAAATAATATCCAATCTCTTCCTTGACTCTCTCTTACCACAAAGGATACTCCTTCAATTGATCTAAGAGGTCTATGTATTTATTGATAGCCTCTTCCAAATGATGCTCGTAGGTCAATGTTGTGTATTCACTTCTAAACCAAGTGTTGTGAGTTGCAATTTCTTTAGTCAATTCCAAGTACAGAGATCTGTACTCCCAAGTCAATCTATGTAGGTCTAGGATGAATGAGTATAGATTTTCAAATTAAACAAATTTCTGTCTTGCCAGTTCATATTAACTCACTTCACTAAGGTTTAGATACAATAAGTTACAAAGATTCCAGTCTGGGATTCCAATTTCTAGCGATGTGAGAATAAAATCTGCATTCATAGTAAGTCATAGGATCTCTTTCTAAGAATCCTTCCTCTGGGTCTTAAAGTCCAGCCTTGCACATCTCAGTCATAATCCTATCCACTTGCACTATTGATGAGTCGATCATAATCAATACATACATGAGTAATTGATCACTCTACTTTTGACGAAATAGGAAGCAAATCTGGTTATGATGGACATCCTTATTAGTTTAATAAATTTATATAAAATCTTAAAACTATATTCGTATTTATCAACCTGAAACCCTTGTGCTACTAAAATAAATTTCCCCTTTCATATATATATTATATTTAATTTTAGAGCAAAACAGAAATAAAATGGGCCCAGTCTGTACTGCCCAAAAGCGCAAAAACAAAGCTCAAGAAGAAAAAGAAGCAATTCGAAACTCCAATTAACCCTGTCTCGAATCTACGTCCTTAGCCGCTGGACAATCCCTACCATTAGAATTGAAGAATTAATCTGGCGTAGAAGAGGCTGTTTAAAACCTTATGTAGCTCTTTAAGAGATTCACTATGTTTCTAGAACTAGTTGGCAATCTGTCTTAACTACCTTAGCACACTAGAGATAAACTAAACAATTGTATAGCGATCAAACAAAATATTTCCATTATTATTCAAAATAATGTGAAGAGAGTCATGAGAGAATAACAAATCATTAAACGAATAGATGAGTCAGATTATTACCTCATTTTTAATGACCGAAAATTTGCTAGCACATTCAATCAAATGATGTCAAAATTAGCCAATCTGGTCTTAACTGAACTTAAACCAGACGAAGATTTCTAAAATGCCTTCCCCATATTGGCAGTGTCATTTGAAGAAGAAGCCCAAAAAATTAATAACATAGTTGAAAAGCTGAAGAACAATATAATTGTTTCAATTAGAAAAGGAAGTTCACAGCATTCAATCTCCATTAATCAATAATAATCAAATAGAAAAGCTTCACAGTAATGAATTTATTCATTTATTAATCTTTCCATTAACTTTCTTCATTTATTTTGCATCTTGTTTTTCATCTAGTCCTATTTTACAAATGTATTAATTATGTTATTTATATTGCTCCTATAATATGAATTGCTAATGATTAAAACTAAACAACTGTTAAAAATCACTTGTATTTATGATACAAAATCTATCACTTAGGTTAAATATTAGCATATTGATTTTATAGATATGATAATAGAATATTATTTAATAAATGGTTTCTTGAAATCAAAATGTAGCTTATTTTAAACAAGTTTAAGTATATAAGAATTATCCTAATTTATTTTACAATTAAGAATTAAGATTAGATTAACATTGAAATGAGGTAAAGATTAAATCTTAATATTCGGTTAATGAAAACTTCCAATTAATTATACATAAATGTAAGTCAGCAGAAAAGGGAGGCTTTTATAAGGATATATTAATTATATAAAGGTTCTTTGAAAGATAGAAAAATATAGTTTGGTCAAATTAACTATCTCAGAATATATTTCTTAATTAATATATAATTATCTAAAGATATAATCAAATAAACAATCTATTATAGAAGGATATTTAATGAAGTAAGAATGTTGAATATATACGACATACTTACTTAAGCGAATAATAAAATAATCTATATCTCTTTCTTCATTTTTTTTAAGTTAACAAAATTGATCTCCTTCTTACAATTAATTACCAATTAGAGGAATTCTTAAAGAATTGATTCCTGGTGCTTTATTTATCTTAATATGCTGAACCTTATCTTATATTGGAATCATATTTTTATTTATATGGCCTGTCCAATTTTAATTCTTCATCAAAAGATTTACTATTCATTAATTCTACAAATCTCTTCGTAAGCATCTCATTCTAACAATATTTCTATTATCACCTCAACTTATCTAGTCCATCCATTTTTTCAAGAAAATAACTTACAAAATTCTACTAGATAAAATGTTTATGACAATTGTTTAATAAATTAAAATTATATTGGAGTAGGTAATTATTCTGTGTCAACGGATGAGCTAAACTTCATATTTTCTGTAGTTTTGATTTATATAGCAAAAGCATCCATTTCGGATGAACTTTAAGTATTTTTATTTTAAAAAACGGAATATCATTTATAATAATTGATTTAATAATTTAAAGTAGAGAGTTTAGAATTATAATAAAAAATTTGTAGAAAGAATTACAAGAATAAGGACAAATATAAGTTAATATTGTATAATAATGTAAAAAGTTGTATATTCTGTTTACAAATCATTTTCAATAGTAGGTTACTGTGTTTTAATATTGTTTGCTCGTTTTTTATTCATTTATCTTCTTTCCAGAAGTTGGTATCAGATTTTGATGATGACTTAAGACACTCTTGGGAATCTTATTTTTGAGTTATCCATTTGTGAGAATATCATGAGATGGTGGTGATTAGGGTCCTTTCAATTAAAATCCATTCTATGACATTTCATGCATAAATAAATTAGCATCTGTTAATTTTGGAGATTTTGGTGAAGTTGGCTCATTATTTATTTAATATTTATTTAGTTCCTGAACAAATACAACATTCATTTTATCTTCTTACATAGTTACTTTTGGAGATATTTGTTTGTATAAATAACCTGATCTAATTACATTTAATCCATCTCCTTCTTTTGAGGAAAATCGTTTTTATTTTTATTATGATTAATCATCTATCAAATAACATAATATGCTAACTTTTAGGTATCAGTAGTTTTCCAGCACTAGAAACCTTCTTAAGATGAGTGTTATTTGTCTCTGTTTATTTTTAAATACTTTATAGATTTCCCTTTAAATTATTGCCTTCCTTTACCACAATCGACGATTTCCTGCTTCCTGAGTTGATACTTGTAGCTTAGACATGTTCACTCAACCCTCTTTTCTCTATTACTAATTAATTTTTTGGTGACGAACTTTTCATATATATAAGTTATTCTAATTATTCCTAAGGTAATTAACATATTTTTTATAACTTGATGAGAAAATAAATAAAAATATTTCAATAAATCTTAAAATTGGACTTCTGTTGATTTAAGTTCTAATCTCCTTACCCTTTTTTAATTTATTTTACCTAAAGTGTTATCTACAATTTTATACCTTTTATCCATTTTCACTCTATTAAAACACCTTATTATGAGGTTTTAAGACTTTTTGTTCTGCTAATTTTGTCTATTCATAGATTAATCGGCTTTGGGGGTATTTCTTTTTGCCTTCATTTTTGATTGAATTAGCCTTTTGATAACTTGTTAACAAGTGGCGAAAACTATCTTCATATTGAACTCCTCTAGTTCTATCAGTATAGATTGAAAAGACTATTGTTAATTAATTCTTATACATTCATTTTAAATAGGAGAACTTTATAGATTAACGAAAGTCTGAATGGATGATGATTTTTTATGCGTTCGAGAATTTCCGTATTCTTCATTGCCATCATTAACTTACATCTTAAATTAAAAAACAATTTACTTAGCTGATTGGTAAATTTATTCGATGATTGAAATCCTATGATTTTTGAGTACATGCTCTAATTTTAATTAATATTCATTACTTTACTTAGCGTTTGGGTTCTTTGTAGGTACTCTCCTAATTTACATTGTAACGAGTGCTTGATTGTATTCTCGAATGTTGAGGTGAATTGCATTTTTCAATACTTGGATTAATAGTTCTCTAAGTATTTGCTTCTATTTATCGCTTCCTTTCACTTGCTTCATACTTATTTTTTTAGTTTTAAGCTATTTCAGGAGTATCAGAGTAGTCAAAAATCCTTGAAGGCGAACATAGAGTTTTATAAGATTAAGTATTTTTATTCCTCAATCCATTTAGAATAGTTGGGTGAGAATGAGGTTTTGGCTTTGAAAATATCATGGATTTTATACTTAAACTATATTTCCTATTGGGGTTGAATTCTCTGACATTCTATTTGTTAGTTTCAAAAATGAATCATAATTATCGAATTTCTTCATAACAGATAAATTTAATTTTATCAATAATTCTAAGGGCGAGTATAATTATCATTTCTAATTTTATATCCATTCATCTTTCAGTTGAGGGTTTTCTTTAATTTAACAAAAAAACTCTATTTATTAAGGTTGATTTTATTACTTCCAGTGCAAATTGTTAAATTAATTTTATTTTAGAATATTTATAGACAAAATAAATATAAATGAGTAAAATAAAGCTGAGGCTCGCTTAATCCCCATCAGATTCGCAATCTAATCAAGATAAGAAGAATCAATAAAATTAATCATCTGAAATCGAGTAGATGATGTCATCACCAGAGGTTAAAAAATTTGAAGCTTTCTTGTTTGAATCCATTACAACCAAATAGAGACTGTCCATGAAATTTTCTTAATTCACTCCTGTCCCCTCAAAAGTAAGCCGTAAGTATGAGGATGAATTCAGTTGGAATCATAATTCTGATCATTCAAAACAGTGATTTATGATTTAAAATCTATATTTTCCCCATAAGCTCATAATGATTTTCATCTAAATTTTAAATGATACAAACCCAAACATCTTTATACAGAATTTCGAGCAATAATTATTTAAACTCAAGGGACTAATATGCATAGGAAATGCTCATTATTTTTCAATAATTTATCATAGATATTTTAAAGGAGATTTACACATAATGAAGAAGGACTTATTATCATATTCAGAATCATAAGATTAACACACTCATTGAAATATTAATATTATTTTGTTTTTAAATTGATATTTAATATAATTAAATTAAATAAACATTCATTAAAAATAATAATCATTTACTAAAGGAAGAACAAAAAAATATATATAAGGAATTTTATTAATAAATTAAAATTCCTTTTGTTAGCCTGACTCCTTTATAGTACATAATCCCTAATTTAAGTTACAAAAAAACAAAAACAACTCTTCGAAATCCCCAAGATTTTAAATGAAATTTAATATATATCAAATTCAAATTCCTTCATTATTATTATTAATTCTGGTTTTGTATCTAGAATCTGCAAAGATCTATTATTTTATGGTATTAACAAGTGTTAAATACGAGTTAGTAACATTATTCCATACATAAAATAGATTAATAAATTAATTGTTTATAATTTAAATACTAAAAAGGACATAAATATTTGGAATGTAGGTTTTTTGAGATAGATAGAAAAATTGATTTTTATATTTCACAAAGTGATGATTTAGCAAGCTGAAGTAGAAAACTAATTAGAGTTAAGAAAATTAAAAAGTGAAATAGACACCTAAATTCCTTTATACATAAAAACGTGCATAATGGATTTCGGCTTAGATGAAATTGAAGAAAGCGAGCAAGCAGATATATTAAGATTATTAAGTGCTCCTAAGTTTGAAAGCAGACAACAATTCTTAATCGTCATACCAGAATACCTCATTAAGCATTTGCTAAAAATAAGACAAATAGCATTACTCAATAGTCCAGAGATCAATTATTCAAACCCAACTAACTTAAAAAGCTTAATATATGGTTCTCTCCTACCCTATGAAGATCCGATATTTTACAAGCATTAGATATTACAAAACATAGTAAAAAACACAAATCTGAAAATAATGGAGTTGCTTGATTCTAAAAAAAAGGCAATCAACGTTATTAAGAAAAGAGAGATTCAAATATTGAACCACTAAATCGAGACTTCAATCAAAAAATAAACTACTAAATTTACTTAAAAAAAGAATTGCCCATAATGCCTATGTAAAATTAGGGGTTTTAAAGCAAATGAAGAATTAATCGAAACTGCTCAAACACTCAGATGCAAAGGGTGTAAAGAGTATTATCATTCTTGTTGCATACAAAAATAACAATAGGATAAGTAAACGAACCTTATGTGTCCAGCATGTCAATTGTCATTTGCAAGTCCTTTGGAGAAAGTAATATCCGTATTACATTAACCAGAAATTATAAATTTGGTAGACGAAAACAAAGAAAAGACTTTACTATTTGAATGTCCTTATTCTGAATCAGACTATTAAATTTAAATGAGATGTCTTTAGATAGGAAATGTTGATAAATTAGCTTGGCCAGAATCAGGAGAGATATATTTAAATAATTTAAAGGTGATATAATTTGATTCGAAAATGGGTTAAAGGAGTGGCGAATCTTATATTGTAACTTAATCAGTCAAATTTGGATCAACCAATAGAATCACAATTCTATACTAACAATCTATATTTAAATAGCTTATGTAATTGAATATTAATCAGAAATAACAGACTGAGAATCACAACTATTATCTATTTGCAGTTTATAGTGTTAAAGTTATTACTCCTAGAGATTTTTTATATGATTTATAAAAGGACTAATCAGTGTCAATTCAAGAATCATCCAACCGAATTGCAACATTCATTAATTAAATAGGCGAATCCACATTAAAGGTTTCAATATTAGATATACAGACTTTGAACCTTATGAAAATTCCTGGGAGAGGATTTAGATGTACTCACATTTAATGTTTTGATTTAGAAATATTTGTTAAATTAAATTAAGTAGAAAACAAATGGATTTGTCCAATCTGCTAATAAAAGTGCCATAAGTTAGTTATAGATTAATTTTAAAAGGCAATAATTGAAAATATAGTAGGTTAACAACTGAAAAAGACAGAAATAGAATTCGATAGAGATGGTAAATTAACAGAATAACTAATTGAATATAATTAGAAGAGTTCAAATTTAGATGATGAAATGTAAATTGAGCTATGAAAACATTAATCATTTCTAGATGAAAATTGTTATTATACATATATGATATAAATCAATCATCATCCTAGTTCTTTTAGTTATAGTATGATTATCCCAATAGGGTGATAATAATAATTTTTATCTATTTCATTTCGTATAAAAGATTAGATATTTCAAATCTTATAATAGAGTCATTACCTTCTAAATATATATTTTGTTTTTCATCCTAATCTCTCTTTAATTTTGCCTTGATTTTTCTTCTTAAATACCTTCTAATGAATCTCTTAATTTGTTTCATGCCTCTCAATCCTTCAAATAACACTCTCTATTACTGTGGCAATAGTTCCTTTGTAGTATCAAGATATCTTTGTTTCTATGCAAAAAATGTTTTCTCATCTTTCTAATGTTTAGGAGTTTGTGACTTGTATTAATTATTCGTATTATTTTGATATGGAGAGGAAGCTTAAAGATTATTGAAATCGTAAATTGCTCTTTGTTATTTTGCAAAATTGACTTCAACTGTCAATCGAGTTACTATTTGTTCCTCATGTTGAGTATCAAGATTATCAAGAAAATATATAAATTCTTCTTCTTCCGATCGAATCAAACAAGCAATAGCAACCAATCCATCTCTATTAATTTTGATTATTTTTTTAGCCTTTTTCTTCTTTTCCCCCAATATAATTTGTTTAACTTTTACCATAGTTTTTTCAAATAAGTTTTCTTCAGTATTTTCCAAATCCTTATATCCTGAATCCAGATTATACCTATGAATAATTGACAATATTTATTTATAAGCTTTACAATTTTGCAAATTAGTCTTGACTTATGTAAGCATTAATTTCCATTATTTTATAGGGAATGACAATTTTAATTATTTAAGAAGGCCAATGACCTGAGTTGCTTATTTGGATAAATCCTCATATTATTCTAATAAGTACTATCTTTCCGATAAGAGATACAATGTTTCAACGAAATGTGTATGATAGTCCCCTATTGCCTCTTGATAAATGATTAAGGCATCAATCAAAAGGTTAAATATTTAGTTTTGATATTCGTCAATTTATTATCCTCTAACATTCTTTACTTTAGATTTCTAACTCTAAAATTTTGATTAGCTTCCATAATATTTTGAAATGATTGCAGGATAATTAGGAAAAAAGTATGCTTCAAAGCGCTGTCTTTCCCAAAAATTTAATATCTATCCCAACAATCTGTAAATATCTGCAATAAACAATAGATTAATATGTCTTTTGGATTTGAGCAGCTCAAATATTTCAGTCCTTCTAATTTCGAAAACTGTAAGATTACCTTTTTTCGTATCAATTCTATTGAAACAAGAGATAATTTTTAAAATTCCTTCTGAACCACTATGAATATCTTCATCTTTGTCATGTCCTAATACAGCGATTTTTCCAAGCTCTGGTGGATCATAATCAATACCTTAACTTAAATCCAGCAATTTGATTAATAAGTCATAGGCATTTTCAAATTATAAATTATCTACATATAATTGACATATTGTTAAGGCTATATCAAGTGAAGCTCTATCGCTTGACTTAATCTACAACAAATTCTTAACATTCTTCTCCCCCTAGGATAATTGATTAAGTAGCAACATCCCTTATTCATTATCATCAAGTAATTTGATAAACGCCGTCAAATATAAATTTAATGCTTCTGTGTAATTTCCATATTTATGGTGATAGCTTCCTATCATTCTATCTATCTATCCATCTAATTTAGTTGAGTAATGAGTTTCACAAACAATTTTAAAAGTTTCAATCAATTATAAAGTTGCTTTTCTAATCAGTTAATTCTTATTTCTTGCCAGCAAAATCTCAAGCAGCTTTGTTCTCACTTGTAAAACTGGTACTGACACTTTTCCGTACTCCTCTTCAAATATCACTAAAGCACTTTCAGTATGAATTCTTGCATCAGTATATTAACCTAATTTAAATAAGAGATTCCCTAAATTTGCATGTTTATAAGCAATTTATAGAGGATTAGTTTTCTTTTTGACCTATTAAAATAATTGAAGTGAATTCAATAAATAAGATTTGGCATCAATATAAAATCCTTAATTGGCTAACACTCTTGACATTTAATCATAGATGAGACTCATCTTTATTATTAACTATTAATCTAATTGATTGTTCTCATACAGTTCTCTAATTATGATGAATGATCTCTTAAAAAATATAAAGGTTTCCTCATGCTATCCTCTCTACCCATAGATGTATCCAACCAAAAAATAAACATCCGACCTGATTGAACTTTTTAGGGCATTTTCAAAAATGGGACTATTTAAATATTTATCCTTCTCTATAAAACTCAAAAATTCCTCCACATAACTGATTGATAACTTCTTCAAATTTAATGAAATACAATCCCAAATTACTCGCATATAGTTTTATACTAATAATATCAGAACTGGAGCCTATTGCAATTTAAAATAATTCTGTTCCATCAAATTCCTCCTTTAAATCTATAACTAAATCATTGAAGTTCCAACATATTCTACTCTGTTCGATACCTGAAATTATGAATTCGCCACGTAGTCTTCTCTTTCTTATGACAATAGTTTAGGATCACTTAATTAAGTACCTATTCTACTATTATTTGTTTATGTCTTAGACACTTCATTAACTTGCTGCTGCTTATACAGTTTCATCAATTCTTCTTTAGATCGTTCAACAGCAACCTTTGCTGAAGCATCTTTATTTTACAAAAGATATAGCAATCCCATCCATCTACTGATGTCACTTTGAATTTATTGATATTCAAAATACAAATCCTCATCTACTTTCTATTTTCTAAGATCACAAGCAAGTTATGAGAATAGCTTCAAACTCTCATCATATTTTTGTAAATAAAATTAGATTTTTGCCCATCTCATCGTGTACTCATCAATCAAAGTTTACTCAAATCTAAATAAATTGTACATGTATTATTCGTATAATTTATAGCATAACATAGCCTTTTTCTCTTGGTTTTATTTTATATAGATATATCCCAACCAATCATAGACTTCCATCAACAATCTCACAGTTAAATTATCTCGTTCTGGTGGTGGCAGAGTGGTCTTAAACTTCTTTTGTTATTCTTGATAATCCTTCAACATTTGAATTTTTATTTATTAAAATTCCTTCAATTAATGAACAGAAATATTTTATGTCTATTTAATTCTTAATTCATCAGCAATCTAATATTATTGTAATTAGACTGCATCCAAAAACAGTTCTTGTGCTTTCTTAATATCTCCAGCGTAAAAAAACATCTTACCAAACACAAATTTCTTGAAAAATTAATCTATTTTCACTCTTTTATTATTATCTATTGTTAATTAAAACAGTTCAACCTACTAGTACATATCTTCTAAATCTGTATAAAGGGATTTTAGCAGAAATCCAAAAAAATTAAAGAATAACACCACTGTCTCTAAACAATGAAAACTACTCAAAGCTTCTTACATAATACTCATAGCCTTTTATAAATTCGATTTCATATTTTCCATATCATTTGTTAAAAAATGTAAGTAGCTCAAATAACCTAAGTTTAATAGTCTAAGAGAGTCCATTTCACTACCTGAACGTGTAATGTTAGATATTAGCTTAAGGGATATATCGAAGTAATATTTGCTCAGTTCAAATTAACTTACTTCATAATAGGCTTTACCTCGATTATAGCATGATAAGATCAAGCTTTTGCTTATGTAATCATACTTTTAGCATTATTATTCATGATATTCATTTAATTGTTGAATATATTTAAAAGCTTCAAAATAACCATCTTGATCAAGTTACAACAGAAAATAATAATGTATAAATTAATAGTATGCTTTTTCATTGATTTCTTTAAGACTGTTTTTGGAGATCTAGAGCACTCTATTAAAGAGTTATAATGCATCTTCTGCTTCTCCAGATATAAAGGTAATAAGTCCTTAATAAAATTTGATATTAGATTGATTGATCTTTTTTAAAGTCTTAGGATCTGCTGATGTAATATCTGATTCAAGGGATGTAAATGTGGCATATGCCAATTCCAATTCTCTATTTTACATGTAGCAAAATCCTAAGCAAAACTTTAGAAAAACATACTCAGTTTTTGAAAAAAATATTTCACTTGGATTGCTAATTTTATAATGGGCTAATTTATTTGGATCATTGATTTATAATGAATTTATGGTTTTTAAGATATATTTAGCAGCCTCTTACCCTATTCTAGTGTTTCTAATAAGCATATACCCTTAAATTTAATAAAAGTACTTTCTGATATCATAAAACTCATCTGACACATTAAACGCTCTTATTAATAGTCCGCCTTTATCTTCTTCATAGTCTACAATAGCGGATAGCTCTGTTTTTGGTTGATCGGTCTAAGGTTTTTCTTATTAGGATAGATTAATTTATTTTTCAGATTTCTTTTTATCTTATTAATTATTCGCAGATTTATCATTCTTTGATTTATTTAATTGTGAATTTTCAAAATTGCTTCTTTGAAAGAATATAATATCATTTGGCGGATCAAACTCCTCCTCTTATAACTAATCCATAATTCTTTTCCAATCACAATTTGGCTTAAGCATATCTTGTAAGTACAAAATAACAATCTGGTAATTCTGTTACTTATTGTTAATTAATTAATATTGGGCTAAAAAGGACATGATTTCAATATAATTCTTGGCTTAATATTCCTTAAATTCATCCAAATTCTTAACTCTTTAGTTAAGATATGAATCATCAGAGTGTAAACCACTAAAAGATCTAATGAACTTGGCTGCTTGGTTTATGTCATTCTTATTACTGGCATTAGAATGGTGAGATGTCTTTGATTTATTTTGGCACCATTATTCAAATTTGCCTAAACTAATCATTTGAATAGCTATAATGGCTAAACTATAAAAGTTTTGTTGCATGATTAAGGAATTTAAAAGCACCTCCTCAGTATTCCTAACAAGTCTCTCTTTTTTTGCTTCATCACTCGTTTTATCAAAGGTTTTGTTCCAATATTTATACAAGCCCTTTTCAATTACAGGTCTTATAGTTTCATTAAAAAAGATTAAATGCCTGGGTTTGACCTGCTTGATATAGTATTACAAATAAGAGTATGTGCAACACAATTCATATTTATCTGGTTCATCTTCCTATCTGCTATCATCGTCAGCGAGCAGTTCTTCACTTTCTGCCTCACTACGATTGTCTGAATATATTTTGGAGGTCTTTTTGATTAAGGTTTAACTTGTAGGTTACTTAACAATGTAGCTAGCGATTCTTAATTCATTGAAGCCTTTGATTCGATATTATCCATCTCCACTCAGATAGATGTTCTCATCATTCACATTTCCATGGTTAATATAGATAGATTTGGCGTCTCTAAGAGCTCTCATCATGAGGATCAAAAATCCCAAGATTTCTTACTCTTTATAGGCTCCTTCCATTTTAGGGAATGAGGCTCTAATTTTAATGACTTCCCTTAATGTAGCTATGGGCATGTCTGTGACTCTCAGAAAGATGTTCGAATAATGTAATAGAAACCATTACTGTTGATAGGAGACATTATAAATGTCTGAGGCAATAGTGTCTTATTTTGTTAAAGATAACAATTATTAAATGGATTTATTGAAGTAGAAATTCTCCTCAAATTCTTGTAGATATTCATTCTTTTTGATTTGAGTGATTTCGACTAAATACTATTGCTTTAGATTTGAGAGTCTTTTGCCTGTCCATAAAATAGATTTATAACTCTCAGATTCATCTAATTATATAATTTCATCGAGTACAATATTCTACAAATACTCAGAATGATCTTCCCAAAGTAACTCATCAGAGTTTTTAAGTGGGAAGTATGCAAGTGGTTCACATTGTTTTTCATTAAGCATTCTTATAGTACCATATCCCATAATTTATTGTAATAATTCATCCTTGTCTAATAAACCGAAGTTGTATATCCTCTGTTGAGTGGTTTCATCGAAATACTTAAAATCCCTTCTCATATATCTTTTTTCCATTTATCTCCTTTATATTTTTTCAAGTTCTTATTTCAATTTCCTTTCGATTTCTTATTCCTACATTTTATCTATTAATTCTAACTTTCTTTGCTCCTCCTTTCTTTTCTTAGCTGCTTATTTAAATTCTTCCTTTGAGATGGTTGAAGCACCAATATTGAAATCAACAAATTTCCCCTTTTTGCCACCCTACTTTCCTCCTTTGGTGTCTCCTCCTGAAGCAGTTCCTCTTAAAGTGTTGTTTATGTTATTGCAAACATCAATGCAAAAGTTTCCCATTTTATTTTAAATTATATAAGTATAACTATGAATTAAGCATATTCTTTTAAAACTAGATTTCAATTTAGGAATCGCTTAGATGCAAGACGCAATAAAGCAGGGTCATTATTTTGAATAGATTGTAATCCATAATAATATATATTCTTATTTAATCATGATAAGTATACTTTCTTCATCTTTGTAACCTTGACTCTATCAATAGGACATTAATCAATCTTTTTTGAACACTCCTCACACACACAGACATGTCCACAGGGCTTCAGTAAGATACAATATTCCTTTTGGAGACATATCACACAAAACTTTTAAATCAAAGAATTTTTGTATAGAGAAATTTGGTTTTTGGTTTTAACTAATTGCTCCTCCACCTTTTTTATATCCTCAAAACTTTATTGTCTAATGGTTTCAAAATCTCCCTCGTATAATTTTATTTGTAATCTCAATTAATTATTTGCTTCCTCAATCTACTTGCCTCTACTTTTCTCCAGCTGTAACTCATGATGAATTATCAAATAATCTTATTGCAATGTTTAATTCTGCTCCCTCTTTTTTTTTTGATCCCAAAATTGATTACTACTCGAATCCAAAAACTCTCTGAATAGTTTAATCACTCGAAAAAGTTGCTTATGTGCCAATTTTAACTGGTCCTGCAATGAGTTCCCAATGATATCCAAGCATTGAGAATCAACCAGGCTCCGTATGTCATCGTCATTTTAGCAACAAAGGATCTCCTCTATAAGCATTTCATCATCCTATTCATTCATCTTTTAAGGAATTATTAAATATCAAAAATTTATTAAGACATAATTACCTACACATTAACTCTGTTATTTTAAATTTACAAATATGATTTTAGAAACATAATAACCAAGTGGTTGTCGCTTAAAAATTTAATATTTCATTTATAGTTTCTCCTCCTTGTCCATTTAATTCAATCATTTTTATTGCTCCAATTAAATCCAATAATGAAATATAATTAACAGCACTCTAATTTTAACCCCCCTCCCAATTAATATGCCTTCACTATCATTCATTTTTATTATTAACTCTGCCATCGCTATCAAACTTTTCTATTATCTCTTTCTAATATCCTTTTGTGATTTATAAAAACTTTAGTTGAATATCCATTTTATTGTATATTTTTGTAATAATTTTTTCTAATAAAATATATTTTGTACAAATGACTGAGGAATAGTGTGATTATGTATTCAAATTCATCATAATCGGCAATGGTAATTGTGGGAAAACTAGTCTACTTTATCATTACATTCATGGAAAATGTAATTTATATCATGAGTTAAGAAATTACAAATGTTAAGCAGACATTGGGTGTTGAATTTTCGGCCAGGATAATTTAAGTGAAGCAAAAGAAAATTAAAATGCAACTATGGGATACTGCTGGCTAAGAGAGATATCGATCCTTGACTAAGGGTTACTATAGAGGAGCCTTGGGGGCTTTGATAGTGTTTGATGTCACTAAGTACAAATATACAGTAAATTAGTTCAGACTCTTTTGAGGCACTTAAAGAGTGGATCAAACATGCCAGAGATTTTTCGAAACCATCAATCTAAATAATTATTATAGGAAATAAAATCGATCTAGAAAAAGAAAGGTAAAATCACATTTATCATATAGAGTGATTTCTGAATAATCTGCTAAATAATTCTGCTAGGAAAATGATGTGTAATACATAGAAACCAGTGCAAACACTGGCTATTAAGTCAAAGAGGCATTTACTCAAATTACAATCAAAATTCTAGACCTATTATAGTAAGGAGTCATCGATGGTGGTATGATCAAACCAAAATTCCTTACAACAAAATAACCAGATGAAAAAGAGAAATAATAGCAATGCAATTGTTGACCACTTGTTTTTATTAGTTTATAACAGTAATTATAAGAAATAAAATTATTTTTATTTAAAAAATTCTTAATGTTTCTTTTATATATAATTATATATATATATATATCATAAATGATAACCTCCTCAAAGGTTCTCAACGTTACCACCTTCGTCATCAAGTTCTGAGGTCCATAATGTCAAGTTATCTCTAATTAATTACATGATGGTTGTTGCATCTTTGTATTGATCTTCTTAAATTTATTCAATGTCGGCAATAGCATCATCGAAAGCCTAGAATTGATTAATTAAGATTCGTTACTGATTTAGCTAATTAACATGCCTTGGCAGCATCATTCAAGACTTCATAATAGAAAACTGAGAAATTCAAAGCAAGTCCTAATCTGATTGGATTTGTGGTTTTTAATTCTGAATTAGCAACATTGGAAGCGGCTTGGTAAGCGGCAAGGGCACCATCAGCGGCTTTCTTGTGTTAGTCACCAGAGGCGTATTCAGAAATGTATCTGTGATAGTCTCCCTTCATCTTGTGGAAGAAGACTTTGGCTTCAGGGGTTGAAGCAGTTTTGATCAAATGGCTGTCGATCAAATTGAGGATATCGTGACAATATTGATTCAATTCTTCTTCAATCTTTTTCTTGTAGCTTCTGATCAAGACAAGATTTTTCTATGAGGCTGGTTGGGATTGAGCCTAAAATTTAAATTTTTTTTTTTACTTTTCCTTCTTCCTTGTTTTCAATGCTGGACAAGACTCTCCAAGCTGTTCTTCTTCCACCGATGCTATTTTTATAAGCGACGGAAAGAAGGTTTCTCTCTTCGATTGACAACTCTTATCCATTTTGAACCACTTATTTGATGTAATTGACCATATCTTCGAATCTCTCTGTTTATTCTGTCAATTTGGTCATATAGATGAGTTCTTCCCTAGTGCTCATTTAGATATTTTAAAATTTAAATTCTTATTTGTTTCCAAAATCAAAGATCACCCTTAAATATAGCAAAATACAATATATTCAATAAATCTAAATTTATTTAAATATATAAAAGTACGAAGTATTATTTTTTATATATATTATACAACTTCCAAAACCCATTTCTATACCATTCATTCATCAATTCCCAATTCTCCTTGCTTAGTTGAACTCAATACTCCTTCCAAACTCTAAACAAGAAACTCAGGAGTATTCAAAAATTTTGAAAATTGAAAATTTGAATTTAAAAACAATTTATTTATTTTATTGCAATACACCAACATGAATTCATCATACTCATCATTAACACACTTATTTTATTATGTCCTTCATCATGTAACGATACTTTTATGCAAAAATCCATTAATGATTGTTCTTTTTTTTCAAAATTATTATTTTCAATTTCATTCATTCTTATTGCTTTATAGATTACTGATAGCAAGTATTTCAGCAAATCAGATCAGTCTAATCTTAAACTATGTACATCCATTAACTAGTAATTTTAGTATGCATGATAAGATGTATTGTTTTCCTCATTGGATTTGAAGATTGCTGATCAAAGCTTGAATGATTAGTTTCAAATTCTTACTAATATCAGATTCTCAAGGTTTAACACACTTTAATTTTTGATAATCCTGATTTGAGAGAATTTGATTTAAGATTTCTAAATAAAATTTGCAAATATCTCTTGTATTGCCAATATGTAGTAGTTTAAGAAAATTGATAGATGAATACATTAGCATATATTTTAAAAATAAAACTTGTGATAGGCTATTACAATTATTCATCATAACACTCTATATTAATTATTGGTTCTAATTTCAAATTTATATTAATAGTATTTAAAGAAATTAACCAATTCTTCTTTTAAAAGTTATAGACATTTGAAGTCAATTGATGTAATTTCGAAAGTCCTAAATATAGCATATCTAGCTATCAAAAAATACTTTGAAAAAATTTCACCAATCAAGGAAATTAATATATCTAATTAGTGTATAGAAGTATAAGATTAAATTAACTTTGAAAGAAGATAAACACACCAAAATTATTCATTATGAGATTAGATGTTGAAGTAATGAAATTTTTGAAAATATCATTCACAATTATAGGTTTTTAGAAAATAAAACAAAATATTTATTTTAACAAAATTATTGGAACAACTTAATTTTTGTATCTTTAGATGATTATTTTATAGAGATTTAACACCTGAAAATAAGATTGATTCTTAGTTTAGGGGATGCTGTTTTGCTAATATCTATGATAATTACATTTAATCATATAATGGAAATCCCAACTCAATAGCTTAGAAGATCACTAATAGATGAAGAAAATAAAATAAGAATGAGATTTTTAGTACTTGATATTTCGTAATAGCTAAGTGATTAGAATATTTAGTATATTAAGGGAAATAATTATAAAATAGCAAAACAGTAATAATGACCAAATGTGAAATATTATTAGAGAATAAGTAAAATTATTTAAGAATTCAGCTATTCTTATGATAGATTCTGATGATGTTGGATTATGCTATTTATAGATTTCACCTTCATAGAAATGATATAATTTGATATGCTTATTATTAAATTTTATTATGTTATCAATTTAGAAAGTAAATATTGCCACTCTCTATAACAGAAATGAAGAATACAAATCATGCAATCGTGAGACTGATCGAGAAGATCGTTCAAAAATTTGTATATCTATATGTAAAGGTTAGAAAAGTTTAAAGAAATACTACATTAAAATATTATTCCTATCAATGAACTGCTTCATCTGGCTTGGTCAGGAGTGCCTAGTGAACTCAGAAGCACGGTGTGGAGACTATTACTCAAATATTAATCCCCTAATAGGGATGCCAATGTAATTTGGAAAATAGACTTAGTTAGTTTGCAATCATAGAGCGAAAAAGAAACATGTACTTTGAAATGTGTGATATATATTTTGCCAAAAATCAGCAATATGATGAAAGAGAGAAGAAGATTTTAAAATAAATTTCAGAAGATGTTAAGCGAACAATACCAGACTCTTCAGTGTTTAGGAATCCTTAAATTTAAACTTTGTTGGAGAGGATCCTTTTTATTTGGAACATACGAAATCCTGCTTGTGGGTATGTGTAAGGAATGAATGATATTGTCACTCCTTTTTTAATTGTATTCTTGTCTGACTATGTTGATATTGACACTACTAAATTGCAATTCACTAATGAGAAACAATTAGATCATCTAGATTAAAGGTTGATCAGACAAGTTGAGGCTGACTCTTATTGGTGTCTTTGTAAATTATTAGAAAGCGTACTTGATAACTATACTAATTCACAACCAGGGTTGGTTCGTTTCTATAATAAATTTAAGGAGATTTTATCAGCCTTGGATAAAAAACTTTATGAACATCTTACGACCTCCCTATGTAATAATATATTTTGATAATAGCAATGGAGTTATACGCATTCATCTTTAAATGGAGTACATGTATGCTATTAAGGATGTTTTAATTTGAAGTTGGGTTGAGATTATTTGATACTTTATTAGCAGAGGAACAAAGTAACTGTTTATCTTAATTATAGACTATTTTGAATTGTGCCTCTTCATTATTATTTCTATTTTGATGAAATTTTCTCTCAAAATTTAGAAATTATAATATGATGAAATTATGATCCTTCTTGAAAAGTTACCTACAAGAGAATGGTCAGAATCTGATTTGAGTCTTTGTTTATCAGAGGCTTATGCTTACTAAAGGATTTTTTCTAAAAAATGAATATATCCTAAATCTTAAAGATTATATATTAATTTAAATTTTTTCTAATAAAAAATATAAAAAACTTAATCTAATTGAAACTGTTATTCAATTAATATTAATTATGCAGGAAAAACTACAATTTAGATAAAGTAAAAATGTTTCAATCCATGAAACTTAATTCAATACTAAAAGGAGTCTCTATTTTTAATAATTATTTTATTTAAATGCATTTATGATTGTTTTCTAATTAAGAACTGTTTTAATACTATTCAGAATGAGATTACTTATTACAATAACTATTGTTCTTATATAATTGATGTAAAAATTAATTAATAAATAGATATTTTCATTGTTGCAATTTAATAGTCTGAATTTATGAATCTGATTTTAGAAACTCATTTGAAAATTAGGATTGATTTCCTCTATTTAGTAAGATGTTTTATTAAAGTAATCCAAAGACACATTGGATCAGTGTTTTATTATAATGATGCTTTGCCAAAATTTGTTATCTCACTCTCACTCTTTTTAAGGATGTCTTCAATTTCCAAAATTCAAATAATTTCTTTGTTCTTAAATAAGTATAAAACTTTTTTGCCCTTTTCTCTTTTACATGTTCCTTCCAAATCTTAAAAACCCTTTCTAATGTAGGTGAAATTGGTTATAGTCTACGCCATTTTAGGAAGTATTGCTTCATAAAAATTAGTTGTAATGCTCTTTTCTTCTACTTTGCAATGACACTCCATTAAAATAGAATTTATCTTAATAGAAAATGCTAGATGTGAGCATGTAAGGCTTGTGCAATTCTATTTAATTGTTGTTTTGCAACTTCTCTATTATAATTTAAAATGAATGATCTGAAGATATTTCTCTTGAAATTCCGAATTCTGGTCTTAGAAAAATAGATTGCTTTGCCAATCAATGTTATTTCCCTTAAAATTAAAAAAAATCTCCTATTTTCTAAAGCCAATGCCATGTTTTCCAATTTTTAATGAGAGTACGGTTCAATTACTGAAATTTGATCTTAGAACAAAGAGTTTTTGATGTCTGTAAAGTCTCTGTAACTCTATTCCACTTTTGGTATTTTGATTGATTATAGTAAACAAGATCTATTTGGTGTTTTAATGCATTTAAAGTATTTGGGTTTTGGATGCAATTGATTTTCATAATACCTTAATTTCGCTTTTCGATCAAAAGCAAGCTATTACTCTAGTTCTTGTTCGTATTGCTATCTCAATTGTTTACTTTATTATAACATAAATAAAATATCAAATAATTTTAATCACACCCAATAATTAATAACAATAACATTTGATAAAATATGAATTATTAAGATGAAGAGTTGATATGATTAGACAAGTATTGAATATAGAATTGTTGTATTTAATAACATAAAATATATATAATGACACAATAACAATTACTCAAAATAACTTGTCTAATTACAAACTCATTGCAGGCTGATTAATCTTGCAAACTATGTTGCCAAATGACTGTCTTCTAAGAATATCTACATAAAATTCTTGGCATTGAAACCGTCTTAATATAAATCTGATATGTCATTGCATCCTCTCTCAGACATAACAACAACATTTATTTTCATATTGTAAGATGGATTGACTAAATTGTTAAAGCTAAGATGCAAGAGAAACTACTGAATTTAAGAAAAAAGGTTGTCCTCATTATTGGCTATAAGATCAGTCTTATTTTCTTTATGGGATATGTCCCATCCTTAATCGATGTAAGCCAGTAAGTGCTGTAGCTACAAGAAACTTAAATTTAATGATTCTGACAATGGGATTTACAAAGTTTGCATTAAAATCACAGTCACATTGGTTTCCAAGGATGTAGGCATTTTCTTAACTCTTACAAATAATAAATACTGATACATAAAGGTGGATAAACGATGAGCAAAGAAGAGCATTTCTCCTAAGCCAATAATGTTGATTGTCTTCGTATTTTCTGATAAATATGGTTTAACAAACTCATAGACTCTTTCTATATACCTAAATTCATCATCAATTGAATCTGAGATTTCTTAGACTTATAACACTTCTGTATATGGTGTTGAAAACACAAAGAGTGTTGCATTCAATTATTAAGCCAATTCTGGTAATTTTACGTGTTCATAGAAATAATTAAATGATTAACCAAGTGGAGGGAATAGGATGTAAAGATTTTCAAATAGATGAGTGTGAATTTCAACTTAGAATAATTGATTTATTCTTAATTCTGTTCCCAAATCAACTATTGAGTAATTATACAAATTAAGTAAATCATCTGTTGTATTTATACAAACATTGTCAATGGACACACAATCTTCAACACAAATATCTTGTTTCAATTTATACGGATGAATGCATTAAACACATCTCTATTTGTATTCGTGATAACAATATTCACAATTTTGGGAACAACTCATGCAACTGAACTAGCTAGTGTCAAATGATGTATTCAGGGGACATAGAAGTTCTGAACGATTATTGGGATTATGGAAGGGCAAGATGTTTGGTTTTTTATCTTCTCTTGATTTCTTAGCCAATTAGCCCATGAAGATCAATGAGGAGATGGCTATAAAGAGAGCGAAAACGCCCAAATTGATCAACACCTTGCTGTTTTATGGTTTGTGTTATTTCCTGTCTTCAGAATCATCGCAGATTTGATGATGCTCGCTGTTTATATTGAAGTATTCTTCCTCCTCTTCTTCAGACATTTTAATTTATATATATTTTGTTTTTATAGCTATTAAATTCAGAAAAGTAAATATAATTAAAAAATGTCAATATAAAGAGAATGGTAGAAATTTGTGAGGCCACCGAGATATAATTATAGTTACTTTGATCTAGGTTGTCTATTTCTTATTAACAGGGTTAGGTCCTGAATGCATTTAACTGCATCAAGGTTTCATACGTAAACATGAAAGGATTATTACTAATCGTTAAAATTGCAAATTAGAAATGTCATTCTTTGAATTGAACCCGAAAACTTCGAATTGCATTGTCTATTGCCATGGTTATAATGGATGTAGAATAGAAGGCATCAAGTACGCTTCAATTGTCGCCTAGTATGGCTTCAATTTTTGTGCATTCGATTTCTAAGCATGTGGTCATTCCGAAGGGGAGTTCATTACTTTTGGGTATGAATTCCTATAAAATTTAATAGACATCTTGAGAAGGATGACATCACTTCGATATTGCAGGAATTGGAATTGAATTTCTAGCAGAGGCAATTCATTTTATGGGGGAGATCTTTGGGAGCAACTACCATTCAATTGAAGGAATAACCCAATGTGAAGGGATTGGTATTAGATAGTTGTTTCACAAACTTCAATAAATTGGCGATTAGCATAATCCAGAAACAAACTCGCTTGCCCAAATTCATCATCAAGGCCATCATCTTCTTAACCAAAGGGTCGATCGAAGAAGAGGCAGGATTTTAATTAAACGATATCCAAGTGCAATGCAATTCCAATGTGCCTACTCTCTACATTTGTAGCGATAAGGATTCACTTATAAAGGCTAAAAATAGTTTAAAATTGTATAAGCAACACAAGGGAATCAAAAAGTTAATCAAAGTGGATGGGGAACACAATGATTCTCGACCTCTGGAGATCATCCAACAAATTTGTTCATGGTGCAAGGACAGAGTGCAAATGCAATAAAACAATTATATTCAATACAATTCAGTCCCTCAAGTAGGTAGATTGCCGTTGGAATTGATCTACGATTCTAATATTTAGAGTGGGATGTAGTCTTCGTACAATAGGATTCCCAAGAATCCAGCCATCAAATTAAAAAATCAAATAAGCATTTAGTTAAGAACAAGCTGTAGAAATTTACACAGCGCAGTCTAATACTGAATTTATATCTATATATATTTAAGTCTTAGAAAATATATAAGTGAATTGGTAATTTCATTATTAAAAATGGAATTTATAAATGAGGGAGTTGAATGGTTTGAAATTCATTCCACAATCTGGGCAAACGATGTAGCATGTATATTAAATGGCTAAAATAAGTGTTGAAAGACAATTATATTATGGGCTTTAAGGGAAAGCATAGACGTATAGCTTTGGGCAGTTCGATTGGGTTGTTGATGCTCACTCAATTGGCTTAACGAAATCCTGTGGGAGCTTTACGTGTGGGTGCTTTCGCCTTTCCTGTTCTCAGCTACGTGATATGTCCTGAGATATACAATTCCTTATTATGATATACGTGTAAAATAATTAAAATGTTCATAAAATTTGAGAGACATTCAGATCGTGTTAAAAGTGTTTCCTTTCATCCTCATCGTCCCTGGGTCTTGAGTGCACTTCACTCTGGAATCATAGAATTGATCGATTATCGAATTAAGAAAAGAATAGCCATATACGATGAACACAAGGGCGCTGTTCGATCAGTCTAATTTCATCCCTAACTCAACCTATTCTGTTCGGGAGGAGATGATTTTACAGTCCGAGTTTGGAATTTTAAATAATGCCAATTCATATTGAAAGGACACTTGGATTATGTGAGATGTGTGACATTCCATCCAATAAATCCTTGGGTGTTATCAGGTTCCGATGATCAAACAGCCAGAGTGTGGAATTATTAAAGCAGATAAACTATAGCAATTTTAACAGGACACACGCATTATATCATGGCTTGTCATTTCCATCCGACTTAAGATTTTATTATCACATGTTCATTAGATTAAACTGCTCGACTATGGAATTACGGAGTCCTTAAATAGCGATATGCCCAAAAAAAGAATTAAGAATACGTGCTATCAGGGGCTGAAGTGTAATTAGTTTCAATTTTGGATGCTCACAAAGATCAACTTAATTGGTGTGCCTTTCATTAAGCAGAACCTTTTATTATCACTAGTGCCGACGACAAAAACATCAAATTATGGAAGTACAACGACACTAAGGCTTGGGAATATGACACTTTATCAGGTCATACGAACAATGTTTGTTGTTCAGAATTTCACCCAAAAGGAGAAGTCATCATATCAGATTCTGAAGATCACACTGTGAGAATTTGGGACTTTGCTACTCGTAAACAAATTGCAGTCTATGAGAACAAACACTTCGATCGCTATTGGATAGTATCATGTCATCAAAACAATTATTACTTTGCATGTGGCTCAGACACAATGTTGTAAGTGTTTACTCTACATAAAGATCGAGTGCCTCTTACTCTCGTTAATGATAGATATCTCTGTATAGCTGAATAAAAAACTCTGAAGGTAGTCGAGTTGATCAGTGGACAACAGTAAGTCATAAGAGACATTGCCACTGTCATTACTCCTACTCCTACTCTCTTGGAGGACAATATTGAATTTATTGAATACAACACATACGACACTCAGAAAACATAATTAATGATAAGGTGCATCAGATCATTCAAGGAACCTTCGAAACCTAAAAGACATTTGCTTTTGGTATTTTAACAATAGAAGGGAGACTCAGGAGTCAAATAATTCTTTGCCAATTGTGCATGCTTTATCGGAAAGAATAAAATTGCTAGAATCAATCAAGATTAATAAATTGAATCATACAATTATGAAACAGATGCTGTCCAATTAATTGATGATAAACCTTCATCTAAAGTATTCCACGCTCCCGGTGGCAAAATATTAATTCAAAGAAATGGAACTACGCCTCAACTAGACCTATTTGATCCCATGACCAAATAAGTATTACATTCGGTTGATTACTCAAATGCTAAGTATGTGTAATACGTCGAATCCTACCTGATTGTTTCAACCAAATTGTCTCTTACTATCTTTTCAAAACAGTTGCAAAAACTAATTGAAATTAAAGAATAAATTAACATCAAATCCTTCATTTGGTTCAACAATATCATAATCTATACGACCAAAAGCCAAATTAAGTATTTGTTATTAAATGGAGACACTGGAGTTCTAAAATCAACTGAAAATATCCTATACTTGGCCAAAGGTGAAGAATAATAGCAAAACAAACTCAAGTTGACTGCATTTGATAACACTGCCAAATATATTTCAGAAATTCTTGACATTTCAGAACCTTTGTTTAAAATAGCAATTATGAACAAGGATTTGAATTCCATACACAAGTTCATTCAGAATAATCAAAATGAAGCCATCCTGTCCTACTTATATTAAAAAAAACTAGCTTCTATGGCCTTAAAATTAGTTAAAGATAAACATGGTAATTGATTTATATTAATTTCTAGCTAAATTTTCACTCTCCCTTGATTGTGGCAATTTGGAATATGCATACAAAGCTGCAGTAGAGATTAAAGATCCATAATCCTTTGAATAACTAAGGACTGAAGCTTTAAGGCAAGGTAATCATTTGTTAGTGGATGTGTGCGATCAATAACTAAGTTAATTTGATAGATTGTCATTTTTATATTTATGCACTGGCAACATAGAAAAGCAAGAGAAATTACAAAACTTAAGTCCCAATTTTGTCTATCAATCCTAATTATAGAGGAAAGTTGCAATTAAGAAAACCCTGCCAAAATTATCACAAATTATGGATCATATAAATGGAACTCCCCAAAATTTAGATGATAATTAAAAAGAAACAATAGAATGGATTGAATCCTTAGGAGGTAGCTAAGCTTTGGTTCCTCCCCTTCCCATCATGAAATACAAGAGTGATCCATGGCCACTTGTTCAATTGAATGAATAAGACATTATCAATCTTGAAGTGACAGATGAAACTGTTGTACCACAAGACATCTTCACATTATAAAAATAAGCGATAGAAGAACCTTAACTTGATGAGTAAGTTAACGATGGATAATGGGGTTTAGATGAGGAGCCAGAAGAAATTATTATGGAATCTAAAGCTAAAGATCCTATTAATAAGAACATTGATGAGGAAGCATTAAGGGGAAGATTTGTCAATTAAAAAGGAGATGTGGCCATTAAATACTTTGCTGCTGGAGATTACGAAACTGGTATCAAATTACTTAACCAATAAATCAACCTTAATAACCATTAACAATTTTTTAAATTGCTTGTCGATTTACCTAATTTTTAGCTTATAAGTTCAACACCCTATCTCAGTTTAGCAACTTTGCCAGTGAAAATCAATAGATTGAATGAAATCAAGAATTTGATTAAATTGGGTATCTTTTTTCATCTACAATTCTAGGTTACAAGTACACAACAGATGCCAAATTTAATGAAGTAAGCAATTGCTTCTAATAAGTGTTATAAAAAATCTTATTGACAGATTTTGAAGAGAATCAAATCGAAGACATAAAACGATACATTAGCATCAGTAGAAACTATCTCTTAGCTATGAGATGTGATTCGCTTAAAAAGGAGAGTAATGCCTTAGAAATGGCTTGCAAAATGGCAACAGTTGATCTATAGCCTGGTCACAGAATATTGACACTAAGACAAGCTTTAAGCATCAGTTACAAATAGAAGAATTTTATTACTTGTTAATAAATAGCGAAGAAATTGATTGAGTTACTGAGAAATGACAACACTCAGAAGCCTGAGGTGTTACAAAATGCATAGAAGGTATCACAATTGAATCTATGGTATTTAGTATGAAAAAGCATCTCAACAATAAAATTCAAATGCGGTTTAGATAGAGTTTTAAGAATAATGGTTGAATCAATAACCAATGTACTCAGCAAACACACTTAAAAACATTTCAGCATTCAAATCTTGTCCATATGATGGAAGTGTTTATGAAACTGATTACGAACAGACTTGTTTGATTTGTGGGTTATGTCAAGTTGGTAAAGCACCTGGACTTAAGTATTAATGAAAAAAATATATTTTATTTGAGGATAATTATTAACATAAAAATTATAAAATGGGAGCAGCTTTGCGATCATTTTTTGTTCCAGTTCCCCATCAAACAGTCTGTGTGTTGTAGAGGTTTGGGAAATACACAAGAACTCTGACTCCAGGATTGAATTGGAAAATCCCCTTCATTGAAGAGATTGCCTATGAACATTCGCTTAAAGTAGAATGATACTTATCCTAGGAATAAGCCTTCATGATTTACGCATAAAATGCAGTCACAAAAGATAACGTGATCATACAGATAGATGGTGTGTTGTATATTTAAGTTGATGATCCAGTTAAATGTTCATATGGAGCCTAAAAACCGATTGATTATGCTCAAGTAGATTTTGTGCTTAAACCCCCTAGATTCTTGCTCAATCAGTTATGAGAGCTGAGATAGGCAAACTCACTCTAGATTAGACCTTTGAGGAGAGAGAGAAAATGAATGCTCTGATTTTGGCTGGCCTTTCAGAGGCTGTCTAAGAGTGGGGTTTGAAGTGTTTGCGTTATGAAATTAAGGATATCAAAGTCACAGAGAATATCAGAAAGGCAATGAACATGGAGGCTGAAGCTGAGAGAACCAAAAGGACATAGATTTTGCATTCTGAAGCCAAACAGCAATCATAAATTAACTTGGCTGAAGGAGAGAGATTATCAAAGATTTTGAAGGCAGAAGGATTGGCTGAGTCTATTGTTATTAGATCAACTGCTACTGTCTAGAGAATTGAAGCCATTTCAAGTGCTATGAATAGTGAAGAAGGTGATTTGGCTGCCAGGTTCAATTTGGCAGAGGAGTATTTGGATGCTTTCAAGAAGCTTGAAGGAAAGTAGGTTCTAGTAAATAGTGATGTTAACAATCCTAAAGAGGTAATCAAAAAAGCATTGGATATGGTTGATGCCCGTTTAAAGTGAGAATTTATATACACATTCAATATCAAAATAATTTTAATAATTCCATGCTAAAAAATATTAATTTGTCATTGAGCTAAATTGAAGAGTTGACAAAGGATGAATAGAAGGAATAATCTACCAAAGTTAAAGTCGAAAAAAAAATTGAAAAAAGATTGGGATCAACAAACAAAGAGGAATCTGCAAATGTTGAACTTAAAATCGATAAGAGAATAGGCTCGGCCAAACCCAAGGATTCCCTTTAGTAATATACCAATACAAAAATAAAAAATATTTATTAGTTTTTAGAAAATGTTGAATCTGACTCATCCTAAGTGAGTCAACAAACTTAATAATAACCAGTAAGAAGCATTGAAGCAATTGAGAAGGAACATGAATACCAATCAAAAATATAATAACTGCAAGGCATTGTCTAAACACAAAAAATTGAATTGGATGAATAACAGAAAACTATTGATAATTTAAAATAGTTACTTGAAAAATCACAAGCCAAATTGAAAGAGTCGGAGTAGAACTTTAAAGAAACCCTAAATCGTAGATTAAATGAGCAGAAGGCGGAATTAGAGGTTGTCATTAATAGACATCTTGGATTCATAGATCAGTTAATCAATGATAAGAAAGACCTTAATAATTAGGTGGAATAGTTGACTAATGAGTTGAAGGGAATCGATAAATAATAGAAGAGACAATTGGAAGAGTTGAAGAACAATTTTGCCAGAGAAATAAAACAAAAATATGAGCAATGGTAAATACAGGAAAAATAGAAAAGAGAAAAATGGGAGAAAGAAAAGTTGGCTGAATTGAAAGAATAAACAATCAAAGGTTTGGAGCCTGAGTTGAATAGAATGATAGAAAAGAATAAATTAGAAATTAAGAGAATAGAAGAAAAATGTTAGAAAGAAAAAGAGCTCTATAAAATATAAGTGGTTGATGAGTCAGAAATGAAAATTTAATTATTTAAAGAGAAGTGGGCTGCCGAATATGAGTTGTTGCAATAAAAGGAGAGAGAAGCTTAATTAATTAAATAAAAAGAATTATATAGAACTTACGAGGATTAGTTTGCTAAAGAAAGGGATTCTTATAAATTAAGGATGCAATAGGATATTGAGGATTGTGAACGAAGAAGAAAAGAAGAAGCAGACACCTATGTGAAAAGGATGAAATAACTTTCAGATTCTCAGGCCGAGGAGATTAGACGTATAAAGAGTGATTGTTAAAGAGAAATTGATGAGTACAAGGAGAAGTACTTCAATATGGAAAGTGAAGTGAAAGAGGCATTAAGGGGAGATCAAGAAGCCTGGAAGTAACAATTTACAATAAGGGCAGAGGCGGACATGAATAGATAGATTGAGAAGATTCAAAAGAAGCTTGAGCAGGATAGAAACGAGAAGATCGAAAAAATAGTATAGAAATTGGCTGAAGAGAAATAATAATATGAATAGAATGTCCAAATGAAATACGATAAAAAATTAAGAGACCAATAGGCAAGCAAGGATGAGGAGATCAAGTAATTGAAGAAGTAAATAAAGGCTTTGGAGGATAGGGAAAATAAGGAAGGTAGCGAATATTAGGTAGTTCAGAAGACCAATCAGGATTTGTAAAGGTTGATAGAGAAATAGGAGTAGGAAAATCAGAAGCAGTATAAGGAATACAAAAAGTTGAAGGAGGAAATGCTTGTGTAATAGATGTTAATATTTTAGATACAAGGAGAAATTAACTTAATTTAAGGAGGAATAATAGTTGGAAGTCAAGGGAATTAAGGAGTCACATGAAAGAGAAAAGAATCGGCTTGCTGAATAGAATAATAAGTTATAAGTGGAATTGGCTAATTAAAAATAAATATTGGAGGAAACATGTAAATTGTATGTGAATTCATGTAGTGAGAGAATTGGATATGAAGCATTCATAAAATTTGGAAGAAATAGAAGAAAACGTAAAGAGAATTATTTTGAAGAAGGATCATGATATCAAATAATTGAAAGAAGAATTGAGAATGAAGTAATTAGCATGTGAAAAATATGACGAATTATTGAAGAAATAAAGGTAGGATTTACTACGATAAGTCGAATAATGAGATAAATATTATATGACTTATGTGACTATATATAATAATTAAAATTAAAATTTTAATGCTTAAAAAATATTACAATGAACAATCCATCTCTAATGCAATTCACTTAGAAGGAATCTGAATTTTGTTGGTTGGTTGGTTTAAAAGCTATCAGTACTAAGTAACCAATGATCACTTTGTGGTTAAAAAGTGAGTAGAGAAAAGTAGATCCAACACTATTAAAAAATGAGTTTATGAAGTAATTCTAATCAGGGTTCCTCCATCTTAATAGTATAATAACTGGAGATCGAAATAAGAATTCATAAATTATCAAAGGAATTTCCGATACTACAGTGATAGCTATAGTAAGAGTAATACGAGAAGACGGAATTAAGGAATTCGAGCAGATGAGAAATGACTTTTAAAAATTAATAACTATTATAACATATTTAAGTTTAACAAGATCAGTAATGAGTGATGCAGTGATGAAATTTTTAAGTAATTAATAAAATGAAAGTCATTAATACCTTGACAATTTATTATCAACTTTAGGTAAAATAGAATAAATGAAAAATGCAATGAACACAAATAAATATGATCCTATCAAAGATACATAATTATATAAGTTGTTATTTGCGAAGGGTAACTTGTATGATCCATTTATATCCAATCAACAAACCATTACTTAAACCTAATAAATTCCACAAAATTCATAGGCTGTCTAACAAAGTCATCCAGAGAAATAGACGGCTCAAGTATCTCCAATGAGATAAGCACTAACGCCAATATCTGAATAAAAATAGCATTAATAGTAGATGAATTAACAAACAATACTTCAACAATAACAAATTAAGTAAACTAGACCATTAGTACAAGTAGAAGATTTTAGTGAGGATTCGGGTGATTCTTCTGTAGATTTGGGGAACAAATACATCGTAAATGCTAAACCACAGAAGTAGTAAGTAACTGGCACAGACAGTGATTCTGAAATTTAGGAGATTCCTAACTTTAAAACTTGATATTAATACATTCACAAAAATTATTAACTTAAGAAATCAACAATATATTTTTAAAAGATTCAGTTTTAATAATGTATTATATTATCTTATATTAGTCAACAGCATTAAAAAAGATATCATTATTTCTCTTTATAACCACAATCATATTTTATATTTCATAATGTTCCTTCTTATCTATATACCCAATTAGATAATCCATATTTTATATGAATAGTTGGAAAGATATCGTTTTACAAGTATTCTATTTCTTTTATTTTTTTCAATTGTATGATTTTTCTAACTACATTAAATTAAAAATTTTGAAAAAATGGAAGACGATGATGATTTCGATCCAAATGCTGAAAAGACGATGTTCAACATAAAATATTCAAGCATCAAGGATATACGAGAACTCAATAATGGCTAAATGTTAAGTTTGAGAATTATGCATAGTCCAGATCTTGTTTCAATGCAAGTATTTAAATTCTTATAATTCAGGGGATTGAACAATTTAGATAACTAAAGTAATTGAATCTATCATAGAATTCCATCTAGGCTATGAATCTAAGAACACTAAATCAACTTGAAGTCTTAAATTTGCAATCGAATAGAATCAAAGTAATAAACTGTGAAGGTTTGAGATCATTAAGGGTTCTTAATTTATCTTATAATTTGATATCTCTATTGGGACCATTATAAATTGTATGAGAATTGAACTTATTCTAGTTCACACAATAAGGCTATTAATTGAAGTCGTTAGATTTAAGAAGCAATAGCATTTCTGACTTAAATGAACTTAAGTACCTGCAAGGAATAAATCTATAGGATGTGTTCTTTAATAGCGATAGAAGGAAGAATCCCATTTGCGAAATCTTAAATCAATATTACAAATAGATAATCAAATATGTACCTTAGATCGTTAATATTGATAATAAACCAAGAAATGAGTTATAAGAAAATGATGGGGATGGTTCAAATAACATTACCTTCAAATTGCCCAAATAATAACAAGCAAACATTGAGAAGGAAGCAGAAATGAGAGTCGAAGTGATTTAATTATAGTAGAAAGTGAAGGAGTTATCTTAGTAGAATAAGGAGATAATTTATAAATTTGAGTGCAATGAAAAGTACTGGAGTAGTAAATGTTCCAATCTGGAGAGAGAGATTATTGATTTAAATAAGTTCAATCAAGAGTTGAATCAAGAGAATAAAAGGTTCAGAAGAGAGATAGAGTCTCTGAATGAATAGAATGAATACGACAAGTAATAATAAAAGGATTTAATTAACAAAAAGGAAAGAAAGGATGAATTGATCACACAATTACAAAATAAAATAAGTGAGTTACTCTAATTAAATGGGTAATTAAGCAAAGAGAATTAAATCTTAATTGAATAGTAAAATGTTCAAAAAGTAAAAGACTAAGAAAAGGATTTTAAATTATCTGAGTATAAAATCCAATTGAAAGAAGCAGAAAAGCAATTACAAGAGTTTCATAAGAATGCTGTTGAACAAGCAAGCCAAACACTTATGAGACAGGAGTAGCTGCAATCAAAGTCTGAACAGATCAATTAGGAGTATGAATATTAAATTACATTAGAAATCGATCATTGTATTAGGACAATTCATAGTTAAAAAGGAGAATTTAAGAGTTGCTAGAAATATGTAGAGAATGGGAAGTTAAGTTTGAAACTTCATAAAAAGAGAATGAATAACAACTTTAGATCTAATTGTAATAAGTCGTTCATGAGTACGAATAAAAGCTATAAGTGTAATAAAGTTAGTATGAGTAATAATTACAGGAATTTGAAACAGAGAGTAAATTGATGTAAGATTAGTTAGAGAATGAATTTAGAAATCTATTTCAAGAAAATATGGTATATATAAATGTGTGATTATTTAAGGAAAAATTCAAACAATTGAAATTGTAATATGATGAAAAGTGCAGAATAGAGGTTCAACAGAGTCAAGAGATTAAGATATTGCAGGGTAGACTACTAGAATAGGAGAGTTTAATAAAGGAATTATAATCTGCTTTAATTCGCTTAAAGAGAGAGGTGCAAGAATTTTGTTAGGAGAAAGATCTGGCTAAAAGAGAACACCAAATTATTCAATCAGGATTGCAAAAGGATATTAATTTTCTTCAAGAATAATTATTGGAGAGTTAGACAAAATTGCAATAATTTGATAGGGAATTGAGATTAAAAAATGATGAATTATCGACAATAAATCAAGAGAATGATAGATTGAGAGCATAAAATAAATAGAAAATATAGAATGAATAATTAGTAGATGAATTATAGACAAATTTAACAATAAAAAATAAAATGTTGGATGATAAAAATGATACAATTGATGAATTAAAACAATAATTAAATTAGTTAAGAAATTAAGAGGGGAATGCTTCAGATGACTATTTGAAACTATAAAAGAAGTATGATAGATAATCATAGATCATCGATGAATTAGAAAGTTAATTACAACAAATATAGGAAGAATATGATCAAAAGAATAAGGATTTAAAGGATAAAAAGTAATTGATTGCTATGTTCGAGAAAGAGATTGAAGAAATTGAGATTAAGTAAGACAGAGAGATCAATGGGTTAAAGTTAGAATTGTAAGAAAAGGAGGGTTAATTATAAGAATTAGTTAAAATGTTGAATAATGCAAAAGAGGAATTAATAAAAAAAGATGAAAAGATCAGAGAACTCTTGGTGTAATATCAAGGGATCGAGAAACAACTCTTTGTGATTGATAAATAGAATGAAATTACAGTAAAATAGAAGGATAAATAAATAGTTGAAATGAGGTCTTAATTGTAGCAAATTCAAGAGGAATTGAATTTGATGATTTAAGAGAATATCTAATTGAAAACTAAAGCCAGGGAGAACTTATAAAATTTGCACAAATTATTTTAATAATGATAGTCGTTTTTGATTTTTAATTAAATAAAATAATGAAAAGCGCTATAATTGCTTGTCTTATCTTGAGTGTATTCAGTGTTGAGATTTCACTCAATAATGTTGCCACAACCTAAGCACTTGAGAAATTAAAGGAATCTTAATGGGCATCATTCATCGTTGATTTTGCCGAAGTTGAGTTGTCAAGTGGAGGTGCTCTTACAGAATTAGTGGAAGCTATTGAACAATTAATTGAGTAACTAGAAGAGGAATTAGATGATATTCATCATGCCTATTCCAAAAGAACAGATGAGCATAATCGTGATGTGACTAGATTAGAATAAGAGATCTAAGATGCTGATAGAGGTATTGGATTTGCATTTAATTTTTATTAGAAATTTTTAATGGTGAAGATTTCATAGACAACGTTCTTATTCCATAAAAAGAGAGATTTTAATCTGCCCTAGCATAATTGAAGACAAACATCGAAGAAAACAGAAGAGTCCTTGATGGAGAAACTCTCAACAGAAAGAAATAGCACGAATAATTTTTATCCAACATCGCTGAAATCAATGAAGCTATTGGTGCTGTCGACGAATCCCTTGGTTTATTGTCTTAAATTACAAATCCATCCCTTGTTCAATTCAAGAGAGTCCAAACTAATCTTAATAGAATTCAAACATCCTTCTAAAACCATTCCTCATTCGCACCAATCATCAGAGCACTTCTAGAATTAGCAACAGAATAAAACTTCGCTGATTAAGGTTCTCTTTAATAAGTAACAATATTCATTTAATTATAGCTTGTCAAAATCTTCAATGAATTAAGAGTCTAATTTGTTGATACCCTTAATCAAGAGACAGCTGATGAAAGTGCTGCAGAGACTAAATTTTCTGAAAGAGTTGCTTAATTAGAAAAAGAATTTGCTGAATTCCAAAGAGCAGTCATGATCAAGAACTCTGAGTTAGCTGCTAATGAATGTATCTAAATATAAAACATTAATTAGAAAAACTAGGAGAAACCATCGTATATGTCGGATAAAGAAAGGATGATAGAGCCACTCTCTAAGCTTAATTACAAGCAGAAAACGACAACTATGCTGCCGAAACCGATTTGTACAATAGAACTGTCGCTGAATACAATAAAGAAATTGAAATTAGTAAGTAGGCCCTTGGTTTGTTAACTTAACCCAGTTTCGAATAATACGTTAAATCAAAAGTTGGAATTTGATTAATAATTATATATTCCATTTACAAATTTAATCACTATATGTCCTGATCGTGATATTTGTCCCATTTTCAAAGTAGGATTAAAATGTTGAATTTTATTTATTCTAAATATTTGAAGTAATTTCTTAAGCAGAGATATCTGGATTATACTAGTATTTATAATAATAATTTTTATATTTGTCTTTGTAACTTAATGCAATCAGATCCATACAATTGGCCGTTTCCAAACCGAAATGATCTAATGAATTTATCTACCATAAGTATGAGTAATCGAATAAATGAGAAAATCAAAGGAGAGAGATTATTCATGATAATAGAGCATAATCAACTATGTCAATAGAAGGCATCGATGGGGCTGCTCCTAAATTAAAGCCTTATCAATATGTGAATAAAGAACAATTTTGCAATCGAGACGATGATATTCCTGGAACCAAATCTCGACCATTAATTAGATATACAAACAGATCAGATAATCAATTAATGGTTGATGATATCAAAGGGACACGTCCATAAATCTGTAAATTTTAGACTAATCGATCACCAATCAATCCCCTTGAACCAACTTATAAAATCCCATCTTTTGAATAGGCAGAACCTTATCAACCCAAATTTCTCAGGGATAGCTACAATATCACTGATATTGAGGGAGCTTAACCTTCGATAATTAATCCAAGATTGAAAAAACAGCCTATCCCTTTGCGTGATATTGAAGGGTCCCATTCAAAACAATTACATGTTCAAAAAGGTATTAGTTACTCCTTAACTACATTTCTAGATGGAATCAATTAGTTCGAGGTCAAGGATATCAACACTGACATGCTACATAAATATATTAGAAATACAAATCCAATTGAACCAGTGTATTCTCACAGAGATGAAGATGGGTATTAAGAGTTCTTAATTTAGAAAGAAAATCGAAATCGGTTTCGTTGAAGGTAGTAAAACTAAGTAACTGCATCCAATCACGATAAATAAATGTGCATCTTCCACCTTAACTACCTAAGACATCGTTGGTGCATAGGCAGGATCTCATTCTTAACATTTCCTGAGATCCAGTGATAGAAAAGATTACAGACAAATTAATAATATATAAGATATAGAAGGTGTGTAAGCAGGTTCACTCAAAAAAGGAATTGTAAGTAAAAGATATACAAATCCTCTGATGCCAGCTTATTAAATGCCTGGAAATGTTGAATTAAGGTAAGATTATCTATAATTTCAGTTCCACTTAACCAAAAAGTGTGTTCTAAAAGAATGCCAGTAATTAAATGTTTACCAATGCTTAAAAAATGGATAAATTTTTAGCACAAGGATGAAAGATAGATAAAGATTTTATTACAAAATATATTGTTTTAATAATTGTTTTTAAAAGTTTTTGTTTATAGAAATTGTTAATCTAGTATATATATTATCGATTCAAATGTTTTCTTTGAAAAGTCTGCCTATTGAAGTTTAACTCGCTTTAACATCAATATTCTCCTTATACAATGATGATTTTCTGACTTCAAAGTAAGTAGATTCCTATATAAAGTTAATAATATTACCTTGATATTCTTAATCTCTAATCCTCTCTTGTTGAATGCTTCAAATTCCGCTTAAACCATCATTAAATCCTCCTAAACTTTATGATAATCTCTATTTAATATAATGAACTTCTCTTTCCACATTTCCACTTCATTTTAAAGATAATTAATCTTCTCCTCTAAACTTAATTATTGACTTTAATTAGCCTATTCTGTAAGTTATAATTGTCTATCTAATTCTACTAATTACATTTGTTTTTCTTTGATATCTTCTAATAAGGTTTCAAGTTTAAATTTAAGTGTATTTTCCTCCTCATTTTTATTATCTAACTCTTATTAAAGGTTTTTTTATTATTGATTAGTCTATTCATTGAGTTATCTCAATTATGATTCTACTTCTATTAAGTGAGATATTTAAACTTATGAAAACTAGTTTTACTTCTTCAATTCATCATTTAGCTCTGCTTATTATTTTAAGTCCGATTAGAGTGTATCACATTGAGTGATTAATTCTTATATTTTGATTTCAAATTATTCAATTTATCTGTCCTCTACTTCTTGTAATAGTTAGTTATTTTCAAGTATTTATGTTTTTTATTAATTCAACATTTAGATTTCATCAGATTTTTATGATAGTTTATCCTTTAAATCTCTATTTTCACTTTAAAGCCTTTACACTTCCAAACTTTGAAGCACTAATTATTCTTGCAGTTCTTAATTATCATTTACAATCTTTTCTTCTGTTCTTTTGGTTGATTAAAGACATTCCTATAATTAATTAATTTCTTATATTAGCTAAAATTAACTGTTTTCAAAAACTTCTTTTTCTCTTGAAATGTCTGAAATCTATTCTTATAATAACTGCACCTGATTTTATAACTTTTGACTTTCTAATTCATATAAAGACTTTAACTACAATTTATGTTTTAACTCTTCATTAATAATCAAGTAATTATATAATTCTTAATTATTATTTTAAGCTATTTAGGCTAATTATTAAGCCTTTTCATAATGAAGTAACTCTAGTTTATCCTCTTTATCCCTAATTTGAGTAGTGAGATTAACTACTTAATCATTTAAATTCAGTATTAAATTATCCTTTTCTTCAACTTGCTATTTGGTGTTATATAATTATTATTATAAATTTTGGAAGTGTTCTTTATTCATTTATTCATCAGCTTAACTTTGTAATTAGAATTCTAAATGTTTCGTCTGATTCTCTGCAGTATTTAAGAGATTAGAGTTTGCTTGATCATTGAAAATTACTTATCCATTTAAATAATTATTCTTTTCTTATAGAGCCTATAATTGCAATTGTAAATCTTCAACTTTGTTATTTAAATCCTAATTTTAACTTTCGAATTCTGCTAATTTTTAAATTCTCTGAGCATCTAATTGTTAATCCTATTATACTTTGTATTCTAAAAGATCAAGATTCTCTCTATAATTAGAAATTAAGGAATCTTTTTATTGTAATAATAGTTGATTTTATATATCCTTCTATGCTAGTTCTAATTTCAATTAGTCAATAACATTATTTGATGTAGCAAATTGTGATTCATATTATTTAATCTAATCGAGTAAGATTGAAATCTGAGAATTCCTCTCTTCAATTACATTTTCTCCAACTTACAACTACTTCTCATAATCCTTTATTCTGTATTCTTACTAGTATAATTACTCATCTCTATCTTGAATTATGAATTATTATCTTTCTATCTCCTATTACAGGATTTTATAATCAGCTTCTAGATTTCGCTAAGTTGAGGTAAGAGTTTTAATTTTATCTTCTTGATTTTGAATTTCAGAATTTAGATGTTGAACTTCATCTTGATGATTCCTCTGAGTTTCTTCTAGCAACTTTCTCATACTCTCTATTTCAATAGCTGTACTCATCCAAGTTTGTTATTCACCGTCATACTTATCAATTTAGTGTTCTAACTCATATATACGTTAATTTAATTTATTATTATCTTAGGTTAATTGTTCTATGAGATTTTCCTGATTTAGTTTTAATTTAATTTACATGTCCTAAACACTTCTTATCTGAACAGAGAACGACAGTTCTGGTTTCAACGACAGGTTTTTATGATAAAGTAGTAATAGTAGCCTTTGGTCTAGTCTAGCAGGTGGTGATTTTGGCCAGTCTACTACATGAATCTTAGCGTGTATCTCTGGGAGGAGAACTAATTAGGCGAGTTGTGGCGATAGTTTGAGTTTGCAGGATCTTTGGAGATTGTGGTCTCATTAACCTTATTATTATTCGTTAAAATTATTAATAATTTTAATACAGTTAAATGAGTCAAGCTCAAATAATTCAATAAGTGTAGCAAGTATTCAATAAGCTCTCCTAAAATCATTCACAACCTATGAGCAAAGAAACAATAATTAGATTTTTGGATTAGCAATCTAATAAAATGTATGACAGAGTTTTGTTTGAATAACTTTACACAAGGATGAAGAAGTCTGGCGATGGCTAAGTTACTATCAATGATTTCATTTCAATTTTAATGGAAGCATTATAATCATTAAAAAATAAAATATCCATTTTGGAATAGCAAGTTGCACAAAAACAACTAAAAGTAGACGATGATCAATTGCATTTACAGTAATTATAAACTATTGAAGAATATAACTCACATAAAATATGTTAGGGCAGCAAAATCAGAATTACTATTATTGATGCCAAAATTTAATTTCCAGGAAATACTAGAGTTGCTATCATTTTGGGTTCTGATGACACCAAATACTCCACCAAGCCAGCAAATAGACAAAACGCTGTTTGGAATGAAAAATTTGAATTTAATATTATTACTGGATAAGAGGAAATCTACATTGTTATATTGGATGAAGAATTAATAGAGAAGTAAGAAATTGGCGGATAGGCGAAACTCAATTTAAAGGACTTTTATGATCAAAAACCTCATGATATTTCATTGGAATTGAAAGATAAATATGGCGTTGTTCTTTATTCCACAATCAATCTCAGAGTTTAATGGATTCACTCATAAGTATTTTTACCCTTTATTTTAGACCAAATATTTTAAAGAGTCCATCAAAGAAAATCAATAAGTAATTGATGATTTAAGTCAAGACATTAATGAATATAAAAGTGATATTCTCCAGCTCTTCTATCCTTTCGATGAAAAACAACAAAACCAAACAAATGAACGATATATTGTAACTGAGCAATCAACTATTCAATAAGTACATGATTTTCAATTTTATGATACTTCCCAAGCGTAATTATGGGTTAAACTAGCATTAGCTTTTACATTGTTTTACTTCATTTTAATATTAATTGCAAGTCTATTTAAGACCCAGTTTATAGATGTAAAATACTTCTTTAATAATAGTTAACAGTATTATTTTATAGCTTATACTATTATATGAATAATAATAAATTACTATCACTGTTACACTTTAAAATAATTACGACTATGATTGTTGTCACAATTATTTTCGATATTGTTTGGTTTGTTATTTTTACTAATCCCTGGACAACTAATAGTGTTCTCTTTTTTTAATTGGAACACAGTTTCTAAATGTATGAGGTGATCATATCATATATAATACTTGGTATTAAAGTAAATTTAAATATGTTTTATATTTAGGTGATTCTAATATGCATTTATGTTAATTTATACCTCATGTGTCCAGATAAAAGAGCCAATATCTATGATGCTCAATATGAACTAATATTTGGACAAAGAAGTGTAGATAATGAGAAATAAGATGCTTATAGCTTCAGAAACACAAATCATTATCTGCAATAATCATTTTCTAAAAATTTCTGATATTTTTGAATAAACTTAAATTTTAAGTTATATTAATTAATAGATATTTTTAAATCTTATGCACATAAAGAGATTATACATGAATTAAAAGCAATGCCGACCAAAAATAAAGTGATCAAATAATTGTTTCATCTTAAATACATTCTGTCCTCTCAATTTACGAATTTACAAATTGTATAAATCTCGATTAATCAAACTTACTTAATCTTTATTTATTTAAAAGAATATTTTTTATTCCAAAATATTAACCTAAATATGAAGATACCAGTAATTTTTTCTACCATTACTACTTTTAAAGGTGATTCAAATTCCAGATAAACTTATAGCCAATATATTTAGGGTTATTTCCTCTCGTCTAAATATTGGATATTCTTATACAGAGATATAATGTCATTTTTAGGAAAAGTAATAATTTTAATAAAGCTTCAGAAGTTTGCTAAAACCATTCTTATTAATTTAGTGAATTGATATAATTGTATCGCTGCTGGGAAATAATTTATGGGATGATTGGAAGATCATTACGTAAAGTTCAAGATTTTGATGAAGCTAATTGTTATGGAGTATTCTACATCAAAATATCACTTATGTACTTCTTAGTGGCTAAGTCAGAATCAAATTTTAGAATTAAAACAGTCTCAAAAATGGCCATAATGTTTGAAGTAATATAATCAAGCATAATCTCATTTTTATATACTTTTAAATTATTATAAAAAATATAGTAACAAGAATTTAAATCAATTACATTAAAGCATATTTAATCTTACTTCCATATGAGCTAAATTTCTTCAAATTGAACCATTCAATCTTACCATACGAAAATCTTATATGCTCGTTAAATTAATAAAGAAATATACCTAATCAATTTATAGTTTAAATAACCTTCAAGGGAATAGTTTTATATAGAGTATGTTAATTACCATTATTAAAGTTTACAAGGTATGACAAATTCTATTTTTACATTCTTAGTGATTAAATAGTATGAGAAAGCTCACAAAATATAAGGAAATAAGAAAAAAAATTCAATTTTATTTTAAAAATTTGTTTAAATTTTGATAAGAATTGGCATGGGTTATCGATGTTGTTAGTTTTTGTATGCATTATTCCAAGTCTAAATGAGTTATATTGTGTGTTTAGATGCACAAATACCTGTTAGAAATAATTGATTAAGAAATAATTGAGATTTGTTAAATATTTAAAAAAATAGATATTTATATTTGATTGCATGAGCAGAAAAGAATAAGACATTAAGAGATTGATTGCTTCATAAGTAAAAATGTTATGTATATGACTTCTTCTAGTGCCACATTGGAACAAAGCAACTCCATTTTGATATGAAGAGATATGTATCACACAGAAGCGATAATGGTGCATACATTCTCAATTTAGAGGAAACCTGGTAGCACATCAAATTGGCTGCCAGAGTTATTGCAGCAGTTGAATAACCTCAAGATGTCATGGTATTATAAATAATGAGTAATTCAGGTTGTTTCATCAAGACCAATTGGATAAAGAGCAGTCATTAAATTCGCTCACTATACTCATGCTAGCTCAACAAGATCATCAAGATGGACACCAGGTACATTGACAAATCAATCCAACAGTGCCAGTGGAAAATTCCAAGAACCATAATTATTGATTGTCACAGATCCACATTTGGTATATATATGAATATAACATTTTCCTTAGGATAAATAAGCCATCGTTGAAGCATCTTACGTCAACATTCCAGTTATTGCCTTATGCAATTCAGACAACCCCTTATAATATGTTGATATCCCAATCCCAGTTGGAAACAGAGAAACTAAGTCAATTTCTATGATCTATTGGTTGTTGGCCAGAGAAGTCAAGATCTTGAGAGGAGAATTGAGACAAGGTAATTGAAATGAGCCATAATGATAGATGAAGAATGGGATGTCTTGGTTGATTTGTTCTACCACAAGGAAATTACCAATGATTAATTGGGTGTTGCAGATAACTAAGTCAAATAAGAAGGTGATGGTGAAGAATAAGAACAATAAGGTGAAGCAGAGAAAGCTGATAAAGATTGGTGATAAAATATATTATAATTATGTAAAGTACATGTATGTCAATTAGTTTATTTTTATATATAAATTATATTTATTAATTTATTAATGAGTAATGCATTTAAGTCTGCTGCAGGAAACACATTGTCCAAGAATGACTTGGGCTAAACTGGATAGAGTTTTGCAGGATCTCAAAACCCTGCATCTTTAAAGGGCAAACTTATGAGTTTAGAGGTAGACTGATTTATCTAATTGAAGGAAACAATCAAGGGGATTTAAGATGAAATGAACTTCCACAAGAAGGAGGTCCAAATTCTCAAATCAGAAAAGGACACTCTAGAATCTGTTTTGAGTATGAAGACTCAAGATGTCAAAAAAACACTTACAAATGAACTCATGAGAATAGAAGAGGAAATGAAGAGGTATTCAGTCTCATTCCTACTTATTAGACATTTTGCTCATCAAAAGGCTGAGAATTCAAGATTACAATAACAAATCACTGCTTTGAAGGGCGAAAAGACTGCACTTTAATAATAACTACTGGGTCTCTAGAGAAGAATTGCAGAATTAGAACTATAAGTAGGTCAAGAGCAAGGCTGAAATATTATGAAATATTAAACATTACGATATAAACAACCTTTGTTATAATAAATTCAATAGCTTTTCAGATTACCTATTGATAAGTGAACCCTTCGAAATATTCATTTGATACGGATTCTGGAGTCTCCATTATAGGTTATTGCAAGAAAGCGGGTGCGAAATTTTATAAATCTTAAACATGTTAAATCTTTGGAATGATAGGTGGTTGCAATTTACGTTGTTCTACTAATTTCCAATCTATTCCATTGAAGAAATTATGTTTTTTTATTTCTTAAATTCCGTTCGATCCTAGTCTCAACCCTGGCTATTCATAGATTATGATATTCATACATCTTTAGTCAATAATCCCTTCAGTAATGAAGCTGCATAGAATGAGAAACAAGATTTCATTTCAAGAGGTTTCTCGCATCGATTTTTAAGCATTTCTCTTTTGTCTTTTGAATAAAATGGTGGAGTCCCACAAAGCATCTCATAAATCATGGCACCGTAACTATAGAAGTCAACTACAAATGTGTGTCCCCTTTCTATTTAAATATAATTAAATTCATACGATATAGAATTTCTGGGGCTACATATTCTGGTGTTCCACAAAATGAATATGTCATCTCATTTTTCTCAAAACCCAGTTTTGATAACCCAAAATCTGTTAATACTATGTGGCCATTCCTGTCCAATAAAATATTTTCTGGCTTTAAATCTCTATAAATTATATTGGATTAATGGAGTAGGTCTATTGCAACCAACAATTCAGCAGCATAAAATTGAACCCAGTCTTCTGGAAATTTAAATCTCTTCCTAAGATGGAGAAAGAGCTCTCCCCCTTGCATAAAGTCCATAACCATGTATAGACGTGAAGGACTTTGGAAAGCATAATGTAACTTCACCATGAAAGGGCTATTTATCAATGACATGATTTTCCTCTCCTTTATTGCTTAATCTTGCTATTTCTTCTTTGTCAGCATTTTCTTCCTCAAGATCTTGACTGCAAATAATGATTAATCATCACACTTTTTAACAAGCAACACTTTTCCGAATGATCCTCGACCAATCACCTTAATCAACTCAAAATCATCTAATTTTAACTTTTGTTTGGAATCAGCATTCTCACCTTCAAAAGGTAGTTGTGTAGTTTCTCCGATTTTGTCATCTTCATCATCTGCTTCTGGCATTACATCTTTAAAGCTTGGTAATGTTGATGTATATTCTGCTGGCTTGTTTTAACACATACCCATTAATAAATATATTTATAAATAAATTTCTAAGTTTAATTTATTTTCTATTAGTTTGATATTCTACATCTTCTTACTAATTAATATGACATATTTTCTAGTTTACTTATGCATTAATATAAATTTAAGATATTTACGACTATTATTATTTCTTTGTTTATTCACTTATCAAAATAATTATTTTTTATTTTTATATTAATTCCTTTCAAAATTACAAATGAACCAAGATCCTAATGAAAAGGATATGATAGGAGATCTTTTAGATGGTATCTTAATTTTCTCCAAATTTTAGATAGTTTTGAAAATGTCGCCAAAATCAAAAAATCATATACATCAAATAGACCCCCTGTTCTATAAATTAATTAGAATCATAATTCATCTCCAATATATTACCCAAAAGTATATTCTCCTCAAGTGCAGCAAAAACAAAAGTTTTTTATCTTCATTAGTTAAGTTCTTATGATTTAGATTTACGGCTCACCAAAGTCCCTGTCTAACAGAGTGCTCCAAATTCAGCATTAAAACCAAAATCATATGACTATGTAACTCAATTTAATCCGGATGATGAAACTTCCTTGGACGGAGATTTAGTACCTAATTATACTTCTATTTAAGATATCCAAATGCAAAGATTAGAACGGGGCTAGAAGCATTCAAAAAGCCTTTCAAGAAGGTTCTTAGGCTATCAGAGAACAAATTTTTAACAAACTAGAAAAGGGGCTGTTGTCTCTCTCAAAAGATGTCTTTGGAAATTATGTCATCCAAAATCTGCTTGAATTTGGTAATATTTTTAATAATAAGAGGAACTTCAATTCAATAATAAAAAATACTAGCCATTTTATAACCTCACTCTTCACAATTAGCATTTCATCAATATGGCTGCAGAGTTCTATAAAAGTTATTATAAAATGCCCATAATACAGCAGATTTTCCAATCTTATTCGATACGATTAAAAATAAAGTGAGAGACTTAGTAATTGATTAACATGGAAATCATGTAGTTTAGAAATTAATCTAATTGATGGAGAATGATATAAGTTTATGGGTCTTAGACGGGATTGAAGGATAAGTCAACAAACTTGTGATTAATTCATTTGGTTGTAGAATAATTTAAAAAGCTGTCTCTATTTCTACTAATCATCCTGATAGATAAATGAAAATTTTATTTGAAATTATGAGGCTAGCCTATGAACTCTGTATTTCCCAATATGGGAATTACATAATCCAATAACTATTGAAGGAAGGACCTCTCGTCATCAAAAACATAATTTAATAAATTATAATGGAAAAATTAGAAGAATATAGTTTAAATAAGTTTGGAAGGTACATATATAGTATAGTTTAGCAATGTCGTTGATTGTGCAATCAAATGCTCTGATAATTAGTTCAAACTAAAAATTATGGAATTGTTACTGAGTCAAAATAATTCATAAGTGCTATTTGTAAGATTGTCTACGAATGCATATGGCAACTATGTAGTTTAAAATTTTTTTAAATACGCAGATTCAGAAATACAAAAAGAACTTTATTTAAAAATTACTAATAATTAATAACTCTTATAAGAAATACAATAATATAAATTTGGTAACTTATAATTTAATATCTTTCAAGGTCAGTTTGTTTACTAAATGTTGACTTAGAAATTAGAATTGGAATCCTTCAATTTATGATCTGTTTTTATGATTTGTTTATATATGTAATTTGTAATATTTTTAGAACACTACCAAAAATATAATTTATAATTAAATATGTAAAAAACTTAGCCAGTTAGCAGGGATTCTTAAATCTTTGAAACCTTAAATTATAAAGATGGTACAAGATATACTATATTTCTAGACTCGATTCAAGTTCAAGATCTAGACTTTTTTGGACCTTGGCATAAATAAAACAATTCAATTTAATAACAAATTGCATAGATTAGAAAAACCTATACTTCCTCAACTAATCATGTGCAGAATGATATAATGGAACGGCGAGAGACCTAAACTTCACAAGTTAGGATGATTAATACCTCATTTCCTAATAAAAGGAGAAAAACCAGAAAAATATCAATTGATTAATCTAGTTAATTTGTAGAAAAACCTAAATATAATGAATCTCGTTAGGTCTAAAGAATCATTTAAGAGTTCTTTACTGATGAAATTAGGGAGAAGAAAAAAAAGCAAAGAAACTATGGTTTTTTTATTCCTCAAACTTCAAAATCTAGTAGTAATACAAAATGCAATGGTTCGTCTTTTTAAACAACTTAAGCATATTTTGATGTAATTTATTTCTTTAAACTAAGAGAAAATTGCTCTAAAAATGTAGAAATTGATGCCAAACCTATAGAAATCACCATCGAAATCGATTAAACCTTTAAAAAATGTAAATATCAAATAAAAACTCATTCTTGATTTGCCAATGGCTACAAAAAGCTATTTTCCTCCTTAATTATTAATTAACACTACAAAAAATACATAAGCCACTCCTTAAAATTTGAATTCTTCTGAAAATAAACCTCAGATCAAAACTCTAAATTTTCTTGCCAAAACAGGTAAGGGTCCTGTCTGGAAAGTAAATAATTATACTAGTTTATGATTTAGCAATATGATGAATAAAAACATATCAAATTTTATTTCAATTGTTAACTTAAATTAAAAATATTATGTGTATTTATTTATTTAAACTCAAAAAGATCTGAAATTTTTATCTATTTTGATACATGCATCCTCCAACAATTTCAATAAGGCTTCAGTTGTAGCTTCCCTTTCTCTTCTTTCAACATTGATATCTTATTACAATTTTCCATGAACATCCTCTATCATTCTAAAGATTTTTCCTTGAGTTTCTTCTCTTACCTTCTTTTCAATAAGGAGCTAATCTGAAAATTTGTTAATTTCAGAATCGATTTATTCAGACAAAGATTCAGATGATTCTTCTCTACAAAATAATCATTAGAATTACCTTGATCTTCTCTCTTGATCTAATTGATTCTTCACTAATTGCACTTATTACAAGACTTCAGCAATTTTAACTTAGCTTCTGTCTTCATATTGATGAGTGTTCCTTGTGATTGTGAGAGTGATTTATTGGAATCTTTCATCTATTTGTTTTTACAGCTTTGTTTCAGCTTGTCCTCTGCTATTTCTTTCTTGATCAAAAGAGAGAGCTACGTTATCAGATAGAGTTCTGAAATCTTTGTCTTTTTTGTCATCGAAGGCCTTAAAGTTTAAGTTATATGAAATACTTCTCTTTCAGCTTTTTGATTGTGAGCATAATCTTGAAGTTTTAATACTTGATCCTTAAGGATTTTAAATCTTTACTCATCCTTTGGTTTTTCAGAAGAGAGAACATCTTCAATAATTTTAATTCTTTCCTCGAGAACTTCTCTCTTCTCTAATTTATCCTTGTCTATTCCATTTTGGATATGATTCCATTTATCAGATAATAACTTGATTCTTTATCTTGAAGGAGAATCGAGGTCTTATTAAAGATAATTAACAGTAGATCTTTAAGGACTCTACAATTGGGACTTTCCTAGTTTAGAAGTTGACAACTTAGATGTAGATAAAAGCATCCTTCTTTTTTGATTTTTAGAAATAAATTTATTTACGATTTAATCAAAAATCTTAAATACCTAGTTAAACTATGCAATAATAAGATAGGAGATTGAGTTAGGCATTCCCTCCAAACTCTTAAAATAACTCTAGTTACATTGCTGAAATACACAGTGTGTTAGCAAGCGTTAAGATAGATGACATTGGATTTAAAGATATCAAATTTAGAAATATTCAAACCAAAAGAGATATAGCATAGCTTAAATAGCTGTAGTAAGAATGGTTCCCTATTGATTACAGTGAATAATTTTACACCTCTCTTTTGAATGGCTAAAACTCCTCTCTAATAGCAGAGATCGAAATAAAGTTCAATACAGGCAGAAAGGAAAGATTCATTATTGGTGCTATGATTTATTAGTCGCGTCAAAGCAAATCAAAATATCAATAGACTCAGACTTGGAAATAATGGTTTTGCTCATTGTTTTAAACGAAAAATGCGCTTTACATTATGACAATAGGAGTTATAAATGAATTTAGGGGAAGAGGAATTGCTGAATACATGGTTGACTAGTTAAAGAAGAGAGTTTTAGAGTCGAATAAAACACTTTCTTATATCTATCTAGACATGGTTGTTTATAATGAGGTAGCAGCTCGTTTTTATCAAAAAAATGGGTTCAATAGAGTTAGAATTAAGAAAAACCACTATGAGTTAGAAAATCAATAATTTGATGCTTATGTTTATGTCTGGTTACCTAATTGAATTTATAGATAATTGTTTATAATTATATATTAAAGAATTTGCAAATTAAACAATGTAATAAGACAAGGAAATTGATTTTATAAGAAGAAAATATTGCTGGCATTTATTATCGCTATTTTTGACACTTTTAATGATTGCCTTTATTCTTGGATCAGATATCAAGTGTATAAAAAGTGAATTAGATCTCAGTTAATTGATTTGTACAATTCTAGAAATTATTTTTTGCCTTTTAGTCTTTATTTTAACTTGCATGGAATTAAGATATTTTTATAAAGTAAAACATAACAATTTTACTTTTACATACACTTCTATAATTTCATAAGGGTGCTTGAAGATTATAATTGTTTGCTTAATTATAATTTATTTGGCAAATCTCATAATTGAACTTATTTATGATGTTTAATTGACGAATAATTAAAGACACAATTGTCATTACTTTGGTTTCACAAATCAAATATACTAATTTATTATTTCTGGAATCATTTTAATTTGTTAGTTAATTATGATGTTTATTCCATATAAAATATCGAAAACATTAATCTCGCTATCTAATTAGAAAAAAACCTTATTTCAAGATATTTTTCTAAGTGACTTAGAAAATGACTTTCAGGAGTACAAATTATAAAATAATCAATAGCATAACCGCAAATAATGGAAACTTCTGTATTATTATGGCTCAAAAACAATAAAATATATGCTCTATCCCTTCTTCTCAGCTAAATAAATGCATATGCAAATTATGCACTTCCAAAATCAAAAATAAACAGCTTGTTACAAGGCTTTTATGTACACATTTATTTCATGATTAATGTTTCTAGAAATATGTTCAAAGTATTATGAGATAAAAATCTTTCGTTTTAACTTGTCCCATGTGTGATCAAGGTGTAAATGGTGACAAATAAACATAATTCATAATATACGAAAGAAAAAGCAAGGGAAGCTACAAGCATTGAATAATAAATTTTATATTTTGTATATAAAATCATTACGCAATCAAGCTGAATGCTAGAATCTCTACAGAACCCTAAAGTAAAATAAATTATATAGGATACTATTGGAGGTTGCGATTAGTAGACAGCAACTGTTCTTGATTTGTCTTTCGTACATCTTTACACTTGTGAAGAAGGAAAACACAAATTTCATCATTGTAGAGCGGAAGGAATTTTAGTATTTCTGATTGATAGGAGAGAAGGAAAAGTACTTATTATTTTAAAGCAATAGGCATTCTATTTAAGAATACTTCATCCAGCTACCTTAGAGGTCAAATTCTCTGTTGAATTGTATTTTGGATTTATTGAGAGTTGGTCTCCAGTGAGAGGATTTAATAATTTTTATGCATTTCCATTTAGCAAAGGATTTGTTGGAATGCTCTTTATAAATGATTAAGAAGCGCAAAGAATTACATAAAAAATTAAATAATATGCTCCATCTAAAAAAGATCTTGAAAAACTGAACTAGCAAATTAAAGAAGAGGAAAAGCTAATAAAGGCATATTAACAACAAGAGAAGGAAAAAGATTCATTTTCTTATTAATTCAAAGCCTTCTTCGGAAAAGAAAAAGTTGAAAAAGTATCAAATAAATATATATATTAAGCCAATTTAAATAGGGACTCCTTAAAATGTTAAAAGAAATACTCTTTCTTTGAATGTGGAAACTGGAGAAATAGATATAGACAAATTACCTCCTGTACTAATAGAGGTCTTTTTGAATGCAGGAATCACTAAAAAAGATCTTCAAGATAAAGCAAAGGCTAAAGAGATCTTTAAAACTGTAGCCAAATTTAGTGATAAAAATTAATAAGCCACAGTATCTAAATTCTATCTATTAGCAACTTTAGTCAAATTAATTGAATAAGAATTCGTCAAAGTAATAATAATAATAAGTGACAAATCCGCCTTCTCAAAAATAAAACCCTGTTTAAGCATAATAATAACAACATAAGCCATCAGTAGTAATTACAAATAAAGGTGCTCCACCTCCTCCACCACCACCTCCACCTCCCCCTCCTCCTCCACCTCCTCCAGTTCGCTAAGGTGGTAACAAACCTCAGGTATTATAGCCATCATCTCAAACATAAAAGTAAAATCCTCCAAGCCAATTAGATAATTCGAATTAAATAAATGCAATACCAAATCAAGTTTAAAACTAAACAACAAACCCTACAGCATAGACACAGTAAAAACCATAACCTCATTCTATCTTAAAGAGCTAGGTTGATTAAAAAAATCTTGCAAAAGAAATTGAAAATTCAACTGGTTACAAAGTTTAAGGACATGATATTAATATGGATATTGGTAGTATGAATGCTAAGGAAAAGGAGGATCTGTCAATTATGCTTGAGGCGAATATGAAAAAAAATAGAAAAGTAACTTAATTTGCAAAAAGAAAGAGTAGTAGTGAAGGTGGTTGGAGTGATGATTGAATAATTTGAAAACTAAATTTAATTAAAAAATATAATCTATTTATATAGCTTAGATCTATAATATTAAGTAATTAATCACATATTTTGATATAAATTGATGATGTAGTTTTCATATTAGTTTTGCTATATATTAAGCTTATTTGCCGTATCGTATAGAGCAATGATTAATGCTTATTGAACTGATTATTTTTAGGGAAATTTCTTTTTCAAGAAGGCTGCAATTTTAAAGAATTGATTCTTTTTCTCTGCTTCTGACTTATGAACCATCGTTTAAGTTAATTACATGGATTCCTCCATTCTGGGAGTTAAGGTTCCTATTTTGCTTTTTTCTATGAAGCTCGTTTCTGTAATTGGAGAAAGAGATTATTTATTTGCCTATTTAAATCTAGATTGAAAATCATCTTTTAGTGACTAATGAATATTGTTTTGAACATTTTCAAAAGGGTTTCTGTATCTATTCAATTGATTATCATGAATTTAAAGCTTTTTTTGCAATCCTCCCTCATTTGCCAATGATGTTGCAATAGATTCCTTTAGATGATTGATCACGTTATTTTGATTGCTTTGCAAAATTCTGGCTTTTCTTTCTGAAAATTACATTATCTTGCTTATGATGGTTAAAATTTATTGGATGACTTATTCGACAGCAATGTCTTATTATTGATTTTCAAAGTATTATTAAAATAGATCTAAATCGTCTAAGCATTGTGAAACCACATCATAATCGGAAGCTAAGATGATGTTACTGCAGCATTTCCATAGCATTTATAAATATTAAATGATATACTATTAATCTGATGAATAGGTTTTGAGCATCTTTTTGATTTTATTTATAAGAAAATTACATTTTTATAATTTAGCCTGTAAAGAGTCTACTTGTTCATATTAATCGCATTCTCCATTGCAATTTTGAGTGTGTATGTCGATTTAATCTGAGGGAACATAGCTCTCACAACTCATACAAAAAACATCTTAAATTTAATTGAGTATTTCTTCAAAATTGAAATATTATTCATTTGACTTATTTCCATATTTTCTCACTAAGTATTGATGTGTAGTAGTTCGATTTATTGTCTTTTCAAAGGATGAAGCTGTATATACATTCATTCCGTTAATTAATTAATTGATAAATATTATTAAATAATATTATAAAACCATGAAGATTCAAGTTTAGACTCCTGTAGTAGAATTAGACGGAGATGAAATGACCAGAGTATATCTTATATATAATTTAGATTATATGGTAACAAATCAAGAAGTATTTGATCTTTCCATTTTTAGATCTCAAGATTGATTACTATGATCTTGGAATGGAAAACAGAGACAAGACAGATGATAAAGTTACTGTTGATGCTGCTAATGCAATCAAGAAGTATAAGGTTGGAATTAAATGTGCCACCATGTAAAATATTAAATAATCACATTGTAGTACTCCAGATGAAGCCAGAGTGAAGGAATTTAAGTTAAAATAAATGTGGAAATCACCAAATGGAACAATCAGAAATATCCTCAATGGAACAGTGTTTAGAGAACCTATTATCATCAAGAATATCCCTAGATTGGTGCCAGGTTGGAAAGAACCAATCATTATTGGAAGACACGCATTTGGAGATTAATACAGAGCCACAGATTTTTTGATAAGTGAGCCAGGAAAATTAGAGATGGTATTCACCAACAAACAAGGATAAGTCACAAAGTATCCTGTATTCGATTTTGAGGGCAAGGGAATTTCTATGGGTATGTACAATACTGATGAATCAATCATTGATTTTGCACATTCCTGTTTCAAGTATGCAATTGATCGTAATTATCCTTTGTACTTATCAACCAAGAATACCATTTTAAAGAAATACGATGGCAGATTTAAAGATATCTTTTAAGAAATTTATGATAAATATTACAAATAAACATTTGAATAAAAGAAATTGTGGTATGAACATAGATTGATTGACGATATGGTTGCATATATGATTAAAAGTGAAGGGGGTTTTGTTTGGGCATGCAAGAATTACGATGGAGATGTCTAATCTGATGTCGTGGCTTAAGGATACGGCTCATTGGGATTGATGACTAGTGTTTTAGTTAGTCCAGATGGATCAGTGGAAGCAGAAGCTGCACATGGAACTGTTACCAGACATTACAGAATGCATTAGTAAGGAAAAGAAACATCCACTAATTCCATTGCAAGTATTTTTGCTTGGACAAGAGGATTGTTGCATAGAGCCAAATTAGATAATAATAAGGAATTACACAAGTTTTGTACAACTTTGGAATCAAGTGTCATTTAAACAGTAGAAAATGGATTCATGACTAAGGATTTAGCAATTATTGTACATAATGATAATAAGTAATTCTTCGAATATAATTTAGTGTTTCGAGAACCAAATATGTGAATACTGAGGAATTCATAGTCAAGGTTGGAGAATAGTTGAAAAAAAATTTAGGTATCAAAGCAAATTTATGAGAGTATATAAATATATAAAAAATAATAATAAAAATGGTCAGGTTTAAGAATCGATACTTTGTATGCGAATATGTTTAAGAGAATTAAGAGAAGGAATTCTCAGAGAGGGACCTGTTAAATGAAATTAGAGATCAAGTCTAATATCATTTTGGTGATTTTGGATCAGCCAGAATTTAATTTTCATTTTAAGGTAGATTCTGAAATTATCTAATATAGTAAAATACCTAAATACAGTGTCAAGATTGTTTATTTTGCGAGTAGCTAGGGATTATAAAAATATAATATGGAATACTCTCTTGTTTATGAATATGTTTAGAGGACTCCCAATTAAAATTAAAGTATTAGGTTGTTCAGGTACAATAAAAAAATGTGAAATCAAAGCCAGAAGATTACTTACAAAATGGGTTCATAAAGTATTAAAATATGATATGCCCAATCAATTAAGAACTACTATAGTAAGGGATTATCAATAAACTTAATAAATACTACCTTAATTGACCTAATGAATTTTAATTATAAAAATTGTATATGCAAAGCAGTTGTTATGAAATATCGACATAAATTATACAATAAATATATTTAATATTAAAATAATATGCAATCATATTATTATATTTGATAAAAATTGTTTAATTAGATTTAATACGCAATATACTATTTTATAAAATTTTAAGTCCAGGCGTAAATCATTTATCAAATCTATTCTAAAAATAACCAAATTATGAAAAAATCAATAGCATTTTGTGCAGCTTGGGCGTGTGGCTATATGATCAACGCATCTTAACCTTATCTCAAGATGTTACAAGCCTCGAATTAAGAGGAAGAATCCCATAGTTTTCAGGAATTTATTCAAAATGAAAACTACTCTTAACCAAAAATAATCGATTTTCTTCACAGTTCTCCAGAGAGACACTTCCTTCACAACATGATTGTTCAAAATGAGAAGGCTTTCAATTTTTTTAAAGTGTACTTACCAAGAGACGTCGATATAATTAGCTCAGAGAATAACCATCATCTCCATGTAGTATTTAATGCTGCAGATGAAGTTAGAGGGAATAACAACGATGTAAATAGTGGATTGTTGGCAACTCTCATTGATAATGCATTCGGATAGCTAAGCTTTTTGGCAACCGGATTCATACCTTCAGTGACTGCCAACCTCCAACTAAATTTAAATAACACCATTCATACAAATAAAGACTATTTAATTAGTTGTGAAGTTGAGAAAGTACAAGGAAGGAAGGTATTTTTGAAGGCAATTGTTTATGATAATGATAAAAATATTTGTGGTGAGGCTACTGCATTATTTATCACAGTGAATTGGGGAGGAAAACAATGGAAACAAGCCATTGAAACTCTCCAAAATACCAGATTTTTTAATGAAGGAATCCAAAGACTTCTCTACTGATAGGATAAATTTGTTTAATATTTATATAAAGTAGTATAAAATACTTTTCATCTAATCATCTGAGGTAGCAAGATAGTGTTTATTGGTTAAGCTTCTTCTTTTTTTGGGAATGCATTCCAGAATCTAAGAGTTTCATCACCAGCACCAGTAACGATGGTTTCTCCATCTGGAGACATTGCTAAAAATAAAACTCTTGAAGTGTGTCCCATAAGAGTGGTGACCTATGATTTAAGAAAGGACTACCTTTTGTAAATTTGGGTATTTCCAACAGACAATTTAATTCATACTATATCCATGAGTGGAAACAAATTCGTTGACATTCTTACTGAACATCAGATTGCAAACTTATGATCCAGTGTCTATCCAATCTAATTGTTGAGTGGTCAAAGTATTAAAGAATCTGATGGTTCTATCTGCAGTTCCTCCACCAGATGATAACAATCCATGTCTATGAGGAGACCAAGCTATGGCTTTGACAGCTGCTTGATGTTGGCTGAACTTAGCAAGAGGGATCTATGAACCCATTCTCCAAACGAATAATTTATTATCATTTCCACCTGAGGCTAATTGGTATTCATCTGGAGACCATTTCAAACCACAAACTTCTTATTTGTGTCCCTCAAATTTTCCAGTTTATCTCTTCTATCTTGGATCATGCAGTATAATTGATCTGTCTTTGGAACCAGAACAAAGAGTCTAAATTATATAAGCATATTTATACATGTCCACTCCACGCCAATGATCCCACTCTTGCAGAATGTCCCTCTATGATTTACATTCTCTTCATCTTCTCCTAATCGTAAATATGGATCTCTCCAGAGCCAGTACCAATTGCCAATTGATTACCCATTGGATTCCAAATCAATGAACAAACTACGTCATTATTTCCGAAATCACAGAATTTAGTTACTCTATTATTATAGGCAGACCACAAATAAACAGAGGAAGACAATGCCACTGATAAGACATTCTATGAGCTCCAATCTATCAGATTCAAATAAAAATCGTCCTATAATTGAGGTGCATCCAAAACTTTAAATGGAACTTTGTTTATTTTCCTTTGACTGTATTGATAATCCGAACTATTTTAGAACTATTCTCTATATTCAATCAGATTATTATAGGTTTCTAACACTGAAGGATTGATGTCTTATAGGATCTTTCTTTTCTAAGGAGTGTCGTCATTGAATCTGAAGATATTTTTGGATTCCCAATGTAACTACTCACTTTGTAAGGGTTGCCCAAAGACGTGCATCTTATATATATCCTTTAGTGAGACATTTCCTTAATCTTTGTAATCACTTCCCTTCTAAGGTTCTTAGTTTTCATCCTCAATCTCTCTATACTAGAATTCCTCAACCAGAGTTTGTTTCTATCCACTCCTTAAAGGAATGTATCTGCAAGTCTTTCCTTGCTGAATTTACTTTTTGGGCGTACTATCTTATTCTACTTCAATTTAGTCTATAGAAATTAAAAACTGTTAATACCTCCTTGTTAAGTACTTTGGATCTCTACTTTATGTAACATTTTGATAAGATCACTCATATCACAGGTTTTTGCCTTCATATGATGTGAATTTTCCTTATTTTATTTTGAAGGGGATATTTGTAATTTCTCATCAAAACACGAGACTTCCACATCTATATTACGTTATTGTAACATTTTGATTGTATTCGTTGACATTTTATGTATAAAAGGTATTTGCAAACAGATATTAAATTAATTTACGTTAAATTTTATTTTTAATTACACTTATAAAGGCAAAATAAATATTATTTATAATAATATTGAATCTCTTTCTAGTGCCATAATACAGGAGTAAGGGAATATTGAACCAATACCCTCACATATTATATTATATTTAATAGTATGTTCAAGAAACAAGAAGATACACAAAACTATGATGAAAAGTGAAGGTATATATGATTAGATTAATTAATGTTTTTTCTTCTCCCACAGAGGGTAGGATAATAATAATATTAATAATCATTTTAACTTATATTTTCTGGATAACTAGCTGGATTGCTATGATGCTGCCGGTTTACCCCAGTCTCTCAAATTGCTCTTCACTATTTAGGTGCTAATATCAAGTGAGACACCTTAAAATCTTTTTGAGACTTATTGGGATGCTTGTTCTTCATCTTATTTTATTTCTTCACAATAAAATTTATGAGATACTTGGCAATTAGACTGATTTGTTTGCATTATCTACTATCGTGACATTCTCCGCCATAGTATTATTGTTGTTTATCTAATTAGTATCGGACAAATTTAGATTCTTCTTTGTCAGGTATTATTAAGCTTACATCAATAGAATACTCATTATTGCCGTCTTCTAATTTGATGTCCAATCATTCACACTCTTCTCTCGTCTAAAGAATAATAATAATTTTCATTTACAATTCCTGTAGGTCAATCACATCCTTTATATCTTCATTGGAATTATTCTTTAAATACTCCAAATTACTTGCTAATATAACTGATAAATTGGCAAACTTATTCTCCTCCAATCTTATAGTATCTAATCTAGTAAGGAGATGATTATTCTCATTTCTCAAAATGTCATTGTCATTTTATAATTTTGCTATTTTCTTCTCCAATTAAATAATCTCTTATTCCTTCATCTTCTCTGCCTCCTAAGGAATCTCCTTCTATTATGGATTCTACTCCTATTCTTCCAATTGTTATTATTCTTATTAGTCCTCTAACTCTTTTATCTTTGCTGTCAATTTCTTAATTAGTTTCTAAGAGAAATGAGATCTCTTTGCCAATTCCTATTCAACTTATTTATGAATTTCTATATCTCTCTTTAAACTTGTTACTTATTCTGATAACTTTGAATTCTTAAACAACAACTTTTCTGTCTGCTTTGATTGATATTCCAGTTCTGTAGTCAGTTAATGATTTTGTAAAACTGTTAATCTAGTTGTAGTTTCCAATTATTCCTTTTTCAATGCCAACAATGACGACTTTGTTTCCTGTATTTTATGAAGCATTTCTTTCTTTAATTGATCTATATAAATACATAGTTATTTCATTACCTGTTTCCTTAACTTTCTCTTTCTCCTTATCTGCCAATTCCCTCTATTTATCCTTCCTTTCTTATGCCAATGTTTCTATCAATTTTGCTCTCTCATTTTCTAAGTCAGCCTTTGTCTGTAAAAAACTATCAATCTTCTCCAATCGGGCTTCCAAATATTTTATTTTATCGAGCAATGGTTATTTATCAGCCTCAAAGAGTTGCCTTTGCTTCTCCATCATTTTCTCTAGTTCAATAAATACTTCATCATACTATAATCCTCATCTATATCAGCCATCTTCCTTTGTAACACTCCATACTCAAACTCAATTTTCTGTTTTTCCTCTCTCAACTCCTCCTTTTCCTTTTTATGAAATTCGATCAAATCTATTAACTCTTTTTTTTCATCCGATAATTTCCTTTTCACCTCCACATTCTCATTCCCAAATTTATCTCTCTCATTCTCCCTAAATTCCTATTACAAGAAGTTACATTCTATCAAGACGATCTTTCATATTTTTATGAGTCGATATTGCCTTCATAAGGTCTCTTCGTTAAGCATCCAATTCCTGAGTTAACCCATCTTAATTTTGATTTTATCCTTTATTTTACTTAGACATTATTGAAAATAATTAATTTATATACTTTAGTTCCAATAAAAACTAAGATTATCTACTAATTATTATAACAATTCCATTCAAAATCTCGAAAATTACAGGTTTTCAACTATGAAAATTAACCTGATGCCTATTTAAATAAGTAATATAATATTAATAAATAAGAACTTTTTTATAATAAATTATTGTCAAAAATCAGGGTGACCATAAATTTCAACTATAATTTGAACTAAGTTCAAATCTCAATATAGAATCAGTTACTCATAATTATTGAAGCATTAGAATACTAGGAAATAATAATCATCAGAAAATGGATCAGTAAAAAATAATCATATATTTTATATTTAGCAAAATAAATATATGATTATTAAGTTTATAATCAATTTTAATCTAGAAATTGAAGAAAATAAATATAAAAATTATTGAATGATCAAAGGAACTCCGACACCCATAAATAAGGAGGAATTGAAAAAATTAAATCAAATTTTATAATAACTTATTGATTCAAATGATAGCTTAGAATTTAGATAACCTGTTGATTATAAAACCCTAGGTTTACATGATTATTTAAGTGTAATTAAAAAACCAATGGATTTGGGCACTTGTGAGAAAAAATTATAAAATTCAGAGTATAAATGTGTAGAAGAATGTTTAGATGATATCCAATCAATATGGGACAACTGCAAGTTGTACAATGGACCTTCTAGTGTAAGTATATATCCTAATTTAGTGGATAACTAAACTATCTGAGAAGCTTGAAAAATCCTTTAAAAAATATGTGAAAAATTATCTCCCATTAGTAAATGTGCCTTAAAGCTCAATAAAAATTAGAAAGATTACTGATGAAGCAGTTTAGGAAGACACTCATTTAACAATTTCTCATAGTGAGAAAGTAGAGTTCTCAAACATTCTTAAATAATTAAATCCTGATCAAATTGGTGCATTAGTTCAGATCATTTAGACAGGTAGTCCAAGTGCCTTTGTCGTAGTCAGCAAAGAGAGATTCTAAATCATCATAGATAATATTGATTTTGATACATTTACAAAGTGCTAGAATTAAATTTAAACTTGGATGACAGGGGATGAGATAAATAAGAAGGTTAAAATATGAATTATATAATAATTTCACATTAACTTAATTATTTTAAGTTTGTACACATGAGCTAAATTCAAATCCTAAATATATATATTGTCTAATTAGTAGATCTAATAGAATATATTAATCAGATTTAGGAAAGAATTAAATTATTTTTAATATTGGTTTATATAAAAGGAAGATTCATTTGAAAATTTAAAACGAATTGACCTTGGAACCACTTAAACTAGACTTTAAAAAATAATCAGAACATAAATTCATTGGGAGGTGCTTTTGAAATGCAAAACTGATGGGGTAAATAAGTCACTTGCTGATTCCTTTCTATAATTTTTTGAGGAATCAAGAGAAAGATATATAAATAAATTAAGGACTTAGATATAGAACTATGATATTATGTGAAAAATATTTTTAATTTGTATGTTCTATTAAATCTCAAGTATTATTTAAAGCTGCTAAACATTGAGCTAAATAATTATATTTATTATAGAACCTTTTCTATCTTTAGTTAATTAATGATTTGAATCGATCTCTAACGCTTTTTCATAATATTTTAAAGCTTCTTAATATTGTTTCTGATCTTGTAAACATAAGCCTATAATTATAAAGTTTATAACCTTTAACAGTTAACGATTCAAAATGTTTTGGATTTATTTTTAGAGACTTTTCAATAACATCCATTGCTTATGGAAGCATATTCAATAATCGTAATGAGTTACCTTAAAATCAAAATTAATTACTTTTAGTACATAATGCATCCAAGTTTAGATTGAATTGTAACAATAACACTTTATCTGCCAAAGTGATTGCTTCATTTTATTATCCAATGATTGATAAACACCGAGCTTATACTTGAAGAAATAGTTGTACCTTTGCAAAGCAATGAAAATTTGTCGTTTTGATCTATTTGCAAGGCTTTATCTACCCAAATGATGGCCTCATCTAGTTTGTTAAGATTCCTTAAACTATCAGCTAAACTTAGTCATAATATTACCTTTGCAACGCAATGATTACTGATTGCGTGGGTAATAATTTATTGATTTATCAAAATATTTTATCGCCTCATTAAAGTTATTTTTCGAATATAGTGTAAATCCTAATTTTATAGATTTGTTACCTTCTTCAAATAATTAATCTGATTTCTATCTCTCTTAATTAGAAGGATCAGCAGAGTTGAATTCATATAATTTTAGATCAAAGTAGAATACTTCCAATTAATCTTTGAAATCCTAAAATGATTATTAAATTTTTCTTAATAGTGCTTATTCAAATTATTTAAATTGGAGAATGTCTGAAAATAAAGAATTCAATTATATGGAATTACAGGATTTTACTCTGTTGTAAGATATCTGATATTTCTTCTTAATTCCTTCAATCAAGAGTTTAAATTAGTCTCTAGCTAAACCCATTTATTCATTTAGGTTATGAATTAAAGCCATACAGGATTATTCATTATTATTAAAATAGTCAATTAGCTAATTGAAATCTTCTTAATTTTAAGGATGAGAAATATGAACTCCTTGTTTAATACATTGAATGCATTATAATCTATTTTCTTTACAAGAGTTATCAAAGCAAACTAATTTTACCTCTTAGTTATGCTCAAAACAGGGGAAAGAATACACTTGTACTGGTGGCTCAGGCTTTAGCTCAGACTTTGGCTTTGTTTTAACGATTTCTTAAATTCTACTTGCATTACTCCTTAATTCTTTTGAAGGCCTCATTATAAATTGTATTTTATAATGTATAGCATTAATAATTTCTATTCGAATACAACAATTTGTAGTCCATTTATCCTACAAATTTTCTAATCGTCTATACCCTTGAGATAATTTATCTTAATATATTTATATATAAGCATTGCTTATGAATTTAATTCAAAGAAAATTTGAATTTTCACTATTTGTTTCCTTTTCGAAATAATTGATCTTGAAATTTATGTTATTTTGTGTATACTATCCGAAAATTTGAACATCCAATATACATAATTTATTTAGAATCACATGTAATAATATCAAAGACGATAATTAATTCTACAAATTGTTTATTATTCTAAATCATTTATCTAATTTTAAAGTATTTTCCCTTATTAATAAATTTTTATCTAATTTTAGCCATATTAATCCTTATAAGAAAATGTGTGAATTAATCTCTCTCAGATATATAAGAAGTAAGAATCATAATTAAAAGAAATGATATTGTTTCAAATGAAAGACTACAATCCAAACTCCTTACTGTAGTTAGCTGAAATATAGATTTACACCACAATCTTATTTAGCCATGTCCTAAGTAAGTTTCAATTTGAATTCTAAATAAAATAATTGATATCTGTTATATTGGAATGATTTTAGAGATTGTGTAAATGAATAATCTTTAGCTAAATGAATATAAATTTATTTTTGATCCTCAATTATTTCTCATAATAATATTAAGAATTCTGAATATCATTAGTTAAATTAAAGTCTAATTGGGACACTTTGAAAACATGAATAATTGCATCTAAAAATATTGTATAAATATTTTTTGTAAATCTTCAGTTTATCATATACATGTTCATGTATGAGAATAATTAATACATATTTCTTTCGTGTGATTACAATTTAGAGATGAACAACGAAGATTTATTGAAGTGTTATAATTTCAAGTTTTGATATTAAATGTAATTTTATAATAAGCTAAAACATAAATTTTAGCAGTAAAAGTAAGAACCTTCCTAAACACCTCCAACAAATGAATTGGGTCTTAGTCAGCATAAACCACCTTTGGTTGATTCAAGATAATAATGGAATACAAATGTTTACTTGGTTCCAAAATGGGAAAAGAAAGAAATTAAGAGAGTTGATTCATCACTCCATACACCATTTCCAATACGAAATTATATCAATTATGTTTAGTAACATAGTGGAGGATTCTAAGAAGAATTGAATTTGGATTTCTTTAAGCATATTTTTAGACATTTTGCAATTAATTAGTGGTGGATAGAGGAGGCACGGAAATTCAAACAAAGCGTTCCTATTAATATTCTATAGAGTCCTGAGGAAGTTAGATAAAATCCTGAATATTGTAAATTGATGATGCAAAAGTAGAAGGATGATCTAAAGTTTTATTAAGAAATTTTAAGAAATGTGAAATCTCCCACCCCACCTTTTCCATCTAGATAAATTCCTGAATACAGGAAATCTATAACATATTAAGTGTTGGATTTGCATGCTGGATAAGAACACAAAGATAAATCATTGTTTCAGTTATAGGATGTTTTTGTTAACAGAATAATATAGTTGATTTCTGAATAAGGAGTTTAAAGTTTGGGGTACTATGACTACGTTACATTTAAGAATATAGTTCAGGATAGAATCAAGGGAGCTGGAGATGCTGAGAACTTTGTAAAGATCTTGGAAATCAAAAGGTTATTCAACTCTGTAGATTAAATCTAAAAGGAATTCGAAAAAACAGTAAATGAGTGGCAAAGGGAATACACACTCACATCTAACAATACAAAAAGCAAATTTCGAAGGTGGTAACAAGAGAAGACGTTATTTTCTGATGAATTACTATAATTAGCAAGCAACGTTGGATTAGATGCAAATTTGGTGAAAGCAAGGAAGAATTTTGAATTGAATAAGACTGAATAACAACTTAAAGAGCTTGTGAAGGTGGGAGATTAGATCTAATTGAGTACCCATAAAACAATAATGGATACTCTGTCTAAGATTGCCCAGGAGGAATATAATAATATTTCTGTAAACAATTCAGTTTTACAAGAAGATGCTCTCCAACTTGCCAGAGTACAATATGAAGAATAGAAAAACATTATAAGGATGGAGCACTCATCTGAAGGTTCAATTCCATAATACTCCGAAGCTCCCAATAGTAGGGAATGCAGTGATATATTTTAGAATGTTTTAGAACAAAAGTAGACGAATGAATCAAACAAATAATTCTAATAGCCTATTGTGGAATCAAGATTAAACAATAATGTCTCGGCTCAAATGCAGAAACCATTCTTGTAGTATGCCAAACAATAAAGTTATAAGATTTAACAAAAACCGGCAAATAGTACTTCACCATAGAGAAGAATGCTAGTGGTGTCAGAGAATAATAGTAGGTCTAATAACAATAGCAGTAATTAGAACAATACTCATAGAGTTCAATCTTAAGGGTAGGAAAAAATGTTATAATCTTAATGGTCTCAGCAGTCCTTGAAGTCTCTCGAAGACATCATTAAACCTGCTTATGATGATGATTTTAAACACCCTGAGAAAACATCTAAGGAATAACCCTAAAAAAATAGTATGCAATTTTATTAGAAACTCAATTATAAAGATTCCAAATAATTTGAAAATTCATATAAGGATGCAAATGCAAACAAGACTCTCACTTAAAATACTATCAGTCATCACTAATATAATATTTAATAAGTTTAGAGTAATAGCCATAACAATATGAGCATTAGTTTACACAATAAGAATACTAGCAACAGCATTAATGATGACATCAAGCTCTTGAGTGACTTCGTACAATAAAACAGGGTCTCATAACAAAAACTTAAGGACAAACTATTTAGTTAAGAGAAGGAAAAGGATGAACTCAGATAACTCTAAGAGGAACTTGAAAATATTTCAAGGGATGATAATGTGAGCAACTTCAGAAAGAATACATTGGAATCCCAGGATAAAGAGAAGAGTGTGGATATTCAAAGTTAGAGTAGAACTATTTCATCAAAGGAAGATAAAAAATACAAGGAACCTATTGAGAATTAAGTCAAATTAGATTATGGATATAATGTTCCATCTTCAATGCCAGGATCATTATCCAATAATACCACTGCGAGAACTTCTAGAAACACAAGCAATTATAATTCTATTTAAAATAAAAGATCTAAGGTAGATAGTATTGAGGAGGCATCAGAAGAATAAGCAATTAACTAGCAACAAGAACAAGCAATTAAATAATAGTAAGGATAAGTGGAAAATGAAAATGTCAGAAGAGTTTCACCAAATAAATTAACTAGACAAACATCAATTAAAAGTAATTTAAGAACTAATGAACAACGTGTAGAGAACAAATAATAATCAAGAGATAGCAAACATTCGAGATAAGACAAATCATAGGGTAGAGAAACTCATCTTCAAATTAATTAACTCAGAGAAATCAATTAGATGCAAGATGCAAAATAAGATGACATTAATAATTATTAAATTTCTCAATAGTCAAGTGACCTATCTCCCTAAAAGTCTAAAAGAAGTGCAAAAAGTCCAGAGAAGTCTAAGAGATTTCAAAAATCAGTTACCAAAATCATCGACACTAATAAATAAATTAAAAAGGAATAATAAAAATTAGAGATTGTTAATAAACCATTCGAGAGTCAATAGCAAACATAATAAGATATCAGAAAAAGCAGACATAAAACAGGAAACAGGGAAGCAGTTGATGAATCTTCATAAGAAGAGTAGGACAAAGAAGATGATGAAGAGAAAAGAAATAATAATAAATTTAAAAGATAGAAATCTGTAAGGAAAGGATAATTTCATTCTGTTTCAATGCCAAAAATTGGAAAAGATGAGGATCCTAAGAAATATTTATTGATTTTGAAGGAAGAACTCAAGGAATTAATAGAGAAGAAAGTGAGTTTAAGGGAAATAAAGGAGCATATTAATTTAATTCTTAGTGAAATTGCAGGAGTGAAACTTGATCCAGAGTTGGAATACTATTTATAATTATGTAAATTAGCTAAATTCATTTTTTAGACAAATAAAGAGTGATGGAGTTGACTTAGGTGAATCAACAATCCAGGGAAATTCATTTTTAGACTCTTCAACCATCAGTCGAATTGAATATCAAGCGAGAAATAAAGGGATTGAAATTTGCGAGGAATTGTGATCGAATTCCTAAATTGTAACCGAAAGATTTGGAAGACACTTTTGTATTATAATAGTAAAATTCATATTTATAAAATTGTGTAGATAAATTTAAAAAGAATAAGATCTCATTGATTAGGAATGCAAGGTCTAGTCGTATCAACCAATTTTCAGGTATGAGCAAAGACCCTAAGCAATTTAATCGGACATCATATAGGTTTCGTTGGATGTTTCAAGGAGACAAACTCCAAACACGCATCGTCAGGAGAGAGCGGGGTCGTTGTTGGAAGTGGATTTGCCGATTCTCACTCAGAGGAAGGGGAATATGGTGGAGAATAGAAGGAAGAAAAAGACAAGATATGCTGGGTAGACTTCGATAAAGAGGGACAAGTTGAGTGAGGATTATCCTTTTCTATATAAGTACAAACCAGAGTTGTTGAAGAGTATATTGGAAGCCCGTATTAGCCTTGAGAAATTGGTTTGATTAATTAAGATTTTATTTATGATGCTTAAAATTAAGTATTCCTACATCTCAACTCAAGTGCTTCGATCATAAAATGTTGTTAGATTCGATGCTGAAATCAAACAATCACATTTATTAGGAGAGCAATTTGGATAGTAGGTGTTTGCAAAACTTAATCATTTTCACAAGCATAATATTTTGACTCCAACTATGTTAGATCAGATTCATAGATTTTTGGAGAGTTACGATTTGGACGAGGCAGTGAATATCATATGGTTGGATTGTTAATCTAAAGGGACAGATTTGAAATGTATGCAATTGTAAATGACAATTAGATTTATAACACTTACCTCAACAGGAGAAGATCGAGTATCTGAGACAAATATAAAATATGGCAGTCTACTTTGGAAAGTACAATAAAATTTTGATGCCCGTAATAACCGGAGAAGCAAGTGGATCGATGGCAGCCTTAGCATGCTCAACTCCATTCTAGTTTTTTGATTAAAAAGGAGGCATTCGATTTAATGATGTCAACAGAGGCTTCGTCCCTCATGCAGGGTAACAATGAATAAGAATATTAGCGCTACATTTCATTTGTCTAGATTGCCCGATTAATTGGGGTTGTTCTACGCCTTGACTGGTCGATGGTTGAAGAATGAGGAAGCATTAAACTCGGAGTTGATATATGGCAATCTGAGGGATAGAGACAAAGCCATTGAATATATCAATTAGACCACCTAATAATATAAGACACCCACGACTGCAAAAATGTACCCGAAATAGGTGAAAAGGGAACTTTAAAAGTTCAAATACGGATAGAAGAAATTCTTAGAAAAATTGAGTTCAGAAATGTTGATTAGAATGAAGAATGAAGACGCATAGTAAGTGGCTCAAGAATTAATTTACAAACTCAAAAGATTCTAAGAGGAGAATGTTTTAAGTCAGGAAGTTGAAAAGCCTAAGCAAAACATAGCCAATCCATACCTTCACTTTAAAACACTGAACATTGATAGTCTAGAGGAAATGGGCATAATATCAAGAGAGAACTTAGTCAAATTAGACAAGGCCTTGATTGCTAGATGTTTCAGCGGAGATAGTGTATAGGAGATTATGGATAAATTGAAGGCTGAAAAGAGCTAATTTGCCCACGAGATCCTAAAGGAATTAGAAGCATAACCGAGATTATCTCTTGAAATTACCTTCAAATTAATAAGGTAGGCAGAGAAATGGTAATGGAGAGATTGTCTAGTTGCTGAATACAATGTAGCTTCAAATCTTGCTACCAGTGGTTTGATGGAGAAATAAGAAAGAGTTGATAACATCGATTCCTTCTTCAGTCATGTTACTCCATCAATTGATTATTTGCCAGATGCTATCGAGCCAGTCAGAGACTATTATACTGAGTATCCTGACAACATTAGAGTCTTTTTGAATGAATAAAATCTTAGAAAGGGGTTAATTGATAGAGCCAATTAAGAAGTTGACGTGGTGGCCTTTATGAAAAATAATGAACATATGTTGGACGGTTCGATCAGAGTGGCTGATTTGAGAAAAATGAGAGTTGAAATAGCTGAATTGAAGAGAGAGGTCAAAAGCAATATGGATAAATTGAAAAGCATAGTTGGATATGAAGAAAACCTTAAGAAGTACATAGAGGAAAGACAGACTTATTTGGATAATATTAAAGATTTTGGAACTCTTTTGGAAGAGTCAATAAACTCATTCTTTGAGAAGGCTAATTAAGCTAGATTCAACGGATATGCAAATGTTGCCAAGATTGCATCCATAAAACCAAAGAGAGAATTATTTTCATTAGTAAGAAATTCTATTCTGAATCACAAATTAACTGATGACAATGATGAAATTGATGTCTTAAAGAAATAGTAGGCATGGAACAGATCAATGTAGAGATTGCTCATCTTCCCAAAGGATGACAGAAAATCTTTCTATGAGAATGAATTGCCAGAAAAAATAGTAGATAAAGAGGAAACAGATTAAGTATTCAGAGCCAGAAGTACAAGAGAGAAATTTTATGAAACTAGATATGGAGATCTCCATCAAGAGTTTAGTTCATAAATCGATAAGTTTTATAAGAATGTCATTTAAAATGTCACTCAATCAAATAAATTCAATAATATACAGGAGTACTTAGAAGGAAAAGAAGTTAAGGAAATTTTGGAATTATTGAAGGAAAATAAAGAAGAGATTATTCTTAATCTCAAGAAAGAACCTGTAGAGTAAGCAAACAAGGATGATTTAATCAAACAAATGAGATCAGAAATAGAAAAACTAAAATAGAATGATGAGATTCCATCAAATCTCGAAGGGTTGATTCAGGCTGATGAGAATCTGAGCAAAATTATGGCTGACTTCTTTAAATACCCTGATGAATTCAAATAATTATAGAATATGTTCGAATAGATATTGACATCCATTTATAGAATGAGAGCCAAAAAATTCAAGCACTTAAATGAGTTGGCAGTTATTGATGACTAGATTAATGAAGCCTTAACTTTGGATTCTTTCAAAGTAATTGAAAGCAATCTTATGTTTTCTTTTTCATATATTCTATTGTGTAAGTTAGAAGAAATCTACTGCTTATTTAAGTAAGGTGGCATTTACGAAGTCTAGGCTTTGAAATTCTAATAAGAGTATGGATTTTAATTATAAAACTTTAAACAATTCGAAAGACTGTTGGAATATTTAAATGACAAATTGAGAGCAGCAGCAACCCTATATAACACCTATAGAGAGAAGACTCTAGTGGAATCTGATAAATTGCTCGATTACATCTTCACCCTTAAATCTTCAAGATGGGCTAATTTCAAAGCCAAAGCTATTTATACCAATCTCTTAAGTTTGAAGATTAAAACTAATTATTAGAATTAAATAACCTCTTTGGAAGAGAAGCCAATAAGTTAAACCACTCCTGATGATGTTTATGGTGCTTTGGAAAGCAAATAATATAGAATGAGTAAATTCTATAGACAAAACTTACCAAAATATAGGAGAGGCTAAATTTAGAAGCGTGCTTATTTTAGAGACGATATTTACTTTACTACTAAAAAGGAAATTGAGATTTATGGCAAAATCTAAAGACTTAAAGCACAGAAACAAAGGAGATTGATAATTGGAATTAGTCATTAACTGAAGTAGTTGGATTTAATAGCAGAAAGATAGGTTGAGATTACTCCCAAGGAACTTTAGCAATAAAAAGAAGATTTGGAAAAGGCTTTGTAGAAGAAATGGTTTTGTTATCAATCAATCGACTAATGGTTCAAAGAATTAGTCTAAGAGACAGTGGAAGAAATTTATCATCCAGATCTCCTATTGTCAGAAGAAGAGTTTAAGGAATACATCCAAATGACCTTCAATGAACAAAAGAAATTATTAGAATCCTTGAGAGCAGAACTCATTTTAGGAGTCTAGAATGAGAGGGATGAACTGATTTAAGAATAGAAGTAAGTCTTTCTCATTATGAATTAGGTTCAATCCAGAATTACCTGAAATCCAAAACTTAGCATAACAGTTGACTGTTGCTGAATCTTTACATGTATAAGGACTCATCGAGGAGATTGAACCAGCTGAGACTTTATTTGTTGGCAAAAAAGGAACAACTCTGAAGATAGGAGGAGAGCTTCCTATTCCATTGAATGAGACTCAATATAGAGAATTGAGAACTAAGATGATTGGAAGAGTCGAATACTTGGTCGGGGAATGGGCTCAAGAACCAAAACTCATTGATCAAGCCGATATTGAGTTGCTGTATGATAAAATTCAATAGATCCAAGAAAAGAATAGATTTAAGTGATGATTTATTTTATACATTATATAAGAGTATCACAAAATATCGTATATTAGACTGATGATCCAATTAATTACATATTATTTTATAAATCAATTGTCCTATATCAAAGGCTGATGGATGTTAGAGTGTTCAATCGATTGGTGCACGGATTGCTCTGAATTAATGATCCTATTCAGAGTTGATTCACAACTTGAATACGAAGCTTCCAATTGAAGGATATCCATAAGCTAAGCTAAAATCTCTCATTGATTTATTACCTTGCAAGGAAATGGCGTTCTTAAAATCCTCCGTATTTTGACAAAGCAATAGTTTGTCTCCCAATTCCTCAATCAATACAATCAATACGATCAGGTAGACATTCTTATTTGTAGTCATTTTTCTTATGATCAAACTCCAAATGTTATATAAGGGCAAGGATTACACTATGTTGGTGTAGAGACTTATTAGAATGTCGTAGATGATATTGCTAATAGCAATGTCATAAACTTTGCAGTGCTTGATCAGACTCTGATGTTGGAACTCCAAATATTGTATGACTGTCTCTTAAGGACAAAACAAGGCATCTTCTTTAGTTAATGGGAATCGAATATTTTTCATTAGTTCTAAAAACGATACAAAGAGCCAAAATGCTTGAGCTTCTGAATCAAATTTATCACCAAACACAGGATTCGAAAGTTTATACAAAAAGTGAGAATGCGTAATACACAAAAATTTACTTGCAATTGTAAATATAGTATTGAGTATTGATGCATTCAATTAAATTCCTCTAACATTACAATAAATCAAGAATGTTATTAACATGCCTTGACATTGTTTATGCTAATTTGCTTAAATAACAGGTAATTTGTTCATGAATTCATGGACATCTTTCTCCAAAGGCAAAGTCAAATTTGGAGTTGATTTTAATTATTAATAAATTTTCACATTCTCTCCATTGTCAACAAAATCTTAGAAATTTCTTTTAAGAATATCTACGATAGGCTTGACTACTTTATCCATTCCATCCAAAGAAGAGAACCATGCTGTAGGAATACATTGAGGCTATAAACAAATGTTCTCAATATAAAATCCTTAATACAGATTTTGAATTTCTTCACTATATTTATCAATTTCAAGGCCATATCTCACAGTTTCTACAATTGGAACCTAAATGATACATAATTATTACTGGTGTTCTCTCTTCTATGATATTTACAGCTATCTTTCTGAGAATGCCATTCAATTGGATGAACTTCAACCTATCTAGAAATATGGGGTCAATGTTTGAGTGTTCGAGTATGTCCATTTCTACGAAGATTTTGGAAGGGCCAAATTCTAATTGCACCCAGAAAGATCGACCTTCATATAGATATTGAACCAAATCCTGCAATTATATTCTCAGAACTTTTGAAGCTGTATTGGTTTCTTATTTATTAGTATTGAATAGTTACTGATTGTGTCTACAACCTGGAGGTCCAGAAAATCTCTGTATCCCAAATTCTCAATAGTAAATGTGTTATTTCCGCATACTCCAAGTAATCCATCTTTGAATACCCAACTGGTGAAGTCTCTTCTTCTTTATTGACTCATCTGAGTCAGGAGACGTGTAGTGTAATAGGGGTTTTAGTCAATTTGATATTGCAAGCCATCTAATAGTTTTGTGTTTTCGATATCTTTAGTGTTCTCTGTTCTCTATAATAATTGGTTATAAAGATACTTCAGATACAAATCTTACTTCTAATTAAGGGCGTATCAATTAAGTGTTGCTCTACATGTACATGCTTAGAAATTTGATCGAAAATTCTTTTGGTTTGTTGTGATGAATGTGAATTGCTCTATCCTACCAATACTTGTAAAATCGTTTGATTTCCTAATTCTTTGGTCTCAGATAGGTGACCATGTGCTCTAATAGTTCCAATCTCCTCTTTTCTTTGGCTTATCTTTCCAATTCTCTCTATTATTCTGTAGCCTTCAATTGTTCTTATTCTTTCAATGATAATTACTTCATTTTTTCTTGGTAATCTTGTTCATCTTTGTATTACTTCTCACTCTTGGCTTACCATTTTTTAATATGATAATTCATGACTTATCTGTCTAAAGAGATCAAAAAGTTCTCATCCAATTTAGCCTTTTGTTTTTTCAATTGGTTCATTTGTGTCGTATAAGTTCCAAGAAGTTAAGCAAATTCCAATGCCCAGGTAAAAGTAAACTTTTCCTCATATTCTTAATAACAATATTCAAAACATCTAGCAACCAATTTTGGTTTCACTTGCAATAATTTCTCAATTATCAAATATCTTTGCCACTTGATTGCCTAATTTTTATCCTTTCTGTATATGTAAACACCAGAATGTCCTTTCTCGAATTCCAGTAATAATCTTGCCATATCACCATTTTTGTTGTACCAAGTCTTTTAATCAGCTGCCTTGGTTTCCACATAGACTCTTTAATAAAGAGGGAATGATTTTACAGGCTTATGATCTTTGAGTTATTGAAGGATATGCTTCTCAAATCTTACTTGTCTATCCAAAAAACCACCTGTTACACTACTCTTCTTTTGCATCACCAATTCTTCCTTCTTTTAATCAACACTCAGACAAAGACTCATGATCATTTCATCCGTAATCAATTCCTTATTTGCTACATTCTATTATTCCTCCTTGAATTGCTGTCTGAAGGATTTGGTAAGCAGAGTGTGATAGTCATTCTTGGCATCTGTCAACCAACCCAAGTCGATTTTCCTTCCCTCACAAAATTATTAATTTTGCATTAGAATTAATATAAATAATGCTCGATTAAAATCAGAATGTAACTAGTTAAAGCATGTGATACTTATATTATTTATTTTAATGTAGATACTATTATTTATTAACCAGAAAAATTATTATGAAGAAATATTAATTTAAATCTTAATAACACTTGAAGCATTTGGAATTGCCTTATATGTTGATCCCCTGTATTCAATAATAATAAATGGCACCTTCATTTTGACATTCATAATTTTATCATAATATTATTAGAAAGCAAGAATATTTCGATTGTGGTATCATCACCAGTTTTACATTGCTTTGCCTCTATTTATCCAATCCCAGCAAGTTGAAATTGTCGACCTATGTAATATTCTACTAATAACCATAATGGCCATTCTATTTTTATCATATACTGAAATTATAGGAGAAATTTAAATATACAAATTTTTGAGGATATTCAAATTTGTCATGATCTTAATAACCTTTTCGATCCATTACCAAAGCCAATTAGCATACAATATCTGCGTCATGGTCTACGATTCAATTATAATAATACAAACCTTTGGAATTGCATTAGTTACCTCACCAAATTTGTTGAAATTTAAAACTATCGCCATTATCTCGATGAATCGACTTACTATTTTGATAATCTACCTCGCTATCTCATGGCAATCCTTGATATTCATGATACCCATCATACTATGTCTAACCTTCAAAATTTTGGACATCTTTATTCACCATTAAATTAGAAATTCCCTATAAAAAACCCCATTCCAATTGAAATAACTAATCCTGATGTAATTCACCTATTAATTGGGACTAAGTGCAGGCTTGTTCTACCTTTCACAGATTCTGGTTACTCATTCTAAGGAGTGTAATCGACCAAATTGTTTTTGCACATAAAACTTTTAATTCACTTAAGAGTAAACATGGAAATAGCCAGATCAAGTTTTGAAACAAAATCTTAATTAAGTTCTTGGAGAAATCTTAAGATTGTACAACATGCCATATCTTGAAAATTCCCAAGAATATGTAAAGACATTCTTATATATCTAAGTTATTATTATTGAGTAGAATTGAAACTCAATATGGCAATGACAAGTTGTTTGAAACTCTTTTGAGAAGCCAAAAGCTCAGCTCAACCAAATTTTATGGCTACACTGTGTTACCACATCACTTTCGAATCCAAGGTCATAGAGAAATGTTTTATGAGAAATTGCTTGAGAAAATTGAAGGAGTACGAATCAACAGTTAGATTTATTTTAATTATTGCAATTTGGTCGATCAATTAGGCTCGTCGATTATTAAATTACTAAATTAAAGGTAATAAATTTTTGTATTCTTGACTCTACAATATCAGAACCCACTCTATTACTTATATCATAATAAGATGTACTCTTACATTAAACTTGTCTAAAAATCAGAAATTCTATTGCAGGATATTCTGAGACTGAATCCCCATTCACTGGTGACTAAGAATTTATCTTATGCTTTATACTCTTTGGTCACTTTTCAATAAGAAAAATTGAAGCAAATAACATCCTAATTGGTTTTATAAAATTTTAAAATTGACAACCTATGGAACACCTTAAACGATATGCAATGCTGCTATGTTTAATGTAAATACGACAATGGATTGATCATGCTAAATCATTCGATTCTATTTCCCAAATTGATGGAAGGTATCATTTTAATTGAATTTAAGAAACCGAAATAAAATCTGACTTAGTGGGTCATTACATAGATAGGATATTGCCAAGTCCAGTTAGGGAGGTTCACTAGTAGTTTCTAAGAAGGTTGATTGAAGAAGGGAAGCCGAGATTGCTGAATAATGGGATTCAGTAATTTTACATCACCACAAACAAAGGGTTTATGAAAGAAATTGATAGTCTAGTTAGGTTGGGTCAGAGTATGGAATACCTAACATTTATGACAATCATGGGTTACAAGTAGGAGGATAATTGTGGGAAGATCTTATTGAGTTCGAAAGGCACTGTATATTCTTACTCGGAATAGGCAGTAAATTTACTTCAGTTGAATAGAATTTTGAAATTGGATCATAAGATTAATTTAAATTTTAAGATTTGCATACCCATTTCTAGCAATATTAATGAATTGTGCAATGGATTTATAATTATACCAAAGGTAAATTTAATGTAATCAGATTCAACCTTTAAAAAAATACAATCAAGTAACATCAATTAAGTTTCGTTTTATAAGTATTTTCTCAAACATCCTAAATAATGCAGTGTATTCATTTCAATTTATAAATTTTGTAATTCAGCCTATGATGATAACAAATTATAATATGAAACACTTTACATTTTCCAGTCCAATGAAATAAAGGATCTAGAATTAAAAATGATAGCATTAGAATTGATGTTTAAATAAGTGATGATTTTGCATAACATATAATCTGATACGTATCAGACCAGTTACACTTCATTTAAATCAGTTATACCTGAAACCTATCAAATTACTAATAGTGGTAAGACTCAATCTTATTAGGATGAAATGAATGATAACAATTTTGCTATTAGCAATGAATCGATACACATTTAATAGGATCCCCTTAGTATCTCGCTTCATTAATTTTTCAAATAAGAATCGAATGAACAAAAAGTAATAGTTAATTAGAATAATCATTCTTCCATCATTGCAAATTCTTTTCAAACCTAAGATTTACTGATCTCCCAACTCAGAATTAATGACGAATTAAGCAATAGAGATAGTAGAAGAGAGCATCTGTAACTGATTTAAACACATCAACATAGTGTTGAGATACAACCCCATTAGCATTTGGGTGTAAGGGACGAAGACGATGTAGAATCACCAGAAGAATTGAAAGTAGAATTGGAACTTTAAGTTTCAATTAAAGATCTAACTGATCAATAGATGAAGGAACAAATAGAGTGGATAAAATCATAAGTTAGAGTGAATAAATAGTAATTTCAAAATAAGCAGTAACATTTTGTACCGACTGCCTTAAAAAAGCGATCTAATCATAAATTAACACTCGAATAATAACCATCAACTTCTATCAAGAGTACAGACTCTTAAAAAGGTCTTATAAATCACATAATCAATGGGATGATTCAGTCTAATCCTCATCAGTTTTATAGTATTTTAGTGGTTGCATTTATATATGCAATAATTTTAGTTATCCTAGTGTTATTAAGCATCGTTGCAATTAACAATGAGATACATCACATCTACTTAGATTCAACTGGTGGCTAGTTTTCAATAACCCTTTTGCAGAACATTAATTTGATGGAAATATCTATTCATATATTGGCACATGATTAGAAATTTCTTGCTCCTTATTTTTATATTACTAATTCAACTGATGACTACATTACTTAGATTAGAAATTATAATGATCGAGAATTCATTAATCCAGAAATCTTAATAGGTTTAGAAGAATCCCAAATTTGTATTCTTCACACCTTTTCTAATAACGGCGATTAAACGAAATCTTGTTATTATACAAGAGATTTCTTGGTAGATCAATTGCCATTGTTATTTCATAGAATTACAGAGGTTGTGGAATTTTATTCATCCAATTTTAATCTGTCAAACATGTAAGAAAGTTACTTTACTCTAAACTATCCTACTTATTTCCAATTGGCTACGAATCTAATTGATTAAACTAATAATGAGATGATTAACACTAAAAATAGTTCTCTATAGATAGCATCCATTTATGTTATTTCAGGAGTTATTTCATGTCTTGGAGTTGCTTTCTTTATACTTATTGCCGAAATACAAATAGCCAAATGGAGAGTTTCTATTGTTAGAACCTACTTCTTGTTTCAAAACTTGAATCAAGCTCTGATCGATTAAGACAATGAGACCTAAAGAATTTTGGAGATCGATGAATTGTCACATATGAAGTACTCTCTTTTGAAATTAGACAAAAGTGGTTAGCAGTCTCTCAAATAGGAATACAGAAACATCGATCATCGATTAAAGAAACAATTTTGGGTTAAGCAATTGACTCTGGTTTTTCTGATAGGTGCATTAGAACTACTCTATTTCATTCCTTACTATGAATTATTTTAAGCTTAGGTACAACAAGTCATTGATTTTCACAATGACGTCCATTACCTAGGACTGGCTCAACTTGCTTTTAGTAATCGCTTAGTCCATTTCATATAATCATATGCTAATCCCTCTTACTCAGTAGATGAGAGTACTTTCGAATATTATGATGAATTATATTCTTACTATGAAGATATATATCTATTCTAATTGCCATATGATAATGAACACGATACTTATTCTCTTACTTATATGGTCAATAATGACATTTGCCAAATTGGGTCAATAGTGCCTATGATTGATTTGGGCTACACTTGCCCCTACATCCTACAACAAGGGTATTCGAAATATATGGTTAACTCTCAAAGCACTTTGAGGATCATGAAATCTGATTATGATTCACATTTAGGATTAAGGCAGATTCTACTAGATCCGGACTTTTTAGACATTATCATAGCCTATGGTTTTGTGTTTCCTTAGTTTAATTTGAACAGAGACAACCTTTTTATAAATTAGAACGTTTAGAATGAGAATTCTCAAGTTTAGGCCATTTTGATGGCCACTTTAATTCTTATAGCTTTAATAATGGTATTTTTAACGATTATTTATTTTATTTCAAAACAATTTCTAGCGATTATTGAGGCGGTCAAACAATCCCTATTAATATTCTCAAAAGAGTAGATTGCAAGGAATAAACATTTAGTTTAGGTATTAAGCAAAGAAGTAACCCTTGATTGATTATAATTCCAATAAAAAATTAGAATAATTTTAAAAATTAAATTATCTCTAATTATGATCAATTTTCTTTCTAAGATGCAATTCGCAGTCACCAAACTACCTCAAATGGTTAAAGGTGTGTTACCTCAAAAATTTGAATAGCTTGTAATAATTGATTCATAATCTTTAGGTTTACATAGATCTTGTTTTATAGAGTATCAATTAAATGAAAAATGCAGATAAAGATTTATTGTTGATGTCTTCCAAGCATTTTTACTTGATCACTAATTATTATGAGCCATGCACTTACGAAGAATTGCGATCAGAATTGAAAAAGCTCAAAATGGAAGACTTGAAGAATATTTTGATAAATAATGCATAAGAGATATTGAAATCAGTTTAAATTATATTCTAATTTAGAAACAAATTTCAGTAGCCAATTTCGTTTCCATCATCCCCATTTTGGGTAAGAATTACAATCTGAATGAATTTTCATAATTAATCGAAGAGCAACTAAAGGAAATGATCGAAGTTGTAAAAGATCGCCAAGAGTGCAAGAAGTTCTCCAACATCACCTTAACCAGATTTTGCAAGTCCATGGGATACTTATTAAGAAATTCAGATAACCAAAGTCTTAAACAACACTATTAAACATTTATCTTTTAGATCATCCTCAACAAACCCAATACTCAATTGAGACACATATACTCCATGCTCCATTACCTACAATTTATTAAGTACAACTAAATCATATCCTATTTGAATCAGAAACAATTGGCTATTGAAGCCTCAAAATTCATTCTATCAAGATTTAGAACTCAACTTAATCTTGAACCTGAAATTTCAAAAAATCCAGAATTCTATTCACAACTATCCTCAGTATAGCATTTAAAATATCGTAGTTCCTATTTAAGACAAATTACTTCCCCTTAGAAGAGGCGTTGTTCATAGAAGAAGCGCTTTTAAAAAATGTCTAATTTACGGAGGAAAAAATAGAATTTGCTTACATTAAGATTATCTTTTGTTAGTTGAGTAAAGTAGGAGTTGGAGAGAAAATAATCAAAAGAATGCTTTAAATTCATAAGAAGATGGAAATGCAAAAGGATTTCTTACCTTATTATTTATTGTCTCTCTTGTATTTTCAAATCAGTCGCATAATGGATTAATTCAGATTGAATCCCACCAGATAAAACATGGAAAAACTCATTAAGGAACCTTATTTTGCTTAACCTTTAATTGATCAAGTTGTTGAAGCCATGAAAGATTTTGGATATGCCTAAATCGCCTATCCACAAGAATCAATTAATCAAACTAAAATCTGCTAGGGTCTGTTGAACTGCTTCTCTATTAAATTATTTGAAGAAGAAAATATCAAAGCCTAATTTAGTCAAAGCATTGCTGCACCAGGAAGAACTAATGAAATAAATAGTGACGTTGAAGATTTTCTGTAATCTAAAGGGATTCAATACATTAAAGAATATACTGAAGGATTCTATTCATATGATTATTGGATACCAGATTTGAACATTATTATTGAATGCGATGGATCCTTCCATTACCAAACTAATTCATATGATAAAAAGGATAGTTCAACCTTGGCAAGAGATTTCCTCATTTTGAATTAAAATCGAAAGCTTATATCAATCAATTGGTTTAAACAAAGAGAAAAAAGGTTTACAGAAGACAAATTCGGATACATATCTTAATTATGGAATAAAATAGAAAAGAACCCTGATATTATCTATGCTGAATGAATATTTGTTATTTGAGTACATTACATATGTCAATTAATGATTTTCATTATTAAAATATTCGATTATTTTATATAATTTAACTCATTCATCAATCTGATATTACTTTCTCAAAAACTCCATTTAATGATCATTATTATTTTGTTTATCAGGGTTGAAACTTTTAAGTTAATCTATTCCTCTTTTTATATATATTTTAAGTTCAGGTATTAATGTGATTGATTTTTTAGTCTATTGATTAAAATTATATAGTATTTCAAGAATCGAACAAATCAATTCTATATTAAATTACTTATTCAAAAGCCTTACAAACGCCTCCTATACTTTAATAGCTTACTCATTTTATGGATCATGCAGTTATAAATACCTTAAGATCTCTCTTAGTAATAGTTAATCCTACTGATCATTTAATTTAAGCTTTTGAATTTAGGCAAATATCAGTGGATGTTACTGAGACACTAAATTAAGAGCAGATAAAATTCCCATAGCAGTTTTATTGTCTATATCATTAATTCTATTTTCAATTCCTTCCAAATATTTCTCCAATATATTTCGATCTATTTAACGAAAACTTTTAAGCGCAAAAAGAATCAAAGATACATGTTGTAATGGCAAATCTTTTGGTACTACTTTTAATTGTAGTTTAGTCACAAGTTAATCTTTTTTTATATCACTATTTATTAAATGAATGATCTGAAACACTTCTGCGTAACTTTAAGAATTTATAGAATCCACATTCTCATATAAATGTCTAATTTTAAAATATAATTTACTAAATATATTTATTGCCTAATTAACGTGTCATTTTTTTATTTTTCATTATAGCCTATATTTAAAATATTACATCTTATATTGGCATTTCGTTCAAATTTCTAGAGTTGATTTCATTCAATATGACATCCCACTTTGCAGATTAAAACATTTCCTTACTTTTTGAGAATAAATCAATATATAATTGAAATTCAAATGAATTTAAGGATGATAGATTTTCCTAAATGTAATCGTGAGAGTTTGTTTGAATTTAAAATATCAATTTTTGAATCCTGTTATCAAATAATTATGGCTAAATAATATATTACGAATATTACATAAGAGTGTTAGTACGTTGAAAAATGTTTTAACAACATGATTCTACTCATAATGTTTGTTTATTTTGTTAAAAAGATATCGATTTTTTCAATTAGAATAATAAACTTAGCCATTATTTAACTTTCTGTCTTTTTAAAGCCTTCAGTGTGCCCTTCTATGTTTCTCCTACCTTCTACCAGATGAATCTCTATTAATATTCTCCAAAGATGTTCTTCTCCTGTTTAGGGTACTTATTTGAACAACTTATCTTAGAATTTATCGACTGCTTCCATACTTAAAGGTAGGAGCTTGTAAAACCCACTATATAAATATAGAGTTATGAAGAATAAACATTTTTAAATATAGGTTGCATTCAAACTTATAGAGTCTATTACACTTTCAAAGATTTATTTATCATACACATTTTGATGTGTAGCACTTTCTACATAGCAACTAAGAGCTTGTATAAAATAGTTAAACTCCTATGTGTCTATTTCTTTAAAATCTCTTCCGATTAAATTGATAAATTAAGGGAATAATCCTTTATTAAACTCCTTAAAATTGAATTGTGCAACCATAATTTTGTGATACCCAATAGAGTTTTGAATTCCCTTATAGTGAACAGGTGTCTTTAGACAAAGATCGATGTATTTTGTCAACTTTAATGTATCCTTTATAAGAATGGATTTTCCTTAGCAAAATGCCATAAATAATTTCATTAAAATATATTCAATTTAAAAAAAATTCTCAAATAAACCAAGTCTCCTCAGTATATTCATCATTATCTAATGGCAATAGAATTTAATCAAAAATAAAATTGCCACACACAGGACAATCCTTAGATAAGATTTCATTAAGTTCTGATTAAAATTTCTTTTATTACTCATTTCTAGCATTTCTTTAATTGTTTAAAGTAATTTAATTCGAAGCAGTAAAAAATCCAAAAATCGATTCATCAGGCTTAGTTTAGTTTGTTTGTATTTACAGTTTTTCAATATCATTTAATTACTTTTCTAAATAGAGCATACTATGATAAGTCTTTTAATCCAATACAGTTGGATTACTTTTAATATATTGAAGAATGCATTCCCTATGAAAACCATGTGAACACTCGAAAACAATATAATCCTCTTGAAACAGTTTTCTAAAGCAATTTTCACATTTATTTTTCTAGGATACAAAAATGTACCTATTACTAGTTTACAGCAATAGTTTTTTTAAATTTTCATTTGATTTGATATATCCTTCAAGTTCATTTTGCTGTTTTTCAACCTAATCATGATATTCCTCCAAAGTTTCACAAATTTCATCCTTGAAATCGTCTAATTTAATATTCTAAGTCAAATAAGGTAATATATCTTCTGCCTTAATTAAGGGAATTTCTCTAGTTAATTGAACAATCTATTTAACGTATTTGCCACCTTTCTCCAACATTAATCTAATTTATAGAATCCACAATTGTCTCTATTTGTTATTGTCGTCACATTTTAGTGCAATATTCTTAGCATCCTCAATAAGATCTATTTCAATGGCTTTTTTGATGGCATTTTCGTAATCGCCTAACATTTGCAGTATATAAACATATGGCTACAATAAATTTGTTTTCACAAACAATTAAGATGCATAATTCAAATCAAATTTAATCTTTTCTCCATTTTCATTTTAGTTAATTTGTTCATTAATGTAATACATAATTTACTCAACCTTCCCAAGATCTGCCAGATATTGAAGATAGAGGTTGTTAAAATTTATATCTGTGATTTTGCGAGACTTCACAAAGATACAATATTGCATAAATTGAATAGCTAATTCTTTGCTTTTAAGAGGAACATCCAGCAAAATTGAAAGCATTTTTTGAGCATCCAAGGCATCGATTTTCTTAAATAAATCTAGAGTTTATTATGTATTATATTTCATGATAACATAGGAGTATTTATAGACTAGATTAATTAGTAAGTCGTTATCATTTAAAGATGATAGCTTCTCTTACACTGATCTATAATCTTCTTAAATTAGGAGGTTTTAGACAACTGTCTTATGATCCTATTTTAATTCGATGAAATAAGTCTCTAAGTAAGTTAAGCCATGAACTTTCAATGTAGGTATCACTGAATCTACTTCTAAATCAGTTTTATATTGTTCCAGAAAGGCTTTGATGCTTCCTTAATTTGTGATTGAGAGCATGAGAAGCTCCAAAATCTTTTTGAATACGATTTACTTTAATTCTTTATCCAATAGATCGACCATAGGTTTAAGATAGTTTTCTATGGTAATATAAATTAAAGTGACATACCTATCAGACCATCCCTATTATAATTGATTTCTCCCATTTCATATTGTAAAATGACTTATTCATAAGATCTATTGCTACCGAAGTAATAGAGGGCTGCTTTTCGATATAATTCAAATTTCATATCGACAATCTCCGTTGAAATATGAACCTTCTCAACTTTGTCATCGAATAGACTTTCTCTCATGTTGCTTCTGTTATGTCTATTTCTCATAAAAGTGTTATCAGAAATATCATTTTGAATATTTTCATTATTCGGAGTCTTGTATGGATCTAACTATAAGGCTTGGTTGAAAAGTATGTCTGCATACTTGCCTGATATCTAGTAATAACAATACATAGGATACTTGACCATAAAAGGAGGAATCATATTTTTTGTTTACAAGCAAGGCTTCTTCATAAGACTTTTGTTCTAGCAATTGTTCCCATGCATCCTTGTCTTCAAATTCAACACTAATTCTAAAGATGCCGTTGGTGCACCACACCCAAAAGCATTCAGTTCCTTGATCATATAGCATTCCCAAAGCCTTGCCTGAGGTGTTGATATTAATATCGAAGTATGCTACAACTGTCATAGAAAGCAAATTGATAATAGTAAGGGTATCAAAGGTTAACAGATAGTAATGATATTTAGTGAGTCCTATCCCATAGAGTTACTCCAATTTAACCTCTTCTGTTGAAGTTCGTTTATAATTTTTAAGTTTTTTGGAGTTCTAAAAGGTTTGATTTTCGATTAGCATAGAATAGTTAGACAGAAGTATATTATTGCCATTAGTCCATAAAATGGCTGAGTTCTCTATAAAGATTCTTGGGATGTAGGATTTGTCTTTGAGTGCAATTCTAGATTTCAGAAATAGATCAGGAGCTTCTTGGTATTTTTAAAAGAGTTTCCTGAGATCTTTTGTACCATTCAATATATAGATATGCTTATCGGTGACAATTAAAATCATATGAATAGTGTTCTTCACAACTTTTTTAACATCAACAATTTTTTCGATTTCAGGTATTTGTAGGATGCTTTTGCTCAAGACTTCAGTATGTAATAGTTTGTCATTGTTATAATTGAGTGAATAAGTATAGATTTTATTATTGGATGCTATGATAATAGAATTTTGGAATGAGTAAAGTGAGCCTTCTCCCCACAAGAAAAAACGAATGCTGAAATTTTCAACTCCTTCCAAGAGTCGAACTTCTTCTTCATCCTTACAAGCGTGATAGACATCCCCCTTATTTGAGGTCACAATGATGTGATTTCCTTTAGGTTCCAAGAATATACAATCTAATTTGCCTTCTTCTGAATCCATCCTTTTTGAGCGTTTCATCGATGCATTAAAGAGAGGTTTGGTAACTTTGGAAACTGTATTGAGAACAGCCCCTCCTATTTGTTTACTTACTTGTCCACTCAATTTCATGATCTGATCTGTGATGTCTCCTTCAACTTCAGTTTTGATTGGCAATTCGACACATCCATCTTCATTTAGGAATCTCCATCGATATATCTTTTTCCTGTCAGTTGTGAAGACAATGCAATGATCATTGATTGCAAATGAGATGAGATTCTAATCAAGAGGGAAATCAGCAATTTGGAATGGCTTGAGTTAGAACGTATTCTTCTCTTCCTATTCTTAAGACTCGAATCCGTAATCTGCAACCAAGTCTTCATCATTTTCATCGAATAGAGAAATTTAATCTGTCATATGTTATCCAATTATTTATTGATGTATTGATAATCAAATCAATTTCTGCTGGCAATGAATTGAGCAGTGGTGGATAACTTCTCGCTGATGTGCTCTTAGAGTCTGTCAACAATTTCTTATTGGGCAGTTCTAATAAACTATAGAAGAATAGGATACCTTTCAGCGGTTTGGGTTTCATAGATTTCTGATTAGACTGCATACCATGCTTGTTATCCAGCAAGTCTCTCTTCACTGTTTTCCAATTCAAGAGTATGGAATTCGATCCATGATTAGGCATCTTCGATTGTGTCCTTTTATTCTTAGATTTAGACTTCCAATTAGGCTTTTCTTTCAACCAATCTGGTGTGTTCGTTAGCCAAATGAACAGAGAATTCAGCCCAATGAGCAGCTTATCTTTCCTCGACGTCCTTGAATATTAAATTGAATGAATACAGTCTTGGCAGCTTTTTCTTAGACTAATTATTATCTGATTTCGCTCAAGAGTTAAGCAATCTTTGTCAATGCCTTTTAGTTAACTCCGTGGGTAGCCAATTCAGTAAGAGCAGTGATGACTGGCTATGTAATGTAGGTTAGTCAATCATACTTGCAACAATGCAGTGTGGGATGTGTTATCTGAAAGCTTTTTGTGGAGGGTGTCATATTTGCTCTTCAATTAAGCAAATGAGGCTCCAAGGCTCAAATGTTGGATCAATTTAGCGGCTTCATCAATAGCATCAATCACATCATCAATAGCAGCAACTTTTGCGACAAAGGTTTCGTGTTATTAGTTTCTTGTGGCTTCCTCTCTTGCATAGGTAGCTTCATTGTTAGCGATATCTGAAATGGTCACTCTGATATCTTCTTCAGACACTGCGAGTGCTTCAATTGTATCGTCTCTCAATTAGGTATTTGAGGCAATTTAGTTTTAGTGATACAAAATCTCCTTTTCCAAATCTTCAACGATCTAAAGATTAATTAAATAGAATCAACTCTGTTGTTTGTTGTTGTGTCAAGTTCAAAAGCATGATCGTGGTCGTTCTAGTCTTAGACGAGTCCTGCACCAACACCATTCAATAACATATTAACTTCATTGGCTGGGGTTGAGGCTTAAAGGTGGGCCTTTATGGCACTCAATACAACATGGCCGAATGGGTCAGCGTTGATTTAAGCCAAAGTTGTGTGGGTGTCAACGAACTTGGCAGCAGTCACAGCAAGAACCAAAGCTAAGAGAGCTATTTTTTACATTTTTAATATTAATTTAAAAACGGATCGAGCTCTTCATTTATACTCATTTTAAACTATAATATTATATAATTAATATTTTCTCCACCTCTCCTCTCTCCCCACCTAACTTACTCCTATCAATTCTTGCACACCCCCTCTCTACTCTTGCTGATCTCAGCTCTCTCTTTTTTATTATTATTTTTCAATTTAATAATTCTACATAATTAACACTTCTTAAACATACTTAAACAAAGTATAATATATATTTATATAATATTCAAGCCTGCTTAATTCTTTATTGTGGCGAACTAAACTAATGATATCCATGGTCTCTTCTTTGCGCTTAAGGCGATAAAGGTCGTCGTGGTTCAAAATCCCTTCCGCCAGGTCCTCCCCTTTATAATTATTCTCCACCCCTTGGATATTAAGGAGGATAATCTCCCCTATAAAACTCATTAGATGGGCCTCCTCTTTGAGGATATCCTCCACCTCTTCTGTATTCGCCTGGAGGTGGTTATCCTCTTAACTCTTACGGTGGCAATCCTCTTGGATCCATTCCTCTCCCATATTCAGGAGGAGGTCCTCTATAATTAGCAGGAGGCATTCCTCTATATTCAGGAGGGGGAATTCCTCTCTATTCAGGAGGAGGAGGTTTTCTGAAATCAGGAGGTGGCCCACCTCTGTAGTCTGGAGGAGGCAAACCTCTGTATTCTTAATGTGGTCCACCTCTGTGATCAGGTGGAGGTCCACCTCTATACTCCAATGGGGGTCCTCTGTAATCGGGAGGAGGTCCTCCTCTGTGCTCTAATTGTGGTCCTCTATAATCAGGAGGAGGCCCACCTCTTGAGGGTACATCTCTGCCATAATCTCCGCGATAACCCATTGGTTCTGGCATTCCTCTTCTGAACTCACCGCCTTAATAATTGGGAGGGAACATTCTCCTATATTCAGGAGGAGGCATTCCTCTAAATTCAGGACCATCGCGAAAATCAGGAGGAGGCATTCCACGGAAATCAGGGGGAGGACCTCTAAAATCTTGAGGTGGTCCAACTCTTCTTGGGTCATATGCTTTTCCCTATCCTTTCAAACCTTAAGGAGATGGTTCCCCGTATGGTTATTATCTTGGACCATATGGACTGCCATAAGGAGCAGATATTGGTCTATAGTAACGATCATCAGGATAGCCATGATCATACGGAGCATTATTGTATCTTTCAGGAGGTGGAGGAGGATATTGAGGATTGAAACCAGGAGGAGGTCGTTCAAATCCTCTTGGGATGTTGCCATATGGAGGTTGTGGTCGATCCAAAGGGCGATCTTGGGGTCTTTAAGGCAATGGAGCTCTTTCTGGGCCTTGTTCCTAATAAATGGGCTTTCTTTGAGGTGGTGGACGTTCTTGAGGATGGCCATAATAATCATCAGCTCGACGAGGATCTTCAGCCAATTTTTGAAGATATTGAGGGTTTTAACCTGGAGGCTTCTCATGACGTGTAGGATATTTGTCATTATCACCCGGTCTAGAAGGAGTGTAATACATTAATTTTGAATAATATATATTGTAATCAGTTAGTATTTAATTCTCAAATTATTTGATATATTTTAATAGAATCATTTAGAAACTCGATACACAAACATTTAGCCAAGAAATACTTTAATGGAAAAGTAAAATAACATCATTTTTGTGCTCTAAACATATTTTAATAATGTACCTCTTCTGGAAAAAAGTAAGAAATACTATTTGAAATAATAGCACTCAAACCCATAATGGCCAACATAAAGGAGAACACTCCTTGACTAGCCATAGATCCAAATATTTTAGGAATGGAACTACTAATCACAGAGAACAAAATGGCTAATGAAACCGTAAAAATCGAACACATAATGTTAATCAACATTGTGTTATCAAACCATAGTGAAGCAACAAATATCAATATTAGGAGCATCTAAATGCATAATAATTTTTGAATACATTTGTTTAGCCTAATCTTCTTATTACAAGTTTGTATGGCAACTCTGAAATAAAATAGTTATAGGCCAACCTCATAAATCCATACAACAGGATTGATATTTAAAATGTGGTCGATGATTTTGTATAGGATATACCTAATGCAGACTAAATCCTCTGATATTAACAGAATATCAAGTATGGCAAAAGGGATGATGACACTACTAAAATTGACATGATTTAAAATGGCTTAGTTGAAAGGGATTAAGTAAATGTTATTGGTTAATCGAATGATTAATCATTCTCATTTTAAGAATGTTGGCTGTGTTATTATTATTTAAGATCTAAATGAGCAAATGCGAGAAGATCATAATCAACTACGCTATCAGCTATATCTCCATCTGGTTATTTAATAAGGAGAGCTGCTGTGATTCCTAAAATAAAAGCCCAGATTGTAAGTCCTCTTAGAGATCTTCTTGTTTGAAGATTGAAGCATTCTCCACAGAAATATTGATCATTATCAAAATACAATTCTAATTAATTTGCTTAATTTGACTCAAAGATTAGCAATGCAAAAAATGCACCTAATCCTATGAATACTTGGAATATTGAATTTAGGTGTTCTAATTTAAGTATAAAGTATATACATTTCTATTTAACAAAGTATCTCCAAGTTGTCAGAAATGGTGTTGAGTACAGAATTCCTATGGATGGGGCTATGACAAACAGCTGAAGTAAGAGATGGATTACCCAATACTAAGTGATTCTAATGTTATATTTATACTTAATCAAAAATAGCCATCATCATAAATGACATTCCAATTAAACTAACAAATATGCAAATTAAGGTTTGAGGTCCTAATTTCTTCAGGAAGAAGTCAGTATGAGGTATGAACAAATTCATGATAAAGATCATAAGAGCATAGCTGATATAAAGGGTGTATTAGTGATTAAGGTCCTTATATCCAATTAAAATTTCATGATATGATTGTAAAATTGGCCATGCAAAGAAGAGACCAATAATCTATTATTGTTAGATAGATTACTAACTTAACGAGCAAACCAGATATGAGTACTCTTGTTCCTTCTTGCTTGAAATCCATAATCTATTTCAGAATTTCCCTGTAATTAGGGTTCATCAATATTTAATAAAAATAATTAATTAAATTTTCTAATAAACTTATCTATCTAGTAATTGCAATTCTAATTTAATTTTAGAATACCAGAAATTATGAAACATAATCTAGATTATATATAGCAATATAAATTTGTTCATTAAGACTTTTTCAACTAATTTGATGTCACTTCATAATACTCTAATATTGTTAATTCTCCTATGGACAGCTGATATGACAAACAATATTTAAAGACATGTTGATAAAACGATTCTTGATTAATTATGAATTATATTTAAGGTTTTGAATGCTTCAACTAAGCCATTATAATAAATAATTATAATTTGATATGAGGAACAACCTATGTATTAAATGAATAAGAAGATTAGCCATGTACTTCAATCAGCATTATGTATTTAATTAACTAGATTTTAAATATAATAATGTGGTTTCAGGATGTACCTAATCTTATAGCATTTTTAAAATAAAAATTACACGTATGATCTATATTAGATTAGATTTTCACCTCTGATGGAAAATAAATATAAATTAAAAATAGTAAATATTTAAAAGATAAAACACTTTATGATCCCTTTTCTATAAATTGAATTTCTTCAATAAATTGATAAATTTTAATTCTTTATCTCTTCTGTAGACGATCTTTCATATGTATTAAAATAATAGTTAAAGGATTAGAATAATATACTTTCCATTTATATGTACGTAACAGTTTTGGTTATCATTTTTTTGGATCTTAGAGATATTTAAAAGGTGATTTCATAGTTGTTATTTTCGATTAGTCGTAAGCATGAAAATGATGAAGTTAGGAATAGAGGATGGGGATAATTCCATTAAAGAGAAAGCTTTTTAAAATGATATGTTGAATAGTAAATAATAATAATATAATAAATATTTAAATATAATGCAGTAAGTGACTCCTGCATATGTCAGAAATCTGAATGGAATCACACAAGAGTATTTGATAGATTGATATTAGTTTCTTGTGTCCTGTTAATGCCAACACTTATAACATTTAATTCTTGAAATTTAGAATAAGAGATATGGATTCTGGATAGACACTATTTGAGGTAGAGCGAGATCAAGACGAAGAGTCGATAGGTAGAGAGTATGTCGATGTATGATAGAAAATCTACCTCCAGAATATCAGGATGAGGCTAGACGTATAAAATATCATTTTGGACCTTAATTTTTTGAATTAAAGACTGTGGGTGCTTAATTGACTTTTTCAGTGGGCAACAAACCTGTCAAAAACTTTACAATAATAGAGAGACATTATTTCAAAGAACACTTATTGAGAAGCTATGAATTTCAATTTCCCTTTTGCATCCCGAACTCAACGAACACTTGGGAACACATCTACACTATTCCAGAGATAGACGAGGCAATGGTAATGAATAATGGTTAAGAATTATTAGAGATAGGAAATGATAAACAATCCATTCTAGACAAAATCAGATAGTTTTTATTTTGTGGGAGAGCAACTCGTGATGCATAACAAGGCAGAATATGACTATTCACCTTTTGATTGATATATATTAAAAATCTATTAATATATCATAATTTGGGTTTGATTACGTTTTCCTTGACAAGCACCTCAAAAGCTTTGGGTGTGATGGACCAAGTAGTTGTATATGATTGCATCTATTCAACCCACAATTCAAAACTGAGGATGTCCTCTTCTCTTCCATTCTTTGAAATCAACTCCAACATCTACCCACCTACAAAGGATTCGCATAAACTAATTTTAAGAGTTAACCATACATAAAGCAGAGATCTCTGATTCTCATTTCAGAGTACTTGACAGTTCCCTATAAAATATTAGATAATTCAGCCACAACTCCATTGTGATTGATGGTCATTTTGGCAATGTAGGGAATGAAGCTTTTTCTGGTTTCAGGCAGTTGAGTGTCAGCAGACAATTGAGTCATCATAATATGAGTGTGGAATCTGGCATAGACATCTAGTTTTTGTAGTGGATCCTTCTTATCATTGGATTTGAGAGCCCTCAGGAAGTCCAAACACAAGACATTAGTGGTACCTTCCCAAATTGTTAGTACTTAAGCATCCCTCAACATCAAAGGAATGTAGCTGTTTTCCATGTATCCCAAAGCACCCAAAGCCTCGATTCCCTCACTCATCCAATACATACAGATTTTTGCAGTGTATAATTTCAACAATGGAGTCAATATTCTAAACATCTCTTCATCATCCTTAGAGGCTGCATTATTCTATATTTTCGAGAACAATTAAGCCACCTTGAAATAGAACAAACTGCAAGCTCTGACATTAAGATTGAATTTAGTTAGCATTGTTTAATGAGCAGGTTTCTCAATCAGTTCCTTCCCAAAAGCCTTTCTCTTCAAAGAATAGTTGACAACTATTGAGTATAGTCTATTCATAGACCCAACAGCTGAAGATGCGTTATACAATCTAGTTACATTTAACATTTGACTAATTCCTTTGACTCCCTTGCCTTCTTCACTGATTAGATAGGCTTCACTTCCTTAAAGTAGTAATTCAGCTGTTGGTAACTGTCTAGTGCCCATTTTATCCTTCATTGTCATAATCTTGATGTTGTTCAATGTTCCATCATCCTTCTTGACTCTCATAATGAATAAAGACAATGGATATTTCCTAAAATCTTCAACTTTTTTCTCTGGAACTATTCTAGCCAAGGCCAATCTAAGAATTTTTAAATGGTATTTGATACGTCATTTCACTATCGGTGGCTGATGAGAACCATTTGTAACCATACAATTTGTATTTATTGCCTCCCTGATGGATGGCAATGGTTGTGGTTGAATTGTTAACATCTGATCCACCATCCTTTTCAGTCATCCACTATCCTGAAGTCCAAAATTTAGAAGGGTCTCTGGATGTTAAATTTTCAAATCCTTATTGTACAAGTTTGATAGTTTCTTAACATTGGGTGGTTGGATTGCTCAACCATTATTTGAGCAAGTAGGCTGCACCATCTGTCATGGCCAAAGGACAACCCTATTGGTTTAGGAATGAATTAATATCTTACAAATAATCCAGATACAGGTTAGTACATTTGGAGTCTCAATAATTGCAGTAGTCTATTCCAAATTCCATGTTTACTCTCGTAGGCCATAGCCACTATTCCACACTATTTAGATCACATAATTACTTTTGCTGCATATTCCTTTTCCTTTCTCCAACCTTCTCCCAACACCAATTTATCAATTACATTTCCATAAACATCCTGTTTAATAAGTTTGGGTGGATTCAATTCAGCATCCACACTGTGTTAGTAAAGAACATCATTGCAAAATTTTCCGAACTCTGTGAATTCATTATCAATCTCATTAAATAGATCCTTATTGTAAAGCACATTCTTGAGTTGAGTTCTGAGGATTCCCCCCACCAACCAAGGATTTGAGGCTTCCAATTTTGGTTGAGTCATTGATTACACGAACTCCAAATGATTTTACATATTTATTTTATATGAAATAAGCAATTTTAGATTTTATCAATTCAGGTATTCTCACAACTAAACCCATTGATGCCTTCTACACAGACCAATTTGAAACCTTTACCAATGAATGCTACAACCGTCTTATCGCATTTTACATGAAATAGTAAAGTGATGATAAACTCAAGAGTGCTTATATAGCTCTAATGAAAGTTGTGCAGAATCCAAAAGTCGAAAACCTCAATCTCCTCGTATTTGGCGCAGCCTACATCGCACAAAAGACTTACTATTATCAGCAAAACCTTATTCAAATGAATAGCAAGAATATCGAAAGAATCCATTTAGATTGTTATCACATCATAACCTATACTCTCAATGGAGTTATCGTGTCTGATCAGTACATCGAAACTAATCTGAAAAAGTATTTCACTGATAAGTACTTGGATTACACCAAAAAAACTGCTCCTCCACCACAATATGTGAAACCCACCAAATTCTTCGGTCGACCTGTTGAATACACCAAATTAGAAAGTGACGAAGGCTCAGAATTCGCTTAAACTCTCTCAGGGATATTTAAACCACCAACCAAAAATAGGAAACTCCCCATTGTTGAAGAAGAAACTCAGTACTAAGTTAGACAACAATTTAAATCCCCACCTATAAGAAGGATGAAAATTGACATCAACTCAATTTCACCCTCTCTCGCAACTGCTCTACATAGAACTAGCTTAGGTTTCGAAAAACCCAAGATCATCAACCATCCATTACTGAAATCTCAATTGGGAGATATGAATTTTATGTAAAGACTCAAAGATCTTGAGTAAGATGGTGAATAAAAACTCGAAACCAAGATCCAAAGATCCCACAGACAGAACATTGTCGAGTAGCATAATCTTACTTATCCTCCCAAAGAATATTTTTAGAAGAATGTCAAAGTAGATGCCCTATTTAAGAACTTCCTGGAACTAAAATACGTCCTAGATTAACGGAAGGAGACCATGAGTTCTATCAAAGACATAAATGATTATCAGCCTAGAATGCCCTATGTGCCTACTTATACTCCATACTTGCAATTTGAGACTCCTTAGCCTGTGAAATAGTAATTGATTCAAAAAAGCAGCTTTGAAATACTGCCTCCTTCTCATGAATTGGACAAAGCTACCATCAGCAAGTTTGACATTCAAGCCCAAACTACCAAATCGACTTTCAATAATCAAGTCAATTCCACGTTTTTCTTTAAGACTAACAACAAACCATAATCCTTGTCGAAACATTCTACTCAAAATTCATTCTTCCAATACATGAACAAGCAAAAAGAATACAAGCAACAATTTGATAGATTCCTCTCGAATGAATCATCTCCTGATAGAAATATTAACCAAATCAATAGTCAACTCTTGAAAAAGCAAAACTTTTTAAAGAAAAGTCTACAAAGGTTAAAAAAATGAGAGATATTTGTGCAATTTTTATATTTTTTAACTGATGTGTATATAATATAAGAATTAAGAATTTGGGAATCTTCTCTCGTTTCAGGCTGTGAGTGGAATGAGACGAAAGATGAAGGGGAAAGGATATGAATGAATGAAATAAGATAAATTCTTATATGAATAATCCCATCAATGTCTATTAAGGGATGTTTATGAAGCTAATGATCTGACTTAATCTTTGAAGAGTTGGATAACGACATCAATGATAGCATTTTCCTCTAAAAATATATGTCAAGATAGTTACCGGCTCTTCTGACGGTTTCTGAGGCATAGAATTCTCTCTTTTCTTCCAAGTCAGCAGTGGCACCAGCAACGGCGTTTAATGAATCTTTCCATAATTTGAGGGCCTTGGCTTATTGGGCTAAGACGGCTGGGAGTTACTAAAGGATTAAGGGCAAATGAGTACAGTTTCCAATTTTTCAACAAGGTTTGTTCTTCTTTCGTGTTCGGAGTTCAACCATGCAACTTCAGCGTTTGTGTCTGAAACGTATTTGGCAAGAGCGAAAGCAGCGTGGATTTCTTATTCTTAGAGTGTGGCGAGTGTTGATTCCAATTCTCCTTGTAAATCTTGTAAGATGGAAAGGACTTGTTCTCCAGTTGTTCCGTCTCTCTTAACTTCGGCAAGGGATTGGAATTTCTAGAGGGCGTCTTATTAGAAGAGGTGACTGTAGGCGGACAATTTGTCAGCGATTGATTAGGCTTTTTCAACGAGTTCAACTCCAGCATTGTTTGTGAGGAATCCAGCGACGTCTTGTTCTAAGAGTGTGACTACTCCGATGGCATCAGCATGATCAGCAAGGGATCTGACGAAGAGTCCATTGGCCCAACATCTTTAATCTTAGAGTTATGCATTTCTTCTTTCGATTTCAGCAAGTCTGGCTTCAGCCCAGGCCAACCATTAATATCCATCCTTTGAGAAAGTATTAATGAAATCATACCTTGACTTAGGCTTCAACATCAACTCTAACTGCACCGAGGGCTTCCCATTATTATTTATTGAGGGAGGCGACATTTGTCAAGTCACCAATAACTTAAGAGAAGATTTCTATAAAGATATAATAAAATAAGGCTTACCCTCATCAGTGTTATTCTTTTTGTCTGCAGCAGCTTAGACATTAACATTCTCTGTCTTGAGATCTCTCAAGAGGTTGTACACTGATTCAACAGCATCATTTCCTCTTGTACCAGTTTGGAGGAGGACAGCAAATTTGTTTGTATCTACGGCAAACACAGCAGCCACTAAGCAAATTGTGATGAGTGCTCTCATATTTTTTTTAATTTAATTATCTAAAAAACGGGTTCATAATTTGGTTTAATAATTAATCATTTTATACTCAATATATAACAATAAATAATCATCAAACCAGACCGAAGTGGTACAGTAAAATTGATAGCCTGAATGCACTCCTCACGATACAACATAGATCAATATTATATTGACAAGTCTAATTAATAATTTTAAATATTGAAGTCTTTTCATACATTGTTTTTTTTATATTCATACATTTAATATTTTCAATTAAGCAAGAAGACATTAATTCAAATACTCCAATTTTACAAATTTCCGTTAATCCCTTTTTAATATTTAAATTCTCAACCCTTCCTTATAAAATCAGATGTTTGCTTGATAATCTCTCAGTTATAAGTCTCATTACACCCAATTATAAAAATTAAATGAAAACCAATTATCGTAATACTTCATTTGGGTAACACAGCATGTCAGATAATTCAGATACTCAGAGAGATGTGGAATTGGAGGATATTGATATGAGTAAAATGAATCATTATACATTCTACCAGTCTATCAATGCCTAACAAACATAATATGAATAGATTGAAGGAGAAATCTTCATTTAAGAGGTCTTGTAAAATATTGTTCACAAGACTATCAAAATTGCAGCAGATAATGAAATTAATAGGAGGATTCCACCCACTACAGCAACTGCTGCTTTAGAACTAATCATCCTACCTCTAACACAATCCTTTAATCGACCTGAAGATCCAAAACCAGACTTTAAGACTGGTGGATTATCTGAAGACTATGAACCTGTAAAGTAAATTTTTATTGCAAGCCGCATATCATAAGAGAATAATGGTTGACAGCTAATATGGTAGTAGAATAATAACAGCCAGCACCCGTTAGTAGACAATTAACTACTGCTTAAACATTAGTTAGATCTAAGTTGAATGTAATTTTGATGCGTATTCTAAAGGATTAAACTCAAATAAAAAAAGAATAGAAGCAATTAGATCCAATGCCGATTGATCTTGATGATCCACTTGATATTAGTATAACAGAAGAGTAACTGAGAACAGCTAAAGAACGATAAATATTAGAACGTCAATAATTGTATGAGCAGGAAAAAAGAAGGAAATTAAAATTGGAACAGGAAGAGTAACTGAAATATGAAATTATTGCTAAAGATAAGAAGTCAAAGTAATTTACCTACGATTATGATGGGAAATTAATACCAGTTACCACAACTAAAATAACTAAACTGCCTCCACCTACATCCACTTTAGTGTAATAGAATAATTTATGTAAATAGATCCAAATTCGAGGAAGATACAGTTACGAAACTAGCACAAAAAAAGAAACAATATAGTAAGATAAATGCTTTAGGAAAGAGAAATGATGAAGAGAAAGAGACTTTTAAATTTAATCAATTAGCTCCTTTAGTTATCGAGAACATGAATTTGTAATCTGGGGTAACCATTAATTATGAAGGTCGTCTAAAAGAAGGACTCAAAACTCATACTATTGATTTAAATAATATGAGTAATCCTTGTTTAAGGATGGCTAGACTTGAGTATTTAGGATTAACTCAAATAATGAATTCTAATAGAAACCAAGTGAATAGTGTGAACATCAAGGCTGAGGATAAGGAAGTTAAGTAAGTGACTAATTTTAATTATGAAAAATTGAAACGATTTACCTAATAGTCTCATACAGGATAAGGTTAAATTAAGTAAAATAAATTTATCTATGTAGAATTAATTCAACCAAAATTTATGATTAATTGGCTTCGACTTTGTTTGAGGAAGAGTCATTGTCGTCCATTCCTATAAAAAGATCATTTGATGCAGCATAAAAGTTGTAAAAGAATCCAATAGATTAATTTAACCTTTCTTTGTATTAGAATACCACTTGGGGAAGGGAAACATAAAATGCAAATGCAACTTATGCAAAATTGATTACAAATAAGGCAATTGATAAGTTTATGACCATTTTTATAAAATAGAGATCTAAAAATGACAATCGGGAATAAGGATAAAAGACCTAGAGAACGTAAATTTTACTCAGAAGGCACTACATTACCTAGCATTAGAAGTTAACGTGTTTTATATTAAAAGTGATTAAATTTAATATTTTTTGTTATTATATGAACTCTCATTTACATTAATTAGCCAAGGAGTAAGAGTTTTAGATAATATTATGGATTTAATATTAATGATATATTTGAATTAAATAAGAGTATATTAAACAAACATAGAAACTTTAACTTGTCAAATTAATTATGTTTCATAATAACAAAATCAATTTCATCTTTTCATCCAATTGTGCTTTAGAAATTTTATAAAATCCATGGAAGAACAATATAAAGTAAGCTGTTTCATCAGATTCATTTTCTGGTTTAATCAATTTGAAGAGTTCCGATTTAGTGGTTATTTCCTTTGACAATTCTTTCTATCTAATGGCATCTGCTCCTTCTCTTAAAAACTCCACTAAAGGTTTACATACAGGAGATGATGATTTCATTAATTATGAAAAGTATTCAGCTATCAATTGTTCCTTCTGCTTCGCAAATTATGTTCTCCCATAAAGGATTGTATTAAGTCTCTCTTCGGGAATTGGGGTAACTTGAATTAAAGATCTATGCTTACTTGGCGATCTGGATTCAAATCTTACAATTTGGAATGCAAATTAGATAAGAAACTATATTTGACCCTAATATCCCTTTGCTCAAAAGTTTGTGAATTAAAGATACGCATTATATACAAAACAGTATCAGATCAAGTTTCCACTCCAATTATTTTAACATCACATATCATTCTATTTATTATATAATAAATTATATAGAAAATAACATAATATTAATGTTGAATTATAATTTATATACAGTCAGTGAATGATTTAGAAACAATCATAAACCACACAGACACTATATACCATAATGAATTGAAAACTAATATAAAATCGATATCAAAACTAACCATAGACAGCTCCAATCCAACCAAAGACAACTCCCAAGATTTCTAAAATTACTATGAAATAATTCAATTTATCTCTATATTCCTTTAAGTAGATTAAAACAGGAATCAAACAAACCATGCTTGTTCCTAAAAGACCTCCAAGTAACGTGATATAACGACTTTACAATAGAAATAAGAATTTACTTGATGTTGGGTAAAATTAAAGCTAGTATTGCACTTCCAAATTAGAGTACTAAGGTTGAATAGATGTGAATTTTGGATCTAAAAGAATCTACACTATCAACCTCAAAAGTAATCTTCCCATCCTGAGCTTAAATCCTCAAATTTCTGTGCTAGAGTTGGTATTCCATTTCATCAGATAATAACATGTCATGAATAATTTATCTACATGCTAATATATTCAAGGGAACAGCAAAGAAAAGAGCCAATGACATGCCCAATTTACCCACAAAAAAGAGATCCCCATGATAATTATAAATAACCCAAGGTTATGTGTCATCTCCAAATCTTAGGTATCCACTAACACAGATTAGTGAATAAACTATAAAGCAGATGAAGCATTGTCTTTTCCATATCTTAGACTAACGTGAGATCGTCGGATTATGTAATTCCTTTCTAATTGGGAATATAAACAAATGACAAAGATAGCAGAAGAAGGTCATTGCAAAAGTGGTGAATATATTGAAATCTACATCCACCAATTTTATTTTAATATCATCATTGTATGAGCCCCGGGCGAAATAATCAAGTGAAGTTAGGGAGGTTATGTATATCACTGATATTACTCCAACCAATGAAAAATATCTTAATTTATATAGAGTCTTCTGAAAAGATATGAGTAGGTTCGGTATTATGAAGATTAATTAGGTTATTATTGCCAACTCCCTTTGATCTACAGTTATCTCGAAATATCTGAATAATTCATATATAAATAATTGAAAAGAGATCTAGATTTATGTAATTCCCAATAAACATTAACAGATAGTTAATATTTCAAAACCTCTCTTCATCTTATTTCCTAAACTCGTCTGAATCAATTCACTATAAGATGAGCATTGTAAATCACCTGCACTCCAACTTAAAATGTGCATCGATACACAAGAGATTATTCCACAAAGTGCAATCAAGAGTAATTCAATTATGAGTCCTTATTCTTTTGCTCTATCTTAAATACAACTCAATTTATATACATGGCAAACCCAACATGCCAACACCCAAACATGGAGCTAGCAAACTGATAATACTCATTCTTATTCCACCTTTTTTCAGGGGACCAAAAGTACGTTGGCACCAATTCAGTTACTCTTCTTTCTCCTGCACTGGCTCCTCCATCTCCATATAGTTGCTAATGAAGGTTGATTGCATGTCACTAAAATGTACTTGCGAATTAGACATTATTAATATAATGAATGACATTATTTTAACCAGACTAGAACAACTTAGAATTGCAATTCCCTAATACTCTTTAGAAAACTCGGATCAACTAAAAGATGATCTCTTATCCTTCAAAGTCATTACGCAAAACTAATTCACAACTTAATCTCAGATGAAATACGATTAAAACATTCTATATAATTAAATAATTCTATAATAAGTTTATGCCTCCTATTGATTCACATTCTAATACTCACTATTAAGTATATTTATGCTAGTCATAAAAAACTCATTAAATTTCAATATAAATAAATTGATTCTTAGCATCATAATTATTAACTCAGAATATTATTTATATATAATTTAAATAAATAAATGTTTTTCTCACCTTAATTTTAAGAATTTATGGAAAACGAAAAATCCATCTATTCCACTTTGTAAAAACATCTTGATATAATATTAGTACACTAATTTACTTAAATAGGCTAATTAATTAGATTTCACTTATCATTCTGTGTTTCAACTATTTTGCCATATATCCATTTTACACAATACTCAAGCAAGTGTCTTTTAGGCTCTCATGAAAATGATTGGTAGTTTGGTTGAATAAAATAAATAGACAACAATAAGTGAAGTACTTCTTCTTGAAAACCAACCAAAATCAACCAAGATTTTATAACCAAATTTTTTTGAATTATTTGAGGACAAATAAACTCAAGCATCCAAAATATAAAAACCTTTGAACGCAAGTGAAGAAAACAAAAAAATTTCAATCTAAACAGAAATTGAACTTCCAAAAGAAAAAGTGTTTAGAGAAACTGTTAAGAACAGAAAGGAAAGACAATAAATGAATGCTCATGAATGTGAAGAATGTGAACAATTTTATAAAGCTTTGCCGAATTCGAATTAAGCAGAAAAATTAAAACAGGATTTTTCAAGGCATAGGATTAATCATAAGTTAAATCAAGAAAAATTACTATTAACTCCAGAATGATGAGAATTTCTTAATGTATATTTATGTTTATTCTTTATTTTTATTAAGTCTGCATTACTAAATAAGTCATTTAAGCATCTGAAAGAGCTTTTTGCTAGTTAATTGATTTTTACTTCAATGTTTATAAAATATTAAGTATATTTTAATAAATTATTATATTCTAGAAATTAAAATTGAAAAAATATTTATGATTATAGACATGCAAAAACAAGACTGTTGATAGGCATTAAACTTCTATTTATATAATTCCACTTATTTAATGAAAAAGGAGTTGTTGAATTTATGAAATGGATTATCTTTTTTTATAAAAAAATAATTATTTTCTGGCATTTCCAATTTAGTCTGAATTCATTTTAATTCACTCTCTTTGTTTAGTTTTCTTCTTTTGAATCTTAATTTACATAGCTATCATGACGGAAAAATTATAAATTAATTGATAACAGAAGGATTTTAAAAATCAACTTTCTGTGTTATAAGCAATTAATTGGAGTATTAAAGTTATATGATATTCAAAAAAATAAAGTAAGTGAATAATTATAAAGATTTATTTTGTATTCTAAGTATTGTTCTATTTTTAGGTTTTTTGAAAAATGATTGTAAAGATGTTGTTTTAAGTCAAATTGGGGATGATTGTTATCATCATCGTAATCTTGACGAAGCATTAATTTAAGCTTTAGGAATCGTTGCATAGAAGTTTCTGTTGAAGAAAATTATTTATTTCACAATATTTAATAAATCCATGTTAACTTGAACAGCAAATTTCATCTCTTGCATAATTGGGCAGGAAGATTGGATTTGAAGAAAGTTCAGAAATTGGAAGACGAGGAGAATGACGTTAGGAGGAATTGATTTTAATTGATTACCGTATTAAAATGAGGAAGGATTCAAAATTCTGAAAAATGATTTCTACTGACATTTCTGCCTTATTAAATTAATCTAGGAGTACGATTTCTCTTATTTTTCATTAATTATAATATCTCAATAATTAAATACACATGAATTAATAGATATCATAGGAATATTTCATTTAGAAATTTTCATCTTTACATTTGAGTGAGAGTAAGAATGAATTTAAGCCTAGCTGATGATGATACCTCAAGAAGTGAAAGTCCTGTTTTGGATTCCAGATTAATGGAGTTTGTGAGTGGATTGCCAGCTCATATAAAAATAAAATTAGAAAATTTCAAACCAAGCTAAAACTTCTAACTTTCTAAACAAAACGACGGGAGCATCTACTTTGGCATGATGGAGGACAGCCTAAAACACGGAATCGGTATTTAACTATGGCCCAAAATTGGAAATTTATTAAAAGGGTATAAATGAATATTTAAGTTTTCTTAGGACTTGGTAAAATGATTTACTGGAAGGTGTGTGTACAATGTATTATTCTAATGGAGACATGTAATTATAATAAAATTATAGTAGTTTTGAAGCTCAATTCTCGCAAGGCAAGACTGTAGGATTTGGTATGTTTAAATCGGAAAAAAAAGTTGTAAAAGGTATAAATACTTGTAAATTATTTTAGGGATCTGGATAAACAATTAGCTCTAGGGTGAAGGACAAGAGATAAAGAGTGATGGTACTACTTATCAAGGATAGTTTTGGGACGGGAGGAAGCAAGGGAGAGGCATACAAATGTTTAGCGACGGCTGCAAGTAGAATTCTTTAATAAATCTTTAGATATATAGGATTCTTTCAAAATAATAAATTTGAAGGAGATGGACTATTTACATGGAGTGACGGTAGTTATTACTAAGGCCAATTTCACCGAGGATTAATTAGAGGATTTGGGAATTACAGTAATAATAATGGTCTTCAATTAATGGGGCAGGTATTATATTTTAATTGAGTTTATTAGTTTTAAGAAATTAAAAAATCAGAATTGCCAGAATAGAATCTCAATAAAAATATACAAACAATATCATTTTTGAACTAATATAACTAAACATTGCTGATCGAAAAGATACGCATTCTCTGACTTGATGATTTATATATTTATCAGTTTCATATAAACATTTTTCGAAGCACTTAGAATGACTACATAATAATTAAATTAATTATATAAAAAATAAAATTCGTTTTTGGAATTTTTAACATTTAATTATCAGGTGTTTGCTTCATTATTAATTACAATAAATGTATAAATTAGCAGTCTGCACATTGCTTATCCTTAGCGTAACAGCAATCGATGTCACCAACTCAGTTTGGACAAGTCACGACCAAAAAGCTTTTGCCCAAATCAAATAATCAGGTTGGGGAAATTTCATTTTGAACTTTGGTGAACTCCATTTATCAACAGGAGGTATCCTTGCAGAATTAAACAGTGAAATTGCCAAACTTGTAATGCCTTTGTTCATTAATTCATATAGATTGACGAATTGGATGAGGAATTAGCAGAAGTCCATCACTAATATCAAAGAAGAACAGATGTTCACAACAGAGAAGTCACAAGACTTGAATAAGAAATCTAAGACAAAGAAAGAGGTAACCCCATTAACACTATCCCAACTAGAGGTCTTCAATGCTCACGATTTCTATGATAATGTGTTGATCCCACAAAGAGATAGATTTGCTGCTCAACTTGAATAATTATAAGAAAACATTGCTTAAAACAGAAGAACACTCAACGAGTCTACAGTCTAAAGAGCTAAAGATCATGCTGAATTTGAAGCTTAAGTTGCTGAACACAATGAAGCCATCGGTGCCATCGATGAATCCTTATAATTGCTCAGTCAATTGGAATCCCCATCCCTTGTTCAAATCCAAAAGGTCTAAAAGAATTTGACCAAAATCGAATAATCCCTTAAGAGACACAGCACATTCTAAACATTCATTAAGACTCTCTTGGAAATTGCAGTTGAGGCTAACTTTGCTGATCAAGGTGCTCTTAAAGAAGTATCTAGTCCTTATCATAATCCCCCTAGATTCTTACCGCATTCAACAACTTGAGAGTCCAATTGGTTGACTCCCTCAATCAACTCACTGCTGACGAAGCTGAAGCATAAAAAGACTTCGAAGCAAGAGTCATCTAATTAAACTAAGAACATGCTGAATTCTAAAGAGCTGTTATTGTAAAGACTGCTGAAATCGAGGCTAATGCAAGTATCCAATTCATACTATTAACTCCTAGACAAGATTGAGTAAACCCTTGATTTGATCGACGTCTTACACGCTGATTTGGATACTTTGAACGGATAATTGTAAGCAGAAAACGACGACTATGCCTTTGCAACTGATGTCTACAATGCCACCGTCGCTGAATACAACAAGGAATTGAATGCTGCCCATTAAGCTTTGGACTTATTAAACCAACCAAGATTCACCGATTATGTTAAATCATAACTCAAGGGTGCATTTTGATATTATTCATTCAATAATAGTAAATGAATTCATTGTATAAACCATTCTTCATTAATTCATACAACTCAAATAAGATTCTTAATTTTATTTATTGGTATCTACCTTTAGTTTAAGATTTTCAGTAAAATACATAAAAAAATAATAACAAAATATATGTAACAAACCTTATATGTTACCTAATAGAAGATTGAATTTTGCATAATATTATATGCAGGATGTAGGATATGATTTTAATTAGAATGTAACAAAACAATAAATGATATATTATCATAATAAGATGTAACTCTTTTTCTTAGTTAACAAATTGACTCTTTCAATTTGAAGATCTTCTTCTATTTATTTTCTCTCTCCAGTTTCTGGATCAATTTTGATTCTTATCTCTTCACAATAATATGCAGCTGGAGTTAATTTTATAATTGCATGTATTGGAATCTCTAATTGAGGTACTTCTGAGATCTCATTTCGATGGAAATAGGCATAGAGACATCTTAAAATGGCTTGATGTCCTATAACTAATACAGGTTCTCGAGATCTCTCAATTTCATAGATAATTGGTTCTATCCTACTAATCAAATCTAAATAGGATTCTCCTCTGGGATACCTGTAGGTTAATTTGTTCACTTTTCTTTACTAATGGAGTTAATATTACAAAAGATACAGCAAAGTCTTCAGGAAATTAAATTGCAATTTAAGTATAAGTTAAGCCATCGCAAATGCCCACATTTATTTCATCCAAAGTCTTTAATTACAAATAGCTTATCTTGAGAATGTTGCAAACAATGTCAGCTGTATGAGTTGCTCTCTTCATTGTGGAAGTCAAGCAATGAATTTGATTCCTCTGTTCCTAAGTGGGAAATTCATCAAGCAAAAACTTCCCCAGTTATTCTGAATATTGAATTCCTTATTGGGATAAATCACAATCTCCACCCACTCTGTTTTCTTAATTAAATGTGCTCCCACCATGTCTAGTCAAATAAATTGGTCTGGGATATATGTGGAGATTCATCAAATATGAAATGATTTTGGATAACAAATAGCCTTTAACTTTGTGGATTTAAATCTATTAATGAATCAATATGATACATCTTCACCGATATTAATTAATTTGATAAATGATAAATTCTCGTCTAGTTCTATCTTTTGATACACTTCCTCATACATTCTAATTCTTCCTAAGAAATCCTTTGTGGCATCCTCAGGATTCATTGAAACATAATCAGGATTATTAAGCTTAGTTAATCTGATATTATTTTGAATCACCTCGGCGTCATCACAAATTGATTCAATCCAAAGAGTCTGTACATTTTGGCATTATTGTGATAATGAGCATTAAACCATATTCCTCCTCTACTTTGTTGTGTTGGTCCCATCAAAAATAGCAATCTCTCCATCGCCATTTAAATAGCTGATCAAATCATTCAATGCCATCTAAGCACACTCATTTCTTGCTTTAGTTGCCTAATTAATGCTCAATATACTTGTTCATTTTTTGAATCAAAGAAGGTCTTGTCACATTCAGTTCCACAGATTTCCCTTCGATAATTTCCAATGTTGAACACCTTACAATTATAACCTAACCAATTTAAATATCTATGGAGTTTCCGAGAAATATAGGTTTTCCCTCTCGCTGGCAATCCAACCATACATATAGCTATCTTTTAAGACTTATGACAATCTTACATAAATAATTTAAAAATTTCAATTTTATAATATTCTTTAAGAGATGCTTCAATACTTCGTCATTATTCATAATATATTATCACTTTTGATATAATTAAATATTTATTAAAAATAATCCATTTATTATTCTAATATATACGTCCACTCTCATCACATTTTATTGTATTATGACCGATTGAGGATTTTAAATGTAAAAAAATTAAGTCTACAATTTAGAACCCAATTCTGTATTTTATAATATTACTACTATGAAATGTAATTAACTCTCAGAAAGAGTCAACACTTAAATAAAAGAACCTAGTATTAAATCTAGTAATTATTTTTATTTATAATAGTTTAATTTTATCAATTAAGTTTAAGATTTCTTATTTCTTGAAGCGGTTACTCTATTCCTCTTATCCTCGCAGTTAAATTTAAGTCTTTTGCCATCAAAGTCACTCTTTTAGCATGAAAGGTACACTACACTGAATCCTCGAATAAATCCACCATGTATTGTTCAGTTAATGTTTATAGGCATTCTAAGGATTTACTAGAATATCTAAATTCCTTAAACCCAAGTTCATCTGATACCTTGATCCCTGCCTACCTTACAAACCTTTAAAATCCTGCTCGGCGGCAAACTAAAACACCTGAAGTTTAAAGTTATCTAATCTCCTATAATACTTTGGACATTGGTTTATTTCTCTTTTATAGTTTGTCCCTTGCTTTTTATACTTGAATTCCAGAAATTCTCTCATCTCTCTTTTTTTCTGATTTTTTGCTTTCCTCCTTCGATTTTTCTGCAATTATGCTTTTCTCATCTGAATTAAACAAGGAATGCATAAAACTTGGCATTTATTCAACGTTGTCCACTTAAAAAGATTAGTTCTCATTTTCTTTTGCTTTCTTTTTTCTATTTGCCATTTCCCTTTTAAAACTATTTAAAAATAATATTAAGAATCCGCAACAAAATACAATTAATTCAAAATCACAATCCAAAAACCTTGAATTTCATAAACCTACTAAACTTGAGGAAGTATTGCTCAAGTTGAAAATTAATTTTATATCATTAATATAATTAGATAATGCAATAATTATAATCCTCATTGCAAAATTTTCTTGATCAATTGAAGGAGAATAATAAGTAATTCTTAGAACTAATATTTCCTCAATAAAACATACCTGAGCCTTAAAAAAAGCAAATAACTACAATTGATTAAGAAACCTAAACTATTGATAGCAATTTAGAGAATTCAAAGGCTTCTGCTCTTTTGATATTTCATTAAACTGAAACAAATGTGATTGATGATATGATCAAAGAATTTGAATAAAAATTAGCCTAAAAATTAGAGTAGCAAAAATAATTTGATTATTACAAATAGCGATTTGCTTAATAATAATCCCAAATAGACTATCTAAAAAAAGAATTATAATCAAGATTACTTTCAAAATATGGTCCTAATCGGTTATAAGTAGAAAAAAATAAAAAAGAAATAGAAAAATATTAAAAAATGATTAAAAAACAATAATAAGAAAATAACCGCATAAATCAGTTAAATTAAAAGTATGAAGTGTTTGAAAATGCTCTTCAATCAATTTAATAATCAAAAAAAATTTGAGTTGTCTAAATAAATTGATTCTTAAAATATACATTTTTATCCTTAAAATAATACTTATTTGAAGGCTATTGTTAATTTAGCTATTCCATTGAATAATCCCTTTGAACTTCATATATATTCACATTTTTTAAGAATGTTTTGTTGTATTTAATAAAATATAACAATAATTTCAATTATATCACCATCTATTGATTATAGACTATAATTTAAACTCTTTTGTAATGTTTAACTCTCCTATTAAATCTTAATAAAAGTAATTTGATTAAGAAATATAGAATTTTATAATTTTTAATCTTATTGTTCTTGTAAAATCATTTATCTCAGTAAACATTCAATATTTAGTAAGATTTTTCAACTATTAGCATTCTTATAAGCATTTTTCTGAATAGAAATTAAAGAGTTTATTATTCTAAAAAGTAAATTTAATAAAACTTATATCATTTCTACAATTCTGAAGTATTAATTTTTATTTGCCTATTTTTTTCATTTTTGTGGTATTAATAATGATAATTTATGTTTTATATGCAGTTTTGGGTTTGATCCTATATCTATTTGTTATCAAACCCTTGACAGAGATGATCAAGTTAAAATTTCAATTCGGAAAGGATTGCAAGATTTCTTTTACGTTTTTTGGAAGGGAAATATTTGATCAACTAAAAGAAGCAAAGGAAAGCAAAAACACAAGAGATATTTTCAATAAATAGAAAACAGCATACAATAAATATCAATACAAATTTTTTGTGACCAATATGCTTTGGATTATAAGAATTTCTATTGCCGATCCATCATATCAAAAAGAGGCTCTCTTAAACCATGATTAATATTAAAAAGTGGATCCTGTTTGTCATAAGTAAGTCATTTTTATGAAATTATAGTGATTTATTATCTAAAGGACTGGTGTGGTCAAAAGGCGAATAATGGAAAAAATAAAGAAAACTATTATCAAGTTCCTTTGAATTTGATGCTCTAAAGAAAAAAGTGCCAATGATAAATGAGATTACTTAAAGTAAAATAGAGAAATTTTCAAATGAAAATGTTTTATCGTCCTTGTAGTCTATCACTGGTCTAATAGTAATTAAAAGCTTTTTTGGGATTCAAACAGATCAAATATACATAAATAACTCAGAATTACAAGTAGAAATTGCTAATATAATGAATGAAATGGCATATATGAGATTTAAATCTTAGATTTAATCAACAAAAAGACTCATTTTTGGTACAAAGGCTTGGAAGATTTTTCCAACAAAGGAAGAAAAGAGATTATTGCAAAGAGTGAAAGACATGAGATCAATAGTTGGAGATCTAGTACAATAAAGAATAAAGTATTTCGAAGATTCGAATAATTCAAAGATTAATACAATTAATGAAAACTTTTTAAATATCTTGGTGAATGAGTATCTTAAAATCACAAATAAATAATAACAAGAAGCCACATTTGATTAGATTATTTAAGAATTCATCACATTGTAATTTGCTGGAACTGACACAACAGCAGTACTATTATATCATTGTTTATATTTCTTGGCTTGCTATCCATAGGCTTAAGAGGAAATAAGAGTAGAAGTAAATAGATGTTGCCCTTCATCTTTTATTAACGAAAACGAAATTAATAATTTAAAGAGACTTTCAGCATTTATCAGTGAGGTATTGAGATTAAAAAACCCAGCTATGAGGCCAATAATTAGGGTGGCAACCCAAGATCACAAGATTAAGGATTTACAAATTAAGAAAGGTAATAAATATTAATCTATTAGGTAAGGATGGTTAGTATGCATTGATTACTTCTTATAAAATTAATCAGAAAGACATTTTGAAAATGCTGGATAATTTGATTACACAAGATGGTTGTAGGATAATCCAATCAAAGATGATAATAATTTTATTTATATACCTTTTTCTGCAGGCCCTAGAAATTGCATTGGATCATAAATGGCTTTATTGGAAGCTAAGATTATATTAGGTTAAATCTTGAAATAGTATTAAATAACAAGAAATGGCAATGTGGAAGTCTCATGGGAGATACATTTTAACCATTAACTCAGTCCAACGAATGCTGTAATTTTGAATAAAATAAAATGATTTAATCTTATTAAGTTTTTTTAAAATTCATTGTAATTTTCTAAATTAAAGTTATAATTTTACATAAACATTGTATTCATTGCAATTAGATTATGAAATTATTGATAAAAGTATAATTGTTTAACAAAGGAGTATTATTATTATAGTAATTTGTTTAAATTATTTTAAATCACCACGCGACAAGTGTTGGAGATGCAATCAAGTTAGAGTTTATAGATTAGAGTAATTTACAAATTAGTCTTTAGTGTTTAATTTGAAATAATATTAAAAATAGTAACTATAGATTATATAATATGAGAAGATTAATATTTAACGCAGATTAAGTAAGAAGGGCTTCGACGGTTCTATAAAAGTTTGATATTAGATAAAGTTTAACAGGATCAAAGTAAGAATCATATTAAAATTGAGCAATAAGGATCTGATTGATGTCATGGTTTATGTATTATAAAAGCCTTGCGAGGTGAGAACATCAACGGATGTCTTTATGTTGAGGTCTGCAACTAGATCAATTGAGTTTTTCAATAATTTAGAGTCTGATTTATTGCATGAATAATGTTGCAAATCATTGAAATATAAGTATTTGCCAGCTGGACATTTTGTATTTAAGGAAGGTGATATTGGAGACAAATTTTACATCATAATAAGTGGGAGAGTGTAGGTTTTAAAGGACTTCAACCCAAATGATCTTTAAGCATCGATTTATGATCACGAAATAAAACAACTATCAAATGGTGATACTTTTGGGGAAAGGGGTATGGATGTTGAAGCAACAAGAACAGCATCTTGTAGAACTTTAGAGAATTGTCATCTGGCTTATTTGGAGAGGGAAAGCTATTTAACTATTTTAAATAATGTTAAGCATTTGATGAAAAAGACATATTTTGAGGAATTTGCCAATTTGGATTTGTTTCACAATTGGAAATTTCAAGACATTAAGGCATTCTATGATAAAGCTTTTATAAAGAAGTATTCTATGAATGCTTGTGTGTATAAAGAGGGAGGTTCATTGGAATATGTGTATATTATAAAGAAGGGTGAATTTAAAATAGTGAAGACAGTATTAACATCCACAATAGATTTGAATGAGATGTTCATGGGAGATTTTGAGAAGATATTGTTAGGGATGAATCATAAATAAAAAACACTATCAGAGATATTTGAAGCAAAATATCAAAGAAGAAAATTTGGAAATAATTATTATAAACAGATGAAGAAACTTGTAACCATAAAATATATTACGAGTGGTCAAATGTTCGGAGAAATGGAATTGTTAATGTAAAATCAAATCACAAGAACTCATTCGGTTTATTCTAACACTGATCAATCGGAATTATATTAATTAAAAGTAGAACATTTCGAAGCTATTCTCGATAAAATACCTTAAATTAAATAATAGTGGATTCAACTATCAGAACAGAAGAACAAGAACTTCATGAAGCAACTCTTGTCTTATGAAAAGAACTTTAATGATCTGACTGAGGCCAAAAAGGAAATCGAAAAAAATATCAATCTTGACTTCTTGGAGATTGGAACTAGTGAAAAACCAAAACCAACAAAACCACTCCCCAGGATTGATACTGAAATCTCTACAACCAGAAAACAAAAATTCATCAAAACACAGTTGGAGATGCAATTGCAATAACAAAGCAAAAAGAAATTCTTGATTAAAAAACAATACTAAAATAGCTATTTCTTCAATTCGACAACGTCAAGATTGAGGACTGACGAACAAGAACAAGAAGAAACACAAAATGAATACAATTTTGTCCATCTCACCTGTAAATGAGAATAATTAATATGTATATATATATATAGCTATTTATGTATTGCAACTATATGTTTCAACCTATTTGGACTCCTCTCCCTGTAAAGGCTTGAAACTATCCTCTCTATGCTTATTGTTAAGGTTGAGCTGCTGCTTAATTGTAGTATGGTTGCTATTAGTATTGTTACTATTATTGATTATTATTTTATGCCCAATCATTCTATTGATCTGTTTGGATCAACCCTCCCATCTAATCGTATTGTAGGATTTTGAATTCTTTGTATGCCAAAAATGCAACATAACAAGCACCAATGTAATAGAAAAAGAGGATAAAATATGTTACTCCTAATCTTGTTGGTTAAAAGAATGAAATGCTCAATTCAACATTCATACCAAAAAATATAAAAATCATCAATAACTAGATATATAGAATTTAAATACATTTTATAAGAAGTAAAACACAGCAATCACACAATTGCAATAATTCAATTATGCCCATGCCATATACAGTATGAATATAGTAAAGAAATCATAAAATCCTGCCATTTATTACAAGACGAACAATTTAATCAAGCCAACCACAAATTAACTTACTCCTAAAATTTATAACATCTAAACTGCTTTTTTCGTTCCTTCAGTAGGTGGTGGAATCGATTAAAAAGGTATGCACATTTATATTATATTAATAATTAATTATAACTTTATTTTTTTCAAACTTATACCTCTATAACCCCATTCCTTATTTCCACATCCTCCTATAAGTACTAGTTTAATAATTCTTAAGTCAACGGTCCTATCACAGGAATACCATTTTTCGAATGATTCCCTAAAATTCTATAACAAATATTATACCTTTCCCCACAATTATTTTAAGTTTGACTTATCGCCAACCCTCCTCGTATTAATACAATCGAATTTTCTATAGTAATCCATCCACCAAACCCTTTATTTCCGCTTTATAAAAATTATGAAAATCCACTCGACACAAGCCATCCTAAACATTTATAAGATTAAGAAATAGTGCCTTGCCTGTTATTTGCAGGACCTCTATTTTTTCATCATATATTTCCATAGCAGACTTTAATTCTGACTTTGTTATTTCTTTGTTCTTTTTTAACTAGTAGAGATTAGCCTTGTTTTAGTATAGGCATCTCATCATTTCTCTATTTTCGTTTAGTTCTAAAGTTAATTAGTTTTTCCTTTCCTCTTCCTCAAATTGTCTATTATTTTTTTTTTGAGATTATTGACGATTATTTTGAGAATAACTTCTAGGTTGTTTTGGAGAATAGGAACTTGTTGGAGCATATGATTAAGTCTACCCAAAATAGTAATTTGTGTAATAGCTATTTGGGATCCTAGACCTTGCTTATCTCCGTTATCGATAGTACTAACTAATTTCATTTGACCATCCTTCTTCAAATTAGTATTTCAATGTCAAAATTAATGCAAATATTATGACACCAGAAATTGCAAACTACCCCAATGTTAAGTCAGGTTGTGCACTTTACTAGGGTTTCTTTAATACCAAAAATGTAAATATTTGCGAAATGATCATACAGGCTATTGATATCAAATTCCAAAGTAGGTTGAACAATTATGAAATTAAATACCATTTTAGGGACAATGTTGTATAAACAATTATATAAATTACTTCAAAAATAATAGGAAGAAGGTACTCTAATATTGATAATTTCAATTCGAAAATATAGCAAATGGAAGTATAGATTGCGTAAAGAGTCCAATAAAAAAGGAACCGCAATAAAGTAAAATGAAGTCCTAAAAAAAGTGCAATCATAATTTATAATTAAAAATTTCTCAAAATTATTTTACTTAAAACCTTAATTTACATGTAAACACAATTATTTTCTTTTAAAAACTGATCAATATAATATATTTAATAAAGAAATAAGATTCAAATTATTACATCTATTTTCCCTTCTATTATTTCGACCTATTTTTCAAGGTACTGTTATAAATATTATTTTGTAATTGGACCTATGATTGGTTATTAATTTTTAGAATGTAATCCTAATAGCTTATATAAATATTAAACCTTTGCCAACAATTATTTACAATGATAGTTTCTTTTATTAGTTGCAGAGTTTGTATGATTCGATTTTCTCAAACACTCCATCAAGAAGATTTTCAATTTCAGCCCCAAAAAATTTGTGAAAATCAATTTTGCAAAATCCGTTTTCAATAACCATTAAATCAAGGAACAATTGCTTACCTATTTTCTCTAACTTTCTCTTCTCCACTTTTATTTATTGCAATTGCTAATTACATTACTATTCATTGATGTGGCAAGCTTTAAAATTCAATAAAAAAAATATTACTTTAATATTATTTTATTACTTTAGCCTTTTGATTATTGATTGCAATGACTTGATCACGATTTTATTAGAAATCTTTTTTTTTTTGTTCTTTGGTTTATTAATCACACTATCATATAGAGGAATAATACTTTTTTAATATCGAATTTAAAGTTCTTTAACTCTATTATTTTAATGGCTGTTTGATACAAAGATTATCCTTCAACATTTTCAATTTAGTTAACCTTTTTAAATTCCTCTATTTTGATCTGTGATTTAGATAATTCAGCTTTGTCTTGGCTCTCTTTAGCTTTTTATTCATCTTCAATTAATTGATTGATTTCTTTTATGATAAGTTTTTCTCCTTTAGGTTTCACACTTTATAGAAACTCTTGACAATTTTTAAAGTCAACTATCAAATACAATGAATATGCAATTTCAGAATATTTTAGATTAGAAAATTATTTGCACAATCTTTAAATTTTATTTTCTTAATCATTAATTTCTATTATTTTAATAGACTTCTCCTTATCCCTATAGATAGTTTAAGTTAAACTTATTTTAGACTTTTCAATTTGTTCTAAAAAATTTGTAATATTAATTCTAAATTCCTCACTAACAGCATCATCAAGTTCTTCAATGTTACCATTATCAAATTGATTGGTACTTTCTAGATTAACTTCTTGAATAAACTATTACTCTAATGCTGTCTCTTACTCATTTTGTTGTTGCTCTTCTTATTATGCCTCATTTATTTTCTTATTCTTATTCTTATTTTTTCGAGTTCCCCTTTTAGTTTTTTTCTTTTTGATTGCAACATTCATTGGATTGATAATTTCCTACTCATGTTATTCCTACTCATTTTATTAATCATTTTCATCTGAATCCCATAAATTACTTTACTCATATTCAATCACCTAGATAGAAATAATCTTTTACCCCATCATTTTCCTATTAAATTGCTTAATTTGATTCAATTGGTAGCAAATAGGAACATAGTTCATTTTCATAATATCTTTCGAAAATATTCAATTCTTGACGTTGATTAGTCTCTTCATTAGAAGTGCAATTTTAAACTAGTACGGTTTCAGGTGCATAATCTCGATATTAAATACTCGTTTAATCTTATTCTTAGGTTTAAGAATTGAATTGTTGACAATTATAAATAGAGTAATTATCATGAAAATTATTTGAATATTGATTGTAACTCGTCTCCATAGGTATTGCTCCAGAATTTTAATTGCTTAGATTTTCTACTTATTGCTTAAACTGCATAGAACCTTCTTAGGCTTAAAGTTGATTCAAAGCCTATTATTGTTCAAATTTTTCATCTTTTTAGGACTTTGAAGAGTTCTGATTACCTGTAAATTGATTAAAATCATTTTCTTAATCATATTAGTTATATTTATCCCCATTTATATAATTTTATGAACTCTATCCCAAACATACAGTCCCAAAGTCGTTTTAGTCATCTTAAGACATTTATTCATTTTTGTTTTGTTGATGCTCAGATATTATTCTGATTTTGCTTTACATCTTTTTTATTAATTAATGAAATGGTATGTATTAAGAAATTTTAATCTTAAAACTCAAAGTTGTGCTTAATACCAAATATTATGCGATTAAAGATCCAATAAAAACAAGATAGATTTATATTATCTAAAAAGAAAAGGTAGATACCAATAATATTGATATATACTTTTATAATCAAAGGAAGGCCTATCTTATATACTATTACATGAGGAAGTGATAATATATAATATGAACATAAAATGAATTAGAAAAACATATTTGAATTATAAAAGGATATATTTTAATAGTATCCAAAATATTAAAAATTGAAGTATTTAAATTTATATTTATTCTAATGAAGAATCATTCAAATGAGAATATCAAATTCAATCTATAATTATATGGTAGAATTTATTAGTAACAAGTTTTAATGAAACCTTATTTTAAGAATGAAAAATAAATCATATTAAATCATCTTGGACTACCATCTATCTTAGATTTCTATCTAATTGCACATCTAAAAATAATGAAGTTTGTGGAAGCAAAATTACAAAATTCTTTACTATATTAAACTCCCACCTAAAGTATTTCTCTACTAGTGTTAACAATGCCAATATGCTCGTCAAAAGAATCACAATAAATGAAATATTTATAAACTTTTCTATAAAAATGAATATTTACAGACAACTATGAAATTAATTAATTTGTAGTATCAGTCAATTATTATTAAAACTAATCTCTCAAATCATTCAAGTCATCATAAGCAATTAATCCTATTTCTAAATCAGATTGTAAATCGATGATTTCAATTTTAAAGTTATTTGTTGACTCATACTCATTCATAACATTATTCCTCACCTTATTTAACGTCTCTATCATGCCTCTACGCATAACTCCATCTAAAGCAGAATCACAATGTTATTGAGCAGTCTCTTACTTATACTAAAAATTAGATAATTTATACATCTGGTAAATAAATACAAATGTCTTGAACCATTAAATTATAGAAATCAGTGACAAATTAATCAGACGTTATATATTGTGAAGAATCAAAGTTTTGAAACACCTATAAAAAAGTATCTATTATTTTGATATGCGTCTTAAATAGATCGATGAAATCTGTGGCATTTTTATCTGAAAAGAAATAAATTTATGTTTCTTCTGCCTAAATAGTATAACTGATTTCCCTCATTGAAAATACTCCACTGCTGGCCATACTTAGATCCGATAACAGATTAAAAAATCTTGTCGATTCAGGATATTTAGTATAGAAATTCTGAGCTAATGAATTAGATATAAAGCAAAACACAAAGCAAATCCCATATATCGTAGCAAATGTAAAAATTGAAGGTAACTATTACATCTTTTATTATAATACTACAACTCCTTACTAATTTGATTTATCTCTCTAAAATGCTTAATTTTAAGCAATCCTATCCTTTTTGGTCTCCTCATTAATTAAAAACACTTCCTTAGCATCAAGGTCGAATTAATATTTAAATAGCACATCTGAATCCTTCATCAACAAACTTGCATAACCTCTATATCTATCTATATCCCTTTATAACCAAACTGTATCTAAATAAGAGAACAATTCCAAAAATTCATCATATTGCTATAGGTAATATTTGTAAAACAATATACACACAATTAGAAGCACTCCGCCTATAATTACTATTGGGATTAATAACTAATACCAATTTCTAGAAACTTAAGTAGCCCTATTTGTAGAATAATCTAACATTTCTTCATTTAACTATTGACACAATTATCTCAGTGGAATAAAATTCTTATATAAATAAGTAAAAAACCCTTAGGTATAATCGAGGTTATCATTAAATAAAAAGTCAGTCTTAATAAAATTTAATGAAGCCTCCAGCTCCAACTGAATTGCTTCTCTCAACCTAATGTTATACTCTATTGTTTTGGGATAATCAGCCATCTCGACTATGACATATCTATCTTCAAAAAAGGGGTCAAGATACGGATTCTAGAGTTAGTTCTCAAAACTAGTCTTTAATTCATAAAATGTATAGTTAATTTCATTATTCGCATAGATGGCTTCTTAAAAGGCTGTGTCTTTTGTCAAATAATTTCTTTAATATAAAGCAGCATAGTTTGTTACGGCATTTTAGCCAACAATATAATTGTCAATTGGTCCAACTATGTTGGCTTTTATTTAGAGTAGGTCGATTTCTTTTAAAAATTAAGGCAAGTCTGAATTAGCATAAAACATTTCGATTGATCCAAACACTAGGAAATTAAGAAACATTAAAGTTAGCATATATTTCATATTGAGGAAATTATGAGAAAACTTTTAGGAACTAATAAGTTTTTAAATTAAATCATATCTCTTAGAGAATCTGGATTTCTTAATTCCTGCTAATGAACTTGTTTCAGAGCCATCTCCATTTAATTTGTTAAGGCTTGGATCATTAACGAAATTCTAGATCTGCATTTATTATTTAATGTTTTCTTGTAAATCCTTATCAATTTAATCTAATTATAATTAATCTTAGTTTTGATCAGCTTACTTATTTTAAATGATACTATTAATAAAATTACTAGACTCTTAATCTTCCCTCTAATCTAAAGCTGAAAAGTATTGTTATCGATTTTTGTCTTTTTTTTTGGAAATGGTATTATTCATCTATTATAAAGACACATCTTTATTTTCCTCAATTAATCTTGAGGCACTGTCTTTTGGACTTGCTAAAGCTATGGAAATATTTGGATAAATATGTTGAGAATTAGAATTATTGATATTCTAACTAATCCTTAATCTTTATCCAAAATGATTTGCTTCTTTTTCATAATTCTCTAATAGTTCTAAGGCCTTAGGAGGATTCAGACAAAAGCTTTCTTAGTCTTCGATTATTTCAAAGTTATTGTCCATGTCAGTTAATTAAGCAAGATATTCTAAGTTATTATTGGTACTTAAGGGCACTTCAGTTTAAAAAGGTGTTGAGAATTCTGTCTAGAGGAATCTCTTAACATCTCTTATTTCTACAATAAGGTAGGAGAACAGTTCTTGTTTGACATTTCTTAAATGGAATACCACGTCTGCTGTTAATTAATTAGTATGATCATTTTAATCCCAATTTATATTTTGTTTCTTTTCAAATATTTAAGGGTTTGGAACTATCATTTAAATTTAAGCATCACTTTAGTCATAGTTAGTTTACTTATCATCAAAATTAATTTAATCCTATACATCTTTTTGAAGAATTGAAGTTCTTGACAAAAATGATTCATAAATATTATGAAATCTTGGAAATACTTTGTTGATTTGTAATTTAAATAACAGATCAATTAAGTTCTAATGGTATTGTTATTCATAACCTAATTTTTAACCTATATTTTTGGTCATACATTATATTTTATAATTCTCACAACATAATATATAAGCAGGTGACACTTAGGTATCTTAAAGGAATGTAACAAAAGTGAGATCCTCAAAATTTGATAAATTTATATCAAAAAAGAAATCAATTGGTTTTATGCACTTATGGGTAGTTCTGCAAAAACTTAAATTGATTTATTTATAAAATTTAGATTCTCCACTTTACAGGAAATTTTGGATTAATTTCTAATGAATCAAATCAAATCCTTATGGCAAAATAGCCTCAATGAAGCTCATCTACTTAAATTACTCTTGAGTGTATCCAAAAAATTAATGAATTAGATTTGAAGTAGATTACATCTATAAGTAATGAGATTTTTTATCAAAGCCAAAGATAATGTAATCTAATTTACTAGAAAATAAATCAATAGATATTTATGACTACATCTTCAGTAATTTTTCATCTGAAATAGATGCCACTGTAGTCAATTTATAAGCTGAAAAATAATTGTTCATTAATTCTGCTTACAAAAATGTATTCAAAGCTTACATTTTTCTGCTTGGAAATTAATCGTATAATTTTAGTAGTTCATTTTCAATTTTCTTAAATTTAATTAACAAGTTTTTAGAATTTGAAAATATACTTCCAGATCCAGTATTTAATAAGATATTATTAAAATATTGTCTCTTCCTATTTAAACTTGTGATAATCTTTTCTTTCAATCTCTTGTTTGCTGTTTCTGACATTAAAAATAAATTTACTGCGTGTTCAAGGTTCTCTTGCATGATACTTTATTTCCTCAAACCATTACTCATTGACTTTTTTATAGAATCTTGAAGCATTCTCAGCTTAATTTAATTGATGAAGCTTAAATTCATAATTTTTACCTTTGTAAACTCATCATGTTCCAATTCATTCCGTTATCTTTATTGTGAATGGCTTTTCTAATCTAAACTATGGCTGGAGTCGATCTTATTGCTTTCACTTCTTTAATTGTTATATATATTTGATTTTGAACTAAAGAGTAGTAAATATAATACTTGATTTCGCTTTCATGAATGACCTAAACATTTGACTATTAAAAGGCTTTAGTACTGAAACCCAGATAGCTGATGAAGGATAAATAACGTAAAAACATGCTCTGACGAATAGTCTTATCTTTTATTTGATTAATAACTTCTCCAAATAATTGGATTTATTCCTTCAAAAATATTGTGATAATTTATTCAAAACTCAAATTACTAGTTTAACAATAACATAGATTTGATTAACAAGATTCTTTGTGAATCAATTAAAAATTATATATGAATGCCATATTTTGCTTATTCTCTATGTGAGAGTTGTAGATTACTCCAAATTTTAAGAAAATTTCAGCAATTTTGTATTGTTGTTAATAAGCATTCAATGTACTTTTTCTATTTAATAAAATCGTCTCGTGATATTCTTGAAATGAATTCAAGACTATGTGAATTAGTAATGGATATGAGACTATAAATAATAGGGAATCTTTGTGATCGAAATCGTTTTCTTGAATTTACAAAATTAATAATATTATCAAAATGGTTAATTGTGCAGTTAAGCCAATTAATTCAACATATGTTTTATAAAACAATGAAATGAAATACAATAATTATGACTAAACACAAAAAATCAGTTTTAAAGCTAACAAAGTAAATATTAAATAAAACTTAATTTTATGATCTGCATTTAATTAATTTATTAAAATCACTAGCAATATTGACATCTATTACCAATACAAGCTGAAACTTTATTGCAATACACCAAAGTTGCTTTGAGTTATTTAATTGAATTCAAGATTGCATATCATTTAGGCAATCATATTCAGGATTACAATGATCAATGTGATTATGGCAAAAATAAGATTTCCTACATTGACATCATTCAATTATGAATTATGTGAAATTGAAGCCACACTGAGTTCAATCAAGTTAGCAAAGATAAGGTGAAAGTGAAAAGCTTATATAAAAGTCAATATTGTCATTAAAATAATAAAAAATCTATTTTATTAATAAAAAGTCTCTAGTAGTTTTTGGTATTTGGATTTCCCATATTTGTGATTTATAAATAGTTTGAGCACCAAGGAATAATAAATTAGATTAATTGCTAATGGTATAAAGTAGGAATATCGATAAAAGTTCTCATCTAGAATTTTATAAGGTCGAGTGAATTCAGCCACGAGGATGAGGCATTTCATGAAACTAAACGATCTATTATCAGTGATGTAATAATTTTCGAAGAGAAAACTAATCTCCTATAGGTATGACATAATTATAGTAATTGAAAATAAAAGGGGAGGTATTTTAAGGATATGATCTTCATATAAGATTCTAAATTAAAGTGAAAACTCCATGATTTGCACCAGTAATTTCTTTTTAAATTTTGGTATGTTTGAGATTGTTTTTTCCTTCATAAATCAACAATTTCAAACTTAAATAATTTAGTATTAATTTACAAATCAATTAAATTAATAAATATATATATAGATAACAATTTTGGTAATCATAGTTCCCTCAATATTCATTGACAATAGAATTATGGCATTCTATGTAATCCATATTCATCTAATGCTTTTGATAATTGAGTCTAACGAATTCCTCGTAATCTTACTAATTATTTATTTATAATTGAATTTATTAACTATTTTGTTGATCTTGATCTTCTTCTTTTTTTATGGGTTGATGCATTTCATAATAGGGATTCCATTATTCATAGGTGATTGGGTGCAGTAAATGTTTGTCATACATCATCATTAATTATTCTTAATCAAAATGATGCTATTGAATGTTGACTTCCTCTAAGAAATTAAGAGAATGATCTTACCAGCCTTTGGAATATCACAGGAGGGATTCTTCTTCTTTCTTCCAGCTCTGCTTCTTTCGCTCCGAGGTAAGCGCTTTCCATTTTCTCCCCTCAGAGCATAAGGATTAAATTTTTGATGATGGCTTCTGCATTGGCTAGGAGTTCTCGTTCCAATAAGTTCGCTCATTTGTTTGAATATTTTCGAGGTTTTTTTCATCATAGAAGAAGTCATAATACTTTCATACTATTAAAGAAAGCCTATGTAAGTTGTATGCTCTTCTGTGGACCAGTGTCCAGTGTTAATGTTTTCTTTTTTTGGTTTCTTAGTCATTTGGTGTTGCCCCTTTTATTTTTAGGTTTATTGGGAGCCTTCCTATGACCCATGAGCTTCTTAATTTGAAATGATGTCAGATTGTAATTTAGGGATAGGAGCTCCTTGTAGACAATGGAAAATAGAGTAAGGGGTGATTTATTTGGGACTATGAATAAGTAGTGCAATGAAGTACATTTGATCTTTTTAAATTTGAGAAGGAGGGGCAGACTCTTCGATTTGTTGTTTTGCGAAGTCAAGGGTTTTTGGAAGTAACCCCAGAGACTCAGTATTTCTTGGTATAGTGATTGAAGGTTTACTTGGTCTTCTTGGCTTTTTTGTATTTGTGATGCTGTATGACTTCATTATCAGGAAAGCAATCAATAGAGTATCCTGGGAATGAGGGAGGATAAGAGAACTAGGAAAGATAAGCGAATTCATTATGATTCTAATATGGGATGTATTCTTGAGAAATCTCTAAATTCTTTACTTTGGATATCTGAATCTAGTTGATATGCAAACTATTGGTCACCCTGGAATAAATATGGTTACATAATAAAATCAATTAATTTTTTTTATATTCCTATTTGGTTTATATAATCAACATTTAAATATCATAGGCAAGTTGTTAACCTTATCTGAAGCAGTTTCAATGCACAATCAATTCGATAGCTTTTAGTATTATATAAATATGGTCAATTGAGGTTTGGATTATATACAACCCTTAATAACTAGTTAGAGGCACTGATGGAATTAAGATCCGTTGTATTTGATTGGAGATTTTGTGTTGTTAATTCGAGTATAAATGGTTGCGAAAGAGGCTCAAATTAATAATTATGTATCAGGAGATGAATAATTAAATTCTGAAATTAGTGTATTTATATTTTTCTTGAATTTCATAAAATTTTAGTAATATTTATATCATACAATTAAATATGTCAGCAAAAGAATATGAAGCGGAGGATGATTTGTTAGGATCTATTCTGAGAAGTAGTATTATTTTGATTAACTTAGATGATGATTATGAAGAAGTTTTTTCTAATAACAACAGTCCTTTATGCAATCAAGGGTTCGAAAGTGATAGCATTATTGAAAATGTAAGAATCGGATCCATAACCTGTAGGCTTCTACTTCAGAAAAACAATATTTCGATAGTTTCAACAGATCGTTCGAACATATGTCTTTAGGATCCGACTAGGCCCAGAGTCCGATGTCGAATAAAGCTATGTATCCACAGTATCCACAGAATCATTTCAAATTTTCAAGATAAGATGATAGATAGAGTGTCTCAATTAGTTTTGATGGTCACTCGTTTTCAACATAGGAAAGTTCAATCAATTACAGGAAAATTGGAAATGAACACTTTGGATACTTGAATAAACCTCATAATCGATTGGCTGATTATTAAGTGCCCTATTCTCCAGGAGTGTTGAGACCTCATGGAATTTATTAGCCTGGATTTAATTATTCATAACCATTGAATGGATTAGGTTTTACTGGATATTAATAAGAAAGACAGCCCTTAAATGAGATAAATGATGATATGTAATTGACCAATGACATCGTATGATTTTATGTTTATTTAATTAGGACAACATGTGTGGTAACCAATTGTTATCGCGAAAGGTCCAAAAGATAATTGAGCATGGGAAACCAGATCAAAGAGAACTGATTTTTAGTAAGCTCGAGAGATCTTGCGTTCAATTTTCAAAAGACGTATTTGGAAATTATGTGATGTAGAAGATATTCGAGAAAGGTATTGATTTATAGTCTATTATCCGATAGGTACTCCAATTCAATAGTTGAGATTATTTAATAAGATAAGACCTCATGCTTATGAATTGTCGAAGAATAATTTTGGATGTAGAGTCATTTAGAAGATTATTGAAATCATTTACAACAATGAGTCTCTCCAGGACTAATTCATTGACTCAATCAAACTCTAAGTGAAATCGCTACTTTACGACTCAAGTGGCAACTATGTGATTCTCAAATGCTTGGAAGTATTGCAGAAAGAGAAGATCGAGTTTTTCTTATAACCAATCGAAGACTCAACCTTATACTTATGTTCATCTTAATATGGATGCAAGATATTGTTGAAGGCTCTTGAATTGTTTTCTCCCATTCAGACTGATAAGATCATGACCACTTGTTTGTAACACCAATATAATCTGTCTTAATAAGAATTCGGAAATCACATCTTACAGTTTGCCATCAAGAACTCTCAGTATTAACAGTTTGTTGTCAACTTTGTACTCTCAAACTTTGAGATTTTGTGTATGAACAAGTATGCTAGCAATACAGTCGAAAAGGTTGTGGAAGCCTCTACTAATGAAGTCAAATAGCAGATCATGTCTATACTGATTTCTAAATCCTAAACCAACAGATAGTACTTTTCTTGATTTATTCATTAGAAACATTTTTGTGAATCTATCGATCAATCCATTTGGGAACTACGTTATGAAGAAAATGATCATTATGTCAAATCACAATATTTTGTAACCTTTGATAGACATCTTGAGATAAGATTAATATCTGATCACAGCAATAAGATCCTCCGATTTCGGCTAAAGAATCTATTAGCTAATCGAAAAGACCTTATTAATGTACAAATCATGAATATAATTGAGATTATTATGACAATATAATTATGAATAAAAAATTAGACATTATTTATTAATAATATTTATTAACGTATGCAATTCACTCCCGACACTCGAAATGTGGGAGGTCGACAGATCATCATATCCCAATTATGGGGACATCGATTATGTTTACAATAAATCAAAGAAAGACAAATCAATTTGGATCTTAGAAATTAATTTGACAAAAAGAACGAAAATTAAAAAATACCTTACATACATGATTTCCATATGGAAATACACAAAAAGAAACTATAAACCATTAAAGAATGTTTGACAGACAGAAATAAAAAAGAACCATCCTACTTCTTCAGAAGATTGCCATCTCCAACTAATATAAGTTCTCTTCAAAATAAATTGAACAATATCAAATCAAAGTCAACATAAGAAAAGATGCTTTATACAAAGCTTCTACCACCACCTAACATTGAATTAAGTAAATTTATACCCGAAAGCACAAAAACAAAAGTGGATTGGGAAGCTTGCATTAAAACTTTACATGGACCCTAATATCCAATCAAAAAATGGATTCGACAATTAGCAATATAAAATCGGATTTTTGATGAAACTGATTTTGCCATTTTAATAAGAATTTTAGTATAAGCATATTAAATAAAATAAACAACTTTAATAAACATAGTCTCTGAATTAATTGAGGAATTTGAAAAGTGATTGAAATTTGCATTGGTTTTATTACTTTATATCTTATAAACTATTACAATTCATTCTAAACTAAAAACTAATTTAAATGTAAGAAAAGAACTAATCAGATTCTATTCGCTTAGAGATATAAATTTTAGGAATAATTTTTATTCTAACATAATTATATCCATTTCTTGACTATCTCAAAGAATATATATCCATATTTCTAAACTTAATATAATTTAAAAATATGACATCTATAAAGAGTCATAAATTATGTTATTGAATTGCATTGTGCGTTAATATGCATTAAAATAATATAATTTGAATTATCGTACAACATTTCATTATAAACTTATTATAAAAATAAAGGCAGAGAAAAGCAAAACTTACTTATTATACATCTGATATCTGCTGAACCTGCTTCACACAAGCCTAAACTTGAGCCTTTTTCCTTTATTCTACATTTTTGAAGCGTCCACTAAGTATTTAACCTCATTTATAAATCATTAATAAATATTAACCTGGTGTGTGGTTTCCTAAATAATTATATTAAAATCAATATGAAACACCATTATTTCCTTTGAATTTCAATATTACGGATTATTACTGAAGCCACTTTTGAAATTATTAATAGACTTTAAGTTTTGTTTTCCACTTAATAAATAATTTTTCACTTAAAAAAACAGAATTTATTGAAATCTCTAAATGGATTCTTCAATTAGTAATATAATGGTTGATAGAGAGGAAAATGATGCTTTGTGTATAAAATACGGGGAACTTCTTCCTTTGATCCCAAAAACAAAAGATGACATTAAATTAAAAAATCAATTGCATATCGCTCTGAAATAGCAAAGCTTCATTGGTTCTTTAGCTACCACAAAGGAATGGACTAAAACTTTATTGCATACTAGCACATTGATTAGTAAAGAAGCATATGTCAGATCACTGAACTCAATGGAGGCATTTTATGAAAAACAACAAAATGAGTCAGCAGAAAATCAAACTAAGAGTCTTTCGCCTATAAAACATTAGTTTGAAGATCTATCTGATTATACTTTCAAATTGATGAACGGTATAAAGAAGGTGAGATTTAGATTAAATTCAGATTATCAAGCATGACCTTTGTATTTGTGAATAGTTTTTGTGTATATTGTATTTGTTTATATAACTCATATTTATCTATCTTACAAATATACTGAATGCACATTATTCAATAAAATAAGGGATTTAAATATTTAGAGTTTTTCTTATGTGATTGGTAAGAAAATAGAATAATGATTTAATTTGAATCAAATTTAAAAAAAATATTAATATTTGACAACTCGTATAAAAGAATAATAATCATTTTTAATAAAGTTTCTAAAATTTATGAATTAGTGCAAAATCTATACAATATAATATTAAACGAAATACAGTGGTAATATTAGCGCATATTATTTCAACTATAAGAATATTAATGTAGAATTAGTTAAATTTAATCGTTAGCGAAATAATAATTACTGGATACTTAAGTCCTAATTTAATTTTGTATAGAGTAATGATGATAAGTGAATTAAAGTGAATCACTCATAAGTGTATTTAGATAAATATTCTCTAATTCTTTGAATTCATTTATTGACTCAGGATTTTAAATAATATTAGTACATTTAACAATGATTTTGGGTTAATATTTCAATAATACATTCGTTATAGAACATATATACTCCTTACTTAATGATCCTATTTTCCTAGTCTATGAAGTTTATAAAACTTAGAATTTAATGGATCAAAGTTTCATTTTAATTCAATTATCAGGATTAGGTGATAAAATATCAACATAAAATTATTGGAAGTATGGTTCAGATAAACATTAAAATTTTGAAAAATGTTGCGGATTAAATAAAACAATTGATTTTTTGAGTAAATTATTATAAGGAAGAGATCAGTATGTAATTTTATCAATTTCAAATATTTTAAATAATTATTACATTTAATTTATTTGGTTAAGGATAAATTTTAGAATGCAAAAATACTTATTGGATAATCTGCCACTTTCTTTACAAGAGAGAAACTTGCTGTATGCAAATGGATAATAGGTGTATGATTAAGTGATTAGGGATGGAGGCTTTGTGAAGGTATTTATTTAATTTTACAAAAATAGGTTTATTGTCAAAGAGATCTGCCTGCATATTTAAAAGAGGATGATTGGGTGACCTTTTATCAAAGCAAGGTGATTGCCTATGAATACAAATCGATGGTTGATGGTTCTTGCATCGGAAAACCTTACTATTATAATTTTAGTGAAATGTTAAAAATCTATGAAGAGAAGTCTTTATCTTGGTTAAAACATCAAATTAGCATTCTCACAATAGACCCAAAAGCATTAGAGATGATAAATGTGTTTTTTAATTTCGAAGCTCTTAAATAAAATCATGGAAATTAATATACTGACATCAGAGTGTAACAACCAGGATATGATTCATTTTCACCATGTAGAATAAATTAACAATTGGAGGGAATGAAGATTATGGATTATATAGATTATCTCAATGATCCAACAAAATTCATAAGAAAAGAAGGATTGCAAGCAGATCAGCGTTTGTTTGCTGTCAATGTGAATATGCAAGGTTGGGATAAGGAGATAAACCACTTGAAATAGTTCTTACCAAAGTGTTTGAGACCTCAGGGTGAAAATGACGGATTAAGTTACTTAAGATAGGAGATTGATGGTGTCAATATACCGTAAATATATATAAAAACAGATGGAGTGTGGACAGGAGGACATTAAGAAAACCTGAGTGTTAATGCTATCAATATCAATCATGGACCTGCAGATTGTGTTTGGATTACAGTGGATAATGAACATGTGTAAAGATTAAGATAAAAAGTCATAGAATTATTTGAAACTGATATTTTTAAGAATGAAGGATTGTGGTTTAAAGAACCTGAATTCTTTTTGAAAAATGGAATACCATTTCGATACACCTTGTAAAAGAAAGGAGACGTAGTTATATTGGGTGCGGGCTGTTTGCATTGGGTAAAGTCCTTAGGACAAACAATTAATACAGCTTGGAATCAGGTGGCTTTAGATGATATGACACTTGAAGCCATGAGTGAAAGACATAAGTTAAATAAAGAAATCAATTACAGGACTGTTATTCCATATAAGAATCTAATGTTAGACTTATATATACATGAAAAATCTTTATCTTAAATGACAATTGAAAGAATTTAATTAGAACTTTAAAATTTCTTTGATTAGGAAAACAGAAAATTACACCTTATAGATCCCCCATCATCTTAATTGGTTGAATGTTGTAAAGAGGTTTAATTATGTTCCAAATGTGAACATGAGATATTCTTATACTTTTATCATGACAATGAGGAGTATTTGTGTTTAGAGTGTGTAATAAATAAACCCAATCATAAGAGTTTACCAATTTCTATGAAATACAGATATCATTGCTTTTATTACTTATTATAGGCACAGCCATCTAATTGCAACTAAGAATTCTGTTGTCCTTACACTGGAAAAACTAAATGTACTATATAACAGGAATTGAAGCCAGCACAATTCAAACACAAAGGATAACCAAAATTAAATTCAATGTTACATGGAACAGACAAAATGAAGAAAAAGAAATTTGATAGAATGGATTATGAAATAGATGCAAAAACATCCATCTATAATGATAAGTAAAAGACAAGGGGCAGAAAACAATCCATCGACAAATCATAGCCAGCAATCAAACGAACTAGAAATTATTGATGATTTAATAAAAAATTAAGAAATTTTAAATTAAATTGTTTTCTCAATTCATTATTAATTAACTTACATTTTTCATTATTTTTTTGTTAATATTAAATCAACTACAAATTATTCATTTAAATTTATTGTCAGTTTTATCACTTTTTTGCAATCCAATCCCATCAAATATTTTTAGTATGTAATTATTTAGAAAATAAACCGAATTTATTATCATAGATTTTCCTCCATTTATGTAAATTTTATAATGTGATTGTTATTTTGAAAATAAAATAAAACTCAATAAAAATGATTGATCTAATATCAAGTCCCTCTCCAATTCCACAAAACTCTATTACAAAAGATTAACATCTCCAGTGTAATTGGATGTAATAACGTTTCTTATTTACATAAAGCCATTGTAAAAAAATTGACTTTGATAACAGTCATACTACGTAACTTTTGAAATAATCTTGAAGGAAATCTATTTTTCCTGTCTCTTCATAAGAAGAAATAAGGATTCCAAGCGCAAAAATTGAAATTAAGGAGTTATAAGATCCATTAGTTTAAAGCACATATGCTCAATCTTACATTGACAAAAACCAATTCTCACTTTCTTGTGGACCGTAGAAGAGTCAAGTCACATTAAATCTCTTGATTGCTGGACAATCTGGGACTGGAAAATCCACTTTCGTTGATGCTTTACTCAATAAAGTAATAATCCTAAAAAACCAATATCTAGAAACCAATATCAAGACAATATGAGGGGAACAGAACTGACACTAACAACGTACAAGAATCAATGGGCATCATCGAATATGATAACTAAATTGTTTATTTAAACATATTTGATGCAAAAGGTTTTTAAAAAAATAACCAAAAGGACTGGTTTAAGGATATTAGACATTTAATAGATTAAAAGGTATTTTGAGATCCTTATTAAAGTTCAAAACATAAATTAGAAGAAATAAGTATGCCTATCTCAACAAAACCTTATATTCTTAAATGTCCAATTTAGTAAATGACGAAAGAGTAAGCAAATGTGTCACTATTCCATAGATTCACTTATGTCTTTACTTTCTGAGCGGACCAGCATATTTTAATGAGGACATCCAATATTTACAAAAGTTATCCAACTTAGTAAATGTTATTCCAATCTTGGCCAGAGGTGATTAATATACAAAATCTGAAGTTCTTGAATTAAAATTAAGATACAATACGATCTTCAAAGAGTTCAAAATTGACATCTATGATTGTCTCAAGATTAATGATGAATCATTTAAATAATAACTAAAATATGGAGAATTTGGATAGTGTTCTCCATTCATGATTATTGCTTCTACCTATGAATATTACAATGAATAAGGCAAGAAGATTTAAGGCAGACAATACCCTTGGGGATAATGCGATCTATGGAATCCTCAGCATTCAGATTTCTAGTTGCTCTACAAATCATTGATAGGATATTACATATATGATTTAATTAAGCTTACTGATTTCTATCAGCATAGCTTTGTTAAAAGAAAGCAAGAAACTCAAAAGAAAAATAAAAGCCGAATGGGTTTTTTAAACTCAATATTAGTTCATATCAATTAAATATTATATTTGATGGATTGATACTTTAATTTTGTATTATTTTATCTACTATTAATATTATTTACACATTATAATTGTTATGATAATCATAATAATATAATTTACTCTCTAATATATGATGTGGGACTAATCTTAGATGAAATATTTAATGCCTATTTCTCATATTCTAATTCATAAAATATTTTATATACAATCTGCCTCAAACTATCTATTCTCTGTCTTTAATAGAAGGCTATATTGTGTTAATCCCATCATCTATAAAAACGACAGTCTAGGTTGTTAGGAGTTCAAGAAGTCAAGTAGAACTGTTTCAGCCTAATTGACTTTATTGTCAATCATAGAAATCTTGGCATATTGCAATAAGGATCTTCCAAAATTCATAATGTGTAAATTTGGACTCTGTGTTTTATTCTTAAAAACAACTTTAATCCATGCAGTGGCTTTCTTTGACAACTTAATGATTAATTATTACATCTGGATATTAGTGATTAATTAACAAATCAATCAGATTAAATATTACTGAATAAGAATTGGGATTTACAATCTAAGTTCCATTGATTATTGCATTAATCTCTTTTTTATCAATGTATGTCTATTTTAGATCTAATAATTACCTCAGTTTACTCGATTAATTTATATAAATAATAAAGCTCTTTTTTATTCTCTTCTACTGTAGTCAATTCGAAGGCTATGATTGCATCTAACAGATTCTTAATATTCTATTAACAGAAGGCATCAAAATCGCCTTTCAATTTCTTAATTTCCCCTTCCAAATTGAGTTCGGATAAAATTACTTAATTGTTCAAACACATTCCTATAAATTAGTAATAATGTATACCTGCCAAACTCCCCTTTGCTCCTGAATCCTATGCAGATGCCAACAATTTCTAGGAATTTTCATAATTTTTATTTAACAATTCTAAAGTCTAAAGGTATTCTCAAATTTTACTCCTGCATATGTGTAAAATTCCTTCTAAAATCCAAGTGGGATAATCTCATCAACTTTCTCTTATAAAAATGATAGCATGGCTTGGCCTCGCTTTGGATCGTATTCAATATAAGATCTAAACAACTCTTTTAAGGATTCTGAATTATCCTCGTTATAAATAGAATTCATTGACAAATAAGTAAAAAATTGTTCCTCTTAGATGGATATTAAATCTTTATAATTTTTAGTTTGCTTGTATAATTGGACAAATAAATCCAAAACTTCTTGGGATGCATTGGGGTCCTGCAAGCTTTCTACTTATTATTTCAATTAAAATAAATATTCTTGAGCTTGAGCATACTCATTCTAAAATAAGGCTTAAATGGCTGATGAATAAACAGGTAACTACTGTAATTCTTATTTATTATAAAAGAGTACATGAATTTATTCCAATCTTGTATGAAATTCTTAGAATCGATTTAAGCATAAATTATTTTAGTATAATTTAATTTTTAAATAATTTACTAATTAAAATATCACAAATAATTCTTAGTAAATATCTGATCCATACATTGATCTTAACAAATCGTGCATAAAATATCGTCTATGATAATTTTATAGGACTAATAATCATCTATTTAAAATTATTAAAATACTTATAACCAATTAATAATTCATTAAATCTTATATAGTTATCGTTAAATTTTTATTTAACAACAGAGCAAACTGTCGGGAAATTTGACATAATTATTTTGATATTTTGTATTATTTTGTTTCAATCAAAGATTGTTAACAAGATTCAATGATTGTTTTCAAAAATAACAAATTTTTGATTTAAAAAATAAGAACATTAGTGATTAAAAATAATGTAAAAAAGAATGATGAAGAAGTTCATCAGTGAGGGAAAGAGTTTCAAGAGTCAGAAGGTATATTTTGTCATTGGATATTCTTGAAGAAGATTAATTGATTTATGTCTTTCGAGCTATAGTTAAGACTAATATAATGAGTTTAACAAGTATTGTCTGTAAACAGAAAGATAAGAATATAAATGAACTAATCATAATGGCTTTGAATCTGATAATTTTTGCTTTTCTTTACTGCAATTTCTTCTGATAACGATTGGATTTTTGATTAGAACAAAGTTTTGCTCCAATCCTAAGCAATCTGATTATATTAATTGTTCTATTTATTCTATATCGTCTCTTTTTCTTGGTTTCGCCTTTCTTATAGAGCAGCTCATCTATTAAATTGAATAAGAGTTGAAATGAATTATTAAAATTATTAATAAATATCCATATTTTGGAGAGATTTGAAATTGAAAACAAATTGAGGGAATTTTAGATTTATGAGGATTACGTAATTTGTTATTTTTGTCGATTATTTGCAATAATATAAATATAACTTTAATTATAAAATGAATGAAGATCAAATTAACTTAGAATAACAGATCTTTGGTCCTTAAATTACCCAAATTCCTGATTTAACTCAATATTAGAAACAACATTTGGAGTCATAAGAATCGATGAGATCAATTGAAAGTCCTCATATTTAAACTAATCGTTATTTTGTAAGTAAGTAGAGGTTATAGAAACTAACAAGAATAATCAATACACCCTCGAATAATTAGATAAAGTCAGAGTAAAAGATACCTCCTAAATTAGATGAAAATGAGGCTTTCACAAGACTTGTAAGAAAAAATCGATTAATATAAAAATTCAAATAAAATCTGTTTTTGAATTCATATATACTTTCTAATGCTTTGAAGACAAAAATTTTATCGTAAGAAAAATATATTTAACCTCAAATATTTAGATTCTTCTAGAGTATTTATTATGATATAAATAGAAAGAATATGGTTCATCTAAATTGAAGCCATCAATTCTATTGCCGCAAAACCCTTTCTTGTATTTGTGGGATTTAATAACCTTATTGGCAAGTATTTTGGCTCTATGGATTTGTCCATTTTTATTAAGTTTTTCATTCGATGAATACTCATTTCCAAAAATAATAATAGGACTCATTGCACATTTGATAATCGATAACATCTTAGCCATAAATAGAGCATACATAGAGTAGGGAGAAGTGATAGTGGATAGAAAGTAAATAATTTTGTAATACATGAACAACTAAGCAGTTTTAGAGATTGTGTCATTGATGTTGTGGATCGGCATTTATCCAAACATTCTCAAGGAGTTCAATTCCTCCAAATAAATATTACTGATCCTGCAAAACATTATAGTACTTATAAAATTAAAGAGAACCAATACTAAAATGGAGAACATCTATCTAAAACATACATTAAGTAATGCAGCCGATTTGTTAACTCTAATTTTATCGATCTATTTCTTTGCCCATTTTATGGCCTGTCTCTTTCATTACGTTGGAGTAATCACTGAGGAACATGCATTTACTTGGCTAATTTAAAGATAGATAAGACACGAGCAAGTGTGGATCAGATACAATACATCATTTTATTGGGCAACTATGACGATTACAACTGTTGGGTATGGGGATATTACTCCTGAAAATTAAGGAGAGATGCTGTTTGTTAATTTAATGATGCTACTTTCTAGTTTTTTATTTGCCTATTCTATGAATTCAATAGGGATTATACTCAGAAATTTATATGAGTAAAATAAGAATTAAAAGTAAGTATTTATTTCTATACAAAATTAGACGGTCAATTTTGCAATTGAATAATTACATGAATCATAATTAGGTAGATCTCTCATTGCAGATTAGAATACGTAATTATTTGAAACATAAAATGACTAATATGAATTACGAAAAGATTGAATTTATAAATAAAACGATTTCTGAATTACCAAAAGGTCTAAGATTTGAATTGAATTAAAACATATCTGAAAAAATACTGAAATCTATTAAATTATTTTCAGATCAGTTTTCTAAAATAACTCAACAAGCATTGACATAGAAAATGAATCGATTACTGTTTCAGCCTGAGGAATATGTTTATCATTAATATGAAATTGATGATTAATCCTTGTAATACATATAATTATTTAGAGATATTTCGTAAAAGAAGGAATTATTGATATTTGTGAAGAATAAAGCCAATAAGTTATATAAACATTGACAAAAGGATAGACCTTTGGGGAATACTAATTCTTTACTGGGTTTCCAACTAAAACATGTGCTTTCAGTAGAACATAAAGTGAAGTTGTTTAAATTCATAGATCTAACTTTCTAAAATTAATAAAGGATGATAAAAAAGACCTGGAAAGATTTAATCATATCAAGGATAAGATTCTATTGTATTCAAATTATAGCTCTATACTACTCAATTGTAATCAATGTAATAGGAGCACACATCTCAATATTAATTGTCCATTACTCACCTATCAACCTGACCTTGAGGGTATGATAAAGAAAAATTCTATCAAGAAGGATCCTTAAAAGAGAATGGGCTATATTAGAAAAGGTGATAAAATAAACACAAGAAGAATGTTAACTACAATTCAAGATTCTCTTAATAAGTTTTAATCCGAATGCTAAATCAACTCTGAAGATGAATAATCTAGATATATGTCTCCTGATTATAACAGTCGTATCAATTATAGGAAAAAGTCAATTAAGAAACCTCATTAAATGATTTCAATTTCAAACACTGTTATATCAGAAAAAGATATGCTCCCTTCAGATAAACTCATTTAAATATTACCATCTAGAGAGAATTTTGAAAAAAGGAAAACTACTCCTTCCAAGTTTCTGATATAAGCCGAAGAGTCTATATATAAAGAATAAAACAAGGATATGCTTTAAGAATTTGAAACCAAACTACAATTTCATCATATCAATATAGACTAAATCAAAATTTATTAAGATTATATGCCTTATAATAACTTTCATAATGTAGTCAAAGGTCTTGAATTAATAATTAGTACCAAAAATTATAGAAATAAATACAAAGAAACTGGAAAATACACTTTTAATCATTTAGTTAAACAATAATCCTTGCATCTGAGGAAATGGTATGAACGTAAACTAAAATGATTATCTTATTTATGTATATATTAAAGAAATTACGATTCTAAATAATAAAATATAATTAAAGATTAAAAACATAATTTTTTACAAATAATATTGAATCTACTCAAACTGAACCCATCTATTTCCAATTGAATAATGATTTAATTTTAGAATATCATAAAGATACTCATAAATAAAACTAAGGTTTTTTTGAAGAGAGAGAAAAAGATTGGAGCTTTTAGTGAATATCAAATTTGACTTAAAGTAAATATACATTAAATTCTTGTATTAATTAATAGATTTTTCTATCAAGAACAGATGTATGAAAAATATTGAAAATAGAATTTGTATTTTTAATTTAAAATATTAAATAAATTAGTTTCTATTTCAGACATAAAATTGGAGCTTCCCATTGCGATTGGAAACCACAATACTAATATTTATGTCAATAGTGAACATATTCTGGTTAATAATAATGATTTAGCTGGACTGTGTAATTTTGATGTTCTAAATTAATTTCATCTCACGGTTAAATCAAAAATTCCACTTTTATTTTGGCTAAACAATGTTGGATACTTTGAAACCTGGTTCTTTTCATAATAAAGGTTATTTGAGGAGCCGTATAATCATAAAAAGATAAGCTTCAAAAGAGAAATTTAGTTAAATAAAAGAGTTAGATTTATTAAAGTAAGAATTGATATGACTTTTTAGTTCAATCTAGCAGTATAATTTAGAAAAGAGTGGAGATGTGCTTATGCATCATTTAGTCAAGTTATGGTAAAAAGGATATATTTACAATAAAATATTTACTAATGTATTTAATGTAAATCACTTGTCTTATGCTTCTCTAGAACCTACAATCTTCTCTTCTCCCATAGCTGAAAGGACAGAAATCAACAAATCCCTGGATTTAAATATGAATATTTACTTGCCAGCATCAAACATTTCTCTAATTTCTTGAACCAATTTGAAATCATCTTCAGTTTCAGGTAATTTAAGATCTTCCTTTGTTGATCCATCTTCATTCATAAGAATGACAAAGCCATCACCTTGAATATCCATCAAAGTGTATTCTTTTTTAGTGACAAATGGAACATCAATATTGTGAGATGTTGGGGCTGAATCTTCATAGGTCTTGTTTGTGAAGATATCCTTTCCAACAATGGATGCCTAAAAATGTGAATGATAAAATTACTTTAGCATGACCATGCTTTCCTGCTTTGGATGTTGAAACATCGGTAATCTTGCAAGGATGTCCCTTGAGCATGACGTATCCTCCCTTCTTTAATGATCCTGCACTTTCTGTGTAGGTGTGAGATGATCCAGCATTTCCTTGTTCGAATTGATTCTCGTCGTCAGACATTTAATTATTTAAAATTTTAATTTAAATCGGGGATTTGGGAATAATATATATTACACAATATCAGAATAAAAATTCTTTTAAATAAATCAGAATAAGTTGATCCAAAATTAACTACTTACACTCATTTAGCTTAGCGTTATTTTAGTCGATTCATTAAAAGTTCTTTCCAACAATCAAATTCTAAATTTTCTATGTGAAACACTTCTCCATTGCATCTAGACTCTTTATAACATGTGTATGGATATTTCCAATCTAAATTACTCGTTGTCATGATATCCAATTATGTTCTAATATTTAACTTATTTGTACTTATATTCAGTTATTGATATTTGATCTGATTGTATATAATTTGAACTCTTTTGATTAATTAGATCAATCCATTAATTCCGCTTATTGTGTTACAACAAAGATCTATACGAAGTTTATTAGGATTGTTAATGTATAACTGATTACTATTGCTTCATTAAGTATGATTACTATTCAGTTTTTCTAATGGTAAAGTCAGCAGGAGTATGTAAAGAAGTGCTAGGTGTTTTTTTCATGTGTTTTTTTATATAGTTCTTCGCAGATTTATGAGCCAATTCATTGAATACATTTTTCAATGAAACATTTTATGCCATCATCACAGTTGTATTCTCATATGAAGATTTCAATTTATTATCGCTTATCATATTCTTTACATCTTTTTTAGACTTCGGACAATAAAATTTCTTTTGTTATGTGTCACATCTCTCATATGTGTAACTGATTGTTTATTTGTTAAATGAAGATGTTCTCTTTTTATCAATTCCTTTATTCATTTCTGCTAACTATTATCTAATATTATTATTCATTTTAAATATTCAATAAAAACACACAAAAAACAAAGAAATTTATTTATCTATAACCAACCACAAACCTGAACATTTATGTACTTCAAAACATTTACAATTTGATAATCTTTCCTAATTTAAAAACCTATCTTGAATCTTAATAATTTCATTTTTTAATATTCACCTCTCTACTCTTGATATCAGGGGTCTATAACTTATTCAGTGCATTTTAATTAATTTTTATATTAACCTAAAAAGTGTTCTATTTCAATAATCTATCAAGTATTATCTTAATATTATTAAAATTAAGATAAATAAAAGGATTAAAATTCTAAAGTAGTACTCAAATTTACAGAATCTCGTTTTCTGTAAAATATAGAATTACAGGGATAAAATTGATTAAATTTGGTATTATTTTGAAAGGCGTTGAATTTCAATCATTAATCTATTCAAACTTAATTTTAAGATAATTTACAAATTTAATTGCTAACAATTTGGAATTATTATCTAGTTATCTTAAAATACAGTTATAACTGTGAGCTTTGTTAGTTATGTAAATTGTATTCATTATTATTTTTTTACTCTAGTACTATTCAACCTTAATAACACTTAATGATTAGCTATTGCTTCGTTGATGATTTATCTGGAATCAATAAGTCTAAGCTTAAGTAAATAAATATTATTATAAACTGACTTTAATGCAGTTTGAAAATAAGTTGTTTTACTATATGATTCTATATGAAATAGGAAACATCAATTGAACTTCTTTTACTCTAATCACCAAGCAGGACTAAAGGGTGATTCTTCAAGTACATATCCCATACTTGTCACTCCTGGAGTGCCCATCATTCTCGCTATTTCCATCTCATGGTTTAGCAGCATAACATCCATCGGTGCTGTGTCATATAAAGGCTTGGTTAATTGCGCAAATAATGAATATTCTTATAGTTCTGGGGTATATTCATTATTCATTTATATTAATTCATCGCTCTACTCTAGTCTTAATTATGGCCTACCATACCAAATTTATTCTTTCCTCTAAGTGATGTCTGGCCTTGGGTACTAAATATTGATAAAATCAGAATCAAGATGACCAACTTCATGGTAATTTAATTAATAACTAATATAAATCCGTTTTTTTTATTCATTATTCATTTCAATCAATCAAGTCTTATTAGTACAACCTTGAGTGTTTATTTTAGATGAATTATGCTAATTTTGTGAATAATTAACATTCAAGCTTGAAGATAAATTGTATATATTTGAATCAATCATTATCCTATTTGAGAAGAGTGAGTGTAAGTTATTTCTTTAATAGAATAGTATTTATTACTAAATTGATGGTTACTACTAATATCAAATATAGAGGAAAGCCTTAAATTTTTGTTATCATTTTGATAACAATGAAAAATTGTGAAATAGAAAGATACTTATTCCCAAAATTATTTATTTTTAATTGCTTCTTAAATTATGTTATTGTTCTATCAAAAAATCTAATTATCAATAATTTGGTCATTAATATTTACTTTGGGCTTATTGCCTTCAATTTATTAGTTTGATCAATTATTATCTTGATTAAAGCATTGTTATTTCATGGATACTTATCTTTGTGATCTTTTTTATGATTTTCGGCATTTATTGTTTTACATTAGATACAATAAATAGTCATCCTGGAATTTAAGTGATTTCATTTTTCAACCTTAAAAAAATTTCAAATAATTTTCCATTCATAAAGTTTTTATATTTGGTAGACAATATACTCAGATTTCTATTCATAATATAGCTGAAATATTGGTAAATAAACCTCAAGAAAAATACATATATCTAGTTTGAATAGAATAAAAATAATTTATATATAAAAAAACAAAAAAATAGATGAAGATTTTATGTTTCTCAATTCAAATCATAAAATTTAACATTGTTATCATTTTAGAGAATAGTTTCAAGTAAAGCTAAATAAATATTATGAGTATGAAAAAGTAAAGTCTGCTAATTTGAAATTAATTTATCTCACAATAATCGGATCCAAGTATGATTAGAAATATATATAAGAGACCATCCTGATAGAAAGGTCAAAAATATCATTAAATAATTTGATATGAGTGGAATTTATTGAATATCATAATATCAAATTGAAAAAAAATTAGTTAAAAGTATTGCCTTATTTCAAACTTTAATAATTCTTTAGAAATACTGAGATTAATTTATGAACAGAGTAAATGGTATAAAAGACAATTACCCATTATTTTAGAATTTCTTAAATTCCACTATTAGTACTTTTATAACATTATTAACAAAATAACTTTATTCAAAATTAAGAATAATTATTGGTTCGTTTGATATATTTATTATTTAATCCTAATTTACAACTAAAAGATAGATATAATTATCACTAAATAAAATTTCATTAAATCAATTCTAAATTCCAAGCTTTTCAGTCAAAACTAAAAATAAATATTATAAGTACTTTTTCTTCTCAATCTTGTGGGTACCTTCTTTTCCTCTAATGTTTTTCTAAATCTTTAATCTAATTAATTTTTATCATTGCTCACATCTAAGTACAATATTAAGGATTCAAAAGTTTATTCATTTGATTATTGGAAAAATAGTTAATATTCTTTCAGAACTTTAGATGACTCAAGATAATTAGATTTCGATTTATTTCTTAAAGGAGTATCAATAACTATCGATTCTGCCTTTGGTGAATGACTTTATGGTTCTTAATCAACAATTTGTTCTGCTTCAACTATCTATTTAATTTCTTTAAAATCGAGTTTTCCTTTTTATTATTTTAAATTCACAGCAACTTTATTAAATATAGTGCTTCCTTTTATTGATATTCTATGCAAAGCCTATAAGAATTCATCGTAATTCATCCCTGGTGGTATTCCATCAATTACTTCTTTAGATTTCGTTAAATATCTAAAAAGTTAAAGAACATCATCTTTTGATACGATTTCAGGACACAAATTAAATCGATCTGTAAACCAAGCAAAAGTTTTGAAGCTAATTTATTCTCTTGACGATGGTTAACCAATCGGTAAAAAAGTCTCTTTAATTAAAAATTGGAATAGAGAATTTAATCCGAATTAATATTTATCAATTATTTTCTGGTACGATATTGATTTGAACTTATTTTCTATATCTTTTTCTAGTGTCTTTTATTCTTAGATTCTCGATTGATTCTGAGTTAGTATTTTTGATCTTGCTTATTATAGTAGTTATTATTATTTTTTTTATTGATCTTATTTTTCTTTTTCTGATTATTGTTATTTATTCTATCCCTGAGATATTATTTCTTTTAATTTTTTTATTTATTTCTAATTGAACTCCTAAAAATTGTGTTTTTTGAGCTTAATTTCTTTTTCCTATTTATCTTTTTCTTCCAACATTCTTTTCAATTACTCTTCTTTTTCTTTATCATTTTTTTCTTTAATCTAATCATATAATAAATATATTACTCTTTGTTTTTATTCAGTTAAGTAACTCATGCGTTTATCTTATTATTCTTTCTTCAAATGATTTTCAGTTTTGTTTTTTTCTAATCTTTCTTTTTCAATTTACAGTTATAGCAGCTTTTGTTTTTCCTTTTCCTCCTTCAATTTATCTTTAATTTCTTTTTCTCTTTACTTTCTAAGCAATTCTCTCTTTTATTCTTATTATTCCTAATCTAGTAATAATTATTTTTTATCCTCTTTAACTTTATTAATAATTTCATTTTATCTTGTTGCCTACTATTTATTATGTTCAATTGCAAACAGCATATCATCAAGTAAATTAGCTACATTCTCAGCTATGAATTTATCTTTGAGATTGCACTTAGCTATGGCCAATTTCATATTCAAAGACCACTCTCTTTTAGGTTCTATTTCCAGGACTTTTTTTTTTTGTAAACTTGTATTTACTTCCTTTGACTTCTTATGTTTAATTTTGAATTCTTCATCTGCTGGTTCCTATTACAATTTCGATTAAATGTAACCAAAGGCATCAGGTTTGGCCTTAAAAACCATTACTTTTTTGGATATTGGTTCAATAATATTAACTCTTTTTTAAATTAAAATTGAAATACCCCAATGCATTTATCAACAAATCATTAAGAATTTAATATGGTATTTGGACATTATCATCTAGAAAAGGGATTTCATATGAAAATTGAATTTCAAAAGTAGTAACCTTCTTATATCCTTAAGGCAATTCATAATTTGGATCTATGAGCAATTGTTGATTAAATTCTTTGATTATCTAAATAAATAGGAATACGTACATCATTCTCCATAAAGTATTAAGACTCTGGATCATCAAACAAAGCTGTATTCTATCCTTTAGCTGCTGTTACATTTCTTAAATGATTAATAAATTTGATTAAACATTAGTACGCTTGAGTATCTGCTAATTTATTCTTAGATAGAACGATTGATAATTAAATTACAAATTGATTAAACCCTATCTAATCAAATTCCTTAAATTCAGTTTTGTTATGCAAAATTTGGGTTCCTACTTACCTTGCTAAAGCCTAAACATTTTCAATTGATAAAGCAATTTCATAATCATGAACAAACTTACTTATCTCTGCAATGTTAATGCTTTCGGTCCTCTAAAGATATTTATCAAATGAATTAGGTTATCTCATTCCTTATAGACAAGTGTTAGCATACTTTGTAAAAATATATCTAAACACTTTACTATATTTCCTAAGTATCTATTCAACCATTAATTTTTCTATTTCCTCTTCTAAATTTAAATCTAGCAAATCAAATGTTACTAACCCATGTTTCTTCTCTTTAGCTAACTCAGTTTATCTGCTGCCATCAGGAAATAGCAATTTCACAGCTACATCTTTTTGATTCAAAGATGCTATTCCTTATTCAATCTGTCTTTTCTCTAATTATTTTCTTAATTTTTCTTTTTTCTACTTCAATTATTCCTCTTAAGTAAATTTTGACAATTCTTTTTCCATCTATTTCTCTTAAAATTGCTTTTTTATTGTTGAAATATCATTTATAACTTTAGGATCAGTTTCTTTAGGCATTCTCAATCTTGCCAAATGATATTGTTCCTCTTTAGTGAGTTTGATTTTCGAGAATTTCTTTAGATTTCCCTAAACTTATTGAACTTCTTTAACGGATGAATCTGAATAAGCTTATTTATTGGTTTAAGCCTCTTGATATTCAAATTCTACTTATTGCATAATTTCATTCAAATCACCAAGTAACTAAAGAAGCACTTGCAATCCTTTATTTTATTTGGAGATTAATTTAAATTATAAATTAGTATGGCCTGCCATTGTTTTTATGACTTAATTAAAGTTTTCATTATGAATTTGTATTATACTTTTTAACACCTCAATTATTTATGCTTTTCTTTATTTATCCACAATTTGTTGGTTTGGCTTTTTTTTATCAGATTTCTTATGGACTGAAAAGTACACAGCAAGACTTATTTTAACGAATTTTTATACAAATTCTTAAGTGCTTGGTGTATGTTAAGTATTTGTAACCATTTAGAGAAATGTCTAAGATGCTATTCTATAATGCAAAGTATCATAAATAGCTATTTTAGATAATAAATCCATAATTTATATTTGCGATTTTGTAGTTAAATTTGGATTATTAGCTACATTGGCAATGAAATTAAAAACAACCAGGCTTGGATATGTTTTCTCTTGTAAATTTACTATAAATGGATCAAGAACTATCGACAATGGGATAGAAGGAATCATTTAGAAAACTATCAAAAGATTCTAAAGTATAAAATGGACTAAATTCTCATTTGTTAATTCTACAAGCTAAATAGCAATTCTATATAACAATAAATGTGTACATTTTATACAAAATTGGAGCTTCTGGAATTTTATTCTTTCCAAAATATTCTAAAGCAGAAAATAAAAATTAAATAGAAAATAATGCCACACATTCCCTAGGATCTTATGTGGCTAATCTAAATGCATTATGCACTCTTTCTTAATGTTATTGATATTAATTCTTTAACCATATATTATGAATGAGTCTTAAAATACAAATTTTCTCATCTGACTTCAAAGTATTCGTACTTTCGAGAATCTCCAGACCTTATTCTAGCCATTGTTACATTATTCCCATAGATTAAATTTCTAAAATATACTCTGGTGTGAGTGAATTAAACAGCTTTTCTACATTAATTAGTAACTCTATATTATTTGCACTATGCTATTTTAAAATCGAAGTAAAAAGATCAACTAAATGGAATTTACAAAATAATATCATTAAATCTACTAATGAATCTACTAATTAGGGATGTCTTTTAATTGATAGAAGTGTTGTTTAAAAACATGATTCAACATACCATTAATATATATCCTCTTTATATGAAATTTTATTATTATATGCTTAAATAACAAAATTTCCGAGAGTTCGAATAGTTTCAATACACACTTCAGGTGATTTAGAAACCAATCCTGGTTTTAAGAGATTTAATGAAAAACCTAATGCTTTATCTTTTTCCATAGAGATTAGATTCTATAGGTGTTCAACTGATAAAAAAACATCCTTATAAATTGAGATTATTGGTTCATAAACCCTTTGAACACCTTTGGTTACTATTTAAGCCCAAAATTTGAAATTTTCAGCATAAAGTGATATTACCTATTTGTATTACAAATTCAACCATTTTGACAATAATGATGTAAAATATTCTAAAATGTTTGAATCAGATATTTAAATTTACTCTTATGTTTAGCTAAGATTCAAATGATTATATCCTTAAGATTATGGTTGTTATTCAGATAAAATTCTATTTCTGACGTTTGGAGATGCTTTAGGTTTACTCAATCTGGCTTATTGCAGCTTTAAATAAAAGTCAAACAATTAATTAAGTACGTCCTCAATTATTTACACATCCCCCATCAATATTAACTTTTTAATGTCACTGTTTATGTCATTAGGTATTTACAATTAATTTATTGCATTTATGATTATATTCCAATTATACAACTTTGTAGATGCAGTGGTTAATTATTTGAGTTGGTCTAATTGAGCAATAGGAGTCAGAGCTCTTATTAAATAGATGTTTAATACCTTTATGAAATCTCTTATTTTAAACTATATATTGATTTAACTAACTTGGCTACTGCAATTCCGTTTTCGATCAAATTTTATTAGGCCTCTGTTAAAATAATGGGGTTTTTATTGGCTTGCTTAATTATTTCAAACACCTTTAAAGATGATAAGTGATTATAAAGTGCATATGATAATTTCATAGTTATATTATTATTAATATTTATACAAAAAAGCTTTGACATCATTAATTTATCAGTTTATAAACTTCAGGATTAAAAAGAATCTTGAAATATATGTGAAAAGCTTTATAAGGGATGAAAATTATAATTGAAATGCTGCGAGTTATATTAGTTTTTTTGAACGATTATTATTTTTAAATCGTTTGATTGATTAATTATATTTAAAACTCATATTAGTAAAATAAAAGAATTCAACACGTTATTTTTCGAGGTTATTTATGATCATCATCAAATTGTTCTATTGTAGTTTGGCTCTTAGATTTTATACTTGAGTTCTTAAGATATTATTTAATAATTACCTCCAAGGTGGTTTAAGAGGTTCCCTTAGATCTACAGCCAATTTCATTACCATCAAGTTAGCTTTTGGCAATGAAAAATACCATAATATCACTTTCAACTACAGTTTGATAGCTAAAATAGGATTGAAATGAGACCTGAAAATGCGATTAAGATAGTCTTCTAACTACGATTTTCTATCCCTTAAATCAGCAGCATCACAGATGTTAACTAATTTTTTTTCAGGAAAATTAGGTAATGGAAAATCAAGTTAAATGCTTTTCAATTGCCTATGATAATCTCTCAGGTCCTGAAAACGTTAAGTAAACTTCCAACTTTTGTTTGTTATAGTATCTGTTGCTTAAATAGTGTATAAGGCTGAATCATCAAAAATAAAATGATCTTCGAACTTAAAAATATATTACTATCTAGAAATATTTAGTGTAAATACTTGCTTTGTTACTCAATTTTTTTTTGGGGCAAAGAGAATATTGAATCGCCGTGTTTTGCTAAGTAGGATTCTTTGATTTATTGAATTTCTTGCCATCTTCTGTCAACAGGCTTATCATTTTTTTTCTATGCACCTGGCTTCAGCTCTTTAGGAAGCATTTCTTCAACAACTCCTAGGCTATGCAATTCCGGGCACGCTAGTATTTCATTGAGATATTATTATAATTCTCCTCTCTTTAAATACAATCAAAGTTTACTCGCTTAATAATGCTTTCTTCACTCTAATTTGTATGAAATAAGAATTTCTTTTTAGGAAAATGAATCAATGGGATTTTTATTTTAAATATTTGAATCCATTCCAATATTTTTTAATGCATGGATTCTAATTCTGAGTATCTTTTTCTTATCTCCTTAGGTTCTCCTCCTTCCAAGTTGCATATACTAATTGTATAGTATACTTTTTTATCAATAATATCATGCTTAGGTATTTTCACAGAATATCTTTGAGCTTATTGTTTCATTTAATTAATTATAAATCCAATTTTAAATATATATTCAACCAATCATGTCAACGTAATTCATTGTGCAATCCCTTGGTTTACAAGGTTTTATTAATTAAATATTTGCTTTTCTTTCTAATCTCATTATTCAAGTTAAAATAAGCTTCAAAAAAATTAAAATTTTCTAGAAAAATTTTTTAAGTAAATAAATTTTTTCTGAAATTAGTATACATTTTACACACATATGATTAATTTCATTATAATAATAATTATAAAGTACTTTTACATTGAAATTGCAAATCTATTAATTAAGATCGACTCTTTTAATTAGAAAATAGTTAATACAGAGTTTTATTCTTGTTAATCAATGTGATAATATGTGATGTAGATAATTAAATGGGAAAATTATTAGTGTATTACCACAGATTATTTAAAATTGAAATCGGATATTTCACTTTAAAAGTTTGTTTAGTTGTTTTGTAACAATGATAGTATAAAATACAGTATAATGAAAAATTTGTCTGATCTAAATATATTTTAAGGGAAATTAAGTTAAGTAAAATTAAATCAAAAAAATTTATAGCGAAATATAAAATGGGGAATGCTTGTAGGTGTCATTAACAGCCAGATAATTTCAACGAAGATCAAGAATCCAATAATCCAGAAGTATATCAAGCGAACACTGATAAACCAGAGGATGATAAATGCGAATAATAATCGTTTTCGAAATGGAAAAATATTTAAGAAGGTTTGTTTTATAATCTAAAATAAGATGATAACCTTCCACTTCCAGAGTTTAGAGAAGAAGTATCAAAATCAAATAATGGAAGCCGAATTCAATTACCTCCTGTCATAATGAAATCAGGGAATATGTAGAGTTTATGAACTAGCTTAGTTATGAGGGAGAATGGCTGAATTAGAAAAAAGATGGCAAAGGCAAATTCACTTGGAAAGATGGCAGTTACTTCGAAGGAGATTTTGTTTAGGACAAAGCATAAGGCATAGGAAAGTTAGTGCATGTTAATGGTGATTCATACGAAGGAGAATGGTAAAATGACATGGCTCATGGTCATGGAGTTTTCAATCATTTTAGAGGCGTTAAATATGCAGGATAATGGAAATACGATCTTTAAGATGGAGAAGGATAAGAAACATGGCCTGACGGTACTGAATATAAAGGAACTTACAAAGAGGGTAAAAGACATGGACTGGGACATATGCAATTTTAGGATGGTTCTAAATATGAAGGAAACTTTGAGAATAACGAAATTTGTGGGTTTGGTTGTTATACATGGAAAGATGGCAAACAATATAAGGGGTAGTGGTTGAATAATAAAATGCATGGTATTTTGAATTATCGATTATCTTAAAGGTCAGGGGGAATGTGTTTGGAAGGATGGAAAGAGTTATAAAGGAGAATATTCAGATGATAAAAAAAATGGTTATGGAGTATTTACTTGGGCAAGTGGGAAAAGATATGAGGGATATTGGTAAGATGGCAAATAGCATGGAGAGGGGATAATAATTAATGCTGAGGGAGTTAGAAGAGAAGGATAATGGGAATATGGAAAGCCCAAGAATTTAGATTGATTTTATTTGTATCTATGACACTGTTAAATTTGAGAGATTAATTATATAATTATCTATATAAAATAAAATTCAAAATGGATGATGCTGATGGGAATTATATCGAATGCTTAAGCCAAGGAGGCTCTTCTCCGTATAAACCAATGGATAACCTATTTCAAATCTACTCTGATAAAGTTAGCAAAAAATCTGAATAATAAAGAAGGTTCTTTAGTGGATAAAAACAAGTTACCGAACCTATTGAATAAATGAGTGTCAAATCCATTTCGAATTCAGAGAGCAAGCCAAAACCATAAAACTAGGAAGCTGTTCAAATTTAGTTGATCTCATTTTATGAATAAAACCTACAAAACTTAAAGTAGATGGTTATAGATAAAGATGAAGATATCAAAATCAGGGATGAGAAGATTCTTGAATAATCTATTCTTATCAATCTCATCAATACTAAATACAACAAGATTCTCAACCTTTTGTAATAAGAAAGGGATGAAATATTTGAAAAATACATGCAAGCCATGGATGAAATACAAAATCTAAGTCAAAAGTATTAATAACAATAGCAATAACAGTAATAATAACTTCTGTCTATGTAATAAAAGATCTAGCAATAATTGCAATAATAAATAACGCAGCATCTCTAGAATTTTTAAGTTCCCATAGATTATGATTCCAAATTAATTGAACTTCATGAAGCCAAATAGCAGGTCAATCATTATAAGAATTAATGCATTAATTTGGAAGTAAAAGTCAAAGAAACAGAAGTGAAATTAGAAGATTCAAATTTAAGATTGAATGAAGCCTATATCAGAATTGATCTTCTTGAAAAAGAAGCTAGGAATGTCTCATAGTAAAATGTATATTTATTTATTTTACTTATAGGTTGTGCTAGATAAATAGTTTAAATCATTATTATAACAATTTGAATAGTATTAATAAATCTAGAAAAAACAAAGTTAATAATTTTAATTTCGAGAAGCAACAAGCATGATGAGTAGTGCTTATAGTAATTAATCAAATAGCGAGCAATAAATTCTTCAAAATGTAAATTAGAATGGTTCAAAGCATGAATAACTCTAAGAGAATGATAATTTAATTAATGCTTACACTTAATTTAAAAAATAGAACAGTCTTAAATAATTTAATCAGATGTTGGTTTAATCGTAAATCAAATAACAAAATGGGAAATAAGACAGTTAATAAATCTCCTATAACCAAGGAGGAATATTAAATTTTCCATCTGATTTTCGCACTTAATAATAAAAGGATTTAGAACTATAATTAACTAATTAGTTGAATGAGTTGACTATAAAAAAATAAACATTAGAAAGTGAATTAAATAAAAAGATCAATGTCTCAAAAAGTGCTTTGGAAAGAAGAAAAAGAGAATAGCTTGAACAAGAGTTGGATTAAATTTAAGATTAAATTAATAAAGTAAAACTAAAATTAAGAGAAAACAAATTTATTTGATATTAATACTTGTTTAGCATATAAAATAAAAGTGTTTAGATATATTATGAAATAATAAATTATTAAAATTAAGCAATCAAATTAAATTTTCAAAATATTTATTGTTCATATTATAAAATTCAAAATATCATTTTTTTGGTTATTACTGCAACTTTTGTTATTATTTTTGTTAAGCTTTCTCTAGTAATCCTTCAAGTTGACCTTTTCTTTAAGCCATCTTAAAAAGTTCCAAAATGAATGGAATATAATTATGTTTCCTTCTGGAATTTTCTTCCTAAAAAAGAGATAACATAAAAATCTACTTTATATTTTTAAAACTTGGCAGTTTCTTCACTCAGAATAATTTAAGCTTCTTAAATTCTGTTATTGGCATTATTTAATCTATTTAATAATTCTTCTTTAGATTCTTGGAGTAATTCTTATTCAATATTCTTACATAGTATTCAAATTTACTTGTTAATTTGATAGTTCAATTAACTATTGTTTTTATTCTTCAGATAATTCCACACCCATGAACTCTAAGGTTTTGAGAGTCAATAGTATTTCATTTTAAGACGATGATAGAATTTTGTTTGCCTAAATGAATAATTGAGTTGTACTTTGAATTTTCTGCATTGATTGACAGCTAGCAAAGTAAAAGCAGTTTCTTTTTCTTAGTAATGTTAGATCCTTTTTAAGATGGCTTCTTTAGCTCTGACAATCCAATCATCTTGATATTCACCAATCAAGATTGGTCCTTCTTAGAGACCATCTAACTCGTACACTTTTCCTTTGAATGGAAGATAAGAAACAAAATGAAAGACATCATCACCTTCCTAGAATAAAAATTCGAAAATTTACTTTGGCCTTCTTTTTTTCATTTGAGAAAATGAATGGTTCAGGTCTAGCAAAGCTATTGTGAGCTGTTTTAATCACTTCAACACCTCCTAAACAATTTCCCCTTTCCTTAGGATCCAGAGCAATAGTAAATTCCTGAATTCTTTAATAATATATTACTTTATAATTTTTAAGCGCTTCTCCAATTTCAATTTAAGGGGAATTGAGTAAAATGGAGATGATGGCTTAAGTTGCACATGCGTTTTAGATGACTTAATTAGCAAAGAAGAGATCTTGGTCATAAATTTTAAGACACTCTCTTTTTTCACCTTTGCTTGTCCATCTGAATAAGAATATGAATCCATAAATGGGTTGCATTTAGGCTATCTATTATTCATCATTTAGATCATAAATCTCTTCAACTTAAACCCCTTAAACTCCAATTGCATTTATGAGCTCAGTGAATACTCCAGGGTCAGACTCTATTGTACACCACTCTTGCATAAATAATTATATATATTTTAATTAATTGGTCTTTTAAAGAATAAGTAATACCTCCTATAGAATAATAAGTTTAGGATCTAAAGAAAAATCAATCGAAAAGATAATGATCTCTTAAATTCATTTGTTAACTTTTGCTTTCATTTCATCTTTAGTCTATTGAATGGAAGCCTAATCTCTCTTTTTAAATATAAAAGCGTTATCAATCCTGCCTATTAAACTGAACCTTCAATTATTGAACTAATAATAGAATCTAAGACCTTCTTATTGAGCATTAAAGATCATTTTAAAGACTAAAAATAAAGAAAAAGATANATCCTTCAAGTTGACCTTTTCTTTAAGCCATCTTAAAAAGTTCCAAAATGAATGGAATATAATTATGTTTCCTTCTGGAATTTTCTTCCTAAAAAAGAGATAACATAAAAATCTACTTTATATTTTTAAAACTTGGCAGTTTCTTCACTCAGAATAATTTAAGCTTCTTAAATTCTGTTATTGGCATTATTTAATCTATTTAATAATTCTTCTTTAGATTCTTGGAGTAATTCTTATTCAATATTCTTACATAGTATTCAAATTTACTTGTTAATTTGATAGTTCAATTAACTATTGTTTTTATTCTTCAGATAATTCCACACCCATGAACTCTAAGGTTTTGAGAGTCAATAGTATTTCATTTTAAGACGATGATAGAATTTTGTTTGCCTAAATGAATAATTGAGTTGTACTTTGAATTTTCTGCATTGATTGACAGCTAGCAAAGTAAAAGCAGTTTCTTTTTCTTAGTAATGTTAGATCCTTTTTAAGATGGCTTCTTTAGCTCTGACAATCCAATCATCTTGATATTCACCAATCAAGATTGGTCCTTCTTAGAGACCATCTAACTCGTACACTTTTCCTTTGAATGGAAGATAAGAAACAAAATGAAAGACATCATCACCTTCCTAGAATAAAAATTCGAAAATTTACTTTGGCCTTCTTTTTTTCATTTGAGAAAATGAATGGTTCAGGTCTAGCAAAGCTATTGTGAGCTGTTTTAATCACTTCAACACCTCCTAAACAATTTCCCCTTTCCTTAGGATCCAGAGCAATAGTAAATTCCTGAATTCTTTAATAATATATTACTTTATAATTTTTAAGCGCTTCTCCAATTTCAATTTAAGGGGAATTGAGTAAAATGGAGATGATGGCTTAAGTTGCACATGCGTTTTAGATGACTTAATTAGCAAAGAAGAGATCTTGGTCATAAATTTTAAGACACTCTCTTTTTTCACCTTTGCTTGTCCATCTGAATAAGAATATGAATCCATAAATGGGTTGCATTTAGGCTATCTATTATTCATCATTTAGATCATAAATCTCTTCAACTTAAACCCCTTAAACTCCAATTGCATTTATGAGCTCAGTGAATACTCCAGGGTCAGACTCTATTGTACACCACTCTTGCATAAATAATTATATATATTTTAATTAATTGGTCTTTTAAAGAATAAGTAATACCTCCTATAGAATAATAAGTTTAGGATCTAAAGAAAAATCAATCGAAAAGATAATGATCTCTTAAATTCATTTGTTAACTTTTGCTTTCATTTCATCTTTAGTCTATTGAATGGAAGCCTAATCTCTCTTTTTAAATATAAAAGCGTTATCAATCCTGCCTATTAAACTGAACCTTCAATTATTGAACTAATAATAGAATCTAAGACCTTCTTATTGAGCATTAAAGATCATTTTAAAGACTAAAAATAAAGAAAAAGATATTGGTGGAGCAATATTTTTTCTATCTAAAAAATTTTGGGTATCCTTTGGATAATAGCCATGATATTATATTATTTAGATTTTGTTTTTTGAGATAATATTTTTTAGAGATTTTTTTCATTTGTACCTAAGAAAAATTATGATTACTTATGAACTTAAGCATTCCTAAGAATTTCCAGGTTATTTTTTTGAGACTCTATTAATTATCTATAATAACACTCAGAAGAATAGATTTTAATATAGGAAGCTTACTCGATGTGTTTTCTAAATTAAAATAATTTAACCTTTCTATTATTAATTAGAAAATTTCTAAAGTTAAGGTTGAAATGATTCTTTTTATTAAAAAATGCAAGTTATTTTTATTTATTTGGCATCCTATCACCTTTAATTTGAGTAGTTTAAATTGGATCTATGGCCTTACCATATCTCATAAATGAAACGCATTTATCTGTTTTTAGACTACTATTTAACTAATTTGGAATTTCTTTGTTGATTGATGGATATTTAACTATTAGTTAGTTATTTTTATTGTTTAAAATTTTTTAAGTTATTTATTTGAGTTCCTAAAAAAAACTGTTGTTTGATATTTAGGAATAATTTTGTTCTAGTATTCTCATAAACATCTGGTATATTGATATTTGAGGCCTTATTGAAAATATTATGTGTTTACTTCTACTAATCAAAACAGCTGTATTAGGTTGCTCTAAAATATTTTAGCGTTCAATTTCTTTAGTACTATCATACTATACAATCAAAAACGATTAAATTGTTTTAAGTAATGTTTTATGAGAATACAAAATCTTTAATCAATAATATTATAAGATTTAAGCAAAGATTGAATATTATTCGCGCTAACTGAAATACTCCTTAGTACATATATCATGTTTTAAATCTCTTTTTAAAAATCATGTATTTGCTATCTTGAATTGAACTAAAATCTGCTTCCTAAGGAGAAGCATTCCTTTATTTAGCCCAATAAATACCTTATTAAAGTATTAAATCTTTAAATATAAATAAAATTAAGATTAATTTAATACTAATTCTATAATTTTTTTTAAATAATATTAATCGATTAATGGTTATTGTTTTAACCTAATTTAAAAAATCTAATGTAATTCAAATATAATAAATGCAAAGTAATTTAAACATATTTCAAATCTTTATTATTTTATTACTAGACACTAAGGTTAATTTTATTGACACTATTAAATAATTTTTTGTGTGAATAAGAATAAAAAATGGATCAAATGAATAAATATACATTGGAGTTTAAGTCAGCAGATGTAGAATTAAAGTATTAAAAAGAATCAATTTGCAAATTGCTCAAACCTCTCCATTACGGTCTAATATTAATGTCCTTATTATTGAATACAATCTAGATAATTACAGTAACAGTCAGGGAATCCTTTTCAATACCGTTAATCAATATTACTTTCATAGGAATATCCATGTTTAGTTTTGCTGTTGTCTATAAAAAGGAGACTTTAACATAAAAAATGATGACTATTGAAAATGCTTATATCCTATTACTATAGTTAAATTTTACTGCAGACAATATTCATGGCTAAGAATACTTTTTATATGGAAGTAGCTTGTCTTTGATTCAAGCAATAACCTATTTTTCCACAGATTTTTATTTAAGTTGCCCTTCAGTTATATTTCATTTGATATTTCGACTTATTGCCACCAGTTTATACGCAAAGAAATTTGATTTAGTAGCTTTAGGTCTTACAATAACAACAGCAATATTTTTAATTTGTGTGTTGTATATATGCAATAGAGCATAAAGGCTGTAATTCTTATTGAATTATAAAGAAGATACTATTAACTATCAATTGCAAACCTTAATAAACAAACCATTTACAAAGATTATTTACAACGAGAAGAAGCTATAAATTGATGTTCTGTAGGTTAACTAAGTGAATTAATTTTTGGGATTCAACCAAGAGTTGTGTTTTGGGTGTAATATTAGGAACTTTATAAGAAATTGTAAGATTTCTAATAGATCCTTAGAGAAATGGATAATAAATGATTAAACCAATATAAAGGAAATTTGTCTTGCTATGATTTAGAGAACAAAAATTAAGATTAGGCTTACTCAATTTAATACTGACAATAGTTTGATATTAATTTTGGAGAATTCAAGACTGGATACAAGACAAAAATAGGTCCCTTAGTTTGTGACAAATCAATTGGTTGAATAATTTATGATAAGCAAGAAAACCCTGTTTAATTTGTAATTTAAATTTGGAGTCATGTCAATTTTAATGTTGGGCTAATACCAAATNGTATTTGCTATCTTGAATTGAACTAAAATCTGCTTCCTAAGGAGAAGCATTCCTTTATTTAGCCCAATAAATACCTTATTAAAGTATTAAATCTTTAAATATAAATAAAATTAAGATTAATTTAATACTAATTCTATAATTTTTTTTAAATAATATTAATCGATTAATGGTTATTGTTTTAACCTAATTTAAAAAATCTAATGTAATTCAAATATAATAAATGCAAAGTAATTTAAACATATTTCAAATCTTTATTATTTTATTACTAGACACTAAGGTTAATTTTATTGACACTATTAAATAATTTTTTGTGTGAATAAGAATAAAAAATGGATCAAATGAATAAATATACATTGGAGTTTAAGTCAGCAGATGTAGAATTAAAGTATTAAAAAGAATCAATTTGCAAATTGCTCAAACCTCTCCATTACGGTCTAATATTAATGTCCTTATTATTGAATACAATCTAGATAATTACAGTAACAGTCAGGGAATCCTTTTCAATACCGTTAATCAATATTACTTTCATAGGAATATCCATGTTTAGTTTTGCTGTTGTCTATAAAAAGGAGACTTTAACATAAAAAATGATGACTATTGAAAATGCTTATATCCTATTACTATAGTTAAATTTTACTGCAGACAATATTCATGGCTAAGAATACTTTTTATATGGAAGTAGCTTGTCTTTGATTCAAGCAATAACCTATTTTTCCACAGATTTTTATTTAAGTTGCCCTTCAGTTATATTTCATTTGATATTTCGACTTATTGCCACCAGTTTATACGCAAAGAAATTTGATTTAGTAGCTTTAGGTCTTACAATAACAACAGCAATATTTTTAATTTGTGTGTTGTATATATGCAATAGAGCATAAAGGCTGTAATTCTTATTGAATTATAAAGAAGATACTATTAACTATCAATTGCAAACCTTAATAAACAAACCATTTACAAAGATTATTTACAACGAGAAGAAGCTATAAATTGATGTTCTGTAGGTTAACTAAGTGAATTAATTTTTGGGATTCAACCAAGAGTTGTGTTTTGGGTGTAATATTAGGAACTTTATAAGAAATTGTAAGATTTCTAATAGATCCTTAGAGAAATGGATAATAAATGATTAAACCAATATAAAGGAAATTTGTCTTGCTATGATTTAGAGAACAAAAATTAAGATTAGGCTTACTCAATTTAATACTGACAATAGTTTGATATTAATTTTGGAGAATTCAAGACTGGATACAAGACAAAAATAGGTCCCTTAGTTTGTGACAAATCAATTGGTTGAATAATTTATGATAAGCAAGAAAACCCTGTTTAATTTGTAATTTAAATTTGGAGTCATGTCAATTTTAATGTTGGGCTAATACCAAATAAAGACTGTGAATATGGTTAAGGTGTTGAAAAAATTATTAAACACATATGTCTTTTCAGGGAAAGTGAATTTAAATTTAAATGGTTATAAGATAATAAAATTGAAGACTTATGCTTAATTTTTGAATATCTTCTTAATTTAAGTATTTAATATCATTCAAGATATGGAGTACTCTTAAAATATATTCAACGAAATAAATGTGAACAGTTTTGATAATTATCTTGCCTTTCAGTTGAAACTATCAAATAAATAATAATTTATGCAATTGTACTCAAAGAACTTTTTTATAAAGTACACCGAATAACATTTGTTAGTTACTCCATTAACATTTGATCTGGTGTTTTATTTTAACAAACTAATTCCATTTGATGATACGAACGCTTCATTATGATAGTTAAAACTTGATAATTGAATTTATATTTAATTTGTATATTTTGCGAGTAACGCTCTGGTGTTGCTTCCAAGAGAAGAAATCAAGAATATAATTATTTCTTATAAATTAAATTTAAAGAGATTTAACAAAAATAAATTTGTTTGTTTGACTTTTGTAATACAGATGTAAATTTTTCTTGATATAATATATATTTAATATATGAATAATCAACCTGTGTATATGTCTGTTGAACAAATTAACGCTTTGTTTCAAAGGGATTCAACTTATGAAGTCAGAGATGACCGTATTAATTCGTTCTAAAATGATATCAAGAAAAATGATGTATGAAATTATTTAATTTAAGATTTGGAAGTCAGAAGGTCCAGAATGCGAAGAAAACAGGCCAACTAATTAAAGTGAGAGTATGATGATGAGTAAGAATTATTTGGTTGAAGTTTTTAAGTTACTCGAGAAGAGTATTAGAGTTTGTAATAGGAATACGAGAGGCGCAAAGATATGGAGGAGAAATATAAAGAGGACATTAATAAATTAATGAAAGAACTCAAGTAGAAGGGCGGAGAACTGGAGAGTGTGAAGAGAGATTAAGATTTATTATTTGAATAGAATTAAAGAAGAGAATGTATTTAATTTTCATTAAATCAAAAAAGAAGTGCTCTAGAATCTGAGATAATAAATTCAAGAAGCAAATCATCGGGAACAGAAGGCTGTCATTGAATTGGCTGATATGCAGGAATAACATATGTAGATGAAATAGTAATTGGAAATAGTTTAGCAGAAATACAACTATTTATAGAAACAACACAAATTTGAAATTGATAGAAAAGAAAAATAAATTGATTAACTCAAGAGTTAAATAATATCCTTGAATGAGGATAATGAAAAACTTAAGAATGAACATTAGGCAGGGATTCTCTATCTCGATTCTTAGAGAGTGTCATAAGAAAAGATCCAAAATTAATGGGCTTAATTTAATTCGAGTGCTTACAAGAGTAGCATATAATTCCAGAAGGAAAAACCAATTACTTAGATTTAGTTTAAGAGTAATTATGATTCCAAACTAATTTTCGGAAAAAAATCTCAAAATTCATTAAAATAACAACAATCCTAATCCGATTTGTAGTTGAAAGGATAATGAGTTTAATATTATATTATATATTAAGATTTAAATGCCTCCTAAAAAAGAATAACAAGAAGAGAAAAAGAATAAATTAGGAAGACCTAGTAATACTCTCAAGATGGGTATTGTTGGTATGGCTAATGTGGGTAAGGAATGCATTTTATGAAAAATAGGAAAATCAACCACATTTAATACTTTGTGTAAATTGAATGTTCCAGCAGAAAATTATCCTTTCTGCACAATTGATCCTAACAATGCAAAAGTTCCTGTTCCAGATGAGAGATTTCTTAAATTATGCCAAATGCACAAACCAAAAAGTGAGATTCAAGCTGTATTGAGCATTGTTGATATTGCTGGGTATTGATATAATTAAATAATAAAATAATAGGTTGGTACCAGGAGCACATAAGGGAGAAGGTTTAGGAAACGCTTTCTTATCACACATAAAAGAATGCGATGGAATTTATCACGTAGTTAGAGCATTCGAAGATGAAAATGTTTGTCACACTGAATTGTCAGTCGATCCTATTAGGTAGATTCAAAGTATATCATTAGAGACATGGATATCATTTCTACTGAGTTGTTATTGAAGGATTTAGAATTCTGTAACAATAGATTAGCTGAAACAGAACACGTAATTAAGAGAAATAACAATAAAGATGCTAGAGAGGAAAAGGAAGTTTTGGATAAAGTCAAATTGTTGTTGGAGAATAAGAAGTGGGTAAGAACTGGAGATTGGAATTTCAAAGAGGTTGAAATATTGAATAAATACTATTTCATTACAGCAAAGAATGTAGTTTATTTGGTGAACTTAAGTCAACAAGATTTTATGACTAGAAAGAATAAATGGTTGAAAGGTATTAAGGATTGGGTTGATGCCAATTGTCCAGGAGATATTATACCATACAGTGCAGATTTAGAAAAAGCTATTTTTGAAGAGTATTTCATTTTATTCTAAATCAAGAACTTAAGCAGGTACCATAACATAAGAGAGAACAAAATTATCTATGTTACCAAGAATCATCAAAACTGGATATAAAGCATTAGATTTGATTTATTTCTTTACTGCTGGTGAAGACGAAGTCAGGTGTTGGACTATAAGAGCAGGAACTAAAGCTCCTTAAGCTGCTGGAGTTATCCATACAGATTTTGAAAAGGGATTCATTTGTGCTGAAGTTATGAAGTATGAAGATTTTGTCCATTTGGGTACCATCACAGCAGTCAAGGCTGAAGGTAAGTATAGACAATAGGGCAAGGAGTATGTTGTAGAAGATGGAGACATCTGTTTCTTCAAATTTAATGTTGGAGGCGGAGGCAAAAAATGAGTGTTAGAATATATATCACATTAAGTATATTAAATAGATAGATTGGTATAATATATATTTAAATGTTGTGTGTCAAATCTATTGTTAATCTTACTCTTTAGCTTCTGTAGTTGAAATGCTTCCAATTTCTAAGTGGTATTAGGATTGCTTTGCTTCATCCAAAACAAATGAATGATTAACTTAATCACATGTGATGAAATCTTATCGGGATTAGAAGAATTTAAATGGGAAGGAATATTCTATCTTTGTAACAAACCCCTTATATTATAATTTAATAAGTTACCTTAGATAATTTCATCATGAAACCATCAAATAATTGGTATTCGATAAGAGCAAAAAATGCTGCTGCTATTAGATCTAATCTAGGAAATTCAATTATATTCATGATCAAGAAGAAAGCAGGTGGATAATATTTTGATTGAAGAGAAAATGGAAAGCACAGGAACTTTTAAGGCTCATCCTAATCACTTAATGCTCTAAAGTTATAAGTCTGACTATACTTATTCATCATGTAAATAAATGTGATATTCCAAAAGCCAAACGACTCAGTATCAAGGACCTCCAAAGTTAAATATGAAAGCGAAAAGCATAGCAAAACATAAATAATCTAATTATGATTTTTTATACTTGTATGATCAGATTCTTAAAGAATATGTCACAAAAGAATGGTATGGTACCATAACTTTTTTCAACTTCAATAGCACAAAACAGAAATCCAAGTAAACTTATTGTAATATTATAGATATCGCCTATTTTTATTGGATTTTAAGCTTACCATGAAAGAATTATGGAATGAGTAATCTCCATAATTCGAATTAATATATAGCTTTATTTGGGATGTCTACAAATATATCAAATAATGAATCATTTGTCAGTAAATCAAGAATGCAGCAAATTGTGCTTGTTATTAAAACAAATTTGGTTCCAAAAGTGATGCTTTACCATATAGCTATAATTTTATCTATAATTAACATTAATAATTTTATAATTTAATATTCTTTTTTAATGTTGATGCTAATAACATTTTTTTTTTGATCTATTTTCAATTTCTCGCAGTTTCTAAATATATAATGCTTTAAAAAACTAAAATTATTATCATATATAATAATCAATATTACAAAAGGCATCAATCGAATGAAGAAATTATAAATGTATTATGATTATTGAAAAAGCATCAGCCAGGCTAACGAAAATAAGTAATCTTCAGAAAGAATAAAAGAAACTTTATAAAGGTCACCTATTTCCATCTATTGATAATTTTCTTAATTCTATTTAATCCAATTGGTAAACTTAAAATAAGGTTATTGAAACAAAATAACCCTATAAATGCTTGATTTAAGTATATTCTCAATAGATAATTATGATAATATAAAAATTTGTTAATAATGATCAGACTAATATCAATTTAACTAAAATAATCCACATTAGGTTTTACCTCTGATGCTTGAATAATATTATGGTAGTTCTTATCAAAAATTTCATTTTATTATATTTTTATAGAATTTTAATATTGATAATGATGTATTAATTTAATAATAACTTAAATAAATTAGTGTGAATGAATCAAAAGTCTGCATCCATAGTAAATACTTTATCTTATTTTTTGCTCATAACTCCAGCTTTTTGGTAGTCTCCAACTCTTCTTTCGAAGAAATTAGTTTTACCTTATAAGGATATCATATCCATCCATTCAAAAGGATTCTTTGTATTGTAAATCTTAGGAGCTCCCAATGCAAATATCAATCTATCTGCAACGAATTCAATATATTATTTCATCAAATTGGAATTCATTCCAATTAGTTCAACTGGTAAGGCTTCACTGATGAATTCTTTTTCAATTTCAACAGCAGAAGAAATGATTTCATGAATTCGTTGAATACTCAGCTTATTAATTAAATGCTTGTATAGAAGACAAGCAAAGTCTGTATGGAGACCTTCATCTCTTGAAATTAATTCATTTGAAAAGGTGAGTCCAGGCATCAATGATCTTTTTTTGATCCAAAATATAGCACAAAAGGATCCAGAAAAGAAGATGCCTTCAACAGCAGCAAAAGCAATCAATCTTTCAGCAAATGAATCATTATTATTAATCCATTTCATTGCCCACATTGCTTTCTTTTGAATCACAGGCACATTATCTATGGCGTGGAGAAGATAGTTTTTCTCATTCTCATCAGTTATATAAGTGTCAATCAAAAGTGAATAGGTTTCTGAGTGAATGTTCTCCATAGCTATTTAAAATCCATAGAAGCATCTAGCTTCAGGAACTTGCACTTCTGTGCAGAACTATTGGGCCAAGTTTTCATTCACAATACCATCACTTGCTGCAAAGAAGGCAAGTACATACTTAATAAAGTGCTTTTCATCAGCAGTGAGTTTTTCCCAATCTTTAAGATCCTAAAATTTTAATAATTAATTAGAATACCTGATATAAATCTATTTCTTCAGCTGTCCAGAAACTTGCTTTGTGTTACTTATACATATTCCAAATGTCATTGTATTTGATGGGGAAAAGTACAAATCTATTTGGGTTTTGTTTTAAAAGAGGTTCATCGCATTCGTTCTATTAAAGAACTGGTTAACTTGTCTACACATTTGATAAAGGAGTGAAGGTTTAAGTCTTAGTGTTGCCGCTAAATTCTTAATTTTAAATGAGCATTTTTTGTGTTTGAAATTTAAATTATTATTTTATAATATACTTGATTTTTTGGTTTAAAATGATAAAACTTGTTATAATATTCATAATTTAAAAAACGGCGGTTCTCTCCCTCTTTTATATTAATTTCAATAACTCAATAGCACTTTTTCCATTGTTAAAATACATGTTCATACACTCTACCCAAGCATTCAATATTCCCATATGAAATCCTAAGTAATTGTATAAAATACCTAATCCCTATTGCCATTTCTATTATATTTTATGAAGTTAATCACTAGCATAACAAATCTCTTAAGTCTTTCTATTATCATTCTAATTACCAGGTCTTTCAATTTTAAGAATATTTCATCTTTTTTAAAAAACCTATAGATTAATGTTAACAAAAATATCTTAAAATATCGAGGTTACTTGTTTTTACTATATACCCAAGATAATTAGCCTATGAATATCTCTATCTTCTATTAATCCTCTCACAGTACTTTATTTATACTATTTTTCGCTAGCTACTCATTTATTAATATTGGAGACTTTTGATTTCTGACAATTATTTGATTTCTTGTATACCTTTTTTCCATCGTGTTTAAATTACTTGTATATACATATAATAAGAAGGATAGAATATGTTCATAATATTGGACAATACAACCAAACAAAATTTTCAGATAATTTTTGCACAAAATTATAGAAGGCTGCTTAAAGTATTTTAGTAGAGTTATTTATATATATCATGGCACTCTGATAGTTATTTTTGATGTTAACAAGAAACACTTAAAAAATATAATATAATTAAAATTTTTCATTAAATTAGTAACTTTTCAATTTCTTCATGATGGCCACAGAATACTCAATAAGGAATGTAGCCCATTCTTTTTATGTTAAAGTCTAAAATAATTAATATTGCTATATTGATTAATGTCCCTCTATTTTAGATCGTTCATTGAATATTTATGGTTCCAAATTGCCATAAAACTATTAACAAATCACTTCTAAATAACAATTGTAAATTAAATTCATATGTTTTAATCATATTAATTCAAGAGTATAATTATCCAATACTCCATCTTTACACTAGTAAATTAACAAGAAAAAGATTAATACTGAAATTGTTGTATTAAATATAACTACTTATTGTTCTTGCTTATTTCTTGGATTTTTCTAATATTTTTTATATTATAAATCATTAAGATCTATGTTATATATGATTTCAATTATTTTTATCTTAACTATAAGCACGCTTAAAGAATAATTAATATATAAAACAAAAATAACTAAAAGTAAAATTTTTCAAACTATTCCAAATTATTCCTACCTCTTTGCGATTAATTGCAATTCCTTAAGAAAAGTCATGTTTTGCATAGTGAGTTCATCATTCTATTATTCAATAATATCATTTTATTTTTCTATTTTCTCCTTTGCTTATCGATACTTTTCTTTGACTTGCTCTAACTAAAATATAATATATATGATGTGTATTACCTTATCTATATTCTATTTTAATTAATCTTTTAACGAATCTATTTATTTCTAATAATCATTTTGACTCTTGTTTTACACTTTCTCCTTGTTGTTTTAGTCTTATTCCAACTGTTTGATCAAAATCTTTAGTTTAGCATTTTCAGTTTCAAATCTATTGCATTAATCTTTGAACTAAGTTAATTAAGTTTGATATTGAATGACCTAACATTTAAATTAAGATAGTTCTTATTCTAAGGTTTTGAACTTATTGTTAGTAAATTGCAACTCATAGGTTAATTTATCATTTTTCCTTTTGTATTCATTTACTTATTCTTCTAGTTGCGTAATTTGAGTATTTTATTGCACATATTCTGGAATTTCATTGAATTAAGTGTTGGTTGATCTTTCAATTTTGTTAAAGTGTGAGAATTGCACTTTTTCTTCTAATTGTTTAGCCTTTTTGAATGCTTATTAGTATTTATTTTCTAAAACTGAATTTTGAATTTTATAATTCTCAATTTCATTATTCAATTTTTCAGTTTAGACTTGAAGTTAATTGAATGAATGTGCCGATTCCTTGAATTTTGTAATTTCTGATTTTGAAGATTCATATTATTCTTCTAAATATTGGTTTTCATTTTTAAGTTGAATAATCTATTTTTTCAATTTATTAACTTCTTCTGTGTAGGTTGATTTTTCATTTTGTAATTGGTTGAGTTGATCTTGGAGTTATGAGTTTTNTCAATTTCTTCATGATGGCCACAGAATACTCAATAAGGAATGTAGCCCATTCTTTTTATGTTAAAGTCTAAAATAATTAATATTGCTATATTGATTAATGTCCCTCTATTTTAGATCGTTCATTGAATATTTATGGTTCCAAATTGCCATAAAACTATTAACAAATCACTTCTAAATAACAATTGTAAATTAAATTCATATGTTTTAATCATATTAATTCAAGAGTATAATTATCCAATACTCCATCTTTACACTAGTAAATTAACAAGAAAAAGATTAATACTGAAATTGTTGTATTAAATATAACTACTTATTGTTCTTGCTTATTTCTTGGATTTTTCTAATATTTTTTATATTATAAATCATTAAGATCTATGTTATATATGATTTCAATTATTTTTATCTTAACTATAAGCACGCTTAAAGAATAATTAATATATAAAACAAAAATAACTAAAAGTAAAATTTTTCAAACTATTCCAAATTATTCCTACCTCTTTGCGATTAATTGCAATTCCTTAAGAAAAGTCATGTTTTGCATAGTGAGTTCATCATTCTATTATTCAATAATATCATTTTATTTTTCTATTTTCTCCTTTGCTTATCGATACTTTTCTTTGACTTGCTCTAACTAAAATATAATATATATGATGTGTATTACCTTATCTATATTCTATTTTAATTAATCTTTTAACGAATCTATTTATTTCTAATAATCATTTTGACTCTTGTTTTACACTTTCTCCTTGTTGTTTTAGTCTTATTCCAACTGTTTGATCAAAATCTTTAGTTTAGCATTTTCAGTTTCAAATCTATTGCATTAATCTTTGAACTAAGTTAATTAAGTTTGATATTGAATGACCTAACATTTAAATTAAGATAGTTCTTATTCTAAGGTTTTGAACTTATTGTTAGTAAATTGCAACTCATAGGTTAATTTATCATTTTTCCTTTTGTATTCATTTACTTATTCTTCTAGTTGCGTAATTTGAGTATTTTATTGCACATATTCTGGAATTTCATTGAATTAAGTGTTGGTTGATCTTTCAATTTTGTTAAAGTGTGAGAATTGCACTTTTTCTTCTAATTGTTTAGCCTTTTTGAATGCTTATTAGTATTTATTTTCTAAAACTGAATTTTGAATTTTATAATTCTCAATTTCATTATTCAATTTTTCAGTTTAGACTTGAAGTTAATTGAATGAATGTGCCGATTCCTTGAATTTTGTAATTTCTGATTTTGAAGATTCATATTATTCTTCTAAATATTGGTTTTCATTTTTAAGTTGAATAATCTATTTTTTCAATTTATTAACTTCTTCTGTGTAGGTTGATTTTTCATTTTGTAATTGGTTGAGTTGATCTTGGAGTTATGAGTTTTTGATTTTTTATTGATCAAGATCTTTGAGACTTTTTTCGTATAGCTCTTTGGTGAGTTGAACTTCATAAGTGGATATTAGTTGGGTTGAAGATTTCTTTTGACTAAGAATTTTGTGATGAATGAGATTCTCCTTTTCAAAGCCGAATGATTCTGCTAGAGTTTTTTGATGAAATGATTCACTGACACGACTATCACTGAGGTCAGTTTCGCCGAGATTGACAACTTAATAGGTGAAGTGAATTTTAGCATTTGGGTCTGGACTTCGTTCTAGATTAAGTGCACATTGTCCTTCGATGGGCATGGTTTCATTAATGTTAAAATTGACAACTCCAGCTAGTTTGGATTGGCCATCAACATTCAAGAGAGCAATTAGGTGGGTCTTTTTTTAAGTGTTTTCGCCAACATTGAAATCAAGAGTGAGTACCTCATTAACAATGAAAATATTTCTGGTTTTTTCTTTGGTTCTAGTCAAACATTTGTTGAGCCCTCGTTTCCACATGACTTGTAAAGTACAGGGAAATTTAACAGAGAGCTCTACTTTGCTGATGTTGAGAGTAACTTAATAGCGGAAAGCCTTCATTTGAATTGAGAATCAGTTAATTAAATAATGAATCAATAGGGAAACATCTATGATTTTAAGATAGTGTTGGGGAGAGTGAAGGAGAAGAACATGAGTTTGAGATTGAGGTACAGTCAGACGAAGAGTGAAGATTATGAGATAGTGATCAAATTGAAGGTGAAGAGCAATATCGATGTGAAAACTGCCGATAGTCAATTCAAGGAGAGGTGCAAGAGTACCTACACTATTCTAACATCGTTTGTGTAATAAAGAATCTAGACCAAGTTAGGAAGTAAATTCGAGATTTTTTGAAGCCCACCTTTGCACTCAGTTATCATGTAGATGAACAATATGCATACATCACTTTTAAATATGCTAATCAAGTGGAGTAGTAGGAGTTTATGGAGATCTGTCAATTCATTCGAGAGACAATGGAGAGGTCATAAGAAAGGGAGGAGGTAGAATTGCTGATTGACAGTGATTTGTCATTTGAGAAATTGGGTTAAAGTATTTCTAATGCTGTTTATCAAATGAATTTGGAAGTGCAAGGCAAGGCTGAATTTCAGAAGGACACTGTGAAGTTGTTGGAAAACCTCAAGCTGTGTAAACAAGAGAATTTGCCTTACTTTTTGTAAGAAAAATATTTGAGTCAAATATTAATATATCTTTAATTATTAGAGAAGGCTCATGCGGAAGTTGAAATAGATAAGGTGGAACACGATTTGGGATTTGCTCAACCAAGTATAGAATTGCCTTTCAAATTTGCGATCTATGGGAAGTTGTAATAGTTTGCTGAGGAGTATTTGGATTAGGGAATCGAATTGGCAATTAAGGGACCTGGTTTGAGTGCTGAGATAGATTTCACTTATAAAGGGAGCTTGTTCACATTGATTGACAATATTTTAATTATTAAGTAATGAAATGCAACAAAATATTTAATTATAAAGAAAATGAACGTTTTGGAACAAGCATTAAAATAAATATAGGAATTAAATTTCAAGGGTCAATACAGAAAAGCATATGAATAACTCAAGCAAGTAGGGAAGGATTTGGAGACTTACGATTCCACTTTTAAGGTGTTTCAAAGACGATCATGCAACATAGAATTATTGGCTGCCTTCTATACTGAGTATGGGAGTGTGGCTTTGAAATTGAGTTTATTGGATATATCGAAGGAGTGTGTACAATGTGCATTTTATCATTTGAAAGACTTTGCTAATCTGAACCTATTTATCTTGAATATCCTCACATATCAGAAGATCAAATTCTGGCTTTTTCGGTAGAGGACTGTCTCTTATATAGATCAGATACCTAGACTCCATTCATCTGTTAAAGAGACTTTTGAATGTTGTGCCTAACTCTCTCATTCATTACAAAATCGAGATCTTCATCAATATTGCCAATTCCCAAAGAGCTTGGTGTAATTATGAAGATGCTGCAAGTTCCATCAATCAAGCAGAACAACTGGCCAATCTACTCAGTCCATCTCATTGCAATGATTTACTCAAAACTAACATTCTATTTCATAAGGCTCGACTGTACATGGACATATATAGATGCAAACATGGACTGGGTTTTGCATTGGAGTATGTAAATCAAATGTTAATTAGTTGTCAGTTGTTTGCAGTAAAGAGAGACGTTATTGCCACGTGATCATCCTGAGATTGCTATAGCCATGGAACTGGTTGCCAAAATCAATCTTATGTAGAATGTAGTGGAGGAAGCATAAAAGTATCATGATTAGGCCTATACGTTGAAGATCAAGGTTTTTGGATTGCACAACTTTGAGACCATTGATTCATTAATTGAAAAGGGACGTCTCTTGCTCTCCTATAAAAAGGTATCCTCATCATAATTAAGCAGGAATAAGAAGCCATGTATTACTTTTCATTGATCGGAGATATCAGTTAAGTACTGTTGGGTCCTTGCAATCAATATCAAGCACTCTCGTACAGTAATCTAGGATGTGCTTTGTTCAATATTGGCGAATATGAATCTTCTATAGAACAACACTCGAAAGCACTTTAAATCTAAGAGAAATTCTGTGGTCAAGATTATGCTAAATTGGTATCCTCCTTACACTAAATGGCAAATGCCAATAAGTTGCTTAACAGACCAAAAGCAGCCTTCACGATTTGGTGGCGTTGCCAAATGATCTTGGAGAAAAATCCTTAAGTAAATTCCAAATAGTTATCAGTCATAAAGTCTAGATTAGAAGGATTGTCTATACAAGAAGAAGATTGATTATTATATATATAATATTTAATTAAATTTTCATGTAAAAATCAGGTTAACCTTACATTGAAAATTCATTAACCAAGAAGGACGCTCCTGCTCAGTATGAACCACAATCGAAATTCACTCCTTTATAATTAATACCTCCCATAAATGATAATTTTAGACATTTAAAAGGCTTGAAAGCATCTAGATCATAGAATAACAGTAAAGTCAAAATCAAGAAGGTTAAACAGAAATTTCCCTCCTTAATGGATTTCGACGAAATGCAGACTTAAGATGATGAACTTGAATTTAACGCGTACAATGTAAAACCCTTTGATTCAGTAGCTCCCCAAACTTTCAGGAATATCTATAAGAAGATAGATACTATTCTATAAAAGAAGACTCTGTATCAGAACTAAAAGATGTCTCTTTTTAGCAGTGTAGCTGAATCCTCGAAATCAGAAGTAAGGCATTGATTTTTAAGCATTTAATAGAAATTAATGCCGAGAACCCTTGGATTGATTCGTCCCAATACAAACAACAACAAAGTACTTGATGCATCCAACTTTTGTATGGGCGACAAGTATGCCAAAGTGTTGTGTTCTGGAGTGAAACTGACTCTGGATTATTACGAATAAGTGAATCTGAAAAACAACAATCTCACTAGCAGGTCGAGTGAGTGTCTGAATTAACTGATTCCCACTAAGTTAAAGGGTCTCAATTTGTAAGGGAATAGTTTGGGTCAAGGAGGACAGGAATTCGTAAAAGCTCTAAACACAAGATATGGTCAATTGCAGTATCTCAATTTAGAGAACAACAAGTTTAATGATGATGGCTGTCGATAACTGTTCAAGATGTTATAAGAGAACACTATCATGCAGAAGCTCAATCTCTCGCATAATCTAATTACTGATAAGTCTATGCCAGAATTCAATGCGTTATTGTAAAAGAATGCTACTCTCAGTGAGATTTACTTACACTGGAATCGAATCCATCAAATTGGAGGTATATTATTATAAATAATGATTGAGGCTAGTATATTATAGCAGCACTTTTCATAAATTACAATGTCAAAGTATTAGATTTATCATTCAATTCTCTTGGTATCAGATATAAAGATGATGCTCAATCTCCGTAAAAGAATAGGCTCCCCTATTAAACTTGGCCTGATTACTTCTCTTCCAAGAATTGTAATCTTATGCATTTGGATCTCTCCAATAATCAATTTAATCAATCCCAATCTGAAGCCATTGCAAAATCACTTGAAGACAATCATACCATATTTGGATTCCACTTTTCAGGCAATATTCATAGTTCAATTGACCATCTAGGCTTTCTAAATATTACCAAATAAACTGTTGAATAAAAGGATGTCATCTTGAAGAAAAATGAAGAATACCAATCAGAAATTATTGGAGCACTTCAAATACCTAGAATAGATGGTTTAAAATAGATTTAGAGATAATCTTAATTCTACAATGAGGTGTGTTGGATATGTGATGGATGGGTTGAATGTACATTTCTCTGGTAACCCAATCATTTGGACATCAAACGAGAACCCTTATTCATCCATTTGAGTCATGAACGATATGCTCCAATCAAAATGGAACTCATGGATGATGAATAAAGAGAAAGATCCCCAATGTCTCGAAAATCTAATTCTTACAAAATATGGTATGTATAAAGAATGGTACCATCAAAATAGCCAATTCGATTCTTCTTTTCAAGTCCTTTATTAAAATAAGCTCAAGTGAGCAGTTAATATGACATTGTTGATTGGCCCAAAGCAGAATAAAATAAGAAAGTGTTGTTCTATATGATTAATGAGAAACACTTAACATTTCGAAGACCCAGATAATGCAATTAGATAATGTTGCCCTCCAAACAATAATTTGATGAATTACATTATGAGCCTAGTGTCCATTGCAAACCAAGGATAAAGGACTATGGTGGAATATTGGATCTTATTATTGATGATACAATTGATGAAAATATTGATTAGGCTGACAACTTCTTTAAGGAGTGTCATCGGGATTCAGACTAAGAATTCTCAGATTGTTTTGAATGGGATTGGAATAACTCTCAATTAACCAAACTAATTAAAGAGTAAGATCAACTTATTTAAGTTAAATAGTATTTACATAGAATATATAGAGACTTGGTCTCTGCTTATAGACATTATAGTGCCTATTCACCAAGTGGTGATATTTGGAGCATTTCCTTAAATGTTTTCACCGATATTTTTCAGTCTTCTTTCGTTGACAATAAGTCATACCTCTTGAAAGATTTGGATATATCTTTTAGATAGACAACATCCAAATACATCAATCAAACTAGAACGTCTACTTCTCATGCATTATTAAGACATCAATTTATTGAAATTTTAGTTAGAATGTCAATGGACAAATATTGCAAACAACCTCTTTTGATGACTCCAATTGAAGCCTTGTAAAAGGTTTATGAAGTAGATGGATTACAGAAGAAAATCGAAAGTGTCCAAGAATCTCAGACTTGGAGAGATGTCTACTATTGGAGTATGGAATGCAATAGAGTAATCTAAAACAATTCATCCGTTCTCAGGTAGTTGTATCAAGAATGTGTATAGATGAGATCACTAAACTATTTCACCAATAAGACTTTTGCATCTCCTCAATCCTTTAAAGAATTATTCAATAGAGCTGGACTGATCAATGATGTCAATGCAGAGAGAAATGTATTGATTGCATTTGCATTAAGTGTGCCCCTTGTACTAGATGAAATCAATTAAGATAGATAGATTTAGATGAGTTACCAAGAGTTCGTTGAAGCTTTGGCACGAGTGGCTGAAAAATATGGATAGAACAAAGCAGTGATCAGCTCAGAATAATTGGCATTGAAATTATAACACATCATAGGATAATTATAGGAGTATTATCAGATCGTAGATGAGAACAAAGTACCATATTAATATCACTTAGATAATCATCCCAATAATGAGACAATCCAAGAAGTAAACCAACTTCCTCCAAGAAAATGTTACTAAATTATTGTATGAGATAGACGGTTCACCCATCAATGCCCCATAAATCTATGAATATGATTTTGTAGAATGATTAAAACATAATATATTTAGTCAATTAATCTAAATGAAATTTTGTACATTCATACTAATCATATCAGCTTTACTTTCTTTTTATAATTCTTATATACTTAGTCTTTGAATCTTCCTAATGTCTCGACCTCTCCACTCTGAAAATCCTCTATTTATAAAGTCAATTTAATAGTTTGTTTTCCCTCTTTTTGTGGTATCACTTTTTATTTGATGCCTGTGTAAATTGGTTTACTCTGAACAGTTTAGGCAAACTCAGCCATTTAATTATTATTGATGTGAGTTCCTTGCTCAATTTTGTAGAAGGCAGTAGAATATTTCATTCAATATCTAGAATATCGAATCAAAAATTGATGATAAATCGCTCATTAAATCTAGGTTCTAAATTTTGAATGAATGTCCATAGAAAGAGAATATAATTATAGAGGGATGAAATAATTTTAATAAGCAAAACAATGATGCCTCCTCCTACAATAATTTCAACTGTTCTGCATAGAGTTAATGCTTCAAAATCTTATAGAATTAACATTTCATATATATTTCCAAAAACCTTTTGTGTTTCTACATATTGACAATATCTAATTATATTGGATGAAAGAAACACGTTGAAAGGCTCGTTCATTAGGTTCCTTCCTTAATTTTATTGGTTCCTAATTTCAGCTTCTCTTTTCTTGTTTTATGTTGTGAATCCCAAATCCTTAAGATTTAATAGCAATTGTTTACTTTCTTATAACACTATAATATTTTTGACTTTTAAATCATACTCAGTTAGCTTAGTAATTGATGCATTGTTGCAACTTGATATTTGCTTCTATTTTCAAGCTTCATAATTATTGAACAGATGTGTTCATTGATGCCAGAATGAACTAGTGCTTATATTTATGAATCAAGTATTTTCTCATTAATCACAAATCATATATATATATATTTATTTGTCATTCCTTCAACTAATCACATTTTTGTCTATAAATGCTTTCTGCCTTCTGACCTAGATCTGGCTTTATTGTTGAAATTTTCTAGCTGAAAGATTGCCAAGAAGATTATTTCTCTTGAGCATATTTAGTAATTTTAGATAACTTAAATGTTTGTTTCATTGCCTTGATTTTCTTCTTTTTAGCTTATCTCTATTATTCATTATCAGTAGGCAGATATTTCAAATTTTCTGGAACTTGAAATTCATCCATTTCTTCAAAATTCATTTTTTTAGAATCATTCAATTACTTCTTAGCTTCCCTCAAGTAAATCAAAGGCACAATTTCTCTATTTGAATTTTTCTTAAATCTTATGTGATACCCTTCCTCTGTTACTTTTTCGATTGTTCCCAAATAATAACGCCCGTCTGAAGAGTATATTGCTTCACATTATTATCCGACTGTAAATAATTTACTATCTGGAATAGGCTGAACTTTAATAAAAATGGCATGCATTTTCACTACTTCCTAATACCCAATGAATTGGATGTCTGCTTCTTATTCTTCAGTATCAATTTAAATAAGCTTTGCATTATACCATTTCCTATCCTATTCATGGTATGCCTTAGCCAATTTATCAATATCCTCGCCATTGAGTCTATTTACACTAAATAAGTTGTCTTGTGTCTTTTATAAAGATGCTATTTCCTTCTCTTGTGCTTCTTTAGCTAATACCAATTCATCCTTGATATTTTTTAATTCTGCTATCGTTGAACTCTCCTCCTCATGAGATAGCAAAAGATTCACTTTAAACATATGGTTTTTCAGCATAATCAAAGTTTTATAGGCTTCAATCACTTTACTCTAATCCAATTGTTGCGCAGGAGGCTAGTAATTCTCTGGTGGGTCATAATAATCAAATGAGTCTATCTTTTATTTTTTATAGGGCTCAGACATTTTATTAAATTATATTATACATCCAAAATGATTAATTACCTTATTTCAAATAAATTGACTTAATCCGATAACAATAGTATTTTAGATAAATACTTATTGAATAAGTAAGAACTTATACATATTTTAAAATAATTAGTTAGGAGAATTTGATTATGAAACTCAAGCCATTAAGGATTAATATAGGAATAAAAGTGATTTATCCTTGATATATATATATATATATATTTTTTTCATTAATCAAAATGGTTCAGTTATTATTAATGCGTTGCTTCTTTCTATATCCCCTATTAAAGCTGTTATTTAAATTCTAGGCTGGGGCATTAACGTTTTAATTGGAATCAAGAGTAAATAGATCTAAATTTAACGAATATATATTACTTTAGTCTTATTTCTTGTTAGGATCTTGAAAAAAGGAAAGGACATCCTATTTAGTATAGATATGATTGTTTGAATTTTCTTCCTAACAACAGTTTGGGTTGGAGTTAGCCATAGAGGAATTTGATTAGAATAGATTAATGCTTGATATTTGAAATGAAGATTACTGTATTTATTGATAAGGATTCTATTACAAAATAGGTGACTAGTAACCAGCCCATGGAATGCATGCTGAAGAGTACTAAAAAGTAGCAGGTTGGTAGTAACATTTCTATTCAAAAGTTGGTGAATAGTAATTCTAATTTTGTTGTTGATAGTTATTGGGTTGGATTTAATTAAATTAATCTGGTAATTTTATTTGATCTATGATTTCCATTTTATTATAAATTAAGCATTAATCATTCTTTTAAAATAGATTATCATTTTAAGCTTGTACATCTGAATTTTCTAAAAGCACATTAAAATCGAAAAGCTAATTATTGGTTTGCATTTTGAGTAAATCTGTCTGAATTTGATCTTTAGCAATTTATTGTTATTGTAAATAATTTTAAGGATTTCCTGTTTACATGGTTTACTAAAAGTATTATCTTACTTAATTTTAGCTAATAGGTGAATTAGTATATAAAAATGGGTTGTTTTCTCTCAAAATCTAATTAGACTTCATATTCAATTCTTTTGGCTTATCATTTACTTGAATAATATTGGAGCTCATTATTGTGCTTTCACAATTCATAGACAATAAGGTATTTTAAGATTATGGACTATCAAGTTTATCATCTATTTGCTTCAATTCCTACTATAAAATTGATTCACTTTGTTATTATTATTTAATTTAGTTCTTGTTTTACTCTAATACAATTGGTTCTTAATCTTATTTCTAGATTGGATTAGGTAGGATCACATTTTGAGTACTATGATTATCAAAAGAATTGTCTTATGATTTAATGAAGGAGTTAGTTTGACATTTCTATTCATCTTATTGAAATTAGGGTTCAGATTACAGTATTTAATTCTAGTTTTTGTTTTTGATTTAGGGATTGCATTAAATTGACAGACTTATAATTTCTGATTCTAATCTCAAATTTCTTTATTTTTTAATTTACTTTGATGATTCCGAAATGTCAATAGATAATTAATTTTAATCTAAAATTTGGTTATTTTTGAGTTCTTCTAGGGTTTTATTTTGTTCTAAATCCTAATTTGAATTGATATTTCCTTTTTGGGCAATATCAGGATGAAAAATTGAATATAACTTATTTTAAATTTCAAGAGAAGTATCGTTAGAGCATCTCTTCTCTTAAATTGAGGAATCAGTTTCTTAAGAAAAGGAAATATGTTCCATATTGAATATGGCCTCTTAAGTTTCTCCCTTTGTATTAGTGCCAGTAGAACTTGAAAAATATTAATTTTCTTAAATAAATTATTTGAAGTTAACGATGTTGCAAGAATGTCTATTTTGAGTTTCAGAAATCCTATTTTTTTAATCACTCAATTATTGACAACCAATTTGTTAATTTTATTTAAAGATTGCAATAGATTAAATTTCAAATTAATTTATTTGAGACATTTATCCTTTAGACCATTCCTCTTACTAAGAAGGACTTGCTATTTCGATGGTGTTGTCTGAGCACTTAATTTTTTTAATTGAATGATTGGACAGGAAATCTGATGAATTTTCTTATTTCAATTTATCACTTAAATTCAAGGATTTTTTATTAAAAGAAATGTCTCTTTTTTATGAGTTGTCTATTGAAAATAAAAACAAAAATTACCTTCCATTTTTCTTTATTTTTCATTTTTAGCATGATTTTTTTTAAACATCATTTGTTGCTTGGATTTAGGAAGCTGGGGTTCCTAATCTTTTTGTTAGATCTATTTATTGATATTGGCTTCGTCAGATATTTAAATTTGGTTTTGGTCAAGTTGCTTGAGATATTAATCAAAGGGTTATAAGGACTTGCGTTTTGCAGTAGGAATATGCTCCTTGTTAGGTATAATGTGATCTACAATTACAAGATTATTTTTTAATTAATAGGATAGTTCTTCATCTAAATTCTGGTCATACTAGTATTGTATCCGTTAAATTGAACTTGATGGGTAGATGGAAGGTTGGAACAGATCTTAAATCTTATTTTTTATCTTTGCTATTATGCCTGGCTTTGAGTTTTTGCAAGAACCAAAAGGACTAAAAGGAGATTGAGTTGACAGCTTATTCTCGAACAGAATTTTATGCATAATTTAATTAATATAATATTTAGATAATCTAGATGACAAATAATAATATGTTTTAAGAGAACCACATGTATGATACCAAATAATTATAACTAAATCACAATTAAATATCCCACTTCTTTCTCCCATTCAAATCCCTATTCTAAACCTTAATTATAACACTTACTTAAAATAGGATTTCATCCATATGGGATCTCTTTGAAGGATTGCATTTTATCCCAGTTTTACCCTAATTGGGCAATCCATTGCCAGTTATTGGATTTCTTTGTATTTGCTTGTTAATTAGGTCGTAAATCACATTTTCCTTATTGGAATAATCGAACATTCTGTTGGCAGCTTCGTTTTCTTTCATTCTGGTTAAGGAAATGGAGACTTAGGGTCTCTTATAAAATCCAGATTAACTTGTTTTCTTATGAAAATTATTAAACGAACAATCTCTTTCGACATGTGGAGGCTTAATAAAATCTACTGAATGACTTAATAGGTCTCTTTTGCTTTGATTTCTGGATGGAGAAGGTCTCCTTCTGTATCTACGATTCAATTATTTAAATTCTTACTTATAAATTTCGTCTCTCTTTGGCAACATATCTTGAAGAGATGATTCGTATTTGCATTGATTGATTCTTATTTAACTCTTATTTTGCTTAGCCAAACCCAATTCAGCACTCGTAGCCTATTAAGGAATCATTCACTCTTATTACATTTTTATTGATACGGCTTCGTTCAGCTGGTTTGATGTATAATTAGCATTAATTAAGTTTAAATTAGGCGGAAGCTTAAGAAAAATGACCTTAAGGGAAGTGCTTTTTGGATAATATGTTTTTCATCTCAACGAACTTTTTATTATTATTTTTGCTTATATAATAAGTGATTTGTTCATATGAATTAATTGACAATTATTATATTTTATTTGATGTTACCTAGGATATCTTAGAGCCAACAACTTCATTCACTTCATTATTCTGAAGAAGTAACATTAAACGAAGTGAAAAGGAGGAAAAAAGAGTTGGAATTGTAGGCTTAAAGTGTGGAGAATCGAATAAGGTAACTTCGAAATGAAGAAGGCAAATTAATTAAAAGAATTAAATAAACAGAATAATTGACATCTGAAGTTTATCAATAAAAAGTAGCAGCACATTTGAAAGTAATAAAATAGGCTATATTCGTTTTAGAAGTAATAAAAATTACAATAAAATGCACTTTATTATAGAAATTCATAGAATGATTCCAAAGATTTAATAGATTAATCCATTCGAAATGATCGATACAAAGAACTGTACATAAAAACAACCATTGAAAGAAATTAACTGAAAAAAGTCAAATAAGAATTTAGATAATATAAGCATGATGAAGCCTAAAATTATAGGAAGTTGTTATAATATGAACAGTTTAAATTTATTGAGGAACAAAGAAAGTGGCAAGAAAATTAGAAATTAAAAGCAGCTCTAAGGAAGCAAGAGTAAAACTTATCAGAAATTCTAATACGAGAAAAATTAAATGAAAAAAAAATAAAAATAAAATAGGAACAGGATTAATTAAAAGTCAAAACAATTCAAGAAAATGAGGAAAAAGAAAAACACATCAAATAATTAGAAATATAGGAATTGTAAATCGTGCAAAAGCTATAGGCAACGTAATAAAGGGAGAAGGATGTAAAAGGAAAATTGATTGCTGCCACTAGATTATAGCCAGATTAATTTGCTAAAACGTTTCACTCTGTAAACAACACATCTTTAATTGCAGAACAATCTAACATATAAAATAATAATGTATAGATTTAATTAATATAAGAAATAAGAAGATTATTAATAAGAAAATTAATAAACTCAAAGTAACAATGAACAAAAAGAAGAATAACATAACGAAGGCCAGTAAGGTACATAAACTGAAGGGTGATACATCAATTTTATATTATATATAAATTAAAGATTAATTTAACATTTCATTAATATATATTATAATTGAGTAAATCAATATTAATCAAGCTTAATTAATATGTTTAAGAAAAACTAATTTTTTTTCCAACTCTTTGTTCAACTATTAGACTTTGAAAACAAGGCTTACAAACTCCCAGAACCTCTAGTAAATATTCTATTGTTGTAACACTCACTAATTAATATCTCCTATCTCTATCAAAGGAATGTGAAATCGTGGATCTACATATTGGTACTAATTGCAAGGCCTTAATTAATAATAAATATCGACTATTTGGACTTCTTAATGCTAACTTATAGTATATTATGGATTGTCTTTTTATTCAATCAAAATTTCTATGGGGCTTCTATCATTAGTTTATTTAATTCATTATTGAAAACAGCAGTTTTAAATTTTTTACTTGAAGAAATGAAGGATAAACTAGAAATTTCAATTGGTTTATTTATTGTAATATAATAATTTTTGGATGTTACACTTATATAAGGGACACTCACTGTAAACACCATTAATTTTTAAGTCTCTTATTTAAATTACTTAAATATCATAGATTTTATATTAAATATTCTGCTCATTTACTTTTAGTTGTTTAGATTAAATTAATTTCTAATATAAATATTAGCTCTAATTAAATCATGCTTTTAGTTGACATTAATTATTTCATATAACAACTATAGAAACAGTTTAATTAGGAAAGTGGTGGCATTTATTCATTTGGCAACACTTGTGTTTGGAATAATTGAATTTATTAATTATTAACATTCATATACATTAGCGATGCTGCCGTTATTGTTAAAAATTATAATGTAATAATAATTCTCAAATCATAATACTGACGATCCAATTTTAAAGGCTTCTTTATTGCTAGAAGAAGGGAAGGGTTTTGAATGTTTTGTAATTTTAAACAATTTAAAGGATTTAGGGGTTATGAGATAGGCCAAATGCGATTAATTAATGAAATAATGTGTTGATTTAATAATTGTTAAAATATCAAAGCCTAATCAGACTTTAAAGGGAGTGTGTTAACAACTTATGAAAAATGATGAATAAAACACAATACTATCAAATTAATTGAACGGTTTAATTGAAAATAAATTGTTTTTGCTTCAAAACTTTAAAGATATTAATTTCAAATAGCTACTGAATTACACTGATAAAGTTAATATGATAAGTCGGCACTTGGAATAATTACATAGTGAATAAAATAGTATGATGATCTAATCCTTGAAGGTCTTTTTTTATTCTGAGATATTAAATGATTTGCTTAGAGCTCAATAAATTTAAAGTAGTTTTTCAACATCTTAAGAAACATAAATTAAATTTAATGATTCAATGTTGTCTAAATTAATCTATTTAGTTGCCAATTACTAAAACAATAAACTCATCGTTAAATCTATCTCAAGTAACGCACCAAAGACCTTTTGCAATAAACCCTTGATGATCTTATTCCATTGGGTGTTAGAGAATGGCATTCGTTACTAGTAGATAAGTTTGTTACGGATGGTGAATCGAAGTATGTTAGAAATCTATATAACAATTACATCGCAAATGAGAATTTCATTGAAAATGTTTAATTTGCTATTGACATTTTCTATACTGATGAAGTCGATTTTGTTTGTTTATTCTAGCCCACACTTTTGTAAACAAAAACAGTAATAATAGATCAAAACTATTAAATTACTTCCATTAGTTAAAACTTTAGTGAATTTGTCAATTTAAGTAAATATTTTCAATTAGGCAAACAGATTGATAACTTTATACCTTCAGTCACTCAAATAACTGAGAGTTGTTACTTAGAAAACATGATGGTGATGCAGTCTGATCAAATTTTGAGTTCCAAAAATTTTAGTGATAAAAGAGGTGAAATGAATTATTATTGCGATGTTAATATCACAGTTAGAATGAATAACTAGGTTATGTTGTATATGATAATACAATTTGAGAATTTTAAGAAATAGTTAAGTAAAAAAAACGAAGGTCAGCATACAGAATAATAAATTGTATATCAAAACACATTTGAGAAGATTCCTTACGAACTAGAAAACAACATTATTGAGGATCCTTATGAGTTTTCAGTTGATTAGGATAATAGGAACTACAAGCAGAACTATTTAAACATAGATGAAGGATCGATGGCATAATAACAAATCATTACTCCTCGAGATGAGGAAGTATCACTTGTTCTATTTAAAAGAATTGCAAAAAGATTTAAATCCCAATTTAAGAAATCCTAATTTTAAGAAGAACAACATGCTTAATTTTATGATGCTCAATCTTAGGTTTCATCAATGAAATTATTAAGAAATTCTAAATTTTATCGAAAATATGAGCTTTATAGTAAATTTTTACAATACATTCCTTATTACAGAATGCATAAGATGATTATTGCAATAATGTTTCTGTTATGTTTATGTCAGATTATATTCATGATTATTGTATTAATACATTATATATTTAGTAAGTATCAAATATGAGCCTAGTAACATTAGTTGAGGATATCAATTTATTAGAAATTAAGAGTTTAATATTTTAACCCATAGAGTTATTTCTTGTAACTAGATGGACATTATTTAATTATAGAAATCAATTGAATGAAAAATTAATTACACAAGATGAGTATACTAATAGAACAGCCTTTGCCTTATCTAACTTAGATTTAGGGTATGATTAATTGAATTCAAATATATAATCAGTATTATTCAAAAAAGAATTGCAGACATTATTATAAGGTAAATATTTTTATGCTTATCAATACTTGGATTCATACGAAAATGAATAATATAACATGTCTTTGAGAACGGCAATTTAAGTTCTATTGAATTTTTAGTATACACTTAAAATGGGTTATAAAATTGAAAAAACTGTTGTATTAGATTCTCCATAGGCTTTTTATAGCTATAAGAACTATAAGGTATTAAATGATATCGCTTAATCACTTAATCTAGATGTAATATCATAAACGCTTACTCGAGCAAATTTGATTTAAAGAGACATTAAAACAATTTTAGCTATTGATTAATCTTTGCTTATATTCTTTTTACTTGTAATTTTGGTTTTGTAACTAATAATTGATAAAAGATTAAAATAGTGTATCAATCTCAAGTAATATATTGATGAGAGGGAGTTAGAACTTGAAATCAAAAAATATTAATAATGCTTAAGTAAAATTAAGATAGACAATTCTTTTAAATTTTAATATCGACTACACATGGATCTTAAGGAATAATCATTTCAATAAATTTAAAATTCGGACATTTAAGCTAAAATTAAATTTTAAAAGATCTCTAACAATTCTGTAATTAAGTACAGTATAATTATATCTGTAATATACATTCTTTTTTCTCTCAATCAGTTTGTGATGTATTTTTTATAAAATAGCTTCCTATAAAAATATCCTGACACTACTTATTACTTGGAAGGAATTATTAATTTAGGTGTCGATTTTCCATGTATGTTTGCATAACGTGAAATATTGTATGAAAGAAATAGGATAATTTATTTAACTAAAGAAGATTTTGATAATATTTACGAAAGAGTTATATTAGCTTTGAACAATACTGCAAAATTTGATTCATATCAACGAGATTTTTCCAAGTACTTTTTATGTCTAAATTAGAATTTTGATTACACAAAAGTATAAGGATTATTACGAACAATTATAAGTATCAAATCTGTGTGATTATATTCCAATTGACTTAAAGGAAAAAAGTGAATTTATATGTCCTTAAATCTTTAATTAGAATATGTTACTCGGTTTAAAGGCAGTGTTAATTTACAGTTATAATTTAATTGCAAAAGAAATAGAAATTAACAAATTTACTCAAAGATCATCGATCGTATAAAACGAATTAGATGGAGTTTATATTTTATCTGAAATCATTAAGGATGTAAATACATAATTCATTGAAGATTTAAAAGATATGACCAACTAATTAGTTTAAATTTTGTATGTAAAAATATTTTATTATGTACTAGATAATAAACATTTGTTATATAGTGTCTATTTCAACAATAATTTTGATATGGACACCGAAATTGATTATAAGATTCATTAATAGTTCAAAATAAGTTATATAATTTGTTTAGATTTTACCAAGTTATTCTCTCTTTACAAATGATTAGTTTGAAAGAATTTTGAGGACCTTTTTAAATTAGAAATGATATTATTAGTAATTGCATTATTTTATTCTTAGAAATTAAATACATTCTCCATTTTTTAATATAGGATTTTTTGAGCAAATAATTAAAAAACTTATTTGATTAATGTGTGTATTTTTTTAAATAATTTTTATAAAATTTGATATAGAGTATTTTATGAGTATAATTTGACTGCTAATCTAAATCACTTTATTCATATTAATTAAATAATTAAATGATCCTAATCAAAGCACTCATAACAAAACTACTGACAAAATACTTAGAGTATGATGATAAAGCTTATAAATTGCCAGAGAAGTTTACAAATATTCTTTTAATGGTTTCCTCTCTATTGAATATCTCGTACATATATTATGAGAATCATTCTTCTTGGTTGTACATTTTAGCATTAATTGCAAGACCATCTATTATAATTTAAATACCATATTTTTATGTTGTTGGGATTTTGTTCGTGCTTTTGCATGTTTTGTATATATTTAAATCAAACCTAATTGGAAGTTGTATAATGAGTTTAATAAATTCTTTGATGAAAGTGGGATTGATGAATTTTGTGATTGAATAATTTAATGATATTTAAGGGTAAATCATTGGAGGATTCATATTGTTTTTTTACATATTTGAAATTTTATTCGTTTAAGGAACACTCAATATAGAAACTAAAAACTTTTAAAGAACAGAAATAACATTATTTTATGTTCTCTCGTCCATTTTAAACATTCTACTGATGATTTCATATAAATTATAATATCATCTTAGAATTATTCAAATTATAGCAATTATCAATTCAGCCATTTCAGGGATGGATTTAATATTGCTTAAAAATTAGAGGAACTCCTCACTTAGATTGTTAATGATTTCAATTTAATTGATAACTCTATATGTTGGGATAATTTAATTTATTCATTATGAGAATTCCATATCAATAATTATCATCCCCTTTTTGTTGAGAATAATGACATCATTCAAGTTATCTGACTACATTTTCTGTGATGATCAGATTATTAATGCATCAATATTATTATAATAAAAGAAGTTTTATGAATGTTTTTTAATACTAAATAAGGTTAAGGATGACTAATTTGTAAGGTAATTGAAACGAAATTTACTATTAAAGAAATGTGTAAATTAAATGAATTCTTACTATCAATTAACTTAGTAAACTCAACCATTATTTGGACTGGCGTAAAAGGTTATTTAAAATGATATAAAAAATATAATTATACTTAATGACATTAAGAAACTATTATTACAAAAAATAAAATTATTGTAAAATTGGAAAAACAATGAGTTTTAGTAAGTTTATGCATATATTAAATCATTGCTTAAACTAAAGCATATAATAGACAATTCTTATTTAAAAGAACCAAATGATATGCTTTAGGCATTAATTTGTTTCTTTTATGCAGAAATATTAAATGATTTACTAGAAGCAAATGATATGATAATCCATTCTAAGAAAAATAATGAATTAAGTTAAACTGATTATGTTATGAATAAGAATATGTTTTACATTGTGACCAAGTATGAAAACCAACAATTATAAATGAGTAAAGTTTCTAGTAATGCACCATCTTACGTTTGTAATCGATAATTGGCAGACTTAATTCCTAATGGTATAAAAGAATGGCATGATAGAATAGTTAACGAATTTATAAGAATTGGGAAATCTAAATATATTAGATAATAAAATGAAAACTACATCAATCATGGTTAATTTATTGATTCTGTTAACTTTGCAATCGACATCACGTATTTAGATGAATTAAATTTTATATCTCTTATAACTCAGATTCCTCAAGAGCATTTAACTATAATAGTAAATGATAAATACCTAATTACAAACATAACAAATAAAGTGAGTTAAACTAGTAAATATTAAGACCTTTTTCAAATAGGAATATAAATTACTTCAATAATCCCTGATTTACAAGACGTTAAAAATAGTTGTTATATAGAAAATGTCTAAATAAATCAATCTAAATTATAATCATCATTATTTTTACAAGAGGATGTTTCTTACTATTGTAGTTTAAATGTAAATTTAAGAATGCTTGAAAATAAAATGATATATATGATAATTGAGTTGGTAAATTTATCTATAACATAATAAAATACTATGGGTTCTACTAAGAAAGAAACAAAGACACATGAATCAAAATCTAGTTAATGTCTTAGCATAGCCGATGAAGGGGATCCTATACTTCTAGCTAATATTCTGAATGATGAACGAGCGGGCAGAACTTAGCTTACTAAAAGTAAGTTATTCAATCAAGAGAGTATCTAAAATGAAATTTAATGCGATACTTTTCAATAATAACTTGTCTCTCCGAGAACTGAGCCGGATCAAAACCCATTAATTATTTAAGATACAAAGAATAGTAAGAAGCAATCCTTCAAATCCATACCAATAATAGAGGATGATTAAATAGATAAAAAGGCTATTGATTTAAAAAAGGATGAGTTATTCGATAGAGAAGATTAATCTTAAGTATCTTCTATTAAAAGGTTGAGAAATTCTAAATTTTATCGAAAATATGACCTCTACAACAAATTTAATTAGCATACTCCAATGAAAAGATATCATCAATTAGTAATATTTCTTTTTCTTTTAAACTTGATTTTACAAGGATCTTTTATAATTATTGTAATATATAAATATATCTTAGCATTTGACGAGTCTGAATTTGGTTGAATTCGCTGATGATATTAATTTGTTGGAAATCAAGAATCTATTTTTTCAACCACTTGATATGTTTGTAGTGACTAGATGGAATTTATGGACTTATAATGTTCAAAAGACAAAGGGGATTATAACTGCAGAAGAATACAACACAGTATCAAAATTTGCTACTTCCAATTTAGGTTTGGGGTTTGATTCTTTGAATGAAAATTTAAAATCTGTCCTCAATCGAGAAGAATTGTAAAACTTACTCTAAAGTAAATATATAGAATCATATGCTTATTTGGATTCCTATAAATCTGAAAAGTACAATATGACTCTGAGAACCGCTATTTCAGTTTTATTAAGCTTTTAATATATCTTAAAGATGAATTATGTATTTGAAAAATAAGCCTTACCAGATAGTCCTTAAGTGTTTTATAGTTTTAAGAATTATCCGACATTGAGAGATATTATGACTCAATTAAATGAGGATATAATGACAGAAACCTTAAATCGTGGGGAGAACTTTTAAGACAAACTTAAAACTCTTTTTATATTGGAGTAGATATTTCTAATTTTGATCATGTTAATGAACTGTTATGTCAAATCTTTTATAAATAAAAAGCTGATGCTATTTGTTTAGCTGAGTCAATATTATGATGAAGATGCAATTTAAAAGGAGATCCAAAAGAACAAATTGTTATTGGATTAATTATTGGCTGATAATTCCTATGTTTTTTATTACAATCTGTAATTGGATTAAAAGGAAGAGAATTTTACGAACAATAAAGTAGATTAAGGAAAAAGAATGTGTAAGTATTAGAGAAAGAAAAAAATACCAATATGTAGATTCTTGCTTACATCAGTATTGTTATATTTCTTGGTTACTCTCAATAGTATAATTAATTTCATTGAGTTCTAGGAATACCTGGATAAATACCCTTAGACATCTTACTTTAAAAAATAGATTGGTGATTTGGGTGGGGATATACCTTTAATGTTTGCACAAAGAGAAGTGCTCTATGGCAGAAAAAATTACATATATTTAGATGAAGCATACTTTGATAAAATGTGGTTTTACATAAAGGAATCTTTGGCTAACACACAGAAATATACCTCTTAGGATTTTGATTTCTCTAAGTAACTATATATTTTCTATAGAAGGATGCTTGTAACTGATTCATTTATAGAGTTCTATGACAGTGTTTAGATTGGCGATCTGTGCACATTTTTGCCAGATTATCTAAAAGAAAAGTCTAAGGATTTATGTCCAACTATTATGAATTAGAATATGAAAAATGGATTGAAAGCTATATTAGTTTATATTGAGAACTTGATTTAAGTCGATATGGCTATAAACAATTTTACTTACAGGGCAGTTCCAACATAGAATGAATTAGAAGGAGCATTTATGATTTCAGATATAATTAATGTAATAAATTCCTATTTCTATAATGACCTAATTTAGTTAACCACTGACTTAGTTAATTAACAAAAAGTAATAAACTCACTATAATATATTAATAGATTTTTAACATTTTGTATATACTACTTCTCGCCTTCATTATGATAATTATAATTACGTTCTTTAAGGAAAAAATATTTGAGAACAGTCGAATTATTATTCATTTTGTTTACTTAGTTCCTTCTTAAACTTTATTCGCAGATGATACATTTGAAAGAATGATGAGAACTCTCATAAATTTTTGAATATATTTTTCATTGAAAGTTTTATACAATATTATCTCTGATAATCTTTTGATACAACTATTTATTTAAAAATGAAGTTTATGTAAATCTCATCTAATTATATTGATTATCTTCATTCAACATCTTAAAGAAATTCACAAATAATTAAATTATTTATTAATTTAGATGGAAAAATTGAAACTCTTGATTATATCATTAGCTTAATTCTAAAGCCATTAATTAAATTTATGCAGTTGCTTAATTTTTAGACTCTCTCTTAATAGAATCTTGACATATTTATAATTAATAATTTAATCTCATTCAAAAAAAGAGATGATTAATGGTTTTTCCAATATCAATTTAAGAATTTTATGATATTCCTATTATATCTTTATTATCAAATATGGCTTCCATTTTTGTCCAATTTTGTCAAAATACATAGTTTGACTAATTATTTCAGTAAATGCCAGATTTTGTTAAAAGAACTAAAATGTTAATTCGAGAATTATGTCAAAATTATAATAATAAATAATCTTTAATATTACAATTAAATTGCATAACACAAACTACCATAACTTTGAAAATACTAATATTATCATTGATTTGTCATCCTGAAAAATAGATATTGTTTTCATTTTTATGATAAGAAATATAATAAATTAGACTATTAAATTGAATTACTATATTCCTATAATACAATAAACATTATCTAATATCTTAATATCAATCTATCCAATCTACCTATTTGTTTTCTTTTATTTTATTTTGCTCACATAATTCTTCAAGTTATTTGATTATCTAATCTATCATTGGTCGCACACTTTGAGATGGATGAATCATTTATTTCATTAAAGATAGAACAGATTTATCTATTGCAATCTTTTCGATTTTGTTTAATATCTCTGTTTGATCAACTCCGTAATTCATAATTTGATCTTTTATTTTCTCTCCTTCAAACTTAATTAGATGTAAGTACCTTCAAATAATTACTCCTTTGTGAAGATTTCATAAAATACGCATCCCAAAGACCATATATCCACTTTATTGTTTATGATCACTTTATCTTAAATCATTTCTATAGCTTAAAAAGCAGGAGTTCCAATATTCTAAATTATTTCTTAATTTTAGGTTCTCACAAATCCCATATCGCATAACTTGAAAGAGTTATCAATTAATAAAAAGTTTTCAGGTTTGATGTCACAATGAATCAACCCAAGAGAATGAAATTCTTGAACACAGTAACTAATCTTTAGATTGCAAACAGAATTACCTTTTTACAAAGGTTTATTTTTTCTGAATCCAAAAAGTTTTATTATTATTGAATGTATCTATTAAGATCTAAAGTACCTAATTCCATTACAATTATGTAATATTTTTCATATTCGAAATGATCAAAAAACCTTATAATGTGTTTATGAGTTAATTTCTCTATTAGTTTATTGATTATATCTATCTCATTCTAACTTCTTCTAAATAGCAATTTGAGAGCGACTAATTTCTCAATTTTCATTTAATAAATCTGGACCGCTTCAAATACATATCCTTCATAACCCTCTCCAATTATCTTTCTGAATTAATATTACTTATCAGGTTTATTAATATTCGATATAGTTTTATTGATGAAATATCGTGGAGTAATTCTTTGCTGCATATATTTTAAAAATAATTCTAAAAATATGATTATTAAATTAGTTTAATTATTATAAATAAAATATTGAATTCTTTAACAAATACAATCATATTATTCCTCTATTTATTTATGGATAAATGTTATAAATCACTTTCTTTTTGAATAGAATTTGAATTGAAAGAGCTGATGAATTTGAGTGCAGATATCGTGATAGAAATATACTAATGTGAATGGAAATTACATAAAAAGTTATTAGTAATTAAGATGTTTGGGATTCAATTTTATACTAAATATATATATAAATAACAATTGACATATCAATATTATATATATAATCTATTTCACAAATCATCATGATGAGCTCCTTTACGATCATCATGGAATTCATAGTTTGAATGTTCCTTGATAAAGGTGATCAATCTATCCCTTTGTATTTTATTGACCTTTTGGATGAACTTGGCGTAGTTTTTGTTTCCTTTATATAATCTGATCTTATAGATATCGGTTGGGTCTGAGAAATCGCTGAATTCATTTTGAGTTACATCTGCAATAGCAAATTTGACTTTGCTTATTTGAGTGATCAACTTGGCTATTTCAGCGAATTCAGGTAAGAGGGATAGACTAGTATAAATAGATTGATTACTGTTCGGAGTCGTACGAGTTGTAATAGAAAATGACCCAATCTTCGGATGAGTTGATAACTTTTTAATAAGAATTGCCTGTGAGTATTTCAACATGTTGTGAATAATTGGTATTGTCCAATTTTTAAGATTTATAATGTTTTTGGGCTTTTCCATTTTTGAAATCAAGAATAAATTAATCTATATTCTGTTTAGTAAATGCTGAATTGAATTTGTATTTATAGACTCCGTATTTTTGTAGACCAAATAGGGCTGGTGTTCCAGTGAAGTCACCAATTTATTTTTGGAGTTCAGGGAACAATTGATTAGTGACACTGCATTTAATAAACAAGAGGTGATCTTCATGAGGATGATCAAGACTAATGGATTTGAGTGCATCATGAGCATTTCTGTCTTTCATTTGTGTTTCATCAATCAATAATATGAGTGTGGATCTGTCTTGTTTGAAGATCTTCTTAGCAACATCTTCGTTATATTCTTAGAGTCTCTGGAACCAGTTGGTTTCAATGAAGGCCTTCAAATCAGAAACCTTGATTTGTTTTGGCTGATAAACGACTGGAGATTTGTCGTATTTCTTGTAGGCCACCAAGGAATCGGTAGGACCAAACCCTAATTCCTATTACACGTTTTCGATGAAGGTGTGATAGAATTCCAAATTTCCATAGGCATGACTATAATCTTTGTATCTTTTGTAGCCTCTGTCCTCTTCGTTTTCAGCCATGTAGAGAAACATCAATTGACTTGATGATATCTGGTCTCTGATTTATTGGATGGTTTTCAATTCCTTGGTACCCTGATTGAGTTGTTCATACATCCACATGATAACACTGTCACTGGTTCTGGGTCCTTCGAATTTCTTGTATTTTTTGCCATGCTCCTGGGACAAGATCACAGAAGGGAATCCATTGACTTCGAATTGTTTGGCTATGTCTTTGTGGTTGTGGCCATCAACTTTGGCAAAGACAAAGCCTTCTTCTTTCAATTGCTTAGCAGCCTTTTCGACTTCAGGTTGGAATCTTTCGCAATGGCCACATTGGGGAGTGTAGAAGAAGATCATGGAGATTTCATTTTTTTCGAAGAATTATTTGGAATTCTTGTCAAAGACTACGTGTAAATCATTTTCCTCTTTTGCTTGAGCATAGAGAATCAAAATAGATAACACAATTTGGAAATACATAAATTAAAAATGTATACGTATGTTTCTAGAATATTTTAATAATTATGTTACTCTAAATCTGTGTTCTGGCAATCGCTCTTTCATTATCCTTGGCCTAAGAAGATTCAGAATATGAACTAAAGACTAAGTCAAAACGTTAAACATATGATGACCCAGTATTATCTCTATTTTGATTAGTCAGGATCCCTATAAAAATCTTATTTAGTGGTTGAAGGATGGCAAAGCAGAGGTCTCAAAAGTGCAAATCGAAGTCAAGAGCGAAGGTTATAGGACACTCAGAGCATCTCAATTTATTCGTCAAGGAGAGTGGGTGCTCTTCATTCCTCGCACTCACTATCTTTCATTGGAAGAAGTCAAGAAGAGTTGTCTCATCAACAGAAAGATGATTCAACTCAACTACATCCCCAACAACATCCAGACCTACTTTGTTAATCACTTACTTTAAGAGAATAGGAGGTAAATGGACTATTTCATTCAAATAGACAAAATTCCTTTTGGAAACCCTACATCGACGTGTTGCCAAAAGACGTGAGTGGATTTCCAACCTACTTTGATGCTGAACAAGATGCACTACTGAAGGGATCCCCAACTCTATACACAGTCATGAATCAAAGAAGAATCTTCAGAGAGGAATACGATAATTTAAAGGAGGCAGTGAAGGAGTTTTAAAGATACGGATATACCTACAATGATTTTATTAAATTCAGAATTCTCACCATATCTCGTAGTTTCCCTGTCTATATAGGCGAGAATGAATAACAATAATTATTGGTTCCTTTGGCTGGTATACAATACCATTTATATTAGACTTCGTCAATCATGACAATAATGGATTTCTGTAGTATGGTTATTCTCCAGATGCAGATGGATTCTTTATGTAGGCAGTCAGAAATATTTAAAAAGGAGAAGAACTATTTTATAATTACGGTCAATGGTCAAACAAATACTTTTTTATGAATTACGGTTTTGCCAGTCTAACAAATCCAATGAATCAATTTGATTTTGATGTTTGTTTGGATAGAAATGATAGGTTGTTCAATTTGAAAGTCGATTTGACTGGAGGAAACATCTGTTGGGGAAATAGACTAGTCAATGAAACTGATCACGACACCTTCAGACAATCACTGGCTACTGTCAGATTTGCTTAAATTAGTAAATTGGATGATTTCTTAAAATTGGAGGAAGATGTCGAAAATTATAACTAATTTTGGCCAGGATGGCATACCACACCAAAAACTATTGCTTTGGAGAAGGCTACATTCAAAGCCTTTAAAGAATTACTAGTTTCTGAAATGGCTAATTTTGCTAGTACAATTGAAGATGATCAAAGAAGATTGAATGATCCATCCACTCCTGAGTTTAGAAGACATATCATTATGTTGACAATGAGAGAAAAGTAAATCATTAAGAAGAACATTGAAGTTTGTGATATGATGTTGTCTGTTATAGATAAGACTTCAGAAGTATTTATTTATTATTATAAATTTAGTAATTAAAAGATTTAATGAGATATTACAATTACAGAGAAATAGCACGATTTGTAAATAGTGAAATCATTCCAATGAAATTAGAAGAAGAAGGACTTGCATGATTAATATAATGTTTAATAAATATATATATATTACCATTAAAATAGTCTATTTTTATATTTAATGATTTTCATATAGATATAATTTGTAAGTTTTGATGTTGAATGATTGAAAAAAAGTAAGATGATATTAAAAATAAAGAAATACATGGAATTCAAAATGAAAATGAAGCTCCTCAAAAGAGTATAGAATTAAAAATATTATGGATATATTAAATAGAGAAATAAAATTGTGAAAAGTATACTCCTATCAAGCAAACATCTTTGATAATGTGACTGAACAATAAAGATATAGAAAGAAGGAAAAAATAGATAACTAAAAGATAGCAAAATATTTGAATTTTATAAAGGATGAATTATAAAGTTTATAATAATTTAGATAGGAATTTGATAATTTTTAGGGAAGGAAAAAGAAAGTGATTGATTTATAATCTAGTATAAACTTTAAAGATATTTATATCATTCTTAAGTATAATACAAATTATTCAATCATCTTCATCGTTGCTATATTGTTGTCTATTGCATTATTCCTTTTGAGATAAAATTTATTTTCTAGGAGAGATAAAAGATAGGAATGCATAAGCAAGCATCATCAACAGCAAAATTGATGCCAATCCCTGAATTGATGGCCCTGTGGATGTCATTGATGGATTAGCTAAAATGATAATATGATAAGAATTACTTATGTCACCATTTTCATTCTAATGTGAATTGAGATTGGCAAGTGATTAATAGATGCGGTTGGCATGATTGACTATGGTTTCACATAAATCATTGTTGCTCATTTTCAAAAAATAAATTATTAAATTTTCCAGAAAATAGAAATTGCTTTATATTCTACAAAGATGTACACATCATATATTTAATTAAAATTCTGATTATCATTTAAAAGAACGATTAAATTATTATTTTCTATGAAATTAACATAATGATGTCATTTAATTATGGATACGTAATAAGTGGTGCCTAATAAAATCTTAATGCAATTCGATTAATTTGATATAAACTTTATTAAAGTAATACATTGTAATATTAATTGCAAAATAGTATGTAAATTGAAAATCATTAAATAATAAATCTTTATGGAAGAGTAAGTGTACATATCTGAGTTTAAAACATTTTCTTAAAAACATTCGACCAAAAGGATTATTTTATGGGAATTTAGAGACAACCTATGAGTTGACTTCGAGAGTGAGAAATTCTAGAAAGGGAAGTGAAATATGATTAAAATTGAATTACTTTTCCAGTATTATTAAAGCATATTGTTCGTAATTAGCAAGATAACTTATTTTAAGTTAAAGAGGAATAATAAATGGTATCTATATTTATTCTACTGATGATCAAAATATAAAAGAACATACAATCAAGATTGTAATTAAAAACAAATTATTAGCCCATGAAATAGCGAATTAAAGGTAATTGGGTTCAATACTTATCAGTAATTCATTTCTTTTAGGTAGTACACATTCACATAAATAGCAAGTTGTTATTATACAAATAATATGAATCAATAAAAATAAAAAATATAAATTATTTGGATGTTACGATAAAATGAAATCGATTACTAAAGGGAAAAATATATTGGAAACGAGGGAACTTTCTTAGACTCTGGATTGAAGTTGAATATGCTGGATATACTACATTTGCAGAACCTTAGAAATTGATAAATTTGAGAATTTCTTTATAATAAGCTCTCATTGAATTATGGAAGGAATGAGAAGAAGAACATATTAATCAAACAAACATATGAAGAAAGATCATTTTCTTATGGGGTATATTAAGATGAAGAATCCGATCAAAATACAATTGATAAGGACATATGGTTACATATTAGCAATATGGATAAATTGGACAAAAAAGAAAATTTCACTATCACTGAAAAGATTAAAGAATTAATTATAACTGTAAAGAGTGCAAATATGAGACTAATTTTTATTGAAAATGAAGTATAAAAAAGACGATTACAATAACTTGTATCTTATTGTATGACTATTGGTGATAAAACAAAGTATTTTACTATATTATTAACATTAAAACATCATATCAAACTTAACGGAACATTATTATTTAATGGTTATCAAAATTTGCTAAATATGGATGTTATTTAAGTCCTAAAGTAATTAGATTCAAAGGCAACAAAGATTCCACCCATTCCAATTACTAATAAAATTAATAGATAATGCAAATATTAGAATTGATTATATTATAAAGTCATTTTAAAGTATAATACATTATTAATGATCTCTTTTTCTTCTGGATTTCATTAGAGATGGAGGAGAATTGACTCAAATTAAAAAGTAGGGTGGTTGTAGATAGATGGATCAATGAAATTGAGAAAATGTAGTAAGATGACAAATTGTGAAATTATTAATAAAATATCATTATTTCTATGGAAGCTCCTAAAATTATAGTGGCTGTTAGAAAAAGACCATTATCGAAAAAAGAGATGAAGGAAGGTCAAAAAGATATTGTAGAAGTTTAGGGAAATACAGTAATCTTGCGTGAACCTAGGTATTCTTTCTTTTGTCTATAATTGTTGTTAGAGTCAAAGTGGATTTAACTAGGTTTATGGAAGAGTTCACTTTCAATTTTGATGCAGCTATTGATCAGTTTTGTAGTAATGAAGAACTTTATAAATCTCTTGTTTAGCCAATGGTACAAGCAGCGATAAATGGAACTAAGATCACATGTTTTGCTTATGGTTAAACAGGCTCAGGCAAAACTTACACAATGCTCGGAGATCAGAATGTTGTTGGGATATATACTTTAGCAGCTTTTGATCTATTTTAAATGGTTCCTAATGCCATTAGTATAAGTGTCTCTTTTTATGAAATATATTGCTCTAAGTTATTCGATCTTTTAAATGATCGTTAGCAATTAGTGGCAAGAGAAGATGCGAAAGGCTAAGTCAACATTGCAGGATTATCGGAATGCAAAGTCAATCATGTACAAGAATTCTTAAAGACTGTGGATATGGGAATCAAGAGTAGAGTTACAGCATAGAATAGTGTTAATCAGGACTCTTCAAGATCACACGCCATCTTGTAAATTAATCTGAGATAATCAAATAAGATGATTGGGAAGTTATCCTTCATCGATTTGGCAGGAAGTGAAAGAGGCGCAGATGTGGTAGAGTATCATAGACAAACCAGGATTGACGGAGCTGAGATCAATAAATCTCTATTGGCTCTGAAAGAGTGCATCCGAGCCTTGGATCTGAATAAAAATCACACTCCTTTTAGAGGCTCCAAATTAACTTAGGTTCTTAAGGACTCATTTACTGGGAATTGTAGAACTCTTATGATTGGAACGATATCTTCCTGTCATAAGGATGCAGAGCATAGTTTGAATACATTGAGATATGCAGATAGAGTATAATACATACATAAGTTTTCAAGGTTAAGGAACTACGAACACCACAATCTTCTAATGCTGCTGATTAATTGGCTAGAGAGTTGATGCTTCCAAGATAATACAATATGAATAATCAATTTTTTGATGGACATTCTGCTCCCAGATCTATTTCACCTCCTAAACTCTTTGAACTCGACGAAAAGGAAGAAGATGAAATCGTCTATCATGAGCCAAATAAAAACCTTAATCTTAAGGATAAACACGAAGAATTAATCTAGAAAATATTGAATGAAGAAAGAGCCTTAAAAACTGCTCATCGAGATCACATCGATGATTTGGTGGACCTGACAAAGGAGGACATGAAACTATTATAGATGTACAACCAACCTAATTCTATTGTAGAGGATTATGTTGATGAATTAGACAGAGTGCTCTCTCTCAAAATTGGCTTAATTAAAAAGTATTTCATTAATTTGTATCTCTTCTAGACTGAAATCAAGACTCCAGCAATTTAAATAACACTTAATGGACGAACAAGATTTGTCACTCTAATGCCAAACACATTTCTACTAGAAACAACACTAAAACTGATTATATACCAATTAATATCAATCAATTTATTATTCTATAATTTAAAAGTATGTCAAAATTAATCAGATTTTTGCTTCTTAAAACACACCATCCTTCCAAACACCAGTCTATAAAATACTTATGATGATTTCTTATTTACCTGCTCAACCTAATTATTCTTCACCAAAGTTCCTTCTCCATTCTAAACTCCACGCTTCCATTCCCCATCATAATAAGTATTTGAATCCCAGTAATATATCCCCTTCCCATGTTTATATCCCTAGTAATATTCTCCCACGTATTTCCTCCACTTCCAAAAAAAAGTACCTTGTCCATGCATTAGGTTCTCCTCCCATTACCCTTCGTATCTCTAAGATCTTACTAATACAATTACTTAATCATCTTCCCATACACAGAGACCAAATCCGCTCTAAATATCTTATTTCCATTCTCCGTCATACATGGTTCCATCTTTTCGTTTCAATATTCCCTTGCCTTATTTCATTCCTTTCTCAAATTGCCCAGAATATGAATTCCCATTAAACCTATCTCAATTTATTCCTTACCCCGTTAGTTAACCGTAACCATGGTACAGTCCATTCATGAATTCTCCAGTATATGAACTCCCATTAACCTAAAAATGACTCCCTTGACTTAGTTGCCCGTTAACAAACTGCCCTTCAAAAATATCGCCATTGGCCATCCAAAGTTTTCCCTTCCCATTAGGAGCCTTATCTTTCCACTGTCCTTCATATCTAGAACCATCCTCATCTAGAAATCATAATTTCTCATTACAAGTCCATTCCAGATATCCTTCCCCACTTGGTAATTTAATTTCGCTCTAAATGCAGCTATAATTTATGCATGAGGTTAGTTAAGAAATTATTTAAAAATTGGTCAATTAAGATATTCCAATTTCATTTTTGTTTAATACGTTTTCACCAAGCACACATAGATTTTCAGTAGCAACATTCTCTTTCGCAATAGTTTTTTCAACCTTATACACTTTCTTCCCTTAACATAAACCCATAAGTTGAAAACTTATAATTATTATAAAACTTAAAAAGCAACAAATTTATTTAGTATAGATATTCTATCTAATTAACTATGACATTATTTTCGGAGAAACGCTCAAGTTTAAATGAAACTCACAGATCTCTATGAAATTTTTCAATTCTTTAGTCATTAACACCACTAAAATCTGTGGATATATAGATTAGGGGAAATTACGCGATTTGGTTATAGGATAAGTGAAATAATCAAAGCAACTTAAAAATTAACCAAGACTTTTGTGCAATGAATTCAATTTTCTAACATTAATTGTTCTCTCTTTCTTAAAACATACCAGTTATCTTTACAGAAAATTTGTTATTAAGATAAACGAAGACCATGGAGATAGAAAAGAAAACAATAATTATTTATTTGAACATCCAAATAGTATCTATAACATTCATCATCGATTTGTTGAAGAATCATCTCTTTGTATATACGATGAAGTACTGTCCTTTGCTGAATCAGTATCATTTAGTAGAGAATCCTTTAGTATTTTAGATTCCTAAAATCATTTAAAATCAATTACTTTGATTTTCCCAAATATCAAATTATAGATGCTGATCTTTGCAAAGAACATATAAGTGCTTTTTAATGATCTTGGAAGGTTCGGCACTAATTATTGATGGAACGCATAAAAAAACAATGATGCATAATTAAATCCTTGTAGTGCTAGTAGCAGTTATGGAATGAACCACAAGATCTATAAGAAGAATCCACAATTCCTTATCCAGTCTGTTTAGTAATCTATAAGTTTCTCGACCATGTTAATTGTCCATAATATTATTAAAGTAATTGGTAAAATATAGAGATTTAATGAGGAGCATTAATCAAACTCATCAGTAAGATTAACTCTTATTTTTGATTTTAAACTTCTCACTGAAAAGTGAAACACCACACTAACAATAATCAGTATGGTTGTAATGAATGATTACAACCAAAACAAGCTTTTAGTAAATGTATCATCCGATCTAACTTCCAGATTACATATATAATAGATAAGTTGCTTTTTCCATGAAGTGCCATAATGCTGAAAGTTTGCCCCTATGAGCATAGGCAAGCAAATGGCAAATGTAATGATTCCAATTGCAAAATGTATCCAATAAATTTACTTTTTGTTTATTACAAACTTAAGATTTGGATTTAATGTTGATTTGATGATATAGCACGAATACAATGAAATCAAGGTTGACGCCAAAAAGGATGAATTAACCAAGTACCCTTATAATTCGCAATCTTGCATAATATATACTTAATTATACATGTTTCATTAATGCAACTTTAAGTGTTATTATCTTGATCAGTCTTGAGTTAGCAATCTAGGCGATCCGGTTTAGCTTATTCGTAAAAGATGAATGGTGTTAGTACTTGTGGTACATAGAAAAATAGCATACAAACAATTTAAGTAAAGAAGAGGCTAGTTATAATTTTCACATTTACTTGGCAATGAAGTATTTCCAGCCTTATCCTAATAAATATACGGTGATGACTCCAACAACTGACAATAAGCTTATGACTATGCAAGAAAACTGAGCAATCAAAATGGGGTTATCTTCATAGAAATACATTTAGGTTAATAATTTGTATAAATAAATAATATTATTTAAAAAGATATTAGCCTAATGCAATAAATCATTGATCGTATTTCATTTATTTAGTACAGTTTAGAATTTCATTAAGAGGCCAATTCATAAAGTATCTGAGGATAGATTCTAGAATTTTTATATCTGTTTGTCTAATAGCACTAGCAAATTGCGAAGCATAAATTGAATAGGTACAGAAAATCCACTATTAGATAGTCTATGTACGATTTGTTCACATAATACTCATATTCCTACTCAAAATATCTATAGCAAGCATCTTTTCTTATATTAAATATTAAAATACGGGATTCCATTGTTGATATTTGAAAATAAGTAAACGGGATGAGACTTGCACCATCCTGAGCAATGATATTTTTCTTCTAAAAATGCAATATAAGAAGAGGAGGCTCCTTCAATTTTAATCCATTTTTTGCATTTCTAATAAGATGTTATATCGCTCATTTATTTGTTTGTTGTGTAATGTATTCTATTGTTCTCCAAGTAGTCTGAATTCCAGTCTTGGATTCTCTCGATGTAACAAATGCAGTCATGTTTACAAAACTGAGTTTCTGCCCATAATATTTACTCTTTTGTTTTTTGAGCAGCTGGTAATTCTGAGGTCTTACAATCGAATTTATCACTAAACAATTAATCTTTTAAAATAGTTAATGAGATTGTTATATAGACTGTCAAAACTCCTATAAAAATGATGAAGCAAGAATAAATAAAAATGATACAGAAGTTTGGACAATACGAACTTAATAAGCCAGATGCTCCCACTATAATAACTGCAATGCCCACTGAAAATGTAAATACAATTCCCTAAGAATAATTCTTGATTGAATACGTTGCCGTCATTGCTCACATCATCACTCAATGTCACAAACACTTAAGAGATCAGCACAATCCCCAAGATAATAAAGCAAAAGCAGTTTATTCTGATAAACAATTGAATAAACTTTAGGGGCAAACACATAAACTAAAATTTATTATTATCTATGATTAGAAGAGAGTATTCATTATCAACATAATTCTAAAATATATTTTATTTTAAATCATCATTGGTGTTTCTTAGCATGATTCTCTACCAAGTCGTAAGCTTATTGAACTGTTTTGATTTCAGAGATTCTAGAAACATTAAATAATGTCCATACCTTTTTCCTTTCCTTACAGCATAAGCAGCATCATACTATTCTTTGTATTCCCTAGTCTAGATAAGTAATTATTCAGTCAAACTCAAATCCCTATTGATTATGGTCAATCTCTTCTCCAAAAGAACCTATTCACCATATAAACTCATTCTTACTTTATCATTGGTTCTCTTCTTGATCAATTGGGAAGTGACTTCGAAATCTTTAGAGAACTTCTCTCTCAATTCAGCAATCTCTTGAATTTATGTCTAGAAAGTGATCTTAAATTACTTTAATCAATATCATACTTGACTTTGAGTTTCTTGTTCGTCTTCCTATTGCATCAAGGCGATTACTGCATTTCTAATATGTTCCAACTTGTCAATGATTCTTTTGACTGTGGAAACATCGAATTTAGTTGTCAAAGCAACCATGATTGCAATTGGATGATTGTGTCCTAATTCTCTCTTGATTTTCTCAACGATTTCAAATTGTTCTGTCTACAATAAGGACTTTCCTTCTTAATCAAACACGGCAACTTATAACTTGGGAATTATCTCATTTAAGGCTGCTAACACTTTGCTATTGTTCTCTTATCTGGCTTAATAAGAGGCAGCTTCTTGGGCTCTGGTTTGTCTGAGTTGCTCTTCCTTTCCATTCAATATATTCAATTGTTCGGTGAGGGCATCCAATTACAATTACAAACCCACAAGAACTTGATTCACTTCACTCAATTAATTATTTTTATCTTGTCTCTCCTTAGTCAGATTTCTTAAAACTATAATAAGCCATTCAATGTCCAATCCGAGTGTTGTGGTTCTCTAATCAAATATACACTTTCATATACATGAGCATATTCAAGATCATCATTTAATTGATCTCTCTTCATCTATTCTAACAAATCACCAACCAAAGCAACTACTTCTGAGACCTTTCCTCCTTAACTGAGTTCCAAATCTAATAAAAAGGTGAAATCAGTATGATCAGTCTTGATTGCCTTGATCTCCTTTAGTAAAATTGGCACTCCCGCTTCTAATTCAACTGCAGAAATTCCAAAAACCAATAATCCTAATACGAGGATAGCTTTCATTATTTTATTAATATTAATAAAAACGGACTTTACTCAAATAATTAAAAAGAAAAATAATGTTATTAACAACTTCCCCTCCCTCCATTTGTATCACTTATTCACACTATCAAATCAAGAAGCTGCTAATTATATTGAAACCATCTAATTATTTAAGTAAATTGGAATTGTAATTGTAATTGCATAAACTCCTACTTACTTAATAAACTGATCACCAATCAAATATTTATATACACATATAAATAGATTCTTCTCAGACAATTCTGATTTAGTAGTGATTTTAATATCGCATTATAACCAAAGATTTCAGTTAGAGTTAATTAAATTTTAATATCTTTTATTTAATTAATAGACATTTTGGATAAGTAACGATAACATTTTATCCTACTCTCTGTAAATTCAAGCATTTTAGGAGATTTAACAATTCAAAAGGAGAGAGAGTATACATAATTTTTATGATAAAATATAATGTATCTTTTATACAATAGATGAAATCAAAAATGAAAGCGAACTTTCTTCTCCATCTTACAATCTACAATTTGATAAATGCTTAAAATATTATCAAACGATTAGAGTCATATTGATTAAAATAATTAATTTTTTGCCATTCTTGGAATAAATTACATCGATTTTAGATGCTTTTTCGAATTGTTTTAAATTTATTCATATGCTTATCAATATTGGAGTAAACATTAAACTATATTATGGTCTAAAGCTTGGGGGATAGATTTGTTTAAAATCGATCAACTTTAATTGAAGTATAATGAAAAATGATTTAAACAATTAAATTTTTAGAACCTTGTAATTTTTGTAAAATTTCATATTAAAAAGTACACAAAAATCAGGACTATAATTAAATTAAACTTTGTTTTTCAAATTGAATAGTGATACAGGGGTTAATTAGTTTTTGATATTAAAATATTTTATTAATCAATGATTGAAAATTAACAAGATGACCAAATTAGTCCAATAGATTATGGGAAGTATCATGCAGAGCCTAAGAAAGATCATCGAGAGTTGAAATACATGGCAACTAAAATTAGTGAACCGAGAGGGAGTATTCAGTATCCCTAACATGTGCAAGTGGCTATTGAGGATGATACGAATTCACAAACTGATTCTAGATGGTATGCAAAAAACGAAGCCTATAAATAATTAATTGGTAATGAGAGAACTGGGTTCATAAAAAAAGTATTATATTTTAAATAAGAAGGTCTATGCAATTATGATAATTCAATTGTTTATTACTATGATCATGTGTATAATCTCTTACTTGTCACTTGATTATAGGAGATTCCAATTGCAACATACTGGATTTGCCTATTTGGCTCTAGGAATATCAATATTTGTAGAATTGCTCCTCTTTTGCATTCCCAAATTTGCTTGGAGAGTGCCATACAACTACATTTTACTCTTTATATTTACTTTCTGTGAAGGTTATCTAATATCGAATTTATGCAGTTATGTATTTGATAGATATAGTGAAAACGGAGGTAATCTATGAGTGTCCCTATGTAGGATTCATTGTCTTAATGGCAGCCAGTCTATCATTGGCAGCTGTAATAGGATTAACCGTGTACGCTTGCAAAACTAAGTCAGATTTCACTACAAAAGGAGCTCTTTTGTTTATGTGTGTTACTTCGTTACTGCTATTTGGGATAATGGCTGGTGTTTACTATCAGAATGTGATTAATCTAGTTTATTCATTACTGTGTTGCCTTCTATTTGGTGCTTACTTAATATACGATACTTAATTAATATTGGGGGGAAGTGTAATATATTTATAAATTATATTAATTAGACCCATAAATTGTCCATTGACGATTACATCATTGGATCAATGATAATTTACATTGACATCGTGTACTTATTTGCACATATTTTAATGGTATTAATTGCATGTCTTAGATGAAGTATATTCGTTTTAATAATAATATAACATAAAGATATCATCTACTCATCTTCTATAGGGTGCCAAACTGCTCTTTCTAACTTCTTCCACCTCCTTCTCCTTCTCTTAAACTCTGGCTCTCAAACTCTCTATCTCAACTGATTGCATCTATATTAAGCAAGATTAGATACTACGAAATGGTAAAGCAAATCTTAAATTTTCCTGTTCTAAGCACCTCCATCAGCATATTGTAATCTCCATTGTCTTAACTCGGTTTCATTAGTATCAATAATTCCTTAAAGTCGATCGATCTCTTATGACAGCACTCGTATCTAATTTAAAATATATTTCAATTCTCTTACATTCTCTTCATATTATTTTAACTAAATGATTTATTATTCTAACTAAAAGCATTTCTTTTTTAACTAATCTATTTCGTCCTACTTATTAGTAATGACTTGATTCAATCGTTCAATTTCAGTTGTTAACATGGAGCATCTATTCTCAGATTCAGCATATTTAGTCTTATAAATTTCCAATTAATTCTATTTCTACTTCACTTCATCATATTATCTCTATAATAAATGATATTATGCTTCCCATCTTTCCTTCTCCTTTCTCATCTCATCCTACTCTGCAAATGTCCTCCTTAATTGCTAGTTTATTCTCTCTAACTCTTAACTATTTAATTGAATCTTGGTCTCATATCTTTAGATCTAAGTTCTATAATCTTCTACCTCTCCATTTCTGAATCTAAGTTATTCGTTCAATCTTAAATTCTCTGTATTCAAACTTGATATTTTCTATTCCAATATGACACAATTTTCTTAATACATCTTTAAACCAGCTAGTTGAGTTTCTAATCCTAATCTTCTGCTCTTCTCCTCATCTTAATACTTCTACAGTTAATTATATTTGTCCAATTATTTATATAATTGATCATCTTTTGATTTGATTTAATTGGAATAATGTGTGATTTATTTATTTAACTATTCATTTTCATCGCATAATTCAGATTAAATTTGAGTCAATCTGTCGATTTCTGAACAATGTAAAATAATTCTAACTAATGATTATTTCCATTTCTCTTCCATCTATTTATAAGATTAACTTAATTCAAAATAAGTCTAATCTAATTTTCTATGTTTACTTGACCATTCTTCTACTTCATTTGTCTTCAATGCCAAATTCTATTTCCCTTTTTAAATCTCTGCAAACATTTATTTCTTTTATTCCTCAAATTCCTAAACCTTACTTTATAACATCATCTTTTATCTCTCTATCTCTTAAGTCAACATTGCAATAGTATTTTCATATTCCACCAATTTTTTATTTTTTACTGTCGACTGTTGATATTCAGACTCTAAATCTTAATATCTTCGCTTCCACTCCTCAACCTAATTTTTGATTGTTTAATTAATTGAATCCGAATTAATTAAATCCTTCTATAATTAATTTCTGGTAATTTATATACTTTGTATTTCAATTTATTTCTGTTTAAGTTATTCTTGTATTCTGTCAATTTCCTAAGTCACACAACTTAATTTATTAAGACTATCATTGTATTGATTGTTTTTATTCTTAAATTCTTCTTCTAAATAAGTTCCTTTTTGCTTCTAATCATCTAATTCTTAGGTCTTCTACCTTAAAATGGAGTTTAACCTTTCGATTTCATTTGTTAATACTTGGATTTTATTTATTAAATCAGTATTAGTTTATTCCAAGTTGTACTTTTATTATTACAATTAGTTATTCTTAATTTTCGAGTCTTCCATGTTATTGGTCAACTATTAAAACATATCAAATTGATCTTTCAATTGCATTTATAATTGATCCATCTTACCCACCTTAAGTTTCAGTTCTTTGCATTGATTTTCAGAATCAAAATACTTTTATCTCCATTCCTCCCCTTATTTTATCTTTTCTCTCAAAACCTAATTAAGTCTATCAACTTCCCCTTAGAGTAGATTAATTTTATTTTGCAATTAATCTATGATCTAATCTTAATCTTTATATTTTATCAGTTCATTTGAGGATAAGACATAAGCCTAATTCAATTGATCATAATCTTTCTACTTTTTGTCAACAAAGCTTTACAAAGACCTATATTCTGATTTCTATTTCTCTGATTCCTGAATGAGAGTGGAATATCTTTACTTTGACAATTCCAACTCCTCCAACTTCTACTTCAATAATGTATTCAATCTCTCAGTTTCACAAACCAACATTCCAATCTTATTTTCTAGTTCAACTACCTTATTCCCTTATTGCTTATACTATTGTAAATCTGACTCTTATTAATTCAACTCAATTTAGTAGTACTCAATAGCTTGCTGCTTGCTCTGTAATTGTTCTCTCAATCTCTATAATTCTGCCTCCTTATAATATGAATGAATTTATCTACATTAATTTATTTTTGGGATGCCAATTAAGATCTCAAATCATCTATCTCTCTTTAATGCTACTGGTTCCCTGTTATCAGTGTTTACTTTAACTATTCATTGACATTTTTGTAGTTCTCCTCAGTTGTGTAGTATTTTATCTTCCAATTTTCAATCTCTTCTGAATATTGAGTAGTTGTAATTTCGATTTCTTATCTTATAATTAGATCGAATTTTACCTAAACACACTCTCCTAATATTGCAACTACATTAGTCTTGCCTATAAATCTTCGATCTACTTTTCATAACTATTTCTATCGAGCAATTTATCATCCATTTCTTTGATTCTGTATTTCAATTTATCATTTTCAGCCACGAATCTCTCAATTTCACAAGCCATCAAAAAACACACAATGTCCAGACTTTTGCCCAGTTGTTATCTCGCTGGAGGTGGATTATTGATTTGTGAACTATAAATATTGTTCCCTGACCTAAACACAACTAAACACAACTTTTTACATCGATCTCTTCATTTAAGAAACACTTAAGTTTGTTGTAGATGTACATTGTCTAATGGAACTTGATATAATCTTAGATGAAGATTAAGAAGTAAAATATTCTTTGTTTTAGTTTACTGAATCTAATGGTGTACGACAATATGTGCTCATTTTAAATTCAAATAATAATTATAATGCAAGATCGTTAATTTCATAATCACATAAAATAGCACAATCATTTAAAAATTCTCTTTGACTTATTTTTTTATTCATTCCTTTACTTTACAGGTTTTACTTCAGATTCGCTATCTTCATCCTCCTAATCATCCTCTTCATCTTCATCCTCTTCTTCACCCTCTTCATCATCATCTTCACCTTCTTCACCATCCTCTTCACCTTCTTCATCATCTTCACCATCATCGTCATCGTCTTCATAATCTTCACTATCTTCTTCATCCTAATCCTCCGATAATACTTCATTTAAATCCTCTTCATCATCTTCTTCATCCTATTCTTCTTCATTATGTTATTAATCTGCCTTATTTACTACTTTAGTTTTCTTTCTATTTTGAACATTTCTCAAATGCTCCATTACTCTTGACAAATGTTCTACTTTTTTATATGACTTTAACATTTTTTTCTCTTTGGCATTTTTATATTATTTGCTAACACAATCATCATTTTCAACTTCATCTTCATCATCTTCGTCTGAATCCTTTTCTATTTCCTTACGACTTTCTTCAATTTTTTTCTTTTTTGCTTCCTCTCTCTTCTACCTCATATAATTTGTCTAGTCCTTTTCTGATGATTAAACTGCAGTCTCTATTTAGACCTTTGGATCCACTTTAAATGTCTCCATCAATTCAAAATAATCCAGACCCTCCTTTGTTGGTGCTAATGGCTTAGATTACTTGATTGGAAGGATATCCAAAATTTATGGCAATGCTTCATTAAGTTATAAGATCTTAATTTAATTGCCCTCCTTTAATTTCTATTTATCAGCTTTTCGTTACTTACTGTTTTAGATTATTTCATCATAAATTTCCTTTTTGCTCTTTCTCTTATCTTGATTTTAATCGAACCCAACAAAATGATTGTTTTTAACAAACCCTTTTGGCAATTCATCATCTGAACTCACAGGTATTTAATCATTATAATCTTCTTATAGATCTTAACCATTGTGAGTGAATTTCCAATTCTTAATTACATTTTATTCCTCTTATTCATTATCACTATCTAATGCAAATAAATTCTTTTTTTTTGGTGCCTCCTCTTAAGTAGTTCGTTTTTGCTATAATTTAGGCGCTTATTATTATTTTTTATCCTTCTTTTATATCTTTTTGTCCAGATTTTCAACATGTTACTCAAATTTATTTTGTTTGTGCTCAAATTTCTTTATTTTACCCATATATTAAAAATATAATTAGTATTGAATATTGTAATATTATATTTAATTAAAGTGAAATACAAAAACTCAATCAAAAATTATCTTAATTCTTCTTAAGTTCAAGTACCTTCATGCATTTTATTGAGCCTAATTCTATTTTCTGCAAATCATCATTTATCAGTTTGTGAAAAAGACATTTATAAAGTGTATTAACAAATTATTCTTATCCTATTAGTTAACCCTATAATGTTGAGAAAGCAGTTCTATCACTTACAATTTAATGAAATTCTATTTATTTTAATAATCTATTAGTATAAGTCTTTTAGGATATTGTAATAAATATTAATTCATAAATTAAATAAATTTTTAAATGCAGATGGATGCTTTTGATATTTTATCAAATTTATATATTGATCGATTATAATAATGCATTAAGCATTTCTTTGTAATAGTTATTAAATAATTTACTTTAAAATTTCTTCAGTGACTAAGAATTTTTGATTAAGTTTTGTATGCTCAAATTCATATATGTCTCTTCTGGGTTGGAGTCAAATCTTGTGGGTATGCTTTTTCATAATATTGATGCTGTTAAATTAATTATTAATTAATTCATTATGGAAGAGGAAGGATGTAAATAAGTGCAGAACTATATTTTATGTAAATTTATTTGTTCAACAAGAGCGCACATTGGGCTAAGGAACTTTTGGCAAGGTCAAACTAGGTTACCATACTATTGCTGACGAATATGTAAGATTGAACCTAAAATTATAAGGTAGCAATAAAAATACTCGAAAAAAGTAGAATAGAAAATCAATGTGATTTAATAAGAGTTTAAAGGGAAATCTCCATCCTAAGAAAGGTATGTCATCCTAATGTAATCAAATTGTATGAGGTAATTCTATCATAACCAAAACAAGATCTTAGAATCTGAGTCATGTGTCTATCTCGTGATGGAATATGTAAAGGGTGGAGAATTGTATGAATACATAATAAAGAAGAAATAGTAATCTGAATCCTAAATGAAATTAGCCTGCCAGAGCATATAGCAGTTCGCTACTTTTAGTAGTTAGTCTTTGCAACAGAATATTTACATTCATAAAATATAACTCACAGAGATCTGAAACCAGAAAATCTTTTGCTCGATGAGAATAGATAACTTAAGATTGCGGATTTTGGACTCAGTTTCATCTCTTAAACTAAAGGTGAATATCTTAAAACTGCTTGCGGATCACCTTGTTATGCTGCACCAGAAATGCTTGGTATTAGTTTAAATTAACAAGTTGGTAAAACTTATGAGGGAACTAAAAGTGACATCTGGAGTTGCGGCATTATTTTATTTGCTATGTTATGTGGATATCTACCTTTTGAACATGAGAACACATAATAATTATATGAATTAATAAAGAATAGTGATTTTGAAAAACCAGAACACCTATCGAAAAATGCCCTGGATATGCTAACCAAAATTCTGGTTAAAGATCCTAGTAGACGATATAACTTTGATTAAATCAAGTAACACCCATTTTTTTAGTTGCATTCTTCAATCCCAACTAAGAATTTAAGTTTGACTGATTAAAACATTATTTAAAAGATGATAGAAATGGGATATTAACAAAATTAAATTATCGTCTAATTGCAATCAAATAAGCATAATACTTTAACCACAATTTATTTCCTTTTATAAAAAAAATACAATCAAACTCATAGACAAAGCTTTTTTTAAAATATTTAAAATATCGGAAATCTAAAACTTGATATTAATCAAAAAAGATTCACTCTTGCCAAATTCTAACCTTCTCAATAGGGATCACCTATTCTGGATAAAATTGATAAGATTAAAAAATCGATTAGATCCAGATTAGATAATTCCCCTTATTTAAAAACTTAGATCTCATAAAGATTTAAGAAAGTTAATTTATCTGTCTAATCTAAACGAGTCAGTATTCAAATCGAAAACTAAAGACAAAAAACAAATTCTGTTTAAGAAAAACATTATGAGTATCCTTGCATCTTCACATCCAATATCTCCGATTAGAAGTAATAATAATAAATAGAACAAACAAAATCTAGAATTCAATCAAGAAAGAACTCCAAAAATCAGGCACCTTACAAAATTTTGTAAAGAAGAAATATAGAACAAGCTCTAAAAACAGACTTTAATGAAGAGTACTAAAGTAATTAGAAAGCTATTTACGCTTAAGTAAGACAAAGAAATAAAACACAACCACATAAAAGTGAAGATGGGCAAAAATACTTTGATAAAGGTACCAAATTGAATACATCTCATTAAGTACTAAATAATTAAATTAGATGGTGGAAAAGACACCATAACATTCCCCTTACATAAATATGAACTTCAGTAATCATCGACAATTGTTTAAATAGATTTATAATGGAAACTTACAGGATTATATGAAGAAAAAAAGAGATCTTAAGACGTAAAAATTGACGAATGATCAGCCCTGATTAGATTGAATACATAGTTAATTACTATTATATTTATTAATTAGGTTACCAGTTTGATAAATTTCTTTGTTTTCCTTCTTATTAATTCTAAATTCTACTCAACTTATGTTTTAAGATGTCTTATTTGTAAATGGATAGTTTATTAATTAGTAAGTACATTCATATTTTACCAATAAATATGAAAATTAGAAAGATATGTTATTAGAAACATCATTAAAATCCTTAAATGATGGAACCAAAACACTTAGTATTAGACAACAAACAAAGAAGCTAAGAACTTTTCACAAGACATATTATAAGCATTTAATAAATTGAAATTTTATTAACCCATCATTATGCATTTTATTTCATAATCATGCATCTTCCACTTTTTCAGTGACTACTTCTTAAGTGGTNATTAAATCAAGTAACACCCATTTTTTTAGTTGCATTCTTCAATCCCAACTAAGAATTTAAGTTTGACTGATTAAAACATTATTTAAAAGATGATAGAAATGGGATATTAACAAAATTAAATTATCGTCTAATTGCAATCAAATAAGCATAATACTTTAACCACAATTTATTTCCTTTTATAAAAAAAATACAATCAAACTCATAGACAAAGCTTTTTTTAAAATATTTAAAATATCGGAAATCTAAAACTTGATATTAATCAAAAAAGATTCACTCTTGCCAAATTCTAACCTTCTCAATAGGGATCACCTATTCTGGATAAAATTGATAAGATTAAAAAATCGATTAGATCCAGATTAGATAATTCCCCTTATTTAAAAACTTAGATCTCATAAAGATTTAAGAAAGTTAATTTATCTGTCTAATCTAAACGAGTCAGTATTCAAATCGAAAACTAAAGACAAAAAACAAATTCTGTTTAAGAAAAACATTATGAGTATCCTTGCATCTTCACATCCAATATCTCCGATTAGAAGTAATAATAATAAATAGAACAAACAAAATCTAGAATTCAATCAAGAAAGAACTCCAAAAATCAGGCACCTTACAAAATTTTGTAAAGAAGAAATATAGAACAAGCTCTAAAAACAGACTTTAATGAAGAGTACTAAAGTAATTAGAAAGCTATTTACGCTTAAGTAAGACAAAGAAATAAAACACAACCACATAAAAGTGAAGATGGGCAAAAATACTTTGATAAAGGTACCAAATTGAATACATCTCATTAAGTACTAAATAATTAAATTAGATGGTGGAAAAGACACCATAACATTCCCCTTACATAAATATGAACTTCAGTAATCATCGACAATTGTTTAAATAGATTTATAATGGAAACTTACAGGATTATATGAAGAAAAAAAGAGATCTTAAGACGTAAAAATTGACGAATGATCAGCCCTGATTAGATTGAATACATAGTTAATTACTATTATATTTATTAATTAGGTTACCAGTTTGATAAATTTCTTTGTTTTCCTTCTTATTAATTCTAAATTCTACTCAACTTATGTTTTAAGATGTCTTATTTGTAAATGGATAGTTTATTAATTAGTAAGTACATTCATATTTTACCAATAAATATGAAAATTAGAAAGATATGTTATTAGAAACATCATTAAAATCCTTAAATGATGGAACCAAAACACTTAGTATTAGACAACAAACAAAGAAGCTAAGAACTTTTCACAAGACATATTATAAGCATTTAATAAATTGAAATTTTATTAACCCATCATTATGCATTTTATTTCATAATCATGCATCTTCCACTTTTTCAGTGACTACTTCTTAAGTGGTACCATCATTCATTGTATAAATTTTGGTGGTTATTATATGCTTTTTACCCCCTTTCGTTATGGTTTTAACTTTCTTTTAAACTTTCTTTGCACCTGGTATCAATTTCTCCTTCCCTTCATCTTTGTCATCATCATCATCGTCTTTCTGTTTAATTACTTATTTCTCTTATTTCTCTGCTTTCTTTTTTTTCTCTTTCTCTTTATCGCCTTCTTATTCTGGCTTACCACCTTATGAAAATTTTGATGCAAAATCAAAAACGAAAACAAATTTAAAGGCTTTATGAGGTGCTCCAAATATACCTACTTATTTATAGGCAGGTTCAAAGAAATTCGATCTGTGTCCTCTACTTGGGACGCCATCATCGACTATCAATTATATAACAACTAAATATTTATTTATTATAATTTACTATCTTCAGCTGTGGATTTTCCAAAACTGATATTTTCTCCAATAGTTCCTGGTTTCCATTACCCATGTCTTTCAATTCTTTATTTTGTAGTTGAATGATCACTTCCTTCATGTCCAGTCAAACCATTAGTTCCTATATTCAAATTCTCTAATACCTAAATCTTCTGCGTGATCCCTGGCTGCTTCCTCCAATCCTTTTTCATATGTCAATGGTCCAACAGGTTTCTGTTTTTTTAGAAATTCAATGCACTCTATGTAAAGATATTATATTCATTACCCTAGACCGAATTTGCTCCTTCTTTTGTATTAGTAGCTTAAGTTCCAGGTAAGTGTAAGATCTTATCCTTGAAGTATTTGAGCCTATTTTCTAGAACTGGAATCATTAGGGATGGATCTTATCTTACTTTATTCTATAATTCAAAAACTTCTTTAGCCAAAGCAGAATAATTCATTTAATTTTATTTAAATAATTTATAATTCTAATTTCTTTATATTATTAAATTCTAAATATCTTTTAATCCATTTTATTATAATAAATAAAATAAGAATCAATTTTTGAACATATTTTAAACCATGAACACATAATCTTTGAACTTATTATATTTAATTAAAAGTCTCAAATTAAGTTTCATAAATACTGATTCATTGAAAATCAACACTTTTTTGTACACCAGAATTCACAAAAACAATGCATAATCAAAAAGACTTATAATTGTATTAATGTATTATTTATTTATTGATTGATTTAAAATAATCTCCATAACTTTTCATTAGCCAAAAATTAAAAGATTATTAAGTATTCAGTTCGATTAAATTTTGTGTAATAGTAAATAAATTAATAATCAATGAGCTCTTTCTCTTATCTTCCATTAATGCATATAATTGTTTAATTTAAGGTTAAAATCAGTTAATTTATCCCTTTAATTGGATTAATTAAGAATTGAATTTGTTATCGAACTTTTATTATAATTAGAACTTATTCTATTGCCATCGAATTCAATTGAACTGCGACGTGATTTAGTACTGGTTTCCACATATACTGAACCTCGTTTTCTTCTTTCCTTTGGGTTGAACTTCTCTTCAAAGTCTTGAAGTTATTTAATGAAACCTGGATTTGGATTAACTAATCTTCTACGTTATTAAATGTGATGCAAAGTTTGATTAAGACTCAATTTATATTTTTGCATCATGTAAGCTGCACAAATAGCTGCAGATCTAGAAATTCCATTGTAGCAATGAATGAGCACATTTGTTCTTAAAGCTTAAATGTCTATGAATTTAATAGATTAATCATAATATTTGTATAAGGGAAAATCATCGCAGTCCTCTGCCATTATCCACTATATATAGATTTGAATTGTTTACTAATTTTTAGGCCCCTTTGATTGATACTTGACAATCAATAACGGAAAGCACAGCCCCTATTTAATATTTAATTAAATTATCTGGATTTTAAGCAGCATCAATATTTCCCAAGTATATCCCTCCAACTCCATTTAAAGGAGCTATAATGCAAGTCATACAATTAGACAGATCAGGAGTATTAACGAACATTTTAATTAAAATTATTAAAAATCCTGCTCTATAAGTGAGTTCTATCATTTAAATGAGAGACTTTGTTACATTCTATGTTAATGATGTACTTAATATATATGAAAATGAAATAGTATAATAATAAAATTCATTTTTTAGAGATGTATGACTTTTTTATTGAATAGTTATATGTATTGGCATTATAGACTAAATTCAGTTTTTGAGGTTACAAATTATACTAGCCCTGAGAATGAATATAAACATAACAAATACTTGGACATGAAAAGATGGTTATTATATAGAATTTCTCTTTTGTGGGGATTTGGTAATAGATGAAGATTATTATTTCGGTTGGTGTTCTAAGATGTGTTAATGCTGCTGTTTAGGATCGTCCTTGACTCCTGGTAATCCAATGATACGGTTAATTCGTTTATCTTATTCTGATCCTAATCTACTTTAAGGAAGAGTGTCATTAAACTTTATTTTAAATGACTGATTGAAAGTCTTATGCATTTAAGATTTAGTATCCTCCCCTTCCTTCCCAAATTCTGATATATCATCGCCAATTCTATAATTATACACCTATTTCTAAATTAAGGTTTAATTCTAAATGGTTTATGGAATAGCCTTTTCAAGGATTTTCTTTGGTTTTGAGTCACCTAAATCATATTAATTAATTATGTTTGGTTTGGAATCATCCCTTTCGCAACTAATTCTTCTTTGGAAATTGCTTTTTGGTCTGTTTTCAATCTCCTTGCTCCAAAAGTCTTAGAGATATGAATGTTCTAAACACTCCAGGGCAGTCAACCTTTTATTTGGATCCATTATTAAACAAGATTTTAAAAAATTCAAACCTTTATTGCACATCTTCCCTTAATATCTTTTCTCTATTGTTTCACTCTTAATTATATCTGGAAACTTCATCCCTAAATACCTTTGGTTTTTTTAAAATCTTTCCATCTACTCTTGAGTCAAAGGTCCAATAATTTTTTAAATCAAATACAATTGATCCATTTCATTCTCACCTGGAAATAGGGGCTGACCATCTATTAACTCTCCCATTATGCATCCGATTGCCCAGATATCCACCTATCTGCCGTAATTGTTTGAAATCAATAGTTCCGGAGATCTATACCATCTTGTTGCCACATAATCTGTTAACTACTCTTGACATTATATTGTCTAAATCATTAAATCTTAACATTACTCTAGCAAAACCAAAATCGCACAACTTTATATTCAATTCATTGTCAACTAACAAATTTTCCGGTTTAATGTCTCTATGTACAATCCCAACTTAATGACATGCGTGAATAGCCAAAACTAATTAGAATACTACTCGTTTGATGCTTTCCTACTAATCATGTGTTTACATTCTCATACGTCTAATTATTTTCTTTCCTCCAATAACTCCAATAGGTTTCTATCCACAAATTGGAATACCAGAAATATTTTGCCCTTTTTTTTAAATGCTTCCTTAAGTTAGATTATATTTGGATGTTTTAGCAATCTCAACATTTTAACCTCTCTTTATATACTTTTCTTAACTGTCTCATCATCTTCCGTCTCTTTGAATTTCTTTATTGCGACTGTAACATATACAAACAAATATAAAACCACATTCATTTGTGTCTTTATTTCTACATTTCAGAACTATTCCATAAGCTCCTTCCCCAACAACTCCTATAATCTCATACTTATTCATTCTCTCCTTATCTACCCTTTTATTATTTATATTAATTCTCATTATATAATCTTAAACTTGATTAATTTTTGAATTTGTTACAATACATTTATACATTAGCATCTAATTTAATAATATGTATGATCAGACTAATTTACTTTTAAGATAAATTCAAAATATTTTCATTTTTTGCAATAAATTTACAAAAGATATACCCTTTGATAAAGATTGAACTTATTTCTTTTAAAAAATAATAATTCATTTAAAAATACATTATGCAAAATATATAAAATTAAACAAATAGCTCAATTTAAAAAAAAAAAAGTTATGATAATTTAAACTTAATTTACTAATCATTTCAATTCAAAATTAAAAAATAAAATCAAATAGAAAATAAAGAATTTTTATTCATTTTTAGAAAAATCTTCATACCTTCTGCGTTTATTTCATATCTTTATTCCAAAAACCTTCCTTCTAAACATTTTCCATAAACATTCTCCAAAAACTATATCGGATTCAAAATTTATAGCGATAAGTTCTGATACAGAAATTTTGCTATTTAATACAAATTATCTGAATATTCATGAACACATTTATGAGAATCAATAGTATAAATTTTTTTTGAATTATTTTGCTATTCAATAATTAGTTTGTATTTTAATAAATGAATGAGCTTCTTCTTTCCTTGATACATATGTTTCCTTTTCTCAGTTAATTGATCAAATAACATATCTGATTATTAAATTTATATTAAAAAAATAGTCTAAAAACCTCAACAATTATCCTCTATATTATATATTGGAAATTTGTAATCCCCTTATTCTTGCTGGATCAATAGTTTATTATTATATTCTAAATTCAACTAATTAGATTCTACTATCTTTATCCATCAATCAATTTTCCTTTCCCCTATTTTAAAAAATAATAATATTTTTAATATTAAAAAGCTGATAAATTAACTTTCTAACTAAAATATTAATTCTATTTATTCACTTAAATTTTGCAAATAATGTCTATAATTTGAAAAGCGGATTTAGTTAATTTATTTTTGAGATGCAACGATCCTTAAATAAGTACAATTAAATTGACTTTTTCAGCAAATTGAAAATATAAGAATTGCAAATCTAATTGAGATCTGCTTATGGTTAAAACATTAGATATTGCTGCTACTTGTATTATAAATAGAAAAACATTTGAATTGGTTTAAATTAAATGCGTGGCAGAAAAGCTGTCGGCTTATAGCAATACTTCAATTTATATGCGATAAATTTATTCTTAGAATACACCAACACCTAACAGGAAGAACAAGCTGGTAGCCTACTTAGAAATAAAGAGAGCCGATAAGAACAAGCAAAGGCAAAGAGAGATGAGGAAAATGACATTTTTGAATAAAGGATAATAATTTTCAAGAATTCTTTATAAAGAGAAGGTGAAAATGAGTTCCATTATTAAATATTTGGTAAAAGCTATCATAATTGCATCATTAGTTTCTACGCCTTCTTAAAACTATTAAGCATATCTTCCAATTATTCAGGAAATACAACAAATTGGCAACATTCTTGTTTCCCATTGTCATGCTAGAATGTTATGTTTGTGTCTATAAATCTGTTCCCCTCAATCTATTTTTGAGGGGCCACACTCTCTGATACTACGAATTTACTAATTCCATAATGAAATTCTACTGCCTTTCCAACTTTGAGAATTATAATTATTAATACTTTTTATTATTTAGTTTTCGTAGACCTATTGTAATTTGTCTTTGTATTATTTAAAGGTCTTGCTCAATTATTCACAGTTTTCTTTTGGTAAACCTAAATCAATCAACTCTTTTATTAATATCTATTCTGAAACATCATATTTGGCAGAGTTTTCAACGATAAATGATACGCAAGCAATAGTTGAATTGATTTCCTATTGATTAAAACCAGATCCTTCCAACATCTTAAATATCTTAGCTGATGTGTCTATACCTTCGACAATATTCTATAAAATGTATTAGGTCACTAATTTCATCTTCACAGAAGCCTATCCTTATATTATAATTCTAATACAATTTTTGTCAGAAGTGCTGATTCAGCCAAAAACCATTCTGGACAATTGCTATCTCCACAAAATAAAAATCTCATAATTTTAATATTTATTCATTATTTAATATTCTATATTCCCTTTAGGTAAACAAGATAATTAAAGAGAATTATATACACAAATGTATCTCTATTGGATAATTTATTTAAACAATTGAGAGGTATTTGACCTGATTGTTTTAAATAAATAGAGAAAAAATGTAAATAACATACACTAAAGTATCCCTAATATTCTGTATCAAACATCTGCTCTAAAATATTATTATTTAAAATATATAGTATTAAACCTCTTTTTTAAAGTTAGAAACTCATTGTTTACAACGATTTAATCGATAATTTGATATATATGTTTAGATAGATATTTTTTAAAGTGGAGAAATAAAAATGAAGGAGAATTAATTAAATAATTACAATAATTCAGTTTTGTTCTACAAAATATCAATCTCGTTTGCTTTTATTTGTATTTATAAAATGTTTTGGTTTTGTTATTCACGACAAAATTAGTTAGAATAGATATGTTGATATTTTATATAAAACTTTGAAATAAAGATTAATAATTATCTTGTACTTGCTAAAATTAATAGAAAACCATCATTGTTATTTTTATATCAGCGATTACAGAGTATTAACTTAATTAGAACTAATAAGTAATTTATTGATCTTAATCTTTATGTAAATAATGATCAAAAAGTAAAATATAAATTGAATACTTGTTAATAAACAAAAAAGTTTATAATCAAAATCATGTCATTATCAGAGATCAATTTTAGTGTGTTTGAATTAATCTCTTCATTTTAATTTCGATCATTCCTTTTTATTTATCATTTATATTGGATTTCATTTTTCAACAAATGCAATCAACTTCTCTAAGGCTTTTTAAGCTGATTAGTTATTGAAAGGTCCATCACCATTCAATTTAGAATGTACCAATAAAGAAGTTCCATCATTTTTGGTGACTGTTATTTCCAGTTCACCTGTAACTTTTTCACTTGCTTTACCAGAGGCTTAGACTTTTGGATATAATTATTTTATATAAGAAGCAGCTAGGTTATATTATGGCTTGTATCCTCATCCTCCGCAATAAGTGATGTGAACTTTGAAGGTTAGTTCTTTATTTGTTGGCAAGGCAGCAATGTTTTCTGGAATTTTCTACATTAAATTAATTATGATTAGGATAAAAAAATTTAGATTAAAAATCTCATTTTTTAATTTCTTTTATCAAAGTACCCATATTCCAAATTCCCTTCTTATAAAGTTATCCATTTTTATAGATTTCCCCATCTCCATTTTATCTGCTTGATCTCCAATAACCAATGAAAACCTTTCCATCTGGATATGTCATTTATCCTTGGCCTTCAAATTCATCTTGTAGGAATTCTCCTTTGTACTCCTAACCAGTAGGCCAAATCATTTACCCTTGGCCTTCTTTGACTCCATCTCTCCATTCGCCGACATACTTTTTGCTATCATTCCAAAAGAATGTCCCTTTATCTTAGATTAAAGGAATTACACATACTGTTAAAAGTGTCTCTAAGGAATTCTCCTTCATAATAAGAATTATCATTAAATATCATCTTGCCCTAGCCTTCTTTCGAGCCTCTCTTGAATTATCCTTGATAAGTGATGCCATTGGGCCATATTTCTTTGCCTTGACCTTGTTTTTCTCCATTATACCATTCGCCTTCATAATAAAAGGTAGAACTATACACACCGAACCCATTAAATAGATTGCTTTCAAATTCCCCTTCATAATAGTCCCCATCATGATAAATCAATCTTCCAATGCCATAATATTGATCTTATTTAAAAAATCCTTCATAAAAACTTCCATCCAAATTCAATGCCTTGCCATAACCATGTCTCATATCATCCAACCAATCTCCAGAATATAAAGTCCCATTCTTTAATCTCTTAAGATGTATATAATTATTACATAACACCCTTTCTTATTCCCCATTAAGGCAGTCAAATCTTACATTTTGAAATGATGAGAGTCTTTAACAACAAGCTTTTTTAACTTTTCCATAGTAGCCTGGATTAATGGATTCAAAATAATAAATTATTCCTAAGTTTCATATACTCGAGGAGTGATAGCATTGATTAATTAATGAATACTCTCCTCAACACTCAAATGATCAGGCGTGTTATGGTTACTAAGATATGCGGGAGGATTTTAGTATGAGCAGCAATTACCCATTAAATATAATTATTTATTGACAGATATTTTTAATGTATATAATAATTTATCAGGCAACGAGTACGCATGCTCCACCAACAGCCTTAATTCTTCTTTCTGCAGTTTTGCTAAAGAATTTAGCCTTGACCACAACTGGTTGATTTGGCAATCTTCCCTTACCCAAGACCTTAAAATAACCTGCCTTAGTAACGTCAATCACTGCAGCCTTATCTTTAGATTTGGAATATTTTTCTCTGGTTTCATCTGTAACAAGTGACCACAATTTGTCAATGTTAACAACTGGCTTATGAAGTTAGTTCTTTTTTAAATGGAAATGTCTCATTCCAGTCTATGATTTAACTAATCAGATGTACTTTTTGGAAATATCCTGGATGGTATTTATTGAAATTGATCCTATGATGTGTTAAACCTCCTGAAACACCTCTACCACTTGGATGTTTTCTATGCTTACCAACTCTACCATAACCATGGCAAACATGTCCTCTCATTTTTCTGCATTTTCTTAATCTGCTGACCATTTTTATATTTTAAAAAGATTTTAATATGTGATTAATATACAAACTCAACATCTAAACAAATTATTTATATCTCTTCTAAAGACGTGTACTTTTTTATCCTTGTACATTAACTAATTTCGAATGAAAAATTACAACAAAAAACCAAATACAAATTAATGATCATTGTTCTAAATTGATTTAGTAACTCAATTTGCTAATATTTCATTTTGATTATAGATCAATGATGCTTCATTACTTATGGTCGAAGATTTGTCATCTTCCATACTAATCTCTTTCTTTTTATGCTAAACAATTAGTTAAAGTACTTACATATGAAAAATAAAAGGTTACAAAATTAATTTGAACTAGAATATTCAATAAAAACCTAAAACAAGGAGGCAAGTTTTGATATAGATGATCTTGAAAACTATAAAAATAAAATTGTGCATAGCATAATCCCAATAGTTAAACAGGAAGCATGAACATAAATAAAATTATTTAGACTAGTTTCCATTTTAAATTATATAAAGCGTACTCCTCAAACAATTTTACAAAAATATTAATTGTCCAAAATAAAATTACAAAAAGAAGCAATATTTAAATCTTTAAGGCTTTTATGGAATTCAAATTTTAGTGTAGTCTTATTTATAATTATTTGATTGATTTTCGCAATTTTATATATTCGATCATTCCAAATACAAGTACAACCAGATTCACCATTAATTAAAATATCCACCATATCATCCATGGCCCTTTTACTAAATCTAAATTACAAATATATAGAATAATTTCTTTATCATATGTAATGCCATAATGTCGAAATTTAGCGAAACAAGAACCTAAATTGCAAAGGATTGTTAGCAGAACAATAAGAATTAAGTATTTACTAAATTGCTTTTTTATTTAGCGTTGTTTTACAATTATTTCATAGATTGCATGACAAGATAAAAAAGAGAATAAAGAACTAGCAAACCAAGCTCCATTATTAGTGATTCCTTAAAATTTGCAATCTAATTGATATATATTGATTTTACATCCATCTGTCATGCAGTTTTACAAATTAAGATTACTTTCTTAATTGGTTATCTCTTTCTCTTCGTAAATTTAACAATATGTGAATGAATTATTAGCATTATAAGCACTATCAATTTTTTCTGAGTAAAAGAAAGGTCCAATAGTCTATGGGACAAAAAAAACTAGCAAAACCATCACTTAGAAGAAATATAACCTATAAGCTTGATTAATAAGCATACTTTTATATTAAGTATTTGCTACCATTTCCAACTATGTAAAATAGGATAATCAATAATAGAGAGATTATGCTTGTAACATTGCATATAAAAATAGTCAATAGGAATCCATTATGATTGTAGTCATAAAACATTTCTTGAATTGTTCTGTTAATATAAAGATTAAAAATTTACATAGTTTGTTAATACATCAGATAATTAATTGGGAAAAATTGATGATATCATAAATAATAGGTCTTTAATTTATTCTTAGAGTTATTCATCAAATAGCAACATTTCTAAATCTCAGACTGTCAAATTATGATATAATTAAAAACATAGCCAAAAAAGATATCTCATTATTATTATTCCTAATCATAATTAGTTAATTCAAATATTAATAATATCAAATATTTTGGTACTCTTCAGTTCGAAAATATTAGGCTTTTTGTTTGATTATCTACTTCATATAAATAAAATATACATCTGATCGAAGAGGATTAAATGATTAAGTTTATGAAGATGATTTATTAGAATATTACGATTCTTTAACTGCTGAATTGTAATTAGAGACTTCAGATCTATGTTAAACTGTGTTCACTATTGACTTAATTTTTTTAGAGTCCTCCAAATTAAAACCTGAAACTAATCCTGTTGCATTATTCGCAACATCTCCTGTTCTTTGTACTTCAAAGGTTTTTGAAACAAAATATGTATTGCTTGCATTATTTGAGCTTAATCTTTTTTGGGTTTTAGAGAGTTCATTCCTTAACATATTAATTTCTGATTCAAATTCTGTAGCCTAATCATTAATATATATAATACTCTTTCAATTAATTTATCATGTTTTAGTTAAATTTAATCTTTGAGCATCATTTACCTTTAAATTTCTGCATTCAAGCCTTCAATTCTAGTCTCTAATTCAACAAGTTTTTAATTACTATATAGATACAAAAAATAATTTACTTTTATGTTTCTCTTATGATAATCTATTGTTTGCTTTATTGCTCCAAAATTGCTTCATGTTCCATTCGTAATTGTCTAATTGTTGTTGATAATTCTTGAACCATCTCATGCAATGATTCAATTTCAAGTTCTTTTTCTTATAACTAATTTAGCAATTCTCTAACTTTTGTTTCATTAGTTATTGAAGTTTTCTTTTCATTTTCTAAATTTCTGATATGAGTTTATAATTGCTAAATGACTTCAATTTTCCTTTTAATTTCTAATTCTAATCGATTTAATTTTTCAAAATCAATCGATTAATATCTGTCTTAATAGTCTTGATTTTCACGATTTAATTATCTTATTTTGAGTTCAAGTTCATTATTTTTTGATTTATATTATGTCAATTCATTTTAACATTAAAAATACATCTTGTTAACTCTATCTAATTCAGCTTTTATGGTATCTCTACTTTACTCAGTTGATTTTAATTACATTTTTATAGATTCGAATTCTCCAGAAGTAGTGCTAACTTCAGTGGATAATGCAATAAATTTCCTCTTCCATTATTCATTCTCTTCATTTTTACATCTCATTGAATCTATTATCTTTTAATTTTCTTTCTACAATAGTTCAATTTATTATTTGTATTCTTTAATTTCCCTATTTTTAGAGATCTCCAAATATTGTAACTCTTGATTTACGTTACTCTATTACTAAGTTTAAATAATTGTTATCTCTTTCTTAAATTAACTTTCTTGAATACTTATTCTTTCTTCATATTACTTCTTTTAAGTTTATACTTCTAATTTAAGCCTTTCTATTAGTTTCTCATTTTATAACTACTCTTCCTTGTAATAATTCAATTTTCTTTCATATTCTGAAAATCTTTCTCTTTCTTGTCTAAATTCCTCATTTCTTCTTTCCAACAACTTAATTTATTCAATAAATTCCTATTCCCTTCTCTCATATTATAATTGAATTTATTTTGATTTTTGCCCTTCTTCTATTTTTATCTAGATCGAAGTTAGTTATTCTTAGTATTCCTAATTAGACTTTTAAGTAGTCCTAAGTTATATCCTTAAATTTTTTATTTCTTATTCTAACTCAAGGCTGGAGTTCTAATATTCTTTTAATTATTTTTCATAAATTTAAACTTCATTTTACATTTAAAGCAGCTACCTTTCTAAATTTTAGATTTTAAATAAATCCTCTTGCTTACTGACTTATATTGTTTCTTTTATTATTTGAACCTCTTGCTTTTATTTTTAAATAACAGTAAGATTATCTCTTAATGTGGATAATTGCTATTCCAATTACCTAATACGATATTAATCAGCCTCTGAAGGCACTTCAATAGTCACTGTTTCTTTGATTACTTCTTATTTCTTTTAGTTTAAGGAGAAGTAATCTTATTGTAAAGAACTAAGTTATTACTCTAACTATTTAATTCTTATTCGATCAGATTCAACAGGGACTTCTACTACCTCCCTAACTATCTCCGCTTTTCTAGATTATAAAACCTAATATTCGCTTCTAATTTACGAAAGCTACATCTCTAATTATTAAATTTTGAATTTATCAGCCTAAGATGGTACTTCAATTGTATAAGTTTCTTTGATTACTTCTTATTTACTCTTATTTAATGAAATATAATCTTATTATAATTTATTTAAGTCTTATTCTAACTCAATAATTCTTCTTTTATCAGACTCCTTTGGAACTTCAACCCTTTCTGTTATCACTTCGCGTATAATCTCTTATTTCTTTTTAGATATTATTTATAGCTCCATGGTCAAATTACTCAATTAAGATTCTAATTATGCAATTCTTTATTTATCTGCGGGAGATGAAACCTCAACCCTTTCAGTAATTACTTCTTTTATCACCTCCTGCTTTTTCTTACTTACAATCTCATAATTATTTTGTAAATTTAAGTACTCCATCTTCATTTGTTGCAATGACTATTCCAATTATTAAATTCTGTATTTGTCTGCTTATGACGACACCTCTACTGTAACAGTTTCCCTTATGACTTCTTATTTCTTCAAATTCAATTAATTATAATCTCTTTATAACTACGAAAACTGATCCTGTAATTATCTTATTCTAATTTTATCTGATTCCATAGGTACTTCCACTCTCTCTGTAATTATTTCCCTAATTACTTCCTATTTCTATTATTACACTACTTGTAATTCTGACCTTAGTTGCTAAACTTATGATTCTAATTATTATATTCTAAATTTGTCTGCCTATGAAGACACTTCTACAGTTACTGTTTCCTTAATAATTTATTATTTCTTTTAATTAAGTTAATAATAATCCTAACTTAATCTTTGTAATTCCTCTTCTAATTATTGAATTCTTAACTTATCCTTTTATGATGGGACTTCAATTGTTTCTGTTATTGTTTCTCTTATCACTTCTTATTTTTATTGTTGAATTATTTATATATTTTACTTTAATTGAAATACTAATGACTCAAGTTATTATATTCTTAATTGATCTTATTGTTGAGGAACTTCTACTGTTACAGTTTCTTTGATTATCTCCTACTTTTTTTAATTCAATAGATAATAATCTTATTATATTTTTTGCAATTAACTTTCCAATTATTAAATTTTTATTCTATCAGATTCTTAAGGTACTTCAACTCTCTCTGTTATGTATTCAGTGATCTTTTCTTATTTTTTTGAGGAAACTATTTGTAATTCATTCTTAATCTACAATAATTAAGATTCTAATTGTTAAATTCTTGATTTATCAGCTTAAGAGGGAACTTCAACAGTAATGGTTTCTTTGATAATTTCTTATTTTTTCAATTCTAAGTATTAATAGTCCTTTTGTAGACGCTAAAGCTAAGCCTATAATTATGAGATCTTTAATTTGTCAGATTCTGAAGGGACTTCAACTCTTTCAGTAATGATTTCTCTTATTACTTCCTATTTACTTTTAGAGACAAATTCCAATTATGTCTTTAATTTGAGTATTTCAGATTCTAATTATTAGATTATTTATTTATCAGCCTGAGATGGTACTTCAACAGTGATTTGTTGTGTTATGACTTCTTGTTTTCTTTAATTTAATAAATAGTTTTCTTATCTTAGGTTATTAACTTATATTTCCAACTATTAGATTCTTATTTTATCTGCTTCTACAGGAACTTCAACAGTCTAAGTTATAAATTCTCGAATAATTTCTTATTTTTTGGCTGATGATTGTTTAACCTAATGTTCTAGTTCTTAGATTCTCAACTTATCACTTTCTGATTATTACACTTCTCTTATAGTTTCTACAACCACTTAGTTCTTTCTTCTATCTAATTCATAGTATTTAGTTTTCCACAATTATAATTCTTCCTCTAAACTAGCAATCAATTTGATATCTTCTTGACTTCTGACTTAAACTGTTTCTCTAATAGTTTCTCTAATGACTTCCTGTTTAGATGCTGATACTTATTGGCATTGCAATTTTAATAGAGATATTTGTGACTCTAATTCTTATATCTTTAACTTTTCTTATTTTGAAGGAGTTTCAATTATTTCTTTAACTATCTCTGGCTTCCTTTTAAGAAGTACATCATTAGAAGCCTTTAATTCTGTAATTCTTTATTTATCTAGTTCCCACTCACTTTTTAATAAATTAAATTCATTTCTTTTATCTAATAATTATTTTTCTAAATCTCTGCACTTCGACTTCAAAGTCTCAATATCCATTTCTAATTACTTAACCTTTCTAGATTGATCTTGATTCTATTTGATATTCTCTATCGTTACAGAGTAAGTTGAGATTTACTCCTTATAGGTTTCCTCTCTGATTTGTAGAACACGAACTTCTTCTTATAATTCAATTAATTGTAACTCTAGTTACTGGATTCGATGTTTATCTTATTCTGTCTAAGTTAGAACATAAGTGTGAGATTCATATTAAGTCTTAATATCAATCAACAATTATCTAGCTTCTTGATGTTGTAATTATTCATGATAAAATTTCTCTTTCCATAATTTTACTTAGACTTCCATCTCATTATACAACTGTTCAATTTATCTGAATTCTCTTCTTAACTTTTCAATTTCCTTTTAATGATTTTCAGATTCGTATTAATATTAAGCATACTATTGAATCTCAATTCGTTTTTCTTATTATTACGAAATGATTTATTCTTATAATTCTTTAATTTCAACCTTGTGATTGTTGATTTATTAATTCAATTAATTGACTTACAATTTGTATTTATCCAATTCAACAGTACTTTTACTTTATTTTTCTAATTATGTAATACTCAATCTATATCCATTATTTTATTCTTGAATTGATTTGAATTCAGTGACTAAAATGTCTAATTCCTCCTTTACACGTTCATTTTCTATTCTTAATTGATTGTTCTGATCTTCTAATTATTTGACTCTTAACCTGTGAATCTCACTATCCTTGGTTTTAATTTCTAATTATATATATTTTTATTTCCAATTTTCTAATTCATTCTATATTGTATGAACTTGCCAACTATCTCTTTATATTCTTTCATTTTATTGTTGTTCTATTTGCTTTTTAGTCTCATTTATTCGAATTTCCATTTAAATGATTCTCCTCTCACTTTCTTCTTTTTGTAATTCAAATACTTGACATTTCTCCTGCCATTGTTTGCATTAAGTTTAATAGAAATTGACCTCTTATCTGAGTTGATCAATCTCGTATTGCATGTTGCCTTTCGATTCTGCCATTGCTGACTCCAATTTAAATTGATTCTAGTTATGTGCCTCTATTAATATTTGAATATCATTATCCATCTCTTTAATTTTGTCCTTTAAGGTTTAAATTGTTCTCTCATAAAGTTCTTTATCTGATGTTCTTATTTAAGCCTCAGATTGGTATCTGGCTATTTCCTACATCAGTCTCGTAATTTCTGTTTAGGTAGTAGAATTCCTCTATTCCTTAACAGTTCTAATTTCTAATTCTAATGTAGACGCCCTATTTTTATAAGTCTATATATCTTGTTCATATTTGCTTTTTACCCTCAAATACTCTTCTACTTACTTTCTCTGCTCTCCTAACAAGGCATTGAGTTGAGTAATCTCTAAAATGATTAGAACTGATATGGAATACCTTATTAAGATTTGATTTATTGTTGAGTTAATGACGAAATGTCTTATTTGTATCTGGCAACTAAACTTGATGATTCAGCATCTGATGAATTTCTCATTAACAATTAAGAGCGCAATTTTGCTAATTCTTATTGAGCTGCTTCTAGTTCAGCTTGGTTAATCATGTACTTCTGCTTTAGATTATAATTTTCTCCTGACATTTGCTTTAATTATTAATTGTCCTTGTCTAATTGTTCGATCACTTCTTTCAATTTTCTGTTGTCCTGCAGCAGTTCTTCATAACGTCTATGAATATGATGAGTTATTTACTTGTCTTCGAACATGAGACTCTTTCTTGTACTCTAATTGATCTCAATCACACGTCTAATGTAAAATTTAAGATTTACTTTTCAGCACTCGAAACCACTCCTGAAGTAGTTTAGTACTTATCATTAGTGAATGACTATCTACTTTGTGCCATGGGGACTTGGAGATATTGTTAATTCATAAATTTGAATTTATATTAAAAAGTTTGTTTGTTTTAAGTTCTAATTAAAGGAATAGTAAAATTATTATTAAATGTAATCGATTATAATTTATACCAATTTTAAGAATCAAATTATTTCTGATTAGATTTAGCATTGAAATTCAAATTATATTTGAAAATTTCGAGATCTAATTTTTTAGGACTTTCCGAATTCTTTTCAAACTATTTAAGTTGTTTTTAAATTAAGTTAAAAATATTAATAATTGAAATGAAAAAGAATCAATTTGGACTATTGGAAGATTTAACAGAGCCAGGACTCATTAAAAAAAGTAACGATGTTTCATGGAAGAATGAAGAAATTTATAAATAAACCAATTTTGAAAAAAATACAACTTATTTCCACATTATGGGTAATTTATAAATTCAAGAATATTAAGGTCATGAAGAATCTCATGCAGTCAGAAGAAGAGAAATATTGAAAAAACACCCAGAAATATAAGTTTTATTTGGAAATGACATCAACTCAGCTTGGTTAGGAATCACCTTTGTCTTGGTTTAATTCAGTTTCATAAGTCTCTTCAACTAATTAAGTTTGTTTTGGTTTGTGATCACTGCTTATGTGTTTGGTGCAACTTTGAGTCATGCTCTTCATGTTTTGGTCCACGACTTTACCCATTTCACATGTTTTGAAAGTATAGCCTTGAATAAGTTGATGGCAATTTGGGCAAACTTCGGATAGGGAGTACCCTCAGCCATCACTTTTGGTAGGTATAAAATACATATTTAAATATGTTTAGATATCATGCAGATCATCATACCTTTCTGAATTTGGAAACCCTAGATCCAGATCTTCCATCAAGATTAGAATTAAAGTACATAAAAGGGCCAATACTTAAATTTTTGTTTGTGGCTTGTCTCCCCTTCTTTTATGCCTTGAGACCTGTTATCATAAGACCACTGAAGCCAAATGCTTATGAAGTAATTAATGTAGTTTCTGTCTTCTTTGTTGATTACTTGATTGTCAACTATATCGGAATTCAAGGACTACTTTGGCTTTTGCTTTCCACATATTTTGGTTTGAGGTATCAATATTATTCAAATGTAGTGTGCATCCATTTGCAGTTCATTTGATAGCAGAACATTACGAGTTCGTTAACAGAATGGAAACATATGATTATATTGGTTGGGCTAATTTCTTTGTTCTTAATATTGGATATCATACAGAACATCATGATTTTCCCATGATTCCCTGGACTAGATTACCTTTACTAAGAAAAATGGTACCAGAGTACTACGAGAATTTGCCTTGCCATACAAATTATGTGCATACCTTATTGGCTTATATTTTTGATGGATATATGGGACCATTCTCTAGAATTGTTAGATCTTCGCCTGTGTATTTCAAAAAATGACTTTTTAATTTAAATTGTACAATTCAATTGGGCAATATATGCCTATTTCATAATTATTTATATATATTTGTATAATCATGTAAAGTAGCACAAATTATTCTTAATTTGAAAAAAGGGAGAACTCCGATTGGCCTATTTTTTAAACATCCGAGAATATTAACAACCTCCCATTTTGGGATAAGAGACCCTATTTATTCTTTGAGGGAAATCAAATAGTAATGAAAGGGACATTGAAGAGAATTGGCAAGAACAAACAGATACCAAAAGCCTATATGTTTATACTATTGAAAACAGGTGAGCTCATATATGTAGACAACAATTAGAAAGGCAAAATCTAGCTGGACCTATCAATTGTTCTCAAAAAAATAGAGTTGACAAACGAGGAAAATGAAGACAAGCAAAAGATATCTGCAATACGAATAGAAAGATTTTAGAATTGCTCAATTCATATTTGGAATGAAGACAATTCGTATTATTTTTAATTAATTTCTAGTTTAGAATCAGCATTAATATTTGGTATAACAGATTAGCTCAGTTTTGCATTAGTTCAAATTTTGAAGGCTTCTTTCAATTACATGACAAATTAGACGAGGGAGCATTCAGTTCTGTATTCACTGTTACATCACAATTTCAAGAAGAACTTAAGAATTAAAAATATGCTGCCAAAGTATACTCTAAAAGTCTATAATAAAAAATACCTGCTTAACAAATGAAGGTAAATATTTGAATAAATTAGGATTTTATTTATGCAGAATGTTAAATACTGAAAATAGTAAATTCATAATACATTGTTAAACTATATGAAATAATATAACTAGAAGATGTGGTCATTTTAATTCTTGAATATGTATCTGGAGGAACCTTATATGAAATCCTTCAATAAAAAGTGTTAAATGAATTGATGTCCTTAGAAATACTATATTAGATAATGTTAGCGGTCAAAGAAGTTCATCAGTATTATATATGAATATTGTAATAGTCATGGCTTTGTGCATAGAGATATTAAATTAGAGAATATCATGATTCAATCTTTGAATCCTATTGAAATTAAACTTATAGATTTTGGCTTTGCTGAGAAAATCAATCGAAATAAATTAGTAAATGGGTCTGGAACTGCAGGATATATTGCACCTGAACTATTCTAATTAGCTCCGTATACAGAAAACTGTGATATGTTTAGCTTAGGAGTGCTTTTCTATTTACTTCTTTGTGGAAATTCCCCTTTTGGTACTTAGAATAAAGAAAGTAATTGTGATTATTTATATAATTAGTACTTTTGGAATTAAATAAGACATGTAATCTGCAATATCTATCAAAGGAATGGTAAAATATTTCTTCTTCTACTTAAAAAATTGTCAAAAAGATGCTAGATAAAGATCATACAAAAAGAATTACCATTTTAGAACTAGAACTACTATTAGATATACACATAAATAAGTTGCGATTTAATTAAGCTAATTCTCGATAAGCGCTTAATCAATTGTAAAATTGCAACAATGTTATAATGTAAAATTAAAGACCTGCAATAAGGACAGCTTCGAATAACAAAAAATGCGATGATGACGACATGTTAATAGAGGAAAAAAGCATAGATAATACAAACCTAATCAATTTAAAAAATTCCCATCAATATTACAATAAATCAAAATGGGTATCTTGAATTTGTTAAATAAACAATGAATTATAAAATTTACAAAGTTATGATTAGTTTTATTTATTTATAATTTATATCACATTATAAATGGAGGATGAAAATTTAACCAATAATGAAATAAAATTTCGCATCAATAAACATTATAAAATAAATATAGAAATATTAAGGTAAAACTAATTTTTAATGTTAAATTATATATAATCAAGTAATCAGATGAGAACCAAAATTATGCAATAAAAAATATTAAAAATTGAAACTAAGTATACTTAAATTAAGTCATGCTTCTCTTTTTATGGATAATATAGCTTGAAAATACTTACAAAAAATCTTATTGTATATTGATTTCAATCAATGATAAATGTTTAAGAGGAATTTATATATTCGAGGTTAAAAATGTGACTATTTTTACTTAACCTCCTAAAACATTTATCGATATGAAAAAATGATGTATTGGCTAATAAGAATAATGGTATAATGATTAGGCAATAAAATTTTTAAATGAATCATTTAAGTATCAATTATGATGGATTTTGTGTTATTTTTTGATAATTATAAATCAATTCCTTTATCTAATGGAATTTCAGTTATCTCAAATAAACAGTAAAATCATAAGAAATATTATTAAAAAAGAAATCCAATATTTCATTACATTTTGATAAGAGATTTTTTTTAGAATATCAAAGAAGAATTTCATTTTTAAATAAACCTCAAATTATTGATTAAAGTTATACTTAAAAATGGATAATTCATTCTTATCATTCTAAATAAACTTAAATTCGACAATCATCCTTTAAGAATTCTATTTATTAATAACTATAGTTTTATAAGTACAAGAGGGATATTATTATTATCTAAAGTACTTTTAATTAATAAAATATAGATTCATTAGAGCATTTTATCTGGACTAAAAAAATAAAAGAAGCTTTAATTCAGTGTATTTTTTTAAAATAACTATTCTTTGTTAGTGCAGATCTTACTAAAAAATGAAAGTATATTTTAAATTTATGTATAAAAATTAATTAAACTATAACATATTATATTTGAGCTCAAAAAATTCATATTGCTATTATAAATTTATGACGTATTTTCATAATTTTTTCAGATATTTTCCTCCATTAATCATATAATAATACGTAAGAAAACTAAATTTTTGAGTTCAATACATTATGTTAAAATATTTACAAATAAGGAATCACTTCATCAAAACAATTAAGAATCCTCTTTATTTTCTGGTTTTCTGATTAAAATAGGTGAATCAAAATTTGGAACATCATTTATAAATTTTGTTCTGATACCAGTTAAAATTTAACTACTATCACTAGAGTCATCATCAGAGGAGAGTGTGTCAGCAAATGGCAATTTTATTGTGAGCTTTTCCTCTATTTTTACTTTTTTTTTAATTGGAATTTCATCATTTTCTTAGTCTTAAAATTTCTCTTTGGTTGTTTCCTTTTAAGAAATCTCTGACAATTTTGGACTACTCATTTGTTTAAAATATTAATATAAATTATTCTTATAAATTCACGAATAAATTTCCCAAAAATTATAATAATTTGCAAAGGTAGTCTTGCATCTTTGTGTATTAAATCTAAATTTTAGCTGGTAAACGTTATTACAATAGATATCCCTATTCTCTTCATTTAAAGCTAAGAAAAATAAATTTAATTCACCAAAATAATCTTTACTAAAACAATTGTTAAACATAATTTGATATTATGCCAATAACATTAAAAAATTCTTTATTACTTCGAAATTCATAATAATTAGTCTGATATTACTAACAATACAATAAGATATCAAATTTGTTAATTTTATTTAAATTTGAGCACACAAGATGAACTATATCTAACTTTAAGATGTATTTAAATAAATTGTTTAATAAATTAAAAATAATATATATAAAATAAGAACAAAAAATTAATAATTTTCATGCCTTAGGTTATCTAATTAATGTCATTTTATCATCAAGATCTTTAATCAAAGCTTATATTAAAGTCAGACTTTTGTTAAATCCAGCTGCATTTGCTCTTAAAGAATCAATCTTAGGCATTTTTACGACTTCTGGAATTGAAGTTGTTATACTAACTCTAGAGCTTTTGGCAGCAAACAATTCGTCTTGATTTTCTAAGATTGACAACATATATACCTTTTAATGTTTGCTTTAGACGCTCAATCTCTTCCTAAGATTAAAGTTTGTTAGTCTCTAAATCAGTTTAAGCAATTGCTAATTACTCTAAAACTTTATCTAATTTAATTTCTAATTCTTTATTGGTTTCCTCCAGCTACCTATGTTTAATAATATGTATACCTAATCTTATTGTTATTTAGATCTTAATCAACTTCCAAGTCAATTATCTATATTTTGAGAGATTGCACAGTTTTTTAAAACTCTTAAATTTGAGCTTCCTTTTTTGCTAATTGCCTTTCTAATTGATTTTAAACCTATTATAGTTCATTCTTAAATAATGATAAATAATTTAATACTCTTGCTTTTTGTGTTTCTTCTTTTTGTTACAATAACTAATTTTAGGTTTGTGCTAGTTGTTTGTTTAAAGACTCAATGTTCTTCTATTATTGATCTTCCAAAATTTGGCTTTCTTCAATAAACTGATTATATTCTTCCTCCATTTACTGGTATTTTTGGCACATTTCATCATATAATTGCTTAAAGTCCATTTTTGGTATTATAAATATATAATATTATATTTAATGAAATTATATTACGCAATTCAAATTATCCTCCTTTTTGGTAAGTCTAATTTATTGAGAATCAATTACAATTTATTAAATAAGGTTGCTTTGCTTAAAGATTTCTTAAATGATGTATGAATTTAAGTATTTCTTGAATTAATAGAGGGTTATCATAAGTAATTGATCAGAACATGATTAGTTTCGTATAATTTAATAAAATCGATAAAATCTTTGTTTGCAATCCAATAAAAGGTTACTCAAATATCTAAACTAGAAACCTAAAATCTTTGAGATTATATAGAATGAGAATAAATTGAATTTCTTGAATTTCGAGTTTAACCTCTTTATTCGAAAAAGATTGTATTAATGAGTATATATTTAATAAACTATTGTCAAATCACATATATACACAAGGTTTTATAAATCACAAAAAAAATGAGAATTTGCTTAAAACTTTTGATATCTATTAATTAAAAATCAATATAATTGATCAAATCTAAGAATAGTTTTGCGATGCTCTTCTAATTTTTCACAAGATGAAAAGTCTAATCTTCTAATTGCATTTCTATATTAATCACGATCTCGCTGATAGAACGCTCTGTTTGCATAGCTTTCATACATTTGCTTTTTCTAAAACGCATTGTTGCAATCCCGTTTTAGCTAATTTACATAATGCTATTCAATTTCTAATTCAAGTTCTCTGAGTTTTTCTTTAGTTGAGACTTCTTCTTTGAAATTAGAGCCTACATAATATTTAACCTTTGTTTTATAATAAATGTTACTTATAGCGTTCTTGTTGTTTAAGCAGTCGGGTAATCATATGACCTTTAAAATGAATACAAAGGAGCTGACTAAAACAAATTCAAAAATCCTGATGAAGATAATAGAATCAGCATTATAATCGGAAGTAATTAAAGTAATTACATGTTGCCTTATCCATTATTTGGCTGTCTATTTGAATTGCGAGGTCTTTAATTACCAAAGAATGCCCTAAAAATTTCCTAATCTTTATTATTATATTGATACATTTGCAAAGTCATCACCATTAAATTATTCGTAATAATATCCATTTTGATCTTAATAGTGTTGTTGGCGTTGTATTTCTGGTCTTTCTGTTCCGTATTGATCATAAACCCTCTTTTTATCAGGATTCGAAAGACAATTATATGCTTATGCTACACGTTTGAAAGCTTCTTGGGCTCCTTCATGTTAGTTTTTGTCAGGGTGGAATTTCAAAGCTAGTTTTCTATAAGCTTTCTTAAGCTCATCGTCAGTGGCTGATTTTTACACTCCGAGTATTTCATAATAGTCCTTCTTTTTAAGAAATTCCTTAATTTCTTCAGCCATAATTTTATGTTTTAAAAAGAAACTTTTTTTAATTTGAATGAAATACAACTAATTCCAATACACGAATAAAAAAGAGATTTAATTATATATAAATTCATTTTCCTATTTCATTCATTTTATTTTCATATTAATAAAGGCCATTCCTCATATCTGATCAACTTTAAAGTTATTCAGCATTTTGCAATTAGATAAACTGTTCCTTGCAATATCTAATCTCCATTCCTTTTATGCCTGTAACACCACTTAATATTTTACATTTGATTATAACTTAATTACTCCTGATAATTTATTTATTCAGCATGAATATATATTCTGCTTTAAGTCTATATTATTTTATTCTTTATCTAATTCAATTTATTTAATTTTTTGATGAATATTCTTATTAAAGTTGTATATTTTGGTATGTACCTTCGATTATTAATTGTGAACTATTATTTTGATAAAATATGCTTATTTTGTTTTTTTGATTGTGTGCTCCAACATCATTTCCATTTTATATATAATTGTTTTGAGAAATAATCATTTGCTATAAGTAACAGATTTAGTAATACTCCAAAATGTAGAATCCATTTATCAAAAACCTTCCTTCTTACTTAGTGTATCTCTGAAATCAAATAAAAACTTTGAATTAAAGTAAATAAATTCTAATCGATTTAAGATTTCATTTAATCTATTACTATTTATAATTGTACTCAATTAAAGAGTGTTACTAAATAATTTTGATCCGTTTTAATTTTTCAGATTAATCTTTGAATTGAGCTTGCAAGTAATTATTTATTTAACCAAATGTTAAATTTAATCTACTAAATCTAATTTTATAAATTAAGTATTATTTTTGAATAAGAGTTAGTTTCTACTAGACTAATCATATAAATAGTAGCCAATCATTATTCAGAGGTAGTGATGATCATTTTAAGAATACATAAGAATCATTTCGCAGCCTGGTGATAATTGCAATATCATAATGATGTCATAAAACCTGTATTTTTATCATCTTAATTGATATTTTTAATTTAATTTAGTTACAATCGTTTAGATAACACAAGTAAAAAACAAAAATGCTTGAATCTTCTCAATCAATTAAAAAAAAAACTAGTAGCAAACTCAAGGTTGGCATTAATTTCCGTAGATTATGCAAAAATGCTAAAATACACTTAATAATCCTAGTATTAAAAAGTTATTGATTGATGTAAATAAATTATATTAATGTTAAATGAGAATTCTTAAAAAAATAACAAATTTAAATATTTATTCCCAATATTTTGGATAGTTGCAAGTTAATTATATTATTCACTTTTAAACCTGTATTAAATTGATTCAGGCAAGTTAAGGCTTGACATTCAGGTTTTATGACTACAATTTGTTTAGCATTCAAATTTTCTTAGGTTTTAACAATAATTAATGCAACTTGAAATGGGTGGCTATTGTAGTTCTTAATATGAAAAATACAATAATAGATATCAGTAATGCGAAAGTTGAGTTCATGTTAAATTATCGTACTCATTAAAATTCATCATTATATATTAATTTATATTAGGGAATTATAAATATATTCGTCGTATCAATTTTATATATGGGTTAATTTTTTTAATATGCAATCTGTCAATAAATTGTTTGTTAAGTGCCAATAAGAACCAGCGAAGGAACAAATCATTTTTAAGACTGAATTTTTCAAGTTCACAAATCATAAATAGGTTCTGTTGCTATTATGCAGCGATGAACACATTTACAAAATCAATGTAAATTGTCAATTACTTAGTTTGTAGAAATAGAAGATTTATAAGGTTTCCCTGTAGTCTTTGCGATTCAGTGTAAAAGCAGAATAAGCCAACAAGTAGACTTAGAAGTAAATGAAAGGTGATGAATTCCACACTTAAATATACAAATTTACTTTGGAGAGAGATGACACAGATGCTAATGAATTTTACAACTTTAACTTCCAAACAATGTATTGGTTTGACAATCTGAGGAACAAATTAAATATGCTTGATTATTAAGTGAACTATGACATTTCTAAATTAATCGGTAAAGGGACATTTGCATCAGTTTATGAAGCAAAATCCAAATTTGATAGTCAAATGTATGCAGCCAAAGCATTCTATAAGAAAACACTCTTTCAAGATCCAAAAGGAAAAGTATTTTAAAAAATATTTGGTTTAGGAACAAGTCGAAAATGAGATTAGAATCATGAGGCAACTCAACCATCCAAACTTAATAAACCTACATGAAGTCTACGAAAATAAAGCATAAATCTATCTCATAATCGATTTGGCCAGAGGAGGTTCACTTGAATATGCACTCAAGGTATTGAATGGACCTGTGCCTTTCTTATCGGCAAAGGTGATCTTCCGTTAAATAGTGGAAGGACTCAGTGGATTACACGAAAAGAACATAATGCATAGAGATTTGAAACCAGACAATATCCTTTTCAGAGATTTTGTTCCCTTAAAGAGATATGGGTTGATTCACATGGGACCCAATATCATGGTTAGCGATTTCGGTGTTTCAAGTGTGGTCTAAGAAAAACTCAATGTGTATCAATATACTGGAACACCAGGATACATGGCACCTGAAGTGTTTGAAACAGAACAAGATCCCACAAAAACCTACAATGAGAAATGCGACATATTCTCTTTAGGTTGTATTCTGTATTATTTACTGATTGGCAAACCACTTTTTGCAAATAAATAAGCTAATGTGGAAATGAAAATCGATTGGGTGTCTGTTGAATAGGAATTGAATTCAAGCCATTCTCTTACTGTGTTATTATAAAGGATGTTATCTCCAAGTCCTTAGGATAGACCATCTTGCAAAGAGATCTTGGAAAACAAGATATTAGAAGTCGAATATGGAGAAGATGGAGTGCCATTATTCAAAGATTTCCAAAGACCTAAAAGTAGTCCTCCGAAAAGGTTGATTTAGGAGGATCCCCTTAAAAACAAAGGTAAGAGAGGAAGTGTTTTGATGAACAATAGGGCTATCAATATGATGCCCATCATGGAGGAAAAACAAAGAGATTCGGGTAATCACAAATTCACCAAGAGGAATACTAATATGGATAACTAAGATATGAAATCGAGTCAAATCATTGTGAATCCATAATCAGTGAAACAGGCACGACGTTCGTCAGCTATCGTTCCTGGGACTGCTAAAAGACCATCACAATAATGATTAAATTAAATTAAATTATAATATGTAGCAAATTAGTAAAGAGAAAGAGTAGTAATATCAGTAATATATGGACCTGGAGAAGGAAGTTATTGGCACTCTGGCCAAAGTTAGACAATATGAAGCTTCAATGACTTAACTAAAAAGAAATATTCAGAAATGTCAAATTACATTAAAGGAACTTGGAAGTATTGAGGAACAGAAGACATATCAGCCTGCGGGTAAATGGTAATAGATTTAACTTAAATAACAGCTTCATTCTTAAACCAAAAAAGGATATTGCAAATGAAGTTGTTGAAATTATTAAATCTCACGAAAAAGACATTGATGAGTATGAAAAAGTCAGATAGCATCTAATTACAAAAGGAAAAGAGAAGGAAATATAATTATAAGAAGCAATGAAAGCATTAAAAATTTGAATTATACCTTATTAATTTTATGTATAACAAAAGCATTTGTTATTCTAAGAAATAAATTTACTAAACTTGTATTATCAAAATTGTTAATCAGAATAAAGTTGGCTTAGGTATTTCCTTGTGTTACTAAGAATAAATTATTATTAATTACAAAAAAATCAGCAGTCTTTTTGGGAATCTAATTTCCATCTTTTCTAATCTATAAAACTGTGGATTTGCTCTGCATTAAGGACTTTAGATTTTTGTATAATTAAACTGCTTCCTCTATTTGTGCTTCAACGCACTCATTTTTTTATAAATTAACTTAACTATTATACGATTCTTTGTGATGATGAAAATCCTATTATTTATTAAAGCATGCATAGGATGCACTTTTATTTTTAGTGGAATTAGATCCAACAGGAATTGAATTAAATTATACTTTCAACATAGTTTTAATAGGAGTTGACTTCTTCTCAACAAAAGGAGAATACTACTTGGTTTGGCTTCTATTAATTGTTAGTCTTTAAGTTTTGCGTTCGCTTTATGATATCTTATTTGTTGTTGGTTCTTTATTTTCTGATTCAATTGTTACTGTTCTATTTACAGACTGATTATTTTTTTTTTCGGATCCATTCTTTTATGAAGAAAATTTGTGTTTTTATTATTATTGGGGCAGCTTCTTTAAACTTTGGCTTCTCAAAACTCCTTTGAAGAATTCAACTTTTTTTTAATATGATGACTCTGAAATATGGGATTCCTTACTTGATGGTCTTTGCTTTGATTCATTAAATCCTTTTGATTGTTGCTATTGTGAAGATGAATTCTATCTAGGATTTTTCCTTTAAGCAACATTATTGGTACTCGAAGATTAATAAGAATATTATGATTTATTCGCTATTTTATCCATTTCGAAGTCCTTTGCTTCTCTGGTTAACTTTTGTATTTCCTAATCTATATTGCCTATATCCTTCAATAATATTTTCTTCAGATTAGCACTCTCACTCTTCACAATGGAGGGAGGTTATGCTATTGGAATTGGTTGCATAATATATTGGATTTATTCGTCATCTGATTTTGCCGAAGGAGTAGAATTCTATTGGGGAGATTCTTCTTTAACGAGTTTTAATTATTTGGATTCCTTCTTCAGATTCTTTAATACTGTTTTCTTTTCTTTGAACACAATGAATTCTTACTAATTCATTGAAGCTTTAGGTGTTTTGGATGTCTTTTTATTTTTTTGACTATTCTCGTATTATTCTAGCAAATTACCCATAATTTATTATTTTCTTAAGTAAATCACAATCAGTACCTCAACTCAAATTAAGCAGCAGCTTCCTCTTCACTTAATTTACTATACCTGCCTTATTCCTTCATTCAGTTAAATAATTTAATAAGAGTATTTATTATGAGCTAATTAATTTTAGAAAGCTGTTCATCTTATAAAACATTTATCAAATAAATAAGATTTCCATTATCCAATTAAAGTACCAAATAAACTATAATTGTTACATAGACTATATAATTAATTTTTATACAATTATATGTAGAAACATAAGATTTAGTAAAATTAAATGTGTATATATATGTCAGGAATCTCAAATTCAGATTATATTCTACTTAAATATCTTGTATTACCTCACTTGAATTTAGAGAACAATTATTTTATGGTGAAATTGGAATGAGAATTTGACAATTTTAAGATTTGTGATCCATATGAAAAAATAAATTAATTTCATGGCTGAACCATGGTTTTAATGGATTATTCGAGTCCTTGGGTGACCTTGGTTAGCTTGACATTCTGTGGTAGTTGCAAACAATAAATTGTTACAGCTACCATATTTGGATTAGATCTTGGATAAAAAAAGGATTACACTCCGCATGTCTTACAAAAGTAATGTTTAGCCTTAATGTAAGTTAAATGTTTACTTGTTTTGTGTTAAAAGTGTATAAACTAAGTTCTTCCATGCTTGTCAACAACTTGAACTTAGACTGAGGAATTAGAACATGATGGTTTTATTTCATACGACAAATAGAACAAATACACTAGATTACTTCCATTTCAAGAGGGCCATTGAATTCAAATTATACTTTGCAACAATGACAACCACCTTAAAATAATTGTTCCATTTTCTTAATTTTTATAAATAAATTAACCCGTAATATATTATTGTATATATATACTATAATAGTTAAATCGCGTAAGAGTACAACAGGAATTATTGAAGTTATGAATACAAACTATTTGTAATATTGATATTTAGAATAATTGTTTTGTATCAAATATTTATTTATATTAAATTTTTTTATAAATGAAACTTAGATGTCATAATGACTCAAAATGTAATTTATTTGGAAAATACGCAATAGCTATTTATCAATATAAGAATTATAGTACACGTAGCCAAGCTTCTACTAATTTATTTGTCTTTTTAATTCATTCTAAAATTGAATGTTTGTGAGTTGGAATGTAAAATAGATTCCTTCTAATAATTTTCTCGATTTCTAAAACCACCTTAATCTCGGTATGTCTGTGTTTCTGTCTTTTTATCTATTATAATGCATTCCTCTAGAGTAATTAGGGAAAAGCATGCTATTCTGACCAGTCTTCCCTTTTTCTCACTGATTCATTGTTTTATAACTTTTTAGTCAACACCCGAGGGGAAATATTACTTAATTTAAGTCTAGGTAGTTCATTTCTCCTTTCAGAGTTGGTTTAATGAGTTAGATGATTAACTTCTTTGATATCACTAATATTTTTATGTAATGAGCTTGTGTGCGAGTTATTACAACGTGATCTCGGTCTAATCTCATCATTGTCCCAAGGACCAATATCTTGGTCATAATACATTTTTTATACTAATATTATTTTTAATGCGTAAATTCTTCACTCAAATTCCTAAAGCTGTTGAATTATTGAAAGCAAATCCTGCTCTGCCAGTAAGAGCTCATATTGAATATTGTTCAGGATGAGGATATCGTTCATAAGCTATTTTAGCTGAAGTGTGCTTGAAGCATCTCTATCCAAAAAGTGAAGTCACTTTAAATTCACCTGATTCAGTAATATTATTTGACTATTCATTTAGAGAACAGGAAATATTGAAGTGACCATATTTAAATCAGATGGATAAAAAGAATTGGTCCATTCTAAAAAAAATGGTCAAGGAAATATCACACCTGATAATGTGGCTGAAATCATGTAAAGAGTGATTAGGTTTGTTGAATGAAAAGCCAATATTGAATGTAATAGGTATATTCAAGAGATTAAATGAATGAAGAATTGGAAAGAAAATACGGATTCCAATTTTGAAAAAGGAATTTTAATCTGTTTAAATGAAACTATTATATTCATCACACATAAATTTAAAATATAATTCATCAAGAATGTTAGAGATATTTAATTGGATTAGAATTGGAACTTTCAAAACCAATTCATTTCTTATTAAATTATATTGTTTAACCCCTTGATATTAGATTTAATGGATCTAATTTCTTTAATATTTTGTCTATTTCTAATTATGAAGATAAATCATTTTGAGATTCTTGAGTCATATCTCAGACTCTTTAATCTTTCATTCAATGCTTAGAATGTTTTTTATAATTGTTTGAATGAAAACCTTTTATTAAAGCTCCATATTCATCGTTCTAATAACATCTATGAATAAAACTGGATAAATACTTTAATAAATAGTTCTTATTATAGATCATATTATCTTAAATATTAAACTAAATTCCTTCTAACATTATTCTAATGAAATAAATGTAATTTTAAAATCCTGACAAATTTAGAATTTAAATTTCATTTAATTCAATAAAATTTTTATAATTGTTATGATTTTAGGAAATTTTTGAGACAATACTTTAAGTTTTGCATTGACTTCTTCTTGTAAGAAAAAAACAGAAGGTATTATTGTAATTAATAATCTGATTAGTTCCTAAAAAGGGATCTTCTTTAAAAGAGAATTTATAACTGTTAAAATACCATAATTTTAATATGCAATAAATACTTAATTCTATCCTAGTATACCATTGAGTTTGATATTTTATATCATAAGCTATATCGATTACTAAAGCAGTATTCTTACTAATAGGGAGAAATCAAAATTTATTTAATGAAATAATATGAATAATTGATTAATAATAATAATAATTTTCCGCTATTTTTAATTTAAAATGTGTATAGAAGAAGTCTAAATAGACAAAGGATTGGAAAAGTTTGTGAATGTAGCTATGAAATAGTATATAATAAATACAGTATAAGTTATACTTGCAGATATGGAACAACTAGGGGTGATTGGAGAGCAAAAGCGGAAGCTTAATGGAATGGCCTACCATTGTACAAGGATAAAATGAAGGTCTTAGAATTTATGCAAAGCAAAATCAAATAATTGGAAGGGCCTTCGATAAAAATTACCAAGTTCTTTAAGCAAATACCTCATTCAGATCTCTAATAATAAGAAATTAAAATTGCTTAGATTGAACTATAATCTGATATCGAAGAGCAAGCAGGAATGTCGACAGTCCAAAAATCTAAGAAATCTAGATATAGTAGGTTTTTTGAGGAAAACTATTGGAAAATGAAATTAGAAAATGAAATTCTCACTCACGAAGAAATATAATTATTGATAAAGAAATTATGGGAGGAAAATGAAGAAGATAGAACTCACAATATGAGTAAATAAAAATTAAGTTTTTGATGCTCTAGTTTTGATTGTTATTTTTATATTAAATTTATTAGATGTTTATTTCTCACTATTAATAATTAATATATCTAAAGTATTCATCTTATATGTAGAGAAGTTCAATTCTGAAATTTACAGAATCTCTATAAAAATGAACTAATTTTATAGTTAGGTAAAATATTAAGAAATCATTAAATTTTAATGATGGATCATTAAAAAATAGCAGTAAATAACTGAATTTGATAATGCTACTCAAGGTAGACTTTTTTAAGATGATCTTAACATGACGATTGAATTTTAATTTTAGACTATATATTGGAGTGACTTAATAAGATAAGTTCTAGAAAATAAGTAAGTAAATTTGAAAGACTTAGTGGAACTAGATACATTAGATGATATCGCTGATGCAAAGAACTAAATTACTGAATTTAAGAAATTTACACTTGTCACAAAGGAGAAAATGCAAATTATGATAATTTTTATATGAAATAATCTAGTAACAATGCAACCACTATTTAACAATATAAGGAAGTGGTTCAAAAGTTTTAACATTTCTTGGAAGAGAGAGCCAAGCAAAAGCAAAAGTAAGACGATAAATTGAGTATTGCAATCAAAAGAATCAATTTGCATTCTCTCCTACCAACATTATAATCAGATCATCACCAATAGAAAAATAGAATTAGCAAAAGACTGTCCACTTTATAAAAGGAATAGTATTCTCAATTTAAACAGGAATCTATAGATCAAATATCCAACAATATTTAAAAATCAATAGTCACTCCTTATTCAAATTATGTTAGTTAATTTAAGCACGGGAAATCACAATCCAATTTAGATGCATTTTAATAATTAGGATTCTTTCATGGACTCTATAAATGTGATAAACTTGAACATCAGTCTAGATATATTTCAGTCAAGGACTTGAATCAGAAATAAAGGAAATAGTCTGATGAGTGCTAAGATAATTACATTCATCTGCCAACTCTATAATAACCACAAAATGAATTGCTTAAGTAAGTCTCTAAGAAACATACATCTAAAAAGGCTTCACATGAAGAAATCCTCTACACCAATAGATGGGAAAGAGACAGAGGTAATAATGTAGTGAGGATTGACAGATTCGAAGTTGATAAGCTAACCAAAGATGTTGTTGAGTATATCTTCAATTAAGATATAATCAAGATATTTTTTGAGAACAAAAATCAACTTTAATTGTAAAATATGTTGTAGGAATTACTTAAAGGGGTGTATTATGAAAGTGTAATTAATTTCGAATAGATGATTTCATATTTTACTTCACTTCAATTCTCTTACCTAGAAATCTTTTACATTAAGTATGCCATAGCTTAGGTATTAATTAATGCTCATTACAACTTTCTCTTTATTGAAAGAGCTCTCAATCAATTTGAAGAGTATAGGTATTTGATATAAAAACCTATTCCATTCATTACTCAACTTTTTGATAACAGCTTTTACTCTTCCTTAGCCAAAGATCTGATGATGAGATTACTTAGAAGTGTTGCCTATAATAAGTACTTATAAACCCAGAAATTTGAAAGTGAATAATTTATTGTGGCCATTAAAAATGGGCTTTTCCCCTATTTAGTTGGAGATTACGTGGCATTGCCATTACATGCAAGGATAAAGGATGTTAAGGCGGAATAATTTAGATAATAGACTCTTAAACCATTTATTAATTCAACTTTTGTTATTTAAGTCAAAAACATATTAAAAGAATACAATCTGGAAGATTTATATATAAATGATGTAGAAAGAAGACTAATATTTCCAAAGGTCGGAACCAATTAAATAGAAGATGGTAATTTCCCTATGCATTACATATATTCTTACATCCAATGTTCAAATACTCTCATACCTTCTTATGACATTAAAGCTTTGATTAAAGTTATTAAAATAGATCCAATCGTTTCCGAATCGGATTCTACCATTTTTGAAGACAATTTAACTTATCTTTCCAAATTTGAATAAATATAAGATGATATTTAATTATTTTTATGATATCATAATTGATCTCCAAATCAAATTGTGTTGTAAAGTATTCCTCGAATTTATATTTGAGTATAATAAAACAAATGAATAAATTGAATTATTTTTATAATTATGAAGAAATTTTTAATAATTGGAGCACTCCTCCTTTTGCTATAAATAACTTAGGTGAATGCAAGTATTAATGAAGTTTAAACTAGATTGCATGTAATTGGCTCAAGATTTCAAATGCACATACATGCATTTATAATGCACAGATAATCTCAATGGTGAATGCTCTTGCGAAGATGGTTCTACTTGTAGATGGAAAGATGGCATTGGTGATGATAATTGTCCTTGTGGAGGAGCCAAGCCTAGAAGAAGAAGAAGAAGAGTACACGATGGTCTGTGAATACATCCTGCATAATAATAATCAATCAGATTAGTTTTAATTTGTCATCTACTCTCTTAATTTCAATGATTTCATCTGAACAATAATAATACCATGTAGATCTACATTGTGATTGCATTTCCTCTCCTTCTCATCTAATACCATATTGATTAATCAAGACACATCACTAGTTTATTTCAACTTAACTTGTAGCTGACAATGTATCACTGAGTTTGCAGATTAGGAATCATTAATATTTAATCCTCAGCCACGATTCTTATAGAGAAGTTTTAAGAAATTTAGCATTCTATGGGAATTCTTTTTCTCTTTGTTTTTCATACAAATCTAATCCACTAAAAGATTGTTGTGAAAAAAGTATTGATATAGCCTTAGATAAAATATATGATTTTCTCAAATTATCAAAAATCATTTCATTTTAAAATTCTCTTGTGATATTAAATTAAATAAAGCAATTATTCCTCATTAATATTTATATGTCTAAAACATCTAAAAATTCAATGATTAATTAAAAAATTGTTTATTAATAAATTTAAAAATTGAAGTGTTTTATTTAATTCATTATTTTTTCAGTTTGAACAGTAGATTAACATGTCTGTCTTATAATTAACTTTATACTTTAATCTAAAACAAAAATAACTAAATTATGAGCTATTGTTTTATTCATCATTTGTTTGATATTTCTTAATTTATTATCTGCTTTCAAAATGAAATATGGAACGATAATGTGAAATTCTAATTACAATATATTTAAGAAGTCTCAAAGAATTTGAACATCCTAAAACTGCCTTTTCAAAAATACTCAAAATTCTTTTGTGACGGAATATCCGAATTCTTATAAATAGAACTAGCTTTTTTCAAGATCGCTTGTGAACTAATTCTGAAATCATAAAATATAATTGAGTATCTATAGTGTAATGCAATGAACAAAGAAATCACCCTGTTCTATGTGTTTTTACATAGAAAATTAGAATTCAGTTTTCAATATTATTGATATTTAATAAAATGCAAATTCCAACCAACAATGGTAATGCGTACCCTCAATATTATTATCCCTAACAAGGTTATGTGCAATATCCATAAGTTTACCCTTAATAATAATACTAATAATACCCTGGATATCAGATTCCATAGTAATAATATGTGTAATAACCAAAACCAAAGGCTGTTGTTCCTGCAAAGAAACCAGCTCCATTTTCTTTTGAACCAGGAAGCAATAAGGAGTTAGATGATGCCTTGAATAGCATAGATACAATGTATAATGATATGTTTGACACAGTGGATAATTAAAAACAGAGACAAGAATCAGGTACATTTAAATGATTACGTATAGGACAGGAGAAAGAAGAGGAGTACTGTATAGGCATTCCGATTGATTAGAAAAATAATGGTCAGCAGATTTAGTTAAATTAAGTGCCAAACAGCTTTGGAAACATACAATAAGATCCAGAGAAATGGAATTATTATAATGGAAATCGTAATTCCTTCTATTGAAATATGGATATTAATTATATAGAACATTACTAAAACATTAATATATTTTTGCAGTTTATAATTCTCATGCAAGTGTATAAGCGAGATGGAATTTTATGGTTAATAATAAAAATTAATAATCGATGGCAAATGGTGTAACTACATAGTGGGAAGACATCCATGTTAAGCATGGGAATTACGTGGAAAGAGAGAAGGTGACAACCCTTGCAGAAACCTACCAATAAGCAATCCAGAAGTTGGATGAAAAGCAAGACAGTGATGATGATTTCTTTGATGATGATGAATTCACCAAATAATACAAAGCTTAAAGGTATGGGTCATCAACAAAAATAGACTCTAACAACTGATGGAGTAAGCTTAGAAGAAGCTGTATGGCGAGGTATATGAGATATCACGAGACGAATATGTCAAATAAGTGACTGAAGCATCAAAGGATCGATTCGTCGTCTTATCACTTTATTAAGATTACATCGTGGAATCTTTGAAACTCATTGAAGTCTTGTAGGAGTTGGCCAAATAGTATAAGGAGATTAAATTTGTTAAGATGGTGGCAACCAAATGCATTGAAAACTTTCCAGATGACCAATGTCCCTGTTTCATTATATACAAAGACACTAAAGCAGTCTCAAATATTCCCTTCATTCACAAGCTCAGAAAAATTACATTTGCCTCCATTGAGGATTTGCTGATTAGTCAAGGTTGGCATTTAAATATACAATGTAGGTGTTATTCCAAAACCAGTTGAAGAGGATGAGTAGTATGAGGAGATCAAGGATAAACTCAAGCATCCATACAAGACCAATAATGTGAAGGATGTGGATGATGAAATAGATGATAGAGAGTACTCTCATTAAGTTCAATTCTAGAAACCTAAATGAATTGCTACATATTTTATGGAATTTAATAATTATATTTTAATTATAAATTTATATAAGTCGATATTTAAATATCAAATATTAATAATTTACACACTAAAGTTTGGACACAACATCAAATTTAAATACAGACTTTAATAATTATCATATTTAACGTCTTTAATTATGACTGTTACCATATTGACTTTAAATACATTTAAGAGCCATTACAGTCCTTGTGAGTTTATAATTAATAAAAGATGTAAATTTCAAAGTAGAAGGAAATGTTTTGCAGCTAATTCGATTTATACAAAGACAAGAAGTTTTAGTTCATTCCTTCATTAAAGGTATTCATTTATCATTCACATTAGTAAGTGAAAGTTGAAGAGGGTAATCATCCATAATTACTAATTAATGAATCAAGTGCTGAGGACATTTTTGAATAGATGGGAAATCAAGGTTCCAATCAACAATCATAAAAAGAAGTCAACAGAGAAAATAAAATCAAAAAAAATGATGATTGGAATTCCTATTATAATTTGAGATTGAAAGAAATCAAAATAGAAAGACCTGAACTTACTCATAATCAAATGACACAACTAATATCAGAAGAATGGAAGATTATCAAAAAATAATTTAAAAAATATCCTTAATCTTTAAATCAAGATGAAGAGCCAATTTGTAAAAAGAGAATAAAATAAATTAAAGACAACTAAAAGTTCTCTTAAGAGATCATCTTTCAAAAACAAGAATCTGATGTTGAACTAGATTTTAATCCCTTTTAAAGTGCTAAATTTATAGAAAATTTGAGATCAAAAAAATTCAAATTAGTTATTAATGATGTGACTTATGAACTCCCAGGAATTGCTATTATAGAAGCAGTCGACAGCGATTCTGTCTTAATATACTTAAATCAAAACACCAATAACAATAATACATATTCAAATACTACATAGGGTACACCAAACGAAAAGGTTAATGCCATTCTAGAAGATATAGGAAGTGATAGCGAATTGAGCATTTGCAAAGGAAATGAGGACTTTATTTTATAAAACAACATTAGATCATTTCTATGATCACAATAACGATTCTATCAAATTATAATAAAATAAAGTGTTATCATCTTTTACTATTGAAACAATAGCTGTAAACATTACTAAATTAATGTATTTATTAAATAGTAATCATTTTATGGCTTTCGTTTTCAATTTATAATTGTTGCAAACCATATCAAAATATTGTGAATATAATACAATTTAAACTAAATTGATTTATATATATAAAATGGATTTGTAATTGGAAGAACAACAATTCTTTGCTAATCACTCACTATCAAGTATATTTCTTTTAATTAGATAGTCTCAAGTAGGTATACAGAAAGAAATAATCCTTTACATCTTTATCATCCTACTCATTAAATTGGAATTAAGCAAATACCTGACATAGAAAATTAAGAAATCGCATTTGAAGAAGTTAGTATCTAAGAGTAAATCTCGCAACACAACCTGTCTAATCCAATAACATCATCGGAGAAGAAAAGCTAGATTCAGCCCCAAGTCATTGAAGTTAAGGAACCTCAATTTCGACAACAGTAAGAAAGGAAGAGTTAATACATTCCTGAAATCGAGGATCAAAAAAACATTTTGCATCTAATTAGAAGGAAAAAAATATTGTAAAAATTTATAACAAAAACACGATCCAAGGCATACATTTTTTCATAATTATTAGCAGATTAATTTAAGAAATTATAATTTGAATAATACATTCTTCGGAATAAACAAAATACTTAAAGTGTAAACAATAATGAAAAGTTGAAAACAAGTAAGCTAAATTTCATCCCTTTGTTTTATTCTCAACAACCGTTTCTTATATTCTGGGAATTCTTAATATTTATACAAACTTTATATGTAACTTGGTGGGGACCATTTACTGTAGTGTTCGAGAGCAATGTTCACATCAATACGATGAGTGAAAATATTGTTATATACTTTGGATTAATTGATATCTTAATGACGATGAATAAAAGCATAATATATTAAGGGTAGATTTTAGATGACAGGGGGATTATAATAAAATAGTATTTGTAAAATTAATTCGCACCAGATCTTATTTCATTATTTACAATTTGCTCTATTGATAATAGAAATTACGCCTAAGAGCAAGAATTAATCTTCATAGCTTTGGCAGTCATCTTGATCTACATAAATTAGAAAAGAATAATGAATATCTTGGACAAAATACAAGAGTCTTTTGATGTGCAGTAGGACGCATTAGATTTGATCAAGGTGTTATTGATTATTGGATATTTTGCACATATCAGTGCATGCATCTGGGCTAGGATATCGATGATTAGTGAAAAATCTGGTTACATGTCTTGGATGAGGTTTTATGAGGTTGACAATCAATCTTCATGGATTCAATACAATTTTTCATTCTATTGGGCTACAATGACAATGGTAACTGTTGGATATGGGGATATCACTCCACAAAATCAATACGAGATGTTGTGTGCTATTCTAATCATGTTCATAGCAAGTATCATATTTGGATATTCCTTAAATTCTATTGGGATAATCTTGAAAAATATCAATGATAGACAATAGAAATTTAGGTAATCTTATATTTTAGATAGTCAGAAAATCTTAATTGCTAATAAATTCTTACATGAACAAGAACTAAGTGAGTCTGTAATTGTAGTGCAAAGTGAGAAACTATTTGAAATATTATATTGAATAGGATAGCGTTTAGAATGACGAAGAAGTAGTGTAATGTTTAAATATGAGTAGTTGAATTGTTTGCTTTCTAAATTGTCTCCAGGGTTGAGGGAAGAATTGTTATATGATATTTAGAAGAAGCCGTTGAAGTCGATGGACTTCTTCTTGAAGGATTTGTCTCCGCAGGTCCAGAAACAAATAGCCTATTAATTGCAAGCGCAGCATTTTGCTCCTTTGGATGTTATCTATAATCAAAACAGCTTCGATAACAATTCGTTATATTTAATTGTTGAAGGGAGAGTGCAGTTGATTGATGAAAGAAATAACGAGGTTGTGCATTAGTATGAGAAAGGACAATGCTTTGGTAAATATGAATTTTTTACTGGTTCGAATAGAGAATTGTAAGCAAGAAGTGAGACGTTTTCGCATGTGTATAGTTTGAAAAGAGATGATATGATAAGGATTTTGGAGGATTCTATGGATGACAGGGAGAAGTTTGCAAACATAAAAGATCAAATAATAATACTAAATAACTTTTAGATTATCAATTTGAATTGCTATTTTTGTAATGAGTTTACTCACTCTTACATCTAATGTCCTTATTTATAGTACAAGCCAGATTTGGAGAGACTGATAAAGAAGGAAGGTTTCTGTAAATAGAATCGATCCCGATTCCTAAGATATAAATTAAGATCAGGATCTGCCTTGAACTTATTGATAGTATACTATTTAGAATGATTTAATTAGATAAAGAAGGAATAGCATGAAAAGTTTCTTAAAGATATCGGGGTTGAATTCGATTCCCAATCCTCTTCATCTACCGACGAGAAGGAATAATCTCAATAATTATCAAATCAGCAGAGCAATTCTATAGAGAAGAATTAAGCTAAGGAAGAGTTCCCATCTGCCAAGAAAGATTACTTATAAACATTAAATCTAGAAAACAAGTCTTTAAATGTGATGGCAGAGAGATTTATGAGGTAAAGGAAGAATCAGAGACAGAATTCTCATCATACTCATCAAATGTAGACGCAAGCTATTAAGACAATGTAAATGGATTAGGAGATTGAAAACACCAACTTTTCAAAGAGAAAGCGATCTTAATCTATTAAGGATATCACAACAAAGAACAATAGAAGAAGGAACAGTCAGGATTCGTAAAGTGGAGGAGGAACAACCAGTCAAAATAAGATTACTTTGTCTATAAACAATACAGCAACCAAGTTGATGAATAACAATAATCTGAATAGTATAAAGTCGATGATTGAATAACAGTTAGATTTTGTGAAGATGGCAGAGGAATTAGATCAATATAGATTGCAATTTTTGAATTGTGATATGGAGAGGAGTTAGTAATTCAAATACTATTTGCCTTAAAATAATTTGAGTCAAATTTTATTGTAGTATTAACTCCACTAGAAAAACAGCAAGTTCAAAGGCAGATCTGAATCCAATAGATATTCGATATTTTTCAACGTGAAGAAGTAGACTCAAGCCAGTAGATCTCAAAAGCAAGCCAGAGGTAGCCGAGCTTATTCTCCTGGTTCCAAGAAATTGATAGGGAAAACCTAAAAAAGATCATTTATAATTACTCCTTAGTAGCATATTGTTAGGGTAGCATAGAATGAAACTTAATGAATTAGTTGTTTCTTCATATTTATTTTATTCTATCTTCTTATTGGAGTATATATTTTGATTTTTTAAATTGAGTTATTTACCCGTTTTTAGTGGAAATATATTATTAATTTTATTGAGATGAATAAGTTCATAACCGTAGCTTTGATTGCTCTAGTTAGTGTTCAAGCCTTCGATATTGATTTCGCATTGTTGTTGTAGGTAAAAAATAATTGCCATCAATTTCAAAGACAGGATCAGAATCCAATGATGCTGTACAAGCAGTCTATGATTTATTGAATGATTTAAAGACAAGCAACATTGAAGCATAAGGACTTGCAGATGAGAAAAACATTTCAGATGAGGAAATCGGATAATCCAGAATTGCTGCCTTATCAAAAGTCAATGAATTGAACTAAAAGGCTTGGGCAAGTGCAAAGGCAAGAAGAGAATAAATCGGAGTCGAATACAGAGTAATTCACTTAATATCATTTTTCAGGAAGCAACAGACTACATTGCTTGGGCTACATAAAGATTGGCTGATATTGACAGAAGAGAAGTCGAATTAGAAGAATTGAGATGTTTCTCTAATGGATTGTTTGTAAGAGCCATCAAATAACACAATGATGCTTTGGGAGTCATCAGAATATTAAAGAATGATTTGAGGTATAACTATATGTGGAAATGTTTAGCGGATACTTAACAGGAGCACCATCTTCAATGGTTGAATTGAAAGTCGAGAACGTTGCTGACAAATTGAAACAATACAGTCAATTGTTTAATCAAGATGCCATGAGCAAATTCGCTCAATTGGCTGCAGAATAAGCCTCAGGAAATGCTGAATTACATGCTTTGGGAGAAAGTGAAAGCACAACTGGAGGAGATAGACAACCAGGAGTCAACGTTGGTCAATTAGTCTACAATGCCTTGAGTGATTTGGAGGATCAATTGAAATCAGCCTTGGCTGCTTTAGAACAAAATGAAATTGCCGGATATTATCAATTAGCTGATTGGTTGGCTGACTCTGAAGCTGAGAAGGTTCATTTGTAAGATGAAATCTAAAGAAAGACTCAACTCTAAGACAAATTAGTCGTGGTAATTATATAGTGTCTAATCTCTTATAGTAAGAATAAGCTGCTCTCGCTGTTTAGGCCAAAGCAAATTCAGTCTTAAAGGATTCATAAAATGCTATCAATGCTGCCACAGCTAGTTTACAAGAGTTGAGAGACCTCTATGACACCGAATTGAATAGAAGAAATGGTATTCATGTTAACTATTACTTTAGAGGAGAATGCCATCATTGATGAAGTGATCCACATCTTCAAATAACAAGTTTTGGAAATGGCTAACTAAACCTCATATGGCAAGAAATGAAATATTAAGATTATCAATTTAAACTGAATATTTTATATTAAATAGACATCACCCCTTTCAACTAATCCACTTATTAAATTATCCATTATTCCAGATCCCCTCTCTCTCCTTCCCCTATGGATTGTATTGAATTCCCTTCCCATGCTACATCCCGAAATACCACTATCCCTTATACATCCACTAATCTGGCCTAATTCACAATCAAACTGCCATTTACCACATAAACACTCCATCCCCGTGTTCCAAATCGTTTTCATATTGACCTTCATACTTTCTAGAGTCCACCCATAAATAGATTCCTTATCCGTTCCTCTTTATCTACCCATCCACAGTGATCACTTGTCCGAAATACTTGTCTCCATTTTTATACTAAATCGTTGCCTCTCCTTGTAACTAATCATTCTGGAATTCCCCTTGATACTCATTCCCTGTTACTAGATCAATGAGTTTCCCTTCTCCACATTTCACATTATTCTTAAAATCTCCTTTATATTCATACTTCCCCTGTAATATCTCCTGTCCTTTCCCTTGCTTTAAATCATCCTCCCAATCTCCTTCATACGAATAACCACCTGAACAAAACAACCCTCTTCCATTCGCCTTACCATTCTAAGAGAATCCCTCATAATAGTCTCCAGATCCCATAATTATTCTCCCAAAGCCAAAAGGCAATCCGCCTCTCCAATATCCCTCGTAATATTCTTGTCCGATAATTGCTCTCCCCCAACCAAATCTCTAATTGTTCTATATCTGACCTTCATAAATAATCCCATCAGGGAATTAGCAAGGAGGCACGACTTCGATATTATTCAATAATGAATCTGCCTGAGGAGGTGACAAATGACCTATTTTATTTAGTACTGATTAGATCGTTGGACTGAAAGGAGGAAATACCTCTAGAGTCTTTACACTCATAATTTAAGATTAACTATCCAACCTAAAGAATCTTTGACTTTGGTGTCCAGTGCTTATAAACTGGGATGAACCCAGCGATCTTTAAACTATCTATGATTATTTTAATGATTGAGATCCATCTAAAGATCCGAATTAATACAAACTACGCTTCATATCTTCGACTGTCTGAAATTCTTAAGTGAGATCTGTTAATTTCTAGAATAGGCAATTCAAACTTTGTATGAAGTCATTTTTCAGTATATTGAATTATTACTATTGATTTTAGGTGTTCTTGTATCGAATTCTAGTGCTCGTTGGTTAAAGTGTACTAACTACACTATTCAAGCAATTGAGAATGTCACATCGCAGTTAGTTCAGATTGCCATTTCTTCATATTACAGTATTTTATACTTGTTGATGATCTACATCAAAGATTATTCAGATATAGGCAATTCTTTATCTTGGTCTCTAGAAAATATTGAATTGAATAAATAATTGTTATTGTCATTCCTTTTTTACTCATTAGACTGAATTTCTTGTAATTGCTATTTGAAATTTAGATTTTTTGCTTGCTACTCACATAAATCTCTTCTAATTATCTCCTAGATCTATTTCTTTGCTTTCTCTGAACTCTCATAAAATATCTTAAATAATTGTGAGATATCAGAAACAATCTCCTATGCCTCTTTGTCAATCAGAGCATTATACTCTTTCAATCTTTTGTCTAATTCTTAAAGTGTACTATTAATATTTGGAATCAGAACTGTTTTTGTTTACCCATTCTACTGAAATATGAATTCATTAAGCTAATTCAAATAATTTTTGTGTTCATTTTTATGTTAAACATTTCCATTTATGCCTTATATTTGAATAATTGCATTTACATTACTAGCAAAGAAGATTACCGTAATTGCAATTCACTTTAGTGCACACAAAAGATACTTAATTACCCGGATGCTTGCGGCATTAAAGTCCATATTACATTTTATAAAATATTATTTTATAATTTCTCATTAATTCCTTTCATTAACACTTTTGACAATCTTTATTTTATCTTAATCAATACATTTGATGAACTTCTTTAAGTATCTTTATCATTGAATGAAGGATTCATTTTATCAATAACATAAGATCGCCCTGATTTACCCTCTTATATATTTATCAAATTGGAAAAATTGATACTTTCACTTTCATATTTCCTTTAAGAATCATTTCAAATTTATACCCATTATTATAATCATTTATAATTATTCATTATCATGAATTATTTAATAATCTCCTCTTGTTTCATCTATTTTAAGAGAATGTATTCATAAAAACAATCTTAATTAGCAATTTTAAATTAGATAGTAGATTATTTGTAATTAAAAACATAATAAATACTAGGATTAAATTTCGTAGAAGAAATTTTACATCAATATATCTGATTTGTTTTAATTAACCAATTAATTTTTGGATATGAACTTAAATGGAAGGATATCATTTCTTGCACTTAATAACTTTTACAAGAGCTGAATAATTAAATCAAAAATTATATCTGTATTATACTATATAAATATAAAACTTAATTTCTAATTGATAATTTAGATATTATAATTTAATTCTTGAAAACTCTTTAATTTCATATTCTAAAGTTTATCTATACATACAATTCTAGATTCTATTTAATTTTCAAATTTGATTTTTATATATAAAAAACTTTTGTGAATGTAACAATAAATTCTTATATACGGTTCAACCCAAAATTTCATGATATTACTTTTTGGGATACTACAACATTAACATCTAAACAATAAAAAGGAAAATAAATAAAGTTTCTTTTAACTATTAATGATATTAGGTTTGTTTATTATATCTTTCCATTTTTACTTAGAATTTGAGTAGAATTTATATAGAATTTAAGTAGAATTTACATAGAATTTTTATATAATTGATAGAGAATATTATATTATATAAAGGGTACGAGATTTTGCAGATTTATATTTTTTGTATTGAAAATATTGAAATGGAAACAGAACGTATAAAGAAAACTGATCACTTAATAAAATTGGAGGATGCACAAATAACACCCTTTTTATGTAATGGATGAATTAATTTAGGGAAATCCTATGTTATATTTAATGAGGAACATCCTGAATACACTTTAAACTAGCTTCTTCGCTTTCTGCTAAAGATGATATATGTGTAAGCAATTAATTTAATATTTGTTTATATTATATCCTTTTTAACATTTTATTTGGAAAGTTTTTAGAATTTGCTAGTTGGACGTGATGAAGGTAATACTTATGTACTTTACACGGTTGCCTTTGTGATAATATTTTATATTGCAGTATGCGCAAAAAAAGCAAGGACTTCATTTAAGTTGATAATATTTATTATATTGTCATCAATGGTCATATTTCTTTTTGGAAATCTGTTGGGATTGATAGTACTATAGTACCCTAGTGAATAAAAAGTTATTTTTTTAGTTTATACCATCCTCTTAACTTCGACTATGATAATATCATTCATTTTAATATTGAATTTTATTCCAACTTAAAAATTTAGTTTTGAAAGTAATAATATAATTAAATTAGAATTGGTTGCTACATCCACTTTAGCCTAGTTAATAATATTTATAATATTTATTAGTATTTACAGTGAAGAATGGGGTTTTATTGTATTTGTCTGGCTTTATCATTATTTATATTGTGTATTTTTTACTTATCATCTCATTTTAATATCAACAGGATAAGATGTATTTTATAAATAAAGTATTATAGAGAATTTTTAAGGGAGATGAAAATATACCTTTAGATTATATGATGGCAGGATTAATTGCTTATATAGGATCAGTTTGTTTAGCTATAGCAATTGTTCAAATATTGACCCTAATGCTCCTTTTTGAATCCATTTTAATATTGTGTTGCAAAACAGATGAAAGATATTTTAGTATTGTTTGATTATGAATTATTCAATTTTATCACCCAAACAGTATATTTCTTGAATATTTGATAAAACAATAATCATAAAATTTCCATAAGCATGCACATCAATCTCATTTATATGTTTTTCTCTAAAAGATTTTACTAAGAATTATAAGTTTTCAGTCCAATGTAACGAATCTTTCCTCAATCAAAATATAAAAAAATAATTACAGATTATTATGTTACTTTTTAAATCATAATAACTCTAATTTTAAAAACTCCACTAAATTAGATTATATAAATTGAATTCAAATTTGAAATAATTTAATCGAATCCTTAAGGATAAAGAAATTACACATGTTTTTAAGATTCTTGATCCTCAATAAATTAATTTTGAGGGATTCCTATAAACTATTGGGAATAAACTAAATAGAGTATTATTGATCAAATTATATTTAACTTTAGGTGTAGTAATATTAAATGATATTAATTTTGATTGCTAATTATACAATATTTTATTTTTCGTTTAATTTTAATATCTTTTATAATAGGGCATTTTAACTTAAGTAGTTATAAATTANCTTCGCTTTCTGCTAAAGATGATATATGTGTAAGCAATTAATTTAATATTTGTTTATATTATATCCTTTTTAACATTTTATTTGGAAAGTTTTTAGAATTTGCTAGTTGGACGTGATGAAGGTAATACTTATGTACTTTACACGGTTGCCTTTGTGATAATATTTTATATTGCAGTATGCGCAAAAAAAGCAAGGACTTCATTTAAGTTGATAATATTTATTATATTGTCATCAATGGTCATATTTCTTTTTGGAAATCTGTTGGGATTGATAGTACTATAGTACCCTAGTGAATAAAAAGTTATTTTTTTAGTTTATACCATCCTCTTAACTTCGACTATGATAATATCATTCATTTTAATATTGAATTTTATTCCAACTTAAAAATTTAGTTTTGAAAGTAATAATATAATTAAATTAGAATTGGTTGCTACATCCACTTTAGCCTAGTTAATAATATTTATAATATTTATTAGTATTTACAGTGAAGAATGGGGTTTTATTGTATTTGTCTGGCTTTATCATTATTTATATTGTGTATTTTTTACTTATCATCTCATTTTAATATCAACAGGATAAGATGTATTTTATAAATAAAGTATTATAGAGAATTTTTAAGGGAGATGAAAATATACCTTTAGATTATATGATGGCAGGATTAATTGCTTATATAGGATCAGTTTGTTTAGCTATAGCAATTGTTCAAATATTGACCCTAATGCTCCTTTTTGAATCCATTTTAATATTGTGTTGCAAAACAGATGAAAGATATTTTAGTATTGTTTGATTATGAATTATTCAATTTTATCACCCAAACAGTATATTTCTTGAATATTTGATAAAACAATAATCATAAAATTTCCATAAGCATGCACATCAATCTCATTTATATGTTTTTCTCTAAAAGATTTTACTAAGAATTATAAGTTTTCAGTCCAATGTAACGAATCTTTCCTCAATCAAAATATAAAAAAATAATTACAGATTATTATGTTACTTTTTAAATCATAATAACTCTAATTTTAAAAACTCCACTAAATTAGATTATATAAATTGAATTCAAATTTGAAATAATTTAATCGAATCCTTAAGGATAAAGAAATTACACATGTTTTTAAGATTCTTGATCCTCAATAAATTAATTTTGAGGGATTCCTATAAACTATTGGGAATAAACTAAATAGAGTATTATTGATCAAATTATATTTAACTTTAGGTGTAGTAATATTAAATGATATTAATTTTGATTGCTAATTATACAATATTTTATTTTTCGTTTAATTTTAATATCTTTTATAATAGGGCATTTTAACTTAAGTAGTTATAAATTATATATTAACAAATTTGTCTCCTTAAGTTAAATTACAATGGAATGTGTAATATTATTATGAAAAAGGTCACTAAATAAAAACATCAGAATAAATTGCTATCTTAATTATATTGAAGGATCCTGCAAGAATTCGATAGCATATTCATAATAGTAAATGTTAATTTACATTTACTAATATGAAAACTATGATTTGGCTAATAACTTTTAATAAACATGGAATTTAACTATTAAATTTAATAATATGAATATAGAAGAGAGAATATAAATTAATCAATCTCGAGAATGTCATCATCCATCTAATATAAAACAAACCATTTAATAAGATAATTTTGTTTATTTTAATTCTTCTTCCGACAATGTTAATCAAAAAATTAAAAAAAATCTATTTGTAATTTTATAGGATTTAAAAACAATTTGATAACATCATTTGGATGCAGAAAGTCGAAACCCTTCCTATAATTATTGGCAATTGTATATTAAACTCATTCAGCTTTAGTCATAACTTTTTGTAAAGTTTAGAGTTGCCTTTTCAAAATAAACAATTTTATATATCAAAATTAAATTATATCTATATATTTATAATATTCGAAACACAGATAACAAAATTCAGTATAGAGTGCTTAAGAAGGTCTAAAATTTAGGATTTGACAATCGTTTGGCTCCTATTTCTCTGGAATACCTTTTTTATTGTTGAATAATTTCTTCCATTTTTTTTATTTACATTTGCATTTATTACAATTGTGGATTAATTTCTTAAAAATTTAATGTCTTTTTTCTTTCATTTGATTTTTTGAATTTCTAGAAAGATAAGAAATTTCTCGGTATATTATGCTTTGGAAAATCAGCTGTATTACGATAAATTAATAATTCTTTTGATATTCTGAATTCACAAAATTGTTTAATAGGTGTCACTTTTAAGAGCTATCTCTAAGGTTGATCGATACTTTTGACTCTATTTCTTATACATCTAATAGGAAATTCGCTGCATGTAGTCGTTGCATTTTGTTTATGTAACTTTGAATAGCATGTTTTGGTTGTTATAAATTTGTTCTTTTCTTCTTTGCTAGAATACTAAGTAGGTTATTGTTGGTTAAACTCCACTAATATTGCTTTATAATTTTGATTGATATCAGACCAAGGACCAACATCGTCAGTATTGAATTAATTTTAAGTGATACTACTTTGTTACATTATTTATATTTTATATCATCTTTACATTATATGCTTTATTTAAACCTCATTGATTATACATCAAAACTAGAGTGTTTTGTTAATGAGTATTAAAAATTACAATCCGAATAATCAAATGAGAATAAAATTGAATGTCTAACTGCAGATAAATAATATTTTAAATGATATTTCAAAAGATTAGACATCCTGCATTGAATTCATGCTCATTTGCCTCGTTTTCTATAATGGCATACTCATCTTCATACTTCCTCTAAGGTTCACCTTAATTATAGTGAAAAATTCTAACCATAACTGGGTTTGAAGTTGATCTCAATTGGTTCTTGTCTATAGAGTTGATCCTCAGACTATCTTGCTATAGACTATTGTTATTATGATTGAGTCTGAACTGGAGTAGTAGGTCTGTATTCCATCTTAACTGATTCCTCACGTTCTGAGGGTACCTTATAGTTGGACTTATACAGTATCTGCTCAGAAGGCTTCTAATTTTAAATCACAATTTCCTATTATTGGAAGGATTCATTGATTTTTTATTTACTCAAACTTACTTACTCTGAAGGCAGGTTCATACTTGATCTGTTGAATTAAGTATCCAAAGTAATTCTATCTTAAGGAAATGGATTGTTTGATGTTTATCTACATATTTAATAAAAATTCAAACATGATTGAATGATTAGGTTATGGAATTGATCTCTGTGAAGATTGGACATCCCTTATTTTTTCGAATTGATCATATTTTAGTGGTTCAAACTTGTAAGGTTCAAATTTCTCATAAACTTTCGGTTTTTCTTGTTTTGCAATTTTATCAAAATCGTACATCTGATATTTTGTGTCAGGCTTAGGAACTTCATAGGTTGTTTTGCTCTAGTAGTTCTTCACACTACCTTACGGTTCTTAAACTTAATTGATAATAATATTTAATACATTTGTTGATATATGCTATCATAATTAGTTCAAGTACCTGTCTATATAAATGATCCGGTCTGTGGTTTTTAATAATCGATACTTTAGTAATTAAATTATGAAGTCGATTATGCATTCACTTCTATTGGCTTATAGACTTGGCTGGTTCTGTAGGTGTCCATCTCTGATGATTGATAATTTGCTTGTTAATTTGGGTACTAGTGGACATTTGGGGCTGGATAAAGATTTGTAAGTACAATTCATGTCCAGGGATGACACTCCTCCATATTAAAAAAGCATTTATTTTTATTCAGCCTGTTTTTGTTCCGTACTGGTATTTCTTATTGACCTTGTAAGTCTCTTTGTTGGTTCTGGCTCAGGACCTGTGTCGAAAATGGCTCTAGCAGTTCCCATCCTTTGACTTGTGGCTATTGGACTTTAACTTCTTCGATCTAACATTTATAATATAAATTTATTAATCTTTAAATTTGTTATGATGCTTTATATATTTAGTTAAGATCTACTAATTTAGTGGTTACTTTAGTAATTCAATATTAAATTAACTAAATGACAAAATACTATATTAATAATTTGCTTAATTCATTTTATGATATTGATGAAAAATCAAATTTATCCAGTATGCTTTATTAAACAAACATATACAATTAATCCTATAAAATAATTATGAATAATTAAAATGAGATAAATATTAGCTCTAGGAGATCCAGTATTGGACCGACTTTTAAAAGAAATCCATCATATTTATAATATAGAAAGTAAAATTCAGATTGCTCCATCTATTCAGAATCAAAAGATTAAATAGAATCGAATAGACAACTAAAGCAAGAATATGAGGAGAGATAGTCAAGGGCTCTTTCAAATTATAGTTCATTTGCAGTAATATGCCTTCTAAAATTAGAAAAAACTATTTTAAAAAAGTGGGGATAATAAAAAGTAATTTAGCGATTCAGAAAAGGTAACAAACTTTTTGAAACAAATCAAAGGCAAAGCAATCATTAATAGATTTATCTCGAATCTTTTTAGAAACTCATACATTCTACCTTAAAAGTTAAAGTCAGAAATTTAAGATTAGTACTTATCAAAGCACACTTCTCTTTTAAAAGATTAGTCAGGTACTCTTTCTTTCTATTTCAATAGATATTGGAGACGATTCCAAATTTATCAAAATATTTCAACCAGGAAGTCAGTTGTTAATGTATTGGGATTTAATTGGAATTATTATCAACATGATTTCTTTGTGGCTAAGTCCATTTTAAGCAGCTTTCACTTATCAATCCCCACTTTTCTTGATCGTCACTATTATTTGGTATTTATTTTTGGAGATTTTGGTCAATTTAAATAGATCCACCATTTCATTTGGAGATATCATAAATACAAGAAGCGAAATAGTTAAACATTATTTATAAGGGTAGGGGGCGTAAGATATAATAAGTCTTATAATTTGGATAGCTATATTCAATAAATCTCAAGAGAGTCTAATATTCGAAATTCTATAAATGATATAAATTATTGTAACAACCAAAAAAGTGATAACAAATTTTGACAAATTTCTTGAATCCCTCTATTCCAAAGGATCTTTTTCAAATTTGATAGACTTATTTTCTCTTGTCATAACAATATTCTTTTTTTCTCATATTATGGCATGCATATGGTTTTATGTTGGAGAGAAGAGTGGCATACTCTTAGATAAGTCTTGGTTGAAGAAATATGAGATTGATAATGAAAGCATAATGATCAAATATAACTATTCAATATATTGGGCTACAACTACTATTGTAACAGTAGGGTATGGAGATATAACACCCTAAAATTGGATCGAAATAGTATTCACTATAATCATGATGTTTTTATCAAGTTGTGTGTATGCATATTCACTCAATTCCATTGGAATTATCTTGAAGAATATATAAGATACAAAGTATTAATATAAAAAAATGTTATTGAGAATTAATGATTACATGGATAAGAATAATGTTGAAGTGGAGTTGTAATTGAGAGCTAGAAACTTCATAAAGCATCATCTATTTCAAAATGAAAATTTAGAAAGTTAAGAGGAAATTAATAATATAATGGAGAAACTACCAGAGGATTTGAGAAATCAAATTACAAAGTCAATTTAATTAAAAATCCTAAATTAGATAACTTTTCTCAAAGATTTATTTTCAACTTAAGCAGTGACTGATATCTCAAGGTATCTGGAAACCTAATACTTAGCATCTAATGATATAGTTTTCGAATAAAATGAATATAGTGACTCTAGTTTGTATTTTATTTTGAATAAAGTAGATATTTCGTCCAATCAGGATAGATAATCTTATTCGAAGAGAGATCTAATAAAACTTTAGCAACACTAAAAAAAGGTGATAAATTTGGAGAATTCTCTTTTTTTACCGGACTCTATCCTAAATGTTCTGCAAAGTGTTTAAATGATGCAGTGCTCTATAAAATATAGAGAGACAAATTCTTAGAAATCATTCAATATTATTAAAAAGATTTTCAAAGATTCCATAACATTAAAGATTAAATACTACTAAATTCTGATTATTCAAAGTGTATCTCAAGTTGCTAGAATTGCAGATAATTCACTCATTAAATCATAGATTGTCCATCCTTCTAATATAAACCAAATTTAGAAAAAAGAATAAAAGCAGCAGCTTTTAAGGAGAATGAAAATTCAAGAATTTTTAAAAAAAGACAATTTAATAAATCTAATTGCAGAAAACTCTGCAAAAACATTGAGTTATCAGTTAAAGCTTTTTAAGATGAAAATGAATCTAAAGTTCAAATATCTGATTATTTATCTGGTTATTTGTACAAAACCACTTATGAAGAGAAAGATAAATACAACTCTGACGAACCAAAATCTAGGATTATCATAGCTGAGTAAGACCATGTTCAACCTACGCCTTTAGTTTCAACTAATATGCTTTAATAGAAGAGGCACTAAACGCAATTTAGACCTTCTATCGTTGCTTAAATGCCCAAATAAAGAAAGTCAATACTTTAGTAAGAGCTCAAATCTCAAAATTAATTGTTAAATAACTCTTTCAATTCTTCATCATTCAACAAACTTTAATCTGATTTACTATTAGTCTCATCTCACCAAACTAGTATGCATATTGATCAGATGATGAATTATAAGGATTATATGCCTTAAAATAATATTTCAGCGATAATCATATAAATTGAGAAAATCCCAAAAGGATCATCAAAACGAAGACAAAGAGAGCTAGAATATTTAAGTAAATACTCATTCTTTTATTATGTGAAAACCATGATAATTAAAATAAGAAGAGTTTAGCGTAAAATGGCATAGTAATGGTGATCCTAATTATATATATATATGTAATTTCATTTCATCTTTAATTGTTTAAATTTTAACTTCAAAATATCAGGCGAACTGAGTTATCTTTAATTAGTTTGATTTAAGTTTTAAATCTCCAAAGAGTTTAATCTAGACTTCGAATTGATTAACTAAGATGTTTAATTTGAAGTTTATTAAGTACTAGNAATTAATAATATAATGGAGAAACTACCAGAGGATTTGAGAAATCAAATTACAAAGTCAATTTAATTAAAAATCCTAAATTAGATAACTTTTCTCAAAGATTTATTTTCAACTTAAGCAGTGACTGATATCTCAAGGTATCTGGAAACCTAATACTTAGCATCTAATGATATAGTTTTCGAATAAAATGAATATAGTGACTCTAGTTTGTATTTTATTTTGAATAAAGTAGATATTTCGTCCAATCAGGATAGATAATCTTATTCGAAGAGAGATCTAATAAAACTTTAGCAACACTAAAAAAAGGTGATAAATTTGGAGAATTCTCTTTTTTTACCGGACTCTATCCTAAATGTTCTGCAAAGTGTTTAAATGATGCAGTGCTCTATAAAATATAGAGAGACAAATTCTTAGAAATCATTCAATATTATTAAAAAGATTTTCAAAGATTCCATAACATTAAAGATTAAATACTACTAAATTCTGATTATTCAAAGTGTATCTCAAGTTGCTAGAATTGCAGATAATTCACTCATTAAATCATAGATTGTCCATCCTTCTAATATAAACCAAATTTAGAAAAAAGAATAAAAGCAGCAGCTTTTAAGGAGAATGAAAATTCAAGAATTTTTAAAAAAAGACAATTTAATAAATCTAATTGCAGAAAACTCTGCAAAAACATTGAGTTATCAGTTAAAGCTTTTTAAGATGAAAATGAATCTAAAGTTCAAATATCTGATTATTTATCTGGTTATTTGTACAAAACCACTTATGAAGAGAAAGATAAATACAACTCTGACGAACCAAAATCTAGGATTATCATAGCTGAGTAAGACCATGTTCAACCTACGCCTTTAGTTTCAACTAATATGCTTTAATAGAAGAGGCACTAAACGCAATTTAGACCTTCTATCGTTGCTTAAATGCCCAAATAAAGAAAGTCAATACTTTAGTAAGAGCTCAAATCTCAAAATTAATTGTTAAATAACTCTTTCAATTCTTCATCATTCAACAAACTTTAATCTGATTTACTATTAGTCTCATCTCACCAAACTAGTATGCATATTGATCAGATGATGAATTATAAGGATTATATGCCTTAAAATAATATTTCAGCGATAATCATATAAATTGAGAAAATCCCAAAAGGATCATCAAAACGAAGACAAAGAGAGCTAGAATATTTAAGTAAATACTCATTCTTTTATTATGTGAAAACCATGATAATTAAAATAAGAAGAGTTTAGCGTAAAATGGCATAGTAATGGTGATCCTAATTATATATATATATGTAATTTCATTTCATCTTTAATTGTTTAAATTTTAACTTCAAAATATCAGGCGAACTGAGTTATCTTTAATTAGTTTGATTTAAGTTTTAAATCTCCAAAGAGTTTAATCTAGACTTCGAATTGATTAACTAAGATGTTTAATTTGAAGTTTATTAAGTACTAGTAAAGTTTAAAGGTCTTTTTTTGAATAATCTCCATGCTTTTTGTGGAGGAACAAAATAATTGGTTGTTGCTTTTGGTTCTTCTTTAAAGAATGGGATCTTTCCTAAATTTTTCACCTTGTGTTTCATTCCTAACAGTTTTAAAATGTTTTCTGCTATTTCATCTTAAGAAACATTATTTTAAATGAAATTATCAAATGATCTAAATCTCAAAGTGTAGTTTTCAATGATATTTCCATCGAGTTGCTGTTCATCATTCCAAATATTAAAAGAATCTTGAGAATTCGTGATTGTAGGGGTTTGGTTGTAACCTCTGATTTTGTCTCTAATCTTTTGTTGATGAAATGAAACAACATCTTGTGATTCATTTTCTGCTTTTTAATCGATAGACTATTAAATTTTTTGATATAATTCTAGTTATTTTATAAGTTAAATACAGCTAATTCTGGGAGACCTTGAGGTTTCTATTAAATAAGCATTTGATTAAGTGCTATTTGAGTTGAGTTGATTCCTTTAAGCCATTTTAGGGATGTTCAAAGTAATGGGTTTTAGATTCTCCTTATTGTTTTTCTTAAACATAAATGAAGTATAAAAATAGTTAAAAATTACATATATTTCAAAAATTATAATTCTGCTTTGTTATCCAGAGTGAATTTGAGTATATTTTAAATTAATGTATTAAGTATGAGTATAAGAATGATAAAATGAGATTAGGTGTATGATGCATGGTTGTTTTAATAGTAATTATCATTTGATTATAATGAATTATAAAATTAATATTATTCATTTTTTCTAATAAATCGACAAATGGGTGATTAAGATTAAAAGTAGGATAAATAGAAGATAAAGACAACAAGATTGATAATCTTAATATTATCAGCCCTTTTGCTGTTCGGAAACAATTATTCTTTTGACAATCCACAAGCATTGCAATCTTAAATAATGGAAGAAGTGCATATTTCATTAACAGAATTCAACTATCTTTACTCTTTTTTCAGCTTCCCAAATATCCTACTCACATTAATTGGAGGATATTTGATAGATAGAATTGGTATTAAGTATAATTAGAAGTAGGTAGTCGAAAGAGCATAATAATATTTGCATCATTAGTTACCGTTTCTTAAACTATAATAGCATTTGGAGGAAAGTACCAAAGCTTTCACTTGATGTTATTCGGAAGAGTATTTTTTGGTGTAGCAAGTGAAAATTTGATTATCTCATAAAATGTAATCATCACAGCATGGTTTAAAGGTCATCAATTATCTACAGTATTTATTTATAAAATATAAAAAGGCAAGTGGCTGCATAGTAACATTACCAGAAATAGCAGCAGCATTGAACTCTTACTTTTCACCTATGATTTATGATTATACTGGAAGCATTACATATCCGTTGTTCACAAGTGTATTTGTTTGCATTTTTTCACTCCTGTGTGCAATTTTGTTGTTATTCTTTGATAAATCAAGAGACTCTATTTTACAATAAGAACAATTAGAGAAATCGAGTATTTCTGGTAATGATGAATCACATGACACTTTAAATGATAGTTAATAAATAACATAAAACACTTTACATTCCGAAAGGGCAAGATTACAAGAAATCAGAGAATTCCCTGCATTGTATTGGTATCTAACTGCAATTTGTTCATTATGTCTGGGAATTTACATTTCCTTTATGGATGATGTCAGTGATTACTATTAGAAGAAATTCTAATTTAAACCTGTTGAAGCTGGAAAATTCATTACAATCCCTTACATTTTTAGTGCTTTATTATGTCCATTTATTGGATATTACATTGATAAAGTAGGTCATCGTAGATTTTTCTTGATGATTACTTCCTTTCTATTTATAATAGCATAAATATTATTTGGCTCTGTTCATGTTGCCAGCAATGAGAAATGGATAGCTGCTATACCATTAATTATCTAGGGTTTGGCATTTACATGTTATTCATGTGTTATGATACCTTGTGTGTAATACATAGTTGACTAAAAATATATGGGAACTGCTTTTGGAATTCTTGGCATGTTTGAGTCAATTGCCTTATGTTTTTTCCCTATAATTGCAGGCAAAATTGTTGAATTTGCTGATGACCCCCAAATTGGATACAAAAACATGTCGCTTTTCTATTCCATTCTAGGTATACTTTTACTTTAATTCAAGGTCTAATTTCATTGTTTCTATGCATCACCCTATACCATTATGAATCCTCAAACAAGTTGGATTTTATAGATCCCAATAACCCTTTACCGGAAGAAATACGCAAACTGAATGAATATAGCATGATAACTGAGGAAAAGTGTTCTATCTCAGAAGAAAAATGATCGTGGCTTTATTCTCATATTTTATTGATATTTGAATTGTATATATAAATTATATTAATTATTAATTGCTTCTTAATGAAGAGGATTACTCTTAAGAAACCAATAATTAANTTCAACTATCTTTACTCTTTTTTCAGCTTCCCAAATATCCTACTCACATTAATTGGAGGATATTTGATAGATAGAATTGGTATTAAGTATAATTAGAAGTAGGTAGTCGAAAGAGCATAATAATATTTGCATCATTAGTTACCGTTTCTTAAACTATAATAGCATTTGGAGGAAAGTACCAAAGCTTTCACTTGATGTTATTCGGAAGAGTATTTTTTGGTGTAGCAAGTGAAAATTTGATTATCTCATAAAATGTAATCATCACAGCATGGTTTAAAGGTCATCAATTATCTACAGTATTTATTTATAAAATATAAAAAGGCAAGTGGCTGCATAGTAACATTACCAGAAATAGCAGCAGCATTGAACTCTTACTTTTCACCTATGATTTATGATTATACTGGAAGCATTACATATCCGTTGTTCACAAGTGTATTTGTTTGCATTTTTTCACTCCTGTGTGCAATTTTGTTGTTATTCTTTGATAAATCAAGAGACTCTATTTTACAATAAGAACAATTAGAGAAATCGAGTATTTCTGGTAATGATGAATCACATGACACTTTAAATGATAGTTAATAAATAACATAAAACACTTTACATTCCGAAAGGGCAAGATTACAAGAAATCAGAGAATTCCCTGCATTGTATTGGTATCTAACTGCAATTTGTTCATTATGTCTGGGAATTTACATTTCCTTTATGGATGATGTCAGTGATTACTATTAGAAGAAATTCTAATTTAAACCTGTTGAAGCTGGAAAATTCATTACAATCCCTTACATTTTTAGTGCTTTATTATGTCCATTTATTGGATATTACATTGATAAAGTAGGTCATCGTAGATTTTTCTTGATGATTACTTCCTTTCTATTTATAATAGCATAAATATTATTTGGCTCTGTTCATGTTGCCAGCAATGAGAAATGGATAGCTGCTATACCATTAATTATCTAGGGTTTGGCATTTACATGTTATTCATGTGTTATGATACCTTGTGTGTAATACATAGTTGACTAAAAATATATGGGAACTGCTTTTGGAATTCTTGGCATGTTTGAGTCAATTGCCTTATGTTTTTTCCCTATAATTGCAGGCAAAATTGTTGAATTTGCTGATGACCCCCAAATTGGATACAAAAACATGTCGCTTTTCTATTCCATTCTAGGTATACTTTTACTTTAATTCAAGGTCTAATTTCATTGTTTCTATGCATCACCCTATACCATTATGAATCCTCAAACAAGTTGGATTTTATAGATCCCAATAACCCTTTACCGGAAGAAATACGCAAACTGAATGAATATAGCATGATAACTGAGGAAAAGTGTTCTATCTCAGAAGAAAAATGATCGTGGCTTTATTCTCATATTTTATTGATATTTGAATTGTATATATAAATTATATTAATTATTAATTGCTTCTTAATGAAGAGGATTACTCTTAAGAAACCAATAATTAATATAGAGAGTAACCGAATAACTTTAGCTCTATCATTTATTTCATTTTATGTTAGAGAAAGCATTATTCGAACACATTTTGTAAAATAATTCACATGATAATCAAATTTCACTTCTTTAAAATTCCATACTTTTTGAATCTAGCTCTTAAAGTCTTATTCTAATGCAAAATGCTATTCGGATAGTTTTGATCATAAAACTATCTAAACTTCCTGTATTAAGAATCCATCAAATTGTGGAAATAACTTTCAATTATTAAATAGTAAAACAAACAAGTTAACGAAATGAAGACAATCCTTTTGATTAATTATAATTATATCTTACACTAATGCTTTTTCTACTGAGATGTAATCGCTCAATCTAGAATCGATTTCCTTATTAAATTCAATTACTGCGAAATTTTGCAGGGAAAACACTATGCCTTACAACTATTCAATAATTCTAAAGCTTACTTCACTGAATTCCATTAATCTTTCTAATGATAGCTTTTCAAATCTAGTATCACTTGAATTTGTCAAAGATATAGAAATCTAATATAAGTAATCATAATAAACAATCAATCCTTTGGTTAATGCTCCATTTACCAAATATTAACATTACTATGTTTCATACGATGATAAATCTATGTTTTGGGTGAAATTATACTTAAGTTTCCATTTTAACATTGATCTCCATAAAAAAGAGATTGCACAGATTATAAATTGTTGTTATATACTTATTTATTTATCTACATTGATTAAAATTGTTTAATTAGTTCAATATATTGAGTTAAATTAATTTCATTTTAATAGTGCTATTAAAAACAATAAGCATCCTTAATAGCCACAACTGCCCAATAGGGGAGTAAATTTTATGTAAAAGCATTATTTTATATGAATAATGATATTCCATCAATGATTGATTAAAGGTAGAAGTTATAATAGATTCCCATTATTAAAAGCATCGTCATGATGCTGATGTAAGTAAGTAACACTTTTATGGTTAGCCTAATCCAATGTTAGGACTCAGTGTATTTGGTAATTGAACTGTCCTAATCCTATTCGACTTCTAAATTCTCTCTTTGCATCAGATTTTCTATATGATTTTGTGTAGCTAAGTCATTGAAATCAATATTACCATTTAAATTGCTAAAGTTCATAAATCTCAGTTATTGTCTCAATGATATCTAGTATTTATATATCTAAACAAATTGTTATTTGTTTATCATTGAAAATGAGCTCAGTAATAACTTGAATAATATATCTATTTAATACTTTAGTTTTTTTGATCATTTAAAAGAGAAACATTATATTTGAAATTATAATTGTACCATTAAATAATGAGATAAAGAGTAGGAATGCCTAGAAAATCCCTTTAATATATTCTAAATTAGCCTCTAAGGCTTAGTTAATATTTTCAATAGATTTGTTCAAAGTCACATAAAAGTAGGGTATTAAGCTCGTTCTATAGAAAGAGATTGTCTCATTTAGGGTAATTGAATCAATATTTAAGGCTACCTATAAAAAGTTATTAACATTTGCCCTGAAAGTTCCTATTAAATCAAGGGTGGAGATATCTTCATTGAAATCTGTATTTTGAGTGAAAATTGAAATAAAATCTTAGGTTTCTAGAGTCAATTCATTGAGTTATGAGACGGAACTTTGGGCAAGCTTGTTTATCTGTATCAGATTAGCCATATGAATGTCTTATAGAGATAGATCTAAGTCAATAATTGAATTATAGGTTTGAGATATGATTTAAACAAATGATGTAACTAATTCAACCTTGTTAAATGAATTCTAAATAATTGAACTTATATAAAGTTAAGGTCCAAAAACATATTCAGTCATGATTAAAACGAGTAAACTGATTAATAAAAAACGATTCAATAATTTAATATAGGTTAGTTCTTCTAACATTTTTGGAATCTTATTTAAATCATCCTTAATAAATTCATTTTTTATTAGCCAATTCTGTTTGGAGAATCCATCATCTGAAATAGCTTTTTGGTTTGAAAAATCAACTTACAGTTCATTTTCAGTAATCAATGTCTTAGTAATGTTATCCCTGATCGAATCATAGTCATTATTATCTTAAGGCAAAGTCTAAAAATTATTTGATTGATTCTAAAAGAAGTTCTAAAAATATATATCTGAATTTCTTCTTAAAATGAATTAAGTGGATTATGATGATGTAGTTCGCTTTCGTTCAGATTGACTTGAACTCTAATGAACAATTAAATTATATTACAGTGTATTTTTTGGCTTCCTGCTCATAAAATTCAAATCTATTAACTTTGATAATAATAGTTTTGTCAAAAGATGTCTTGGTGGTGAAGAGAATGGAGCCTTCGATTTTAAGCACTTTATTCAGGTTATTTGTATTGGAACAGTATTCTTCAAAAAGCTTTTCTTTATAAAATGATATTGTACTTATTTGATGGTAATATTTCTTCTAAGTCAATAACTTGTATTTCATTATCCTTCTCAATAATTCATATTTATTAAATCTAAGCAAGCCATATTGATTCCTGATAACTATCTTCCGCAATCTCTATATTCTCATTGATTTTGTCATTTAATCATCCTGATTTAGTGATCTTTTAAATTCAGAATAATCTTCATTTAGCTACTTTTCATCTAAAGGGATTCTCATATGTAAAGTAATATTATTTTCATCTATTATTTTGCGGAATTTTGCATTGCTCTTACTGAATTCATACCCATTATTTACATTCTCATCAACAAGTGCTTGATCTAGCAAATACTTAAAATTATCGCCTCTTCTATTAGTATATCTTCTGGTCTAGTGAGATTCAGATATATTTTATTAACTTTAGATGTATTATGTCAGTTCTTAAATATACTATGTTTAGGTTTGTGAAATCCTCAATTAAAAGAAATCATAATCATTGTCCTTCATTAGCACTTGGTAATGAGAATATCTTAATAATTTTGGACATTAAATTAAAAGGCAACTCTATTTTTAGAATAATTTCTCTAATTGAATTGTAGTAGAATCTATTTCCCAGTTTTCATTCAACAATATAAAATTGGTAGGGGTCAATTTAATTATTGGTCTGATCATACATACATACTCTATACACATTTTTTAGTTTAAAATGCATTTTAGATATTTATTAGCCTAAACTATATTCGATGTCTCATTAATATAAAATATCTTTAATTTTTTAAACAGACTTCTTCTCTTGCCATTCTCGATAAATTGTCTCATAGCTATCTGATGATTCCGTTGCATTGAATGAGGAATCAATTCAAAGATAGATTTCAACTATTGTTATCCATATAGAGTTTGACAATTCTAACTAAACTTTAGGATTTCTCCATTTGTGTTACAATGAAGTATTCCAGATAACAAGTTGAATATTTTCTATTGATCATAAAAGTGATCATTCTCACTATCTGAGTCTGATTCTTCTTAGATAAATTCATCAGTTTCCACAGGTAATATGGATTGTTTAACTCTCTTCTTTAATATGTTCTACCTAAACCAATTATGAAGTATGGCAAATTCTTTTTTTCGATGTAAAAAGGATTTGAATTAAACTTTATCATTCTAAATAATTTGCCTTCTAGTTATGTCTTTCCAATTAATTTTTATTTCTTAAATTTTATTCAGGGTTTAATCAAAATCTTTTATCAACAATTGTTCATTAATATCATGATACTTAATTATGGATTTAAACATTTTAATTTGCATGTCCATAATATAAATAATTGATTTCTAAATTCTTCTTATGGATTCTTCAATTGCCACGACAACTTCAAAATCAAACCTCTATTTATAACTTTGCATGCATAATATGTCAATTTTTTATTTAATTTTTAAGGACAAATTACAAAATTATAATTTATCACTTAAAGACTTCAATTAATTATTCAATTTGTTTAATTCTATTAATGATTGAGCATACAAGTCTATTTTATAAAATAAATATTAGGAGTATTGCAACCGAATGTAATAATTACTTGAATTCTCATTGATGTATTATTCATACCAAGATTTTATAACCAGTTTAGAGAAGATATTGATATGCTTGGTGATGGATGAGGATAGATTTCTAATGTCATTCTACTTCTTTGGGTCATAAATCATTTTCATTGTACAATAACACCTCTTGAGATCTTATTTAATTAAATTATTTTTGCAATTCGAATTTTGATGAGATCTAACAATTCCCAAGACTAGAACAATATTTGATTGCTTATCCCTTCTGGAAATCATTTATTCAAATGATTATATTTTAGTCAGTAAGGTTTATTCATTAATTATGTTCTAAAATAACCGTGATTTCATTTACACTTCAGATATTTTCAATTATGTAAAAAATAACATTATCAAGATCCAAAGAAAATGGTAAAATCCATATCCTTTTGAGTTATTTTATTCAAAAATTGTATCCAAAATAAAGGATATATATAGGGAAAGATTGATATTAATGATAAGGATAAACCAGTACTAAATAAATGCTTAATTAAAAGTTGGCCATTTTGTTATTGCTAATATCCACATAATTAAGTGAAATACAGTATGCAAAACTAGTAAGCTTAACTAAAATGATATAACAAACATATTACATATTCTACAGTGCTGTTTGATTCGTATAAACACGCAAATAAATTTTACAGGACTTAATTTATAATTACATATATTTGTCCATTCTTAAAGTATAAGGAGGAATAATCTTGTTTTTAGAACTTGCCATTTCTTATGAATGCAATTGTCGTAAATTAAATAAAGATGGATACAATCAATATTGTTATAGATTAAATAATAATAACAAAATCCTAAAACGATGTAAAGTTGCATATTTATTTAAAATTAGATTCGTCAAAATACTTGCATGAGATAATTAAAGTGTGAATTTAAATTGTTGGATAAAAAAATATCCATTCTTATATTGTAAGCAACCTGATAAACAACTAGGTTATTTAATTATTTAATTACCTTTTCCAACGTGTTTTCTTCTTACCTACGTCTAGGGTGCCGATTGTAATGAAAATAAAGCACAAAATACAAAAATAATAGGAGAATAGGGATTATGGATGTTAAAATAAATATTCCTAAATTGAGGATTTAACTAGATTTTGTCAATTCAATTATGTCTATGTATTTGAGCATCTGCTGATTCCATTAGCTCCCTGGAATGTTGCGAGTATGTCTAATGAATTTATCTGTTTTACATTCCAATGTTAATAAATTGAATAATACTGCAATTGAGAATTAATGATAGTACTGTAGATGTTGGTGTTTTGATGAACTGGTGCTATAACTTATTAAACAAAATAAAGTGAGGGTTCATAATTAATTATAATTTTATATTCAAATTATTATTATATTTTTTTAAGTTTGAGTTTCTCATTATTCTCTCTTTTTATTTTTAAAGTCTTATTAATATTAATATATGAATTTCGATAATTTTTTGATAACAATTCATTATTTGCTAAATATAAAGAAAGCCTCATACACTAAAGCTTTTTCTTTTATATGCATAGGGTCATTGCTGTTTTATTTCAATTTGCTGTTTAAGTAATTTAAAAGTTCAAATTTATAGGGTCGAAGCATCATTTAAGTCTTTTGAGGATTTACATACCGATGTCATTGAAAGACTGTTAACTCCATTCAATTTTTTGAGTCTTGAAGCACTCATTACACAATCATTATAGAGTTACATCATTCTACTTATATTAAGCGTATCTATACCAATTTTGATCATTATTTTATTTTTAATATTGTGGTTCTAGATTAAAACCAAAGGTGATCGCACTACCTTCCTAATGAAATTAGCATAAGTAAATTTACAAAACTAAATAGATTTTTATACATATTCAAGAAGCATATTAATGGATTTTAATTTTTCCTATAGTTTATATATAGTCTACATATTTGTTCAATTTTGAAAATATAGACTAAAAATTGCATTTATCAACTAGGCTCAATTCATATTTTAGAATAATATTAGAAGTATCTTCAATTTTGGCATTTATACTGAATTTCATCATAATAGCATTTCAACAAACATTACTCTACAATTATAAACTGAAAATGGATTTTTTGAGTTTTAACAACAATGACTCTTTGACCTACTTCAGGTTATAACATTTAGTGATGGGAATAGTTTATAACATCAAATTCTAGTTTGTGAACAAAAATGTACTCATATGATTATCGACTCTAGGTCATCTTCTTTGTTGCATAAGTTCTTTTCAGCCTAATGATTTTGTAATAATTTTATTCAGGTGATATATTTCTCATTTTATTTTAATCTAAGATCCAAAAACTTTATGTTTTGACATCACTCTTATATGTAAGCATTACAATATCTGTGATATATACTTACTTAGCCTATTTTATGAACCTGAGTGATCAAGAATACACGTTAATTATATCCTTGATTGTGTAAGCCTTTTTCATTTTGACTTACAAAAAGGTTGTCTTGACCAAATTGTCGAATCTTATAATCAAGAATAGCCAAGATACAAAAGATGTAGTGAGAAAAGTCTTTTTTTTATCTGAATTGATAAACGATATGAATGAAGTAAAGGAGCTCTTCTATTTCGGAGTGATAGTTCATCATTTGAATACATCCCATAATCATAATGACTGGAAAAACATAGGGATGAGGTGTTACTGTCAACAGAAGGTAATATACAACGCCAAAAAGGATAATGATGTGACAAAATCATTGCATTCTGTTAAAAAAAATAAAAAACTTTATACTAAATTGGAAATTAAAAGCCTTTATGAGTAATATTTGATATCTTCATCGACTGATATTGAAATACACATATTATATATTAGATTTCTTGTATTCAATATGAATCTGAAATCTTTGGCTATTTCTTCTATTAGTAATTTACTCAAGAACTAATACAAAATTAATTATTTACAAAAGTTTCAATTACGGTTGATAATCTATTAAATCAAAATTATGATTCAGGATTAGAATACCTCATCGTATAATGGTTAACTAGACTTTGAAAGAACTTTAGAAATGGAGAGTACAATTCAATAGATTAAAGTTTATATTTAAGATATTCTGAACTTAAAAATACAATTTTGGAAACATCTTTTAAGAAATTAAATCAATCAAGACACACTGATTACATATGACGACTTAATCAATGAAAATATATCTTAATGCAATTCTTTATGGGACCTAATTCTAAATAGTGAAACAAGAATTAGAGACAAGATCATCAAAATATCTTACTTAGATAGAAGAATAAAATGGCAACTATATCATTCCTGGTATTGTCTTCATATCTTAAATTAAAAAGTCAAATCAAACCAATATGTTGGGACTGTTTCATAAGAAGAGTTCGTCTACGAAGATTCGGAATCGGATGATGACAAGTATGTATTTAATAAGTACTTCAAAGATAAATCATTCAATAAATCTTCAATAATTTTGCATACTGATCTTAATGGCAACATTTTAAAGTAAAGCTAATCTTGCTAAGAATTAACAGGCTATTATACCTTGAATAATATTTATCAGCTCATCCCTTAAACTATGATTCGAAATCACTAAATTTAATTACTGAAGTTCAAGTCTCAAAGCAAAAATAATACTTTATATAACAGAAAAAAAGTTTATATGTAGCATTAATAGAACTACATTATACCTGCCAATAAATATTTGAAGCTTGAAATCAATAAGTTTAATTAATTAGAGTTTATTTGTATGATTAGGCCCTTTATAAGATTATAATAATAAAATTATTTGATTTTAAATGAAGATTGGGAAATTGATTCAATGACTGCATAATTGTTGCCATTATTAACATCAAAAATATGTGTATTTATTATTTGTCCACAGTTATTAAATTTTACTAAGTATCAAAGGTATATTACATAAGAGGATTTGTCCATTTTTAACTTGTCATTCAAAAATGTACCCCAATAAAAAGATGAGGAATCATAAAAGTAGAAGGAGAGAGAGAAAATAAAGGAAGAATTAGAGGATATATGTGTGTTAAATAGTCAAAATTATTTTGAATTTAAAGATTTCTTCAATAAAACTGCAGATCAAACTCAGTTTACTTCAAATCTATAAATCATTGATGATGAATTAATACGTATTGAGCATTCCAACTTTTAGAAAATTGTAAATGTTGAGCACACTTAAATTTTGTTGAGAATTCCTAAGAACATTGAAGATTTGGTAGAAGATTATCATAAATAAAAATTAGAGATTTTGTCAGATTTTTAAATGAAAAAGTCGATGATTTTTCTAAATTTAGAAAGACATTTAATTGTCAAGGACAAGTTCGGTTAATTAAAAATTAACTAACCCGAATTATTAAAAAGAATTTACAGTTTGTAGGAAGAATATCATCAATCGCAATACCAAATACTAAGTAACACTTAAGTTATTACTTAGAAAAATTGTATATAAAATATTGTTATCGTAAAAGAAATCTCAATAAAATAATTAAAGTGGATGGATCAATTAAGTTTAGTCGGAGAAACCTGATGGATAAGAATGTTATAATTAAGTTTAATAGATTTGAAATCTATGAAGACAATTTTAGATCAAATATCTATGTAAATTGGTCATTTTATATAATTTAGAATTCATTAGTCATAAAGTAGCGGCAATCACTCAAATAAGTACAAAGCAGTGTCAATACGATGAACTAAATATAAATGCAATTGAACTAATCGTACAGCTAATACGTGGATGAATCATTTAGAATTAATTAAAGCAAATCTTTGATAACGTACGAATAAATCACTGGAGACTTTTATAATTAAAATTAATAAATAAATTTGAGTCTTAACGTTGAGGAGAATATTTTCATAAAGGACGATCAGAATAAATGTTCTGTGGTTAGTTTGAATGAGTTTGTTTAATTCAAATTGTATAGCAGACTTCTTTTATTACAGATTCTATTATCTTATATAATGATATGTATATTTGCAGATTCGGAAAATTCGAAGTAGGTATTTGATTAAAACATCTCTCAATTGAACCTTTTTTTCACCATATAATTATCTATTTTAAAAGTATATAATGCATTTATAGATGTGTCAATATTTAATCATAATTAGACTTAGGATACAATTCTTGAATTTGCTAATGTGAATAATGATCAATTTTATGATCATTATAAATTGTTGGTAAAGGAACAATTGAACTTAATCAAGCATACTTATCAATCTCAAAGTTATATTGATTGTTTTTATAATATCGATATACATAGAAGTAACAACTAATCAATAATTGACATCTATAATTCGTATATTGTTAATTTAATCTTATTCTAGTAAGAATAATTGGCAGAACCTTATTCAAGTTTGAAATTATTAAATCAATTTAGGGAGATTGTGTATCCGTACTTAATTGAATCTTTGGCGAAAATAATTTTGGAAATGACTAAAAACTTTGAGTTTCTTTAAGTTCAATAATTCTTTTTCAGAATAATAATAATCACTTATCATACTGTATCTAGTATTATAATTGTAATTATAAATATTTTAATTGTGTTTAAGTTGATAAATAAATAAAATGTAAGAATAATCTGGTTAATTAATTTAGTTCGTTTAATAATAGATATTTGAAATTGAGAAAGATACTGTCTCTAAAGTTAATTAGTATTATAGCGGCTTAAGATATTAGTTCATTCATTGTTTTGAAACCAAGAATTTGCCTTTAAGTATAATATTAATCTATCTCCTAGAACCTTTATCTAATTCAATAAATCATTAGATATTTCATTAATCAGAAACTGAAACAAATAAGACTAATAATAAGTCAGCAAAACACTACAAATCATTGATGATCTCAAAATTCCAATAAAGAATTAAAGTAATAACAATAATTTTTATTTAGTATATTCTAACTAGTCAATACTTAGTGCTATAGCCATTATTAGTGTTATCACTAATAATCATTAATGTTCTAGCACTTATAGAATTGTCTGATATGAAACACAAATTCGATGATCAAAATTTCTTTTTAAACTCTCAAATATTTTAATCAATGACTTTAGTTAAGGAGATCTACATTGCTGATAATGATATCCTTTCTGAAAATTTAATTGATGTTGAATACTTTTAGAACCGTTTATCTTTCATCTACAATGAATTAGAAGAAAAAGATATTGAGTTAACTAATTATTTTGAAGAAAATGCTATACTAAACGGAAATATTTGCTAGAATGAGATATTTGTATCATAAGAACAAATATGTTCAGATTATTTAAATGGTGCTTTGAGACATGGATTAAACTTCTATTTTAAACTTGTATCTTAAATGATATTGGTAACTTTAAATACTACAGAAAGTAGATTTGATAATCTAACTCTTGATGATATCAATTACTATTAATTGGTATGTATAATTATATTTAATAGTGTAACAGTTCTAAAATGAAATATTTGATTCCTCAACTTTGGCAGTGAATTCTTGGAACTTAAATATCATAGAGCAATACTTTGAATTTTTGGACTTAGAAATTATTATCATGTATCAACTATCTTATATTACCAAGGATTTGCTTTTTATCAATAATAGGCTTTTATCATTTCATATTTTTTGAGTTTCAATATTTTCAGAAATTGAAAATACAATTCTCCAAAGTAAATTAATTTTATAATCGTTACATACCTAATGAAACATTACAGAAATAAAAAATTATGCGTTCTTAATTTTTAAGAAGAGGAATAATCAAAAAATGAAGTTAGTGTACTTTTATTTGTCTAGTAATTTATTAATTATTAAATTAAATCATTAAACAATAAATCTTTTGGGTATACTTATAGTTAATCTAATAATCTATTTCTAATATCTATCATTCTTAAATAAAAGATTTACTAACTATTTCCTCTTAAAATGGTTTTTGAAATAGATACTCATAATTTATCAAAAAATAAATAATAGTCTATTTGGCTCCTACAATACAAAGAGGTACTTCCTAAATTATTTTGATTTAGAATTCTGAGGTCTATATTATTCAGAGGACTACTGTCATTAAAGTTATTTGATTTAAATAGATATGCAATAAATTTCATAAATCTTTTATTTTATTTTCATTTAACTCTTATTAATTCAATTAGCTTTAACTTACGGTTTCAATTTCTGTTTGTTATTCTAATTACTATGGACTTTGTTGAGTTTCTTATTAATCTTTTTTACAATTATTTTCGAATTTAATTTTGGCCTACAAACTAAATTATTCTTTAATTCCCAATTTTGGTTCAACATAAGAAAATATGGGCTTCTTATTCTAACCAACTTATTTAGGAATTGTTTCATTCAATTATTGCAGTAATTCATTGTAGGTTGCTCTTTACTTTTCATCATGTTCTAGCATTCTTGTAAGGATATACTTAATTCTTTGATTTTAGACATTCCTCAACAAGTCTTTAGTTATTTACTAACCTTGTTCACCCTGAATCAATTATGTAAATTTACAGAATTTAATTTTTATATTTCTGAATTCAACAGAAGAGTTGTCTACAGCAGAGTTACACCCAATGAATAAACATCAGATTTTTCTACATTGTGAGTAATTTTATTAATTTTTGATATCTAGAATTGCCCCTCTTCAAAAGCCTTCCATAATATTGGAGACAAGTAAGCTGGCGTTCCAACCAATGTGCCATTAATTGTGGGTAACTTCTCCTTCATTAATTTTCGAGAAACTCCAAAATCCGTGATGATTATTTGTTATTCTTTATTAAGAAGGATGTTTTCAGGTTTTATATCTCTATTTTTGATCAATCAAATACCTATGATATATATTTGAATGCAGTTTGATATCATTTAATGTTTGTATGCATTACAAGAATATGTGATGCAATTAGTCATCAGAAAAATATTTATTAGCTTGTCTTCTCTCGTCGATTTCCTTCATCAGGCTTTTATCAGCAAGTTCCATTACCAACACTAATGTATAAGTTTTAGTGATCTGATTGGCCCATGCATAACTCTAATCATAGAATTTAACATTACCTTGTAAAGCTTAATGATATTTGGATGTTAGTTTGGTAGACTTTTTAGTATGAGAAATTCTTTCTATATCGTAGTAAACGACTTTTCTGTCTTAGCATTCATCATTTTTACTGCATAATACTACCCACTATAACCATCTTATCCTTCCTAAAGCTTTTCTTACTCTGGATTGATGCACCTCTTCGTTTTCATTTTATAAACCTCACCGTATGTCCCTTTTCCTAATAAATCATTCTGCTTTTCAAAGTCATCTAAAAACTCTTATATATTAGGATAACTCATATTTTAATATGAATATTTTAATTATATTATAATAATAACATAATAATCATTAAATTGTAACCATTTAAACAACAATTACAAGATGAGACATTTTAAAATCCTATTTATCACTTCTAACCTATATCAATCTAGTATTCTAAACATTTTATACATTCTTACAAATACAATTTTTAGGATATCAGAAATTATATGGTTATGCTGTTTTAAGGCTAATAAGTAAGATTATCAAAATTATGGATAGTTTTCCTTAAGGTTTAATAGGATTTTGAGATTAGTATTAGAACTTGATCTTAGTTTTAAGATCAACGAGACTCAATCTCAATGTTTATAAATAAAGGACAATCTTACAAAAATGTATATGTATATTAATAATCAATAAACTTTATTTGTTAATTTTTATAATTTATGATAAACTACTTATGTAATTATTTATCTGTAATTAGAACAAAGTGACTATTCTTCATTCCCTTTTACTGAGAGACAAGTGAGCTATCTAGTTTTAAATTAGATTAACTCAGAATCAAAAACAAAATTCAAAGATGAATTCAAAAAAACAATCAAGAAGAATTCACTATTGCATTCCATGAGATTGCTGAAAGAGCATGAAGTAGATGAACCCACGCCAATAGCTACAGAGAAGTAATTATAAACTAAGAAATTTATAAATTTAAAACCTTTAAAAAAGGCCATAGAAAAAATAACTCTTATGAGATAAGAACAATTGAGCAGAAGAAAATCTGCATATGGTGAGCAATTTGGTGAGATGACAGCAAAATAGTTCCAAAATCTTCCAACAACTATTGAATAACATAAATAAATTGATGGATAAAGATTTGCCTTAACAAGTTTTGCTGATATTTTAGAGAGAAAAAAAAGAAAAAGAACAACCAAAAAGCAAAGTCTCTTAAGATAATTATCGAAGTAAGAATCTTTGGTTGGTATGAATTATCCTTATCATAATAGAATACGATCATTTGGAAAGACCTCCATCTTGTAAGACTCCTCCAAAGCAAATAATTATTAAATAACAACTTAAATCTCAATTAGAGTTAACAAAAGAAAAACAATTCAAATAATTTGATAAGAAGATGATTAACTTTTTGTCTGGAAAGCCAGAAGAAGTAAAAGAATTTGTACAAAGAAAAAAAGCTTATACGATAAACTATTAAGTGACTACTCCTTAATCTTCCTCGATAACAGGAAATCATAGAAACTCAACACTTTTTCCAAGCTTACATATAAACAAATTTGATAGATGCTAAACTAATTATTATGAATCAAAATATGCACCTTAACTTAGTAACCGTTAGATTTAGAACAGATCTAGACCGTATATTAAATATAATAGGACCTTAATAAAATTCATAAAGTCAGAGATAAAGAATAGTTCATAAACAATGCATAAGTCGATTTATAATTTATGATTATATTATGATGTTAATTAATTTTACTTTAGTGAATTTAAATAATAAATGCCCCATTTCATTTAAACAGTAGGTTAAAGTAAATTTTATTATAATTATTGGTTTTACTTTTGTAATATACAATAAATATTTAATTAATTAAATGAAACCATTCGACTTTTCTTTATATGGTACAATCAATTGAAATCAAAATGAACTTATTTTCGAATTTTACAAAGCTGTTAACTAGTAATTTGCAAAAAGGAAATCAATAAATGTGAATAACTTAGTAGACAAACTTTACAAAATAAATTATCTTATTTTGATTCAACTTTTTAAGATAAGGTTTGAACTATTAAATAAAATATCGTTTCAATAGAGATCTTGTGCAATACGAATCATTAACTGTACAGGATAGGTCAATCCTAATTAATTGATATTCCATTAAATCATTTGATAAGCAATTAAAGGGTTGGCTTTAAATGTAGAAATTCTAAACCAGATTATTTATCTAAATCTACATCAGATCAAATTCTTGGCATAGACATTGGAGAAAAAAAGGGCAATTTTAGATAATTATAAAATATTTTCTTCATTGATCTAATCCAAATTGGATTTATTATGAAATTTTTATGATTCATATATTTATAATCTTTAAAATTATATATTTTAATATCACATATAAAAATCAACCTAATATTATAGCATGTTATGTGTTATGTTCATCCAATTATTATTCAGATTCAAAATATCTAAATTTAAAGAATAAATTCTACTTAAAACATGTATCAAGATCGCATGAATAGAATTTCTCAGTATCATCTAATCTTTTGACTGAACCAACAATATCATTGCAGAATTTGCAAAATGTTTAACCATCAATATAGTAGCATTCATAACACATGAAATGTCTGCAAGGATTTATAACAACTCTTACGCTTGCAGGAAAATCACATATTGGGCAAAATTTAGCTTTTTTCTAAATTGATTTTGGATTCAGAAATGTTGCTGCAGTTCTTGGATCATATCTAACCTAATTTTCTGGAGGCGGATAGTTTGGATATTGAAGTATTTGTTATGGTTGTTAATTTTATTGTGGTTGTGGTGGCTATAAGGCATTCATTTGATATAAATTATGAAATATATATATATATTAATTAATTTTATTTCCAAGTAGAGTTTATTAATGACATTCTAATCAATCAGACTTCCTTTAAATTGTCATTTTTCTCCTGCCATATTTGTCTTAATGAATTCTAAGTTCTTTGATCTTCTTATCAAAAATACTTAATTAACGCATCTACCTTTCTTTCTCCGCCTCTTCTTCTTATCTAATTAAATATGAATGCAATATTTTTGATTGAAACTCTTTAGATTATTCAGTTTTCTTCTATACATTCATTTTTTCTTAACTTACTTAAATACTCTTATTTTCAGTCCTTAATTTACTTTATTGTGATACATGAGAATTGAAATTCTTATCATAACTGTTTATATATGATCTGCTAGTGTCTTAATTGCTTTTATCTACTTTTGAGCTATCTTAGCTCCTGGAGGATTGTTATTTATCTAAATTCAATGATTTGTAAATCTTTTAGAATTGCTCCTTTATTACAGGAAATGACACAGGTTTTTTATCGGAATGAACTCCTTCAATTAGAATTTAGTTTTTGTTTAGTAGGTGTTGGAATGATTCGAAAATTCCTTGCTTTTTTCTGAAGCCCTTCTTTTAATATTCTTCCATATAACGAGGATTATAAACTTCTTTTTATTTGATAATGTATTCTGGTCTATCCACTTAGTCTGTCAATTAAACTAATGGATTATAAATAGAAATAGGAGGCAATTTTTTCGTTACATAATATTGAGGTTTATCATGGTGTATAAGTACATCCTAATGAAGAGGACTGTTAAATTATTTATTATTAGGGAGATGACTATTGCTTTCAAAACGCATAAAATCTTAGCCTCTTTTAAATCTAGGAGGATCTCTATTTTCAAGGAATTTTAACATTAATAAATTAATTATTAAAAAGCAGTTCCTAAGGAGAAATATAATATTTCCAAATTTTTAAAGAGTATACACATAAAAAAAAAAGGTTCTTTTTAGTTCTAAATAGTACATGATTATTCGATTATTTCTAATCAATATAAGATAATGTTGTTATTTTAATATTGATAACTGCATGTGTAGAAGTAAATGATGACAAAGAGAAATCTAAAGTCTTAACGTGAGTGTCTCAGTGAGATTTTAATAGCAATATTAAAGGAATTGAGTAATAATTATAAATAGTCAACATAGTTTAGTTTTTTTCATTTTCTTAGGTTAAAGTTCAGTAGATTCTTGCTGCTCGATTGTCTGTACGACTTTTTCTTTGACTTCTTTGGCCTATGACATGATTTTTTTGATGTAAAGATTTTTTGTAAATTGTGTTTTGTGTGTTTTCGATTTAATATGCTAATTTTCAAGTTAAATAATACATCTAAATAATCTTCATAATGTTGTTTGCAAACATTACAATATTTTGACTAACTTTTGGGTTTGGGGAAGTGCTGAATCAATAACAATAATTACAAGCACTTTATTTTTTGAGGTCAACTCCTAATACTTTTTTTAGTATTGGATCTGATATTAATCATTATGTTAAAAGTGCAGAGGCTATTTTAATATAGTTAATACTTAATCGATGAGGGGTATAAATCCTGGTTAGGCGGGATCTTTGTCATTATTGAATATAGGGATAGTCTCCATCATACATTACATGATTCTTATAAAATTGAGTGAAATCAATACTCACTAAACGAAGGCGAATAATTGATTTCAACGTACTTATACTTGGCATCTCGATTAAATGATTAGGGATACAAGATAAACAAATTTGGACGTTCCTATTAATTCTTCATATGTTTAAAAGTTATTTATTTTTTTAATATATTTTATCTTTTTCTTAAATAAGAATAGTGAATTTTTAATTATTTTTATGTATTAAAAACATTCTCAGGATTTAGTAATATGCAAAGATAATAGAAGTACACAGAGTGCTCATAAGTGTAGAGGTGGAGATTCACCTCATAAATTATATCAAAATCTGACACATAAGAATTCTAACCAATCCAAAGACATTCATCTCCTTCAAAGTTTTTCATCATTTCCTAATATTAGACAATCAAATGAGACCAACAAATTATTTGCAAACTTCAATTGATGTTCATGATTTGAATAGGTCTTAAAAGGCCAGACACTCTCATCAAAGAATTAAAACAGAAATTGACAGATCGATAGACTTGAATAAGAGAATCTACCCAAAAGTTCTCTCTGTATTACTACGTAAATTAATCTGATCTCAAGTTAGATAAGATCGAAATCCCAAGAAACAATTAGAATACTCTAGATAAGATTTCAACAAGTAAAGCTAATAGACTCAGAACAATTAAATTAAATTAAGGAAGGTTTTTTATTGATAAAATATATAGTATAAAGAGATATCTAGGATAGCCACAATAAATACTTCTTCAAACCTGATATAAAACCATAATTATCAATTAAAGCTAATAATTATCTAAGTATTTAAATCCTACATTATAGAAATTAATCCTTAAGCCAACTTTCAGGACTCCACTTTGGATGACCTCTCTCAAATACATCATTAGCAAAATAAGCTAAATGATATAAGAAGGAACACAAATCCTAACCAATTAAAGAAATCATTATTTTAATAAATATAAGATTTTAATTTAATTAGATTTGAGTATGAAAAATGTAATTTTATAATCATAGTTAAATTCATTTAGCTAAGGAAGAAGACTATATGAAGTTTTCCTTTGGGTTTCAATACAATCAAGCAAGATCTACTAAAAAGTTTCCAAAAGATGTATTTTACAATGATGTAAGGAAAGCCAAAAAGAATTTATCTATGTAATGAAACTTATTAATATCCTTTATCAATTTTTCTACCATTTTTAATTCTATTTAAATTAAGATTAAATTAAATTTATTGATATAAATATTATAAAATTCATGTCAACAAAGGATAGATTTTTATATTAAAAAAATACCTTTGGAGTAAATTATCAATTTAATTTCAGTCCCACAAAAAGTTGATTCATAATTAATGAAACGATATATTCATACAATTTAAAGCTATATATGAGTATTTGATTAAATTATTAATAAATTTATTGTTAAAACATATTAGAGATGGACTGCCCTATTAAAGTTAGCCAATTAAAATCAAGTACAGAATAAAAAGAAACCTTCGATAAATTATTCAAAGTGCCTGCTTAACATGTTTAAAGAGCTTAATAAAAACATTAATCAAAATCTGATTTAATAAATGAATTGCGCCATGAGAATGAAGAATTGAAGAATACCATTGGTGAATTAAAGGATAGAATCTAAGAGTTAGAATAGTAACTAAAAGGAAAACAAGCCCCCTAAATAGAGGAAGAAAATCAAGAGACAATTTCAGTTGAAAAACCATAATAAGAATTTTAAGAAGAAATGAATGAAGAAGAGAAATCCCTCCATTTTGCCTTGATGCTTTAATAATAAGAGGAAATGGAATTTTAAAATCGATTAATCTAGTAAAAATGTGTTCTTACAATTTATAGAATGTAAAATAATGTTGACTTGGATGAAATGAGTTATGAATAATTATAAGAACTTTAAGAGAAGATGGGTTTTGTAAGTAGAGGATTAGTGGAGCACTAAATCTAAGTGCTTCTGAAGCAATGCACTATTTAAAATTAAACAAATGATTGGTATGCGAATGATGGTCTATAATTGTAGTTGCACAATATGTCTAGAAGATAGTGGAAGTCCTGTTGAAATTCAATTGGAGTGTGGACATGTGTTTCATAAGGAATGCATTTCAGAATGGCTATCCAGAGAAAAGCATTGTCCAGTTTGCAAGAGAGATATCGAATTGAGAAAACTTAGATGAAGTGATCTGTTATTTAATTTTTGTTTATTGCATATTATTAATCAATTTATAAAAAATAATATAAATGCATTTATTTGTATTGTAAATATTTCTATGAACTTATCGATTTTGATTGTTGTTAGTATCCTATAGAAATTTGATGACCTAAGTACAATTTAAATAAAAATCGGTAACTGTTGAAGTTTATAATTTCAGTTTTTTAGTCGTAATGTATTTATTTAAAAATAGAATGAGGAGGGATTTTGTCATGGCAATAAGATTTAAAAAAAACTGATAACATTGGGAAAGCGAGAAAAAGTAGGAAAAACTGAGGTAATGAATAATTTGGATTGAAAATGTGATTAATAAATAATAATATATTATATTACAAAAACGAATAATGGATGATAATTATCGAGATGAATATCAAGGATCAGAGTCTGAAATTGTTAGAAGGTCTGATGAGATGTAATTTAAGTGTATACGCATATCGATAGCATTTTCAATATATTTAATATTGCAAATGCTGGCTCTCAAGATAGAGTACTAGATATAATGGATTTATATTGCAATAGTTTTCATTATTTGTGATACTGTTATATGGATCTTGACTACTCTATGGTTATGTACTGAATATTTATTTTACTAGCTTAATAGCAATATCCAAGAATAGCCAAAGTGTTCTTAGGAATAGCCTAACACTCCACTTTTGGACTCTTACCAATTTTTATCCTTCTTATATGTTTGCAGTTGGATGAAATTATTAATTCGAATTCCATTCTGATCGCATTTCCATTGTTTGCATGGGAAATAATGCTGTTGTCATTTTTGATTTTCATCATTCCAGGATTGTGTGATGATAATTAAGGATCCAAGAAATGGGTAGCTGTGGTTATTCTATACTACATTGCTATTATTTACACCGAAGTGGCTACTCTCATTCAATTATAATTCTATTTTAATTGGTTTTGGGTAACATCGTTACTTATCTTTACATTGTTTTACAACATTATTATACTAATTACAGACTGTACTATCACTGTGATTTGGCCATGCATTATTTTAGCTATTTGTATCTTCAGTTTAACTTAAATGACACTTGTTTTGAATGATGCAAATAAAGATCAAAATAAATAAATGCAATACCTGGCAATCATACCGATATGTGTGATCAGTATTATTAATTTCATTAAATAAATCATAGTGTGAATTGATTAAATGTTTATTTTAATAGTAAGCTTAAAAATTATAAAACTCTAAATTTTGATAGAAGTTCTCTATTTTAGTAGGGAAACGATTCAAAATTCATCAAAATTAATAGATTTCTTAAAATTATTAAACAATATTAAAGGAATCTGAATAGTTAATAATTATTTTATTAATATATACAATAATGTCAATAATGAAAAGGCACTTATCTAATGGAAGAATGAAATCTGATGCCGACTTATTTAAATAAGCAGTAGAAGAGGTAGAGAGAAAAAGACCTGGATCAGGACAACCTATGTCAACAGTCAAATCACCTTTACCTCCCAGAAAGCCACTTTTTTCTGGCACTTAAAAATAAAGATTGATAATCAATGCGAATAATATTGAGCAATAAAATCAAGAATAGAAGTTAAGTAAAACTAGTCAGCATTCATCCAAAGCATCGTTAAACCTCACATAGAATTAATAATCGTTGCAACAAATTGTAACAATCATTTAGATTTACTTATTTAGAAAAGTCCTCAAAAATAATCTAAACCTCCAATCCACATTGATAAAAAGATCATAATTGCAAGATAGGAATAATTTGGAAGTTCTGGGAGACCTACAATAAGTGGAGAATTACAATCGAGAAATAGCAGCAAATAAAAAGTATCGAGTGCAGGAACGAACACCAAATAATTTACTTGGGCTGAGGCTATTGAATAACCATAACAGTCAAGGGACTCTTCTTTAAATGTAATTTTTATATTATAGCAAGAAAAGAAGGGTATTGTCTAGAGAGAAATTAAAAGCACTTCCCGGATAGTATTAAATCCATTAACACTAATAAATCACTTAATCCTGTAGACCAGAACAAGTTTAATGTCATGATTTTGAATAGAAATTGACGAAATCAGTTGAAAATAAGCAACCATTGTGTTATACTGATTTTAGTATGACTTCTGGAAGGAATGATTTAGCAAAAGCCTTTGCTTCTATTCAAATGGAAATAAAATAAGCTTCATAAGAAGCTAAATAAAACTCAGTAATTTCATACATGAATGGTAATAGTTCAACATATTTCTTGCATAGCCATACCAGAATAGGAGGATGATGGATGTTCGTCATTGGCATAGAGTACTCTTTATTAATTTTGATGATGATTACTCTAATTAATTAATAGGTTTACAATTAGTACCAATATAAATATATTATAAAATTAATTATTGTTTTTTTCATGGGGGGATGTGGATCGAGAGATAGAGAAATGAAAGAGAAAATTGGCTTCCCATAGAATGATTATGATTATGCAATCAAACAGTTTTCTAAAATGACTCAATAAAAACCAGGGTATTTGCAAAATATATTAAAGGAAAGCAGATCAATACTTTAGTTTTGAAGGTTTTAAAGCGTTCTTTACCGAGAACCCTGTTTTCGCCTAAAAATTATACATCTTCATGAGAAATTATGGTGGTTAAAATTATGTTGACTTAAATACATTCCTAATAGTCGGTAATTCACATTCTTTAAAGCATAGTTGACCTATTTACAAGAACTTCGATGAAATTATAGAATCAATTGAAGAATTTGGATATCTAAATATTATTTATTTTGGTATCGCTTTCTAGTTCTGAGATTATGCAGAAGGACTCGTTCAATTTTAATAATGTTTATAAAATATCAATTAGTTATTCTAATGCTGTTAAATTATTCAAAGTAAAGCATGTCATAAATTAGGAACTAATAAATATGTAAAGTGATAAAGGTGATATATTATGTCATGATGATGATTAAGCTCCTATTTTATTAGTCAATAATATTTTTGAAGGTAAATGTCTTTATATTGTTAGACCACTCGATTCTTAACTACAAAGCCTTTATAGATAAGATTAAGTAAGAAACTCCTTAGATATCCAAGATTGTGAAGAATTATATAGCAGGTAAGTTCATTAATAAGATACTTAAAAATAAATTGCCTAAATTAGAATCCAGTGAATTAATGAATAAATAATTGATTGGTATGATATTTAAATCATAATTATAAAGCTCTTCTTAATTTGAGTGTTCCTTGGTTTTATAAATGTGTTGCTGTAAACCAAGTATACAAATATGAACTGGAAAGTGGATAAACTTATAATTTCAACATTCTAGGAAATAGTCTGTTGTAAATGAAGGGACCAAATGTTATTCTGTTTCGCCATCTCTAAAGAGATAAAGATACAGATAAAATAGAGAAATACACTTTTGGCTATTTTTCATCTTCTCAATGGAAGGTGTCCCCTGATATTTCAGGGAATAAGGGCTCATTCATATTTTCTGTTCACCCAAAATTTAAGATATTCACAACAAATAACTAACAATAAAGTAAATTTGCTTTATTGATACCTATCATTACCAAAAAATAGAATCAAACTCTTCATAATCAATTTAAACAAGGACCAAAATAACCAGGTTTGGGAATTGGTGGCAGTGGATATGATCATCACAGAATTTGGATTGATGGAAAATAATTATAAGCAAGCAGATTGACAAATGAGGATAAGACATATTAGAGTGGATCAATATTACCAAATGATATTCATTCATTGAATGTAGTTTTTAATTGTATTTATAGATAGATTTGATCGAAATTTGGGATTTGTAATTGAATACTGCAGCACAAAGCACATCTTATTTTAAGTCAACTACTCATCAGCCTTATTGTGGTGAAGAGGAATAAAGATTCAATCAAAACTAATTGAGAGATGTTCTCCTGACATTAAATTAATAAAGCAGCAATGATTATGTAATTTTATGGATGCATTAATTTTTAGAGAAGAGGACCTTAAGAATATTAGATATCAAATCCTTTGCTCCCGATTAGCGAGGAGGAGGAGGAGAAATAGTAGGGAAAATGATATTTTATATATTTATTATGATAACAAAATCTTTATCTATCATGCATTATTAAAATAGAAATAATCTTATGGTTTGATGATTTTATTTAAGATATCTCCTATTGCAGATAAATACCTAATTTTATCTTAGAGATTGGATCTTAAAATTTGAGCATATGCATGGTTTTAGTAAAACTCTATTGATAATTTCTGAAAAAGTGATTTAAAAACATCCTAAATTTTCTTTGTATTTGAAGGGTTTGTGTAACACAAAATTAACATTTCTTCTAACCCTTTTAACTCAATAGATTTAATCCACTTCCAGAAATGAGGTAATAAATTTTCATTATCTGCAAAATAGAGTTACACTCTTTCTTTTGATACAAAATCTTCAATTATAAATTTCATTTAACTTTTTATCAAATACATTTTAATTTGTGTATCTTCTAATTATAAGCATAGGCATTACCATCTTGATGTTTAATATTTTCTAATTTTTAATATTATATTTATGTAATGAGGTTATTAACAGCTTCTGATTATTCTTGTTTTACAAGTGGTATTTTTGGTTCTATCAATTGATTTAATATCTTATTCGACTAGGCTTACTAAATGAGTTATTGCAAAAAGCTTAATGGAATCGTAACAGCAGGAGTAAATTATTTATAATTTGCGCATCTGTTATGGAATGGGAATATTTAATTAAGTTGAGAATAAGTAGGATTCTGATTTTAAGAGCCATTCATCTCATTTTAATTTTACACTATTTTTATTGGTGCAACTTTAACATTCTTCTTGGTTTCTTAATAAGGTTCAAAACTCATAAAAACTAGATTTTATAAATTTTGTGTATTTACTATTAAATTTTGAATAGCTAAGAGGAAAACTATACTTTATTTTAGTGAAACTCATACAACTTAGAGATCTGGATCATAACCTCAATCATTATAAGAAACAATTGTAGAAGAATATCAATATAATCACTATTACTTTATGGTTCCTCAATGATTCTAATGAAGTAAACAATATTTGTATTTGGGACAATAAAAAAATGAGCCTAATTGAGATCAATAATGCAGATTGATTCATATATATTTCCAAAATGCTGTTTACTATTAGATATTTGAATTCTAGAATTTATTATTTTTAATTATGTATTTTTAGATCGAAATTGCATAAAGAAAATAGATAACAAAAATTATTATCAATCACTTCAAGATCAAATGCTGTCTTATATAAAATTAAATGAATAATAATTAAATATAAGGGAAGAATCGATATATAATTATTAAATATTATTGATTTCTTAATTAATTGATGCTTTATATATTTTCATCTATGATACAAGTCCATAATATTGATGGGTTCGTTTTATTTATATTATTATTATTAAACGAAATTTGGTTTTTGCTAATGAAACACATTTTATTAAAACTATTATTGTTATTATTATTGCTAATGTAAATATGCATTGTTATTTTAGAATTACTAGAAATTATATTACTATTATTGCTATCCTAAGTTCTGCAAATAAACATAATTAACATTCTTTTATGGAATTGTTTGTTATGATTGCATCTGTTATTTTTACTATTAATCAGAATTGTATAGATTTAGAATATCTAAGGATGGTAATGAATGCATAGCGTGATTTGTTGGTTATTTAGTCTGAGGGAAATCATTCTAATCTTTTTCTGGTGACAAAGAATGAGTAGTTCCATACTAAGTGTTATTTCCGTGAAAGATTTCAACTTTAGTTTCCTTCACTCCAAAATTATCAGATTACTCGCTAAAATCTATTAAATCACCTAGTTTCACCTTTGGTTCTTCTTATTTGGTTTCAACTTGAAAGTAGAATGGTTTGACAGTACTAAATTGTTATTAAATTTGAATACGTTTTGACTAACATATATTGTTATTTTGGATCCAAGCATTATTACTGAGGGATAAATTTCTTTTTGACATATTTCTCTTAAACAAAACGAATTAATGAATCTAACCCTGTATTAATCTTCGGTTTGCTATGATACAATAAACAATCATTTTACACGTAGTTCTTTGGCATAGTATTTTCCCAATAAGAATTTGCTGTTGCATTTCCAATGGATTCCATAATATCAATATTTTCCTAATACCACCCATCAATATTGGTTGATCTGACTCTTGTGACACTGGGACCCAAAGTTCTGTGAGCACCTAATTAAATAACTATCAATGATTTACCTGCACAATCCATACAAATAAATACCCCATAATCCAAGCTAACCCATGTAGGACCTTTAGTTGCACAATCAGCACAAACTAAATTCTCTGGCCGTTTCAGGATCAAAGCAAATATTTTTTCTTATGCTTTTGCTGGAATATGTTATTTATTCATTATATTTCAAATTATTTTTTATGAAATCAATAATCATTATAATGTTTTCAAACTAAAAATTTCATATCTCACCATATACTCATATTTCATTTAAATTTTAACTAAGACTATTAATATTATTATTCTATCCATAATTATAGAGAAAGCAGTATTTTTTGGTTGAAAACAAATAGAATTTATTTTTGTGTAAAATATCTAAGAATGATTTAAATATAAATTACCTTGATAATTAAATTGATCTTTTGTATATGATTCTGTCTGAATTAAGAATTAGATAAATAATAAATCAAATATTAATTAAATAAAATTATACATGCTAACATGTTCTAAAAATCTGAAATTAAAATTATATACAGTTCCTGATGATCAATTTCCTAAAAAGAGACACACTGCTTCACGATCCTTGAAGCTCAGTTCAAGGAAAAAAAGTATCATCATCTAATATTTAAAGAATTACAAGATGACTATGATATATTTTAGTACCTTAAAAACGAAAATACATCAGACAATTATATGACATCATTAACTGATAGAAAGGAAACTAGCTAACTTCTTAATAACAATTCTTCAGAAGTAAGGGTCAGTAACTTGTTTGAAAAAGATAAAGGGTTCTTGAAAAAGTTCAATGATGTACAATCGAAAAGAAAATAAGAATAACTTTTAAAAGCTGATTATTTATTAAAGAAAGATTTAGCAGACTTGAATAAAATTGCTTAAAACAGTGTTTAATCATTCTCGAGTCATTTTTCTCTTTACAATCATTTCCACTTCGAGCATTTATTAGAGCCGTAAACAGCAAGACCTGATTTGCAATTACCACCAAAACAGACTTTTACAATTTTAAGTAATCCAAATAAAAAGGATAGAACGTATAAGGTTCCTTTGCATTAACCTTTTATTTCATAAGATAAGATAATAAATGAGCAATCTCTAGAAAAAGTAAGATTCTTGAATTAGAAAATGAATAGAATGAGCTTGAATGTATAATAGTTCTATAAATGAAGTTAATAACAAAGCTAGATCCTTTGAGTGAATAGTATTTTCAATTGATCTAAGATGGAAATGTGGATGAGCTTAAAAAATTGATAAAGAAATATCCGCATTTATTATCATAGAGAACTCGAGTAATCATTATGATTTATAAGACAGTTGCAAGAGACAGGCCTTCATGTGGCTGTAAAGAGAAACAAGAACCAAGTTGTTGAATTGCTATTAAATAATTAAATTGATGAATTCGCAAGAAATATTGTAAGTGTATTTATATATACATTTAGTGGGGATAAACATCAAGATAATTGGCATTCAAATTATAATATCGTAACATTTTAAAAGTATTATATAATGGATTATAAAGATGCTTACATATGATTAGAATTAGTGATTATAGATTAAAATTTTTATACAATTAAATAATCAGATTATAATGGTAAGGATTTCAATTCCACATTTTCTAGGCATCTCTTCTGAAGATCTTTCAAGGGGAACCGTTAATTGAAATGACTTTGGATGGTATAGAGACACGCGAACATGCAATATTTTAGGATAATTAATAAGGAACTTTAAAGTTACCAGTCTATATTGTAATTGATATTGTTTGATTTTATGTAATAGGGTGATGATGACATCTCAGGAGTTGTTATAGTAAGGATGAACAATTAAAAATAAATAAAGCATTTTGGAATCCAAGTTGAATTGATTGGACATGTTGGTAAAACTTATGAATTTACAAATAAAAGACATTCTCAATGACTAAAAACAAAGTTCAGATTTCATGTCGATATCAAGAGAATTAGAACCTTAAGGTTTATTGTTTGAAGACAAAGAATATAAATTTTAATTTTAAAACTTTGAGAAGCAATATGAAAGTTATTATGGCAATAAAGTGAAATTACGATATTACGTGAAAGTGTATATGACTAGATGGTATGACAAGGTGTAGAAGGAAGTAGACTTTGCTGTTTTGATCTTAGAGCCAGAAGAGGATTAACCGAAGGCTACAAATATGGAAGTATTGATTTACAAAATGTTAAGAGGTTGGGATTGAAGATATCTTACATATTAACTTTGAGTATTCAAAGAATCGATTTCATTAGAGAGATGTTTTGACTGGAAATATAAATATTTGTTTGGTGGAAATCAAAATAAAATATATGGAATTAGTAATTACCAGAAAAGAATAATATCTATAAGGATCTTAATTTGAGACAGACAATAAATCAATTATCAAATACCAATTAGTAGATGGATGTCCTCAAAAGGGAGATGTAATTCCGGTCAGGTTGTATCTAAGTGGACTGGATCTGATACCATCAGTCAGAAATTTTAATGGCAAATTCTGCGTGAAAAATATGATGAGTCTGATTATAGTCGATGAAGATGATAAGAGATATTTCTAATCATAGATAATTACAATTTACAGAAAGAAATGATTAAAAATCATCATATCTACTAAGAATTTGTAAGAGTAATAAACATATCATAATTGCTAAAAATAATTATATTTTTAAAGTCCTGTGCGTTGATAATCGTTTATATCACTTACAGATCTGAATCTCTGTTCGTTATTTACTTGGCAATTGCTTTCCTGTTGTTGCAATTATTCTATCCTTTCTTGCAAACCACAATAAATTAGTTCAGCCAAACTCAATAAGAACTTTTTCGAATCTTCCAGGTTATTAGGGACATAATAGGAATAGAAATTTTATTATTAGAATTACTAAATTTGTTGTTGTTATTGTTGTTGTTGCAGCATTTATTGTTATACAAATTTTTGTTCTTGTATTTCATTCGAAATTATGGCTCCATTGGCATCAATGAAAGAAGTATCTAGAATCATATCCTAAGATAATTCAGTTGGACTTTGAGAAAATCTTCGATTATGACTTTGAGTGGTAGTAATTTGATCTTTATTATTGATGTAGAATTATTGGAGAAAATAATATTGTTTATTGATTTTCTGTAATTTCTCTTGATGTCTTAAATTTGAATTTATGAGTATTTATTTTTAACTCTAAATTAATATGAATGACATACTTCTAAATCTTCACAATTCCTTTGTAATTCATTATTTGCTGTTTCGAGAGTCTTATTTAGCAACATCTCTCTTTGATAATTCTTTCTTAGCTCCTCTATCATTCTCTCATACTTATTAATTTTTTCAACTACATTAGGGTCGATTTACTTTTTAATATCCTGCATCTATTAAATCTGTCTCTTAGCATTGATCTCTTATATTTATTTTGCCTTTGTGAGATCTAACTTCGGGATTTCCTTCATTTGTTTGACGACCTAATTCTCTTGTTTTAATGGTAATGGGGACATCAATGGTGAACTGCCAACGGATGAATTGTTGTCATTTTAAGATGAATTTTCGTTTTCTTCCTTGTTCATAACATTTAGCAAATTGTTTTAGACTACTGTATACATTTTTGGTTACATTTAATCAATTGTTCAGGGCCTTATTGAGTTTGTTACTGTTAAATGATGAGTTTATTGCCGTGATATGTCATAGCTGTGTTCTTCATTTGAACTAGGTTGCTCATAAGTTTCTAGATGAATAGTGAGAATGTAATACTAAATTAAATCCTTATAGTTTTTGTTTTTCAGTTTCGATGAGTTTGTTCTTTTTGATCTGTTGAATTAGTTGAGATGTGAGCATTTCAATTTGATTGTGAAATTTGATAGCAATTTTATCAGGTTCACAAATTTCTTTGTATTTAATGACAATGCCTGAAATTTCATCGTATTCAGGTTTGAGTTATTCCATTTTGCTTAATTGTTATTCAGATTTATTGAGATTATTTTATAAAGTTTAGATTTTATTCTATAATGATAAGATTAATTCTTTTTCATGTCGTTAAGCTTCTTCAGTGATTTATTAATTTATTAATACTTAATTTTATGCTTGATTCCTTTCCTCAATGAGTTTGTCAATTTGATTATGCAATTTGGCATTTTCTTCTTACAAATTTTTCATAACCATCAATAAAGCTTTATTTTATTCATCGTTATTTTGAGGTGTCATGATTCTCAATGCCTTCTTATTTAATTAGAGCAAGCCCTTCAATTCATTCAATTACTCAGTTAATTGTTTATTTTCTTGTTTGAGATAATCGATTAATTCAGTGTGTTGATTGTTGGCAATATAAAGACTGCTTGTTAGATTCTTTTTAGAATGAGATTATTTCATAATTATATTTATTATTGTTAAACCTAAATCATTTTCTTTTGTTAAATGTGAATAGTAGCCAACCCCCATGACAATTGCACTTTAATAGATTTAACAAGATCCCAGCCAGTCTAAGGATCGAGTGTTTTAGTAACAGTAATGAAGTAGGATCCCTCCTTCAAATCTGCAGCCTTTTTGCTCAGCTGCTTCATCAGATCCGGATCGAAACAAGTAGTTGAAGCAAATAAGAAGGTGCCATCAGTCCAATCTAACTTGATTTCGTATATGAAACAATACTTCTCTGACATCTCCATTGATGAACTCAATTTTGGGCAATTAATAATCATAGACGCCAATCTATTCCATCTCCTATTCTATAAGACATTTCTGCTTCTCTACTTCCTCCTTCAAATTGCAGGCCTGCTCATGCAAAGAATGCAGACATTCAATGCCCTTACAAATATCGAATTGATGCATTAATGATGCAGCTATCACTCCTTTACCAATGCCACTACCCAAATCATAGAAGACTCCCCCTTTCTTTGGCGATACATATTGAAAGACCATGGATAAGGATTTAAATTCCTTTAGAGTTAAAGCATATTACTTACAATTTCCCCGTAGGAGAGAGAATTGGATGTCAGATGATTCGCCAACCTTTCTTCTCTGCTCAGAGTCTAAGATGTTTAATTTCATCATTTCTTACTCGAGCTCTTTGCAATGAATACTCCTTTGTGATCTTCTCATATAAGCTCTTCAATGATTCCTACGAGGATTGAGTATGATCACTCTATTAAGTACTCTCCTGATTCTATAAAGAGTTTAGAAAATTGAGAATCCGTGCATGGTCCATTATATAATAAAATAATTTAGTTTCATAAATAATTCAAGTCTTTAATTAATAAATTAAATACATGAATCGAGAAATCTGGTCCAAAATTACCCATAATGTAGTTGACTCCATTAAATCCTTCCCAAATGGTGGTTTCATGATACTGACATCAGGATTATCAATTGCCAACCTGACATCTCTGTTCCTGACATACTTTCTTGAAAAAAGCAAATCTGTAATCATCCTCCTCAATTACTCTAATTATGAAATAGACTTTATTGATACATAGCTTAACTTTTTTGTCACCTAAAATTAACTAAATAATAACAAAGAATATGCTCTTTCTGTTGTAGTNTGCAATTTGGCATTTTCTTCTTACAAATTTTTCATAACCATCAATAAAGCTTTATTTTATTCATCGTTATTTTGAGGTGTCATGATTCTCAATGCCTTCTTATTTAATTAGAGCAAGCCCTTCAATTCATTCAATTACTCAGTTAATTGTTTATTTTCTTGTTTGAGATAATCGATTAATTCAGTGTGTTGATTGTTGGCAATATAAAGACTGCTTGTTAGATTCTTTTTAGAATGAGATTATTTCATAATTATATTTATTATTGTTAAACCTAAATCATTTTCTTTTGTTAAATGTGAATAGTAGCCAACCCCCATGACAATTGCACTTTAATAGATTTAACAAGATCCCAGCCAGTCTAAGGATCGAGTGTTTTAGTAACAGTAATGAAGTAGGATCCCTCCTTCAAATCTGCAGCCTTTTTGCTCAGCTGCTTCATCAGATCCGGATCGAAACAAGTAGTTGAAGCAAATAAGAAGGTGCCATCAGTCCAATCTAACTTGATTTCGTATATGAAACAATACTTCTCTGACATCTCCATTGATGAACTCAATTTTGGGCAATTAATAATCATAGACGCCAATCTATTCCATCTCCTATTCTATAAGACATTTCTGCTTCTCTACTTCCTCCTTCAAATTGCAGGCCTGCTCATGCAAAGAATGCAGACATTCAATGCCCTTACAAATATCGAATTGATGCATTAATGATGCAGCTATCACTCCTTTACCAATGCCACTACCCAAATCATAGAAGACTCCCCCTTTCTTTGGCGATACATATTGAAAGACCATGGATAAGGATTTAAATTCCTTTAGAGTTAAAGCATATTACTTACAATTTCCCCGTAGGAGAGAGAATTGGATGTCAGATGATTCGCCAACCTTTCTTCTCTGCTCAGAGTCTAAGATGTTTAATTTCATCATTTCTTACTCGAGCTCTTTGCAATGAATACTCCTTTGTGATCTTCTCATATAAGCTCTTCAATGATTCCTACGAGGATTGAGTATGATCACTCTATTAAGTACTCTCCTGATTCTATAAAGAGTTTAGAAAATTGAGAATCCGTGCATGGTCCATTATATAATAAAATAATTTAGTTTCATAAATAATTCAAGTCTTTAATTAATAAATTAAATACATGAATCGAGAAATCTGGTCCAAAATTACCCATAATGTAGTTGACTCCATTAAATCCTTCCCAAATGGTGGTTTCATGATACTGACATCAGGATTATCAATTGCCAACCTGACATCTCTGTTCCTGACATACTTTCTTGAAAAAAGCAAATCTGTAATCATCCTCCTCAATTACTCTAATTATGAAATAGACTTTATTGATACATAGCTTAACTTTTTTGTCACCTAAAATTAACTAAATAATAACAAAGAATATGCTCTTTCTGTTGTAGTCTTGACTAAATAGCCATCTGAAAAAAGAGCTGCTTTTTACAAATAAGGTGGAATCTTTTCTATAACTCCTTAAATCTTGATCTAAGATTTACTAATCAACACATTATCACCTTTCATTGTTACTCACTTAATAATTCAACAAACTCACCAAATCAAATCACAGTATGATTACGAAAGTTGGATCACTAATTTTATCAAAATGGTAAAACCTGAACTATTTCTCCTAGCCTTTACCAATCAACCTTCAATTCTACAATTGCAACAAAACACTCCTACCATTCTTAAGAATTTCTATCTGACCAACATAATCCCTTGGCCTATGAACAGAGCTGAAATCGTCAACTGTTTAAAGTAACATCCCTTCAAATGGAGTGAAATCAAAATTAATCTATCTAAAACCATCAAAGACATCCAAGATATTCTCATCTCCCTTATTAAACAATGCATCCAAGCAGTTAATGGACAATGTGGTACATCCTACTTAACAAGCGATATGGTTATTCAACACAATTGGAGAAAACTCAAAGCACTTATTCAAAGACAATCCTTTAAGATAGATCTCATTCAACAATAGATTTTCTTGGACATCTTTCAACTAAGGAGGTTGCTCTTTGCTTTGATCAATCAATCCGCCTATTAATTCTATTTCACTTTAACATAAATAATCAATGATGCTCCAATTGATTCCATTTGGTACATATCTCAACCAGAAATTGAAGGATTAGTTATGAGATTATAGAAATTAGCATAAGAGAGAGTCTACTCCTTTGTTAACATTCAGGACCCTATCAAATATACATTTACTAAGAAGAATGGAGAAGAAGTTGTTAAAGAAATCAACACCAAAATTGATTTTAAAATGGAAATTCAACCTAAATATTTATAACTCATTAAAATATTAGATGAAATTTCATAGTAAAATTAGACTCAAACTGAAAACCTAAGAATCTGGATTTGGGTTTAGAATAGTGAAAATGTAACCTAAATTCAGCAATATCTAGTTTCCAATTATAGAATGAAGGATAAAAATAATTATGTTAATCAATTTAATTTTCTCAGAAAGATCCTAGAATAGAAGGCTAGAAAATCAATTGACAATCTATTGAGTAATAATTCCGAGTAGTAAGCATCGTAATAGGTTGTGCAGGAGAGGAAATCGAAGATTGTATTAAAGCATAACAATAAATTAATCAAATAAAACAAACAAATTAAATAGGAAGAAGAAGCCCTGTTGAATTATTTGCTCTATTAGGAACTAGAACAACTATTCGAACATGTCCTGGAATAGGAAGAATAAGTCCTGCTTCAAAAATCTCAAGCAATATAATAATAAGTGTATTAATTATTACCATAAGAATTGTTGCAATTTGATTTGNCTCCTCAATTACTCTAATTATGAAATAGACTTTATTGATACATAGCTTAACTTTTTTGTCACCTAAAATTAACTAAATAATAACAAAGAATATGCTCTTTCTGTTGTAGTCTTGACTAAATAGCCATCTGAAAAAAGAGCTGCTTTTTACAAATAAGGTGGAATCTTTTCTATAACTCCTTAAATCTTGATCTAAGATTTACTAATCAACACATTATCACCTTTCATTGTTACTCACTTAATAATTCAACAAACTCACCAAATCAAATCACAGTATGATTACGAAAGTTGGATCACTAATTTTATCAAAATGGTAAAACCTGAACTATTTCTCCTAGCCTTTACCAATCAACCTTCAATTCTACAATTGCAACAAAACACTCCTACCATTCTTAAGAATTTCTATCTGACCAACATAATCCCTTGGCCTATGAACAGAGCTGAAATCGTCAACTGTTTAAAGTAACATCCCTTCAAATGGAGTGAAATCAAAATTAATCTATCTAAAACCATCAAAGACATCCAAGATATTCTCATCTCCCTTATTAAACAATGCATCCAAGCAGTTAATGGACAATGTGGTACATCCTACTTAACAAGCGATATGGTTATTCAACACAATTGGAGAAAACTCAAAGCACTTATTCAAAGACAATCCTTTAAGATAGATCTCATTCAACAATAGATTTTCTTGGACATCTTTCAACTAAGGAGGTTGCTCTTTGCTTTGATCAATCAATCCGCCTATTAATTCTATTTCACTTTAACATAAATAATCAATGATGCTCCAATTGATTCCATTTGGTACATATCTCAACCAGAAATTGAAGGATTAGTTATGAGATTATAGAAATTAGCATAAGAGAGAGTCTACTCCTTTGTTAACATTCAGGACCCTATCAAATATACATTTACTAAGAAGAATGGAGAAGAAGTTGTTAAAGAAATCAACACCAAAATTGATTTTAAAATGGAAATTCAACCTAAATATTTATAACTCATTAAAATATTAGATGAAATTTCATAGTAAAATTAGACTCAAACTGAAAACCTAAGAATCTGGATTTGGGTTTAGAATAGTGAAAATGTAACCTAAATTCAGCAATATCTAGTTTCCAATTATAGAATGAAGGATAAAAATAATTATGTTAATCAATTTAATTTTCTCAGAAAGATCCTAGAATAGAAGGCTAGAAAATCAATTGACAATCTATTGAGTAATAATTCCGAGTAGTAAGCATCGTAATAGGTTGTGCAGGAGAGGAAATCGAAGATTGTATTAAAGCATAACAATAAATTAATCAAATAAAACAAACAAATTAAATAGGAAGAAGAAGCCCTGTTGAATTATTTGCTCTATTAGGAACTAGAACAACTATTCGAACATGTCCTGGAATAGGAAGAATAAGTCCTGCTTCAAAAATCTCAAGCAATATAATAATAAGTGTATTAATTATTACCATAAGAATTGTTGCAATTTGATTTGTAATAGAGTGGACATAAGGTGAACAAAGATGGCATTATTATTTAGTTTGAAGAAGATACAATAATTCCAAAGATGACAATTGTTGTTAATAACATGATTGATGATTGCTAGAGATACACATTTAAATAAACGTATAAACCTGATTACATTATAATGATGGAACCAAATCATTCATTTTTAAAGGAACTGTTAATTAATCAAAATTAGGTTGAAACCATGTTATTGATGTAAAATGATTGCGTTGAATTTTGGTAATATTATAAAGAGAAAATGGATGAAGAGGTTGCATTTGAAAGGATCATTGAAAATCTAAGAAACTTCTCACGGTCTTTCGAAAAACCTGAAGATGCCATTCATAAATTGAGTATGCAAATGTAAAATCAAAATTCAAGATAAGGAAAAGGAGAAGAGTTTTTCTAATAATAAGATCTTCAACCTAGAATTTTAGTAGACTATAGAGAGTTTAGATGTGATGTTCCTCCTAAATTATACTTTCATGGCATTTAATTGACTCCTGTCATGTTGAAGGTGGGAGATATCGTTTTGAGCAATAATTGTGCGATAGAGAGAAAATCTGTTGAAACAGGAGATCTAATTGAATCGTTAAATCAAAATAGATTGGATTAATAACTTTAAAAAATGAACTCATTTGATCATCCCTTTCTATTGATAGAATATTCAGACAACATTCCCTTTTGTTTGGGATCATTATCAAGGCAATCGCAAAACTATAGTTCCAACACAAGAGTGATGATCAGATTACTAGAATTGATAACTAAGTATTCAAAAATTCAAATTTTGTGGTCGAATAACTCAGACGATACAATTAAAATTATTAGTAAATTAAAATAAACACTAGCTCGAAACTCTCCAGACATCACAATATTTAAAAGTAATATACAATAACAAAATGGTTTGATATAAAATGAAAAAATTACTGACTATTTTACTTAAATAGAAAAAGAAATATAATGAGATTATGTATTTAAATATAATTAATATTTATCAAACAATTGTAACAGTATAAAATGGTAAATACCTTGCTATCTTCTATCCAGTAATCTCTAAATACATCAATCCTTTCTTATTTAATCTATGATGCATAACATCAATTTCAAAATGAACTCCATTTAGATTAGAATTTTCAGCAAAGAACTTAGATAGTTCCTATGATAATTAAATATAGAAATATTACCTTTCTTCTAATAGATGCAGCATCAATGTGATTAACATATGCTTAAAATATTTCAGTTGCTCCACCTTCATGAAAAGTAGTTGAGGTTGGTCCTTGAGGAACACTTGCCAAAGTAATTCTTCTTTTTGGCCTTAGAAGTGGTGCCATATTCTATCTTATACATGCTTCATTGATTCTAACTTCAAGAAATGCTCTCTCTTCATGTCTACCTGCCATGACTTCAAGTATCAATTTATGATGCAATGGGTTACTCTTATTCCATAAGATTGTGAAATAACTTCGAAGAAAATATCTCACTAAATCAGGTCTCATGTCATAACTCTCTGGATTCTTTAAAATACTCTTCAAATGCATACAGCCTGTATTTTCTGGTTTTAAAAGGGATGTTAGAAGATCATCTTTAAACTACCATATAGATTAATAGGTACCGAATTAGGAGGATCGATCAAGGCATCGACTGTCAAAGTCATACCTAGTTCTTTTTCCAAATGTCTTATGGCATCATCATCTGTACACATATAAAATCCATCCTATTTCATGAACTATAAGTAATTGGCGAAGATGCTATCAACTGTGTCTTGAGCCAGTGGTGTATTAATTGTTTATTCATATACTTATAAAGCTAATAAGAACTCACCAGAATCACCACCTGGAGTTCCTAACACTCCTTATTCATTTCTTCCATCTAAACATGAAAAATGATAGCTATTAGGATCTCCAAATTACAATTCATTAAGTGGTCCAATCAAATGTCTAATCTATTCAAAAGAGGCTGTTTTGCCATCATCTCCAGCAAAGTCTTAATGTAATTAAACTTTGGTCGGATCACAAAAAGTTTCACCCACATGAAGTGGTGTAGTTGTAGATTCGCATTGACATGATGTTTCATATTCCTACGCTATATTGCTAATTAAATTTTTAAATCTTACCATCAAATTCAGCTCTTCCATTTATTCTCCTTATATCTTTAGGTGACGACTCCACTTTCAACTTTACTTCAGCACAAAATATAGCACTAATCAACACTAATATTATCATATATTCGTTTTTTAATTATATATATTATATTTTTCTATTCTTTCTTTTTTTCAATTTCTATTTAATTTAATAAAATTCGTGTAATATTAATTTAAATTATCATCATATAATATAGATCAAAAAGTATCATTTAGATTGGTAAGTTTAAACTTCATGTTCTTCTACTTAAATATGAATGTTTATTCATCCTTGCAAATCACATACAACAACTATTTGTTCTATTTACTTGTTATCAGTATTTCATTATTCACTTTTTGTATTTAACTATTGGATTTCTCAAATATCTTTAAATATCCATCAGAAGTGAGTAGATAAGCATCTCCTATTGAGTATAATTTCCAATTAACATTATGAGTCTAAATACTATGAATAAAATGGTACTTGTTTTTGTTTAATCAAGTTTACAGGATTGCAATACACACTTAATTTAGTACTTAATAATTCTTCAATAGATTAATCCAATAAATTTACTATAGGCTTGTATTGTAATTATTCAATAATTTCAGAAATGAATTTAGAGTTGAAATTATCGCCATTATTGATTGTTTGAATGTTCTAGAAAAAGCTTTTGAATGCATAATCTTTATCATATTTTGTATTATCAATGTCAAATATCACAAGAGCAAAACAAAACATATGTAAAGAGTCTTCAGATTTAAAAGGAAATGATTAACTTTTGGAATGGAAGTTCAATTCGTAATACCTTCTGCTAAACTCCTTCACTAAGATATCAAGTAAATATGGGTCATTTTAAACTAACAATTTGTTAAACAAACTATGCAATGAATTAATTAAATTTTGATTGGTTACAACCCTATCCACAAACAATTTCAGAATCTACTATTATTCTTAGAGATTCAAATTGGTCAATAATCTATGAATTATTTAATATAGAAATACTTTGATATTTAGATCTTGCTTTTCTATTCAATATTGTGAAATAACCAATTGATTATTGATTAGGGAGTAGGTCTAATAATTTAGGTTGATATCATGTAAGATATACCCATGAAATATGAATGATTAAATAAATCTATTGCAAGATTCTCTGTGTTATAGTCATGCTTCATGAACTTTGCCTATTCAGTGAAAGTAGACCTCTCTCTAGATGCATTTTACCATAAGACTAATTGACCTAGGGACACCTTAATCATCAATCATAACTAAGTACCATCTCATCAAAGAATCGAGGGATTGAATTGCAAGGAGAAATCATGTTCCTATTGATTTTTGATCCAAGTTCTTTGTTGAAATCGATTATCTCCTTTTATTCTTGCTCTGAGATATTAGACTTAGACAATGATTCTTAAATCCCTAAGTTTTCTTTCTCACTCAATTTAGACTTCTTGGGAGTAGAATTGGGACTAACCATTTTGCTTTGTGACACTTTTTCACAGAAACTGCTGCACTCATTATTTTTTCTATTTTTCGTTATTTGTTATAGATACTGTCGTTTTAATTTGAGCAATTAAAAGTACTCTTCATATTAACGCTAGGCCGGATCGCACTTCTTGGTTTATCTTTCACTATTATGTTATAGTTGATCTTATGATTGTTTGAAGATTTCTGATGTCATCTTGTCTCTCACCAAATCTTAGGCTAGATTCCCATCACGATTTCTTGTTCTAAAATCAGCTCCTGACTTCAACAACAATTAACAAACTTAGGCTCTCTAATAGAATGCTGCCACATGCAATGCTGAAATAAATTGATAAATAACATACGAGTCCAACCAGCCATATCAGTAATGTCCAAATTGGCATTGTTATTAATTAGTTCCTCAACGACTGATAATGAACCATATCTGCAAGCTATGTGCCTATTAAGATTAAGTCAATATCTACAAAGGTGATGTCCGTTCCTCGTCGAAAATGTTTATATTGATTCCTTTGGCTAGGTAAAAGCGTATCAAACCTAAATTTCTGCCTGATGCTGCTTTAAAAAAGTTCTTTTCATCTTCAGTCAAGTAAGCAGTTGATTGTTAGGTGATTCTTCCTATACATTAATGACTTAAAAACCTCTTGCCTTATCTGCATCGAGTCCTATTTAAAGTTCATTCAAATCAAACCCTTCATTATCCTAACCCATACAACCCAAGCAATTTGCTGGATTTCTTCTCTTGTGCTGAACAGAATTACCCATAATTTTGTATTATATAAATTATTAATTATTGGAAGTCAATTACTAATCAAGATTATTTTTAACACTATTTTTAATATTCATTTTAATCACTTGTGTATATGAAATTATGCTTGCATCTTCTTGTATTTATTGTTTTGCTGTGATTTATTTTCATAAATTAAAGATATAAATTTTTTTCAAATTAAATCATGGGAAGAGTTAGAAATAAGACAGTTAAGAAGGCAGCAAAAGTTCTCATTGAAAAATATTACATGAAACTCACCTCAGATTTTCACTTCAACAAAAAAATCCTATCTGAAGTGGGATAAGTGCCATCAAAAAAATTGAGAAATAAAATCGCTGGATTCGCAACACATCTTTTAAAGAGAATTTAGACTGGATCTGTTAAGGGTATCTCCCTCAAAGTAAACATTCACCTTAAACTTAGATTTAAGAAGAGGAAAGAGAAAGAAGATTGGATTATGTTCCTGAGAAATCCTCAGTCGATATTGATAACCTTAGAGGAGATTAAGATGTCAAGAGAATGCTTGAAAAGGCTGGATTAGAAATTGATATTCCCATTGATGAACCTGTTGTCGAAGAAAAATAATAAAAATAACCAAGAAGAGGATAAAGAAGACAATAATGAATATGATCATCTAGTACACATATATAACATTAAAGTAATTAGGCATAATAAATTTTAATCTAAAATTATTTTATTTCAAAAATTAATCATGCAGATCTCCTCTTTTATTCATTCTCAGTTTATAATCTTAATTAATTTAATAGGAAAAATTTTTATTCGTTTACATAATTCGATATATCATCGTCATATGTATTGAATCGTTTTGTTTTTTATCTCTGAGTCCCTTGTTGCTCCTCTTATACTTTGGTACTTAAATTAGTACCTCTTGTGCTTTCTGCACAGTTTGTTTCCCTAGGATTATAATAGAAGTTTTTAAGTATTGTTTCTTTAGGAAAATTCTCCATTAGGTTTTATTGAAGTGGTCTAATTTACTGCAGGAACTCGGCCTCCCCTTAACCAAATTCTTCTTCATCAAAATTGAATGAGAAACAGTCTGGTTTTAAAGGAGGTTCTATCCTTTTAGACAATAGTTCTTTGTATAGGTTTTTATCACCCCATTATGTCATCCAGGGATGTTTCAGCAGAGTTTCTATTTTATCTATTCTATTCTTAGGATTCTTAGCTAATAATCCATTCAATAAATCTTTTAGAAGTGAGGACATCTACAATTAGGGTGGATAACTCAATTTCTGATTTAAAATTCTTTAGTAGATTTCTTCAGTGTTCCTTGAATAGAAGGGAGGTAATCCAGTTGTCAATTCATAAAGCAAAGCTCCTAGACAATATAAATCTAATTATAAATTGTGTCCCTATTTCAATAACATTTCAGGAGCCATATATTCAGGGGATCCACAAAATGAATAGGCAATATCTTAATTTAATTATTTTGAGAGTCCAAAATCTGCTATTCTTACATGTCCATCAAAATCAATTAAAATATTTTCAGGTTTAATGTCTCTATAGATGATATTTCTATCATGTAAGTGTTTCATACCCAAACATATTTCTGCAAAATAAAAAAATGCTTATTCTTCACTCATCCTCTTCACCTATAAAAATTATAGAAGTGATTACTTTTCTTAACAAAAAAAACAGTTCTCCTCCAGAACAATATTCTAAGACAAATACCAAATATTTTCTTGATTCAAAGGCATATTACATTTTAACAATAAAAGGATGATTTAAATTACACATCAAATCTCTTTCATTTTATATGATAATTTATTTATTCTATGAAATTATAGAGCTTTTTTCAATTAATTTCATGGCATAAAACAACCCTGTTCTCTTTTCTCTAACCATGTATACTTTAGAAAATCCACCCATGCCTATGCATCTGATAAACTCGAAATCTTTTAAACAGACTCTTGTTGGTCTGTTTTCTTATTCCATTTATAAGATAGGTTCTATGATTAATGGTTGGATTGGACAGTTAGAAAGTAAAGATAAAGGTCTTTCAATAGAGGAAAGGATATAATCAATAGGTATAGAAATATTGAAAGTTTTAATCCCAATTATCGAAAGAGTATCATTGTCAGAGAATGCTTTATTAAGCTCTTATTTTATTTACTCCAATAGATACGATATTTTGTTAGTCGAGATATCAATAGACATTTTCTATTTGAAGGTTTTAAATTGTAATATAATTTGAATGAAATCCTATTAAGATTTTCTACATAGAATATAAATTTATACCTTGTAGTAATTGTTTTATTTTTTTCTGGCTGAATTTGAATTAGAGGCTGTGAAGAGGTTTGAGTAGGTAATTTTTGAGTATCTATAAATTACGCACTATTTGATTTCTGATGATTTTGGAGTTAATAAATCTATGTTCCTAAAAACTGTATATTTTAATGCTTAGCACTAGACACAATCAAAGACTTTTAGAAATTTAATCTGGCTAACATATCAGATGATTGTTTCTGTTTAGTTTCAGAGGTTTGCTACTTAATGACTTGTTCTGCTTTGGCTAATGTAGAATATTGCTGACTTTTAAACAATTGTTTTGGAGCTAGGTTTAGGATAACTAAGTTTACAGTCGTCCTAAACACTTTCCATGGATTTCATTTTGGTTTATGAATTTTGATTGGAATGAGGTTGAGTTTTCATATGATTGCCGCGAGATTTGGGTTGTGTCCTTTAATGCACCCTTTCTTGACTAGTGATCTTGGGAGACATGAATCCTTTCGATTTTAGTAAATCTGATTGTTATATTTTTCGTAAGGTTTATCTACGTCTAAAGCCATATGTACTATTATTAAGGGATTTTGAGAGAAGGCTATGAAGCATTCGATTTAAACATGGTGGATTAGTAAGGGCCAATTTATTTGCTCTTAGGTGAACCAAAATTTATACTTTGTAGTCCATCTAGAATGTTGGTGAATTCGATATTCTCGCATGCAAAGCTTCACGATTAGATAGATAATTCATAAGGGCCTAATTTGATATCTCTGAAGATTAAGTTTTCAGATGTTACTACTTAGGAGGCATTCTCGTTAATAATAATTATTTATTATATCACTAGTTTGTACTATTATTATAAATTAAATATGTCTATTCAATATTTTACTTGAATCACTTAATTAAGACATTTTATAAAGTTAAGTACTATCTATTAATTTGTGACTACTGTAATATTCTGTATCATTGTTAGCTCATAATAAAAAATTGGAATTTTTATTGTTGTTTACAATTTAGATCTGGTTGAATATAATTTTAGATTTTCACTAAATTTCATTAAAAAGACTTTTCCATTGTAGAATCGAATAGTTGATTATGATTTCAAATTGAAATTTCGAATCACATTCTGAGAATGTAATGACTGGATATTTTCAATGTGGATTAATTTCAAATAATTATTTGGTTATAAATATTTAATTCTATTTTCATATTTATCAATATTTTAAGTGAGTTAGATTTATCTAGAGCATTAAAAAGTTGGTGCAATTAAATTATAAAAATTATAATATTTTCATTAATCTTTACAACAAATTGTTATTTTTTATTATATAACTGCACTTCAACCTAAAAATAGAGAAATTACTTCAATAAATTTTAAATCTAATTTCATTAACTTATTAATTATTCTATGTAGAAGAATAACAGGTTCAAAAATAATAGAAAATTAAAGAATTTAACTTTGATTTAAGATTAATTCAATGTTTAACATATTTTTGAATTATAACTATAATTAAGAGAATCAAATAATGAAATGTTAAATGATATATTTTATATAGATGATTTAATTTTTATATTCGTAAATTATAAAATATTGGTATGAAATGCTATAATGCAGAATCTGATCTTCAAACATCAATTAACTCAAAATAATATCCTTCTGAAATAAACAGTCCATAAACAGAAAGCTAGTCTATTCAAAAGGAGAAGAGAAAATGGAAGAGTGATGAAATGACTAAATATTGCCCAATTGATATTCCAAATGCATTCTAATATGACAAGGTTAATGGATAGAAGTTTCAATTATTTTTAGAAGGGAAGTACTCTGCTAATACATTGGTAAAAGATATGAACGTGGTGACAAAGAGAAAAAGATTAACTTAAATGGAGTAAGAATTCCATAAGCAAAAGGAATAGCAGCAATTAAAAAAGGAATTAGTGGAAAGAAGATTCACAAAAGTAAGAACCTTGATAAACTCGAACATTAAATTAAGAGAAGTAAGCAGTCTTATTTATCTTTAATTTAGTCTTTGAAACTCGAATCCAATTTGAAAGGAAGCAGAATGTTCTCGTAATTAAATAACCATATAGTTGATCATATAGCCAAAATAAAATCAAAGGATTTGTTGACCGATCGAATCGATGGAGTGAGACAACATGAGCCAACGAAACTTTATGATTATAGTAAATCTGGAATTAAGTTAAAATTTAACAAGAACTAAAAACTCATTAAATCTTAGACATAATACTGTTTGAAGTAGGCAGTCACATTAGAAGTTCAAGATCATATTGACTAGTACTTTAAATAGTAACAAGAGGCAGTATAGACAATGGAATTGAAACAGAAAAGAAAGGCCAAACTTAAGATAATCTCGGACAGAAAACATCGTAAGTATTTTACAGAGTTTGACGTTAACTTATAAAATAAGAAAGCTCCTCCTTCGATTAAAGATGTGAAACTATTTAAATACATTCATGGTCAGATGTTGATAGAGAAGTTTTAATAGAAACAAGAAGACTAAAAAGAATATTTCGGGAACGTTATGAGAAGCAGAAAAAGCTATCATATACTTTCAAACTTCGATAAGCCTTCAGAATTGTATGCTTTTGATGATTGCGATTAGTCTTTTGAATCAATGAAGGAGATGAAGCTTTCTAATCTCTATGCTTAAAGCATTGAATTACAATAGAAATTGTTGACAGAGAGAAGAATCGTTAATTAAGTGCAATAATCCAAGCAAATAGATTAAACTACAAATTTGATTTAGATTGTTAACAAATAAAAACTTAAATGATTATTTATATATATATTTATTTATACTTATTAGTAGATATCCCTAAATCCATTTCATAATAATATAAGAATATTAACTATAATGATAAATGAAATTATTATAAGAATCATGCGAGTGTAATAAAGGTTTAATGCATAAATCGCTTAGCCAACATTGAGTTTATTTCTTCCCAATTGCCACTCAATACCGAATATCTTGAAATTAAATCTATCATATTACTTTTCAACCGAATCCAGAGGGCCATTATCAAATCCTCCAAACACATAGATGTATTAATTATCTGGAGTTGGTAATGCTGAAAGTGTGCATCTTGGATGGATCATAGCCTCTATTAAGGTCCACCGACCATCCTCATACTTTTCAACGCTATTCAAATATTAAGTGCCATCAAATCCTCCTATTGCATATATTCCATCAGGCAAAGATACACCTGCCAAGGCTCTTCTTGGTATGTTTAATGGAGCACAATGACCCCATTTTCCTGAGGTAAACACCTCAACAGTTTTGAGACAAGTGTTGACTAATCGATTTTATATCAATATTTTACATTAACCTCCAAATCCTCCTATGGCAAAGATAGCATTTTCATACATACATACAGCCAATTCATCTCTGGCCTCAATCATGGTTGGGAACTTAATCCAATTATTGTCAATCTAATTAAAACAATCGAAATCTTTTAAATTCTCTAAAAAATTAGATAATCCTACTTACCTTGACCATCATTGCCACCAATTACATAAATAAATTGATTAACATTCAATGTTCCAAATCCACTTCTGGATGATGGTAATTTTATTTTTGATGGGATAATTTTTTTATCTTTATAATTGTATTCTTCGCAAGTATCAATACGAACACCATCCACTTTGCCACCCATTAATAACACATTCCCATTGATTAAATGTGCAATTCCAAATTTACATCGATTATTTTTTAATGAATCTTTCTCACTAGCATAATCTGTTTTAATATCATATTTTTCAACTATTTATTTTAAACTGTCAACAAAACCACCTATTGTGATATATTGAAAATCCATAGACATATGACTAACATTCGTCAATTCAGGTTCGAAATCTTGTATTGAATTTAGGAATGTGTTGAATTCTTATTTCGAGTCATCCTAATGCATAAATGGCGATTATGGATCCTAACTAACTTTTGATTAATTTTTAAATAATCTTCGAGGAGTACTATGATCTCTATCTTTTCTTCGTTCTACACTTTTTTCATAATTTCTTTCTTTCATTTGATTTCTGGCTTCTTAAAAGTTGGTCAATCTCACTTGATTAATTTATTTCTCCTCCACCTTCTTTTTTAGATTAATTTGGACAGCACAAGGCCCATTATTTTCACATAACGGTACCTTTTTAGATTGATTCATTTTCTTTTGTTGTTGAGATTACTGCTAAAGGACTTAATTCTGTTATTATTATTGATATTAAGCATTATAAGTCTGTTACTACTGATTATTACTAGTCTTTTTGATAGATTGCACTATTTTTTATTGAGTGGATGCAGTCTATTAGGTAGGTGGAGGAGGTAACACTTGTTATTAATTGGTCTTTTTGGACAAAACTTTAATAATATTTTGATTTTCCTGTTCTTTATTTAGTTCTGGAAATTTGATGGTTTAATCTATTGTAACTATTGATTTTGGTAGTTTATTAATGAGTTTAGTTCGAATATGGGTTGTTTATAGAAATTTGATAGGATCTTAAGACTTTTCATCTAGTTCTGAGAGTTCTTGCAAATAATCATTTATATCCTAGAGCTGTGTTTGGAGCTTCTATTGGTTTTGAGATATTTGCTATTTCTGGTTGATGAGTGACTGATTCAACTAAAGTGATAGGTGGGGAAGTGGTTTACTTGTTCTTGCAGTTTGGATTCTCGTTCTTGAATGGATTGGCGAATCGAATTGAAAAATTTAGTGATTTCGATGTTGACTCTTTGGTATTCGATGTCGAGTTGGTCGTTCATTTATGCTAACTATTGAAATTGCTTAATGGCTTTCTGATGATTCTATTGGACATTTTCAGAGATGGAGTAGAATCTATTCAATTCCATTCGTAAACTCTAAATAGAGAATAAGGATACGTCTTCAAGAGATTGAAATTAATGGCCTTTGTGACCATCATAGAGGATGCAATTGATACATAACAAAGAACAATCATCGGAGCAGAATGCTAAGTAATTTTGTGGATATGGTACCTTCTATGTGTTTGATGTGTTTCTGACAAATGGTTGACAAGCTACTCATTAATGTAGAATAACCTTTATATACAAAAAATTCAAATATTTAATTAATAATATAGTAGTTAACATATACGTTTTCTTTTTTAGTTTTATTGAATATAAATTAATCCATTTAACAGGAGGAGTGTTGCATAAATTGCATAATTGGAGATATAATAATTTAATAATTAATTTTTAACAGAAACATTAATGTCACTTCAAATTGTCAACTTGCCAGAGTTTAGTTATAAGTCAAATACACATCGATCATTGGATCTCGAAAACTTCTTCAAGGAATTTGAAATGAGGTAATTTTTGGAAGAATGCAATTACTCGGAGCAAGAATTATACGTTGAATGCAGAAAAATGAAATAATTCCAACAGAAGCGCAAATTAAAACTCAACCATTACATCAATAGTTATTTAGAATCACCCTCAGTAATTAGTCCAGTTTAATTATTGCTTTGAAGTGCAATTACTATTATATATATTCTACTTATTTATTAAATCATTCCAAACTGATTCCTTATTTTCTCAATGAATCCAAAACCAATTGTTCATAATCCTCTAAAGTCACCTTACCATCTCCATCAGTATCAGTCATCTGAATCCAAATAGTCACATCCTCCTTTGTTGGTTGATAATCGTTCATTCCCATGTGCTTGTATGTTTCCTTCAATAACTCTGGAACCTTTATTTCATAAATACAATTCTGCTACTTCCTCCTCAGTCAAAAATCCTGATCCATCCTTGTCCACAAACTTGAAGATACGTCTGGCCACCTCCAATCTTTCTTGTGCTATTCTTGACAACTTCTCTGGCACTCTCTTGACTGGTTAAGCTGGTGGTTGTCCAGAGAAATACTTCTATACCAATTATTCAACGTCCTCTGTGTGAACACGACCAGTCGATTTCCCTTAAAATATCCATAAACTTACTATCTAAAATTGCCTAACAATTTGAAACATCCTAAGAAGTTGGATTGAACCCTTTATTCATTGCTCTATATGCATCTGATAACATCATGGCAATTTCATTTTATTCAATATACCCATCCTTGTTTGAGTCGTACAATTCCATCACTTGTTTGGCTATCTGTTTGCATTTCTCTGGCTCGAATACTCCACCAAATTGAACTCTATCCGAGATTTGATAACCTGAACTTCTTAACTTATTAGAATCCATTTATTTATTAATATCAATCTTATTTTTTATTAGAATTTTATTTAATAATCGTACACATCCTTATATATATTCCAAATCCTTAAGAACCTATTCAGGAACCAAAAATAACACTTCAAAGACAAGAATACATATTACTCATATTTTATATATATATTTTTTTAATTTAAAAAGATATTAAAATGGTATTAAATGCATTGATATTCATAGCCTAAAGCTGCTAAAACATCTAAAGCTAAGAAATTATAAAAAAGAGTTGCAGACAGAAAAAAGAATCCCTTATTTGTTAAAGATGCTAAAAATTTCAGAATTGGCAACGACGTTTAACCAAAAAGAGATTTATCCAGATATGTTAGATGGCCAAGATATATTTTACTTCATAGATAGAAGAAGATCTTACTTTAAAGAATCAAAGTGCCTGCTGCAATTCATTAATTCAGCAAAACATTAGATAAAAATTAATGTAAATCACTTTCATTTAATCATATCAGCTTCAAAAGTCTTGGGATTATTAAAGAAATACTCACCAGAAACAAAAACTGAAAAGAAACAAAGACTTACTAAATTAGCTGAATAAAAAGCATAAGCTCAAAAGGGTGAATCAAAAAAAGTACAAGTCTTGAAATTCGGTCTCAATCATGTTACTACATTGGTTGAAACCAAAAAAGCAAAATTAGTCTTATTAGCTTATGATGTCGATCCAATTGAACTTGTAGTGTGGTTGCCCTAATTATGCAGAAGACAAGAAGTTCCCTTCTGTTTCATTAAAAGTATTATTGTTAACAATTACTTTAAGACAAGGCTAGATTGGGAGCATTAGTACATTAAAAAACAGCTACTTGTGTTGCTTTGACTGATGTCAGAAAAGAAGATCAAGCAGAATTCGATAATTTAGTAATAAATTAAATAAAATTTTAAGGCTCGTGACTTGAGATAACACTACAATGAAAACCATGAACTTTTAAGAACTATTGGAGGAGGACAAGTCGGAATAAAATCAAGACATCAATAGGAAGCTATTAAGAAAGCTTTCGAATTGGAAGAATTGAAAAAGACATCGCAATGAACATCCTTACATTACAAAGTATATTAATATAGTTCATTATTCAATAAAGAATTATTATTCTGTCTTTAATGGTGATTCATTAATTGTTTCCTCCTTTTAAAAACTTTATTGGCTTGTGGCAATTCTTTATAAGGGATTGTAATCATCAAAAAAGATCTTATATCTTACTAAAATACTATTTAAATTTGTATACATTTATTTATGTCAACCTAAGAAAAGACAAGTTTTCTCCTTTATGATGATTAAGTCTAATTTTAAATTCCAAAAAATAATGGTTTTGCCAGTTTTTTCTCTTTATCCTTGTCTTCATTAAGTAAGTATCTTCCTTTCTTATAAAATGGACTCTTTATTTCTGCTATCATTTCAGTAATCTGATGCTGAAACTTCTCCTTTTTCTAATCCTTAGCAGTGTTTCTCATATGAGGTCCATGACTTGGCTTCTTTGCTTCATCCTCAAATTGTTGTGTTTACATTGATTCACATTTTTATTGCTATTTCGTCTATTAAATTAAGTTCTTAGACAATTTTCTGTTTTCTTCCAATTTCTTTATGTAAGCATGGAAATTTTTATCTGATTTTAAACCTTTACTTTCTGAATTTCTGATAAATAAGGCATAATTATGAATTCCCATTTATGTATATTGATTGCTGGCAACATTTTATTACTACTATACTAATTTAACAGAACTTTATCGATTAGGTTAATGAGCTGTCTGGCTCCTTGAAGAATACAATCTGTATGTCTTTATAGGGTTGAATGGATTGAAAGGCAGTTCTTCATTGTTTTGAGTCATTATATTTATTATTATTAAACATAAATCAAAAATGTAATTTATCCCATCTCATTAGACGAGAAACAAGGATATCAAAATTATTAGTCAATATAATAAAAAATTAGTGAATGTAAACTATTCGGTATGATAATTTCAGTAGTAGTATAGAAAAGTCTTCAAAAAGTTCAATTAAATGAACTTAATTGGTATAATAGTCGAATTACAAAAATGAATAAATAAATAAGACTCTTCTTTTGTAAATAATACTGATTATACTTTCTTTTATTTAATCTAATGGTTTTCTTAGAAAGAAAAGTGAAATATTGCCTTGAATTATTCATTCACATTTTATATTAATATAATTAATGGTAATTAAAAAGACAGCCAAAAAGTAAAGAGTCTTACGTACATCTCAAGGAGTTCTAAAATAATCAAATAAGAAAGTTGGTTTTATCAGCGCCACTGCATTAACATAATAACCAGGGAAGCTTTTGAGGAGACTTGGCGAAAAAAAAAAAGGGATGAGAGAATTAAGAAGAATCAAAAGAGAAACACAAAAATAAACAAGAAAGCCAAAAGACAAGTAGCAAGAATAACTTGAAGAGCAAGAAGATGTACTTGAATTACCAAATACATTCATAATTGATTCATTGAAAATATCACCTGAAGATGAATAAATCTTATCATAATTTATGGTTGGAAATGATACTAAAACTAATTAAATTATAGAAGACTTTTAAAAAGGATTATAAGATGATGAAAATAAGAAACACCACGAAAATATTATGAATAATCCAAAAGTAGTATGTGTGTATGAAAAGTAAAGAATAATAAATTAATATTTTATAGTGTTGCAGAATTAATGAAAACATACAGATCAGGTAAATTGCCATAACCATTCCATCTAATCCCAAAATTGGAACATTGGAAATAAGTGTTTGAATTAACCAAACCTTTGGAATGGTCTCCTTAAGCAATCTTTGCCGCTACCAAAATCTTTTCTTCTGCATTAGATAGATAACAAACTGAATATTTATATTCCACTGTCATATTACCTGCAGTCAGACTCAGTATTCAACAAGACAAAAGATTAAATGTCCATTTATATAATGCATTAATTAAAGCTATGTATAAGCCTTAAGCATGGTTCAGATCAATATTGTTTCCTTTATGTTTAGAGAAGGATTTTACCCTAAAAGAAGCATAGATTATAGGCAGTGTTATTCATAAAGTAAATCCCTTAATTTGATATTCTAGTTACATGTTCCACCTATTCATGGTTCAATAGCCATCTTTAAAGTTGCTTAGTTAGATTTTACAGGTCCAGTTGCTGTGATTTTGAAAGTGTTAATTGAAAAGAAGTTTTCTCTGCCAGAACGAGTATTATTTAACAATATTTTAGGCTTTGGATGAAGTGATTAAATATTTTATGAGATATGAAAATGATCCAAGAGAAATGCCAGTTATTTGGCATCAAATGATTTTGAGAGTCTGTGAATTGTATCAGCTTAAATCAGATCATAAAGACTAATTAAAAAAATTAATCAATAAAAAGAAGCATCATTTGATTACCAAGGAAATATAGAAACAACTAAATAAAGGCACTAAAATGGATGTAGAAAAATGATTATAAACTAATGTTCATATATTTTTATAAATAAGATGGACCTTAATTTTTAGAATTACTCAATCTTATATCAATCTCAGAAGTCTAAGAGATGGATTTCGAACTCAAGAAAAAGTCATAGCTTACTTTTGCCCAATATATAAATAGACTTACGTCCCTTGCATCGATATAATAATTTTGCCGATTTTATTTCATAGCTGATACTAGAAATTGAAAATCCCAGTATATTTTAAAATTAAAATAAATTATGGTACTTCGAAAAAGAACGTCAAGATGGAAAACTAATGCTAAATTATTTCAATATCAATATTCATACATAATATCCATAAATTAGTGAAATTANAAAGCCAAAAGACAAGTAGCAAGAATAACTTGAAGAGCAAGAAGATGTACTTGAATTACCAAATACATTCATAATTGATTCATTGAAAATATCACCTGAAGATGAATAAATCTTATCATAATTTATGGTTGGAAATGATACTAAAACTAATTAAATTATAGAAGACTTTTAAAAAGGATTATAAGATGATGAAAATAAGAAACACCACGAAAATATTATGAATAATCCAAAAGTAGTATGTGTGTATGAAAAGTAAAGAATAATAAATTAATATTTTATAGTGTTGCAGAATTAATGAAAACATACAGATCAGGTAAATTGCCATAACCATTCCATCTAATCCCAAAATTGGAACATTGGAAATAAGTGTTTGAATTAACCAAACCTTTGGAATGGTCTCCTTAAGCAATCTTTGCCGCTACCAAAATCTTTTCTTCTGCATTAGATAGATAACAAACTGAATATTTATATTCCACTGTCATATTACCTGCAGTCAGACTCAGTATTCAACAAGACAAAAGATTAAATGTCCATTTATATAATGCATTAATTAAAGCTATGTATAAGCCTTAAGCATGGTTCAGATCAATATTGTTTCCTTTATGTTTAGAGAAGGATTTTACCCTAAAAGAAGCATAGATTATAGGCAGTGTTATTCATAAAGTAAATCCCTTAATTTGATATTCTAGTTACATGTTCCACCTATTCATGGTTCAATAGCCATCTTTAAAGTTGCTTAGTTAGATTTTACAGGTCCAGTTGCTGTGATTTTGAAAGTGTTAATTGAAAAGAAGTTTTCTCTGCCAGAACGAGTATTATTTAACAATATTTTAGGCTTTGGATGAAGTGATTAAATATTTTATGAGATATGAAAATGATCCAAGAGAAATGCCAGTTATTTGGCATCAAATGATTTTGAGAGTCTGTGAATTGTATCAGCTTAAATCAGATCATAAAGACTAATTAAAAAAATTAATCAATAAAAAGAAGCATCATTTGATTACCAAGGAAATATAGAAACAACTAAATAAAGGCACTAAAATGGATGTAGAAAAATGATTATAAACTAATGTTCATATATTTTTATAAATAAGATGGACCTTAATTTTTAGAATTACTCAATCTTATATCAATCTCAGAAGTCTAAGAGATGGATTTCGAACTCAAGAAAAAGTCATAGCTTACTTTTGCCCAATATATAAATAGACTTACGTCCCTTGCATCGATATAATAATTTTGCCGATTTTATTTCATAGCTGATACTAGAAATTGAAAATCCCAGTATATTTTAAAATTAAAATAAATTATGGTACTTCGAAAAAGAACGTCAAGATGGAAAACTAATGCTAAATTATTTCAATATCAATATTCATACATAATATCCATAAATTAGTGAAATTATAGTTCTCCCAAAGAAGAATTTAAGGACAGGAAAAATAGAAGTAAATTTTCAATATATTCTAATAGATAACCTATGATCTCACTAAGGATGAATCAGATATTATAATATCTACCAGAAGACAAGGTATTTATACAAAAAATATTAGTCTATTTTATTAGTTCGTAGAATTGCTTGAAATCAAGTCAAAAAGATATAAATAAAATAGCAAAAATAATTTCCAATTCAGCGAAATATCGTATATATGAAATGAAATTATAAATGTGTCAAATAGATTGCATGGACAAGGAAAAATAGTAGATTATGGACTGGAGAAGTATTCTCTTTGATGGACAATTTTACATTATGCATGGATAAGATACTCTAAAATCCGATTTCTAGTATGTCATTGATTTAACAATAATCATCAAATTAATATATTATAACCCTGTATAATTTAAATGGAATGCCATCTAAAGTTGATAATCATGTGAATATAGGTTACAAACAATAAAGCATTAAATTAGAAAAATTAATAACACTGACTTGATTTAGCTTCACTGAAAGGACAATTCTTATATCTACAAACAATTAGCGTTTTAAGTCAGTATCTATTTTAGCACAAGAAAATAGATTGATTAGTGTATCATAAATTTATACCTTTGATATCAGTCATTTTAATGGTGAGTTGTGTGTTCTTGGTCAGATTTCAAATTTGTAATGATGGAAATTTGATAATTTAAGAATTCAAGAAATTCTATTTAGTAATTCTAAGATGAATAATACTTTTTTTGATGAATATAATTTTATGAAAGCATCTAAAAATAATAATAAAGTTAATATATTAAATGTTTGGGTATTACGTTTAACCAAGCTCACGGGAATTTATAGAAAATCTCCAGACTAACATACAAAGTCCGCACTTGGAATTAGCAATGATTTCTCATCGATAAATGGCAATGTCAACATATGAGAGACCAAAAAAAATAAAGAGAAATACAACCATCTCAATATTCACGTACGGCAATCGTCTAAAAGTAGTTAAAATATTGAAGGAGATTCTCCAGTCCATAAGTAGCAATAGAAATATGTATCCATATTAAAAAGGTATTTTACAACGATAAGGATTACAATAAGTTTTATAAACTCATTAAAGGAATATTCAAAAAGAGAACGTTTTCAAAGAATGGATTCCATATAATGGCATAGAGTTTCAATGATTCCCTTTTATCCTGATGATATTATTGTAATCAAATGGAAGTATTTTGTGGAATTTGTAACTTTTTTAAGCGTAATCATTTATCCAATTTATATTTGCTTTAACTTATTTGAGTAGTTTGAGTTGACTGTTCTAATTTTTGATATTGTGTTTATAATAGATGTGATAATGAATTTCATTACTGGATATATTGATGAAAACAACAACTTGATCTTGAATTATCAATAAATATGTTAGAACTATCTAAAAACATGGTTCTTATTTGATATCGTATCTGCGCTTCCAATTATTAGACATGTAGAGGGTAAGATGAAGTTTTTTAAAATGATTAGAGTATTCAAATACTTCCTATTTAAGAGATAAATAACATATAAGGGGTAAAAGAATTATGTGAAAGTAATAGAAACACTTGATCCTCATGATGAATTTTAATTGAAGACTGGTACTAAGTACTTAATAAACGTTTTGATCACCTCATGTTTATTAGTCCATATCTTTGGATGTTGGCAACACTTTTTCGATTAAGGTGATTACATAACGAATATCTATTGGGCAAGCTAAACTATTACAACTGTTGGATACGGAGATGTAAAGACTGAACATGAATTTTTTATATTGTGGATGATAATCGGAGTGGCCTTCTATTCATTCACTATTGGAGATTTCGCCTTGATGATGGAAAAGTCAAAAGCAAATTAGGAATAAGAGATTTTATTTTTAGTAGAATAATTAGGAAATGCATAAAAACTACCAGACAAGTTAAAATACAAATTCCTATAATTCATAAAAAATAATATGATTCATAATCCTTTTTGGTCAGATGAATATAGATTAATGACCAAACAACTACCACATAATTTAAAATTATACATGTCTATTAGTGCAATGTTGGATTTCTGTAAACAAATTCCATTCTTTCTTTATGATATCAACAACACTGTCTAGTTATTGATAAATATTAGGTATATGATTGTCGAGGAAGGAAGCATCATCTATAGAGAAGGCCAGAATTCTAGTGAGATTTTCTTCCTTTTGGATGGAGACATAAGAATAATGACAAAGGATAAGGGATTATTATTGAATATCTTGGAAGGGACCATGTTTGGGGAATTTGAGGCAATTGAAGAGAAATTGAGAGGTACGTATTGTATAGCTTAAAAAAAATCGGTTTGCTTGGTTATTCCTTACAGAATATTAAGAAGGGCTATGGAATAGAGTGCAATATTGGACTTTGAAATAAAATAGCTACATCAAAGAAGAAGAAGACTCATCATAAACAACTTTCATGAAGAAAAAAGTAAAATATTAGAAATAAATAAGGAAAGAAAACTGCATATAAAAGATAGGATGTTAGATTTTACACTCAGTCTTTTTTGTAAATGACTAGAGAGGAGTATTTGTTGGAAAAGAAGAAAAGCTAATTATAAAACATGGAAGAGTACAATAAAATGATGTTAAGCAAACTGATTGGACAAAGAATACAAAAAGCATAGAATTGTTTAGTGAAATTCAAGAGATCAGTACACAGAATTATTGAGATGAATCATTTGCTTGATGATACTATGCCAGAGTTATGGAAAGAATTGAATAATTACCAGCTTATAAAAAGAGTGTTTCCTAAGAAATACTTAAAATAAAAACATGAAGTTATCTCCTTATCTAGAAAATCTTCATCAGTTCATTCTCATTTGAGCAGATATGTAAATCTGAGTTAACAATGCTTTTTCCAAAAATTACCAGAAATCAGAATCAAGCATTTAGTTCTTCAACATGTTCGATAAACAAGGAATAAGTTCATCCCTTTGCAATAGTCTCTTAATCACTATATTTAGGAATATCAGGAACAAAGTCAATAGTTGTAATCTAAAAGGAAAGAAAATATTGAAAGATCTATTTGGAATAAAAAATTCACAAAAATCTCTTAAACTGTGATTCTCAGAATTGATGAAATTCAAGAAAGTGGAAATAAATACTTTGCATTAATGCAGAACATGAAAAAGATCGAGAAGCTTTGGTTAAAAGGCTCTATGTACAAATTTGAACTATTCTAATTGACTCATGGAAAAGAAAAGTCATTTCTAATGTGAATGAAGTTTTGTGAATACTTTTGATTAAATGATTACGATGTTTTTATATATTAATGTACTTAAAAAGAACAATCATCTTGCACCCTTTCCTCTTCTTGCAGTGTGGCTGACATATGGCTTAGCATGTGATCCTGGTAATCCTGCAGCTCTGCCAAAATGCTTCAATTCTTCTCTGACTCTTGGTCCTCTCAATAAGATTGTTCCAGTGCCTTTAAATATTAATTATTTATATACCTGTTGGGTTTTATTGTGCTAATTGATCGAAAGTCAAGACCTTTCCACCAGCAGCAAGAATTCTCTTTCTTGCGGTCTCTGTGAATCTCAAAGCACACACGTTGATCTTTGGAACAGTGAGGAGACGTACACTAAATGCTTTTTACAAATAATTACTCATCTGTGACAGTGCCTACAACAACAAGTGTTCTAGTCTTGTCTTTGGCTGTATTAATTTATTTAACAAGTCTGCTAACACTAATTGGATATCTGGCTGTTCTTGTTTATTAGAGTCTTCTTAAGACTGTTGCATTGAAATTTGAATCTGTTCTTCTGGCTAAGAATTTATATAGCTAGGATTCAAATCAATTATTAAAATACCTTGATTAACAATTTCAAATAAAGGTTTGTTGAGGTCACCTTTCTTTAAACATTTCTTTGTACTCTTGTCTTCTTATATGCATCAACTCCCTAACATGATTATTAGTGATATTTGTTACCATTTTAAAAATAAATATATCTTTATTTAATTTATGTCATATATAACTACAATAAAATTATTCATCAATTCACACAATGCTACATACTTTGCACCTCTAACTCATTTAATTCGCACATCTCTTCAAAAATCATTCCATCTATTATAATTACCATCGAAATATCAACTTTTTATTCTGATATTAAAATTTGTTTACTTTTTAATGATTCTCAAGAAGATGACATCCTTCAATAATAACAAACTCTATTTGGATAAAAAATAATATAATTTAATATTATTCCAATAAGGAAATGATCAATTACCTGACTTCGATCACACTCTATTTAGGAATTGGAATAATATTAAAATTCTTATTTTATAATAGATATATTATTCATCTAGTATAAAATACTCCGCCGAAATTTCTTGAGTATCCGTTGTTTGTGCTCTTGGTATGATAATCATTATACACAAAGCTCGATTTTCCAACTCCTGGGAGACGATTCCTATATAGATAATTNAATCTCTTAAACTGTGATTCTCAGAATTGATGAAATTCAAGAAAGTGGAAATAAATACTTTGCATTAATGCAGAACATGAAAAAGATCGAGAAGCTTTGGTTAAAAGGCTCTATGTACAAATTTGAACTATTCTAATTGACTCATGGAAAAGAAAAGTCATTTCTAATGTGAATGAAGTTTTGTGAATACTTTTGATTAAATGATTACGATGTTTTTATATATTAATGTACTTAAAAAGAACAATCATCTTGCACCCTTTCCTCTTCTTGCAGTGTGGCTGACATATGGCTTAGCATGTGATCCTGGTAATCCTGCAGCTCTGCCAAAATGCTTCAATTCTTCTCTGACTCTTGGTCCTCTCAATAAGATTGTTCCAGTGCCTTTAAATATTAATTATTTATATACCTGTTGGGTTTTATTGTGCTAATTGATCGAAAGTCAAGACCTTTCCACCAGCAGCAAGAATTCTCTTTCTTGCGGTCTCTGTGAATCTCAAAGCACACACGTTGATCTTTGGAACAGTGAGGAGACGTACACTAAATGCTTTTTACAAATAATTACTCATCTGTGACAGTGCCTACAACAACAAGTGTTCTAGTCTTGTCTTTGGCTGTATTAATTTATTTAACAAGTCTGCTAACACTAATTGGATATCTGGCTGTTCTTGTTTATTAGAGTCTTCTTAAGACTGTTGCATTGAAATTTGAATCTGTTCTTCTGGCTAAGAATTTATATAGCTAGGATTCAAATCAATTATTAAAATACCTTGATTAACAATTTCAAATAAAGGTTTGTTGAGGTCACCTTTCTTTAAACATTTCTTTGTACTCTTGTCTTCTTATATGCATCAACTCCCTAACATGATTATTAGTGATATTTGTTACCATTTTAAAAATAAATATATCTTTATTTAATTTATGTCATATATAACTACAATAAAATTATTCATCAATTCACACAATGCTACATACTTTGCACCTCTAACTCATTTAATTCGCACATCTCTTCAAAAATCATTCCATCTATTATAATTACCATCGAAATATCAACTTTTTATTCTGATATTAAAATTTGTTTACTTTTTAATGATTCTCAAGAAGATGACATCCTTCAATAATAACAAACTCTATTTGGATAAAAAATAATATAATTTAATATTATTCCAATAAGGAAATGATCAATTACCTGACTTCGATCACACTCTATTTAGGAATTGGAATAATATTAAAATTCTTATTTTATAATAGATATATTATTCATCTAGTATAAAATACTCCGCCGAAATTTCTTGAGTATCCGTTGTTTGTGCTCTTGGTATGATAATCATTATACACAAAGCTCGATTTTCCAACTCCTGGGAGACGATTCCTATATAGATAATTCTATTTTACACTGCAAATTCCTTGTTTTTTAATAGATTCAGTTATTTCAATTTATATATGGAAGTCATCAACTCTCTCCTTTGAAGTAGCAAATCAGCATCACTAACAATACTGTCTATAATTTGATTTCTGATAGTTGACTTTGGTACTTTATTGATTCGTTCATCAAAATATAAACTATCCTTGAATTATTGAAGTGTCCTTTGCTTTTGGATGCTTTGAGAAGGAGTAGAACTGTAAAATTTGTGTTGTTGCTTGCCTTAAGCAGTCTTAGGAGTTTGATTTGATAACCTGTATCTATTTTAAGTTACATTTCTTTGGTTTTGGGTTTCCACTTTGGGTTAATTCCTTTAGGAGTATTACTATTCCTATTCAAATTGCTATTACTCAATTTGATTTTAATGGTTGCGATTTTCTTATTCATCCTAAAACTCAACCTTCATTTGTCTTTATGGTGACTATAATTGTTGTGAATTAGAAAACATTTATTGAGGTGCGGATTATTTAGCTATTTCTTACTTTGGAACATACACAGCAAATTTATTGTTGGTCGAATAGGGTTCATCCTGAAATTCAATATTTTTATAAATTGATTTGTTGTTGCTGTTCATATTTGATTATTTTATTTATTTAATAAATAAATTATAATTTAATATCGCAATGAAATAAGATAAAAAAAAGCAAACACTTCTTCAAAACCCTAAAAATCAAAGCAAAGGTCCCAAACAATAAGTCACATAGAAACTTCCTGACGACATGGTATCTTGTATTTTACCATATTAAAATTATGATAGGAATCAGAAATCAGAGACTGTTTCAATTTCTATGATCCCTCCAGAACAGGATTCATTAATCGTCAGAATATGAGATCAATATTGGGCAATTTTGGTTTTATCAATAAAACTGTTAAAGACATAGAAGAAGAAATAAGAGATGTTGTAGAAGAGTATTGTCTCCTCCTAATATTAGAACTCGAGATAGCTTTTCATTGAAGGATGTAATATAATTGATTTCCAGAAAGTGGTTTGAAAATAAGGGCAGAGATGAAGAAATAGATGAAATCTATGAATTGTTTGTTAGAAAGTAAAAGTAACTATTAAATCAAGGGATCGCAAAGTAGGATTGGCTGAAATAAAGAATGTATTTGCTCAATATCTTGACATTCAAATTAGTGATGCTGACATTCTCGAATTCATCTAGGATGCAAGCAAAGATAAAGATGGTTTGACAAAGGAGGACATCGCTGCTAAAATGGGTTATATCTGATAATAAAATTATAAAATGAACTAAAGATAATTAACTTTATAAACATTTCTTCAAAAACAACATAATATCAATTTAGAATACCAATTGCCAACTGCTGTAACTACCAACTCTGTCCCAATATCATAATTATGGAGTGAAAAATATTGTTAAAAGGTCTTGAGAGTCAGCAATCTCAAAACCTTTTAATAATCATAGGAAAAATAAAAAAGAATTACAGCACATATTAAAGTCTAAAAATTCTTTCAAAAACCCAAATTTGAGAAAGTTAATCAATAATATTAAGCTGCTGAAATTTATGGAATCAATTAAATTATAGAGGAACTTGATAAAGAAAGAACTGATATTAAGGATTTATCATAAAGAATCACCAGAAGCGTCTCACGAGAAGACAAAGAAGTTAAATTCAAATAAAATAGAGAAAATAGAAAATAGGATGAATTCATAGCATTCTTACATAAGAAGTTTTCATTGAAACCACTTATTAGACCAAGAAAACAGAAAAATAACATTGATATTACTATATGAATTCTTTTTATAATCATTTTACTCATAGTATATATATATCTCTAAATCATTTCTTTAATCAATATCATAATCTTTTTTTCAATTATTTACTAAATTAATTTAAGTCTGCAATAATGTGCATTATTTCTTTCACCTCAGGATTTTAACTGTTATTTATACTTTTCCTGCTTTTATGTATTATTTTTATTTTAGATTTCTCACTTGTTTTTGTTTCATTTAATTTTGGTTTAAAAGTACAATCTTTAATTTCTTTTTCACTCTTTCTTTTTTACTCAACATTAATCTTCTCTTATAGTCTTTATTTCCATTCTTAATTTCTTTTAGCGATATTAGGAGGGGACTTCGACTGTTCCTATTGCTTAATTTCAATTTTTGGAGATGTTGGAGATTTACGCAAATGTATTTTAGCATAACTTCCATAATGATCTGAGAGCATTGACAATTAAGTTTAATTAGGAGGAGGGGAAGTAAGGTTTTAAGAAGAGTTTCGTCGATATATAAAATTACTATTATTTTATTATTTGATAGGACTGATGTCTTCTGCGGGGAAGAGATCTTCTTTAACTTTAAGGCTTGATAATCTCAGTTCAGATCGTTCTAACGGAAGAGATTGTCTTCTTATGTTATGGGCACTATCATATCTATTGAATTGACTAAGTAGACCTTAGTCATCATCTTTTTGTACTTGGGTCTCCTCAATCAAATGAGGTTTGATAATTGATGGAGAACTTGTAATTGTATCAGGAATTTTGGTATTATTATGCACAAGTTTTAAGAATTCATCATACTTTTTGATGGTCAATTAAACATCTTTGTGAACATCTTTAATTAAAGAGCAAGACTATTTTGCTACTATGTTGGCATTGAAAAGAGATTAATTTAATTTAGTATGAGACTTATCAGGAGTTATAAGATGGGATACTTTTTAGGCGTAAGATTGTTCATGTATCCTCTTTTTTGTTTCTGAAAGTGATTGCATATTCAATAGCAATAAATTGATTGTTTTTATTTAATTTTATTTATAGACTTAAGTTAATACAAAATATATATAAGACATGTTGGTTCTCTGATTAGCTAATATATAATTGAGAAAGTGAAAAATTTATAGGAATCTATTATTATTATATAAATGCAGTAAGAATTGTGATCAATTAATTGCAGAAATAAATTTTATTATGGATTAATTGGAATTATTGAAAATATGGAGAGGGATCATAGTAGCATTACAATAAAAATACAGTGATATTAATGGTGCATTTTCTGATTTGGACGTGAATAATTCAGGAGAAATAGAAATTGATGATTTGGCCTAGGAGTTAAAGAAAAATCATAATATTCAAGCTGATGAGTAAACTTGATTTTTAGTATAAATAGAACGATAAAACAGCTTTTTGAATACTTAAACACTTCAAAATCAGGAGGCATAGATTTAGATGAATTCGAAAATCATTGGACATAAGTTGATTAAAATATTAAGTAAGTAACAAATCAGTAAAAGTTTTAATAACAAAAATAAGAAAATGAACAATAACTTTTGATATCTTCTGGATAGAAATCAGCCTAATAATTCTCAGATCTATTCAAAAGTTATGCATCAGGAAATTCACCGACCAAATATATTAATGTTTAAGGTGATTTTCAAATTAACCATTTCACTTAAACCACAGGGACCCCTCCTAAATATCAATAACAACGCCCTCTCAATTTTTTGGATAATTTCAATTATAATAAGAAAATATCGCCACCAAAACATTCCTATTTATTAAAAAGTAGAGCTGAAATTCAGTAGGATAGACTTAGAGATATGTAAAAAAGAATTACCAATATATTTAATGGGAAACCAGAACCGAAAAATTCATCTCCAAAATTAAGAAAGGATTTTGATAGCTATCTCAATAATAAATTAAACAAACCAAACACAACCAGAAGATAGGCTTCATATCCTTAATTTACATTTGATTTCTAGAATATCTATCCATAGAGAAAAACTCAAAGAAATTTTGAGTAAAGATTTTCCTTTAATCAAAGAACAGATTCTTCTCCTAATAGATCTTAAGACAGAATTTCCTTATAATAATATGCATACTAATTCTTTGATAGAGTTTACGAGCATAAGCAAACTTCATCTCTTTTAGGATTGCAAAAGAAATAATAGATTTAACCTAAAACAACATTTATGTTCAGATTATGACAATTAAATTATATAATTAATTATCTATAAGAATTCAATTAAATACATATAAAATAATGGCAGAAATCAAAGTCAGTAATAAAACTAAAGACAGAGTCAATGCTTGTAAAGCCTATATAGAAAGAAAATATAAAATGTTTATAACTTAAGAGAGGGAAAAAATATCAGATTGGCAACAATTGGAACTAATACTAAAAAGCCTTAGTTTTACACCAATAGAGTAAGAGTTGATTAAAAAGGAAATATAACACAAGGAAGCAATGCGATTAAGAAAGAAGTTAATATGATATAATCTTTAGGAGATAAAAGATTACGGTAGATGATTTTGAGTCCCTTGCCATAATAGGTAGAGGTGCTTTTGGAGAAGTAAGAGTCTGTAGACATAGGAGTACAAATGAAATTGTTGCAATCAAAAAAATGAAGAAATCTGAAATGATCTTTAAAAATCAATTAGGACACATAAGGGCAGAGAGAGATTTGTTGGTATAATCTAAATGTAAATGGATTGTCGAATTGAAATCATCATTTCAAGATGATGACAACCTCTATCTGGTTATGGAATTTTTGAGTGGAGGAGATCTGATGACTTTATTGATTAAAAAGGATATAATTCCAGAAAGAGATGCAAAATTCTATATAGCTGAACTTGTTTTGGCAGTCGAAGAAATCCACAGCATGAATTACATTCATAGAGATCTGAAGCCTGATAATATTTTAATTGATGCAGCTGGCCATCTCAAAATTTCAGATTTTGGTCTATGTAAACATTTAGGAGTACATTATGATATGGCTATCCCATATCAAAATAATACTCAAGATGTTCAATCTAAACATCATAGTGCACGTCGTCAATTGGCTTACTCAACTGTTGGTACTCCTGACTATATTGCACCAGAAATATTCTCTCAAAAAGGTTATGATCAATTGGTTGATTGGTGGAGTGTTGGTGTTATTCTTTTTGAAATGGTCATAGGTTATCCACCATTTTATAGTGACACGCCATAAAAAACCTGTTAGAAAATATTATCATGGAAACATCACTTCAAAATACCAAAGGAACAAAAAATATCTTCGTAATGTTAAGATCTAATTCTCAAATTAATTTCTGATCCTAGTGAACGATTAGGAGATCCAAGCAAAATCAAAAAGCATTCTTTCTTTTGTGGAATTGATTGGACCAATATAAGAAATCAAAAACCTCCTTATTTGCCTGACAAAAAGAAATTAACATCTAATTTTGATAAGTTTGAAGAAAAAGAACCTTGGAAGCACATTGTGCATAATGAAAAAGATGCAAAGTAAGAGGAAAAAAAAAGTACCAGTGAAAATAAAAAATACTTTTATGGATATACATATAAAAGAAATTACGATGCAGAGATAAGCCCTGTTAAAAGAGCCCTAGAAGAGCTATAAAATATCAAACCATCAGGAATCAAAGCTGAATTCGACAAAAAGTAGAGATCTTAGTCTCCTAAGCCTATAAATGCACCTCCTGAGATTAATAAATCTTAGCGATCTCAATCCCCAACTATAAAGGAGTAACTCAAAAATACTTATTTGTAATATATTGGATAGTATTTATCACCTATAAATAAGTTAAAACAAAAATAAAGTTGAATAACCTATTAATATTTTATTTTCTTATAAATATATAGCTATATAACATGTAATCAATATTTTTAAACATAAAATATAATTCAAAAAATTAAATCAATCAACACATTTAAAAAATATTTGGATTAGTTTCCTTCTTTGCTTTAGACACTGGTTTACATAACTTAGATTTCAAAATTTTGAATTGCTGATAGATATCTACTATTAAACAACATATTAAATTAACGCTAAACAAAGTTATATTTACCCATCCAATTTATATCCTATATTAATAAAAGTAATCCATATCATGACATAAAAATAAGATGGAATTTATATAAATTGAAGTTTCAAAAACCATGATTTTGAAATTCTCAAAACTCTAAATCATTGGCTTAGATAACAAAATATATAAAGTAAATATTACAGATTGAAAAGATATAAATAGAGTTTAACATGCTGGCATAACTTAGAAAAGCACCAATGTGCATATAAAACTTAATTTCTTTATTAATAGGATAGTTTAATATTGGGCATTCCATTTGTTGACTTTTGTATTAATACCTTCAAAAAACAAATTTGATTTCACAGTTTGTATTAACTTATTTGATATCAATGAATAGGAATAGAATCCAAGAATTGATAATAAATTAAATGAAAAAATAGCAACGGATAAGGCTGAACATATCTACAGTAGTCTACTTTATTAGGAGAATGTAACAATTTGCAATAGGGAGGAAAATGTCAAATCATAATAGCTTGATAAAAACACTCTAATCAATCCTTAATAAAAGAAGGATTTGATGTAAAATAATGCTAAAGATTCTATGGAATGCAATAGTTCGATTAGTTTTTTGACTAAGCATCGAACTGAAGTATCCACTTAATTGATTACATTTTAATATTTAGATTTGATGAGTAATTGAATCATTATTTTCGATAGCTTATAATTGATGGCACTAGTTAATAGGATAATTATGAAACCTTAAAAGTTAGTTCCAAAGAAACAATCAGTTTGAAAGAATTCAAATTTGCCAACGTTGTATTAAATTGTGGGTGTCTCTTATTACATAACCTTATCAAAAATTGAATCTATATAAAGATAATCATATAAAGGCTATAATGACACTAAATCAAAAATGGCAAGAAAAATTGAAAAGTTAATGGGGTAGTTAATATTTATGTATTTGATGTAAGATAATTATTATAGATTATCTAGTAAATTCCAAAAGATTTCAAAGTTGCCTAAGAAAAATGAAAGAACAGCTATTCCGATGAGAATGTATAGGACAATCGAATTGAAATAAGCTGCTGTATCTGTAATTACTTTTTGTAAATTAGTCAATTATTCTATATTGGATAACTTAAGAGTAACTTTAGATGCTGGATTATTTCCTAATTCATTGACTAATAGATCTTAATTAAATGTTAAATTTAAAATTGGATTTTTTATCGAAATCTAAAATGAAAGATCAATTGTATATTAGATGTCCTTTAATTCTTTTGATAGCTAAGTTATTGGTGTTAGCGTAAAGTTGAATTGATTTTTGTCAAGGCCTGAGATAGAGATTTATATAGATTTGATAAAATCTAGAGTATTGTAATTTGATTCAGATAACATAACTGGTTAAGTAAAGGTAAATGATAAATAAGTTGGTTTATGATTTATCATTTAAAGAAGTGGGAGAGGATAATCTTATTAAATACAAAGACTTAGTTAATTTTATATGATGCATTTCCAATTGGTTTCAACTTGACATTTGCTATTGCAACCATCATGATCATTAAGATTACCATCGTCACATTCTTCTTTTTCTTCAATAACAATGCCATCTCCACATTGAGCAAAACAGAAAGAATTGTGTGGATAGAATCCATAGAGACACTCCCAACATATTCCTTAATAGCAGTTTAAACATTCAAATGAGCATTGATAATCACATTCATAACAACCATCAAATTAAATAAAATTACCATCATCACATTTTTCTAAAATGGTGATAATTCCATCTCCACAAATTGAGTCACACTCCTATGTAATATTATTACGAATCCATCCATATGGATTACATTTCAAACAAACCTTGCCTTCACAAATTAAACATCCAAAAGAACATTGAATTTTGCATTCATAACATCCATCATAAGGTAGATTATTAGTATCATCACATTCTTCAAATGGATAAGTAACAACTCCATCTCCACAAATGGGTTGACACATATCAGAGAAACATTATTATAAAGAATATTCCCAAACACAGTTGTCTCCATTTTAATCAATTAAACATTCAGACTCATATTTGTAAGAACTACATTTAGTTTTAAGTTAACATCCCCCTTAAGCCTTGAGAGTACATTGTGTTTAAACAGAAATGCATTCATCAAGAGTAAATGGAATGATGGGCATTTAATTGCAAATTCTATCATAACATTGTCCAGAGATCCAAATGCAATCATTTGAAGTTCTATCGAAATTACAACAAATTTGTTAATGACAATCATGACAATTTAATCTTTATAAACATGTTTGGCCATCACTTGTACAATGTTTGTCAGGGAATAACTATTAGCATTACATTTCATCACCATAAAAATAGTCTTCACATTCAACAGTTTTGCAGGATTCATTTATGCAATATTTTGTGTAATCAGAACATAAATGAGTTTAATCTACAAGAAGAGTATTACAATCAAGAAGTGTACATTTTAGATTGATATGATCCCATACGCATTTGTCACTTAATGTAGCATTTTCACAAGTTGATTCAGTCACATAAAAGTTGCATTCGATAGTAATACATTTATCAACTTTCCAAAAACATGGATAATGATTTCTATTAAGAATACATTGATAAGATTTGGTATAATTGGGACAATCAGTTAATTCTATGCAACCATTCCGCAATTCATTTACAGTGCAAATATTCAATAAAGAGTAACATTTTGTATGATTATTGTTTAAGTTATCCAAAATATTACATGCATTTAGTTCAAAGCATTGTGAGAGATTACTATTCCAATAGCATTTCTAATTAGTTGCACTTTAATAGCATTAACTCTGTTATGCTTATGAACAGTATTACACAAAGGGTCCACACTTAGGTTCCTCTCCAATAGTGCAAACTTTATTGGCTTTATATTATTCACATGATGTAATTGAAACAGATGACAATGTGGCAAAGAGACAAGCATCAACACATTTGTTTCCACTAAAAACGCAATTATCTAACCAGTTATCACAATCAGACTGATTACTTGGTTGTCTACTTGCACCATTCCTATAATTTGAGCAAACTCTTTAAACACATGAGGCAGATACATCAATAGTACATCTGGTACCATTTCTAATTAATGAATTCTCACATTCAGATGTAACATAATCCGAACAATTCATGAGAACTGATATGCAAGCACCACTCGTCCAATAACAATAATTGGAATATTATTCACAAAGTGCTTAAGTTGAATGAATTGGACATAATTCAGTACATATTCCAGTTGTTGGAACTGCAGTACCAGAAGTCATCCAATAAAAGAAACATTTAGTTCGGTTATCTGTGAACTTGCAAGAAGAAGATGCCGAATAAGTAGAACAACCATTTTAAGCGAATGCACATGTTTGTAATTATGCTATCGTATATAATTGATTCTTATTATTACATTCTTTATGATAATCCGCAAGTACTTCTTCACAATAATTGCTATTGATACATCTACTATCACACCAAAAACACTTAATGTTATTATTCTCGTATGCTAAAATACAATTTGCATCTGTAGTATAGGATGAACAAGGATTTGTTTCACATTAATTGAGAGATGAATTCCAATTGCAAGTAGCTCCTTTCGGTTTCTAAAGAACACAGATACTGCTATTTGTGATGAGGTTGCATGATTTAGCAGTGCATCCCACCCCATCTCTGTAATTCAACTCACATATGTCATTTATTTATTTACATTCATAATTTGAAACAGCTGATCCATTTAAATGACAATCCTAAGAACTGTTTTAAGGAACTTCTTAACAAACTCCACCTATAAACTAACAAGAAACTTCATTTTTTGAAACAGATACATCACATTTTTGTTAACTAGTGATAGAAGAACATAAACCCATAATCTCACATCCTTAATCTCTAGTTCCATCTGCTTTTATTTTCAATTAACAATTTCTTGAACTATTGAAAAATTTAAAACAATCGCTATCATTATTAGCTGTCGTTTATGATTAACATTACTAACTTGAACAAGTAGTACCATTCCACACACAAGGCTCATAGTATGAATTGATTTTACATTACATTTCAAATGTGTATAATGCACAATCTGATTTTAAGATTTCACAAGCAATATTTTAATTCACACAATTTATTGATATTTATTCACATAACTGATTTGTAACTCCTAGATCTAATGTCATAGGACAAGTAGCAGGAGTGTAATTGTCACATAAACTATTGACGGTATCCCACTCACATTTCACTCCGTAATAATCATGCACACATTTTGATTGATCAGTGTAACTTGGACATTAGTATTATTTTCTTTGGCATCCTATTGCTCCAGAAGTATTGACAGTGCACAACTTATTCCAAGCATTACATTCTTAATGGGTTTAAGCTGTAAATGTTACAGTCATACTACAAGTATCAAGTGCATCTCGCTGTTTACATTTGGAAGTAGAAATGTCATAATTGCAAATTGGATTCCATTAATAACACGAATAATTGTTAGGTATTCCGCTTGGTATACTGCAGGCTTTAAAAATGCATGATGTACCATCCCAAAAGCATTTGGTTCCATCAGGCAAACCCTACGTACATAATGTTAGATCTGAAATTCCTGAACATACATTTGGCCATGCTTAACATTTAGAATTTACCGAATCAAGAAAACACTTCATACCAACAACTTTTAGATTGTCACAAAAAGTTGAAGAAAAAGTGATAAAATCCGAGCATACCGAGGGAGCACATATTGCACCAGTCCATTTACATTGATAACCATCAAGAGTTTAATAACATTATTGTTAATGAAAATCATTACAATTTAATAGTTTTTATATACATCCATGAATTTGTTAGCTGCCAGATATTTAATAAACATTGACAGTGCAATTCTTGAGCCATAATTCACAATCTTCATGAGTGATGAATGATACTGGTGCATCAGAACATTATTTTAGTCTACATTTCTTAGGTAATTTGCAAGTTGGATTCGTCAAACAATCATTTTGATGAATAATTTCACAAGTTTAATCTCGACATGTTCCAAGATAATAATCATAAGTGCATTTGTTGTTTACAGTATTACATTGTAAATGATCAGTGAATCCAGGGAAAACAAAGTTAGAACAAATGTTTTCCACACATTGATTTGAATTCCAATAGCATTTTCGATTGGAATAATCAACATCACAAAATTAATTATCATTAATCAAATTACAAGTAATTGGTCTATCTTGACAACCACCATTAAGTTTACCCATACACTTTCCAACCAATTTACATTAATTGTGATTTAAAGATGATAATTGACTATCACATCCTTATCTCTTACATTTATTCTATGCATTAATCCAATAACATTATTGAGCTGGATTTGATAAGCAATCTTCCTGAGCATCGTAACCATCACAATAAATTGGTCTGGTTTTACAACCTCCTCCATTTTTAAAAACACAATCTAAATGGGAATCAAATTATTAACATTAATTATAATTTGAATAGATATTTACATCTTCAGCTAAAGAGCATTCCTTCTTTTTGCATTCATTATTCATGAAAATGCAATTATTGCCATAGATATCAGTAACACAACCTTCCATTGCTAAGCTATCTTGGCATTACTTACGTAATACACACACCTACCCGTTTGTTGTACATTCCAATAACAAACCTCTACATTCTTCGTCAGTGGTAAATCTCAAATTATCACAAACTAAGTCTACACATGCTGATAGCTCTTAATCCCAATAACATTGTTTTGATTTAGCTTTATTGTAAAAGCATTACTCTTAATACTTTATCATTTTGCAATGTTCTTTGCTTTCCTCACAACCACCATCTAATGATACTGTACAAGATGAAATCTATGCTCTACACTCTGAATCGCTTATTAGATACATTGGTAATTCCTTGCACTCTCTACTAACTCTGCATTTAGGGTTTTCATTGATAGACCAGAAACAATAACGGTTAGCCTTATTCATGTTTTAGCATGCAATCCAATTTTCATATTCCTCACATTCACCCACATCTATGCATTTCATACCATCACTAATGCAATTCTTAGATGATTCCCAGCATTCTTCTCTTTTAAATGCTTTACACTCTTTAAATTCTATGCATTCCCCCAAATAAAATCCACATTTATCCTTCAATCTGCAATCCTCTTAAGAGTATTCCTTACATTAAGCTCCTACAGTCCCCTTATCCAAATAGGTTTCACCATTTTTTATCAAACATTTATTTTAGATCCACTAACAAATGCTTGATCTATCACATTATTCACTATCTGATATTTGACTACATACACAGATACTGCTGTATTCACCTCTTATTTACACTGAAAAGATAGTTAATATGCAAATCTATCTTAAAATTTTCATATTAAATTAAAACAATTTTTTGTGTTCTTTATTAGAATATCACGACTACTTTTCTAAATTTATTCAAATCAATCATTTCCATATCGATTCATAAATTTCTGCAGAAAATTAATCAATCTTTACTACAATTTTACATTTAAATTCAATTTCTGAAATAAATATATATTTGTCTAAAATAAAATCTAATTATTCCCAAGAATTATATTATACTTTAATTTATATAAATAAAGTAATGTAATCCAGAATATCGTCTATTCTTACATATGTTAAATAATGAGATTGTTCATAAATACCGATGTTATCTAAAATTTATGTAAAAATATTTTTTATTGTTATAAAAAAATTAAACCTAGCTTAATTATATATAATTATTGTTTATAATAAGAGGTATGAATTTATACCAAATTGATAAATTTACTCAAATAACATTACCTTAGTCACTCCAATCCAATTCTACAACTAATATGTATATTGATAATGAATGGCTTGATCAATAATTATAATAAGTTCAACAGATGGATTTCCAAAATTAAAACCTACCCAGTAATACAGATATTTCACAATTTGTTTTGTAACAGTCATAAGGTGAAACTCCATCTTTAGACTAAAATAAAAAGGAGGAAATTGAATTCTCGATACTTAATTTAGAAAACTTTGAAGATGATGAATAAAACAAATATTCTCACAATAAAAAGTACTAATTAGAAAAAAAGAAAAAGAATTTTAAAAAATGCAAAACAACAACTAATGGATTTGCATTAGATGAAACTGATTTATTTTAAACAGAATAAGAATCTTTTAAGAAATGGAAGAGTTCATAAGTTTAAAAAAAGTCAGAATTTACAAAATAATTTAATGACTATAAATAGTATTATCAGACAGAGATAGTCGTCAAGTATTTTGGATCCAAATATCAATAAACACTTCTAGTAAGCGATTAAATTATAGCTGCAGAACTAATTGTCTTGGCTCTTAAGACATTTTAATAAGACTAATTTAGCGATAAATCAAAATACGAATATCCTAATTTCTCACTGGCTTATAAACTAATTGGAACAGAAATCAGCCCCACTAAATTTACATGTACAAATGATGAAAATTTTGAAAACGACAGCAATAAATTAGATGATGAATCTTTAGAAAACCCAGAGATTGATTTAGAATCATAGGTATTTTATAGGACTGTTGAGTTAGTACCAGGTCTCAATTCTTTTGGATTAGATTTCCAGTTCATAAAATAAACATATCTATCTCATCCAGAATTTCTTATTTTATTAATAGAAGATCCAAAGTCCTAAACATTTTATCATATAAAAGTTAAAAAAACAGGGAATCTAAAGGATTGTTAAAATGAATTAAATAGAAAATTGACAAGGAAATACCTAAAAAATGATTACTTTTTAAGCTTGAAATATCCTTGTGTTAATTATGATTGTGGAGATCTTGGTGACCAATTTCCAATAGATTAATTACCTCTGCATTGGTTAGTAATCCATTCCAGGTCCTCAAATTTACTATAGGAATCTTAGGATGATGCTAATGTTCCAATTAAAAATAACATGAACAATTTTCAAGAAAACAATAATCCATCTAATTCTTGTAGATTTTTATCATTAGATTTTATGTAACTCGCCATTGTAGAGAAGATGCCATTATTATATGGGTACTAGGAATTTAATTTAATAAAATACGATAAAGGGTGTTTTAATGAGATTGTGTTTGGGATAGACTATTTTGACATCTATTATTATTATAATGAAAAATAAAGCAAAAAGAATGGGATTCTCAATTTCATTTACATGATAGCAAAACAAATCTTCATAGAAAAAAGAGAGAGAAAAAAGTTCAAAAGAATTCCACTAAATGTTATTGCAGATTTAAAACTGAAGAAAGATAAATACTTTGAAATCCACTATGAATTATTTGACGGATTTAAAAAGAAACTGTAATTTTTTTCGAGAAACGATGATAAAAATGTTATTAGAGAAGTGTTTAGCAAATTAGAATATTTGGTATCAATTTAACAATTTAATGAATGAAATTTTGTGTTATTTGATATTTTTTTTCTCCATTAATTTAAATTATGTAAAGTAATAAATCTTTCTCAGAATTATAACATTTAATATTTATAGAAAATTCAAATACAGAAAAACAATTAAAAATTATGCCAAATAAAGTTCCTGCTTTAATAACCCTTGGAGTAGATAGACAAGATCTCTAAAAATTTGATGATAGAATGCTATTAGGAAATGAGGAATTCAGAATTTCAGGTGTGAAAATCAGTTTAGATGATAAAAAAATATGTGGAATCGCTTTTACTTATCAAAATATTAAAAATGGAAATAAAATATTATGCAATGACACTTGCATAACCGGGAAAAACATTACTTAATACGAATTTGAAATAGGTGAAAGTAATAATAATATTTAAATTTAAGATGACTTCATTTAAGCTCTTTTCGGATATTATGAATCTGGGATTACTTAAATAGGGATTGTAACTTATAAAGGATAATAAGCAATCTTTGGAAAGGATTAAGGTTACAAATTTCAGCATATGTTTATGGGATATACCTTTACAGGATGTTCTGGTACATATAAAAAAGGATTACTAGAATCTTTGACATTTAAAGTAGTTAAGTTGCCAAAGGAATTTCTTGCTCAGCATGTATTTATTTAGTTACTATATTATAAACAGTTCAATCCTTTACTTTAAATCCTTTACCCAGATAATCCATATGAGAGTATCATTCTTACTAAGTTTGAACAGGAATAAGATTATAAATACGAGGAGCAGCCTCAATCTGTAATGTAACCTACATCTGAAATTATTTACTAAATGATACCAAGTCAGTTACAATAAGCATAATCTGGCTATCCCGTTTAGAATCAACAAGTTATTCAAAATTAGATACCACCTTATGGAAATCCATATTAACAACCAAACCAATATTAGACATATTAGTAATATCCAAATAGCTAATTATAATATTCCACAAATTAATACGGACCCAATCAAACCATTATAGTAAACTAATAGTAATAACCATAACAACAACAATGTAGTTAACAATAAGGACCTGGATTTGCTGGTACAATGGCTAAAACTGCAATTGGAACCTTTGCAGCTATAGAAACGGTTAGGATGTTCGAAAACATAGGTCATCATCATAATTAGGCAAATGTAGTTCTTGTTGGTATATTTTCATTGAGATAGATTAGGTAACAATCATCATGGACACCATCATCACCGATGATGAATTTTAGAATAGTGGTTATATTTTTTCTTAATATTATGAATAAATTCTTAAATAACATATTTAATTAAGAAAATCTAATATTGAATGCAATAAAGCGAATAAGGACCATTGTGGTAAATAATACCTAAAGATTTTGTGTAATCCAAAGTCATGTTTGAGGCAACAGTAACCAAATTAGGAAAGAAGCAACATCAAAGACACCTTGTTATTACTGATAAACATATATTATTATTGAAAGTAATTGAAACTATATTCAAAAGGAAAATGGAAAATTTGCACATAAACTATTACCTTTGGATTTTTCAACTAGATTTGAGATTTTTCGTGATGCTCCTACTTTAAAAGCGAATGTCTAAACAAAAAAATCAACACCAAACACTCCTCTTACAAATCGACCTGACGTTGTAAAACCTGAGGATATTTAAACTTTAGGAGATATATTGCATATAAGATTGTAGGTTGAATCATCAGACAAACATTGGGATTTTACTAGTGATCAAGAGACACTTAAAACATTTAGAAAATTATTTGGTTAAAAAATAAATCAGATGGGTTTTCATCATATGTTTAAAGTGTTCAAAAAGATTGGCAAAGGAAACTTTGCAAGTGTGTATCTAGCAGAGAGAGTAGAAGATGGATAATAGATGGCAATTAAAGCATTTTCAAAAAATGCAGTCTACGCAGAAGAAAATGGGAAAGTAATATTATAATTATCAAAATAAGGAAGGACTTATCAATGAAATAACCATAATGAGAGAATTGGATCATCCTAATATCATGAAACTCTATGAAGTCTATGAGACATAGAATTCATTATATATGGGTTTGGAATTATTATAGGGAGGCTAACTCTATGATATAATAAAAAAGAAAGTAATATTAACCAACAAATAAATACAATCTATTATGAAAGGACTGTTAGATGGATTGGCACATATGCATTCCAAAAATATAATGCATAGAGATTTGAAACTCGAAAACATTCTCTTCAAAGAATAAAAGTTAATTTAAATATTATAATAATAGCGATATTAATTCTGTTGTGATAGCTGATTTTGGTTTGGCAACATTTGTAAATCTGCCAGTCTATTTGTATTGTAGATGTGGAACACCTGGTTTTGTAGCACCAGAAGTCATAAATATTACAGATATGTCAACTACTTATGACAGTGTTTGCGATATCTATTCTTTAGGGTTAGTCTTCCACATACTTTTGACAGGAAAACCTGGATTTCCAGGAAGAAGCTATAACACAATTGTCCAATAAAATAAAGATGCTAAAGTCAATTTTAAGAGTCCTGTGTTTGATGTGGTACCACCATAAGCATTTGAACTATTAAAATAAATGTTAGAGCCTAATCCAAAAAAAAGAATAACAGCCAAACAAGCTATGGAATTTGAATTCATCTACTTATGTGAAGGCAATCAATAAACTGTATCTTCAGAGGATGATGGCAATATAGGAGAAGTAGATGACAAACCTGGATTAAATGCCAGAATACAAAAGATTAATGATCAGTATAATACTAAAATCAATAATTAGAGCTGCCACATTTGATATGCTAAGGATTAATCAATTGACTAATTCGCCTTTAAAATCACCAGTCATGTAGGCAACCAACAAAATGAAAGAAGTTCAAAATAAGGACCAATAAATGATCATGAGAACTCCAGTTATTACAGGTAGAACTGTGGGATGTGAAGGTAAATCGATATTCTTACTAAAATTCTAGACTCTCCAAATACAAATTAGTTTGTTTCGCCTAGTGTGCAATTCAAAAAACTATAATAGAAGTAAGCAATTTCTAAATCGCTAGTTAATAATAAGCCCCAACTGGAAATGTTTTATTAAAGTACACCTAAAAACCATAACAACAATAACCAAAAGACAACGAGGACGAAAAGAAAGAATAATCCAATGTGGCCAAATCAGTTAAAGCTGCTCTTAGTAAACATATTTGACCAAAATCAAAACGATTATTTATAACAGTAAATATACTATAAGAATGTAATTTAAAAGAAGAGATTTTAGAATTATTTAATAATTACCTATAATTTTTCATCATTCTTACCCTTCTTCTTTTGGTTTCTCTTAAGACTCCTCGCTTTCCGATTGAGAACTTTCCTGCTCTTGTTCAATAGGCTATTCCTTTATTTTCTGACTTTAAAAATCAATAAATTATTAGTATGCTCTCTGTAATTTCTCCTTTAGATCTTTTTCCATTTCCTAATCACAGTTGAAAATGGATATACATTGAACCGCTCGTTACTATATTCTTTAAGTGGATTCATTCCTTCATTTGTTTTGACTGGTTGCCATAACAAATATGGAGCCGTTCTAAAAGACTCTATAAATATTACATACTTTGTGATAAAGAATTCTCTCATAGTTTTCAATTAGAGCTCCAATAACAATTACTATATATATAGCTGTTATGATATGTACTTGTCTTCTAAACTCATCAGCTGCCAACTCTCTTTCCAATTACTTTCTTTCGGTCACTAATTTTTCTTTTTTTTTCTATTTAATATATGTATTAGAATACATCCTAATTTTCTTTGAATGCCATCAAATCTTGTCTTTCTTTATCCTCTAATCTTTTATTAATCTCTATTTGTTTATCCAACTAATTTAATATGATCATAGAATTTACTTTCTATTTTTCTCCATCTAAATCTTGCTTTGCTCTTTGTAGATGGTTTCCAAATAGACTTTTTACTATTCTTCTATCTTTCTCTTTTAAGGCAATGGGTACTTTTTGATCAAGCTACTTTTACTTTTCTGCACGTTCCTGTTTAGCACCTTCAAGATTTATTACAAAAGTCTTCAAAACATCCTTAATCTATAAATTACCTTATCGTTCTCATCCTTTAATTTCTTGTTTTTATTGTTGTTCCTTCTATTAACATAGATTAGCAAAAATACTAAAATGGCATGCTTTTAATTTCTTTGATCAAGGTTTTTCTTTTACTTAAGCTCTCCTATTATTTCTTATGTAATTCTTTCAACTTATATTTTATTTCTTCAACATTCATTTTTTTTCTTGCAATTATATTAATAAATAAATTTTATATATTAAATTATATAGATGTTATATTCCTCTAATCAGATTGTTTAGACTTATTAATACTACAGGAAGATTTAAATTATCCCTCTGCTTCATTTGCTAATGTGCAGAAATAAGAATTCAACTTAATTTAGATTCTTAGAATGTAACAGTTTTTCTTAATAATTGGTTATAACAGATCAAAGTTGAAATTCAGGTATGAATTTCTGATTTTAAGAAGGAGCTTTCTTGTTAAATCGTCCATTACATTTATAATTTATTTTGATATATACAAATACTAAGTAACTGTGAGTCTGGTTATTTTGAGACTAAGATTTAGCTTGGATTGAAATGTTTTGACTTTCTGAATAGCTTATGAGTCATATTGTAATGGAATTTGAGATATTTATAATAATAAAGGAATTTTTATAATAATAAAAGTGGAAATTATTATAATATTAAAATATGAATGACGTATCTATTAATACTCATCATAATTCATATTCATATGAATTAAATCTTTCTAAATTGGCTTGAAATTATTATAAAATATCTAAGAATGTCAGAATTACCATCCATTTAGAATTAAGATGTCTCAGGACCAAGAAATGAATAGAAGGAGTTAATACCTTAAGACAAAGAGACTACTAAAAATAATTCAGGAGAAGCACTTACCAAACAAGAGTTGTACAATGACGATGAAATGAAGGCAATAATGATATCAGGGATAAAATCAATGGTAGGGGGGTTATTATTACATCTGGAACTTGGTACTTTTTATGTTTGGGGGTCAATAAGTATAAATTAATTCATATTCTAATTATAGGTCCTTATGTGTGTGCTTGGATGAGAGAGAAGGACTTGAGTGTAACATTGAACTATATGGCTATCATATTCCCTATTCTTGGTTTAATCACAATGTCTTGTCTGTCATTTGGAATAAAAATAGCTGAAAAAATTGGATTTAAACTGACAATTGGCATATGTTCAACTTCAATTGCATTGGCATTTTTGATAATATCATTTGTCCAAGACATTGGTGGTTTTATTGCTATCTATTGTATAATGGTTGGAATTTCAGGAGGATTAGCATATATGTTACCAATCATTTGTGGATGGAGACACTTCCCAGACAAGAGAGGATTGGTTTCAGGAATAACTATAGGTGGATATGGATTTGGGTCATTCATATTCAATTTTGTTTGCAAAGCCATAGCAAACCCAGATAATGAGAAGCCAAGTGTTATATTTTAAGAAGACGGCAAAGATGTAAAATACTTTGACAGTACAGTTGGGGATAGAGTTCCTTTGATGTTGTAGGTCTTGGCAGCCTGTTACTTTGGATTGGCCATCCTATCAACTTTATTGGTGAGATTCCCAAAGGAAATAGATGTGGATAAATTGATAGCTACAATTGAAGCAAGAAAGAAAAAACAAGCATCCCTTAATCCAAATCAGTAAATTCATGTTCCATCATCCTACCTCCCACCAGAGAAGGAGTGCTAAACAGTGTAATAGATAATATTAAATTTTAGATCTAAAGGAGTTAAACATGTAGTGTTCCCTATATTGGTTTTGATAGTCTTGATGTCATGCACCTTAGGGATGTTGATATCCAATTGCTATAAGTTTTATGGACAAGAATTAGGAATAGATGATGCTACACTCACAGCTACTGGTTCTGTTGCTGGTGTAATGAATGGATGCTCTCGTTTCTTCTGGGCCACCTTATCTGATAAAACCTCATTTAAGTTTACTTTCACATTAATATCAATTCTAAATTTAATCACTTCAGCAATACTACCTTACAATAGTGATGGAATTGGATATCTATTATTGATTGCCATAGTTTATTTAGCAGAAGGAGGACTACTAGCTACTTATCCTTTGATATGTGCCACAGTTTATGGTAAAAAGATTGGAGGGTTGATGTACGGATTTCTGTTCTTCATGATTGGTGTCTGCAATATGCTTGGTTACATCTTCTATCGATTTGCAAGATTAAAGATCGGATGGGAAGGAGTTTATTGGATTTGTTTTGGCATGAATGTTATTGGAATCATACTGGGAATCATCTTGAAGGAAAAAGGATACGATTGGAGAGATGTCCAAGTTTAAGCATCAGAACAATTAAGAAACGATAATTCAGAACATCAACAATTACAATAATAATAATGATTTTGATACTCGATGTTTTTTATATTATGAGTCAAAAGTTTTGATTAATGTTATAATGGAATCAATTTCTACCATTTATAGGATATATTCTTATTTAATAATGAGTTATTATATTCAATGTTTATTTATTAATATATATGTGTAAACACTAAGTCAACAAGAACAAGTTTATTCTTTCGCTTCTTCCTTTGAGGAATGTGTAGCCAATAATATTGGTTTTAAATCGTTCTTCTCAATCAACCCATTGTCTATCCTTTAAACTAATTTCCCTGATAATGTCAAAAACATATTCTCTATTTGCTCCCCTGTTACTGCACTCGTTTCAAAATAAGAATCAATTGAATATTCTTTCACTAATTTTTATACCTAACTCTCAGTAATTCTTCTTTATTCCTTTTTTAATATAAATTGCATACGATCAAATCTACCTTATTCCCACATGCTATTATACAAATATCAGGCCTTGCAAAGTCTCTTGCATCCTTAATCCACTGCTACATATTTTAGAACGATTCCACGTTTGTCAAATCAAAAAGGCAAATTGCTCCTAATGCTCCCCTGTAATACGTTCTTGCAATTGATCTATATCGCTCTTGACCTGCCGTGTCCCACAGCTGCAATTTTATCGATTTCCCTTTTATTGAAATCATTTTTGAAGAAAACTCAACCCCCACAGTCTAGGCAACATTCTTTGGTTCTAATCTCATTCATAACATCTATTTACATTTCCCATTCAAATAGTGATACAAGATGCTTGTTTTCCCACAACTTCCATTTCCAATAATGATAATTTTAAATATATAGTCATATGGTTCTTTGTCCATTTCCATTTTTTTAATAAATTATTTAATATTCTCATTAAATTCAATTTATAAAAATATTAGGGATATACATGGTCTAAATAACAACTGCCACAAAAGTCTCTTAGAAATATATTAAAAATGAAAAGATTTCATCTTAGGAGGTAAAATATTCCCTTTTAATGGCAAAATGGAATTGAAATTAGATGACCTTACACCTTTGTATTCTGTGGAAATTTAATTATCAATTTCAGTTCTATTTATTACTAACAGAAAATAATACCGCTAAAGAATTTCTACCCAAAATTTGTTCAACTTTCTGTAAATTCAATAGTTAATTTTGGAGAGAGGAAGGTATCATTTCATATAAGTTTAGGTTAGATATTCATTTATTACTTATGTAAACATAATAAAATTACATCAACTTCAAATTAAAAGAGGTTTTGAAGGAAAAGTTCCTGACTTAAAAACCTTCATTATCTAAATTATCATTCCATTTTTGTTGGAAAATTATTAGATCATTAATATTTCAGTTTCTGTATTTTCATTCATAATAAAGTTAACGCATACTTAAATGCAAATAAAGAAAATAATTTCAATAATATAGCTATCATTATTGAACTCCTATGTTGAATTTCAAACTATGTATTTTATCATCGAGAGGGGTGAGAGTTACATTAAGAAAGAACAATAACATCGTAATTTTTACAATCTTCAACAAACAGCAATAGAATATTCGAAAGATACTCCATAATAAAGTCAACACTATATAAATATTATAAATTTCTTTTTAGTCTTTTTTATTAATATTTCTTAATTTATACTTAAAAAATATGGAATGCTATTTTAATATATAATTAAATATCTTTCTTATTATGTATATGAATATGTACAGTTATGAAGCTTACAAGCCATCAAACTTAAATGATCAACTAGTCAGCGATATTAATGATAAGAAATAACTTGAATTAGAATAATAGAAAAGTACTTTCATAGTATTTTATCTGTAGGTATCAATACAACAGAATAGAAGGCAGACTTTGAAAGTAGCGTTTTTTCAGGCTTAGTAATACAAAATTTGTTTGTTCTTATGATGATTTGTTTGGGCCTCTATACCAACATGCAGTTCTGGCTAGTTTATTAAACTTCAGATGTTAATGACTTTTGTTATTGTGGTTTTGTGGATGCATCCTAATGTTAAGATGAATGCATATATTAATTAGAAGAGAGTAATCAGCCAAACCCAAAAGGTCTCTTTTATGGTTCTGTAATAATTGGATTCATTATATAAATTTGGTTATATATAGGATTTGCCTAAATTAAAAAAGTAAAGATAATTTGTTCATTCTTAGTAACACTTTTTGTTAACCCATCTATAACTTGCTATGTTATGTTTATTTTATTCATTTACTCTAACCACAATATGTATTTTGATTGCTTATCGTTGGGGAGTTCAATTGATTTTCTTAGCTTGGATTATTGACTTTGTTTTTATTTTTTCTACAGCCTTCTATACAACTAGAACTAAAACTCTCATAAATTATAAAGGTAAAAATAATTTATTATAAAAGCTGGATCAATCTTTATTTTTATTCCTACAATTCTTATGTTAATTTTATATGTATCTATTTATCCTCATTCAGCCATTTATATTTGTTTGGACTGCTTATTTGTAACTCTTCATGGATACTTTATAATATCACAAATTATTAAACTTAGAAGCAAAGAAGTAATTTATTAAAATATAAATAAGGAATTTAAATCATCAATTTTCGAGATAATGATTACCTCAAGCATACTCTTTGCTAGTATCAATTAATGTTTCATAAGTATAATTGAATTTTGTTAAGGATTAATGAAAAAATAATCATGATATTTTTATAATGTTATATTAATAAATTAAAATCGTCCTTTGATCATAAAATTGAATACATTAATAATATGGATATTGAGGATAATCACCTTACAAATTTTTTATATATATTTTTCTTATATAATTTCTTCAAATATAAATATAATTGATATCAAAAAAAATGATCAGATGAAAGGATGAGAAGCGAAAAAATATGTCTGCTTTTAATTTATATTATTTAATATTGTTGAATTTGGAAATATTATTTTCTTTAGATTTCTCAAACAATAAATTTATGAAACAAAAACTTCTAAATTCACGAATGGAATAGTGAATTTAGAAAAATTAGTTTGCCATTTTCGATTTTCTAACCAAGATTATTAATATTTTGTAAATTAATGATAAATTTTAAATTTAAGTGAAAATAATTTGTTCTAAGATCAACAAATTAGTACGATTTGTTTGAATTGTATTCTAAAATACTGATAAATGATATTGATATTCATTTTATTATATAAATGACTTGTGACTTGTGCTCTATGTATGGACATCAATAATTGTACCAAGTTGTATTGAAAATGTAATTTACTTTTTATTATGGATTTTTGAGTTTCTGTCTCCATCATAGCGAGCTCAAACTTAATAATGACTTCAATTTAGAATGAATAATAAGTTTCTATTTTTATTTAAGAATTGATAAATATAAACATGAAAAATGATTGTTATTTGAATAATTTTAACAAAAAAGTCAATTTAAAAAAAAAATAACCATGAAATTCCTAATATTTATAGAATAGAGCAAAATATCTATCAATAATAGCTTAGTTAGAATGATATATCAAATATACAAGAAAAAAATTTGAGCCACATTTTTGACAAGAAAATTAATTTTTGGATAAATAAGGTGGCTCTTACGGTCAATAAATATCATTTTTATAAGGACACGACCAAGGTCATGCTTGAATGTTTTATTAATTAAATTGATCGTTTTTAATTACACAAAACATATTTATGATTGTGTGAAATAGCCAGATAATTGGTTATCATTAAGAAATATAGCAAAAAATAGTCAATGATTCATATTTTGAATTGATGATAAAATCAGATTTCTCTAGAAATTGAAAATAAGGTTTAAAATTACAAAGATTAATAGGGATAAATCAAGAAAAAGTTAATTAATTAAATATGAACTTCAAATTTGTTAATGGAATTTTGTATACATATGGAATTATTGATTCATTCCTTTAATATATATAATTTAAGCACAATTAGAATAAATTTAATTTATGCACACTATTTTTGCTCTTTTAGGTTTGATTTTTTTAACCATCTCACAATTTCAGTACTTTGCAACCTAATTTAAGATCATGATATATGTTGCTTTAACTTTCAGAGGAAAATTTTGCATATTATCTTACGAAAAAGAAAATTGCTTAAATTTAGAGATTTGTGACGAATTTATATGTGAATTTATATGCCAACTTACTTTTCTAAGCTATTTAATTATAGGAATTGTTGTATTTTCAATGACATTGAATATATTGATCGATTGGATAAATAGTAAAATTTGTGAAAATACTCTAAAGGTATTAAATGTAATAGATGCAATTATCACCTTTTAACCTGCAGCAATATCAACTTTTATCTTTATATCATACTTAATATTTCCATTTATATACGTAGAATGGAATTTTTAAATTCAACTTGGATTATTGTTAATGGCTTGCTCATTTTGTTTTATTTTTTCCTTTTATTGGCTATTAACAAGAACAGTCAAAAAAAGAAAAATTAAGTAGAATCATGGAAAACAATTCGCAGTTTCAACCAATGATTAAGTTTGATTTTATAATTATAAACTAAACTTCAAATTAATTATTAATCTAATTATTAATTGAAGACATGCGCAATTATTCTCATAAAAGAAATTGCCGAAAAACTTAAAAAAAAACTACAAGGTATTTTCAAATATATTTAATTTTTTGAATAACCATAATAATAATTTATTACTATTATTCATCAAGTAAAACTTCAGTTTGTGATTCTCAGGAACAAGACAAACAGATAGATACATAAGTGCATTAATTATTTCACTAAATAGAAATTACATCATCTAATATTCAACCGTTCATTTCAAAAGGAATTCGATAACCGTATATCTTATTTTTCCTATAAGATTATTCGAGTAATTACTTCTTAAGAATCTATTTTTATTTACACATCAAGTTGAAACAATAACCACCCAAAATATTGCGATCTAAAGTAAAATAGAACTAATGCTTGTTATAAATATTAAATTCATACTAAAATATTTTTCTTAATTTATTTTATTTTACAATCAATAACATGTAAATTAGGTTTCAAAATGGAGGGAATAATGGTTTCTATGACTTCAGCAGTATATCACGGGTAAGTAAAATGATCAATAAGGATAGAAGCTCAATGGTTAAATTTAATAAACAGCAAAATTAACTTATAAAAGATAATCAAGCGAAATTAATTAATGACATCAATGATTTTATTCAAAGTTAGGCCTAAACTACAGTTAAAACCAGTAATGCTTAAAAAAACCTGTCTTCACTAAGTAATGCAAAGGTAGTTTAAACAACCAATAATAGAATGTACTTCGGTAAATTCGATTGTAGAAAAAGAAAAGTAATTAACTAGAAAAGAAGTTTTTATCCTATTAATATATAAAATAAAGAAGATTTGAAGATTAATAATTCAGTTTTGGAGAATTTTGCAGACAAAAATGCAGATGGCTAAAGTTTAGATACAAGAAATATTGCTTAAGAAGAAGTATATAGAAACATTAGTTATAATAGATATTAATGTTAACTCACCCTGAAGCACTTAAAGCCATGTCATTTATGCAATAAATGAACGGGATCTTACTTTAATATTTCTAATTTATCTGCTTGCATTTTCATAGGCAGATTAGAATATAAAAATAGGAATCAAATAGTATAAAGATAAATTTAAGGATGTATCATTTTTAATTCTTTTCTTGCTGAAGAATTTGATATTTGATTTCAGAATGAAAGGCTTTGTTTCTAAATAGAATTCTAGCAATATTATATATATAAATTAAAATAATTGTAAAAGTGATAATTATTTGACTTGCCTATGCTTTGTAAACTCAAGTTATCCTTATGTATTGTACTAGCTATTTAACATTAGAATCTTTTAGCGATTTATTATTCTAAATGACAAAACTAAAACTTACTTAAATTGAAGGCGGAGAAACAATTATGGTAAAGAAAAGTAAGGTGCTTTTAAAAAAATATATACTTATATTATATTAATATCTATACTTTAGACGTTTAATCTATTATTTTAATTTATAATACAAAAATTAGTAAATTTAAGCAAATTAAAAAATCATAATAATCCAAAAGTGGTTGTCTATATTAAATACTCCTTAGTGTTGACAAAACCACATGTAAATTTCATTTGGTTAGCTACTATTTGAACGCATTTATGACAGGGATTTTAGAATAATCTATCTATTTACGATATATATTTACGATTTTTTATTTATATGTATAATCACCATACTATTATAAGGTGAAGAAAAATAGTTACAAAATATGGTTTTGATTAATAAAAATATTAATCACAACATTATACTAGTAATCTTATTCATTATTAAATATTTCTTAAATTTCTTACACACATATGAATTAAATTGAAAAAATAAGCGAAGAATTTCCAATATTAATTTGGGTTGACAACTAAATTCAAAGTAGGGAGAATAATATATATCGTGAACAATTACAAAATGATTACTAAGGGTTATTCCAAGCTTTCAATAATGTTGATGATGCTTTAAAAATGTTATAAATAATTGATAAAAGGGATGTAACTATTCTAACAAGTGCAAAATGTGCTTATGAACTTGTTAAGCATACTAAATAGAATGTCATAGTGTTTTGTGGATCAAGATTATATCATTTAGATTTATTCATCAATAATTTCCAGATCAAGTCAATAGTTTCAGATTCCTTTTAATCAGCTCATGAAAATGCTATCATGTGTATGAACTAATCGGATATACTAACAGAATTTGTCAACCTATTATCACCACCTTAACATTCAGCCATATAATATCAACATTCTAAGGATCATGTTAGTATCTAATTTCTAGTTGTGATAGAAGAATTGAGAAAAAACAAAGAACCTAAAGAATAAGATGTCTTTGCTGAAATAGAGTATTTGCTATAAATCCAAAATATTGATGTAAAATAGATGAAGGCAATTTTTGAAGATTTATAAAAGAAAGAAAAAGAAAAATTAAAACTTAAAAATAAATCATTTAATTTATTTGATAAATTGGTTTATCTCTACAGCAGAGAAGAGATTTATCAAATATTTAACTAATAGTTTGCATAGCATAATTATTAAATATTGAAAAATATCATCTTATGTCTTTATTAGGGATTTAAACAAAATAAGAGCAAAGTAGGTGAAATTGAAATTCTTTTTAGAGGCATCTCCTTCTTTGATAAAGAGATTTTTGAATAAATAATTAGAGATCTAAAATCTTCAAAAAATGAGGGGACATAATTATTTTGGAATACAATTACTAGCACATCCATAGATTTTGATATTGCACTAACCTTTGCATAGAATAATTTTAATGGAATACTTTATTAAATCGAATTAGATGAGGAGGTTCCTCACCCTTGCTTTAAGTTAGAATAATATCATTCTCAGTATCCTAAAGAAGAAGAAGTAATATTATTCCCATAATTTCAATTTATTGTCTAAGAAATTACCTTCAGGAAAATCAATGAATAATAAATCTATTTTGTATTTATCAAATAGGTTAAGAATAACTACGCATTTGCACTTGATCCAATGATGAGAAAGATATATTGGGACTCAATAGTTGAAGAGAAAATAAAGCCTAAAATAGAAACATTGGTGAATTTTCATAGTAAGAGAATTTTTGAATTGATATCATTCTTTGAGGAAGATGTGTATGATAAAGAAATTTATATGGAAGAAATTATATATATAATTGAAAATGAACTGACAATTCTTTTTCAATAGATACAGAATTAGTTAACTAAAATTTTAAGTCGCTCTCGATACACTAATATTGTAAATCAAATTGAAAATCTTACTAAAATATATACCTAAGTAGTGAAAATTGATTATTAAAATCAATCAGTAGATGATTTTTTTAAATTGTTTGAAGAGCATTTTGATAAGGTCTTGAAATCCTTAAGACAAAATATTTGCACATTGATATTAAAGGGAATCATAGACATTGATTATTGGAAGGACTAATTGCAGAATTTGTAAAGTAAATTCAAAGAAAAATAAAAGAAAGATTCAACCATATAAATTAGTAATACCTAGAAACAAAATGGTTCATTTTTCTAATAACAACCTCCTTTTTAAGGAAATACTGCAGGATTGTCATATCAATAATTAAAAGCCCAGAAAATAACTTCATTACAATAAGTATAACATAAAAATGGAAAATTTGCATACGAGGCCACTCTTTCGGATGGGAATAAATTGCTGATGCATCATAATCCAAATAATAATAATGAATTGACATTTACTAAAAAAATTGATGCAACTGGGAAGAATGGATATTCAAATAAATGGGAAAAGGTGGGAGAACCAATTAAGACTAAATCAGTAACTGTTTAAGAAGTCTCGTAATCAATAAAAGGTTAGAGTGAGAAATTTAACATGAATGGTATACAAGCCTAAGAACTGAATTATTAAATCTAATAAGCAAAGATATAAGGGTAGATTGGTGGAATATTTGCAGGAACAGTCGGAAGTTTAACAGTGGACTGCATTTTAGATGGGGTAGATAAAGAGAAGTTGGCTAAAGGTCTTGCTTTCTCAACAGCAATTTAAGGAGGAATTATATACGCCTAAAGTGTACAATCTTTGGGAAAATTTGTCCCATATGTTGGCATAGGATTAACTACTTTGATGACTAGTATTTCTGTAGGAGGAGTAATTTTGTCTGATTTCTTGAGCTAGAGTGAAAAAACTTATAATTCTTTATATATTGCTATAAAGACTGGAGGAGCAATAGGATTGGGTTACTTAGGTATCGAAGGTGGAATGGCTTTAGGGGCTGCAGGAGGTCCAGTTGGAGTTGTGGTTGGAGGTATTCTTGGAGGTTTTATGGGAGGAGCAGGTGGTAATTTATTAGCAAGAGCTATTGATCATTTTACTTAGTTTAATTTAGAGGTCAAATTTACGAAGGAGAATAAATCTGATGTTAAGGATGGATTATTACTATAGCCAGGTAAACGTCCTGAAATTAGATGGAGTAAAGTTAAGGAGAAGGTGAACAGCCTTATTCTAATTGCATAAACAGACTCTCATATTGCCTGTTTAATTACAAATATTAATAAGAATCTTGAAGTAATAAACTCGAAAGAAGATATTGGAATTCAATTTAATGAATATAAGTATATAGGTCCTGATGATTCTTGTAAAACAATAACATTCAGACTTCTGGCGACAACTGAAGAGTATGTCAATGACGAAGAGGTACTCTAACAATTACAAAGTAATTAAATTTGCATCATTGACATTGCTACGGTTAAAATTAATTTAGGAAATCTAGAATGATTGATTTATTATATTAATAAGTAATTTCTTTAATTTCACCAAAATGTTCATATTTTCCATATTATTGAGTTCTATAATAGCACGCTAAAAAATATAAATTCCTAAAATTCAGAGTCTGCATCCTTTTACTCGCCATGTTATCATGATATTTTAACGTAAAAATACTAAATTATAAGTCTGATAGGAATTTATATATCTGCATTCTCAATTGCTGAATAGTTGCTTCAAAAAAACGTTCACATTCATATTTTAAATCACTGTTATACTGGAGTTATAATTATGATTTTTAGTTCTTTCTAAAATTCACATTTCAATCTGTTCTTTTAGAACTCCTCTTTAATATTATATATTACATTACTTGAATTATAATAAATTATGATTGACAGATTGAAAGTTCAAATTATTTAACTACGAATGTATATAACTTTATTATGTAATAAAAAAAATTAATTACTTCAATTATTCTAAACTTCGACTTTTAATATTTATTAGGTATTCTCTAACTGATTTTAAATTGTTTGGATTAAAGAGATACCATTATTAGAAATTGAAATAGTAAATGCACTAACTGCAGTCGTTTGAGAGTTTAATAAAGCATAAATTGAAATAGCATTTACACTTCTTAAACAATAATAATATAGCTTCTTTATATTACAGGAGCTGCACATAAAAAACTCAGTGTATAGTTTTTTCTTTAGTTAATCACATTAATATCGAATCTCAACATGAAGTTGGGATTTTGACTACACATAAAGTGTTTCAGTAACTGGAGTTGCATAAACCTTACTAAGCTCAGTTATCGCGACAGTAAAGATAGGTGCTGGCTATAAGTTATAATACTCAGTTTGACTGACTCTAACTGTTTTAATAATCCAAGGTAAAAAGTTTTTTGTGATACTTCTATGGAAATATATATTTGTAAATCTTAGTATTGAGACATTATTGTTACCTCCTGGCCCTAAATAAATATATCTTATATTACATCTGCCATAAGTGTAATAATTTGAGAATTAAATTCTCTTGACTCTAAGATTTATAGTTTAACCCCAATTCAATCCTTATAAGCCAATAGTCCAATCTTTATCACTTGGAAAAGTTAATGTTGGACTAGTATACAAATCGCCATTATAAACTATTTGATTCTCTACATCAATAGCATCATCAATCGATAGAAATATCTAATAGCCAAGTTTTATTAAATTAAAGTTGTTTGACTTGATTTAAATTACAACATCTTAAAAATTGATGCTTACAATCTAAAGTAGGAATAAATTGATACGGATAGTTCAAAATCAATAGGCCCAGTGTAACATAATGATGTAACATGTATGATTCCTTTTGAGAAATTAGGATTAAAATGAGGATGAGTTATTTAAGTGGAGAAACTAACACTTGATTATGAAATATCATAATTCACTACACTTATGACTTGGATTCTTCTATCGTCATAGGCATACCAATTGAAAGGAGTATCATAAACTCTGTGCTGATATAAGCATCTAAGTTAGACCTTAAACTCTAAAAATACAGAAAATTTTTACTAATTGTCGTCACTTCTGTTACCTATATATCATATCCATTGGGTTAGTAATAATCATAGTTATATTTGTATATTACTAACGCTACCTAAGGTGGTCTTTCAAATGTCCCAGAAAACGAAAACTCTTTCAGATAGTTTGTGTTAGGATTTGCGAGAAATCCGTCTTCATAATTGAATGAAGATGCAAATCCTGTATCATAAGTGATAAATCCTAGGTTAGTTGCTATTAGTATGGATAAGAAAAATGAAAGATTATAATATTTCATATCAATTATTATTATTTAAATCTTAACCACAATATAAGTCTTAAGAATTTAAGTAAATTTCTTGCATCGCTAAAATAAATGTATATCTCAAAAAATAATTGATGAAATATCTCCTCTCATAGCAAGTTTCGAGCAGATATAAAAATTTCTCATAAATTTATTATTTTTTATTCGTTTTTTTCATTATTAAAAAAAATCAAAAAATATTACTAGTACCTAATATAATTAAGAAAAAATTTTGCTAATGCAATCAACTTTTTTTTTATTTTTAAATTTAGTTGAATTGATTATTATTGTATGAATTATGTTCTTCTAAATCGAAATAGAATCAATTATTTTTTTTGAAATAAATTTTTCTTATTAATTATTAAATTGTTAATTAAATTTTATATTGATTGAATTGAGTTAATTGAGTAAATATTTATTTTTTTATAAAAGAGTATTATATTATTTATAAATAAGGGTATTTTACCAATTTTTGAATGATAATTACTTACGTTTTATTCCAATCATAATCCTATCATTTTACTTAAGGTAAGTATTTTAATGGCTATAATCAGTAGCAAACACAAATACAAAAGGTTTCTAAACTTTTTGATTTGGTGTCTATTTGGGCATTTAATCATTTAGTTAAAACTTAGTTTTTTGAAGAAATATCTTTTCATGCAAATTATTTGGAAACAAAAAATATTCTTAATGAGAGATTCTATATAACTGAATGGAGAATGCTTAGTATTGGAAGTAGATGCTTGCATAATATTTAATTTTTCAAATAGGATAATAAAAGAATACAATATTTATAAATATTTAAATAATTGGAGAGACCTTAACAAAAATCCTAATATTTTTATTAAATTTTGCCTTAGAAAATCCTATATGATCACGTTGTAAGTTTTTTTCAATTTATAACTTAGAATATAATTAGAAAAGTATGAATTATGAAATAATTTTATTTATCAGAATTTTTCATATTATCAAATTCATAATAATGAATTAATCTTATTGAATATTGTTGTGTTTCTTTTTATTACACATTCCAAAGTAATATTAAATTTACTCAATAATCATCGAGGTTATTTCAATCAATACACCAAAAGATAATAAAAACATATGGAGCCAACCGCATTTTATTTTAAAATCTTCGTTAATAAATTTGCTAGCTTCTTCTATATAAATAAAAGAGCTCAATGTAAAAATCAATACTGAACTTTAAATTGCCATTTATATAACATATGATCTGATAATTTTTCGATAGTTGTAAATTAATTTTAATTACATAAGATTAATTAAGGAAATCAATCCTAACTATAAAATTTCTGAACTTTCTAGAAATATCAAGAAGACTATGAAACAAAATGAAATTCCTAATTTAAAAACTTCAAGTCTTTTTTCTTTTAAATTTTTATAGTTAATCAAATTATTTTAAGGGTATAAATCGTTTGAATTAAGGATAAAAATTATATAAAAAGATATTAGAACCAAAGCTAGCACGATAGAAAAGATCTCTCTGAATTCATTATCTAGCAAATATTTCAAGTAAAGCATTCCTTTAAATATCAGATCCCATCCATTTGCTAATAAAATAGTTTTTAATCCATTTTTAGAAAAGATATCTACGACTCCAATTAATTATTAACATTTTTTATAAAACCACAAAACAAATTTAATTGAGATTTCTTTTCCTGAATTGCTTTTCCATTAACTCAAATGGGTATATATTCTGGTTCTGAAATAATTAGATAGAATAAATTTTTTAGTTCCAATTGATAATAAAATCAAAAGTATATAAAATGAAGATTGGATTATTTACCATTCGAGATTTGATAATAAATCAGCATTTTATTTATAAAATTGGAATTTTCCTGATGATTCTTTGAATTCCTTGTAAAGCAACACTCCTTCTAATTGCTCAATATTTAATAACTAATACATTGCTTCAATAGATAACAAATCATAAGACTCAAAATAGAGAAGTAAGTTCTAAGGAAATTTCACATTGATGTATTTAAGATAATTTTAAAATTAAAGCAAGTTGATTATTTCAATTAAAATTTCATATCTTCCTTAAATTATCATTAGACTGCTAACTCCACCATATGAATAAAGTGCATATCTATTCACCCTTTAAATGATTTCTGAGTAATATGTCTATTTTTCATCTAAATAAGTTGGAATTTATAAAGTTGTATTATATGTTTTACTAAAGCTGAAGCCATATTGATTAATAATTTCTTAGGGGAAATTAATATTTAAGACAGGTTTGAATTCCAAAAGTTTAAATATTTCAATTTCCAACTAATGCTCGATAATTTTTACGGAATTGCTAATCTCTTGGCTACTTTATGTTTTAATGATATATTAGGACTTAGGTAAATTTAATATTGAATAAGTAAATTCTTCGAAAAGCATTCGATTTGATCCAACTTTAACTGGTTAACTAAAGGTAAGTGTCACATATTATTTATTCCAGAGCATCTTTTTGTATTGAATAAGCAATTTTGGTTATGTAAAATATGAGCATTCACTATTGGTGTCTTGATTGAGTCTTCTGCACACCTAATCTAATTCGACCCAGAATTGATGACCGCCATCTTGTGGATCATTATTGTAATCATCAAATTCTTTATATTCAATGATGTTGCATTGATTATTTGAAGATAATTAATAATTAGTATTACATTATAGACAATACCCATTTTAACATTCTAAGCAATTCAAAGGACATGAGAATTCACATAAATAACAACCATCATATGGTATATTATTGTCATCCTCACATTCTTCCAGATTTGTTATAATTCCATCTCCACATATAGGGATACAGGACGAATCCATAAGTATAAAACCCTCTTCACAATATTAATTACATACTCCTTCAAAACAAATTATACAATTTTACTGACATTAAAATGTGCAATTAAAGCAGCCATCAAAAGGTATTGAATTTCCATCATCACATTCTTCAATTCCTAATATTTAAATACCATCTCCACAATGTGGATAACAATATCCATTCAACTATAAATATCCAGCTTTGCATTCCTTACATTTATATTCTTCTAAAACAAGACAATTATTTATTTCATGATAACATTAGGGAAAATTGTATTCATTATTCAATATAATATATCCCATTTCACACTTTTGACATTTCCCAAATTCACAATACGTACAATTGACATCGCATTTAAATTTACACTCATAACATCCATCATTTTGAATATCGTTACCATCATCACATTCTTCAAGCCCTTAAATCATTTGATTTCCGCATAAAGGATGACATTCGTTTTGGATTTCTTCAAATTCCCATCCATCTAAGCAACTAACACAATCGTTATTTATAACAGAATAGCAATTACGAATTTCAAGATTCAAATATATGTCATCCAGTTAATAATACAATTCAATATCTCGTATATACCCTTATCCAAATTCAATAAATAAATTTGTAGCTATGTGATCATTAATTATTAATTCACCCTAAAAAAAGCCTGTCGGCTATTAGACTATGTTTTTCAATCCATTGATTTAGATATTCCAAACACCAATAGTAAACTACCGATAAAATCTCAACATTATTCCTTTATGAGGAGGTAATACTCCAAAATATTAAATCCCATTTTGTTAAAGAAAATGACAATTAGCACATAAATTAAATTATTACGTAGACCAAGGAAATTGTGTAGCCCATCCTTATAGACTTGAGAAGAGATACTAGTTAAAATTTAAGCTAAAAATTCTCCATTTTTTGCAAGCCAAATAATCAAAATTGTCGCAAGCATCACATCCTGATGGACATCTTTCAATGTAATACTGTAGTGTTCTAATTCCACACTAAGTCTTAAATAAATGTAATGATATACTTATCCTTGTACTTCTATTTAAATTGAAGAAGTTCTTTTTTTCCCTGGATATTATGATATTATTGTGTCAAAATAAAAACCGTTTGGAGTAGGTCCCTTTAATTTTGACATAGTAAGACCGTCATACGATTGAGTGTATACCTAGATCTCATCTAATTACATAATTATTTGTCCAGGACTTTTTTATTAAGTTCTTATTTAATGAAAACATCATTACAACCAAAATTCCATTTTCACTTTTACTTGATAATGAGGGTTTAAATCTAAGAAAATTCTGCTAATTTAAGGAGAATCTCCTCCATATAAAGTTAGGCCATCTTAGGTAACAAAAATAGATGAATTTGTAGAACTTTCCCACCCTAAGATTTACTATATAATGTTAACCATCAATTCCGTTAGTAGCTGGATCAAATTAATATATCAACTCTTCATAGTTCTGGACAGGCAAAATCATTATTATTATATGAAATATCATTTAATTTAATTCACATTTTATATGAGCATTTAAATATTTTTTAATAAATTTAGTGTATTTTAGTATTATCATTATTATGATATTAAATTATAATAATTATAATTCAAAGGTGATACAAAATATTGTGTTAAATTCTAAATAAAGTTAGGCTGGAAAATCAATTTATTACGATTTTCAAATAAACGAGCATCAAAACTACTCTGGTTAGATTTAAAAAATCAAATTTTAGGAGAAAAGCTTATTATTGATAAAAGCACAGATGAGATGATTAAACAAAAGATTGAACACTATAGTGGATTAATTCTAAATAGTTTAGCCTAAAACTAATTTTATGAAGTTAGAGACCAAAATAGAAGGACAATAATTGAAATTTGAATTAAATACCCTAGTTATATTGTTTTCCTATTGTAATGGAACTGATTTACTCTTAATCAACTTCACCCTCTGATTAACTAACTTAAATTCTAAAAAAATTTGCCAACAGACGATTTCGTTTATTTTATCTCACAAAATTTGCCATTTAGAAAATCAATATTCACAAATAAATGGGAAATAATGGAGTGAATATTCATATATTCGTTTAATCTATTATTATTTTACAACATTTGTAATAGTTGTAATTAAATTACTAACTCTTACATTCTTATAATCAGGCGACTTAGATGTTAATAATATATGAAGAAGAGTTTGAAGCTCAACTCTTTTAAAATGGTAGACAAGGTGATTAGTTTGTTAAGCTAATATTATTTAATACAAGCTATATAATTAATAAATCTGTTCTAAATCTCAATTTAAGCATCTATTCAAGAGAATATTAAACTATAGAAACTAATTCGTGCAGAAAACATGGTAAGTATTTTCTCTTAACAATGAAATTTATTTTTTGATCTTTCTAATTACAGTATTACCCTCATCAACTTGAGGATTAAAATTTATGTTGCAATTTAATTAGTTAAACATAACTTACTTTAAGAAAAATAATTTAATCGATTTAATAATACCAGAAATTATAATAAAAACTTGTTACGAAATGAAACAAAATTATTCAACCTCTAACTATTTTTGTGAGAAGTAACCGTCCCAAGAAAACACATACTCGATATCATTATTAGAGGAATAAAGGAGATGAAACTATTCCACAGGTTTGACTGATAAAAAGTCAAGAATACATATTGCCATTAATTAGCACGTTTTCTAAAGGATGAAGGACCGAAAATTAATGATATTAAAGTGAAAGAACGATATTGAAGATTTAAGAGGATATTTAATTATTGTTTCTTCTGAAACCAATATAATGTTCTACTCTTTATTTTTAAAGAATTAGGTAACCTTAAAAGTATCAAAAATTTTAATCTATTATTATTTTTAATTACAAGGTAAATAACAATGTAATTAATAGATATTATTTTTCAGTTAAGTTTATCATATATCAAGTTTTCTCTCGTGTTCCTTGATTGATAAATCAATATAATCTTGCTTGCTTTTGCAGTAGGATACTTTTAATTTTAAACTTGAATGAATTAGTATTCATCTTTGTAAACAATCTTTAATATAAATGTTCATCCAAAATCTAATTAAAAATTGAATCTTTAATGATTGGATGATTATTTAAGCTAATAATTCCCGATTAAATAGATGATATTTATATAAATATTTATTTGATTCAAGAATAATAATGAATGAAAACTAATTATTTATTTGTATATTGGTTTTAATTTATTATATAAAAAATTATGGCAATTGAGAAGATGGTCAAACATAAATTTAAAGACATCTGTAACCAAACTTGAATTGCCTCAAATTTTTTATAACAAAATTAATTAATCAATTAAGATTGATTTCGTTATTCTAAATAATCATAGTAAGACTTGTAATCCTTAAAGGAATATATTAATTAACTTGAGAATTTATTATCAATACAGAATACGAAGTCACAATAGTCAGAATTAAAAACTATGATGAAATATAATTTGCAATCATTTAGAAACTGGATATTTAATTATATTATCCTTTATTTTTAATTAGAATACATCCCTATTTTTTAAAATAAGGAGTTTACAAAGTTTAGAAATACGCTATTTTAAGCAAAAAAATTATGTATCAGGTTCTATTCAAGATTTGATAAGTTAAGGAATTACATGTTCGAATAACATTAAGAATGAGAATTGGAAATTCGTCATGATGCTACTTATGAACAATTTTTATTTCATTGATTGATGTGAGCTCTAGTCGTTTCTGTTTTTAAAAATTGCTTACCCACAAGCAATAAATTTTAATAGTCTCCCTTCTAACCAAAAACCCTAAATTGATATCAAGTAGTTATAATTTCCACCAAAATCAAGCGTCTCATTTAATCTTTTGAAATCTAATTTAAATATGAATATAAAATCTCAGTTACATGTTTCTTTAACAATTAAAATTTATATTAAAATCCATAGAAGGGAGATGAAACAGACTTAATTCCTCTATTAAGAATCTATAAAAGAACAAAAGGAATCTAAAGCACAAGTTAAAAAGGTTTTTATTATTGTTATCAGTAATAGTCAAATGGAAATTAAAAGCTAAACATTTCAGAAAAGTAATTTGGAGATGGCCCAAATTAATCAACAATCTACTCAATAGTCAATTTGGCTATGTAATTTTGATTAATATTATGTTTTAGTAACGAAAGTCAGAACGAAAAGGTTTTATTCCCTTCATCTTTGATTGCACAATCCTCTAAAATCAAACCTTAAGTTATAGTTAACAAAAATACAGAAATAGCGAGAAGTTTAAAGAAGCTAAAGCCTCTATCCACTCCAGATGCTACTTCTGAGTTAATATAATTAGGAAAGGGGAATAGCTATGATCTAAATTTGAATGGTCCGAAACTATAAGTATATCTAAAGCAATTGAATAAATTAACTGATGGACTATTCAAGAAATCTTAAACATATTTATTATTTGGATCAATTGAATAAAAAATCAGGCAAAATACTGTGTTGTGCATATTGCGTATCCAAAAATTAAAATTTTTTAATGATTACAATTCTAAAAATCATAAAAATCCAGCATTATTTTGTTGGGAAGCTGTGTACCGAAAGTAAAGCCTGATGAAGACTCTCCCAAAGGATTATTATGGAACTTAAGGTGATCTACTCGATTTTATTTATACAAAACATGGCAATGAAATTGTTGAGATAGTGTTATGGAAGGTGAAAAATAATGAAGAAGTATATATGTTTAATTTCATTTTTAGAAATATGTAGGATAATTTGATTTGATAAATGAAGATTATTTTGGGGCAAAGGAAATACTTGATTATTAGAAGAAGGTGATAAGTGAAAATTATGTGGAAAAGGAGATGTTTAAAACTATGAAATAAACCAAATCCTATATTGGGAATGTGTAATTTTAAATAGTTTTATTTGGAAGTAATAAGATACCCTAAAGTATGACTTGATATTTTATCACAAGGTAAATACTCTGGAATTCCTGGTTCTCCAAAAACAGAAGAGGAAAGAGCAAGACATAGGTTGATTGATTAGGCCATGTCGGGACAGGAGTATAGATGGTTTATTGATGAGAATGATAAATTAGTGATTCAGAAAATCGATACGATTACTTTAGAAATTGTTGCAGAGTGTAGTCTTGAGGTAGTTACAACCGAATGTGGATAGTTGACAATAGTTTATGAATAAAAATATAATAATCCAGATCTTAATGGTAGATCTAGGCCAAATTCAAGATAAATGAGAAAATAACATTTTGATGCCACTATGGCATTAATTTAGGAATTGGACAGAAATGGATAATTCACTGAAATATAAGCTAATCTTAGAGCTCTTAGTAGATAAGGAAGATTATCTAAAGGAGCCATTCAAGATGCCTTGTATCAAATGGGATGTACTGCTAACCAATTATTATTAACTGAATGTGGAGAATTTGGGGATTGTTTAATGGATTTTCTATTAGTGACTGACGATTTAGCTGGAGTTCTCGAAGCAATGCAAGAAATTAAGTTGTTAGGAGAAGATGAATTAAACTTAGAGAATTTTTCTAATAATTTATTTTAACTTATTGGTTAACACTTGAGAAAGAATACAAATTTAAAAGCAATTATTTCCTTTATTAAAGCATTGGAAAAGAAACCAGAAGTTGCTATTTTGATACAAAATTATTCTTATGCCTCTGAAAATGTATTAACCAACCAGCCTCCTTTCTTACAATGTAATAAATTATAATAATGTAATAGATTTCAATCCAAAGAATTATGAACACGTAATGGTTTTGGGTAAGTTGAATAAAATGGTTGAGCTGTTTAAGATAGAGACTAAATTTACAAAAGCTTTAAAACAGGCTCATGTAGAGGCAAAGAAATCCATATATTTTGAAATTCCTTGTTTTCCTAAAGATCAAAATTTAGAAAAGAAAGCTGAATCTTTATAACTGAAATCAATTGGGTAGAATATTATCCATGAAATTGTGAGAAGATAAAAATGGGAAAAGAGTCATATGATATTTGAAAAATATCCTGAGTGGTTTTTTGTTGCTGATTTCTCAGGAACTACACCATTTTCTAGCATGTTAGAAAAAGCACCATATGATGTACTTCAGTCCCTTTTTAATGCCTATCCCACATAATTAAATACCATTTTTTAACAATTCAATCCATATTAAGAGGCAGATATAGGGAATGTTCCAATCAAGAGATTAAAAAATTCAAATGATGAAGGCGAAGGAGGGCAATAAACAAATAAATAAAATAAGGCAAAATAATAACCTTTTAAAGGGTTGGTTTCGTAAAAAGAATATCGAAAAAACATGGTACATTCTGTAATTTTAAATCGAAATTTAACAACATAAGAGATTTTCGAAATATTAAAAACTATTGAATTATTAATTAATCAATCAAATAATAACAATTTCTCAATTATCAGAACTCAAAAATTAGGAGCTGGAGATTTCACACCTCTTGGTTTGTACTTAGAAGTAATAAGATCGAAATGTAAGAAAAAGTTGGATAAAGTTCAAAGAGAATTTGGTACATCTTTGTTTATTTGTTAACTGCTAATGCCTGACTAACATTAGCCATAAGAAGAATAAGGAAAGAGTGAAGTCTTGTTTAATTGGGATAGTAAGAGTTAATTCATTATTTAATCAATAATTTCGAAGTTACCAGAATCCTTATTCTAATAAATTGATGGGTTACTTCGATTTATGTAATGGATTCCATCTTTGGAATAGTTAAAATCTATTAGATATATAAATTTACCTATCAGATTCTTGATTAAACATAAATAGCAATAAAAGCTAATCCTACTTTTACAATAAATGTATAATGAGGTTAAGCAAATGGAATATGACCCTAATAAATTAGATTCAGATGAAGTTCTTTAAATAATTTATTATTTTTAAATTTAGATTCTCATGTTGCTGGAAATAAGAAATCTAAAAACGTAATAGTTAGAGTCAATATCAAGTTTAATCGTACATCAATTAACAGATTTTTCATCATCATATACAGAAATTTTAGTAGTTCCTATGCCAACAAATATTATATCATCCTATTATCATATCAAGTGTGTATACAAAGGAAATCCAGGAACCTTATTGGAACTTTTAAATTTGGTTTAGTTCAATACACTAATTACAGAGTTAGAGTTTAAGAATTTAGACAGATTAGATACCAAATTATTGGGAAAAGCATTATCAAATACCAAAGACAAAGAACCTTTGAAGGATTTAATCAAATTACTCTTAATTAAGGATTAAAATAAGAACGATCCTGAGAAACTTGATTATAACAGCTAGGAATTTTCAATAATAATAAATCCAAATAAAATCTTAGATGAAAATGCAGATTTCTATAGATATGAGTTAGATAAAAAATAGGTTGAAAAATATCTAGTTATGCTAAAAGCTGATAAAGTCCTATCATTGTTATATGATGATTCATAGTTTAGCAGAATTGCTCATTCTTTGATTTTAAATTCCTTTTCTACAAAAAAGTCTGTTGGCATAACTTAACAGCAAATTATGCTTTGGATTAGAAATAATGATTTAAAAATAAGTCCAAAATGGAAAAGACTTTACATTGACTATTTTCGAAATAAAATGGACCTATATTTTATGCATTGCCTTATAGACATCGAAATTCCAAAAACAAAGAGAACATATATAAACTAGCATAAACTTTAACCGTATATAGCTGCATAGGGAAACAGTTGGGCATCTCTATTAAACTTCAAATAATTTACTCAAGCTCTAAAAGATAACATCCAGTTTGTTGACATCGAAGATTCTATTAGAGCTGTAGCTATTAATGGATAATATGATAGAGTTGAGATCCTAATTCCACATATAAAGGATCCTTAAATTTTGCGTTAAACAATACAATTAGTCAGCATTATAGCACAAAGTCAACTCACATCATAATCAGAATATAGAAATTACACTAAAAGAAAACTATGCACCATTTAAGATATACTGTAAAGTGAAGATGAAGGCGAAGATGATGAGTAAAAAACTAAAAGAACAATTCCAGAAAATTTAAATAAATAGGAATTAAAAAAATTGTTAAGAGATCGTCTTGATGAAGATTAAAAGCCTAATTAATACGGATATTTTAGACATAAAACAATTTTAAATTAGTATGTTATTCATAATTTTGAACTTATTCAATTTAAACCAAAAAATACAAATAAGCAGTAAAAAGAGAAATGGAAAATAGAGAATGTGAAATTTCCAGAAGTTTTAGATTAAATCAGAACACCAGTATCTGTTTCAAGTTAATTATAAGAAATGAACTCCAATATACAAATTGAATTTGATTAATATCTTAAGTTGTAATATCCTAAATATGAGAAAATAGATTTGAATAAATTTGAATAACAATTTGAAAAAGATGTTTTAGCGTTTCGATATCTAAAAAATTGGAAATAAGCAATATAAAGGCAAAACATAAGTTCTCTTTTCAGTTAAGGGTATTAGGAATCTGATAAATTCTCTTATAAGAATGTATTAAACTTATTAATGAACGAATCAAAAAAATATGGAGTTCGATTGTGTTAGAAGGATGAGGATTATGAAATAATTCTTTAGATGTTGGTTTTTTACAGATTTATAACAGTTGAGGATTATATCAATCAAATTATTTCAAGTAACAAAGAAGACAAAATTAAGAATAATCTACTTTTTGTTATTTTAGAATAAATTCTGAATTGCAAAGGTAACAAATAATTTGAAATCTATTAAATGAAAAATTAAGATATTTACATCAAATTGATTTCATTGATTATTAAAAATTTAAAAATTTTCGATGAAGAGGATTTAGAATTTATGATTAACAATATCATAAAACCTATATAGCTTATGCTTGAAAAGAGTTAAAAAATCAATTTAAATCCTTTAAAAATTTACAAAGTGAAGCTGGCAGGTGAAATTTTAGTGAGATTGGATTAAACGCGAATAAAGGATTAATTCAAAGACAATATTATTAACTTAGCAAAAATTATACGAGATAAGAATTTGAAGGATAAAACATTATAATAATTTGCTAATGGATATTTACCACAATAGGCTCAAGAAATTAAATAAAAAAGAGAAACACCCAAAGACATCATATCATCATTCAAGAAGAAAACTTTGGATGAAATGCTAGAATAAGTTGATCTCACTTATTATGTCTCAAAATTTTCTGATAGAGATTGTGAAGATATTTTTTAAGAACTTTTTAAACTACCTCGAGATTGGAATAAAAAATAAGACTTACTGAATAAATTTGATCGAAAATTAATTGAATCATTAATTTTTTATAGGAGATTTAAGACCTATGACACCTTGATTCATTAGATCTTGTTAAAGAAAATATGTAAAAATTATTCAGATGAGTAATAATTAAAAAAATAATTTCTTCTATTTTAAGAGTATGATATTAAAACTGAAAAATCCAAATCTAAAAAAGAAGCAAAAGATAAAGTGGAGTTAGGAGCAGATGACACGGTTGTATAAGAACCAAATGATAGGATCGTTTAAGAAGTAAATGATAAGGTAATTTAAGAAGTAAATGGTGAACAAGAGGCAAATGAAAAGTTTAAATAATAAGCAACTAAAAATAAAGGGGCAATGACTACACAAGAATCTATGGCCAGTATAGCAGCCTAATTTGGATTCTATGAATATTTTGATACTCTCCATAGGTTGAATGTAAGACTAAAAGAAATGTAAAAATTCCCTTGCATTAGATTTATGTTGGAGACAAATGATTAATTATAGACTTTAGCTGAGGAATTCGAAAAAAGAGATTTTAATTATCTTAGTAATTGTATTAAAATGATGAGATATTTAAGATTAAACCATTATGAGGCAAATAGTTTTTCATTATATTTTGTTAATGAGATCATGTAGAGTTTCTTAATTTAAGATGCTTCATAAATATCTACTCCTTGTTTGAACATTATTAAACAATATCTAATGATTAAAGGTAGATCATAGCAAATTTGGTAAGACTCATTAATTTAAAAAAAATTATAAATTGTATATCCAAAATATGTGAAGATGGTTTTCTCAAAAAGAATTTAAGAACATTCTTTAATTAGATTGAAAATAAGTGGAATTGAAAAGGGAGTTAAATTCTGTTTCCCTTCAAATTATGATCCTGAGAGCAATTAATATTCTATTTCAAAAGAAGATATACGTAGGACTTCAACACAAAGACCTATGGTTTCAATTGATTAATATATTGAATGCTTAGATAAAAATCATCCTTTAAGATTAGATAATGAAATGATAAATGATCCTGAATTTTAAAAAATTTTAAAAATACTGTAATTACCCTATTAGAATTAAGAAATTTTGGTAGATAAAATTAATGTTATTTAATTTTTGAAATAGATACTTTACCATGATCATGAAATCTATTATTATTTGCTAAACTTCCCTTTGTTTTGGTATGATTAATAAATACCCAAAAATAATTTAATCATTTATACTTTTTTTTTCGAATTAGAACTTGGATTGGTCTTTTTTAGAGCTTTATTAATATCTGAACCAAGAAAATTAGATTTAGTGTTAAATATTTATTTTTATTCCTTAAGAGATTATGTAACCGATGAAGGTGAGAACTTAGATGAGGACAGGGAACAATAGAAATATAATATTGATAGCGATTGGGAATTTTACGAACAGGAAGTAACTGATAATGAAGGAGAAGATGCTGAATAATAAGGTTAAGTTGAATAAGATAAGGCAAGAAGTCAAGCATATAATGAATAGATTTCTAATGATGAACAAGGACAAGAGGTAAGTAAAAAAAAGAAAAAAAAAAAAGTACTCAAGTAAAAGGTTAAAGATTATATAGAATTAAAGAAAGGATTAAGAAGAGCTATCACAAAGAAATGCTCTTATTAAGTCAGATTCTAAATTTATCTTTAATTATTATTACTTGCTGCCACTAATGAGGAATCCTTTTCGCAGGTTCAAAAATATTTAATAGAAAATAAAGCATTGCCTCCTTTATAGCAACCAAAAGTGATGGATCCACTAGTGTAATCTAGATTAGTAGAATAGGGATATAAATAACATTCTTATAAATAATTAATCGAATAATTTGACTAAGGAATTATATAATTATCTTAATAATAGCTTGAGGATATTACACATCTAAAAGATATTATGAAATTCAATCAAACAATAAAGGAAAAATAGTATAGCATTGTGTTTTAGTTTTTAATCTTCCAAGTATACAATAGCCAATATTCAGCCTACTAGAATATTATTGATAAGTTATTAGATCATCCTGCTTATACATGTTTGTCCAAATAAAAAAATTAAATATTCTCAAGTTCTCTCTATAATGATAAGCAATTTCAAGATGAAATAATCAGTTATCATATAAAAAATAGATTAATAAAGGACTAGAAGATCTACGAGATTAAGAGAATATAAATGAGAAGAGATTTTGTAGATAAGTTCTTTGAAGCAAAATCTAATCAGTAATTTACAAATGACAAATGGATACATATCATTTGTTTATTAAAATATTGTTCTGAATTAGAAAATCAGTTTCTTGATTTTGTTATCCAAGAGAATAAAAAAAAATATCAAGTTATTTTTAATATAGACTAATAAAACATGCAGAAAAATTATGAATATGGTTATTAAGCAGCAGACACATTCAATTCATCATATTTCTTTAAGTTCGAAATAGCTAATAATTTCACCACTCCAACTTATGAATACACAAAGAAGAGATCTAAATATCATGGAGGCTTGTTTTCTTATATCTTTACTGTTGATATAACTATAAATATCTTGAGAAGTAAAAATCCTAATAATCCATTTCCAATACCTTAATTGAATTCAAAAACTTATGATGAATTGGAAAAGATGTTTAGAATTTATATGTTTGATTTCGTTTCTTATTTGTTTCTTTAAGATTAAGTACACAGATTTATTGAAATGTATCGAATATCTGAGGCTGACTAAGTTGATAGCTCCTTAGTACACAAGAAGTTAACAATAGAAAATTATTTGCAACTATAGGATGTTCAACTAGTGAAATAATATTATTTAGATGATTCTATTAAAAGTTTTTACAGAAATTTAAGCGACAAATAGAGTTTAAGATAATACATTGAATAAAGCGAAAATGAAATTAATGAAATAAACAATATTGAATATTATCAAGGAAAGTTGTCATACCCAAATCCAAGAATTATTAGAGAAATTAAAATTCGATTAAATGAAAATGTTTACAGTAAATTAAGGTTTTATTTATATCTTAGCTCTTCCGTTTAGTAATTACAAGCCTAGAATTCATAACTAATACAATTAGAAGATTGAATTAGATTTAACGTTTCCAGAGTTATATCCAGTTACTATATTATAAGTTTATAAATACATTCCTGATATAATTACTGAAGTAGAATCAATTCAAAAATTTGATTCGTTGTCAATTCTATATTCAGCTTGCGTAAATATTAATATAAAAATTAAGATTGAACTAAACACTTATTCATAATTATTATATGATTTCATGACTAACATGCCTAGTATGGAAGAGCTTTAAGAGGAAAATCCAAAACCTAGAGATGTCATTTGGCCACTTGTGCAAAAGAAAAACAATTTAGCAAAAGGATATTCAGATAACTTTATCTATACTTATTTTCCTGAATCTATCCCAATATATTTAATTTTGTTTCTAACTGAAAATTTGAAAATTGAATTAAATCACAAAATTTAGTTTACCTTAAATTGCTTATCCTTTACTGAAATCATTTTAATTAAATTAATTCGAATAATTCAATAAAGCACTGGGAAAAGTATAAAATATATCACATAAAATAGAATGTAAAATGGGCACTGCAATTAAAACACTTCAGGAATGGCTTTGGCTTAAGAAAATATTGATTACTATTGGAAATATTATTGTTGAGAACGATTTAAACAAATTCATAGCATACTATGTTGAACTCGATGAAATTCATCCCAGTTCTGTAATTTATTTTTAATATGTTTAAAGGCTTTTCAAATAAAATCTGATAAGCTTCAAGGGATGGATTAATTATTTAGATTTGGTAAAACTCAGTTCTTTGTACATTCGAGTGTCCTCATTATTAGATTAAATATTGCCTTGGTTTCTGAAAACCTACAATCAAAGCCCAACTCAAAGAACTTTAAGTTGCATCAAATGAAAAGTAGAATGTTCTAAGACGATAAAGAGATCGATGTATAATATTACTAATATCTATTTAGAAATATATGTAATTTATTATCACTTTTGAAGATATGTTAAAGTAAATATTCAACAAAATTTGAACCTAAGTAAATCTAAAATCATTCAAATTCATTATATATAAATTTCAATCTAACCAAGAACCCTAAGTCCATCTTATTTCAAATTCTGTTGAAAGTTGATTACCTCTATTGAAATTCCATATTTTAATCTCTATTTATTTACTTGATACCATAATTGAACAAGAAAAATTAATGCTGTACTTTCACAATCATCTACTCATCCTATCAAAAAAATTTGAAATTTCATAAAATTCATAATTTAATACATCATACAAAAAGCATTTGTGGAAATCCCAAATTCTAATGTGATGTTGTCAATTTGTTTCCATTTTTATTGCCAAAAATATAATTACTATATACAGTTAGAAATGTAAAATAATAAATATTAACTATTTATTAAAACTGCAAGAATAAAATGATTTCTGACAAAATATAAATTATAAAATTTTAAGCTGATGAACGGGTTTCATTCATTTTCATCATTTCAAGCAAAATTAATGATTAATAAATAATACACTCAGTAAAAGTATGTTCAAAATTAATATTAATCATTCATAATACATTATTTACGTTTAATTTCACCAATTTTAATAAAAAAATTATTATAAAAATTGTAAATAAAAAATTACATGTTCTTAAGACATTACTCCATTTCAATTCAAAAATATAGTTATTAGGCTGTTTAATATAAAAAGCCATCTTCACCTAATGCTCCAATTAAATATTTAGAGTTTGAAATTCTTTGAGTAGTTTCTTTGAAGGTACCTAATACATGCCCTTATTTATGACAAGATTTTGAAATATTTCCAAAAGAACATTCATCAATAAAGATTAGCTTATAATTCTATGTAATGGAACCACATATTAATGAAATAAATTTCTTCATTTCATCTCTTATTCCATTTTTATTAAAGAACTGAAATGGTTTAGAGAAGGAATTCTAAATCTTAAATATAAAGATTTAAAATCCTTTGAAATTAAGATATCGATAAATTTTGTTTAGAAAATTGCTATCTAAATGCAGAAAGAAATATTTTTGCTTTCAAAAGTATTCTATTTGATTACAATGAAGCTTGTTCTATCAACCATTCCTATTAATTTCTAGTAATTTTTATTTGCTCTCTTTATTTTATTGTCTTTAATCTAATACTATTTTGTCTAACTTAAGAAGGAGTTATCCAAGCATGGCAGAAATTATATTATTTTAAACTTTAATTACTATAACTCTTCAATCATGATTCTTTAATCGAATGTTAAAGGATTCAACTTTTGTTTTAGATTTTTCCTTTTTATTTTTTTTAGAGTTTTATGTACTTCAATGTTTTTACTTCAAAGATTAATTACCTTCAACAATGGATTATATCATTAGCTTGCTTTCTTTCAATGGCATTGGTTCGATTTTTGGTATTATTAAGTTATTACTTTTCAAAATTGAAGTCCTTTTTTTAAAGGTTAAGCAAAATTAATATCATTGGTGATGTCTGAATAGCATTGGTTAACCTTCGTAAACAATAAATTATTCATGATTTATTTTTGGCTCTTCTCATTTTAATAATAATTACGATGTATAATTTGCTGCTTCTCCATTCCTTTGCAGCATCTGCACTTTGAATTACTTGGTTGAGTATTTGTAGCCATAAGAAAAATAAATTAAAATATTTTATTCAATTTTCTTCAATTATAATCTCTAACTTAAAAATCCATACGTGACTTCGCTAATTTTCCCAATAAATTGTTTAATTTCATACGCTTAGCAGATGATTAAAGAATAAATATTTAAAAAATGTAGAATAATTTTTAAGAAGAAGCAGATTTATTAAAGATCAATAATAACTTCAGATTATCTACTTGGTATTCTTTTTGATAAAATATATGTTCCAAATTTGTGATGAAGTATAAATCGGAGTTTTACTAAAGTTAGTCAAAAAATATGAAATAGTTGAAGAGTTGTTGAAGATTCATAATTAATAAAGAAGTGGGGTATAGATTAAAAACATTAGCCTGATAAGGACTGGATTATAAATGTTTTGAAAACTCTCAAACCTAACCATTAATTCTTTTAAAAATATACATTAATCAAGAATAAATTAAGTAATATGTTTACATATTACTTTAGTAAAATAAAGTAATTGGATTTTTCAATTGGAAAAAAAACAAATGTTAAAAGGTTTTTCATGGCATCTAAAGAAAAACAATTAGAGGTAGAAACTTACATTTCTTTGATATTGATTAATTCTTCTACATCAACTATGTTATCGATCATTGATTACAATTATTCAACATTTTTTTATCTTTTTATTTATCTTTTGTCTTAATTTGTGCTGTTAATCATTGAATATGCCTCATTTTTATAAATTAGTTGGTACTTAAATTTTGTGTAATTGAATGCACGAAAAGAAAACTTTAAATAATATTGGAAAATGAACTTCTTCAATTTTTTCCTAGCAAAATTTTATTGTTAGGTTATGATTAACATTAGGATTGAGATTTAACCTATTTACCTAATTGTTTCTTAATAAATTTAAAAGTGGAAAAATTTAAGCTCTCAAAAAATTGTTGGAATCCTTGTTTTTTTAATCAAATGAAACTTTCAATTCTTTTTTCAATTAATCCAAAAACTTTAAATGTCCCTTTATTTTTTATAGATGGTAGTATAGACTGACTTTACTCAACTTATAATAATTCTAAAGTTAATCTAGTTGCTTATTATATGGTTTTGTTAATTGGTGCTGTTCCTTAAGATGATTCATCATTCTTATATTTATATGGTTAGATTTTGTTTTCTAAAATATCTGAAAACTTTAATAGAGGAATGCAATTCACTTTTACGTCTGATTCGAACAGTAGCAACATAAGCAATGAAACTCTCATATGATTGTTTTACAGTAACAATATCATTAAATGTTGGCACTAAAGTAACTATTCTTAGGCTTTGCTTTAAATTAATTGTTATTAATTCATTCTTTCAACTTGAATTGTTCTTTTTATATCATCACATAGTTTATAGTCTTATCAATAATTGAATTTTGTACCTTTTGCTTTTAAGAAAAATTGAATGCTGAAATGCTGTCATGTTTATATTCCTCTTTTTTTAAAAAATAACCAAATGACTAAATTTGATATTTTATTTGTTTGCTCGCAAAAAAGAAATAAATAAAACCTTTTGATAATTATAAGATATTCTTTTTATGTTGTTTCCTTTTTAGAAAGGAGATCTTACATATTTGACACGCAATTTTTTTTGAAATACAATTATAAGCCTAAATAAAAATTAAAAATGTAATTAACCTCTTAATTTAATTCTTATGCAATTTCAATATTAAATAAACAATGCCTATCATATTATTGTTGTGAATCGACATTTTATAAATTCGACAACTCAGATTATTACACTTAAGTTTATTTTATAATCATAAGATGATTAATTCTTTTCAAATAATATAACCTTTGGATTAATTTGTAAATCGTGAGGTTTTTGTTATAGGTAGAAAGAATGATAATTTTAATTTCAACTCTTGCAAGCTCATTTATATTATTAATTATTTTATTCAATAAAACTTGCTTTCTAGGAATGTGTATTAAGAATAAAAGTGGAAAAGTAGGAAAAATATATTTAGAAATTTATCAAGCATTCAAATAGCAAAACAATTTTGATGTATATTTAGAATTCTGAAAACAATGAGATACTTGATTTTAGTTAACCAGATGCACAACTTAAAGAACAGAATCCATACTAATCGGTTGAGTTAGTTTTAAGGTTTGTTGGTGAAAATGATTTTTATTGAAATACCTCCCCTTATATATTTAATAAAGTTCTCAAAGTAGAACGTAATTTTTTCATAATATATGTGTTAATATTTGAACATACAGCCCGGTCGAGCCCAGCCGCTCGGAGGAGGATAATTGAATTGAATTTTCTCTATTTGCTGTAATTGGGAGCCATAATACTGTGGTATTAGATTTTTTTCAATACTAACAGAAACTTTGAGATATTTTTTATGGTGATTTATTGTTTGTGTCTAATGCCCTTTAACAAATTCCAAGATGTCCACCTTATTAAATGAGTTATTCAACAAACATTAAATTTTCTCAAATTAGCTTCTAATCATATTTTTTTTTTCATTCAACTTTAAATATTAAATGCATAATTCTTCATCTAAATTCTTCTTCTCTGACTTTATTCAATTTAACATATAAATTAAAACTATGTTCTACTGTTGGAGAGCCATTTCATTTTATTCAATTGCTTAATATTTGATTTAATCTCCAATTTATTCAAGATTTTCTATGAATTATTTAAATTAATCAAAATGAATGATCTTATTATTTATATTTAACAGTTTATTCATAACTTTCTACTTTAATTTTAACCTAAAATATAGAAATATTTTCATGATTGTTTTTTCATCAAATTTATCAAGATATAAAAAATACTTTGAGGGAAGGCTTCAAAATTCAACTTAGATAGCAAATGATTAGGTGAATTTAAAACGTTATAAAAGTTATTTATGAGACGTACTTAATTGATACGAATTTAATTTTTGACTTGCATTCTTGGGACCTTATTTAAGCTCCTAATCGCACTCTTAATAAATATACTCTATTGATTTTTATCCTAATTTGATGTATATTTGAAGTTGTTCTTCATGTTTAAATCAGGGGATTTGTTCTCATATTCTTGTTTAAATAATTAAATTGTCATTATTAAAAATAAAAAATTATCAAGTAAAGTGCAAGTTTTATTTTTTATTCATTAAATTGATACGATCCAATTAAAATCTTACTAAATTTTGATGTATGATAACTTATCATGGCTCAAAGTATCCGCTATTTGGTTCATTTTTAATGGAGTAAAATTATATATTTTTCCTCTAAATTCATTATTATTTAATTCAAACTGCATACTATGGTTTCATGATTTTAATCCAATATTCCCTAGTTCAGACATGTAAGCCTTAAAATATAGCAATGACTTTTTTAAAACATATCCTCGCTTTAATTTATTATCAAGTAAATGTAATTACTTGAAAGTAATACTTAATAATTAAATTACCATTTTCAAATTATTGTTTATTTGTTCGAGAATGTTAAAAATTGGTTATCGAAGATGGGCTATATTAAAACTTGTTAGCTTACAAAAAATAAGCTCAGGCTTCAGACTCAAGGTTTTATTAAAATGAAGTTGTTTTATTATTAAATTCAAATTTTCAATGTATTATAAATACAAAATGAAAGTTAGATGTAACTAATCTGATCATAACATTATTAGATAATAGGAGTTTGCAAAGATAGTAAATGCCTATATCAAAGGCCTTATTGTAATTTTTGCTTTTATCAACGAATCATAATCATTAAAAATTTATAAGTAAATATTTCAGAATGTAAGTTGGCCTTGGATTGGTTTTTAATAAAATTATTCCTTATTTCAATATCGATCTAGAAAATTTAAGTTAGTCAGCACTTTTATAAATTGACATCATGATGAAAGCCTTGAGCTTAATTGAATCCAGCGAGAAACATTCATTGGCTAATTTTAATATTAATAGAATAAATTAAATTCACCATAAATGAAATATTAGAATTTAAATTAAATTTATATATGAGTTTTGCAATCATTAAAATAATATATATTAGATAGAAGCTATAAATGCTAAGCGAGTTGCTAATTAGAATGTATATAATGTATAGAATAACAGTGCTTAAAATATTTTCTTTAAATAATTTAAATTCCTAAATTTTTTTTTTAAACAGTGAAAAAGCTTTGAAAAGTTGGATTCATTCATAAAAATTAAATATAATTGATATATCAATTAGGGAGTAAATCATAGCATATATTCAAAGCTTTAATTGTTAAAAAAAAATAAATATTTCATCAATTAATGAATGCCTAAATTCTAGTAGTTATCTCATAAGTTGTTTTGATTTGCTATTTTTGATAATCCTCTATTTTTCTGTTTATTTTAAAATGAAAGATTTGTAATCAGCATTTTCTCAAAAAAAAAGAAACTTATAAATAATAATTTACCTGCACAGGTTTGAAATTTCTTAATGATTTCTATTATAGTAAAGTAAGTTGTTGTATTGAAAAGTCTTCATTTCTAATATGCAAAATACATTTTTATTAACTAATTTAACTGATTATATATATATCAGTTAAATTCTTCATTATTCAACTTCCCATTGATATTTCCATCTTCAGGTACTCAAAATATTAAAAAAGATTATAGAATTTAGAATTCATTCATGAAAGGTTATTAAAAAAAAGGTGTGATAAATGATAAGATTTGAATAAGATTGAAATATCCAAAGTGAGTAGAAAATTGATTTTCACTTTAAAAATGAGGAGAGCTCTTTCAGGAAAGCGTTGCCTTATCATATTGGTAATATTATTCCAAAGAGGTTAGAATGCTAGAAATTTATTTATGGTAATATTTTTAAAAACAAAATTTAATTTTTTCTCAAACTTATTTATATAAGGAACCATACAATTAGTGTAGAAAATCCTGAATTGATCGGAAAATTCTTGTATATTAAATTATTTTATGTTTATATGCATTTGTACCAATGTGGATTTTTTATTTAAATTTAATTAAATGTCAAATCAAATGGTTTAAACATAATACATTTTGCGTGGTGGTGGTTGCGGATCATAAAAAATAAACTCCCTGAAATCAGGAATATCAAAGTTAGATACTCAAGACCTTCATAATTTCTTTAATAAATTCAATTTTTATGTTGAGAAAATTTGCACTAAGGCTGTGGTTGCAGCGGATTACTCAGAATCATAAGAAATAATGATAGCTCTATAATGGTTTATTTTTTAAGAAGAAAACATTTACAATCTCAACAAGAATGCCTAAAGTGTAGTGAAATCATACGATTTAATTTTAGAGGGAATCAGAAAGTTATTGAAAAGCTGTTTGATCTACATTAGAACAGATTCTTTTAAGTGCTTATATATTTTATAAATAACAGCATCCCTATCTAAACTAATATTTAGCTTCCATATACTAAAAGAAGAGAGATTTATGAAATGTGACATCTAATAGGAATTTTTGGATATTTCTGATGAACTAAGTCAACATATGGAAATAGAAAAGAATGATTTGATTCAAAATTAAATGGAACTCTATCTTTTCTTAACAAAAACTTCTTTCGAAATTGCTCCCAATAATAGTAATGAAAGGGAAGAAATTTTAAAAGGATGTTTAAGCGGTATAATTGGGTCAATAATTTAAATGAAGCCAAATGAAGAATTACTTGAGTCATTATTTCAGGGAGCCTGTCATCTTTACAAATAGTATGTTATTAGCAACAACAGAAAATAATTTGAAGTGTATTTTTAAATAGATATGTTATAATGGGAGATAATTAACTATTTTAAGAATGAAAAATTTTAAAACCTAGATGAAATAATTTCACAAGTTGAGGAAATACATGATAAAATTGTGAAAAATTCAAATGTCTGGAAATATCATTATCTTTGGGTATAAATGATAGGAAAAATCTTATAATATAATCCTCCATTAACAAAGCAGAAATTATCTCAGCTGATAAACTCTTTTAATCTTGGAGTAAAGTTAGAATAAATTTGGAAGGAATATTAGAGAAAAGGATTCCTTATTTAAATGAATCATAGTAATGACTAAGCTGTCATCTAACTAAACTATCTCTAAAATAGTTAATTAAGTGAAATGGACAGAGCAATCTTAGAATCTAATTTCAAAGAATGGGAAATCTTTTTATTACTAAAAGATTTTTTCATAAATGAACAATATCAAAATATCCCTTTTACATTTGGATCATATTTAAAAACAAAATTAGAAATTGAAGGAAAAGAACTCTAACAAAATGAAACTATATTGGCAATTCATAATATTTAAAGGTTTCTAGGTTTTCTGATTTCCAATAAGTTATTAAATTTAACTAAATAAAATGATGAAAACTTGGAAGAAGTCATAAAAATCTCTAGAAATTTTACTAAAGGAAAGTAATATAATGAAAGTACAACATTAAAAATTTCTCTTCAATAAATAAAAAAAATTATACAGAAATTAAAGGACTATTTCTAAAACATTTAGGATATCATTAAAATTATGAGGCTTAATTAGAACCATTAAAAAAAGAACTATGAAAAAAACAATTTTGAGAAACTTAATATATTTTAAAGATTAATAGAGATCTTACAATTATATGTCATTTAAGATTAAAGAAATCAATCACTAAATCAAAATTTTATTGACGACAACGATATAATTTAGGAGTAAAGTAAATCAATTTTGGAAGAACTTAAACATGTTGATTTTAAAGAATACAAAATCTCATTTATAGATTTACCAATAACCCCTCAAAATAGAAGCAAAATTCGAAGAAAAGCTGAAAAGTTGATTGGCATTTATCAGAAAGAAATTTAAAGGCTAGAAACAGATTTAATTCAAAATAACTTATTGCAATATTTTTAGAATTTAGTCTATAATTTATATTTATTTTATGAAAGCAAGTGCAATGAACTTTAAGAAAAATGTTCTTATATCAATTTATATCTTAAGGAGATCATGATCATTATGTATTAAATTGAGACAGTTCCGAAAATTTTGAGTCTTAAAACAATTAAATAATCCTTTGCCAATATGCATTTACTTAAATGTCTCGAAAACTTAAGGTACAACAATCTGAGGCTAAAATTAAAACTGATTGATTCAAAGAGGTCTTTTTCATTTATATTGGAAAAAGCAAAACCAGAAGAATTGGGAAGGCTGTCAGAAGTTATAAATCTTGATGAGTTTCTACTAAATGTTGTCAAAGATTTTCCATAAAGAATTATGAGAGAAAACACTAATTTTACCTCATTAATACATAATGAATTACAAAATATTGAAATCACAAGAGAAGACTTTGAACACAGGTTATCGAAATAAAAAGGAATATTAACATATGTCATGTTTCAATAATGTGTAAATGAAAAACAGATTGAATAAGAAAGAAAAGACTTAGAGTTAATAGAGAAGGAATTTGAAGAATTCTTCTTCAAAGAAACTCCTTCCGAATTGTCGATGGAAACAATTTGGAAAATTGTTGAAGATCTAAAAGTTGAGGAATCATTAAAAACAGTGATGGATGATAAATTTAATTTCTAAGAATTGAGATTGGAAAAAGAAAAATATTTTAATTTTTTGTCTCAACTAAGAAAACTTGAAGTTATAACTAAAGATTAACCGATTGGAAATTGGAATTTATTAATCACACAAACAGAAGCAGTGATCAAAACAATTGAAACTTTTGGTTAAACAGACGAGCAAATTGTCAAAATGCTAATTAATGAGGAACTCATGAATTTAAAAACCATATTAAACGATCACAAAATAACTTAGAAGGAATAGCAAATATCGATAATTCAAGAACAAATAAGACAGGTTGCTAATGAAAAAATTAATGATACTGAATAAATTGAGTTGAATTTGTAAATTGAAAGATAAAGTGGAAATAGGGAAATAGGTAGTATTAATTAAATGAGTAAGAAATTTAAATTTTGCAGTTACGATAACTATAGAACTAATTTAACATTTTTGATTAAGGTAGTAAAGTTAAAAAAATTAAAACTTCAATATGAGATTGAGCTATTATATAAATTATTTGCAGAAGTTGTTATTTTGTCTGAAAAACTTGATTAAATTCAAAAGTTTGAAATAGAAATTTAAACTAAATTCTAAGAAAGACTTTAATGTTATATTTTAGAATTTATTAAGAAGTTTGAGTTATAATAATTGACAGAAGATAATTTATATTAAAAGGAGGGTGAAGATTTTCATTTTTACTTGGAAGGAATAGAAACTAAGCTAATTAAAAGAGTAAATGATACAGGGATTACTTAAGCTAATATAAATATTCCTGATTTTCTAAATTGCTTAGAGTTGTATATAAAGGAACAATTAGTCAAATAAAGGTGTTTTTCTAACATTAAAATTGGATAGGAATTTCTAATTCAATAATTAAAAAAAATCTATTTAGAGGGTATCGAAGAAGAAGGAGATGAAGAATCAAAATAATAGTTTGGTTTAATAGATAATTAGGTTCAAAAGTCCAAAGATATTATTAATAATGACTAGTGGAAAATTAAATAGGGATTAGTGTTTACAATAATTTAGATTTCTTCTAATTGTTTTTCAGAGAACATAACTTCTTTCTGTTCGAAAGTTCTTATCTAAGTGTGGGTTCAAGAATAGGATCAAAGGGTTAGAAATATTTTAAAAAATTAAAACTTGATAGGTCTGTAAATGTAAGTTTTGTAGAAAGATTGGTCCACTTAACATGATAGAATTGCAGGTAAAATGCAGGAAATGTTGAGGAGAATTGATGAATTGTAAGAGTAGGTTTCTCACGAAGCCAATCTCAAAAAACAAGATCTTTACATGAAAGAAATAGATGATACAACAATGCAATTAGATTAATAAATTGAAAATATCAGTGAAATGGGTTAATAACTGCGATTGATAACTGATTTTGTTAATCATATTCGAAAAGGTTTAATAAGAGTAGAGGGTAAAATTAATGAAATGAAGGAGTAACTCAAAAGCATGGGTAACGATATTAAACTTTTGAGAGGAAAAACTGTTGAGTAGCTATTTGAAATTAGAAAATGGAAGGTATTGAAAGATGCAGCATAAAAAAATACTAAGAACATTTATGTACCGTTACAAACGTTAGAAATTATCCAAAAACAATAAAAAGAGGAAACTTAGCCAAGTAGTTTGATGAATTTAGAAGATTTGAATGATAGGAGAGGAAAGGTGAATGAGTTTTTATTAGAAGACAAAACAGTCTTATTAATACATGGGTAAGCTGGATCTGGCAAAAGTACTACAGCAAAGAAAATAGAAGAATTTATTTGGAAATAACATGAAAAAAATGAAAAAATTAGAAATCAATTGCTCATACCTGTTTATATCTCTTTACCTTCTTTAAAAAATCCTGTTTTTTAGGTAGTTGAAGAGACACTACATCAAGACGAGTATGGATTTGACAAATTGTAATTGAAAGAATGTAAAGAGATGTTGGAAAAGAAAGAATTCAAATTTCTATTGATTATGGACAGTTATGATGAAATGAAACTAGAGCATATTTAGAAAAATTTATATATAAGTAATAAACTTAAATAGATTTGGTCAGACCCACTTGTTATTTTTACAACTAGAAGTGAAATCTTCACAAGTAATAATTATACCTAATGGTTTGAACCAGAGAAAAAAGAAGAATTTAAAGAAGTTTAGCTTCTAAAATTTAATGAAGAATAAATGGAGAAATATCTAAAGAAATTTACAACGTAAAGTATTAAAATGTTACTTTTCGAAATTTATGAATGGTAAACATAAATTTCAAATCGAGGAGCTATCGATATCAATAAGTTTGAAATTTTTTGGGAAAAATTCTTCTTATAATTTTCCAAATCAGAAATAACAAATAGTGAAAATCTTCTGAATGAAAAATAAATAGAGAGGATTGAATTATTTTTGAAAAATGATGAGTTTATTGCTTTAAAAAGCACTGAAGCTTTGAGAAGTCTAAGTATAAATTTACAAAAGCTATGGAGTGTTGAAAAGTATGAAAAAATGATAAAGAACATAAACTTGAATAAGCTGGTGGAAACTCCTTATATGATGGAAATTGTGGTCCAAGTGTTACCAGAAATGGTGAAGAAAGCAACCGAGATATATAATGTGAAATAAAATTTTTTCAAGAATTTCCCAAATATGCTTAAAGTATTCTACAAAAGTAAATTTTTAATCGAAATGTATAAATAACGGCAAAATCTAACTCAGTTAAATAATGAAATTGAAAAACAATCTTAATTGGAAAGTAAGAATAAAAATTATGAAGTTACTTTTGCAGATTTGGAAAATTTGGAAATTATTAACTATCGTGAAGTTGCTTTGGAAGTTTGGAATACATTAGAAGAAAATTTAACAACCATTTAATTTTAGATAACGAAAGAAGTAAATGATCTCAAAATAATACTTTCGAAAATTAATTTACTCATCTCTCCTGTGATATCAAATGCTGCATTTGAAAAAATATTAGTTCCAGAGGAAAAAATAATATAACTAGTTTGTGATGCATTAAAAGAGTACAATCTAACAAGTTATGACTTTTATGAAGAGTTTATTAGTTAGTATTATTTGAAATAAGTAGAAAAATAGAGAAACTTAGGAAAATCCATAAACATTGATAATTTTGTTCATGATCTAAAAAAATTTTCAATTGAGCTTGCTCAAAAAATGAGTTTTAAGCAAGTAACTTAGGTCTAGTATCAATAAAAAGGATTATTATATTCCGAGTAAAGCGATGAAGAAGAATGGTTCAAGAAATTTTTTAATGATGATTGTAAAAATGGGAACTATAAAAAGGACATAAGGAGTTGTTCTTTGGTTCGATAGAAAGGTGTAAGTTTTTAATTTGTTCATAAATCCATCTAAGAATTCTTGATCGCTTCAGATTTATACGAAGTTTTAGTTCTATTCGAAAATCTTAATACTAAAATATATAGTAAAATTCTAGAAATTTTGGGTAAAGAAGTAAAATAAGATGTGGATTGCTTAACATTTTTTTCCTCTCATAAAAATTATGAGAATTTTATACCGTTTCATTCTATATCAAATTATTAGAACAAATCAACACTTGACACTCTCAAAAATGATATGCAATAGACTTTGAATCTTCTGAAAATTCTAAAGAAACATGAGTTCAATAGAAATAATTATTCCTCCGACATTTATATAGAAACAAAAAAATTTTTGATTTAAAAAATATAAAAAAAAGAAAAGATTATAGAATTGCTGAAATTTCTTGTATATCTAACTGCATTTGATAAAAGTTACATCGTTTGTGGATCAAACTCACTTAATTTATTAGTTGATATGAAAGTTGATCTAACTAGTCTTAATTTCGAGAAAATAAAGATCAAAAATACTTCCTTAATAGGAGGTAATTTTGTAAATTGTAATTTCAATTAATCTGAATTTACTGATGTGAACATAAATGGAATTAATCTAAATGGAGCATAAATGTTTGGCTGTAAATGGAAGAATCTGAAGATTAATGATTTGTATTCATTATATGGTCATTAAGATGGTGTTAATTCAGTTTGTTTCTCACCTGATGGTACTACATTAGCATCTGGTAGTAGAGATTACTCTATCCGTTTATGGGATGTTAAGACAGGATAATAAAAAGCCACATTAGATGGTCATTCTGCTTAAGTTATTTCAGTCAATTTCTCTCCTGATGGCACTACTTTGGCATCTGGAAGTAAAGATGACTCTATTCAATTATGGGATGCTAAGACAGGATAATAAATAGCCAAACTAGATGGTCATTCAGGTTGGGTTAATTCAGTCTATTTCTCCCCTGATGGTACTACATTAGCATCAGGCAGTAGGGATAATTCTATCCGTTTATGGGATGTTAAGACAGGAGTATAAAAAGCCACATTAGATGGTCATTCAGAAGAAGTTCTATCAGTCTGTTTCTCCTCTGATGGTTATACATTAGTATCAGTTAGTCTTGATAACTCAATACGTTTATGGGATGTAAAGACAAAATAATAGAAAGCCAAATAAGGCGGCAATTTAGATAATGTTAGCTCTGTTTGTTTCTCTCGCGATGGTACTACATTAGCATCTTGTAGTTATGATAATTATATTCGTTTATGGGATGTTAAAACAGGGAAATTAAAAGCCGAATTGAAATGTAATTAAAATAGAGTTCAATATGTCAGCTTCTCTTCTGATGGTACTACTTTAGCAACTGTGAATGATAGTAACTCTATCCTTTTATTGGATGTTAAGACAAGATAATAAATAGCAAAGTTAGATGGTCATTCAGGAGAAGTTCTATCAGTCTGTTTCTCTCTTGATGGTACTATATTAGCCTCTGGTGGTAACGATGACACTATCCGTTTATGGGATGTTAGGGCAGGATAATAAAAGATAAAATTAGATGGTCATTCATACCTAGTTCGATCAGTCTGTTTTTCTCCTGATGGTATTATATTAGCATCTGGTAGTGAGGATATGTCTATCCGTTTATGGGATGTTAAGACAGGATAATAAAAAGCCAAGTTAAATGGTCATTCAGAGGGAGTTCTATCAGTTTGTTTCTCTCCTGATGGTACTACATTAGCATCTGGTAGTGGAGATATGACTATCAGTTTATGGGATATTAAGATGGGATAATAAAATACTAAGTTAAAAGGTCATTCTGATGCAGTTAGATTAACATGTTTCTCTCCTGATGGTACTACCTTAGCATCTGGTAGTGATGATCACTCGATTAGGTTATGGCATGTTAAGACAGGATAATAAAAAGCAAAACTAGATGGTCATTCAGATATGGTTTTTTCAGTATGTTTCTCTCCTGATGGTATTACTTTAGCATCAGGTAGTGAGGATAAGTCTATCCGTTTATGGGATGTTAAGACAGGATAATAAAAAGCCAAGTTAAATGGTCATTCAGAGGGAGTTCTATCAGTTTGTTTCTCTCCTGATGGTACTACAATAGCATCTGGTAGTGATGACAAGTCTATCCGTTTATGGGATATTAAGATAGGATAATAAAAAGTCAAATTAAAAGGTCATTCTGATGCAGTTAGAACAATAAGTTTCTCTCCTGATGGTAATACATTAGTATCTGGTAGTATAGATTAGTCTATTTGTTTATGGGATATTAAGACAGGATAATAATAAAAAGTACAATTAGATGGTCACGAAAATTGTGCTACTTCAGTCTGTTTCTCTCCTGATGGCACTAAATTAGCATCTGGTAGTATAGATGGCTCCATCCGTTTTTGGGATGTTAAGACAAGATTATACAAATCCGAATTAGATGGTCATAGCAATTCAGTTCGATCTATCTGTTTTTCTCCTGACAGTACTACTTTTGCATCTTGCAGTGATGATAATTCTATTAGGTTATGGGATGTTAAGACAGGATAATAGAAAGCCAAGTTATATGGTCATTCAGGTTATATTTAGACAGTCTGTTTCTCTCCTGATGGCAATACATTAGCATCTGGTAGTATAGATTAGTCTATTCGTTTATGGAATTCTAAGACAGGATAATAATAAGTCAAATTAGATGGTCACGAAAATTGTGTTAGTTCAGTCTGTTTCTCTCCTGATGGGACTATATTAGCATCAGGTAGTATAGATTAGTCTATTCGTTTTTGGGATGTTAAGACAGGATAATGTAAAACCAAATTAGATGGGCATAAAAATTCAGTTCGATCAATCAATTTTTCTCCTGATGGTACTTAATTAGTATCTGGTAGTGATGATAACACTATCCGTGTATGGGATGTTAAAACAGGATAATAAAAAGTCTAATTAGATGGTCATTCAGATGCAGTTATATCAGTCTGTTTCTCTCTTGATGGTACTACATTAGCATCTAGTAGCTATGATAGATTTCTTCATTTATGGGATATTAAATCAGGACAACCTATTTTACCTACAAATGATTGTTATTAAGAAATTATGGCATAATTTAAACTTTCCAAATTTCAATCCTAATATCTTCCTAATAGTAGTATTTATTTTTTGCTATTTAGCTTCCCACATCATGACTATCATTCTAATATCACGATAGTTAGTTTTTTAATCAAAAGAGGCTTTGGTCTTAAAAGGAGAATTTGTTAATCATTTAGGTATAGATTTAAAGAAATTATTTTAATAAAGAGGAAGTTTAATTTTGGTAGAACCTTAATGTTAGAATAATTGATTAATATCATAAGCAAAAATAATCAATCATAATATTTAAATTTTAATTATTATTGATTAAATGTAAGTTCTTTGGAAGAAATTTTTCTTCTTTCCAACAATTATAACAATTCTTTTTGATTTTTATGTATGATTGGATTTTCACTTATCATGCATGATAAGTTGTTATATGTTAAACTCAAAATTTTAAATTATATAAATGCTTGACAATATGAATTAATTTCAAAAGAAAATGCTTATTTCACTAACCCAAAATCAACATCCAACAGGGGTATAACAATGCAAATTAGGTTTGCCCTAATAATAAAAATTTGTATAATTGTTAGAAGAAATATTTTCAATGTCTATGCTTTATTAAAGTTATATAATGAAAATAGTAAAATAATTTTATCATAAATATCAAGAACTCCAAAACTTATTATTTAGATAATATCAGAAAATAGAAATAGCGCTGTATCAAAAATTACAAGTTTGAATCACAATTAAAAATTATAAAGTCCCAAAATTTATTAACATTTGAAAAACTCCTAAATTATTCAATTAATGAAAAAAATAATAATAATGTGTTCAAAAAAAATAAATCAGCAGAGTGATAAAGATAGTAAAAATAAATAAAATAAATACCATTTCTTGAATTGGTACTCTTTTAAAAGTTCTGACAAAAAAACAATCATAGTTATCAACAAAATTATCAACAATGTTTTAACTACATAGCTAAAATACACTATCATTAAAAAAAAGAATAATTACTTAAAGTAGGATTAAGGTGAAGTAATTTGGTAGGTTGCATGAAACTATTTTTCTCTTTTTCATTTACATTAATAATTAAGAATCTTAAAATAAATTAAATAAATTTTTCCATTATAATCTATTTAATAAAATTTATACAATATTAAATTAAAATTAATAAAAAATAGTAATAAAAAGAAAAAATTTATGAAAATTCCAATAACCATATCAACCCAAATTTGAATGTCAGAGATATTGGAAAATTGTATTATGCCACTCTTCAAGTCCAAAAATATTTTGTAATACAAATTATTGATATCAAGTATTAGAAAATAAATTATATAATTTGAATGTGTTTATAATAGTGCACTTCGGTCGAGATGAATAATTTTTAATTTCATAGTTTGAATTCAAAATAAAACAAATATAAAGGAATAGGAGCATGGATTACCAATTTGTAAGTTAAAATATATTTAATTCCCATAGAATCACTATCTATTTATAGTATTTTAAATAGCAATTTTAGTTTTAATGCTACCTTTAAAAAATTAAGTTTTAATGTATAGAAAGTGAAATTATCCAAAATAAGACACAAGGGTAAATGATAAACTTGGACATAGTTAAATCTCTAGAGAAGATTTAATGTAATTTTAATTATTTAACTCTAACTTATGTGTTGGATTTAGGAAATAGATTATATTCCTAAGATTCCACTGAAAAGGTTGATTAAAATACTATTGGGAAGGTTAAACGGAATTATCCTAATAGGTCATAAGTGATCCGTAGATTAAGGAAGTGATTGCTAAACCAATTATGGAAAGGGAATCAAAATGGTCAGATAAATTGGTCTCAATCTAAAATACCTAAAACAGCAATCAACCTCAGAATATTCATAAAATATAATGACATTAGTTTTGGTATTGATAACTTTCTTAGAATATTTTATCAACTCTGATTTCAACTAAACTCTATTGGAAGTAAATCAATAGTAGTTCTTTGGAGGAAATTAATGATCAGAATGGGGATGTTTATTATATTGAATATAATGTTTCCAACTCTTTGACACAAAGTTTAACTCTTTCAGCCGAATATTTTAGATACAACATTATATCAAAAGGAGAAATATAAAAAACTTCAGTGACTGCATTTCTGATTGCATTTCTGATTGCAGCTTCTATCATATTGTTTATTTGGTATTTAATTACAGTATACTAGAATATTTTTGATTGTTTTATTCATAATAAGGATCTAAGTAGTAAATTAAGCAGCATTGTAATTATTCTTAGATCTCAACTAGAAAAAAATTTTGAGTGAAAATTTCATTACAAGACTTTAAGTTGGGGATGATTATGTTTTAATCAGTGCAATTAATAAGTTAAGAGTTTTTCACTTATAATAATAACAAGGAAGAAGAGAATGAGAACAAACAGAAAGAGAAAGAAAAAGAGGAGGGAAAAAGGTTATTGAATGGCAGAAAAAGACGAAGAAGCTTAGTAACTCTAATTTGAATTATAAGTATTTAATATTTGCATGGTCATCGAAGAAATGGTAGCATATTTTATTTGTTTCAGTTTAGGTAAATTCCGATTTATTATTTTAGTCTGAATCTTCTGATATTATGGATTTAGTAGCTGTGTTTAATNTTAAATAGCAATTTTAGTTTTAATGCTACCTTTAAAAAATTAAGTTTTAATGTATAGAAAGTGAAATTATCCAAAATAAGACACAAGGGTAAATGATAAACTTGGACATAGTTAAATCTCTAGAGAAGATTTAATGTAATTTTAATTATTTAACTCTAACTTATGTGTTGGATTTAGGAAATAGATTATATTCCTAAGATTCCACTGAAAAGGTTGATTAAAATACTATTGGGAAGGTTAAACGGAATTATCCTAATAGGTCATAAGTGATCCGTAGATTAAGGAAGTGATTGCTAAACCAATTATGGAAAGGGAATCAAAATGGTCAGATAAATTGGTCTCAATCTAAAATACCTAAAACAGCAATCAACCTCAGAATATTCATAAAATATAATGACATTAGTTTTGGTATTGATAACTTTCTTAGAATATTTTATCAACTCTGATTTCAACTAAACTCTATTGGAAGTAAATCAATAGTAGTTCTTTGGAGGAAATTAATGATCAGAATGGGGATGTTTATTATATTGAATATAATGTTTCCAACTCTTTGACACAAAGTTTAACTCTTTCAGCCGAATATTTTAGATACAACATTATATCAAAAGGAGAAATATAAAAAACTTCAGTGACTGCATTTCTGATTGCATTTCTGATTGCAGCTTCTATCATATTGTTTATTTGGTATTTAATTACAGTATACTAGAATATTTTTGATTGTTTTATTCATAATAAGGATCTAAGTAGTAAATTAAGCAGCATTGTAATTATTCTTAGATCTCAACTAGAAAAAAATTTTGAGTGAAAATTTCATTACAAGACTTTAAGTTGGGGATGATTATGTTTTAATCAGTGCAATTAATAAGTTAAGAGTTTTTCACTTATAATAATAACAAGGAAGAAGAGAATGAGAACAAACAGAAAGAGAAAGAAAAAGAGGAGGGAAAAAGGTTATTGAATGGCAGAAAAAGACGAAGAAGCTTAGTAACTCTAATTTGAATTATAAGTATTTAATATTTGCATGGTCATCGAAGAAATGGTAGCATATTTTATTTGTTTCAGTTTAGGTAAATTCCGATTTATTATTTTAGTCTGAATCTTCTGATATTATGGATTTAGTAGCTGTGTTTAATTAGAAAATCTTCGCAGAGTGCTATTACAGTTATTCTGATAATGCCTTAAGAAAATAATTAGGAGTTGAATCGTACACTTTTGTTGGACACTCCTCAGTTTAAGTTTTCAACTTTTTGATTGCTATACTGTATAATTTGGAAGCTGCCATTCACTAAATCACACATTCTCAATTCAGACTACCTAGATGCAAAGATCGATATGAAATATTGTAGGTATTTAATAATATCTTCATTTTAACACCTTGCGATTACATAGTTCAAATAGAGACAGAACTAACATATGAAATTTGCTTAATCTTTAATGATGGAGTTTTACGATAGGGTTATCTATTGGAATGGCCAAATATTTCGAAATTTATCGGTAAGTCCTTTACTCTTATAATGCATCCAATGAATCCTAAGATCGTGATCTAGTTTACAAAATTTCTAAAAATAAGAGGACCAATCATATGATGAATTTAATAAATACTAATCAGGTTTACAATATGAAATTGCTGTAGGGAAAGATATATAAAGGCTGTTTTTCAGTATATAAGTTAGGCCTTAATCAGTTCGGTTAAGAATAATGCATAAGACCCATAATTTTATCTGAATCTAATAATCTTCCTTAAATGTTTAAATTTACTATCTAAATATTTCCTAGATCCACTCGAATGAGTTATCCAGAATAGAGTATTAAATGCGTGAATATACAAGAATAATTCTTACAAGACCTGTTATTTTAATTAAATTATTCAAAATATAAAAATAAAAAATATGGACTTGAGTTTATCTAATTGATTCTTAAAAAAGGTTTTCACCTTAATAATGCTTCCTGTAACAGTATTCAATTCTTCAATACATTCCTTGTAATACTTCTCATAAAACCGAATTCTACTTGCAATTCTCCCTCCAATAGCAGGAGGACAAGAATAAAAGTTCTGATTACAATTTTGAGATTGCTCAACGGTTTTGTAGCAATCTCTTGACTGGAGGTGACAATGTGCAAACCTCCTACTCTTTTATTGTACAAACCCATATTCTTGGAGAAAGAATAAGCGACAATCATTTAGAATCCAAGTTCAACAAACTTGAGTACAGCAAATATAGCTTTTTCAATGCATCCATTAGCAAATCGTCGATAAGCAAATCAAAAAATGGTAGTAGATTTTTGTTTTGCATACCTCAGCAATTTATTACTATTCGGTTTCAGTTGGATCCACACCTGTTAGATTATGAGCATAAACATGTAATAGTACTATTGAATCCAATTTGGCTTTTAACAGACAATCAATAGTTGCCATGTAATCAAATCCCTTTGTTTTTGAATCATAATAAGGGTAATTTATTTATTTTAATCTGTCCTGTAGAGAATCTAATTGCGATTACTCCATGTTGGTTTCATGACATAGATATCTCCTGCCAAAGGTCTTTCACGATATCAAATCCCACTCTAAGTGCCCCTGTTCATCCCAAACACTAGGCTGTTACTATCCTTCCACTTTCAATTAAAGGGGTTGTCTTTGCCAAATAATCGCCTTTAACAGCCCTAGTTAAAGTCAGATAAGTCTTCAAATAGCAGATATTCCTTGATAACTCAAAATAAGACTCATGCTTTATTTAATTTAATACCATTGATAATCTCTAGTCAACTCTTTTCACAACTTCAAAGATTTATGGTTTTTCTTCATCTGTACCATAGGTTCCCACGCCGAGGTCAATCTTCTTGTCATAAGGGTCTGCTTTGTAGGCGTTCATAATTCGGAAGATTGGATCCAGAGGTGCCTATTTCAAAGGGGCAAATGGGTTTATGGAGTGGAGTCCAATTAATTTGCTTGTAAAATAAAATAATACAAATTAATATTCATATAAATAATTAAGAGTTCAAGTATTATTATGATATTATTTCGCATCTTTTCTCATTCAACTATATATGATGATATTTTAAGAAGAAATAATGATGATATTATATATTATTTTATGAAATATGATGATACGAAATACTTGTAATCTGCACATAATAACTCATTATAACTCCTTCCTTCCCCTTGAATTTACCTAAAAATAGAAAAATGAAACTCCTACATAATTAGGCTTCACTGTTGGTCTTAGCTCTAATTAAAAACTTGTTAAATAGCTTCTGATAGAAGAAATTTAAGAATTACATAAAATACAGAAATAATTATGCAAGATAAATGGAAAAATTTAATTAAAAAAATCTAAAGAAATTTTTTGAATTTATAATTAAAAATTGTTGAAGAATTAGTATTTATTCAAGATTAATTTTTAGCTTCATATTGCTTGATTTATGTTAATGATAGTAATATATTATCAATATATATTGATCCGATTATAATATATAATTAGTAAATAAATAATGTATGGATTCTCTAGGAAATATGTATATGATAAAATGTAGCATTACAATTGTTTTTATCTCAAATTTGAACTGATTAAATTGCAATGAACTCATTTTGGAAAAAATAGAATTTAAATGATCTTGTCTAGTTAAGCATATTTTCCCATTTAAAGAATAGACGATTCTATTAAATTGAAAGCATAAATTTGTGTTAATTGAGAATTATAAAAATTTGTCTTTACATTAGTATTTTCAATATCAATCATTCGATTTTCTAATAACATAATATTGATTAAGTATTGCAAAGCGTTAAGATTACAAATAACCTTTGAAAATAATTGTTCATTGTTGATCATTAACTACAAAAGTGAAATAATTATTTTAGCTGCTTAAAATTAATAAATAAGAAAATATAAAAATGCTGCCCTCTCTATTAAGTTCTTATATTAAATCTCAATTTGATATTGTAAAAATTATTAATAGTATGTATTTCTGCTTATAGCTCCCCCCTTTTTGTTAGGGGTAATTAGCCTTAGTTTATAATCTTAGCCTTTACTGAAATTAATAGGACTAAATTAGATTGAGTATAACATATTGGAAGTTCGGAGAGGATTGATATTTTATGCGTGTTACTAATGAGCAAATTTAAGACATAATTATCACTTATTTAATGAAATATTTGTGTTCTCAAAAAACAATCATTTCTATGACAAAAGATAGATACTAACTCATAACTAAAAAAGAAGTATAAGCTCCCGGTCCACTGTTAAAACCTGTTCATAATTTCCATAAGGGGATAAAAGGAAAAGTCTAAAATACATCTTTCAAGTCAAAAACAAACTTTACATAATAAAATTAAATAAAGAAGAGAACATTAAGAACATTTGAAATAGTTCGCAGTCTCATATGATTTAGCCAAATTGAGTTATCTTCCAAGGTTGTGCCACAAAGGGAAACTAGTCTTTGATGCCAAAGAATATCTCAACTCTCATATTTGTTCTCAATGAGATTCTTACCGTTGAACAAAATGCATACCTATATCCCAGTGCAAGGATAATATCGCCTGTTATGGTCTAGAGCCATTCATCAAACTCATTGAAGCACATTTAATTCGAAGTTTAATTCTGGTTGAACCAAAAAGATCAATTCTGGCTAAAAAAAGGTTGTCTAGCATCTAGAGTGTTACATGAATGGTTCGAATCTGTGAAACACTGTTACTTCTATTCTTTACTGATAGTTCCCAAATCATATTTGATAAATAAAATGATATTTTTAGGAGCCAAAAGTGCCTGGGTTAAGGTAGCTACCAATTCTATTAAAGGAGTTGTGACTTTTTCTAATTACTCAATCTTTCTATTTCAAAATATTTAAATTAATGTTGTTTAATCAAGTATGGCATACACACTGTCTTTAATTCTTCATCTGTATATCTGTTGACTTTTTGAGTGTCATCTGTTGAAACTATATTATAAATTCAAATCCTTCTAAACTGAATTTTAACTTAGTTCTAAAATTTTGAGATAGGTTCTTTCCATAACTATAAGTTAAGAGTGGGTTTTTTTCTACATTATGTAATATTTTCTTTATCTTTCCTAAAATAATTCTTCAAAAAATCGTTAAAATTAGTGTGTATTTTTGGAAATTAATATTTACGTAAAGAAATCATCTCATAAGAAATGATTTATATCCACCTACAGATAAAAGGCAGGAGTAGTCCTCCAAAGATTAATAAACATTCATAATGTATTTCCCTACCAGAGATTAATTACTATCAAAAGTTTTTCTAGGGTAAAGAAAATAAGAATTTAATATCAGCCATTTGTTGAAAATGATTTTTCATTCTACTTGGCATTTGAAGGATATTCTAAAGAAATAATAATTTTAAGTACTATTAAATTAATTCAAAAATATTTAGTATTTTTTTAATCCTATTGACTTGCTTTGGTTTGATAAGAAATTCAGTTTATTTATTATAATTTGCATTTTGACCAAATCCAAAACATGTTGAGATTGAGGAAATGATATTTTGAAATTAGATTTCTTTAGAGTATTAAACAGATTTCAAATATCAATAATAATTATTAAATCAAAGATGAAGACATACGTTTTTAGAGAATTATTGTAATATTATGTTTTATAATATTCATTTTTTTTTTATTGTGTCTAATTTTAAGGTACTTTCTAGAATATAACTTCCTCCTAATTTAAATATACTACTTAAATCCGTATTGAAATGAGACATGAACTCTCCTTTGAAAACAAATGCTTATTATGCTTAGAATATAGGATCTTATGACATAAGAAGAATAGTAACTGGATTAACTAAATAACTTAAATATGATTACCACATTCTCTAAAGATTTTTAAATTATCGTCTTAAGGTGGCAACCTTAATTTATCCAGAATTTTGTTATAGACTATATCTGATTCATGGAATTATTCCTCTGTTTTAATGTGCCATAAACGTATTGAGTTATCCTTGCTACAAGATGCTAATTTAGTACCATTATTAGAAAAGCGCACTGAGTGGACTAGGTTAACGTGCCCTTTCAATTAATATTTTTCCTACTGTGTTCGAATATCCCACAAACGGATAGTATTATCCCAACTCCCAGATGCTAATATCTTGCCATCAGGAGAAAAGCATAATGATGAAACTAAATCTACATGACCATTGAGTCTAAATTATTCAAATCCTGTCTTAATATCCCATAATCGGATAGAATTGTCATTACCACCAGAAGCTATTGTCGTACCATCAGGAGAAAAACATACTGTTTAAACCGCATCTGTATGACCATTTATTTACATTTTTTGTGTCCTTTTTTAGATGTCCCATAAAATGATAGTCTTGTCCTTACTACCTGAAACTAAAATATTTTCCACAGGGGAAAAGCATAATGATGTGATTTCACTTTTATGACCATAAGTTTTTTCTAAAATAATACCTTTTTGAATAGATTTTTCCCAACAGCCAGATTCTAATCTATGACCATAAGGGTTATCGTAGAATGATTTAATTATCTCACAGGGTTCATCTAATAAATATTTTTCTTTTCTTGTTTTAATATTCCATATACGTATGGACGAATCCAAACCAGCTGATACTAAAGCTTTACCATCGCGAGAGAAACATAGTGCTGATACTCCACCTTGATGACCAGCCAATTGAAATTTTTCCTTCCCTGATTTAACTTTCCAAAAACGAATAGTCTCATCCCAACTACCAGATGCTATTGCTTTACCATCATTAGAAAAGCATATTGAAATCACTCCTTTTTCATGACCATTTAATTAAGATTTCTTTTAACCTGTATTTGCATCCCATAAACTGATTGAGTTATCTTCACTGCAAGATGCTAATATGGAAAAATCGGGTGAAAAGCATATTTGAACAACTCCTGAGTTATGGCCGTCTAATTAAGTCTTTTGCTCCCTCGCTTTAACATCCCATAAATGGATAGTTTTATCACTACTACAAGATGCTAATATACCACTATAAGAGAAGCATATTTGAGAGACTGCTTTACTATGTCCTTTTAATATAGATTTTTTTTGACCTGTTTTCGCATCCCACAAATATATAGACTTATCCTACTAATTCAAAGATGCTAATGTTGTACCATCAGGAGAAAAGCACATTGAGAGGACCCGACCTGGATAACTAGGTATTATTAATTTATGATCTAACGTTTTAACATCCCATAAATTAATTTATTAATCCCCGCCACTTCCTGATGCTAATGTATTACCATCAGGGGAAAAGCATATTAAAGATACATAAGTAGTTGGAGAAACAAATTAAGTTTTTTTTTCTGATTTTACATCCCATAGATGTATAATGTTCTTAATACTGAATAATAATGTATTACCGTCAGGGGAAAAACATAAAGAGTAAACTTATCCACTTTCTCCATTTAGAATAGATTTGTTTTTTCTAGTCTTTAGATTCCAAAACAGGATATGATTTATTCCATGTACGGATGCTAATGCAGTTCCATTAGGGGACAAGCTTAATAATCTTACAGCCCCAGATGGATCCTATAATCTTAATAGTATTTTTCCTTTATTTATATTCCATACATTGATAATTTAGTTTCTATAACCAGATACTTACATACAATAATTTGGAGAGTTAGAAAGTAATAGTTTAGAACCCCCGATCAGACATTTTAGTTATGAATGTTTTTTTCCTGTTTTTACATCCCATAAATGTATATACGAATCACTACTAGACATTAATATGGCTCCGTTTGGAGAAAAACAAACTGAACTAACAGATGAATGACCTACTAATGTATTTATCTAATGGATTTTTAAAAATTTCCAATCACAATTAATTAATTAAGCCTCGTTTAAATTGATGCCGCTAATATTTACATTTCGAAATTAAGATCCACTTAAATTACATCTTGCAAAATTAGCTCCTATTAAAGGAATGTCTTTAATTCTAATATTTTCAAAATTTTGTTAGGTCAAATCAACCTTCAGCTCAAACAATAAATATAAAGAATTTGATCCACTTGGAATGAATTTGTCATCAACACTTGTGAGATTCACTAAAAATTTTAAAAACTTGATTATCCTCTCCTCTTTTTAGATTTTTTTAGTCAATTAATTCCTAAATTCTATGTAAATTTCTGTAGAATAATTAGTGTTATTAAAATCATGTTCATAAATTTATCTGAGAAGAGAAGTGAGATATAAAAGTTTCTATTTTCCATCTAAGTTGTGTTTTTAAGAAATTATTTGTTTCATTTCATTCTGATTTTCCTCTATTAAAAGAAACCTTATGCAATCTTAAATATTCTCTTTTCTTAACTTTTCTATTAAAACATTCAATATTTCTGGTTCAATAGCTTTAGCTGAAGCCAATATCTGATACAACTCTACTTTTCTCATAATAGAAATATAAATTATTAATAAAGTTTCTCAAAAATTTCGAACACTCTTAAATTTAGTTTTAATACAAATTTTAATCAATACATAAATTCGAAGTTTATAATGATTAATAGAATTAATTATAGAAAAATTAAATTAAAAGATGATTTTGCTATAAAATAATATCAGCACTTAAATTGAAATTATGGATAATGCAAATATCATAAATTTATTCTATATTTTTAATTATTAGAAACTACATATACCCTGATTAAGAAATTATTTCATTTAGAACTTGATATAAATAAAATTTAAGAATTTAATCATTATAATAGAATTTTAAATTATGTTTTTATATTAAATGCTTAATTATCAAGGGGTTTTTTGATTGAAACTTTGTTTTTGTCAATGCATCTCACATGACCTAAAAGGGAAAAATTGAGGATATTAATGTTGAAGAGGGTTAGCCCAATTTTGTCAAGCAAAAAATTTCATTATTAAATGTTAAGAAGAGACCCTTCATTTTAAACCAAATGAAATTTGATTAAAATTGACTAAAAGTAGTAATTATTTGAACTTTCAAGAAGAAGCACAACAAGTAAAGTTGGGGATGATTTTTATTCTAAAAACTATTACACTTATTTATTAACGAAAAAAATAATGGAATTAATTTTTAAATCCTTAAAATACATTATTAATAATAAAACTAAATATAGAAATTATTAATAATAATTTATAAATATCAACTGAACTCTTCACTATTCAAAATAACCTAAATTTTTTAGAGTTAAAATAAAAATAAGCAAGCAACCAACCTTTGTACAAAAAATATCTAAGCTAATATTATTTAAAAAAATTAAACCTTTAAAAATTATCAAAATCTGCAAAAGTAAAGTGAATGTAAATTAAAAAATTAAAATATTATAGGTATATTGAAAATGAAAAGTATCAACATATTCTTTAA